CAAAAGATTTGATGATTTCCCGAGGACGAATCAACACTGAAATTATTTAACTTGAAACGCGCTCTAGACTCGCAAATGATGTTGAGTCTAGACGGTCATAAGTGGAGCTTCGCTTGGCCTGAGAAGCGATTATGAAGGAAACTAGAAGCGGTGCTCGTTTGAGTATCCCAATTGGTTTGGAAGTGGGATTTCTTCGTTACGGGAAGGTCCGATCCATTGGCATTTACTTGATAAGCTAGACCTCGGGAGAATCCACTTAGTTCATAGTATTCATCGCTATTCTGCACATCTTATATTACCATAGATAGGAAGCTGGTGCGAGGTACTATTTTCATCGCCATTCTTCATCGGACTCGGAAAACCAGGCAAAAGATTGTTTACTTTTCTCACGTATGGAGTACTTCAAATGAAATCAATTTACTAGTATCGTGCACAGACCAAAACGCCCATTGCCACTAGGCTAGCTCAAAGGTTAGACAAGCGCTGGTTAAGCTCGGAGCTCGAATCTCACTGGGCCTTCGTGTCCCTGCGCCGACGATCTGAAGGCCCAAGTGTAAGGGGTCGGATCATCTAGGATAGAACAGACCAATAGCTTATAGCGAATGTTCAGACCTTCGACATTCCACACCAGAAAAAAACCAAGAAGTGGCGATAACTTACAAGTCAGCATGGCGATCGATGAGCGGGATCGGCGGCAGAAGCCGGTCCGGGCGAGCGCTAAGACACGGAGAAAACAGCACTTGAGTGAACTTGCAGAATCCATATTTAGGATGGCGATAATGTTAGGAATAATGATAACTGCGAAACCCGGAATATTAAATTCCAAAATAAAGTATCCTAAACCTAAGTGGATCTAGTTTACACGATATGGAGTAAGTCCATTATTGACCGGTTGACGTGATAGGGAATCGGATCATCGCGACATTACATGATAGGAGCACGTTTGGATCCATATTCACCTGGCAACCTTCAGAATACTGATTAAGTACCGATTACTGGTCATACGAGAACGAGCTTTTCTCATCCAAATCCTCCTACTATGAGGCGTTATGTCTGATATCATTCCGGCGGGTTTTCACGGAGTAAGGCCGACTTAGGAATGTGCCTTAGCCTAGTCCATCTGCAGTGTCGAACTTACTTTGGTTGTAGTGCATGATCACCCCACGGAACGTGCAGGCTTCGGATGTTGGAGCGGCTAGATCTGATGTGATTGACCGGTCCTCCCTCCTCGTCATGCATTAGTGGTATTTTGTATTATTCATTATTGGGTACTTTCTTTAGTCCGCTACGGCAGTTATGTACTCCGTAGCTAACTGGTGATAAAACATTTTGCCGGTTATCCTGGCCCAAGCTTCTTTAGTTGAATTATACACTTGGACATCGTTGGATGTATCATAGGTATGATCGACTGCTCGCAGAACTTGGTAGAGCGATTGCAGGTGCAGTACTATCAAGTCTTGTCGAGTAAAGACTCGTCTTATTTTTGTTTGTATTCTTCTAAACTACATCCATGGATACCATTATTAGCAACAAGGGAAAAAGAGTGGGTCATCAGATCAGGCGCCAATCCATGGAAAGATGAAACAAAGAAAAAAAGTAAGGAAATATTGTTCCAAATTAAAAATTGGGAACATCTCAAACTGCTCTGACAAAGGATGTATTGGGTGCAACACAAGTACCACCATGCTGAAATCTGTCTAACCTCCGGCGCCACAGACGCAACAACCTTGGAACCTTCAAAATGTTTTGCCGATTCTCTTTCTCTTTGAATAATTTCTTGTCGAATTGTAGTAGTATTACCATCAGGTTCTTTGGTACCACCAGAACTTGAAGCGACGTGCATCCGATGTAAACAAACTGCCCGAAATCCATGCATGTCATACCACTAAGCCTATCATCTTCCTTAGCATAGGATATTGGGGACATTCCAGGGCTTGGGTACGCTATATTATTGTCATAATTTAGTTCTATCGGTAATACTACTTAGAAATCAAGTCTTGTAGTAAAACCTATAGTTTTGCATGAGAATTTTTGTCTAGTACTACATAGTATACTAGCTAGTAATACATACCTATGAGCTAGGATGCATTTATGTAAATAGCTTGTTTAGTATGTAGATATTAAAAGAACTACTTTAGACCCTATATGAATAATCGTATACATCCATGGCTGGGTATAAACGGACAGGCTAGAAGGTCGAATTCCGAGGTACATGCTAAAACGCATACTACATGAGATGTAAAGCCCATTTCAAGGCTATATTAATATGAGCCAAGATTCCTTTGGTCTAGAACAATTCAGTGACTTCAAATTAGATCTCGGATTGAGATGGAGTTTCAAACATTTCATTTTCTAGTGTATAATTGACATGCAGCTTTAGCCCGCGGCAACTAATATAGCCTGTGGGCCTCGAAACCCTTATCATGATGAGATTAAAAGAGTAGATAAACACTTGAAGTAGCTATTAGAAATCGAAATCAAACTCGCTATTTCTGACATTGTGAAGTTTTCAGGGTCTAGAGGTTATCTCTTCGCTTTTAGTCTAAAGACAAGTCCTTAATTCCGAAGGTAGGACAACTTGAAGAATTTGGTTAAAATGAGTGTCACGACGGACCCAGTATACTGAGGATATTGGTCCAAACTCATCTATCAATCTAAGATATTGAATATTGCCCGACATCTGGATGCTCATAAATCCCATGGCTATGTCACAGAAAGCTTGAATTTTTTGGTCGACCCTTCCAAACCTGTAAACTAGGCAACATCTTTAAAAAATTGATAGCCAGTACTCAGTATTTCATAGTACATGGGGATTGGGATCCAGGCTACTAGTACTACAGGACGACATTAACTACTGGTACTGAATACTCAACAGATGTACATATAGTGCACAAGGGACCTTGGTGACAGGACCGCTTTCAAATAAGCATCTAGTCTGAATATCAGCCAAGTGCTTACACACATGTATGTAAAATTGGCAACCCGTTCAAGTTATTGACTCAAATTAAATAGGCATCCATTTTGATAGAATGATTTGAAGCTTGAAAAGCAAAATTTGAATATTTGAACATTAAAGCACACTCTAGCATATCTCGGCATGTGGTTAGTAGCTTGAAGTCAAAATGTTGGGCGCTGACTACCTGAGATGACAAATTAGTAGCAGTACTATACCGATGCATAATATCAAAGTTGATATAGTCTTGTACGCATTAGAACTAAGCGTATCTTTACTAGTTGCTAGCTCTGAATACTTTTGGAAAGATCAAAATAGTATCTAGCCACGATTTAGTCTGAAAATTTCAGAGCATTAATTTCGCTTCGACAGCGTCCGTGCAGAAGATCATGGAATCATCTGAGATATTCCCTGTCAAAAGTCATGCCATGATCATTGAAATGCTCCGAGGTTTTATGGATCTTTTTTCCAAGCTTCTACTAGCGAACTTCAAATGGTATGAGTTCAAAAATCTAGCAAATAGACGATGAGCGGATACTTCCACCTGTTAATGCATATGGAAGCATTCCAAGGTTATGACACTTCGAAATCTTGGAATCAGTCTCAGGCTAGCATCAAGGTAACCTTAGAATAATCAGATGAAATGTGGCAGCTAATCACCTAGGCAATATACGAGTGGAACTTAATCGGGTGGCTCGCTCCAGGGACTTGGTTGATATCCAGACTCCCGACGACATGCATGAGATTAGTCCGTACTAGACCTATCACCCCCTGAAACTCCCACCGGTGCTCACTTTCCAACGCCATATTCTCAAATTCAAGACCAAAGCAGAAACCTTGGAGGCACTTTGCAGAAGGAATGAAAGTGCAGAAAAAAAAAGAAAGCAAAAGCCAAGGTGGATCGCGCTCACTCACTCCAACCCGCAGCCTCCCAAAGTATATGCAAGTTACCAGTACTCTTAGTGGTCCAAAGCGCTCCTCACCCGCCACTAAACCTGCCACCAGCGCAGGATCATAGAACCGACTGGCCTAGCCTGCATGTCGCACCCGAGTCGGTCCCAACCAGGCGCCGAGAAATAATACCGCACCGGCGATCCGTTTCGTACACTGTCCTGTCATGTCTCAAGGAGTCTGGATCCACTAGCAACTTTGAAGCCCGAGCTCCAGCCCAGGTCATGTACTCCGTACCTACCTCACACAACTCCTATGCAGCGACGATCCCGCCTGTTGCATGTACATGATACATGAATTTCCTCCCCGATATGGATACGGCGCTATGGCGTTAGTGGGTACATACGAGGAGCTACAGCGCCGGGGGATTACCCTATTACCACATCCATACCTTTAACGAACACGTCCCCTGTACAAAACGTTGCGTGTACGATGTACGGTTTACCCAGGTACCGTACCTGTTGGAATTCCGATCGTGCCGTTACTTCCAGATAGCTGATACTTCGTCCGGAGTACCTTCTCCCGGATGACGGGTGCTGGGGGAGTTTTGGTGGGCTAGTAGCTGTACTCGCACGCACTAAACATGTTCTGCATTGCAGCTCCGGTTGCCCCTTCCCTCCATGGGATCCGTCATCGCTATTTATTTTTGTTGGATTTGGTTGGTTGTTTGGTTGGTGCTAGTAGTGGATGGCGGAATTAGGTGGTTTCATAGTTCCGCTGCTTGTGGTGCACATGTGGGATATACTACCTCGCATCTTGGAGCTTGCCAGTGGTTGAGGTAGTACTTTCAAGTCTGATATCAAATTGAACTCCAAGAAATGTAGAGACTTGAATAATAGCGCTATATGAAATAAATTCAGGTAAATGATAAGCTTGTAGAGAAAAAAAAGTTTTGTTCATTGCTCCAATCCTTGATCTATATGACAATGACAGGGCTATAACTCCAAAACGGTATGAACGAGAAAAGATTCTACTGGACTCGAATGGTATAAGAGCAGGACATCACACATGACTTTTTGTAAGAGGTTAATTACGAGGAGACTTAGTCTGCTCATCTAGACACTGATGGTCTTGAAGACACTGTAGTAAAAAGAGGTTAGCGATGGAAAATAAAACTGAGACTAGGGAATATATGAACATACCTGTATCCACTGCTACCGGTGGCCATCAAAGTACCGGGCATCTGGGCTTGCCAGTGAATCTCCTTCACTGACTCCATGTAATGCACGAAGAGCAGCTGTGGAGGAATATCAGCCATACCGGCCTGTCGGCTCTCCTCATCATCCAGCTCGACAGCCAAATCCCAGAGAGTAACAGTGTTGTCTGCAGATCCGACAGCAACAACACTGTCATCGGTGGGGTGCCACTCAATACTGGTAACGGGCTCCTTGTGGAAGTCGAATGAGGCGACGGGGGCGGCGGAGATCCGGGCGGAAGGAGCTGAAACATCGGGCTTCCAGTGACGGAGATCCCAAACAGCCCACTGACCATCATCGGCACCAGTTGCAAGAAGATGGAAAGTCTGGTTTGACCAACTCATGACGTTGACGTCGGTGTTGGAGATGTGGACATCAACGGCGGGCTTGCGGGACTTGGAACGCACATCCCAAACCTTCACGCTGCCGTCACTGCTGGCAGATGCGAAAACATTACGCTCGTTAGGAGACCATTGCAGTTCCTCAACAGAAGAGGTGTGGGCGCTGAATGGCCGGTTGTCGGTAACCCAACCGCCGCCCTCGGTGCGGGAGGTAACGTAGATCAAACCGTCGTTGTCACCAGTCAAAAGTTTACCCAGAGGCTGAAGGGGAGACCAGTCCAGGGCATAACCTTCGGACTTGTGCATGCGGAGGGTGGAAAGAGGCTTCGAGGCGGAGGGAGGAATAATAGTACCGGGCACATCGAAGCTAGCAAGGTGGGTCGTGACATCGTGAATGAGAACTTGCGAGTTCTCGAGCATGGTGGCTGTCAGAGTCTGTGGGGGGTTTCGAGTAGTCTGCGGACTGGGATGGGGTCTGGTGGGAGCGAATGCGGTTTGTTGTTGAGCCCAGAGGAATTGACTTGTGCTCAAGAATGGGTTCACCCATGTCGTCGTCCGAGTCACTGTCGCTGTCCGAGTCTTCACCCGCCCGTTCCATCTTACTCAATCCACTCATCTTCAACACCAACAATTCATTGTCCTTAGCCCGGCTTCCCTCTGCTTGTGTACCGGCGACAGCATAAACGGTAGCGGGGAATGTCTTGCGGTTATCACCGAGCGAATCGCGCACAATGTCGAAGGATAGACACGGCCAGGGAGCGCTGAGAGTGTGAAGCATATCGTAGGTTGAAGGATCGGGTGAAAGTGTCTCTCCTGGTGCCAATTTTGTACGTCCTGGAATGAAGGTCTCCTTGTCGACTTCCATAGCCTCTGCGATTTCGATATCAGTGCTTGTTCTTGATCCCATCTTCCCCATGCAAGCAAGTTTTCACGGGATGCGATGTATCGCCTACCTCTCTCTTCCTCCTCGCGCTCAGCATCTGGGCGACCATCTACACCAGCTTCCAGAATCTCATCCTCACTCTCAAACTCATCTTCAAATTCGTCCTCGAACTCCCCCACCTCATCGGGGGTAGCATCGACCATTGGACGATCGCCAGCCTTCAGAGCAGATGATTGCTCATCGAATTGATCTGCCGCTCTCTTAGACATGGTGAGGGAGTCACACAAAGAGATATCGAATGTCTTAAAGTGGAAGTACAAAATGGAGGGGAAAGCGATAAGAAGTTTTTCAATAAATTTTGGCGGATAAACCCACGCTAGACCTATCGCGGATTAGCGTAGATCCTATGCTTCCCGCGTCATTAATGTCCACACGACAAAGATCTTATAATGTTGACTCTTGAGGAATTCAATTGACTTATTTAATGGACAATTGCTATTCAAAACTCAACAGCTATGGAATTACCACCGGCAGGCTCGTGGAATGTAGATAATTTGTGCATGAGTGGCTCTTGACAGACTTGTTGCGACGGAATCTCCCAGCTTCAGATCGGAGGATTCAGAAAGGAGCAAGTATTTCTTTGAACATCGGCCTTTTGAACATTTATATGGAGAGGAGAGCAAATCTCTTCACTCGCCTCAAAATAGACATTCTCCAGGTGCATTCAGTCCGCCATCCTGCAACTAAATACCTTGCGCAATAGGCGGGTGGATATTCTGTGTAGTATCCTCACCAGCGTAATAAGCATCCATTTGTATCGGGCCTAAATCTTCCTTCACAGAGCTCATTCCTGCATGCCGAATTGTTCCCTCAATCCCTTTGTCTCCCCACCAAAACTGGCCCTCTTCGTTAAGCGTCCAGTCATCAACAACATCTGCAATAGTCTGTATATGCCCGTATGTTGCTGGTTGAGGACCTTTGGTTTTCTCATGACAAGAAATGTAAGAACTGAGGCAAGAAATATGGCAAATATAACATAAACAAATAAGCGGCTATAGTACATGGAGAAATTCTTTCCTCGTCTTCCATGAAAGGTTGAACCGACTGGCCGAGCAGCCAATGCAAAAGAGACTTGAAGATAAAGAGGATGTCGTACTTCCAGCTCAGGAAGTTAGCCAAAAATGATGGAATCCTGAGCACCTTTTTTCTATCATTAGAGGAGCTATTGGCATCGAGGGCTCTCCATGAATCTTCATCTCGAGATAGATCGACGATCAACTCTGCACAGTGAAGCCCAAGGGTTTGCAAGCTTTGTATTGCGCAAACAAGCATTAGACCAATAATAAGGGCAGTAACAATAGGCATCGACCCGTGGTTTTTCAGGAGATAGTCTGGGCTGAAAAATACCCCGTTGTAAGGTACCATATATTCTTCCCATGAAGGGTTCCAAGCCAATGAAAAATGCCATCCTGCACTGGTGTCAGAATGGAGTGAATAGATCACGGTAGATCGTGTAGCAAAGATGATTGCTAAGAATCAAATGACTAATAATCCAGCTAAGGCCCAGATAAAAATCATGGCACGCTTCGCGGAATTGCTGATCTGCCACTGACTAGGCTGTTCTGTGCGTGGGAGCATTGCTCTTGCCCCTGACGTGCCTCCAATTGGAATCGAGGCCATACAACGACCAGCTGTTCGTTGAACAGATCGCTTGACCATCATTGTTAATGTAGTGTTCAGTGGATTTGATCCCCAAGACGGAATGTCACGAAGATTATCCCAGTAGGACCATAGGCCCAGCAGAGACTGGCCCAATAGACTGGTCCCAAGAGCCAACAAGGCGATTGCATTAACAGATGCCTCAATAAACAGCATTGAAGTCGCTCCGTAACAAATAATGAGAAATAGAGCTGAAACGCAGTTTATGTACCAGCTGTTGGGGAAAGAACGCTTCGAGCTAGTGAGTAAGCGAATATTGGTGTTGAATACAAGTCGGTTCTCTTGAAGAAGGGACCAGCGAAGGGATATCGAATGAACGTAGGCTACGCCTTCCAGGTATTGAGTGAGGATTATATTAATAACGAAGGACAAGAGTTCACTTGATAGTCCCGTGGGCAGGACGTTTGGCAGTGGTGTCTGGAAGGTGACCCAAAAGACAATACCGCGTATGGCACAAGCTAAAGAGCATAAGATAGCTATTATAATCACGAGAAAGCACTGGAACCTGGTATCTGACTCGATTTTGATGGACGGCAGTAAATCTAGAGGCTCGTCCTTTGCTGAGATTTTGTTCAAATGCGAATGCTCGTCCTCTTCATCTAGACGGCTGAGCTCGTCAAGAGTCATGGAGGAAGTGAAGCGTATGGGGGTTCTGCCAATGTTTCTGTCGAGCGATTCCAGCAGGGGGATTGGAAAAACTCTTCAAGAGCAGGTTGATCTACTTTGTAGGTGAACATCCACCGTGAGCATCCATTCAAGTCGGCTGTAATGTTAGAATGCTACTTACTGCATTTTCATTGATCGAGGTGGAGATCGCAACATCACCAGCTGCAGACTCCGAGTCGTAATAGCTATCTTGAAGAGGAGTGTATCTCGTCTCCATCATACCGATGTGAGTCATGTTAAGCCTAGCCTTGGAAGACTATGGAGAACTTGAAAGACGAGAGAGACTGGGTCGGCGCACGTGGATAGGCGGCACTTTAGGTACTACCAGCAGCAGGGCTTAGTAAATATTTTGACACAGACTGAAGAGAAAACTTGAACTTGAAGCACATACCTACTAGTAAATATGCTTTCCAAGGTTTCAAATGTTGGTTATGCAGATGGATTTAGCTTGAAACAAGTGGCGACTACTACATAGTACTACTAATACCTAGTAGATAGTAGCCTTGGAGGGAACTATGTAGGTTCCCAGATGCCCAGGTGATCAATGATACCAGTTACATAATATCTGGACACTGCCCCTTCTCAACTCTCCCCGGGCCACTAGCAGGGGGCGTGTAACATGTAATACTGATCGGCGTCATTTTTTGCCTTGATACCTACTATACAGCCGCGTGCACATATGTACTTTCCACGTAGGAATCTAAGCCCCAATCTTAGTTTTGCTTATTTCACGCCATTCCTGCCTTGTTTTGGCTTGGAATGTGCATCTACTGAAGTTGAGTAATGTATCTAATTGGGTGGGAAATGTTACTTCCTCTCCACCTTGCATTCGCTCGGGCGAGGCACATACATGTATGTAGTGTGACTGAGGATCGCTGGCTATGTATAACCTAATCAAGTGGAGCTCTGGAGTGCTTTGACCCTGTCGGGGCTGAAGATCGCATCATACATCCAACAGAACCTTGGAAGCCAATAGCTCGTACATAAGACACCGCCCCCGCCCAAGTGAGCACCAGGTATCAGCCCAACTAAGCAAACTTGGGTCCACGGTTGGGTCTATCTATCTCACTTCAGTTGAGCTAAAAATTCCGATATTCACGAGAGGTCGATGGTGTCCGGGTAGTAAGAATGCACAAATTTCGTGCAAGACGACATTAATATCAGCCTCCAGCGCTTGCCATCGATCTGACCAACCCCAGATCAAACGCAATGGGATATGTGAGCGTCAAGAGATACGAGCCCCAAAGTATCTCGGATCCAGGGTGAGATGTAAACCTGGATTTTGAATCAATCAGTTCCAACTTGAAGGTTCTTACATTGTATACTATCCGCTGAACCGCTGCAGGTGAGAAACTATACCATCATACCCGGCGTGGACAGAGGATATACAATAGAAGCTCCGAGTCTGAGAGAGGATTCTGCCTCAAGGACTTCACCGTGACTCGGAGGAGCTGCTTGATTTCAAGGTTCTGCCAGTGGGCTTCGTTCACGTTCTTGGCGACTCGGACGCGCCTGAAACTAGGTAAGATCAACTACTAGTAGTAGAACATGTGCAAAGTGTCTATTTGATACTAGCTGGAGTCCTGATCCTGAGGGCTTCTGCAGCAAAGTTCTAAAGCACCACCTGGGCATATAAAGAAAAATCAAGATCAACCATTGATACTTAATCTCAGTGAGAGTCTTCGTCCGAACCTTCAAAATGATCCTATAGTCGAGAGTCGACCTGTCGGGTCGCATTCTTCTACTAGTATTTTCCCCGCATCACTTGTTCATCCATCGATATGAGGAGCTGAAAGGTCTCAAGTAAACCATAATTTGATTTTTCCCCCAAAACAACTTCTCTTGCGATCGCATATCTGTTTCCAATGTTGTAGTCCTCACTCGTTTTAGTCTCTTCAACTTCTCTGTTCTGAACTTGCCTACCGCGTTCCGTGGAACCTTTGTTTACACCGCCCTCGATCGTTTCGCGCCGGACTCCCCGATCAGAGACTCTGACAGTTTACCAGGTCATCTTACTCAGTCAGAGAGAATAATAAGCTTGTGGAAATCTTCGGTTGCTAGAGAGTGAGTTAAAATCAGCTTCCTGCCGATCGAGTCCAATGTTTGGCCTCGATCAGCGACAGATCGCTCCCGTCTCTCCTTTCCCCGCAGACGCTAATGAATGTGTGATAAACCAGCTAGTATTCAGCCGCAAATAACGAATCTCTCCCTCTGAACTACCCCTTTTCATCCACCCCTCTTTGAGCGCCGGAATGGATCCGCTGCAGCAGCCTGTCTCGGAGGTTCCTGCTGTCGCGGAGCCGGAGTCGCAGCCTCCTATTGAGCCCCAGGCGCCTGAGGTCGCTCAGCCGCTACCCATGTCGTCCGAACAGCCATTGGAGCATGCCCCTGCCCCTGTTACCGTGAACGTCGAAGAGCCCGCCCCAGAAGATCCTACCACAGACTCCACTGTTGGACCAGAAGAGTCCACTACTAGTCGTGTCGCAGTTGAGCCAGGTTACGCCAGCGACTCGAAGGCTCACTATCACTCTCGTTCATCCGAATTTCACCACTCTGCTCCCGAGTACAATCCTCGGGATACCGATCCAGCTTCGCGCTTCACCTCCTCACCTTCCCTGACTCAGCAACCTCAACTTCACAATGCCTCGCGTCCCGGCTCTGGATTTTCAAGTGGACCAGAGCGACAAGCCGCACCTCAGCCTACTCTTCCAGAAGTTCCCCACCGAGGCCAGCTCTCTCAGGCCTCTCGGAATAGTGTCGTCATTAAGGTCGGTATGGTCGGAGATGCTCAGATTGGAAAGACCAGTCTGATGGTGAAGTACGTTGAGGGTAGTTGGGATGAAGACTACATCCAGACATTGGGTAAGCATGCGATAAGCGACAATGCTCGGGCTTCGTTGTGCTAATCAAGGACCGTAGGTGTCAACTTTATGGAAAAGACCATTTCAATCCGTAACACCGAGATTACCTTCTCCATCTGGGATCTTGGTGGTCAGCGCGAGTTTGTCAACATGCTTCCATTAGTCTGCAACGATGCTGTCGCCATTCTCTTCATGTTCGATCTCACCAGAAAGAGCACTCTTAACTCGATTAAGGAATGGTACCGACAGGGTCGAGGCTTCAATAAGACCGCTATCCCATTCTTGGTCGGTACTAAATACGATCACTTTGTCAACTTCCCTCGAGAAGACCAGGAGGAAATTTCCCTGCAGGCCAAACGCTTTGCCAAGGCAATGAAGGCCAGTCTGATCTTTAGCAGTACCAGCCACAGCATCAACGTCCAAAAGGTACGAGTTTCTCAATTTTCTGTTTGTGTTTGTTCTCCCACTGACTCCTCCTAGATCTTTAAGATTGTTCTAGCAAAGGCCTTCGACCTTAAGTGCACTATCCCCGAGATCGAAAATGTGGGCGAGCCCCTGCTATTGTACAAGTCTGTTTAAGGGCTCAATTCGTCTGGTCCGTCTAACGATTATGTACATGCGGATGAAGTGATGCTCTTGACGACTGGCGCTGACTCCTACCTATTGTGGTTTTTCTTTTCAATTCTATGAATTCCCCTTTTTCGATTCTCCCTCTTATGTATTCAAAGTCTCTTATGTCTCTGGCATGGTCTCGTTTTATGATGAAGGACAGGTGGTTGTACCACCAGGTCTGTCATCTAGAAGAGCCAGCTGATGATATTCTTTCCAATTTTCTTTTGTGACAATGGTTTTGTTTCCCTTCTGTGTTCACTGGGGATCTATCTCCAGCTATTCAGTGGGCGTACCTAGGCTTTATTTTCTTTGATTATGTGTTCCTTTCCCTAGACCGGGCATCTTTCTACTTGAACCGCCTCCAGGAGTTTGGGAGTCCAAATGACAGGCAACGTTTGAAATAAAAATTCAATTAACTTATTCATTTCATCGAGCTTCTAGTATGTACTAGTAAATAAATGTATTGTATAATTGACATCAATCAACCTTGTGCTAGTACAATCCAAATATAGATCATCTGGGCACCCATGGTCCAAGCGGAACACAGACCTGTTTTGCCCCTCCAACTTGAATTGGGTCAGGGCTAACTGGGGCCACTTGTCCCTTGAGCCGCCTAAAAGTATTCGTACCTGGACTCGTCATTCGTTGTTCCCACTAATGCCCACGGGTGGTTTGATGCTCCTTGTCTCCACCTGAATATCACTGGACACGGGTGTTAAAACACCCCGAACAAGGCTGGCTTAACCTACGCCAAGCCACCGGCGCTTGGAACAGTCCTTACAGATATTTCTTATTGGAACACTGTTCTTCTCTTACTGTCTTTAATTATTTTCAATTTCAATTTTAATTTCTTTTTTTTTTTTGAAAAGCTGCTGGCAGCATGACTGAAGAACCCCAGCTTGGTTCAATCCAAGACCGGATTGCTGCTCTGAAGCAATCCCAGGCCGCTCGTCCATCTGCTGAACCACCATTATTCCGCCCGGCCGCCGATCGCAGCCAATCTACCAACAAACCCCCGACTTATAATGGACATGGCTCCGTTCTGGATAGCGCCTCGATTGGAAATGAGCCTACGGGCCCTCAGACACAATACCCTGTTGCACGTCAACCTCCCACGCCCTCAGCAAGACCAGAACTGAAACCTAAACCGAAGGTGCCTCCGCCGCTGCCAACCAGAAAGGACCGACAGCCTCCTCCCCCTCCTCCCACTCGCTCTGACCTTCCAGAGAGGCGACCCGCATTGCCTCCGCGCAGGCCAACAGCAGAGCCCTCGCGGAGACCGTCGAGTGAGTCACTGACGTCTAATGCGTCATACTCGACTACAACGACGGCCCGCAGCCTAGGGCGCGGCGCATCATCTACATCAGTGAATTCTGTTGGTAGCAATCGCATCAAGGCGCCGGCCTGGGGAGAGACGAACTTGCCTGTACTTCCACCAAGACGAGTCAGAGAAGACCCTGTTGATGTGGAGCCGCCTCCGGCCCCGCGCTCCGACTCTAAGTTCAGCGGATTAACCAGCGGATTAAGTTCGAAGTTGTCATCCTTGCGAGGCAAGGGGCCCTCTCCCTCCGCACCTGAAAGACCGTCAAGACCTAGTCTGCCGACGCGCCCTTCAAATAGATCTGACAGATCGCCTGCGCCACCACCTTTGCCTACCCGCCGACCCTCTGGACAAGAACCGCCGACAAATGGAATAAACGAAGCTGATGAGGAGGAGCCACCGTCTCTGCCAGCAAGAAGGTTACCCCCGCCTTCTAATGCCGTGGACCTGAAAACCCTCCGACAGGCTGGGTTCGGCGGACTAAAGGTCCCAAGTCTCCCTGTGAGGCCTAATAGCAGTCCAGCAGAGACCCCCGCATCTAATCGGCCGCCTCCTCCTGTTCCACTTGGATCTCGCCCGGACCTTTCCAAACTCCAGGCTACCAAGCCTCGGTTCAATGACTCTGCTCCGGTCGCAGCACCAGCACCAGCTTCTACAACAGAGTGCCTAGTATGTCGGGATTTCTCTGGCCCAGACGCTCGAGGTGCACAGTACCCGCGTGATTCTCTCCCAACTCACGACCTGGGCTGGTTAGCTAATGAGCTTACTGCGCCATTCCCCTCCCTGACCGATAAAGCCAGGGCCATTTTCACATGGTTACACCATAATATTGCCTACGATACTGTTGCATTTTACAATGATAATGTAAAGCCTTCTACCCCACAAAACACACTTGCTACCGGATTAGCAGTGTGCGAGGGATACGCCGGATTATTTGCTACTCTAGCCAACAAGGCTGGTCTAGAAGCCGTTGTGGTTGGTGGTCACGGCAAGGGCTACGGATATACGCCTCTGGCCCCAGGTTTCGAGCGCCCCGCCCTTTAAGGCGGGCCATGCATGGAATGCAGTGAAAATCGATGGCGGACGTTGGAAGCTGATCGATCCCTGCTGGGGCGCGGGCTGCGTCAACGGCAAGGGGATGCCATATGAAGCAAGATTCAACCCAGCCATGTTTTCCATGTCCAACGACGAGTTCGGTCTCAAGCATTTCCCACAAAACAGAGAACACTTCTACCGTGATGACGGTCGTCCCAGTATTCCTTGGGAGGATTACATCCTCACAAACCCCGACATGCCGACTGGTCTAAAACCCATTCAGATCTACAGTGACGCCGATAAGCACAGTATCGGCCGTCGAACTCTGCAGCCAGCTGGCGGTGAGATCTCTGTACACGGTACACAAAGCCCGCTTCGTTTCCAATTCGGCTTACTATGTGAGCACTGGACACTGGCGCGGCATACGGGTGTAAAGCCTGCGCTGTTCCTCTTAATGATCAAGGGTGTTGATGGACGCAAAGATGACCAGCTTATCTTGCGCCATGTGCCTGGCTCCGGACCTGGTGGTGGCGGTGAATTCTGGTATGTGGATGTTCCTGATGTAAAAATGCTCGGTGCTCCAGGTCAGAAGGTGTTGCTTGCTGTGTTGACCAAGTTTGGGGATCGTACGGATTGTCGCGGGATTACAGCGGAGGAGTATGATGCTAAACGCGGGCGTGTCGCGATGGCTTGGGCTTTTATTGCACAGTGGGACTTGGCGAAGTAATGATAATCATCAGCATTTTCAATAGCACACGTCATATTGGCATTGATTCAGCGTCGCTGTCTTCTTCGGTTTATTCAAATACATTCATACTAATTCATTCAATGTTATTACTATTTCAAATTCACCAAATTCCACTCCAACATGAAGAACAATCCCCAGGATAAGGTTCCCTCTAGTCTTCGGCGACTAGGTATCCTGGAGTTGACAATCCTCTTGAACGGATCAGCCGCTCCTATTCCTTCTGATACATCCACTGCGAGGGTAACTAAATACTACCACGTTCCAGCGGCTCGTGAAACTGCACCAATAACCGACATATTGACAAACAATAACAAACAAGTTCAATGCAGCTCAAGATACACGAACTTCCTGCAGATCCGAGTCGACATACATACTAAGTCACCTGATAATGTCAGCGAGATTTTCGTTATATTCGATGAATATTCCCAAGTGTATCTCTGCTGTACCGCTCCCTTTAAGCCCAAATCCGATATATGAATCGTCATGGCATGGGCTTCTAGGCTTGTACAGTCTCTCGCCATACTGGCAGTGACCATACCTCCGACTTTGTCTAACCCATGTCCAGGCTCAAATTGCTCAAACAACCCTGCTAGCAACTCAGTGAAAACTACCAATGGTCAGATTATCGGGCACCCGGGTCCTCGGTTCCCTGATGTGAATGAGTTCTTGGGTGTCCCTTATGCCTCAGCTCCAATTGGTGACCTTCGTTTTGCTGCCCCTGTGAACTTACATTCCAGTAAAACCGTAGTAGCAAATCACTATGTATGTTCTGACTACTCTTGAACTTCTTTTTCGTTGCTAAACATGTTTCTAGGGCCCGTATGTATACCGCACTCTATTACTAGAGATGGATCTCTAACAAGCGGATAGGAATTGCCCTACCTCGAGTGATGCATTCCCACCTATCCTTGGAATGACTCCACAAGAACCGAAGATTATGAGTGGGTTCCTAACAGTGAATGGAACGCAAAGTGAGGACTGTTTATACCTCAATATATGGGCGAAATCCGGTTCTTCAAAGTTGAAACCAGTGCTGCTATGGATTCATGGTGGCCGTAAGCACTTATCTTCCCTTGATCTTCCTTTTTCCATTTTTCTGACAATTAAAGGCTTCGTAATTACCAGTGCGGAGTCCCCATTCTACGACGGCCAAGCCCTAGCCTCTAAACATGACGTTATCGTGGTAACAATTAAGTGGGTTACCACTGCAGCTCTCGTACAATATAGTTAAGACTAACCCAACTGTTCTAGCTATCGATTGAACATTTTCGGATTCTCCGGCGCACCAGGACTTCCACAAAATGTAGGTCTACTAGATCAACGCATGGCTGTGGAATGGGTGCATCGCAATATCCAAGCCTTTGGCGGCGATCCAGATCGCATCACCATATTCGGATCCTCGGCCGGTGGCACTTCCGTTGATCTATACTCCTACGCCTGGGCTCGTGATCCCATCGTCAGTGGTATAATTTCTCATTCGGGTACAGCACTGAGCTATAAACCTAACACGCCTGAACAATCTTCGAATGCTTTCTTTTCAGCTTCTAAGTCCCTGGGTTGCGGCGGTCATACTGAGAAGCCAGAGCAAGTTGTTCAGTGTATGCGTCAGAAACCATTTGAGGATTTATTTAACGCTTCTCTTAATGTTCCTCTGGTGCAAACAATCACCATTCCAGAACCGGTGTTTCATCCTGTAGTGGATGAGATAACAGTGTTTAGTGATTACGCAAAGAGGTCCTCAGAAGGGAAATTTGCGCGCGTGGTAAGTGCCCCTTCAGAACGGCCCTTTACATACTCCATGACCCATGCTAAGATATAATAGCCCTTTTTAGTTACCTGCAATAACAACGAAGCTGGCTTCTACCGTCTAGCCGCATACGCGAGTAACATAACCGTCAGTAATCAAACCTGGAATGAGTTTAACCTGGCAGCTTTTACATGTCCTAGTGGAAGAGCGGCTAGAGACCGAGTCGCACATGGTGTTCCAGCATGGCAGGCTCGCTACTTCGGAGACTGGGAGAATCTACGCATTTACCCCGGTAGTGGAACTTATCACGGCTCGGATATTCCGATGATATTTGGAAATGCGGAGAAAATTACTGGGTTACCGGATAGTGATCCTGAGAAGAAGGTTTCTCGGTATATGGCTTCGGCCTGGGTGGCATTTGCTACTGATCCGTATAATGGGTTAAAGAAGTTTGGGTGGCCGCAATATAATTCCCATGGTGAGTTAATTCGGTGAGATGGCTGTTTTTGAGGGCCAGAATCTAACATTTTCATAGAGAAAACACTGGTTGGGTTGGCCTATGATAATAAGCTGGATGTGCAGTTCTTTGATCCACAAGAATTTGACTCTGGATGTGCTGAACTGGAAGGGAGGTCCTTGATTGTTGGAAATGGGGCCATCTAAGGGGCACTTCTATCTCGCTTAACCTTCCGTAGTATGCAAACTTGAAATACTATTTATGCGAAGGTCAAATAGCCGGAAAAGGAAACACTACTGGGTCATCTCCTGAGTTAATAAGACAGCTTTCATCAAGCTGGAAGTAGTATGAAGCCAGTGCTTATAGATATTCCCGACCGAGATGCCATTGCCCCCTTATCTGCCAGTGACTCTATATCAGTTTCCAAAGCCTCCCACACGGGCTATATACCCCCGAGCCTGAGACTTTTTTTTCGTTTGTGGATACTTCCAGGTCCATCCGAGTTGTGCACCATATGACGCGGAGGCGCTCGACTTCAACACTAGCGCCAGAGACATAAGGTGGTATCGGAAAAGAGAGTTTACGGCGCAGGGAAGTCAAAAGCCTCAACCGAGATAGATTGCTTGTCTGTATGGAAGAATTACATCATTAGTACCAAGACAGAAAGGAATAATTAATCCTCCAGTAGTAATCTCGGTCAATTAGCGGAACTGAGAAGCAATCGGGTCCGAGTGGTCCGTGCCTGAACAGGGTCTTGGTGGCGCCAAGTAAGTTAGAATTGGTTCAAAATTCAGGATTCAGCGCAAAGATACATATTTTGAAGCGAAACATCGAATTCCATGTTTTCTGGAAATTCAAAATACATTTCCCCGCTTAACGGGATTGTGCGGAGGGAATATCTGGGGAATGGACATCCCGGTGTGCGAAAACGGTCATAGTGCACCCCAATTTCTCTCCGCAGATTATAATCATGGAGAGATGCGGGTTGAGTTGGAAGTGGAACATGCCGACATTATGTCAACCAAACCATGAGATTCCTTTATTAAGAAGAGCACTTAAGAGGTCCACCCGGTCCGAAACTTACGCTGTAGTTGGGATGGATGTTTACGGGAAAAAGGCACAATTCACACTATGTCCACGGGTACTTTGGATAATACATGTAGTAAGGGATAACACCCAGAACCCGAATCGATTCTCACGGACAAGGGCCGTAACTACGCGGGTTCAAATGTTGAGGGATGGAGCCCGAATCCACTCTTCGGCGTGCGCCGACCATTCAATCACTGTGATCGGCCATGAGAAGCCGTGCGAGGCTGTCCCGTTCTGGGTAAATGGCCGTCTCTCGGGGCCCCGGACTGATTCTCCAGGGTCGTTGAGTGGATATCTCAATTAATTGTATGTAATTGTGGTGCTATTTTGCCCCCGGTTAATTACCTGCGGCTTCGACCATGGTGTGGATGATTTGGCAGGTCCTTAACTCAAAACTAGTGATTTTCATTCTTGTTTTTTGGGGCGTATTAGGTTGCAGTGGTATGTACTGTAGTAGTTCTCATGAGCCATGATCATTGGACTAGAATATGACTGGGATATGGAGGGTAGTACAATCTTAAAAGAAAACATACTCTTTAATAATACTTAGGTACTACCAGAGGTCCGAGTCTTCAGGGTCTCCAGGGTCTCTTCCGAGGACCCTCTACATTACCTTATTATACCTAAATTTTGACCCGATCTATTCAAATATTTCCGTGCAGAACGAATATTCCCGATCTCTCATCCCGAGTATCAAGCCGACACCGACCCGAACACGGCAGAGACTCTCATTAATACGGCGCCATGCTTTATTCGGTCTAAAATTGACAAGCCTCGTGGCCGATTCCCGGACCCCCTTCAAAGATGAATCTGGTTTAACCAATAATACAATAACTAGTGGATCAGGCACCTCGTTTTCATCCAATCTGAGTCCAATATTTTCCCAAGCCTGGGGAGACACGCGAACGGGGTCTTGGCATATCTCACTACGTGGGAACGTTGCACTCGATTAATCCATTAATCGATTAATTCTCGATTATTCTCGTTTTTTTAACCCCCAGACTTACTTTACTCACTTTAGCCGACTCCAGAAAAATTTCTCATGTGGAGATCTGGTATTGGCCCCGGCATCATGCGGCATGTTCAGTTCACTGCACGTAATGTAATAAAACTATGAAAAAAGAAAATGTGCTAGGTCATATGCGATCTATTTAAATGCCCCCTTTCTCCCCACAATGGTGTGTTGATTGTGTTTTCTTTTTTCTTCTTCACCTTGTAGATCTGAGATCCTTTGGTGTATCTCTGCGCATCATGCCTCTTGCAGGGAATATCTACTTCATTTCGACCGTCGCCGTCATTGGCGGCGGTCTGTTTGGCTTTGATATCTCGTCGATGTCTGCCATTATCGGCACACCAGCTTACAAGTGTTATTTCAACCACGGTCCTAAGGGCCCGCCTTTTAACGATGACGAAAACTGTAGTGGTTTGAGCTCGTTGGCGCAGGGTGGTGTCACTGCTGCCATGCCGGCTGGTTCCTGGCTTGGAGCTCTTATTTCTGGCTTTATTTCTGACCGCATGGGACGTCGTTACGCTATTATGGTTGGATGCATTATTTGGTATGTACTTGTCCTCAGGTCTTTCCATTGCTGGTGTACTCGATTCTGGACATTTACTGACATGGGTGTGAATAGGGTTATCGGTTCTACTATCATCTGCGCCTCCCAGAATCTCGGCATGCTCGTTGCTGGTCGTGTGATCAACGGTCTTGCTGTCGGTATTGAGTCTGCTCAGGTCCCTGTCTATATCTCTGAGCTTGCTCCTCCTTCTAAGCGTGGTCGTCTGGTCGGATCCCAACAGTGGGCTATTACTTGGGGTATCCTGATCATGTACTAGTGAGTACCCAATTTTCCCAAACTCTCATAGATGAATGATAGCTAACCACTTCTCTCATAGTATCTCCTTCGGTTGCTCCTACATTGGCGGCGGTTCCTCCTCCGATTACAGCACTGCCGTCTTCCGTATTCCCTGGGGTATCCAGATGGTCCCCGCTATCCTCCTCTTCATCGGCATGATCTTCCTCCCCGAATCTCCTCGCTGGCTGGCCCGCAAGGACCGCTGGGAGGAGTGCCAGGCAGTCCTGACTTTGGTTCACGGTAAGGGCGACCCCAACAGCCCATTCGTTATGGCTGAGATGCAAGAGATTGGTGAGATGTGTGAGTTCGAGCGCCAGAACGCCGACGTCACCTACCTGGAACTGCTCAAGCCCAAGATGATCAACCGTACTTTTATCGGTATCTTCTGTCAGATCTGGTCCCAGCTGACTGGTATGAACGTCATGATGTACTACATTACCTACGTCTTCAGCATGGCTGGCTACTCTGGTAACGCCACCCTGCTCGCTTCTTCTATTCAGTACATCATCAACGTTGTTATGACTGTTCCCGCCTTGATCTGGGTTGACCGCTGGGGTCGTCGTCCTACTCTTCTGGTTGGCGCTGCCTTGATGATGATCTGGATGTACGCCAATGCTGGTCTGATGGCTGCACATGGTACTGTTGTTCCCGGCGGTATCGACGGTACCCCTGAGGAATCTATGCGTATGCACGGTGCCCCTGCCAAGGCTCTCATCGCCTGCACCTACCTCTTCGTTGCTTCCTACGCTCCTACCTGGGGTCCTGTGTCTTGGGTCTACCCTCCTGAGTTGTACCCTCTCCGTGTCCGTGGGAAGGCCGTTGCTTTAGCTACATCTGCCAATTGGGCTTTCAACATGGCGCTGGGTCTCTTCGTGCCTTCTGCGTTTGCCAATATCCGCTGGCAGACTTATATCATCTTTGGTGTTTTCTTGACTGTTATGTTCGTTCATGTGTTCTTTATGTTCCCCGAGACTGCTGGTAAGACTCTTGAGGAGACCGAGCAGATCTTCGAAGACCCTAACGGTATTCCTTACATTGGTACTCCTGCTTGGAAGACTCGTCATGATCACAAGCGTACTGCCGCTGTTGAGCGTGGTGATATCGAAGTCCTGGGTGAGAGACTGGCTATGGCTGAGAAGTCGGTTGCTACTCACGCTGAGGTTACTACTGAGGCTTAGACCTGGGTGATAGTCTGTGGGGTTGAGAGATTACCGTTTTACCGTTTTGGATTTGGATATGAGTTATGACACTCATACATGTTAAATGACACCATGTAAAAAGATTTTTCCTAGTACAATGGAACACAGAAATGGTCTAGCCATTTAATTATTTATAATACTTTTTGGTCTTTTACCATAGAACTGAAATCTAGACTCGAATGTTATAATAATGTAAACCTCAGTACCTGCTGTTTAAAGTACTTCTTTCATCCGAATTTTTAGTCTACCAGAACCCCATTGGCGGACCTTTGTCTTCCAGGGCTTTTCACCTTCCTGAAACGATTTGAATATAAGCATTGCTTAGCGACCGAACTCAATTTCCTAGTTATTAAATCTCATTCGCTACTCAAAATATTTGCAGGTGTCATGATGTCAGTTCCAGACTTTGGATGCCATGTGGCTGTGGCTAGACTTCTGCTTCTATTAACCTCATCAAGATAAGAACCTCAAAAGAATACCATTATTCTTCCCTTAATTCTACTTCATGCAATAAAACAATCATTCTATCTTCTATTTCCTCCTCTATCAGCTTTACAAAATGCCAACTCTGAACAATGACTTCCCAGGTTTTCTCGCAGATGAATCACTACACGAAGCCTATGAGTTAGAGGTAGAGAGAAAAGATGGCAAGAAACTTCGATTCGGCGAACTCGTCGCAAGCAAAGGAGATTCCGTGACAACCATCGTTGTATTCAGTGAGTCATTCCCTCTTCATCCCTACTACCCTTCTCCTCTAACAACCTCTTAGTACGCCACTTCTTCTGTCTTTACGATCAATCCTACGTCCGAACCCTATCTTCAAAAATGACCCAAGACCTCCTAGCCACAATACCCGAAAATTCAAAACCCGCACAAGTAATCATAATCGGATGCGGGGATTCCTCATTAATAGTTCCATATATGGAAGAAACCAGTGACGAAATTCCCATATACTCTGATTACTCGGGGAAATTATACGAGAAATTACAAATGAACAGAACCCTTGATGGGATTACCACGCCACCGCCTTATACTGAAAATTCATTTTTCGGATCACTGGCGAAGTGCTTTGGGCAGATGATCAAACGTGGGTGGCGCGGGTTGAAAGGTGGGAGTTGGGATATCCAGGGTGGAGAGTGGATATTTCAGGATGGGAGGTTGAGATATGCCCATCGCATGGAAGGGACGAGTGATCATCTTACCGCGGAGCAATTGGTTGAGATTTTGAGATTGGATCAGGGTTCGGATAAGGCTGGGTCTTTGGAGGGTGTTGTTTGTCACGCTGAGGCGAGTGGGGAGGAAAAGGATGAGAGGGTTCATAGTCATGGGACTTGGCCGAGATGATTCAGTCGGGTGTAAGGATACCTCTCTGGGTTGGAACTCTGTATATTTGTTGATTCGGAATACTTGGTTATGAAATATGACTTCAATGTGGTATATAGCATACAGCGATATTCGTGTATCCCGAAAGATTTTACATGCCCGTCGCACGTGGAACATGTATGATTAAAATGATACGATTTCTATACGTATCGTATCCGCTCCTCATTTCCTTTGGCTAATCTTAGCCAGTCCTTCAACCCAATTCTGATGACCCAGTAACATAGGATTCGGCTTAGCTGTCGCCAGCTGAGCAGCAGGTTTCCCAATCTGCGACTCCTGAGTCAAGATTCGAACAACACCCCACTCCACATCCTCAATGATCCATGCATGGTAAACATTAAGAGCCGTGTCAGAATCTCCATCTTGCCATGCACGCCAAGCTAATCGACCTGGCGATGTCGAGGTAGGAGCAACAGACTCACACACTTCAGACTGAAGAGCTGGGAACCCAAATGTTGAGAAGCTGAAATTTTCTCCTTTTGTTTTGAGCAATGGGCCAGATGATGGTGGGGTTATCTGGGCTACATTGTCGTAGTAGGACTCCCATCGTGTGATATCCACGAGATTCGGCCAGACTTCTTGTGCAGTCAGGTTGGTGATGTAGATTTCATTGGAGACAAAGTTATCTGTAGTGCCGGGTAGGAATTGTTTTGGCCAGATGATTGAAGACATTTTGAGGACTCGAGTATCTTGAAAGAAGATGAGTTGCCTGGAGATCTTTTCAAATGCTGCTTTGAGGTGAGGGTTGATATAAGTACTCTCAAGTGTTGCATGGAGTAGTCGACTTAGCCTTGGACCCAGCTGCATGTAATGACGTCACCGTGCATTCCTTCCATCAGAAATCCTGCAGAGTTTCAAATCACATCCAATCATAATTATGCTCCTATACTTTTTACCACTCATATACAGATCCTTCTACATTATATACATAATCTTCATGGAAGGTTCCCGTCATAGATTCAAGCTTATCTCATAAGATGCGGCGACTATTCCAGATCGGGATAGTATAACCCGGTAGGTCCGGCAAGTTTCAACTTTCACCTCGGCACATTTGAGTCTTCAGTGCCACAGCTACTCCATAGAGCTGCTCACCGTATTATAAATCATTAACCAATATTTGAAAAAAATTCAATTTTAAGCTTCCATTGATTTCCCATGATTTGTAATAATCCCATTGGTCAAGTATATAAGCTGCTAGCGCAGCCACCTGCACTTCGTACTGGACAATTAAACACCCCTGCAGAACCCCACACGCCACCAAAATGTCCACACAAAAAGCTGTTATCGTCACTTCGCCCCAACAGGCCGGCCTCGTGACGGACCGTGCCATCCCTGCTCTTCGCGATGATTACATCCTAGTTAAAACCGAAGCCGTCGCTCTGAACCCTACCGACTGGAAACACGTTGCCTACCTCTCCCCACCTGGCGTCCTCGTTGGTTGTGACTACGCCGGTGTAGTCCAGGAAGTTGGAAAAGACGTTAAGAAGCCTTTCAAGAAGGGTGACCGCGTCTGTGGCTTTGCTCACGGTGGTAATGCCGTTCAACCCGAAGATGGTGCCTTCGCCGAATACGTTGTCGCCAAGGGCGATGTCCAGATGCCCATTCCCGACAACCTGAGCTTCCAGCAGGCTGCTACACTCGGTGTCGGTATTTCAACAGTTGGTCAGGCACTTTACCAAAGCTTGAAGCTTGCTTCCCCCAGCGAGCCGCTGAAGACTCCTGAGCCAATTCTGATTTACGGTGGTTCTACTGCGACCGGCACACTGGCTATTCAGTTTGCCAAGCTCTCTGGTTACAAGGTGTTCACTACCTGCTCGCCTCGTAACTTTGATCTTGTGAAGAGCCTTGGTGCCGATGAGGCTTATGACTACAATGACACCAAATCAGCTGCTGCTATTCGCGCTGCTACTGGCGATAAGCTTAAGCTTGTCTTTGATACTATTTCCCTTCCGGAAAGTATTAAGTTCTGTGATGCTGCCCTTTCCACTGAGGGTGGTGAATACAGTAACTTGCTCCCTGGCCCAATTGAGCGCGCCAATGTCAACTCTCGCTACACTCTCGGATATACAATCATTGGCGAGGCCTTTAGCTTTGGACCTAACCCTGTTCCTGCCAAGCCTCAAGATCTGGAATTTGGAACGAAGTGGTGGGCTGAGGCTGAGAAGCTACTGGCTGCCGGCAAAATCAAGGTGCACCCCCCCTAAGGTTAACCCAGGTGGCCTGAAGGGTGTTCTTGATGGTTTGCAGCTACTGAAGGAAGACAAGGTCAGCGGTGAGAAGCTGGTCTACAACGTCTCTGAGACTCCTTAGATTCTCATAACTCAAAATATGAATATAACGATTTGAACTTCAGTGTGATCCAATAAAACCAAAATGCAATAATTTTCAACCCTCTAAAATAACTCCTCTCTATATGCAAAATGACAAAAGCTGAGAATATCTATAATACAATATGACGCGCCTGGCTCCGAGTCCTTGAAAACAGCCCGATTTTGATAAACCCAGCTACTGATTCCATACCTGATGAATCAATCCTCGTAAAACATCATCGCTCATTTTGGGAATGCCCAGCATCTCATTTTCCGTCTGTTCAAAAACGCCTCCATACTCCTTCCCCCAATATGCAGCAGCAATGAATCCAGCATTGCTCTCAGAATCCTGCATTCCCTGCCAATGCGCCGAAAACGAATGTTCAAGCATCTCTTCAATAGAGTGCGTATTAACGGTCCAGCCGTAGGGTCCAGTAACCTCCCTCGCTATTGAAAGGAGTTTCCTCTGCGTCGTCGTCACATCGTGAACCCTGATCAAGCGATTATTCGTCGGTGCAGGATTCATCAAAACTCCACACACAGCCCGCCCAACACTCTGTAAAGTCGTCGTGCTAAACAGCTGGTCGCCATTATTATATAACCTCGTGCGTTTTTCCTTGATATTCATAAACCCATGTTGAAGACCCCAGTCCAGGAAAGGTCCGGTACATATAATCGTATAACTGAGTTCGCCAGAGCGAGCCTTCTCTTTCAATTTTTCCTGTGCGAGGATTTTGCCTTGGAAGGGTGGTAATAGTGCACAGTTGAAATTGCTTGTATCGGGTCCAAACTCTGAGGGAATGAATCGTTGTACGCCGGCTATCACCGCGGCATCGATGAGTAGAGATTGAACGTCGAGCGCATGTCTTGGTAAAGCGGATACCACGGCGCTTTGGCCGGATAGAGCGGATACGAGTGAGTCGCTTGAATTATAGTCTACCCTGCAGACGCGGATACCAGGGGGGGAATTTTTGTGAGCCGGTCTCGCGAGTAAGGATTGTAACTTCGAAGCCGTTTTTCATAAGTTGGTTGACAATGCTGAGGCCGAGATTTCCACTTGCCTGATGGGAGATGGATTAGTATGATAAGCCTCAATTAGATGAATGCGTAGAGTGTGCTTACCCCGGCCACTGCAACTTTTGATAAATAAGTCATTGCATTTGTTGAAAGATTGGGCTCTGTGGTATTTGAAAATGATGTAAACATCGCAATCGAAGTGATTTCAGCGTATTCGCACATTGTTGTTATCGAAGGAATGACAGTATGTAGCATTTAATGAGAGTGATGAAAAAAGAAAGATATTACTGAACCCATTTTTGAAGCCGATGAGCTGTCTTATAATTAACCCCGATGACTTTAGCTTCATATTCTAAATATCGCAGTCGGTCTTTTTTTTAGACATTCTGAGTCGTCTCCATCAAGGCGTTGATGATATTTTTAATTTAAATGTATACTAAAGAATAAGCTCAGACCAACCACAGTACGACTTGGGGCCCTTCTCTTGGCCCCAGGATAATGAAGAAGAGTCATGACATTAAACTGATACCACTTCGTATGAAATGACTGTTTGAGGATTAAGATATTCCTGTTTCTGGATCATAACATAAGCAGACATCTGGTCGTTTCAGCTTGCCATGGACATATAATCTGCGTAGATCGGTGATGATCCAATCATATGCTAATTTTAAGATGATTAGCTTTCGGTTAAGCCGCATAGAGGATTGAGATTCATGCACTTGATTCGTGTAGCGTATAATTACCCCAAACACAGCCTTATGGCATATTTGCCTTGATTGGCTGGTAAATTCACGGCCCCCATTATTCTTAACAAACAGCCCCCTATCATGTGGCTTCAGGTGCGGCTACTAGGTTTATAGATTAGTATTCTCGTAAGGATGACATTTACTCTTTTAGGAAAGGTTCTTTATGTTCCAAGTTCAAATGTTTCTTGTAGATCATGGGATCCACGTGGAACGTGAACTAATTAAGCTGATGAGTCAATTCTATCTGATACTTGATCTTATAGTACATCGGAACAAAGAAAACTGTACCGCTTTCTATGATTATTCAAAATGAATTGAAGCCAAATCGTCTAGTCATGATAATCAATTAAAACCAAAAAGGAATTGTATTTTGAAAGAGTTGACTTGATTTAGCGCTGGAGGTACCTGCATGTGCTAACTAACTAAAAAGTAATTCTCGCCTAGATTATCAGGCACAAATGGGCATCACCCCCACACTAAAAATAGCACCACATCACTCCACCTCCACCTCCTTGGTCAACGCTACCCGCAGTGACGAGGAGATATCATACTAATAATAGGGCCAACGAGAAGGATTTGTAGAAGAAATGAACGCACAGCTATGAATATGAATCCGGCACAGAGTGAGCCACCCGGCCAATCATCAAAGGATGCAATAAAAAGACGTTATGATGTGGAGCGATCATGCATCCGCTGCCATGAACGCAAGGTACGCTGTGATCGGGCCAATCCATGCTCTAATTGTCTTCGTGCCAAGATTCCTTGCCGATATCCTGGTCCTGAGCGGGCCAAACGCCGATCGCAAAAGCAACCCTCAGCCAAAACGGACCAATTTGGTCCTCGGCTGGCCATGCTGGAACGCGCCATCGCTACACTTACTCAACAAGCTTCATCTGGGGACCGTGATAGGCTTGCTCATACTGTGACCTCTCCGAGTACTGCTTCAACAGGGCAGACTCCTCCGGAGAATACTACAAATACTCATGCATCACATGGATCGCCTAATGAAGGCCTTCTTGTGAAAGAAGGTACATCCACCCGTTACATGGATGAATCACTTTTCATGCAGCTTCTAGAAAAGGTATGTGATAGATCCAGATATCAATATTTCGGTCACATATTCATGTTTTTACTTAGGAGAGTGAGCTTCGTTCTGCTATTGATAGTCCAACGAGCTCCGATGCTAGTATGCGAGCTTCCTCGAGCTTTGATGGTCTTATTTCAAAGCCCCAGGGATCAATCGACATCACCTCTCTATACCCATCAATCGGACAGGCTCGCCAATTATGGCAGATCTATTTGAACAACGTTGATGCGTTGGTAAAGATCCTCCATGTACCAAGCATACAGCCTGTCATTTTTGCTACTATCAACAAACCCAAAGAAGCTCCCGCTGATATGAACGCCCTTATCTTTGCCATTTTCTTCGCTGCGGTAACAACTCTTGGTTCTGAGGAAACTCAGATGATTCTTGGATCGAGTCGACATAGCGCTGTGGAAGCATACCGACGTGGTCTGGAAGTCTCTCTACACCGAGCGTCTTTCTTGGACTCGCCAACTCTGCATTCCATACAAGCAATGGCAATCTACCTTGTGAGTATTCATCTTAGCGTTTGATTTATATTGAGGTTACCGTACTGATCAGTCTCACGAAGATGTGCTCTCGACATCATAATGGTCGATCTGGGTCCGCGTGGAGTCTGAACGGAATGCTTATCCGAGCAGCCCAATGGATGGGTCTACACAGAGATGGCGCACAATTCGATATATCACCATTAACTTGTGAAATCCGACGACGGCTATGGTTTGAAATTCTTGCAGCAGATGGACGGGCTGCAGAAGACCACGCCCTTTCATCCAGTGGGTTCAACGGATATACTGATACGAAGATGCCCCTGAACCTGGATGACCGAGACTTGACTCCCGACATGAAAGAGATGCCGGTATCAAAGGCCAGCTGGACCGAAATGACACTATTTCTCGTGGTCACAGAAATGAATCTCGCCATGCAACGCGTTGCTCGACTCTCCGCGGCTGTGCAGAACGAGCATGAGCGGTTGTCCAACCTGGAACAGTTTCTGGAAAGGTCCAAATCCCGCATTCAAGTGCAGTATATGCAGTACTGCGACCCTAATCTCCCACTTCAAAAAGCAACACTATGCCTTTGTCATGTGTTCTTGGGCAAACTTGAAGTCTTTGTCCGTCACCAATATCACCGGGGTCTCAGTCCCGAGGAATCAGCCGCTCAGATGAAGGAGGAAACGCTAGTCCTAGCTTGTGAAACCATTGATTTCGGCAATGAGCTGAAAACAGCTGAGCTCTTGAGTAACTTCCAATGGCTTTTTGCAACATTCAGGCAGTATCATCTGCTGACATACACTCTTTGGCACCTGTGTATACAACCTGGAACTGCCTACGCCGACCAAGCCTGGGAAACTGTTCACTACACATTCCGCTTAGAGGAAAATCCAAACTGGCCACATCCAGGAGTCAAGTGGAACGTTTTGTGCAAACTTCGCGACAAAGCATATAACATTCGATCCGCTTATTTAGCCGCTAGGATGAACCAACCTGTTCCCCAACCATTTGGAGCACCACCTGTGGACGTTGATCAGCCAAGCAATTTTCTGGATCTGGATTTTGATATGTTGGGAGATCTTGGTTCGATCTGCTTTCCCAACTGGGGCTCAACAGACATTTGGTCAATGGGACCCTTTGAATGAATGGGAAAATTCCCCAGCATTGAAAGAAATAGTGCTTCAAGTTTTTGTATATGTACCTCATGACATGCGTTCGAAATACCCATTCGAGTTTTTAAGCGCCTTCCGAGTTCAATTAGTGTTATCGAGTCTTTCGCATTGCATTGCATTGGAGTACAGCAGACTCGGCCTTGGCAATTTGAAGTATTCTGCCTATTACTACCAATATTTTCGATGAGTACCCGTGGACTTGAGATGTCTGTAGTGGGATTCCATTGGAACCCGGAGACCAATATTAACGTGTGCGCCTCCAGATCCGATCAGATCCGGCACCAAAGATCCGAGTCTTTTAAAGCCAAGCTCATTCGTTCCTACGGATGGCGCTAAGATCCTGAATAACTATCATTCCCCACAGATCAGATTGAGTTTCTTATTGCACTACACTATACTCCCTATACCGAGAAAATATCAGCATTGGAAGTTCAGCTGTTTATGAAATCATTCAATATTGTACCTGACGTGACGAATAATGGAGTCAATTCAATAATGACATAGCTATGATCTGCATCGGGCATTGAGTGGATCCCAAGTGGATCTCAATGGAAAGGGAAAAAAAATACTACGAGGAGAAGAAAAAAAATAGGGGCCGATCACAATAGCAAAGAACCCCCTAAAAAATACAAAAGGCCACATTGACTCGGATCTCGGAGGAAGCCGATTCAAAACAAAAAAAATATATATTATTATTATTTAATCAAGGGTTCATTTTCAATCTTCTTTTCATCTTAACTTTGTACTTCGTTCATCTGATAGACTCCGTGTTTCCACTTATTCCTCGTTTTCGTTCTTCTTTCCGTTTTCTCTCCCGTTGCGACCCAAAAGCACGTGAGAGGTCGAATTAAAGTGGGATCCTCCAAATCTTCCCGACTATCTCTCTCTACTCTTTAAGTCTCTGGAAAAAGAACAAAAAAAATAGCCCATTATGGTGCGCCCTCGCGGTAGGTCCAATTTGGGCGTGGACATCCGTGGCGATACCAGTGCGCCTGCGATGTCCACCATGAACGACGTGAGTCCAATTGAGCCTACATCCCCCGATCTGAACAAGGTACGGAATTGTCCCCTCGTCAAGTTGAAGCGATTGGAAAAGAAGACGGGGTGGAAGGAATAAAAATCCAAGTCCATCAACACTAACATGAGTCTTCTTCGCATTAGCAATTCGATGCTCGATTGTCAGAAAAGTCCGCAAATAAATCGCATACGAAGCGTCGCCGCAATCGATCACTGCTTCATCGTTTCGCCGATACCTGTCTCAAGTACACTTGGCTATTGCCATTAATCGTACTGCTGTTCCTGTTATCGCTCTACGCCATCAATCCCACCCCGTCAAACCCGATGCACAGTGCGATCTTCCTGTCCTATCCACAGCCACCCAAGACCCCCGGCGGGCCTATCATGTACGGCAAAGGCAAGAAGGATATTGCATTCGTGGCATTCTACACTGTGGTTCTCTCGTTCACCCGCGAGTTCATCATGCAGCAGCTTATCCGGCCGTTGGCCATTTACTGCGGTATCCGTGGTAAGGGCAAGACTGCCCGATTCATGGAGCAGGTGTACACTGCTATCTACTTTGGTATTTTCGGTCCATTCGGCTTGTACGTTATGAAGCGGTCGGATATCTGGTATTTCAACACTACGGCTATGTTTGAGAACTTCCCGCACCGAGAGCACGAGGCTTTGTTCAAGGCCTACTACCTTCTCGAGGCGAGTTACTGGGCGCAGCAGGCTATCGTGTTGCTCTTGCAGCTGGAGAAGCCCCGAAAGGATTTCAAGGAGTTGGTTGGACACCACATTATCACTTTGGCGTTGATTGCGTTGAGCTACCGATTCCACTTTACATACATGGGTCTTGCGGTGTACATCACCCATGATGTCTCGGATTTCTTCCTTGCGGTAAGTGCGGCGAAAACTGTGAGGTAATAGGAATCACCAGCTGATATGAATATAGACTTCGAAAACCTTGAACTACCTCGATGCTTACTTCACCATTCCCTACTTTGGCGTGTTTGTTGGCACTTGGATCTACCTGCGCCATATACTGAACCTGAAGATTCTTTGGGCTGTCCTGACCGAGTTTCGTACCGTTGGTCCCTTCGAACTGAACTGGGAGACTCAGCAGTACAAGTGCTGGATCAGTCAATATATCACTTTTGCTCTGTTGGCCAGTCTGCAAGCTGTGAACCTCTTCTGGCTCTTCTTGATTCTTCGCATTCTCGCCAACTACATCTTCAACAGCGTTACCAAGGATGAGCGCAGTGATGACGAGTCTGAGGAGGAAGATGTCCCAGTCGAGACCGAGACCAAGGCTACTCTGGCTAGTGGTGTCGAATCTACCAAGCAGGAGAACAAGGCTCCCCAGGTCTACGTTAACGGCGAGCTTACCACCGAGCAGCGTGGCCCCCGAACACGCAGCCGAAAGGCCTAAGGATAAAACTAAAACGATCCTGTCAATGAATCCTTAACATTTCTTTGGGGATAAAATAATCTCCACTTCACTGTTTCTTTTTTTTTCCGGTATCTTTTTCAACCGTTTTATATTGAGGGTTATCATCAAGCCCCCCTGTTTATAATTATGCATGTGTGAGGGATTCTATGATTCATGTGTTTCTTGTTTCAAGCGAGTTCATTTCAGTCAACTGGTAGACTGCTTGAAGCTCTGTGTATTCGATGTTGATGGGGAGGTATGAGTATGAGTTATGTTGGCTGGATATTTATTCGATTCGTGCACAGTCTCTTTCACACTCTACTTCTTCCCTTGTTTTTATCATACATTTCTTTCTTATTGTATGGTTTTTGACTGATGCGGCGGAAACGAATATATCAACGATTTCAAATGAACTTTCCATTGTAATAGAAGAATCACAAGGTTCGGAGTCAGCACTTGAGCACTGGGGAAACTGAAATCTGGATGCCATTGATGTTGGGTAATGCTAAATGTACAGAGAAGCAGACTCGTACTTGATCATAGAGGCTATGTTGAAGTCATCAGCACTCGATCTGTAGACGTTTTTGGGTCTAATTCTGGCTCTTCGAGGTTTGTTCATCCTCGTTCTTTCCACCCTTTCCCTCTCCCTCCGAGTTGGGCTGCTCGTTCGCATCCTTGGATGAGGCCTCTTTTTGTTGGTTATCAGATGGCTTTCCCTCGTCAGACTGTACATTGTGAGGTTAGATGACTGTCAAATAGCTCAAAAATATCAGTGGATCAACGAACCTCCTTCGATTCTGATGAATCCTCTTCCTTAGATTCAGACGCATCATCCAACTTGGACTCTTTGTTAGACTCCTCCTTGTCGGCACTTTGTTCCTTCTTCTCAGCAGGCTGTTCATCACCCGACTTCTCCTTCCCCGCAGATTGATTCTCCTTTCCTTCATCAGATGACTCTTCTTTCGAAGATTCACCATCTTCCTTTTCAGCGGGCTCCGCGGTTTCCTCTACCTCGGTAGCAGTTTCTTTCTCGTCGGACTCCTCCTGATGCTCTTCACCATGTCTATGTCCATGACCCTCCCCATGAGGCTTCTTCTCCGGGCCGGATTGAAGTAGATACACGATCACCGGGCCACCCAGTCCAACTGAGCCAAGTAACCTAAGATCAAAACAGCAAATTAGTAAAGATTTTCAAGCGTCAAGTTCAATACATCACTTCACTGGAAACGACAACCAATTGTACACAAAGAAACATACCATGGCAAATCACTCTTCTTATGCTCCTCATATCCCTTATCCTGCTTCCCACTGGCATAGGATCTCTGTCCCAGAAGACGAGTCGAACGCGAAAGCACAGGAGCCGCACGGAAAGTCTGTGCAGTGGTGACGGCACGCAATGCAGAGCGACGTGCAAAGATACCAGCCATGGTGTAATGTGTTGAGTCGCTCGAATTCGAATTGGAAGTACAAATGAAGAAGAATGGATAGGAATCAAGTGGATAGGTAGGAGAGAGTGAGGGAAGTTGAAATCGGAAAGTACCCACGAACCTGTAGGACTCAAATCAACTCGCACTACAGTCTCCCCCTCTTATCCTGTATGAGCTAGGGCCCAGTTCCCGTCGTAAGACCAAGTTCCCAGCCGCTTCCGTTGGTCTGTGCGACGGTGATGTAATGGGACTTTTTTATGTTGTGATTTTTGTTTAATAACCTTAGCTAGGATGTATAATACTAGGATTGCCAAGGGTCAGGTTTCAAACCTCAAGAAGTATGTCTTGAGTTTGAAGGACTTCAAGTTCAGATCACTGAGAGTGGAACTTGAACCTTTGCATCTTTGAAGCTCGTAGTCACCGTCTCATTCTACTAGTAGTATTTAGTAAATATTGACAATGGACTGAATCCTTTCTAATACTCATTGTCAACTCATTCTAATGACAGTGGGTATAAATATGAGATATTCAATATTTGTTTTCTGATTTGAACTGGTTTCAAGTTGACATCTGGAGTACTCGGTGGAGATGGCCCGCCCATCAGATTAGATCTTGATGAACCCGTTCCTACACAGCTTTTGTATGGTGGGAACCGTGGAATCCATGATCTCTTACTACGTATTATTCAAATAATGATGCCGAGGTCCAATGCTGAATTCTAAATATACTATCTACTAGTATACGTTATCACTGATTTGTTCAAGTTGGATGATTTAGAACCAACTTGAACTACTAGAGCCCTGGAGGACTCGGGCATACTAGTATAAGTATATGGCTTCCAGGATATGTTCAAGTCACCGTGACACTTCAAGTTCCACTTCAAAACTATTAGTCAAATTTCAAGCTACATATGGCAGTACATAGTATTAGGAGCCCAAGGACATATCGATGAACTCTTTTATTAATTAATTGGCAAAATGAAAGAACATTTGAATATCTACAATCCTGAGTTCTAGTTAATAGTACAGCTGGTTTTCTGCCTTAGAATCAAGGACGAATTGGGCAATAATCGACACCTCAGGTGTCAACCCCACCAGTGATTGAGCTATCACTCACTATCGCCGCACGCCGCTCATCTCCCCGAAAGCTACCTTCTTTCAAGCTCGTCCCCTTCTTCTACTTCAACCCTTGAGACATATCTACCATTTGGACCTGCAACCATGGCAGACCGACAAATAACCCAGCAGACTATTTCTACCCTGCTGAATAAGCTGACCGACCCTGATGCCGATTTGAGATACATGTCCTTGAATGATCTCTACGGAATCTTGAACAGTACTCAGTCGAGCTTTATCGCAAATGATCGTCGTTTGGCACAAGGCCTTGCCGATGGCCTCTTCAAAGCTCTGGATGATCAACATGGCGAGGTACAGAATCAGGCACTGAAATGGTACGTCTGAGTCCTGCGTGAATGCTCGGATACTCACTAAAAGGCCCCGAATAACTAATACAAAAGCTCTCTCTAGTCTTGGTCCCCTGGCGCTTCGTCTACCATTTGAATTCCTCACGCCCCTGCTTGAGCAATTAGTCGATCTAACCTCCTCACAAACCATCGATACCTCTGTCCCCAACACTGCGCTCCGCACCATTGTTGATACACTTCCCCGACCCCAAGCTGGCCAACCCCCAACTCAGAATGTGACAAACGCATACTTGGCTGTGTCAAAGGTTCTCATTCCCCGCCTTACAGGCCCGACTCCATCAAAATCAGGCAGACGTGGCTCTATAATGCGGGGTATGCTGGATAAAGATCCTTCCAAGGGCTTCAGCAGTGATGCGCTCGACGTTCTCATCAAGATTGTCACATGCTTTGGTCCTCTTCTCAAGGAGGCCGAGCTAGCAGGTTTGCAACAGCCCGTCATGGCGATCATTGACAACGATACTGCTGGAACCGTTGTGACCAAGCGTGCCCTGACCGCTATCTCCGCACTTGTTCTCTACTTCTCCGATAATCAACTCAACGCCCTGGTCGCTCGTCTTAAGAACACTCTATCATCGCCGACGATTACCATCACCCACCGTCGTCATCTGATTGCCTCAATTGGAACAATTGCTCGCGGTGCCCCGGCCAAATTTGGCCCTCATTTGCCTGTCCTCGCGCCGTTTGTCTTCTCTGCACTCGACGAGGATGCGGTATAAACTGAGCCACTTGCATATGTCCCAGTGTCAAAGTTTATGAAGAATCAACTCGCTTTCACCGCCTCGCTGAAAACCCCAATCATTGCTGATATGCAGATGGCCGGAGTATCTCAGCATCAATATTAGGAGTCTCGTGAGACTGTACCGGTATTATTGCATGAGAGAGGGAAAAGCATATCTGAACCTGGAATCCAGTCTTTCTAAGGTCGGTTGGATTTTGAGATTATTCAGATTTCACGATACCCATGTTTTTACTTACAACAAAAATCAATCCAATAACAACTCACTTGGTGCTGATGTAGGCTACTTTGTAAGTCATTTTGACTGGTTCCATTTGAGGGCTTCTTTAAATAGTGCTCGTTCCTTCCTCGGTGACTTCCCAGCACTTGACATGTCCCAATATCCTATTTTCCCGCTCTTGCCTTCGACTTCCTTGGACCCGGATTCCATCGTGCCTACTTCAGCTGGTCATGGCCCCATTTCAATCGTAGTCCTGTGTTTCTTTTTTCACCATGCTATCCTCTGCTCGAAGCATTTAACTTCTCAGCATAGTCGCTTACCATACATATTACTGTCAATTTATCAACCCAGAACATTCAAACATGCGTTTCGAATTCATCCTACTTTTCTCAGCCTTTACCGGTATATCGCTGGGCTACTCTGATGCGGAAACGGCTACTATTGTAAACCTAGCAGTCCAGCTGCCGCAAAAAACCATCGAACAACCTCAAGCAGCCCCCTCTGTGGCTCCTGAACCCGCACAAGTCGAGGATGTGAGCGAACCCGCATTGCCAGAAGACTTGAATGAACCAGCCGCGCCAGCTGAGGCCCCGAAGTTCATTGCACAGCGTCGTCGGGACATTGTCACCAATCTGGACTACCGCTGTGGTGAAAAGTACGGGAGATGCCCGAGTGGAACTTGTTGCTCCAGTGCAGGTGTGTTACTTCATAATCTTCTGAATTGTGAAGTCCTCTAACACATCTCACACAGGTTTTTGTGGTACTACAAAGGCACACTGTCGCTCTCCGGATTGCCGTATTGATTACGGCATGTGTGATGCACACAAGTCACCAAAGGGTCCTCCCACCAAAGACATAGAGCGTGAGCATGTTGGCTCTGTTCCATACGGTCCCCAGCAGATTCGATCCTGTGCAGTTCCAGGAACGGTGGCTTTAACATTTGACGATGGACCCACCAGGTACACTGGCGATCTTCTCGACCTACTGGACAAGTACGAAGCTCCGGCAACGTTTTTCATTACTGGAATCAATAATGGCAAAGGCGCAATCGATGACCCGGATCTACCTTGGACTCCACTGATTGAGCGCATGTTACTGAGCGGTCATCAGGTCGCCAGTCATACCTGGTCTCACGAGGATCTTAGCAAGGTCGCCCCGGAGCAGCGTATTGATCAGATGTTGAAGAACGAAGCTGCCTTGAGAAATATCATGGGAAGTATCCCTACTTATATGCGGCCACCATATTCCAGCTGTGTCCAGGGATCTGGATGTCGAGAGGACTTAGGTCGCATGGGATATCATATTGTTCTATACGACGTTGATACAGACGACTACAAAAATGATCACCCAACATTGATTCAGCGATCTAAGGACATTTTTGACCAGGCTTTGGCATCCACCAGTCCTACTTCTCACTCCTGGCTGATCATCGCACACGATGCCCACGAGCAAACTGTGCATAACCTCACGGAACACATGCTTCAGACAATGGCCCGACTTGGGTACAGACCTGTCACTGTCGGCGAATGTCTTCGAGATCCCCGTGAGCTGTGGTACCGCAAGGACAAGCGCTGGCCGGGACACCGGAGGAAGGGACCCAAGAAGCCATTCCCACAGCAAGTGTCTATCGATGGCACGTGCGGCAAAAACTTTACCTGCTTTGGTTCCAGCTTTGGTCTTTGTTGCGGCAACTGGAATATTTGCGGAAATAGCTCTACTCATTGTGGACCGGGATGTCAGAAGGATGCCGGATATTGCACCGTGGAAGCTCCCCCAAATGGTGATGCATGGGATTCTAGCTTCCCCAGCAAGAGTGGTCGCTCAGAGGCTGGCTCTGGTTTCAACACAGTGGGCACTGCTGCTATAACATCTTTGCTTCTTGCATTGATCGTTGCTATCCTGATGTGATTCTTCTGGATTTTCCCAAAAGTTTTTCTGGGTTTCAAATGTTGTTTGGTGTTTGATGTTTTGCGTTGAAGCTGGAAGTATCGACATTCTATTCATACCTATGCCTTATAAGATGTAGCTCCTTCCTGTCACTCTTTGGTCTACATTGTTGCCATGATTGGCCTTATCAATGAATTAGCCTTGTGAGATAGTGGGATACAATGCATGCTTTGACTGTTTACTATATCAACGGATGCACTAGTCTGTGGGTAAGATAGCCACTATAATTCTTTCACCTAGCCAATATGATTCTAACATGATAATCATCTCGAAGCATTCTCCAACATGAATGAAATAAAAACCAAGATTCAACGCAGATAAGGGGTATAATGATAGACAAACACAGCCACAAAGACACCGGACAATAATGAAATAGCAATGCCCGATAAAGTGAAATAAGCCCGAGTCTCTCTCGCCAGAGTAAGAGGAGACAAAATAAAATAGTAGAAATTGCAGCACCGAGGGTTGCCTTACTTCCGCACAATCTTCAATAACGGAGCGATCCGAGCCCTCTTGCTCAGTCCAACACGGTACGGAACCTTGCTAGTCGAAGAAATGGGACTATGTTTAGATAATCCTTTCCGGCCATTCGTACTATTCCCAGCAACAGGAGTGCTGGGATTCTGCTCAGGTTTCTGGGGTGTTTGCGGAGGTACCTTAACCTGCTCCTTCATCTCTTCAGTGGCGGTATTTGCTTGAGGCTCTGGTTCTGGTTGCTGAACTGCTTCAGCTTCGGGGTTTGTCTCATCCTTCGGTTCCTCGATCTTCTCGGTATCATTGACAGCAACATCGTTCTTTGACACTGGGTCTTGCACTTCAGCTGGTTCAACCAGTTCAACAGGTTGCTTCCGCTTCCGTCCCCGTTTCTTAGGTGCGGGTTTTTCATCGGTTGCGTTGGTGGAATCGGTGTTCGATACCGAGTCCAGGTCATCGGCGATACGCTCTGTTGCTTGTTTGCGCTTCCGTCCTCGTTTCTTAGGAGCGGGCTGTGCATCTTGTACACCGTTGACTTCGGGTTGTTTTGCTTCTGCAGTCATGCCACTTTCTTCTTGCGCTCCGTTTGTCTGTAGAGGTCGCGAGTCTACCCAGATGACATCGTCGTCGGCATGTGATTTTTGAGGCTGCTCGATTGCGGTAGAACCTGCCTCGGGAACGGTATTTTCTTCTGGTGCGGAGATGACATCTGTAGTATTTTGGATACTAGCGGCATCATCTCCCGTTTCAATGGCCTCTTCAGTGGGTTTAGGAACATCAGCATTGCCCACGGATTCCTCCATTGGTTTAGTGGGACTAGGCTCTGTTCCCGTTTCAATAGCCAGTTCATCGTCATCGTCATCCTCCGGAAGAGATGCTTTCTTTGGACGACTCCGTCGTTTTTTCGTGGCTGATGGCACTTCCACTGTTACGCCCGGAAAAGCAAGCTCGTCATTCGCATCACCAGGAGGATGATGGGGAGACATTAGACCAGGCATCGGGTTTTCATTCTTGGACATGTTGACGTGAGGCGACGTCACCGAGGAGAACGGTTCAGTATCGTGTGGAGAGTATGCCATTGCTGGAACTGGGTGAAGCTGTTGTGGGAAATTTTTGGATAGGTTCTCAGATCCTTCGCCGAGGTACGGAGCCGAAGTAGGAGCTGTCGTCACGTCTGATGGTGAATCAACATGACTAGATGCAGTCGGGAGACTGTAATCGGACACAGGGACAGCAGCACCTGGCGTAAGTAGCTGTGTCGCCTCGTAAGGCTGTTCGCGGGGAATATTGGTATATTGAACATTCCCATGAGCGATTGGAGCATGTTGCTGGTACTGATATGACTGCATCGTTGGAAAAGATCCAGGTTGGGAGATTTCGCTGGGATAATAGGTGGTAGTAGAGATACGTTGATCGGCACTGGAGGATTCATCAAAGAGTCGATTTTGCGCGAGTCCAATTTCGGTAATCATTGCACCTGCATATTATATTAGTGCCATTTCTCGCAATTTTGATCTAAAACTCCCATGAAAGGTATTCATCGGGATAAATCATGACGCACCAATTGATCCACCCCCACTTTCGGTGGTCGAAGGAATCCATCTTTCTTCGCGCTGTTGCTGGGATGATGTGGAAGCCGCATGAGTTCCCTGCGATTGTAGGAATTGATCAAAGTTGACGTTCAATTGTGGTTCGGGGAAGCCTTCATTCGTAGTGCGCTCGATCGGGTAATGTGTATCTGCTTCTGCGGGATTGTCATGATGCTGGACTTTTGGAGACTGGGTTGGCTGTAGCGGGTCGGGAGAGACTGGGAAGTCATCCTCAATGAGAGGCTCCTCCTCATCCGAGTCTTGAATTACTCTATCCCAACTCATTTCGAGCAATGCGAGCACAGCGAGCTGATGGAAAAAGATGATTGATCGACGCGTTCTATGGGACACGATGTCACGTGGTGATTGCAAACTGTGCCTCCTTATCGCATTATTATTAGATTGGACGTTGCTAGGCTCATGGTTCAGAGCTCTACAATCCTTCTGTTTCTTCTGGCCAAAAAATTGGGATGATCATATCATTGATGCGGTCCCTGCCATGATTTTGTTCAAGATGGAAATTGAATTTACCAACCCAAATTTTATTCGGTTGCTCGCAAACCATGCAATTGACAATACAGTGGATGTAAAAGCGTAATGCTACTATGCTAGAATGAACGTTAAGCTGCAGAGAAATGTATCCATATATAGAAGACTGGTGACAGTCCTGAATCAAGGTTGGAGAAAAGAATATCTAAGAAAAATAAATAACAGGCTGATGCAAAATGCAGAAGGGCATGAAATGTCCGCCACAGAGAAACCAGACGCCAGAATCTCTCACAGGCCACGCAAGATGTAATGTTAAAATATAATTGAAGCACAAGAACATGGACAGAGCCGAGGATTCGGATGAGCCCAAACGGGACAAAGGGAATAAGATGCAATGAGCAGAAATTCAACACACAAGTTGCAACAAAGTCGATGGGTATCTCAGGCTTGGGCAACAGGCACAAAATGTATGCATTGCGGCAAAAAGAACAGGATTATAAAACACCGCCCGGTAAATTGATCTGGCTCGGTCTTCCGTTATTTTCGAATCCAGCACTCGAGGGAGCCGAACCGGGGTTGACTGCATAAGGATTGTCAGGGTGGATTTTCCGTAACATGAACATCGGCTTTCGTCCTTCTCTTTCCAGTTGCTTAAAGAGCAAAAGTGGCTTCTCCTCCAGACCCAAACATCGCTCCTGATCACCGTAGACAATATATAGTGCGTAATCTTTCGGATCGTGATGGATGTTGTATTTTCTCAGTGCAGCAGGGAGAACTTTATAGCAAGGATCTTCCCAAGAAACTCGGAATGACTTGAATATTTCCACACTGGCTGGGCCCGCACCGGCACCTGCACCGGCACTGGAGTTTGAGCGAGATTCTATTCGCGATGCGGATGACGGTGTTTCCGTTCGGGCGCTAAGCGGTTGGCTAGGTGTGAGTCGGTCTGATCGAGAGGGTGCTCGAGGAGTGTCTTCAGGGTGATCATATATAGAGCGACTGGCAATAGAGCCAGGCTGGGTGTAAGATCGCGGGTTGAGAGTTTGATGTTGGGTGGTGTGCGCGTTCGGGGAGGTCGGTGATGGGGCACCTGGAGAGGGATGTAAACCGCTATTCATTGAAGCGGTCAAGTGAGAGGAACCCCCCATTGAGGCGGAGGATGGGTCGAAGTTCCCACCGTCATGGTAGTTTCTACCTTCATAGATAGAAGGCGGGATATGTGTTGGGGAGCTGGTCTTCGGAGTATTACCACCATAGGCGCGTTTCGAAAAGGCTCGAGCCAGTTTCGAGGAGGAAGAATTATCCGTGAGGGTGAAGGAGGAATTTGATACAAGGGTTGAGCTATCATGATGGTTGTCCGATGTAGAGCCTATTCCCGAGGGAGGAGGTAGAGGCTGGGATCGGTCTTTGGCCAGTTTAATCATAGGTAAGATCTCCTCTCGTAGCCGCCGGTAATCGTCCGCAAGCCGTCGCAGCTCTGTTTCGACCGAGTAAATCTTTTGATCTCGAATCTGAATAGACTGGATCAAACGAGCGATATCATCCTGGGTGGCATTCTCATTCATGCTTTGGTCCGCCGCTGTATTGGTAGGTCAGCGAGGAGAGGACCAGGTCAGGCCATGGTAATGAGAACATACAGAGAGGTATATAGTGATCCACATCAAGTGGAACGTTTTGTCTGACTTTGATCTCATAGACGCTTTTTAGAATGGTCAATCGGTGACCTACGCTGTTGATGCCCATTTCTTTCAATTCATCATGTCTCAGCGCAATGAGTGCCTCTCCAACAATTCCATTTTCTGTACAATGCGATATAAGCTTCAGGTTTGGCAAGACCTATGTAGTTTGGTAGTCACCTCGAAATGTTTCGCAGTATTGAAGTAATCCATGCGAGGTCAGGAACTCTATGCATTCATTTGCTGTCCATTCTGAGATGATTGTACGAGGCGTACGTGGATCGTCACTTGGATAGCCAAATTTGGTGGGTGTGTGTTCGGTGGAAGGAATATCGGAGTCAATGGGAGAAGCTTCGGAGTCCGTTTGAAGATGGGGTGATGGTATTATGCTGCGTTCATATTCGTCGTCTGCATCGGAGTCCCCATCATGATAGGAGGTGTGAAGAGGCATTATATTGGGATAGTTTTCCTGAGTTCGAAACATCGAAGCGAAATTCAACAAATCAAGCTAAAGATTATGACACCCCTTTTATCTGATCAGAGGGGGTGGTAAATATCGACGGTCTGGCTTCGAGGGAATATGCGACCAATGAGCAAACAACAGGGTCTAGCAAGGTCTAGCGTCGTATGGAGAGTATAGGATGGGACGAAAAGATGTCGCTAATATATAGACTTGGTTGAACCGGATATCAGGGTTGAAGGGTTGAAAGGAACAACGCGTGGTAAAGGGGAAGTGATGTGGTTTTGTCCTGTAGAGAATAGCCGCCCGTGAATCTTGGAAGTTCAAGCAACTTTGGGTAGGCGCGGGAAGAGCGGGGAAAGGTGGCCCGGCGCAAAGAGTTCTTAATATATCCAAGGTGGTTGAAAATGGTTTCTCTCTTGCTTGCGCAAGCTTGTGAAGATGTGTTGTCTAACAAGCTATCAATTTAGTGGATCAAGATCGAGTCCAAGGATTCTGGACTTGAGATGAAGCGTCGCGGGACCAAATCCCACGTGACTGGGTCTGGATTTCGGGGTCGCTTGAACCATTTGCCGATCATAGATCTATATAAAATATGGGTGTTTATATAGGAAGAAAAGAAACTGAAGCCCTGGAGATCCAAAGTGTAAAAGTATGAACCTCTCAAGCTTCTTTTTGGGGGTGGGACCGTGTCTTAGATCTTAAAAGGGTGATCAGTACCAAAATAGAGTATAGAACGTGGAAAAACACATCCCCGCATAACTCAGTTTAAAAAGTGTGAGAATATAAGCAATACGGGGAACCCTATTCTAAGATCCAAAGTTATAAAGAGGAATTACTAGGGTTTATAGGGACTATTGATCTGAACTTCCACTTGATGTATAGTGATAGACTTGAACTGGATAGAGTAGGGCCTGAGGCAACTTTTCTTTTTTTAAGTAAACCGAAAATGTCAGACACTGGGAAGATTGCTTATCCAGTTAGTAATATCTATGACTACTAGTGTTAATAGATTGGTTGATTTCTGATATAATTGAATCTGGGATGTCCTGGTACTAGTGGTGTCGACCGTGACTCGGAGATCTTCGATATACAAGGCTGTAGCTATAGTACTGATTAACAGCAAGGGTCATCAATTCTGACAAATAATGCAAATAATTTCAACTTAAAACCATTCAAGGGCTTGGATTATCAGATCAACCCTCGAACAGATAAATAGTTAAATTCACTGTAGATATAGGGCTCGTCTCCATTCCATTCACTATATCCCCATCATCGCCGCATTCACCGCCCGCACTGTACGCCGATTGGCTTGTGCAGGAGATCCGGGGAGTGAATCTTTTCCTCCATACTGCGAATTGACATTCACTGTCTCTGTTCCCGTGAATGCCAACTTGAATTATTAAGTGTGCAATGGGTATATATCTTTAACCCGGTGTCTCCCTGGCCGACCTGTTCTCTCCTTCTCTTCGGCTCGCATCAACTACACCTCCGCATAACCCCAATCCGTTTTGCGCCTGGACTAGTCAGCACACTTGAAACCTCAATCACGTATACCAGGTAAGCCACGCTCAATCCACGTGAGCAGAATTCCTTCAGACCTCAAAACATCTCCTGGGTGGTTTTCTCGCATGGACCTTCTTGCCACAGGCGCTAACTGGGGATCGCCGCAGTGACAGGCCGGTCTACGGAATAATCGTCATTCTCAAATACCCACTCTTCACTTTTCGCGCACTGGGTCGAACACCCGTCCAGCCTTGCGAATAATCATAATAAGCTCTTTCCCAGATCAAAAGTCTTTTCCTCCAGGGGCAGGTCCCCCTTTCCGTCCATACCCTCGTCGCAATACTCGAGTCCAACGGACCTCCGGCGCATACGAGATACTACACTATCTTTACGTGCAGACTCCTTGAACAACCTGCGAGAAACACTCCAGGCTCACAAAGAGTACTACATTTTACTCGAATCCCCGTTTTCCATTCGCATATCCATACCCAGTTGCTCACTTGCGAGCTTGAACCCCACCAACATCTCTCCACATCATGCCATCCTCCACCCCCGATGCGCTTGAATCCGATCTTCTCACCAAACTCTCTGCAACATCTGCTCTCGAAGACCTGCAGGAATCCTTACTCGGCTCATTACACCGCGTCGGCTGGACTGAGCGGGTCACCAGCCTCGCCACTGAACTGCTGCGCGCTGGCCGCTGCGAGACCTTTGACGATGTAATGGAAGCTGTGGTTGCCTCAGCAGAAGGAAGAAGTCATCCAGCATTGGGACCAAAACATTCAGAGAAGAACGGGGACTCAACTACGAATGGGACCAAAGAGGGGAAAGCCAATGGGACAAAGAAAGGCAGCTCGGATGGGGACAAAAGCTCAGAGGAGGGGTCATTCGACTCTTTGAAGTATATTGAAGAAGTAGATGTGCGAATTCCGGATTCTGTGGTGGATGAGGGTGTTCGTGGATTGAAAGACATATTGAGAGATATGGTGGACCTCGAGGATGAGGCTCCGAACGGGGACAAGAAATGATCGGCTCTTAGCCTCAAGGAACATTTCAGATAATAAACTGCATGGCGGAGACTTATTCCTGTCCTTCTTTTGTTTTATGCCCTTTTCTTTTCTTGTGGAGTCTTGATATGGTTTCGGGTATGGCTTCGGATTCAAGCATGTGCCCATCTACGATCTCTGGGTATGCGTGCTATCGCATCAAACTGAATAGACAATTGCATTACGCTGGGAAACAATTCCATCGAGAAAACTGATTATGAATCAAATATTTTATCAGGTTACTAGTAACATGGGGTCATGGTGTTAGACTTGGTAAACGCCGCCGGCCGTTGTACCTAGAGGCTAGAGCCCACCGTAGTGCTCCTGATGACGTGTGCACATGTGAATCAGGGGCTATATCTTAGTGCTCAACTGAGATTTGGACTGAAGCATAGCTTCAATTTCCCCAAGCCTTCGGATACTCGACTCCATTTGGACCGGCTTTACCAACGGTTTACTCTATGTGGATAGCCGGCCGAGGGACTTGATGCGGGGAAGCATAGTAGAGACAAGAGACTAGTAATGTGGAAATGTGGCTTAAATGTCCTAAAAGGCATAAAAGAGGAGAGAAAGACGGAGTATGATACAAGTTGAGGCTATCATCAAATTTCTACTTAAATCATTTTACTCTCAAAATGCCCCAACTCCCTCGCTATGAGTACACCGGTCCTGTGGACTGCAGTGTTCCACCAGATCGCAAAGTACTCAAGGATAAAAGCGTCATAATTACCGGTGGTATGCTTTCCAATTCAAATCAGCTGTTTCTGTTCATGAATTTCTGAATCCTCAGCGGCTCATCATCCATTTAGGAGCAAATGGTATGGGCGAAGAGACCGCACGCGCTTTTGCAGCAAAGGGGTATGTAATTCGAAAGCAAAAAATGGTGAGACGAAATCTCATTAAAAGAATAGAGCTTTTGTGACAATCGCCGATCTTGATGAGATTCGAGGAAACGAAATTGCAGCAGAGTTGAGCCCGTTCGTCCGCCCATGCTCTCCACTTTAGTGAAGCGAATCAGAGCATGTTTGCTGACACCAGATCTTAAACACAGGAATGCACAGTTTGTGAAATGTAACATTACATCTTGGGAGGATCAAGTGGCTATGTTTGAAGCGGCCATAGCAAATTCCCCACATAAAAGCTGTGATATTGCGATTGCGAATGCTGGAATCAGCAGAGCTTCTGGGGATGATCTATGGCCATTAGACGGTACAAATCCCAGTGTCAGAATACATACTCTTGAAAATGACTCTGACAATGGTATTGCAGATCCGAATGAAGCACCTATCAAGCCCAAGCTTAATATCGTCAATGTGAATCTCATTGGCACAATGTACACATGGAAGTTGGCAGTGCATTACTTCCGTAAACAACCCGATACCGAAGACAGAGACCGATGTTTCATTATCACTGGAAGTCTAGTTGCTTGGATTGATTCTCCGGTGAGTCTAAAAGCAATGGATGGATGTCACGGTGTCAGGCGATAACTAACAGCAATATCTAGGCAAATTGGCAATATACCAGCAGCAAATACGGACTCAGAGGGCTGATGAGAGCAGCTCGCCGAAATTCTCATGAGCAGGGTATAAGAATCAACTATGTGGCTCCATGGTAAGAGCCGTCTTGGCTATTCCATTCCTTATCAAATATTGACCAATTAATAGCTATATCAAGAGTGCCATTCGGTCGGCCGCATACGAAGCTCAGCTCATTTCTAAAGGCGTTGAGTTTGCTCTGCCTAGCGATGTTGCTATGTGTATGATGAGACTTGCAACAGATCGAACAATAAACGGTTCGCTATACAGGCCTCAATCAATACGGGTGGAAGGATTCTAATAGATATAGGCCACTCACTCATGGTCACACCACGGACTGTTGCCAAGGAAGGATTCAAAGATGTTGATATGGACGATCATGTTGAGGACGGATACTTTAAGCGGAATCAAGAGATACAGCTCAGCATAATCGATGAGAAATGGGAGCCTGGATGGAGCAAAGAGAGGACTGTGGAGGGTGTGAAGAAGGCATAGATTATTTTCTCTGGGGCTATCCAGATGTCTATTATTTGCATACTTCTGGCTTCCGGCCCCAAGGTTGTTCAGCTAGTCATGTCAGTAGGGTCATATCAAATAATCTACTGACAGGCAGCCTTGGAGGGCTCTGTCTTTGTGAAATCTTTATGAAACATCTCCCAGAGGCCCGGGGTATTTAAAGGCTGAGTACTAGAATTTTGAACAACACTACACTTGAATCTAACATTGAACGGTTCTGCATCCCGTTAAGCCTGGGATAGATAGTACCAGCGCGCACGGGATGATCCTGGTTTTTCTATTTATAAATGAACTAGTCTCAATGATGTTATATTGTCTCTGATATGCCATAGATGGTCCATTCCGCTCTGGAACCCATTTATAATTTGTCTACATTTATAATTTGTCTAAGCAATCTCAATCGGTCTTAATCTCAAAAGTACCGACTTTAGGATTGGTCAAGATCCAAGAGATTCCGTCGGTTATACTTTCATCCCACTTCTTACAAGCTCGGTCAAGACCCTTCCCAAACCGACGATAACCATGAGGCAGACCGCGGAAAACTGTCACATCGGTAGGTACTCTGGAGAGGCTTCAGTGACCAGAACACAGTAACTAAGAGCAATTTACTTACCCATTCCCACTAAGAAGCTTAGCATAATATAGTCCCTGGTCTCGCAGAGGATCTCTACCAGCAATTCCAAATACCGCAGGGGGCAATCGCCGAGCCTCATCTGGGGTCGCATTTCCAGGATTCATTCGAAGATCGCTCTCAGCATCTGGGAAAGCATCAAGCCCAAGTAGCTGTCCAAAGAGCTGAATACGGCTCAAAGGCAAGATTGGAGCCTCGGCACATTGCACCATACTCGACAAGTCAGGGCTACGGAGCATATCCGTCGATTTATCATGGCGAGCCGTGAGAGAAACACACGGAATCATCAGCACCTGACCTATGATCTTAGGCAGAGTCTTAATGCGCTCGTTCTCTCCATAAAACTGACCACGGGCCAGAGATGCAGTTAGGGAAGCACCTGCTGAGACTCCGCCCACAACAACTTGATCAGCGAGGGCACCAATCTCGGCGATGTGCTCGTGAACCCAGATAAAGGCATCCTCGACATCATTCCAAGCTGTCGGGTATTTGTGTTCTGGCGAGTGGCGGTAGTTCACGTTGAATACAGCCATGGGGGTGCCTTGCTCTTCTTGTGCAACGACAATCCGTGAGCAGGGCGCATCTTCGGAAGAAAGAGTTCCGAAGAACCAGCCTCCGCCGTGGAGATGAATGTACAGTGGAAGAGGTTGTGAGAGAGGGATTCCCACAGGACGATAAGTGCGAGCTTCTAAAATTGATCCGTCGCGAGTAATAATTTCATGATCATGCATCTGAATCTTAGAGCTTAGACCTGTATTTAGAGACTTTTAGTGACAAATCTCAAAAATTGAATATACTCGTTCATATCGCTGGCTATTTCATATTTTCTCGTCGCTTAGTGATTTAAACCACTGACCTTCTTCAATCATAGACGTAGCTGAGGCGGCCTCGCGGCTCTTGTTCATGCCTTCCCGTAGTTGATCTACCGAGAGCTTAGGTGGTTCGGGTAAGGAAGGCTCGAAAGCGAGCCATTCGGCACTGGGAATGCCATACTCAGTAAAATCCGCCATGATATGGAGCTGGTGCAATGAGATAATCTAGAGATCAGTTTTCAGTTTCTATCCAAGGATGTTTGAGAGTATATCGTCATAACCGAGGTGTAGGCGATCTTCGCTTTGCATACTAGTAAGAGTAAACCCTCGGACTCGGAGTTATCTATGGAATGCCGTAGCCGTCGGTAAGTTATTGACCCGAATCCCAACGTGTCGATATAAGCTCAAATAGCTTGATGCGGATTATTCAGACCAAACAGAATCCGACTCGAATCGTTGATTGCGAAACAGGCACAAACATTACGCCCAAAGACCTCGGTTCGGCTACCAAGCGGCTTGATACCCCGCAATCCGAGCCCAAAGGAACAACTCGGTGTTCTATCCGGTTACTTTCACAAAATGAAACCAATAAATCCAGTCTTTATAGAGCAGTGTATGTTGTTGGGAGTATGTAGCTGTAGATAAAGCTCCATTTATCAAAATCACCAATCATGGATCCTGGAACATCCTCCGAGCCTCCTTCTCGTTCATTGCAGGGGAAAGTCGCAATTGTAACAGGTGCAGGGTGCCTGGGCTCGGGTATAGGCAATGGTCGTGCAATTTCAATTCTTCTAGCCGACGATGGTTGTGATGTAGTCTGTGTCGACATGGTCAAGGAGTGGGCGGAAAACACCGTCGAAATAATCAACTCCAAACCCGGGCGCGGACGCGCGATTGCCCACAACGCTGACGTGTCTCGAGAGAGTGATTGCGAAGCTGCAGTGGAACTCGCTGTTGCAACATTCGGTCGTCTTGATATTCTGATAAACAACGTCGGTATTGGAGGCGCGGCAGGAACTGCGGTGGAAGTGGACATGGGTGAATGGGCCAAGAGTATGGAGATCAATGTCGCCAGCATGGTTCAAATGAGCAAATATGCAATCCCAATAATGAACCGCAATGAAGGAGAAATTAAGGGAAGCATTGTGAATATGGGTAGTGTTGCTGGTCTTAAGGGAGGAACGCCGCATCTGCTATATCCCACTGCGAAAGGAGCGATCGTGAATTTGACGCGTGCGATGGCTGCTCATCATGCTGCCGAAGGTATTCGAGTCAACTGTGTTTGCCCCGGAGTAAGTGAGACAATTCGAATGCATTCTTGACTCCCACTGATTTCCCGAATAGATGTTGTATACGCCCATGATGTATGGAAAAGGCATGAGTGATGAAGCACGCGAGGCACGACGGAAGCGGAGTTTGCTGGGTACTGAAGGCACTGGGTGGGACTGCGCTGGAGCGGCGGTATTTCTAGCTGGTCCTCATGCTCGATGGATGACGGGTGTTATTCTCCCTGTTGATGCTGGTACAACGGCAGCTGTAGGAATTGGTATGACAAAGAGTGCTAGTGTCAACGGACAGTAATGACTTGAGATAAATGCTTTAATATTAGCTACAAGAAAGCCTTCATATCAGACAGAACCGTTTACACATATGGTCTTCTCATTATGAAGAGGTTTAACTAGTCTCTACTGGAGTCTATCATATCATCCATTTTGTATACTGTCAATATGGAGGTATCAAACTTGAATGAGGCCAAATATCATTTCATCAAAGATAATAAAGTAAACGGCCTAGATGAACTACAAAATGTACCTGAATTGGGGATTCTATGTTGGTCAGCGATGCTGATACAGGAAGAAAGACATCTCTCCACACCGAAAACTCGAAAGAGATCTTTGACTTACTGTTTTATCCGTCAAGTCGTCCTGGTATGCATTCTCATATCCTTCGAGTGTGCCAGACCTATCACGTCTGCGATTATCCCATACACAAACCCAGCGATAACATAGAACAATGACGCCGGCGATAAAGGATGTCACAACAACAGTGATGAAACCGGAGACGTATCGTGGTGAATCCCTATCCTTGTATACAAGAGGCCCGGTAAAGTTGCCTGAGCATGGAGTGAGTTCTTGAGATAATTTTTGATTTTCAGAAGAGGCTTACCAAGACAATATCCAATATAGAGTCCCGAAGATGCGATGGAACGCTTGGTGTACCCAGCTATATTCGCAATTTGAAGACCCATCAGCACAGCATACGTTCCTCCAACCGCAGGAAGAATGTAGCATGCAAACAGTAATCCACCCGTTGCATCAAGAGGGAGAGCCACTAGTAAGATGGCAGCCAGAGTGGTGACCATTTGACCAGTAAAGACGATCCAAGATCGCACACCATTTTCGGAATATCGATATGCCAAATAGGGAGCAATGAGCTGGTAAGAGCCTGCGAGAAACCCTTGTGGCATGACCAAGAGTAAAGTATTGAACGTGCTGAAACCAAAGGAGTCAATGATTATAGGGGTGAATGTTGAGATTGGTCCATTGGCAATCATGCTCAGAAAGGCTACCAGAAAAATCAGCCAAAACTTGAGATCGCTGAGTAACTCGACGACCTGGCTATTTTTGTAGTGCATATTTCGGACTCCGGAATTATTGACGCGTAGTCTGGCGACCGCGATGTACCTTTGTCTCTCGTTGAACCCAGGGGCGCTGACCGGGTCGGCGGGTAAAAGCCAGACGAGAATGATCCCCCAAACCATAGTGACGGCGCCGGCAACGAAGTACATGTACTTCCACGGGGAAAGAGATCCGGTTACATGACCCAAGCCGTAATTGATCAGTGGCGAGAAAACAGAGACATAGCCAGTGCAGCTATACCAAATTCTGCCGAGACGTTAAAATTGTTCAATCAATGCCTGGCAGAGAAAGAAAGATTGACTTACCCCATACGCATCGCCTGTTCATTCTTTTTGTACCAGCCTCCCTGTATGAATTGTGATCAGTAAGCGGTTTCAAAGCCTGTTGAGTTGAATAGAACGATACCACAATAAGCATAAACATCGGACTAATCCCACTCTCCAACATGCCGAGGAAGAATCTCTGCGCGTAAAGTCCCTTATAGTTATAGCAAACTGGAGTCAATATCAAACAGATCCCCCAGAGGGTGATAATAATAGAAGCCACGCGTTCAATAGGGAATCTCTGTGCTAGAGTCATCGCAGGATATGTCCCAACAATGAACCCCAGATAGAGGATCGAGGCTGCAAAGGAGTACCGGTTTCCAACATTCAAGCCCAGGTCTTCTTGTATACCGAAGAGGGCCTGATAGGTACAGTTAGTATACGCCTTGGAGAGTATCATGATTTCAATAGATGAGAAACAAACCGCTTGAGAATACATGGCTTTGTCATAGTACTGCAGGCCATATGTCACGCATAATATTGGCATCAATTTCCAGTCAATACGTCTCAGCAGCTTTTTCTCCTCCTCTTCCGTCCAGGTCTCATCTCCCGTATAGTTTGCTAGCACTTTGATTGCTTCATCGTTATGCACTGTATCCAGAGTTGTCACTTTTTCTGCGTCTGGAAGGGTTGTGTTTGAGCTTTTTGCCTTGTCAGAGACAAATTCCTCATGAGGCTTATCGTTGTCCGACATGGCAAAGAAATCCCAAGAAAGTGGGTCGAGTTATGAAAAAGAAGAGATCCAGCTGTTTAATTGATGAGAATCAATAAGTCGGAATTGTGATGAACTGGAAGTGATCTACTAGTAATCTAATTATCTCCACATCCCTCTGTATGTGCTGACTCTTTCACACTGACATGTGCCGAGAATCTTACATTACCCCAGATATTTACCCCAGAAACCCCAGATTGTACTGCTGTCCCGTCACTCAAAAGGACCACTCTCTCCGTTTCAAATGTTAGTACCTCACTCTCGGAAATGCATCGCTGGATCTCGGTAATCTGATATTGACAACCGATTATTCATTACCTGAACCGAAAGTTAATTCCAGTCAACCTGTACCGGTATGGAGTTGTGCACATTAATTTATGCTCATTGCGGGGATATTGTGGGGAACCATCCAAGGTGACACCTTTGCCGGTCGAAACAGAAAATAAGGATATTATCTTACCCAGGCTTTTAACGCATAATAGAATCAAGCAAGACGTGCTACTTGGATCTGGATATTGAAGCCATACAGTAGTAATGGCTGAACCACCTGATTTCTTCGTGCCACCTGGTCAGGTTATCACCGTCAAGCTTATCAACACCGTTAATTTTGGACCAGCACAACTAAATCGATTCATGGGACCTCCAGTTCCTGGGATGGAGACTCATCCAAGCAATCCTTCATTTTCATTTCTACTAGAGCATTCATCTGGTCGAAAACTCATTTTCGATTTAGGAATCCGAAAGGATTACCAGAATTATGCTCCAAAGATTGCACAGTACATCCCCACAACAAAATACAGTATTAAAGTGACAAAGAATGTGGTTGATGTCCTTGAGGAAAGTGGGGTCCCAGGTGAACAGATAGAGGCAGTTATATGGAGGTAAGGGCCAAATCAGCCTTCGCTTTAGACATGAATGTTTACGAAATTTTTCGCAGTCACTGGCATTGGGATCATATTGGAGACCCATCGACGTTCCCTTCTACTACGGATTTGATAGTTGGGCCAGGCTTTAAGGAAGCCATGTTGCCTGCTGCACCTACAGATCCAGACTCTCCTCTAAGTGAGGATTCATTCAAGTAAGACCTCATCAACATACCCACTTTCAGCACTAAAATTGCAGTTATAGAGGACGAAATATAAGGGAGATTGCTTTTCAAGGGCCGAATCGCATAAAAATAGGGAGATTCGACGCACTAGACTATTTTGGTGATGGGTCCTTTTACCTACTTGATAGCCCTGGACATGCTATCGGTCACCTATGTGGTTTAGCTAGAACGACCGTGAACCCAGACACTTTCGTCCTGTTGGGTGGAGATGTTTGTCACTATGGTGGACTATTTCGGCCATCCAAGTATCTGCCAGTACCTCAATATATTCACCCGCACCCCTGTCATCCACATAGTGATACAGCTTTCTGCCCTGGCGAGGCATTCGAGGAGCTTCAGATTTCGCGTGGTCGCTCTATTACAGACCCGATTTTTACCCCGACCTTTGGACATGATATATCTCAAATCATTGAAACAGTTGGAAAGTTACAAGAGATGGACTGTAGAGATGATGTGTTTGTGATCATTGCACATGATGCGACGGTGAGAGATGCTGTTGATCATTTCCCTCTCAGTCTTAATGCTTGGAAGGAAAAAGGATGGGGAAAAGATCTCCGATGGGCATTTTTAAGAGATGCAAAGGCTTATTGGGAGTCTAAGGGAGTGATCTGATCAAAGCATGACCAAGTACAGACTCCGAGTCCATATAAGTTGGCTATTGAAATATGCCTTTATATACAGGTGCTTGGTGCTGATGTTGAACTTCTATCGATTGTTGCTATAAGCCTAGACCGAAATTCATCTCCAACCTTGGAATATTTGACCACTGGCAATCTTGGCCTCTATTCAAGTGATGTTTCTACATGTGCATGATTAGTATGGGGTAAATTTCTCGTGGTCGTAGTGGTGAATGACACCGATAAATATGAATTGGTTAAGGTGTTTATTCGATCTCTTTTCCGTTTATCCGAATTTGCAGCCTTCACTCGGAATCTGCAGCCACCAGTGGGAATGTCGCCCTTTCACGATTTAGTATCCAGATGTCCTTCCAAGATCCGCAAAATACCGCGTACCCCATCCGGGAAATGAAGTAGAAGAAGATGATACACAGAATATAATACAGAAGCCGAAAATATCCCTTTCTCGGTTTCATACCGGATGTGACCATTTGTGGAACAGCCGTTCTCCCCGGTTTCCGTGCCCCGGGCATAACCCCGCTGATCGTCTATCACCACGTATACTTCAGTCTTATGACATAGATAGCCGGGAAGTTGAAGCTCAACAGCCTTGGAGAACAAAGATAAGCGAAGAACTAAAAGCCATAAGTGTCAGCAAGAAACAACTATAATCTCGGGCAGGATTTGACAGCAACAACCAGCACCTCTACCTCAACTCTTAATCATGGGTAGCATTGAACCCCCCTCGCTTTAGTGAGATGAACCAAGATCTTGACTATGATGTCTTGATAATTGGCGCAGGCCTTTCAGGCATATACTCCATATACAAAATGCGTCAGCTTGGCCTGCGCGCAAAAGTTCTCGAAGCCGGCAGCGGTGTGGGTGGAACTTGGTACTGGAATCGTTATCCTGGCGCGCGTTTCGACTCAGAGAGTTATTCATATAACTTCTCTTCAAAATTTTCACAAGAGATCCTTGACGAATGGAGTTGGTCGGAGCATTTTGCATCTCAGCCTGAGACACTCCGATACTGCGAATTCATTTGTGATAAGTTCGATCTCCGTCGAGACATGCAATTTGGTACCCGAGTTGCCGCGGCACATTTCCAAGATAACACAAATTCCTGGCGACTCATCGACGAAAATGGTGGCCAGTATACTTCAAGATTCCTAATTACCTGTATTGGAATTTTGAACAACTATACCCTGCCCAATATTCCTGGAGTTTTGAATTTCAAGGGAGATTCATTCCACACTGCCCGCTGGCCTCATGAAGCCGTCAACTTCAAGGATAAACGAGTCGGTGTCATTGGCACTGGCGCAACAGGCATACAAGCCATACAGGAGATTGCAAAGACAGCAGGTCATCTTACTGTATTTCAGCGTACTCCTAATTGGAGTATGCCCTTACGCAATGAGCCAATAACTCCTGACGAAATGGAAGAGATCCGGTCGCGTTACCCTGAAATATTTCAAACATGCGCTCAGTCTTATGCGGGCTTCATGTATATATCAGACAAACGACCTACACTCTCGCTGAGTCCAGAAGAACGCGAACAGTTCTGGGAGGAGCTTTATGCAAAACGCGGATTCTCGAAGTGGCTAAGCAATTTTGCTGATATCAACACCAACAAGGAGGCCAACGCCCTCTTCAGTGAGTTTGTGGCAAACAAAATTCGTGAACGCGTCAAGGATCCCGTCACTGCGGAGACACTCATTCCAAAATGTCATGGATTTGGAACGAAGCGCGTGCCTATGGAATCAGGGTACTTCGATACCTATAACCAACCAAATGTCAGACTTGTGGATGTAAAAAAGAACCCAATCGAATGTGTGACGGAAACCGGCATTCAAACTGGTGATGAGATGTTCGAACTTGATATCATCGTTTTCGCAACCGGCTTCGATGCTGTGACTGGTTCCTTTACAGCCATGGACTTCCGAGGCGTGAAAGGGGTTAAGTTATCAGATCGGTGGGCGGAGGGACCAAGAACACACTTGGGTCTATTTGTTGAAGGGTTTCCTAATATGACCATGGTCATGGGCCCGCATCAAATGTTCGGCAATATTCCACGCAGTATCGAGTATGCTGTTGGATGGGTGGCTCGGTTCATTGAATTCTGTCGCGATAACGGGATCACTTTTGCAGGGACAAATCGAGAGAACGTTGTGAAATGGACAGAACATGTACACAACTCTGCTAATGGCCTCTTAGCTAATGACGTGGACTCGTGGATGACAGGAGTTAACAGAAATCTTGCTCATAAGCAGAAGAGAATCATTGCAAGGTATCAAGGCTCGGCTCCAGGGTACAGGGAGAGGACGGAGGATGTGGCTTCTAGGAACTACGTTGACTTGATTCTGGCCTAACCCAGTTGAACTTGATTTTATCCGATATCATCATGTTCATTATTCCTATTCTTCTAACTACACAAACAAATTCATATCTTGAAAGGTATCGCAAGGTTCAAATAGATCCTGAAACTGAAGCATGGCATCCGCGAAGATATCATCATCAAAGAACAATTCCTCTGTATCAGGCACGAGAAGTCTATTGGCAATTCCACTAGTCTGCGAGGTTGCGAATGGAAAATAAGCAGTCCAATCAATTCCATCTGTCATCTCCATATACCCTGTTCCATCTCCCATACCTAGCTCTGGACCCGGCGGACGCTGACCATCTCCACCCAGAGCTACTGCATGAGACCTTAGACGCTCAAACCCAGAGTAAAACACAGCGGCAGTGGGCCACATTTTACCTAGCTGATTTACAGCCAGAGTGAGAATATCTAAATCCTCATTGACAATTTGAGCTAGACTTTCAATTCGACGCGCCTGTAGTAGGGCAATGAAAGCCGTACCGCAGTACCAACCGGATATAGGCATCAGAAAACGAGTGTTTCCACGCGCGAGAATATCTTTCATGAGTCGAGCCATACATGTTGCCGCGAGGATTGCAGGCGGATAGGCTGGTGGGAGAGGCTGTGATGATGTTGAGCGTTTGAGGTGAATGATAATAATGACGGCGAGATATGGTAGATGAAGTTGATTGACATCTCGGTTGAAGCAGTGAGTACGATGCGATCCAATTGGCAGTTTGAGATGCTCAGGTAAGGATGACACCCAGTCAATGAGCTCACGAGCTAACTGCACAGGGAATGGAGCTGCTGTGCAGTTACGTGCAAGATATTTTGCGACTCTTCCAATGATCGCGCAGAGTCGAACCCAATATATGAAGACCTCTGCTTTAGTTTTATTCAGCGAATTTGGAAAGTCTTCTAATGTTGGTTCGGATAGGGTGCAATCTTCAGGGTCTATGACACAAGGTTTGTTTTGACATAAAGCTGTTAAACGCTCTCGAGCAAAAGCTGTCCACCAGATTCGGCGTCTCAGGCTGAGATCTATTTGTTGACGAAGTGGATGATTCAAGGCTGGTTCCCGATGAACGCCAAGCTGTTGACAGTGACGAATCACAACTGATGTCCACCACCACGAAGAATGACGATGAAGAATAGTTGGTGGTCGTGGACTCCACCAGTAAAATAAAGAAATGGCCTTCAGCGATGTCATAACATCTGCTTCTTCATCGTCATAGAATCGGGATCTTGCACGGTCATAATATAGTGCTGGGCCATCATGTGGTAGCATCGGTGGGTTGACATTGCTCGCGGCAGCAGCAAGGGCATTCACTAAAAGTGGGGATCGAGCCAAGTCTTCGTAAAGATGTTCATGGTCAAGGACCGGACACCAAGGATAGCAAGATTCGAAGTAAGTTTCCACGAAGCTCTGCTGTAGGGCAGCATCAGGAAGACTCGGAAGATTAGGCATTCGTTCGGCGAGTAATCGTTCCTGATCGCGAGCATTGCTTTGCAGTTCTGGTAAAAAGATGTGTCCCACGGGATAATTATCATTATGCTCTGAGTGATCCTCGGTTCTCTCCGTCCGCTGAGTCGCAGGCGAATCATTCGTCATTGCTACGTGGACCGTTGCATTGGTGATACTGGCAACTGGTTGACTTGGAGGGTCTGTAGACAGCCATCCATCAATTTCGTCTTCAAATACTCGACTGCGGGAGGCAGGTGATTCGGAGTGATGTGGCAACAGCGACGGTTGAAATTCGAGCGATTGTGCATCAGCTGTGAAATCGCGCTGTACTTGATTCGCTGGTATAAGTATCTGCTTTATGCTGGATCGCGTGTATGGCCTTGTATAGTTGGCTGGGTCACTAATATTACTGTCAGGAGGAGTAATTGGACGTTCTGCTGTCCTTGATGAGTGACCCCGTCGTGAAGGCCGTACTCTGAATGCGGCATGTCAATATGAGTTCCAGATAATCACTGGTCGGGATTCATACCGGCATTCTTTACCCAAAGCTGCACATTTTGTGCAATTGTTGTATCCCTGACCCCCTCGTGCTTGAAGGTCACATCGAATCTATCATTATCAGATCCGTTATCAAGCAGGGGTGTGTCTATGTGCTTGTACCTTTTTGCTATGACATGCAATGCAGGCCAGCTCCGCCCGCTTTCTTTTTGGCTGTTGACCAGTAAACTGTAGCCAGAGTGGTGCCGACATGGCCGGATGCAGATAGCAAAAAACCGATTTCAACCAAGTCAGTGAAAAAAATAATACAGTGGGTGTATTAAATCCTGCCTAGTATCTAAACAGCCCTGGAGATAGCATCCATTGATGCGTGCATATCCTCGGATTAAGACGAAATGCGGGGAAGTTGATCTTCCCCGCAAAATCATTTTCATCAAGACATACATCCCTACCTACTAGGCTTAATTGAGTCGACTAAAATACACACATTTGTAGATAGTATAAGGTGATCTCGGCATTCTCTCCGCTAACTTTAACTAGCTCTCTTTACATACTCAGCTGCGCAGGTGGATTGTTACTCGTATTTGTAGGTGAACGGTTACCTACTCCTCTATGTATACAAGTACCTACAAGGGCACCTAAAGGAGCAGGCTAACTACTGTATAACCTTGAGGCTGCATATGTGGACAAGGAAGGAAAATAGAACTTGAAATATTGGCTAACCGTAAACATGAAGAGGTCAACTGGTCCAAAAACATCCAGTACCCGAGTGGTAAAAAAGAGGTCTATATTGACATTACCGGTAGTAAGAAGCCGGTAACGATGGTAATATTTTGAACTTTCAAGGTTGAAGGTCTACACTACCTTTTGCTAGCCAGTATAGCCGAACTAGACTTGCCAGTATGGTGACCAGTAGTTCCGTTTCCATCGCGAAAAATTCGGCAAACTGATACTCGTTGTCGGAGATAATCACGAGGGGAGAGAGATCGCCATTTTCGTTACTATCTGACTAACAGTATCAAGAAATTCAAAGTTGACAACGACTCGACACCTTTATAATCCCCTAATGAAACATTTAAGACTGATGTATTTCCACCTCTAGATTGTTCAAGTCATCCATATCTGATTTCAAGTTTACTGTTCACTGTTATGCCTGACGTCACAACATGACTGCTTCGACTCCAATCCCAACAAACGGCGAGGTGCCCAGTGCTCCTTATACAAATGGAACTAATGGAATCCACACAACAAAGTCAAAATCTCATCCTCATGTTAACGGAATCAATGGGACTAGCTCTCCTAGTGAATTTGCAATCCCACTCAACTTAGATCATGCTTACAAGCCTAGAAAGCTTCGCGTTGTCACCATCGGAGCTGGCTTCTCGGGTTTATTGATGGCGCATAAGATCCAACATCGATTCCCAGAGCTTCAAGAATACGTCGAGCATACCATATATGAAGCTCGCAGCGATGTCGGAGGTACATGGTTGATCAACACCTATCCAGGTGTACAATGTGATGTTCCGTCACATATATACGCTTTCCCATTTGATCCGAATCCCGACTGGAGTCGATTCTATTCTAGCGGAGAAGAGATCCAAAACTATATCAGAGACACGGTCCAAAAATGGAATCTGGATCGAGATTTGCAACTGAACACGAAAGTTGTTGGTGCGTACTGGGAAGAAGACGCTGGTCGTTGGAGATTGGTCGTTGAATACGACGGAAAGGAGCGCGAGGAGTATTGCGATATTCTCGTTTCTGCGCAAGGAGTCCTGGTGTATGTTGCATTTCCAAAAATATAATTTCAAGAAAAGGTACTAACGAGCTAATTTCAGCCATCATTCATGGCCTGACATCCCTGGTTTACATGACTTCAAAGGCCATCTTACGCACTCGGCCTCTTGGGATCACGATTACGATTACTCGAATAAGCGCATCGCCGTCATTGGGAACGGGTCATCGGGAATACAAATAACTCCACAGATGGCGCAGCTACCTGGAACAGAAGTGATCAATTTCATGCGAAGTCCTGCATGGGTTTACTATCGTGTTCCGCCTTCCAAACATCTTGGACGGGAGGTGGATGATGCGAATCCTGCGTACTCTGAGGATGAAAGGAAGAGGTTCAATGATCCAGAATCGCATAAAGAATATCGAAAAGCGATTATATCTCGAACTAACAAGGCTTTCCGCTTGGTAAGATATGAGCACTCTGCCAAAGAGATAAATCTAACGTTTACCTAGTTTCTCAAAGGCGAGCAAAACGAGGCAGCTGTACGCTTTGGCACCGAACAGATGGCGGAAAAGCTCAATCATGATCCAGATCTCTGTGAGAAGTTGATTCCTAAATGGGAGGTCGGATGTCGTCGCGTCACACCAGGTCCAGGCTATTTAGAAGCTTTCAGTCGACCGAATTGCAACCTCAGTAACAGTCCAATCCTTAAAATCACAGAGAATGCAGTCCATACAGAAGATGGAAATGTATTTGAGTGTGATGTTGGTATGTTTCCAATCACCAGTGAATATGATTCATATACTAAACATGAACCTTCGGATAGTCATATGTGCGACTGGCTTTGATGTTTCCCACTGTCCTCGCTACCCTGTTGTGGGTCAGAATGGCCTTAAGCTTTCAGAGAAATGGGCAGATGAGCCAGAGTCATACCTCTCAGTCTCAACATCTGGTTTCCCAAATTATTTTATAATGATGGGACCAAACTGTCTCGGTGGTCATGGCTCATTGGTTGAGTCCCTCAACTGGACAGGAGATTACTTTGTGAAGTGGATCAAGAAGATCGCCACAGAAGACATCAAATACGTTGTTCCTAAGCGATCGGCCGAAGAGGCATTCGTGAAATACGGTGACCAGGTACATAAGACTCTAGCTTGGACGGGCAGTTGCAAGAGTTGGTATAAGCGAAACCGCGTTGATGGCCGCGTTACAGCCTTGTTTGGAGGGAGTGCTATTCTGTTTCACAGGTTGATCAGTGACCTGCGATCCGAGGACTTTGAGATTGAATACAATAGCCCAAATACTTTCCGGTTCATGGGAAATGGATTTACTGAGTTTGAAATGACGGAAGGGAATGACTTATCTTTCTATGTTGAGGTTGCTGATGAACTTTCGGCTGATGACAAGATTTTAGGTTGACCTTAAGTACCTGATATTTTTCGATATTGATTAATAGATATTTGTCTTTTTGAAATTTTTCATACTTTCATTCAATCTAGCGTCGTAGAATGAGCACTTGAGTAGTAGGTCATACCCAAGAGAATCTTCAACGAAAGAGTAGAGAGAAAATTGATCTTTGCCACCGATCCTCAAATGTACTTCTGGATTAAGGAAAAGGCAACGTATTATCCAAGTTCATTCCAAGATTGGTAAATTATGAATACCAGCAGCCCCTTATTATTTCCATCATTTATATCATAAATGCAGATTCATAAATGGCGAGCATAGAAATCTGGATAGCTCATCCTTCAAGCGATATGTCAACCCGAAGAATTCCTAACATCTGAAGCGTCTACCTTCCTTGGGACACGCTTTCAGTAGATGAGTAGATTTGCAAATTTTGCAATATCCTATCTTCGAAGCTCCTGTCGGCTTCTTCGTATTGTATGATGACCAATATTGAGTCCAGTTTTGAAGAAGTTTCCAAACTGGCGAATATCTTTGGCTCTCCTCAAAATCAAATTTCACCATGGTTTTGTGGTCACCTGGAATGAAGTTGGTTTCCTCTCCTTGTACATATAGCATTGCTGACTCTCTTGGTACAATCTAGAAACAAGTATCACTGAGGACGTACTCTTTCGGCGAGAGCTAGAAGACTTACTGGGAAAGGAAGACCAGGAAATGCATCTGCTTCACAGAATGAAGCGATTTTTAAAAGACTAGTTCGAGCCAAGAAGGAACGACTGATTTCTTCCAATTCGTTTGAATTGGTACTGAGTGCTTTCATCAATGGCTTCTTGATCGCCTGGCCGGGTAGGAGGTAATTCACAGTGCTGCTGGCTATGTTCGCTATCGTTGCAGCGTGAGACCCACGATGTGGTGTGCCCAAGAAGACAACACCCTTTATTTGGGAAAGAAGCTCCCCATATAATGTCGAATTTTCATAGGCTAATGTTATCGCCCTTTTAGCGATAATCCCACCTAGAGAATGACACACAAATATGATAGGTTGTTTTCGCATAATTGGTGTATGTCGATCATTCTTCAGGCGGAAAAGAAGATCATTAGCAAAATCAGTGATACTCATGACATTTTTGGAAAATAGCCAAGAGGAATCATAGCCGAAAGTCATAATTCGAGCGTTTGGGATTTGATGTGGAAGGAAATCTCGAAGCCAGAGCTTTTTGTTTGGAGCGGTCCATGTTTCATGTGCATCGCCTCCGAGGCCATGTATTGCAATTATGCTAATCAAGATCAGCATGGGATTCCATGAATACCTGCTTATTTGACATACTTGACAATGTCTTTAGCATTTGGATCTTGGTCTTTCAAAACGAATAGACCGAATTTCTCATGAGTCAAAGCTGCTAAAAAGGTCTCTGGAGGCGGAGGCAGTTGGATTTGAATCTTTGAAATCTTAGGAAGAGTCTCTGAGCAAGAAGCGCTCGGTCTTTCTTTGCTGATATTTCTCTGAGGCTCATCTTGTGGTGTTTCGGGGGCTGTATCTAAGCCATGTCTCGTTGCAACACGCGTCTCTGAGAAAGTCCAGTTCCTCAGTGGATTCATCCACTCTCTGGGGTTGCAGTTTGGCTTTGTTCTTGGCTCTTTCTCTCGATTTCCAGGAATGGCAGGATTCTCTCGTGAGGCTCCATTTGGGCCGGCGGGGCTGGGGCTGATGTATCGGGCCGACCCTGCAGGTACCTCTCCTGTTGGTGTATTTTTATTTCCGATGCATGTTCTACCGCGTGAACGAGAGCGAGATGATCTTTGTGGGGCCTTGAGACTCATTTCCTTTAGATTCAAGCTCTAACACATATCAATCTCGGTCGTAAGAGAGAGAAGAAATTATGTTGTTGAGGGGGTTTCCAAGGTTTGGGTTGAGCCCACCAATGACCTGCAGGTAGCGTGGGGTATGTACTGATGCACATATCCGGGTGTTGGACGGAATAATTCCTCTTCTTGAAAAGCTCTTTACCTAGGTAGGTACCTAGATAGGTACCATCATATGTCTGCCCGACTCCATACATAGAAGGCAGCAAAGCCCAAGCTTGGAATACTACCTGGTGAATTCCAGTTTAGTATACAACGACCACCGATGATCAAGGACGAGTTGATTGTTTTTGAACTTGTATTCATGTTTTGCTGTGTCAATATTCATTTAGATTAAAAATTACAGGATATTATCTGACATGGATCATTCCATCTCATGGACTTCACTATTGGTTGTCGTAATTCCACTTTGAGATACCGAGGCCGAATCACGGAACTTCTCTACTTTCCTTGTCGCGACCTCATTCACCGGCAATTCCACTAAATGTCTTGCCTGAAGCTCCGTTGAGCCTATAGGATGTGGATCATCCGAGGCGAGAGCCACTCCCCGTCTTTGTCTTCGACGCCAGTACCAAAAGGCAATGAAAGCCATAATCAGGGCGGCAGCACCGACTCCAACGCCTACACCGACGCCGACACCAATGGCAGTTGGATTAGAGGATTTGTGGTTCGATGTAGAGGATGTAGAGGAGGTTGATGAGGGTGATGTGTTTGTTGTGGCGGATGTAGCTGTAGCTGTAGCTGTAGCTGTGGCACTCGCTTGACCAGTGCCTGTCACTAAGCCAGTTGCGGAGGCTGTTTGAGACGCTGAGATGGCATCAGACTTGTCTCGAACGTAGAAAAGCGGACTCCATGCTCTCCAGCCGTTATCGTCATCTCCACGAATAGCTCCTCCATCAAATAACCCAATCTGGTATTGCGGGTTGGACGTGTTGAAGTCTGAGGGTATCGCCCAGGTATATTGCTCGAGGGTACAGTTGGCTGTGGCGTTGTAGATTAATTGGTAGAGGCTGCTATCCTTTGAGAATGTGGCATCGGCTGAAAATCACCTTGCATTAGTCTTTGAAATTCCTTTCATCGTGCAGCTGTACTTACTAACAATTGGATCGACAAGACCTCCGCCTATGCGACCTAGTGAGATATTCAAAGGAAGACTTCCATTCAAAATCGCGCCCCACTGCAAGGTCCAGGACTCGCCCGGGTAAAACTCGTTGTTTTCGGTATCGGTGAACCCATAGAATGTTCCGTCTGTGCAGTTTGTATATCCATTGGTCGACATGATGCCACTGGTAGTGCCCAGGTGGTCACACGAGGACCTGAAGGTCGAATTTTATATGGAGCCTGTGGCTGATAAAGAAGGGAAAGGAGAAACGCGACTCATGCGAGGACTTGGAAGTCCTTTTTTACCCACTGTGTTAGTTTCAAATCTTATTTTCAGGAGTTTCCATCCCACTGGTAGTGCTGATCGCAGGCTTGAATACACTGCCCACTCCCCAATAAGCATGACCCACTTCAGCAGACTAGAGCAGGTTCATGGAAGCCAATTAACTTTGGAAAAATAATGGCATATTGTGGCTTTGAATTCCATGAATCGAGGCATATCGGCCTTTGGTCATGTTTATCCGGCTCTGCATGCTTCGCTGTAAGAAGCAGGGCCAAAGCTAGACTGATACTGAAGTTATCGGCAATAGCAGTCGATATTTTGTGGCATCGGGTGTTGAATCCGTTACTAGTGCTTATTCCAATACAAGCTAGTACCGTTCGATGCCCACTAATCTAAGAATCTAAATTAGTATGGAGTACGAAGTCTCTTTAATCCAATCAAGACCTCAGGAGCGTCTTACTCGAGCACTCAAGAGCCAAAAAATAATTTATCCACTGTGTTTGCCAACTGGTTGATACAGAGGACTCTTGGAACCTTGGAAGAGCACTTGTGCAATGATCAATGTTGGAAGGATTTCACCAGTGATCATTAGTAGTCTAGGCCTTAATCAAACTGACACTTCCCAGAAGAACTCCGAATAAGATTGATATCTCTTAATCTCTCTTTTTTTTATTAATTTATTTGTTTTTCTTTTGCCTGGCTTTCTTATTTCGCGGCCCTTCTTCAAGTTCAAGATGATCTCCCCGTATCATTAGAAAATAGAATTTATACGAGCCAACCTACACTGTATGCTCCAGGTCTGCCCAATGCCATTTTCAAGACGTAAACACCATCTCGTATCAATATGTAGCCTTTTTTTCTCTTTTTTTTCTGCCCAGACCACCTCCTCGCTCTTATCAATTGGTGTATAAGATTTGAAGTGCGGAGAGTGGGTCAAGTGGAGTTCAGGGTCAGGACCAAAATGACGATATTCGCTCGCTTGATGGTCACTCCACAGGGCAGGCAAGGAAATGCCACAAAGCCGGTCAACTGGTCTATTCAGATATTCAAGTTGGTATCATTGGGACAGTCACGGTTTTATGAAAGGCTTCAAGTTAAGAGAGGTGCATGGGACAAAAGGATCGACATCTAGCGGTAAATTGCTAGCCTTGGCAGCCTTGAAAGTACTAGTACTAGAAGGATTTAGGAATCGCACGGTTTAAATGAGAACCCGGCTTCAAATGTCAACATTTGAACCACAATAGAGTCATTCAAATACAAATAATCATTAAGAATAAAACACCTATCCCAGAAAACAAAACACCACAACACACAGAGAATAGGAAGAAGAAAAGAAGTCAAATAAGAAAAGAAACACCAGGTAGCCCCAGATGTGCTGTTAATATCCCACCAATGCAAAGACATCTCGAATGGGCCAAACGCCAGATGAGTGGTACATCGCCAGAATGTAGTCCAAGTCCGCTGAGAAAAACGCCTGGAAAATGCTGAAGTCATATCATCGCAATCATAATACATCACCCTCACTTTCAGATGCCGCCATGGGCTGCTTGTCTTTCCTTTTATTGGGAATAGAGTCCAAAGCTTCTTGAACTTCGCGCTTTGCAACCTGCTCTAAATGGAGGCGAGATTGAAGATCGAGTGTCTCAATAGACCCGACGCGCTCATATAGCTTCCGTGATATCGTCCTGTTGATCTCCGTATACTGCTCCTTGGAGACGGCCTTTTTACGGTAGTGAGGCTTGATATAAGCTCCGACCATCTTCTGGATCGTGGATTTGACGGTCAGAGAGGGGCCATGGCGGTTGGGAGAGGAATCGGGAGATCGAGATCGGGCTAGGTCAAGAGCGCGCTGAGGGATGCGAGAACGGGGTCGAGTCGCTCCACGCTGCGGAACTGTATCATCGGGGGTTGGGGACGCATCAGGGGCCCCCGAGAATGAAACCTCTGGTGAAAATGGAGGCGAGGATGGCTCGGCTGGGGAGGATAGTTGGAGAGGGGAAAGAGGCCGGCTTCGTGAAAATGGAGGTGGGGTCGTAGATGAATATCGAGGAGAGGAGTGGCTTGAAGAAACAGGAGAGATGGATGGGGATGATGGACCAGGGGTAATATGGTCGGTAGGGCCGACAGAGGTTGGAGCTGAAGGGCCAACTGAAGCAGCATGGCTCGGTGTAGACGCATCTTCAACCTCTTTCAACAAAGATGACAAGAAGCTGGGCTCGCCCACAGTGGGGGTGGTGCCATTAACCCGCGCATTCGAACTCGCAGCTTTGGAAGGTTCGCCATTCTCTTGAGCTAAAGCGGCAAGCTCTTGTGGTCTTCGCGTGCGGGGTCGTTTCAATTTCCGCTGCGGCTCTGAGGGTTCGGGTGACGGAGACAAGGTCGGCTCTTTGCGCTTGCGGGCAGCATTTGGATTATTCTCGATCTCACGAGCCCTTTCAAACGCATTCCAAGCCCGCATCTCCTCCAATGACTCCGGCTCTGGAGTAGGAGCTCTGGGCGCTCTCGGTCTGGATGGTCTGGTAGGCTCGATGTCAAAGAGCGAGGCCGTGTCACGAAATCGATTGCCTCCGCCCTGGCGTTCGGCGATCTGAAAGCGACGTTGCCATGCTCGGAATTCACGTTGATTGGACTCTTCTGACTGACGCTGTGAGGCTTGCTGACGAGCAGATTGCTCATCACCATCGTGAAATGGGAAGTCGAGGTCGATGTTAAGACGGTCCCACACAGATTGCCAAACACGGGCCCAATGGAGAGAGTTGACCTGGTCTCGGCGCCGTGTCCGTCGCTGCGAAGCTCGATGCCGACGAGTGGTGATTTCACTTGTATTGGCACGGCCAAACAACGATTGTCCATCATTTTCGGACTGACACCTTGGGCAGTACCAATCAGTGGTGGATATTTCTTCCGTCTCTATGCAGTATACATGACAAGAAGCATCGGGACAGTCTGAACAGACAACCATGACATCCTCATTATCAGTACGTCCACATACTATGCATGGCTGCAGGTCACTGGGCTCCTCGTCGTCTTCGATTATCATAAGAGGGTCAAGGTCGGCAACCTGTACCCGATCCTGAACGGCATACGATGATGTGACCGTGCCTATATATTTTATCAAAACAAGAATCGTCAGTAGGAGATACAAAACAAACTTGAAGATGGGAACCCTCTTGGAACACAAGGGACATGTATGACATACCTCCAGGCTGATCACTCAGTTCAACCATATTAAAGTTCCGCCGACATATTGGACAGCTATTTGCCCGTTCCACCCAAGGCTTCAAGCATTCATGGTGAAAGATATGACCGCATGGTAATAGCTGTGCGATCTCGCCCTGATCCCTTTCCTCGAGACCCTCCTCCGCCTTGGCCGTGGCATCGTGGAGATCAGATCTTGGCAGAAGCTCGGGATCACTGGCGCTTTCGCCAAGGTCGCCTAAACAAACAATGCAAGTGTCGGACATGGACAGGTATAAAGCCAGAGGAAGGAAGGCTGAGCGGCGGCATTAAGAGTGTTTGGGGAACCAAGTGTATGGAAGAGGAAGAGAAGGTGTGGGGAGCAGAAAGCCGGGCCTTTTGAAGGTGGGCCGGGCGTTCCAGTCTAACGCAAAACAGGGCGGCAACGTGACAGACAACGAATCATCTGCTGCTGCACAATTACAGGTGGACAACCAGTGGGAATGAATCAAATGAGAAATACAGTCAAAGCGAGACGAGTCATGCTCATCAATTCTACGCTGCCTAAAAATAGGCTCAGCTGTCTTCTGAGGGCATTTCTGTGCATACTAAATTCCAGATTATACTTCTCTAGACAACCACCATGATTGTCCCCTTGCTGTGAGGTAGTAATCCCTGGCCCTGATTCCAAGATGACTACATAATAAAATTATATTCAAGGCGGTGATATTTACTTTCCTGGTTGTGAAGCACCTCCAGCTGTCTTATATGCCGATGGCAATCAAATCTCTCATTTTGAGCGAAGGTGGGATATTCATGTCAGGTGATGTTGAAACGTGATGGGGCCAAGGATGAGAGATAGAATCGATTACAATCACCCTGGTGTACTGCACCGAAGTCCGAGGTGGGCCCAGACTACGGAATACACAGTAAATGCTCTTGGATAAGAGATTCTACAAGACACAAGGACGTCACCAATTGACCAGTCAAATAACCTTTCAGAACTATTCGAAAGGAGAATTTGGCAAATCACGCATCGGAAATTCATGGAATCTACTCCATAGGCGAGTCCACTGAGAGGAGACGCAAGGCATCTACGACTACTGCCTTGGTGCCGAAAAGCTTCAGGAGTAGCGTTGGTACTGGGCTCAATCGTCCACAGGCGGATAGACACGGTCGCAGAGATTGAAATACCGAGATCTTGAAGCGAGCGGATGGTCGGACAGTGGGTGAACGGGACTAATTTGAGCGAAGTGTTGTATTCCACTCGAAGGAAAGAAGCAAATCCAGATTACGTGGGAACTCGTGCGATGCAAAAACTCGTTTAGATTTCGAAGTTGTTCATTTTTGGTATTCAGGCGTAACCGTAGAGAAAAAAGGAAACCACGTCATCCAAATTTAAACCTCAGCAATCTCACGGAGACGACGGATGGTGGAGCGGGTGGCAGCGGCGGCAGGGGTACTGCAGTGTATGTCATGGTTAGTTTCCAGTTTCATTCCTCAAACTCAATCAATTCTGGCGTTGTTTCCCGATCGTGGCGTCCAGAATCTGTCGAGGGGTGTTGTCTTTTGGGCGACTTACGAGACGGTGTAGGCACCACCGGCGACGACCTTGTTGCAGCCCTTGCACTCCCAGATACCAACAGCCTTACGCTTGACGGTGTTCTTTCCGCAGAAGGTGCAGATGTAACGGGCGTGCTGGGTGACTTCCATCTTCTTCACCTGCTTACGCAGGGAGGCACCGTATCTGTAGGGATATGGTCAATATTCGATTTCTTTCGTGTGACTAGTCGCTTTTCTCGATCGAGGAATCATTTTTTTCATTCGAGGGCGAGGGCGAGTTCGGAGAGCGGGCGGTCATACCTGACACCATATTTACCGGTGATACCGACCTCTAGAATGGAGTTAGCAATCTGGGAAAAAGAAATGACTTCCTGGAGACGGAAATATGAGGTTTAGAGGTACATACTCTTGGTGCGCTTGGTCATCTTGTCTGCTTGTGCGGCTGGAGTTGAAGATGGATACAAAGCAGTTCGGAGAGAGGTCTCTGAAGAGTGGTTGTGGGTGGGCTCGCTTAGGGCTATTGGGGCTTGGCGGTAGTGCGGTCACATGATGATAATCGAGATTCGCAATATTATGTCATTCTTGATCTACACGTGACATGTGGAGTAGTACTCCGTTTCCGTAACCCTGGAGAGGACCTTGGGGTTGATTTTTATTGGCTACTCATGGTATTAATTCTTCACACGTCTATCTATGAACTACATATCTTTTCTCATGATGATGCTAATATCCTTCTAACAAGCCTGGAATAATACAACATTCCAAAGCTTGATTTTTTGTAAGCGGTCACTTTCCAGTGAGCTAGTGGGGCCATCACGGTCTGGAATTAGTTTGAAGATTCCACTCAGGGAGTCTTTTCAGCACGCTCCTTTCTCCGGATTCTCATGCGCTACTAGCATCGGGCAGAGCTCTCATGGCGTTGCTCATTGCTTTGGCCGCACTAGCGCTCGTCCTCGAGGTCTGGGTCTCACGGCGTCGGACACATTGACATTCCGAGCTTAGGAAAACAGAAAATTATGGATGAAACATTCATTTAGTACATAACCGTCATCTCCAGCCTGAGACAAAACTATGACCTCATCTCAACCTTGGAAGTCTTCAAAAATGTTTCTAGGGAACAAGTGAACTTGAAATCTACTATCATCATAATGATATAAATTCAAGTTATACTCATTTTAAGACACCGTGACTGGAATACTAGTAGATACCTGCTGGTGCCAGTGCCAGTGATCGTTTATCTCTCATACGTCTCCTACTTGCCCAGATGGTTTCCCATGCCAGTGGAGCATCATACAACCTTGGAAGTACTAATACTGACATTTGAATGAATAAAGCTTTATTTTTGAAACTACTTAAAAAAATCCACATTAAGCGATGGCTTGCAATGAAAATTCTCAAGTGCTGCCTCAACAGCTCATTTACTGCGCTGGTTGTCTCATTTCAAGATCCACTATTGGCTCCATCATGGCTCGTAGTACAGCATATATGATACACTTGCCTAGTAGATTTAGCTAGTAGCCCTAATATGTACTTCATCCTCATGTATCTATATGACCTCGTTATAGTCATTTATCAAAGATAATAACTGCAGATCTTGGATATCGCATGTGCTAATGGTATTTTTAGATTCTCAACACAACAGATTGTCGGCGTCATAAATCTCGCCGATCACGTGTCTCGAAATTCACGGACGCAAACGCTATGATACGGCTACGGCTTAACCGCATCTCCGTTATTTTTGTGCGGCACCTCTTTTAAAGCCCGTACTCCCCCTCCCAATATCACCTGGGCACTGAACGATCTCTCACCGATACTCGTGCCGAGGAGCTAGCTTGTGACCCGCTCAGAGCATAGTCCCGCGCAAGTGGAGCTCCCTTCGAAAACACCACTCGACCACAATGGCTTCTAACAGAGAATATGACTTGGTCCTTCTGGGCCCTACGGGCTATACTGGGAAATTCTGCGCCGAGCATATTGTGAAGAACCATCCTACTGATCTGAAATGGGCTGTGGCAGGCCGCTCGGTAAACAAGATTGAGCCTATTGTTCAGGAACTGAAAGCACTCAATCTAGATCGCCGTGCGCCAGGTATGTGAGGAGATTTACAACTTCTCCGCCGATAATTTAACTGGTACAAGCTTCTGATCGTCAATTCTAGATGTCCTCCCTGTCCAATTGAATTCTGCAGAGCTAAGCGAGCTTGCTCAAAAGACAAGACTGATCATCAATTGCATTGGCCCTTACCACCTTTACTCAACTCCTGTTGTGGAAGCTTGCGCAAACAATGGGACTCACTACTTGGACGTGTTAGTGGTGCCATCCCCTCCATTAAGTTCCTCTAGTAATTGACACTTGCAGGACTGGTGAAACACCCTGGATCAAGCTGCTGATTGACAAGTATCATGAGACGGCTAAAGCTAATGGTGCCATTGTAAGTTTTCTGTCTCTCTTCTCGGCACGCTCTAGCTAATTATTCATATCTTTGCTAGATAATTCCAGCTGTCGGTCTGGAGAGCGCTGCACCCGATATTCTTGCGTGGTCTCTTGTCAAGCGAGTCCGCGAGGATCTCTCGTCACAGACCCGTGAGATTATCAGCTGCCTTAAAGATATCAAGTAAGTTGACAAATTCCATGCGATATCAAAGATTCATCTCTAACAATTGCTCCAAAGATCCTCGGGGCCCAGTGGCGGCTCTCTCAACACCGTTCTTAGCGTCTTCGACTGGCTCCCAACACGTGAACTTTTCAAAGCTATGAGTCCATTCTCGCTGACAGGATCAGGACCATTGAAGCATGTTCCCAGTGACTCAATAATCACTAAGATCTTCGGTGTACGCTCCATTCCTGACTTGGGCACCCTTGCAACCTCACCAACCGGCATGGCCGACATGGCTATCGTGTATCGCAGCAGCACCCTTATGCCTGAGCTGTACGGAAACCGCTTTGTCTTCCACCAGTTGCTTTATGTCCGCAACTTCCTCGTTGGAATGCTGTTCCACTTTGGCCTCAACCTTTTCCTGGCATCTCTCATCTTCCCGCCTGTGCGCTGGCTAGTGCGCAAGCTTGTCTTGGCTCCTGGTGTCGGTCCTAAGCTAGAGGACTCTCGCAATGATCGGGCGGAGCTCCACGCTATCGCCACTGCGGATCAGAATAAGCCAAATCCAACGCGCGTGTTTGGTAGGCTGTCATATGAAGGAACCATGTACGTCTTTACTGCGGCGCTTGTGACAGAGGCGGCTATGGTTGTTCTCAATGGAGAGGACAAAGTCCGGAAGGTTTCTCGCGGTGGTATCGTCACTCCTGCTACGTTGGGCCAAAGCTATGTGGATCGCCTGGACAAGGTCGGTGTCCGCATTGAAACCAAGGTTTGGGATGTCTAGAACGGATAAGAAAATGAAGCCCTATACATCCTAGTCGCTATCATTTCTTCTCTTATCGCTTCAGCTTCTTTGGAACTTTGAGTTACTTTATTGGCTGTTTTGTTACGATCTCTACGCCTGTCACGATGATTGAAGGTCCACCAGACATAAAATACCATATACCTAGCTTTACATAATATTCGTGAGAATCAAACCTATTCAATTGTCACTGGTTTTTGTTCATAGTGATATTCATTGATCCTTCTTAGAGTTTCTCTGCCGGCCTTCCTGCAAAGACGATGTCCTTCAGCCATCCAGAAATAATGGCATTCACTTCTGCGGGCTTCTCCAACAATGCCCAGTGCGCGGTATCAACACTCTTCATAATAACGCCAGGAATTTCCTCCCTCATACTCTTTGAAAGATGAGGAGGTAAGACCGGGTCTCGAAGAGCCTGGATGAAGAGCGTAGGAATAGTGATTTTTCGACCAACAATGCTCTCCTCATCATCGAAGTTGACCTTCCGGGTTCTGTACCAGTTCACTATTTTTTGTTAGTCATATCCAAATAAGACTTAAGAAAGACAAGATCCGATACAAATACATACATGGTCCGTGAACACCATTCCTAGAGAACTCTGTGGCATAGTACTCCAATTCCTAATAAAGGGGACAACCAGTCAATCATCTCCCATGAAGCTGAGATGGAACGAAACCTTACCTCTTCGCTCAGCAAACGTTGGGGCTTCAAGGTCATATACCTATCCAGAAGTAGACCCTCCTCTACGGTAAATCCCGTTTTCCCATCAGGCGTTCTGCCTCCATATAAAGCCGTGAGAAGCTGCTTAATCTCTTTTCGAGACTTGATGACCTTCTCTAACTCCCCACTTGCAAACTGCACCTGGTAGGTCAAGTTCGGTGCAACACGCACAAGGTCCTCCAGGGAGATGAAATCCTTCTTGAGTCCAGTATGTGGTACACATACGGTAAAGAGGTGGGTGATTAGATCTGGATGCCAGAGAGAAATGCGATAAGCCAAGAAAGCACCCCTGCAGTAGATAAAATATACCAGTATAAGCATGCGATGAATGACCAAGAAGGCAGTATAGTACCTTGAATCTCAAATACACCGAGAATAGTGTCAAGTGGAACTCACCAATCATGCCCACCTAGGATTATTTTAGATTCGCCTAGATGATTAGCCAGGGCTTTGATGTCGTCTGCGCAGCTCTTGTGTCCGTACTCGGCAACATCATCAGGTGCATCCTGGCAATAAAAGTGTTAGTAATTTATTCTAACATGCATTCGCGGATAAAGTAGATTCTGGCCTTACTGTACGACCATAGCCTAGGCAATCCGGTGCGACGACTCGTAGTCCCATATCAACCAGCATAGGGATCTGGTATCGCCATCCCATTGAGAGATCTGGGAATCCATGAATCTAAATTCATCGGCATTAGTTACTGTGGAAGCCTCCGACAAATTAGTATACTGTCGATTAGACACTCACCAGGAAGATAGTAGCTCGGTAGCGACCGGATTCTGGTTGACTGAGAAGGTAACCTATACCAAGTGTTATTGAAGTGTTCTTACATTTTCCAAGAGAACTTGAATCCACCCGAGCAAGCTCCTGGGTATCGGAACATACAAGAGATCCAGGAATGTACTTACCATATTTACGACCGTTCACCGTGGCAGATTCGTGCTTCACACGCGAATCGCCCTGAACGCGAATCTTGTCAACTGGCATATTGTGCAAGTCTCCAGTCTTAGAGGTTCAAATCGGAGGTTGAGTGATTGAACCTTGGAAGTAATATAGACTTGACTTTCGGAGTTGAGCACTCTCGGACCACGTGAACGATTTCCAGGGTTGTAGCTGGGGTTCTCAATGCCAAGTATGATTGGTTTTTATGAGACTGAGTGGGATATGGTGCGACAATCCCGAGGTGTTCACACCCCTGGTAATGTTATACTAGTAGCTCTGAATTTGAAGTCGTCACCAACCTCGGACCTGGTCAAATGAGGCCAGTTGGCGGAATTCACAGTGTGTTTCCAGGAAGACTATCAACTTTCAACCCAAAATATGAAGTAAAAAACTGTATTCTACCAAGAATTCAGCATTGAGTGGGGAATTATCGAAACTTGAATGTTTTTATGGTATCTAGGCACCCCTGCTCCTTGATCTTCGGTGTGCCTCGGCTCACTACTCAGTAGGGTGCATACTCCGTACCCGCACCTGACCTAGCACTCCGAGGGCAATGATTTGCATGCTCAAACGTCACAGTCATTAAAACAAAGTTCAATACATAACAGTGTCTTCATTATCTTCCAAAACTTCTCCGCCATCATCGTCGCGGTGGTCATGATGTTCAAGGTCCTCTCCACTAACAGTAGAACATTCGTGAACGTTATCCGGCTCAGTGGACTGAACCTGTTCATGTTTCTCCTCTAATTCCTCTGTAGGCTTCTCGGTCTCCTTGAATCCGGATTCGGGTACTGAAGCATCTGGCTTTGCAGGCGCGGAGTCTTTTTGCGCTTGTTCTTCCGGTTCGTCATTGGATGTTGGTACGATAGACGATACTATGTCCTGGCGTGTGAAGGCTTCAGGTGGATACTGTGCCTCAAATGCAGCGACTTCGCGGGAAACTATTTCTTCGGCCTCTTTAATCTGATCCTGGATGATAGCCTCATCACCTGGTCGATACTGCCATGGTTTGTAGCACTAGGGACAATGTTAGCACTGGAACATGAATATTTTAGATTAAACAATAACATACCAGAATTGGTTCCGTTCGAGTCTTCAAGAAATGTGCTGCTGCTATTAAGTTCGCATGGCGAGTTTGCATCTGTATGAAATGTATATTAGTCTATGTTGAAGCCAGCAGAATAAGACGAAACATACAGCTTCCCGCTCATAAAAAGGTGTTTCTTTTCTTCGAATGAAATCGCGGCGTTCTTTCTTCTTTCTCTTTAACCCATCATATTCATCCGCTTGCGACTTCAATTTATCCTGTTGCTTCTTTTCGATATCCGCGCGTCGTTTCTGTGCCGCGGAGCTCGAGCTCTGTGAAAGTGTACCCAGCAATGCGCCAAACAGTCGCTGTCCTCGTTTACGATCGTCATCCTTTCTACCAGTCCGGCTTGTTTTCTTTTCCTCCGATTGTCCTGGTGCGACATCTCCTTTTGGGGACGAGTGCTGCTGGCGCTGCGATTGCGGAGAAATGTCGGCTTGGCTGCTTAGCCGGCGACGTTTGGGGTCATGGTCCGTCACAGAAGACTGTCGTCGTTTTGTGGGATGTTCAGGAGATTGACGGATATTATCCTGATCTGGGACGGCGACTGCCGAAGCAAGTGTACTGTTGCAAGTGACCTGTCAGCCCATTACTCAAATGCTGGGGAGCCACCGGGAAGCGGCAGGATACCATACGCTTCAGACATGCTTAGAAATCAAAACCGCGCAAGAGGCAATATGTCAGGGATAATAAAGGAAGATGGTCCAAACTGTAGAAATAAGGTGAACCTATTGCACCTTTATTAACAAAGACCAAACCTGCTCGGTGTGTTTAAGTCATAGTCTCAGATTGCTTAGTGAATGAGGGACTTTGGCTGGAACGGTGTTACTTGGGCCCGTGCACGCTAACTTCTTCCAGCTTTCTTCTTCTCCAGCTCTCGTTTTTCTTCCTCCCTTTGACCATATCACTCTTATTTGCCTCTTACAACTCGGATTTCTCTATCTCCCTATTCTATACATCTTGAGTACAATCTCTATTCTCAACTCATTATGTCTCGCCATCACCCCGATCTCGTTATGTGCCGCAAGCAACCAGGCATCTCCATCGGCCGACTTTGCGACAAGTGCGACGGCAAATGCCCCGTGTGTGACTCCTACGTTCGACCCACCACTCTCGTCCGCATCTGCGATGAGTGCGCTTTCGGCAACTACCAGAACAAGTGTGTTGTCTGCGGTGGTGAGGGAATCAGTGATGCATTCTACTGCTTCGAGTGCACGCGTCTGGAGAAGGATCGAGACGGGTGCCCGAAGATTATCAATCTTGGAAGTTCGAGAACAGATTTATTCTATCAAAAGAAAAGTTTTCGGAATCATTGATAAGGGCTTATGCATTTCTCCGCGGCTGGTTTCGCGGAGTGGAGGGAGTGTCGCGTTTGGTCTTGGGGTGTCCAGTCTATATCAAGGGACCAGATTGAGGCTGGGTTTTCTTTTTACATCATACAATCTTGCCATACTGTGAAAGGCCACGTCTCAATTTGATACATCATAATCTCCTATTTGAAAAGGACTACCTGGTCTAAGTGCTGTCATATATTTACTGGATCATGGGACACCTATTCTCGACACTACCGTTCACCGACCTGGGCGACGGGGGCGGGCAAATCCTCGCGAAGCACCCACGTTCGTGGGCGGGCGCACTTCTTCCTCCAGTCGCTCTGCGGTGATCTCATCTGACGACGAAGCCTCAATCTATCAATTCATATTTTGTTAGCCACGAACCCCGAATACTCAATAGCCTTGCCGCATCATACCTTCTTCAAGATCTTGAGACCCTCGTTTTCAGCGACCGTGATGGCAGTTCTGCGCGAGCTGGCATGCAACATGCGTTCCTTGATCGACGATCCAGTGGGGCAGGTGTACACGAACACCACAACATCCGAACCGGGGTAGTGGTAGAAGGTGTACCGAGGCGAGGATGGGGAGATATGGCTAGCGACGGAGCCCGCATCAACGCTATCTTGGGCATCGACAAGCTTGATAGTCTCCGTGGGGATATCAACGGTCTGTACAGAAGTCCAGATATTAGCATCGAAATTCCAAACCAGTTCTTCACTCTCATTCCGATCTCCACGTAGAAAGAAAGAACCAAGAAGAAAAATAATCAAAAAAGCAGAGTCGAGTATTGCCAATCACATACCAGTTGAACAAGACCACCATCCTGAAGCTCCCTCAGAGCAGTCTTCGCCGCCTCATCCACGGGCATAGAAACCGGCATTCCAGACCCAGAACCAGGTCCAAAAGTACCTCCAATACCAATATCCCTATGCGGTGTTCCACTTCTCGCCTCAGCCTCGGCCTTCCGAACCTCCTCCAACTGACGCTCCTTTTCACCCATCAGATCCTCACGGCGAACAGCACCAGGCAAATCGCCGTCACGCTCACGCCACGAATCCCGACCAAGGATCTCGTCCTCTTCGGTAGCAAAGACCGTTGAAGCGAACTTCTCAGTTCCCAGCTCACGGACCAGCGTCGAGCGGGTAGATGCGAAAAGCATCTTTGGACGAACGGGGGCATTAGAGGGGATGTATGTTACTGCAACGAGGATGGTTGCAGCTTTGGTTGGGCGGCGGAGCAGAAGGTAGATGGGTGTCTTGGGCTGTAAGACGGAGGACAGCTGTGGGAGGGCGGAAAAGAAATCTTCTGGGCTAGTTGAGGAGCCGGAGAATGAGATTGCGGTTTGTGGTGTGAGGCTCTCCCCTGTTATGATTACTGGGAGGCAGAATAGCGAGGGGTCGGAGCTGAAGCGGGTGAACGCATCTTGGAGCTCCGTCGAGACTGTAGGAGGTTAGATATTAGATTCAGTGTTGGGTTAGTTCAATTGATAGTTGCATTGAATATCGCAGCACTTGAGAGTAGCTTTGTTTTACATACCTGTAATTCCCGACTGCATGATGACGGTGTTGTTGATGGAGATTCGGAGTTCAATTTTGTTAGGGGTTGTTTAGGTTGTTTAGAGGGGAAGCGGTGAATAGCGGGGAAAGTCGCTCAGCAACGATCTTGTTCTATTTTGGATCAGTGCATACATTCAGCACAGATCCATTTGATTATCTATTCTTTTTTCTCCATTATCAAGCAATGACTTTACAATTGAATATCTACAAAATCCTACTTTTGAAGAGCGCAGTTGATGTCCAGAACAATGGTATACACAAAAAGAAAACAATATATACAGAAACCGTTCCAACCAGCCGGTGGCTGAGTGATCTCTTTCAAAATCCCTGAAAAGATCAAGGGGGAAACGCAACGCCCACCATGCGCTGTATGGTATCACATTTCAAAAGAATAAGAACCACCTGACAAAAAATTTTTACTCCTCAAACGAACCACCCACAAAGGCCCAGTTGGACTTCTCCAGCTTGCCCTTGAGGAACTCATACACAGTGAAGGTGACAGCCTGTCCAGGAGCAACACGCATCACACGAGGGGTGATACCCTTGTAGAAAGCCTGGGCACCCTCCTGCTTGAACATATCCTTGGCAATAAGCACAATACGGGTGACAGCAGACTGGCCGGGCTCAGCACGGGTCTTCTGGAGACGGGTCTTGATGGTATCGATAGGAGCGTTGGAGAAAGGACCGACGGCACCGGAAATAAGACCGATGCAGGTGGTCTGGTATGAGGGCAGCTGAGTGTTGCTGTATTCAGGTTGCAGGCGCTGCAGCTGGGCCTTCAGCTCAGTGTAAGCGGTGAAGTTGGCGGCCTGGTTGGTACCCTGGCGCAGAGCTGTGAGAGAGACACCACGCCACAGGGTGCTGAAACCCTCCTCCTTGATAACAGTGAAAAGAGCGTGAGGGGCGCTTCGGTACTTGGGGGTATCGAGTGGGTCGGCAAGACTGTGATGTTGGGCTTGGAGACGAATCTTGATCACCTCCATGGGGGTGACAACGGCAACGGCTTCAGTGACACCGGCGGCGAGACCAGCTATGCAAGGAATTAGGGTTAGTTTGAAAAATCACAACACAACGATTGCAGTAAAAACCACTGCGAAATGGAACTTGACTTACCGAGGAAAGTGGCCTTGCTGGTGACATTGCCGGTTTCTGGGTCTGCGAGCATACCCTTGTATTGCTCGTATGAAGTGAAACGGATGGCCATCTTAGGGATAATACCACCCAGAACAGCACCCAGACCCTTGTACAGACCCATGGCAGTCTCCTTGCGCACAATCTCAGCACCGGTAGCGGCGAAGCCACGAGGCTTGACCTGTGATGCTCGTTTTAGTAACAGTATCAATGCGATGTCAATTCAGAATTTCAACTTACACCAGGAGCGCGAGCTCTCCGTGAAAGCTGCATGCGGACCTTAATTGTGTCTGCGAATTCAATGTTAGCATTCTCAATTGTTCAATTCCCCTTTTTTTTTCATTTGGCGCAGCGCAGAGCATCACTTACCCAGAGGGTGACAAACGAGAGCCTCCATCATACCAGCACCACCTCCCGCTATTGTTCCAGTTAGTATTGACTTCTCAACTTGAATAACCGGAGCTCCAATTTACCAATCAAGTTTACTGCGGGAGAGGCGGGCTTCTTGCGGCCATTGCCTTGTGCGTTTTTGGCAGACATGTTTTCGGTATGTGTTGAAGAGAGGGTTGGTTGAGACTAATTTGGAAGACCAATTCCTTTTCCACAAAAGCTGCTAGGTTCTCGTGACCAAAAGCTCCAACTAATCGGTAGTCAGGGTTTGTCCCGAATGTCGGGGGTGGAAAAGCGAAATGCGGAGGGAGTCGGAAGTATACAATCCCGGGGTTGAGCCGATGCTGGACCGAGAATGACGCAAAAAAAAAAATTGAATAGTTGGTGGAAGAGTGGATTCAATTGAAAGAGTGGAAGTTGTACTTCAATCTTTTCTTTCTCTTATTATTAACCAAGAATTGCCGAAGATAAATGTTCGGTTGAGGTGGCGGCACCGAACTTTCCAAGGTTGTGGGGGATAGTAGTTATGACGGGGAAGCGGAGGAAGCTGGACGAGCGGATGTTGTATAGAGTCCTTTTCCGGAATTAGAACCCAAGGAAATAAGATGAGTAGTACAAAAAAGAGAAAGAAAAGAAAGGAGCCTCTTATTTGAAAACTATCCGAGGATGACTTGGTCTTATAACATTGAAGTTTGAGGCGTTTATTCGGTCCAGCATCAATACTCTCTATCCCGAGGCCTTCGGGTACAAGGGCGGATGACTTTTGGTCCACGGTCCTGTTGTGCGGTTACGCCTATGATCCCCCAGATCTCCAAATGATCTGACTTCACATGCAAGTACATCTATATTTTAATTGGCACTGTCGTCATAGCTTAATTCAGATGTTATTAGAGTGTAAAAATATGATTGCTTGTGATTATCACTAGCATTTCATACAGTAGTCATCACCTACTACTATACTTCAAGTTTGTATACACTCAACCACCGCGGAGGACAGTTCTCCAGGATCGGGGAGGGAGGTGACTTACTCCGGCAGATCCAAGCCTCAGCTACGGAGTAAGAACCTCTCAGTAGAATCGCGCAATCCCGCACTCGTGTTCCGCCCCATGAATTCCAGTGTTTTCTCCCCGGGAGAATTCGGACCAGCCGATGCTATCCACAGCCGAGGTTCAGGACATTAGAGCAACACTGACCAGCCTAGGTCATTTGATACTCTCGTATATCAATCAGGAGACCTCTTTCTCCATGGAGATACATTCATTTATATAATAATTCTAGATTGGATTAGTTCAAGTTGAACTGTATCTGGGGTTATACTTATTTTAAACTTCAATATGCGTTCATGGCATGTCATCATCGGCGGTAGAATGTTTTACCCACAATTGTGAGTAATGGAGCACCGGTTATTGCTTGACCAGGGTACACCAGTTGGCTCAGTACCAAGTATAGAGGATAATCACTGATCTCAGCGCTGTACTCATCGAGATACAGTGCATCATGTTCAAATCTGCACGTGCAAGACTGAATTTGAATTCACATGCAATATTGCGCATAAGTAATCATCTGAATCACTCCAGATGTCTCCAAGTCGGAATTGATGCTGTTGTTGGGTACCCGATCATCGGATCAAACCCGTTTCTGGACCGGGAGGAAGATAAAGCTTGGCATTAGAGATCTATAGTCGAAACTATAAAATCTGTTTATCTGATGCCAGTACAATCAGATAAAATCAATAGTTCCGTGTTAATGTTGGTTAGTTCATGCATATGCTGAGCGGCTCAAGGATTCGCCGTTATCAATCGCCGTGATGATCGGACTTAATCCGATCGTAGGCGATCACGTCGAAAATTTCTCCTCTTCACCGACACTTGACATTGGTGATTTCTGGGTCCAAGGAAGCCCCAGATGAAAGCTGCCGTGTTCGTATAGACAAAATATAAGCTGTCTATCACAAAGGCCCGGCTCTTCCAGAGTTGAGAAATAATGGCAGTCCCACCCGAGGTCCAGGAACGGGAGACACCACCAGCACCACGGTGGCAGGTCATCTCAAAGAAAGTGCTGAAATTTATCTTGCACCAATGGCTCCTGATCGGAATGGGAGTCGCATGTGTACTGGCGTACTATTTCCCCAACGTCGCAAAACATGGTGGAATTATCCGATCTCAATACAGTGTGATGTACGGTGTGATCGCGATCATTTTCCTTATTTCTGGTCTTAGCATCGATCGCCGAAAACTCGTTTTACAGCTCCTAAACTGGAGACTGCACCTCACAGTGCAAGTAATTTCTTTCTTGTTCATCCCTGCGGTAGTTTTGGCTGTTGTCTATGCCATCCTGGCAGGAGATCCAACAGGGAAGATCGATCGATCCGTGCTGGCTGGATACATCTTTGTGGCTTGCATCCCGACGACGATCGCCTCGAATGTTGTCATGACTCGATCTGCTGGTGGAGATGATGCGGCAGCACTAGTGGAGGTTCTGATCGCCAATGTCTTTGCCCCCTTTGTCACGGCGGCTTGGACGGTGGCTTTGATCCCCAAGAGAGCTGAATTTGATGCATGGAGATATGGAGGCGGAGACATGAATAGCATGTACAAGAATGTCTTCCAGCAACTGGGCCTAAGTGTCCTACTTCCCTTGTTCGTGGGACAGATTGTGCGATGGACATGGCCTGATCGTGTAGCCTGGGTTCTACAGAAGACCAAGCTGCCAAAGCTAGCCTCGGTTTGCATGCTCCTTCTAGTCTGGTAAGCCTCATTTTGCAAATTGCCTTGACATTTAAATATTTCCGGACCGCTGACAGGATTTCTAGGACCACTTTCTCCTCTTGTTTTGCTACAGGGGCTCTCCAAGAGATGGACACACAGACCATCGTCTTTGTTGCCCTGTTTAACATTGCTCTTTATATCTTCCTCACGGGAATTTGTTTCATTTGCTCTCGTCCACCTAGCTTCCTTCTCTCGAAACCCTGGTCGGAAGCTGTTTTCAAGCCTCTGTCCCCAAAAGAGACCATCGCAGCCTGTTTCTGCGGTCCCGCAAAGAGTACTGCACTTGGAATCCCGCTGTTGTATGCCATGTGGGCCCCGTTGGATCTTTACCTCAAGGCTCAAACATCTGTGCCAGTACTGCTATATACCACCGAGCAGATCTGCGTAGCCCATCTCTTTGTTCAGGTATTCCGTAAGTGGCATTCTTACGTTGAGAAACGAGATGGGCCTCAAGGCGCTCGCGGCGATTGCCCGGAGATGGATATGGTGGGAACCCCGACAGAAGACCGAGCCTCACACACAAGTAGTAGCCTGAGAGAACACCACGGCTATTTGAATTCCACTTGATCTTCCGAGTCAATTGGCTGAGACATTACATTTTTGCGTGCATATCATGATTCTCAACGATCCAGATTGATACCCAGTCCTTTTTCAATGTCCATATGTCGTCTACAGAGCAGATACAACTTAATATTTCCAGATTTCTCATCCAATGGATTCCTTACTTCCATTAGAAAGCCGTATGTAGTCCTCAGCCCAATAGATCTTTGGCGAGGCCACACATACGTACATTAGCCGATTTCCCGAAGAATCAGCCGCAGAAAATCCACAGCGGAGCACAAGGTGGACCCAAAATGGATGTGCTTAGTGCAGATCCTCAAATCCGATGTGTGCATAGCATATTTCTTATGTTATAACGGGCACACTGCAGGGTTTTCAGCTCCACATACTGCAAATTCATTCGCTGAAAGGAAGCCCCCTGAAAAATTTGCCGGGGTCTTCGTGGCTAAATGGAACCATTCCGTCATAACAAGCCACAGGGTCCAATTCCAGAATTCCTTGATTGATTGTTATTTTATCGTTATTATCTTACTTCCCGCTAGATTATACTAGTGGACGAAAGGCCAAACCCAATCACTGACATTTATGATATCGAATGTCTACAGGATACAATCTCATTGATATGTGAGCGCATCTCGTCTCTGCCCTCGAAACAGGCTACATTTCCTGATCCACTCAGATCCGATCCATGCAGTGGCTATGAACGGCTTATTTAAGATTGAGATCTTCTCTTCGCCAAGACCTTGACTAGTGTGACCCGAGTCATGTTGAGCGGGGATACCGGCATTTTACCCAAACCCTACCTACTAATAGTGGCCTCCAGGGTTGTATTGGATCTTCTATAATGATGGCCTGCTTCTTATCAGGGCTTGATATTCCGAATCTCGACTTATTCGAATTATTCGCATCAACTCGACTCACAGACTTGACCAAGTCGAGTCTTGTTGAAAAGGAATAGACAAGTTCACTGAGAGTCACCTCGAGGGCCCTGGATAAGTGTGGAGTGTCTTATCCTCCGGGTCACTGAATAAATTTACGTATGGACCCCATAGCCGAGATGGCTCCGTGCTGACGGTTGATCTCACCTGATATGGACATAGCCCACCTCGTTCCAGCTGCTGTTTCTGGATCATTTCAATAGTGGAGGCCGTCGTAAGACCGGATGGACAGCGGCGATGGTTGTATCCAGCCTGTCGGTTGTCCCGAACTCCTTTCAGGAAACAATGGGCTGTCCATCAGGCTGAAGGGTCTCAATGGATGGGTCCTTTTATAGTATTTATTGGATCCCCCGGAGCTGATTCTACTAGCCTTGCGCTGTTTTCTCTCCTTGGCTCTTGCAGTCTACATGCACATGTGCAATCACGATCTTTAAGCTTAAATATTCGCCATTTGTGCTAAATATTCGTCATATAATTTAATTCTATACATTCACTTATTTTGTTATACCTTTTCTGAAAGGCTCAAGATGCGGAGTTCTCTCCTCTCTGCTTGCGGAGCCCTGTTCCTCTCTGCAGGTGCTCTTGCTACCGATGCGACCTGGACAAACTACACCTATAAGACCGGTCCCTGGCAACCTCCTCAGCTGGTTGTGAACAAGACCGGTGCCTACGATCCAAGTTTAATTTTTATTCCTGTCCGTAACTCCAACACTGCCGGCACTGCAGTCACTATCTATGGCAATGATGGCAAACTCGTATATCAGGGTCCCGAGGAAATCACTATGGACTTCAAGATGCAGCAACTCTTCGGCAAGAATGTCATCACATTCTGGTCTGGCACTCCTCAGATTGCCGGTGGATATGGATACGGCAAAGTCCACATCCTTGACGATACATACAAGGAGATCTACACCATCACCCTCGATGAGGGCTTCTTGACCGCTGATGGCGACGCCTATGATTCTTACATCGATGTTCACGAGCACATCATCACCCCACGCAATACTATCATCGTCTCTGCCATCAACGTGACTCAGCACGATCTCAGCTCTGCCGGCGGTCCAACTGACGGCTGGATGACCGTCAGCCAGTTCTACGAGATTGATATCCCTACCAACAAGGTTGTCTACAAGTGGGATGCTCTGGAGCACCAGGAGGCTATTCCTCTATCGAGCTCCAAGTACTCTCCTCCCTCCGGTAACTCTCGCAAGACTCCCTGGGATTGTTACCACATGAACTCCGTTGAGACTACCAACGATGGTTTCCTGGTGTCTTTGCGATTTTTCTGGTCCGCTTACTACCTTAACCAAGACGGCACTGTCCGCTGGCAATTCTCCGTAAGTCTTCTACAGAAGTAACCAGTCAACTCAAACTCATGTTTTTTATCTTTAATAGGGCGCCGACGATGAGGGTGACTTTTTCGGCGAAGATAACCGTTTCTCCTGGCAACACCATGCTCGCATTTACAACGAGACCGACGAGTCGCTCGTCCTAAGTCTGTTCAACAACGCCAACGGTCAACAAGAATCTCAGAGTGTCACTACCGGCATGTCCTGGGACGTCGACCTGGCCTTCATGACCAGTACCATGCTGCACAACCTGACCGATCCTAACGACCCGATCAAGACTCAAACCCAAGGCAGCGTCCAGTTCCTCGGCGCAGCTGCCCCTACAAGTAACATGTTTATGGGCTATGGATCCGTCCCCATGGTTAAGGAATACGATGGTGCTGGCAATGTTGTCTTTACCGGCCAATTCGCCCCTCTTGGCAAAGGAGAGTCATACCGTGCTTTCAAGTTCCCCTGGACTGCTACCCCCATGTGGAGCCCCGTCGCTGTTGCCGAGACATCTGACAGCTCTACTACTGTCTACATGAGCTGGAACGGTGCTACAGAGTACGATAACTGGGCTATTTACTCTGTTCCGTCGGCTAACTCCAATGCGACAACCCTGCTTACCACTGTTGAGCGCGATGGCTTTGAGACTCATGTCACCCTGCAGTCATTGAGTGCCACCTACTTGAAGGTTGCTGCTCGCAAGGGAAGCAAGACTATGCGCTTCTCCGATACTATCAGTGTTTAATACTGTCCATCTTTGTCGCTACGCTTGCGGGGTTGGTGTTCTTATTGATTACCAACTTTGTGGAGCTTTTTGAAACCTCCTTGAGGTACCTTTCATTGTAAATTATTTTTGACCAATCTGGAGATATAATCAATTCACTTCAAATTTCAAGTTGCTTTAATGTGAGCTATACTATAAGATAGAAAAAAAAATCCTTGCTGCATGAAGTTGTGGGTCCCTTCCTATAAAATGACGTCGAATGGACCCTTGATTGATAATCCACTCTGATTGTGACCCGTGGCGGGGTCTTTAAATGCATCAAAATATTCTTTTCACATTGAATTTTAATATAAGGTCCTAGGTATAACACACCTAGTTAAGAAGTTTACTCAAGATGGCTCTCAACGGACGAACTGCTCTCATCGTAAGAGGACGAACTCATTGAGATCATGTATTCATCTAATAAATTACAGACCGGAGCATCAATGGGAATCGGCGAAGCAATTACACAAATTCTTGCGAAATCAGGCATCAACCTCATTCTCATATCTCGATCTAATGTACGCTTGATCAAGAAGAAACTTAGTTGAATCTCATTCAACTAACATTCCCACTAGGATAAACTTGCCAAGCTGCGCAACGAACTATCAACTCAATATCCCAATCTCAACATCACATACCGTGCAGCTGATGTGGGGAACTACAAGGAAACAGACACAGCTATTGAATCATCTATTCAGGAAGTCAGTCACATTGATATCTTGATCAACAATGTGCGCCACATGACCCCTATACCTACAGTTTTCCTCATTTTCTAACTGCCTAAATCCAGGCTGGCCTTGCCCTCGGCGCTCCAAGTCCCTTCCACGCCCAATCAATCAAAGACATCCAAACCATGATCTCAACGAATATCAATGGTCCCATGAATGTCACACACTCAGTACTGAACAGAAGCATGTATGCTCGTGGCACTGGTACAATCATGAACATCACCTCGGTTACCGGTCTAGAGGTTCCTCCATTTTCTGGTGAAGCGGTTCATCATTCTAGCAAAGCGGCACAGGAAGCGTTCACGAATTCCTTGCGCAATGAGTTGGCTGGAACTAATATCAGGGTTTTGGCGCTGAGACCTGGAGTTGTGGCGACTAATTTTCATTCGCAAAGGGTTGGTCATGATAAGGAAATGTATGATTCGTTTACAGATGGATATGAGTATGTTTATTCAACGTTAACGTTATACTTTACGTGTGTATCTTTTTGCTGATGCTTTGCTAGGCCTCTTATTTCGGATGATATTGCTGAAGCAGCGCTTTATATGCTCAGCCAGCCGGCGAATGTCTCTATCAAGGCTTTGGATGTGGTTCCTTCAGGTATGTTTCGTGACCAATGCTAGTGGTTCTTCTCGCTGTCAAGAGACTACCATATTGGAGGACGGTTTATTGGGATGGTGCTAATAATCCTGTAGCCCAGAGATCTTTGAATGTTTTCGATCGCAGTTGGAATGAACGTCAAGGGCATCATCAATCCTAACTCGGAGTCTTTCGTACAGAATTTGATGAGTTATTGATGAGTATCAACTTCAATATACAGACGTGACTATGATGGAGTTGCAATCTGTATGAATGATATAGGCTTAGGCTGAGGCTTTAGACCTCTTTTACTACTCAGGATATAATTGATACATGTTTTGGAATCTCAGGATTAATTCAAATATTCTAGGATATTGTTCAATTATTTCCCAACTATTACAGTGTAGTATATGGGGAAGGAGACGCTAATACAAAATGGTCACAAATTCTCCCTTATATTTGAGTAAAAAGGTCACCAGGTAACCACTCTGCTCTGCTAGTCTAGCGGTCGGCGACCCTTCTGGGGGACAAAGGTACTGAAATGCGGACGCTGGACCCATCTTCAGTGGCAGAGACTTTACCGGCGGGTGGGAGGGTATCTGGCTTCGGCCAGGGAATAATGCTTTTTTGGAATTTTCTATATTTTTACCCATTATACTTCTAACCTTCCTCTTTCTATTCCATTTCTCAGATTCTCAAAATAAAAATAATTGAGCGAGATAGAAGCGATTTTGTGATGGCGATGGATGTATCAAGTGAGAGCTGTTGATGCTATTCACGCATTTCTGATTTTGAAGGTCCTGGGTTCGATCCCTGATCCTGCTGAATTTCAATTTTCTTTCTTTTCTTGTAGGCCTCCTTTACTACTTGGATTCCTGTATATGTGTACTTTTACTTGCCGCTTGTCATAATCCAATCCAAGTCCAATCCAAGACCTATACTACTGGGGTACTTGTACCTAAGTACTTAAGTATGTGAACATCCAATCCCTGTCTGAGATGATGTCATCATATATGGCTACTTGATTATACTGAAGGCATACATCTCCCACTTTTGCTGTTACTAATGTAATACCGCCATGAGGACTTCTGAGTCTTGATGAATAATATATGAACAGAGACAGCAAACATCATCGATAATTTTTATATGCAACATCGTAATCCAAGCACCAATGACCTAGAAGTACTCCGTAATGAAGATCCAAATCAAAAATTCGGGAGATATACAGAAACAATAATCATGCCAACAAAGAAAAGAAAATAGCGAGCCAATATCTCAGATATAGCTGACCTTTACACCCATCCCAACTGTACCCTTAACTTTCTGCCATGCCGAACCCGTGATCCTGCGGACTCGTTCACGTATATCTTGTCGGCTGAATGCCATCAAAATACCAAGCACAAAAAGCAATAACCGAACTAGTGATAGTGGGTTCCCAGAAACATTCTGGATAATTTTCTTGAAAAGGTTGCGAATAGACGTAGCCACCGCCCGTGCCTGATTCCCTCGAGAAACCGGCTTGACTGGTTTCTTTGTATTTTTAGAATTCGAGGATGATAGAGCCGTGCGGGGGGTTGCTTTGCCATTCGATGACTTGTCTGTCGATTTAGGTGATTTCACCTTGGAACCACTGCGTGAACTTCCCTTCTCAATGCCGTAATCAACCTCACTAGTATTTCGCTTCTGACCATTGGGTTGCTGCTGGCGGGCAGCAGCTGCAGCTTCCTCCTCGGCTCTTCGGCGCTCATCCTCTTGTTGTCGCTCCAGCTCGGCATCTTTGGCACGTTGCAGTTCCGCGGCGCGCATTTCACCGCGCTCCTTCTCTTCTTTCAGACCTTCTAGTGTTTGGAGGAAAAGTTCTTTGCGATCTTCGTCGAGGACTTCGCTTAGGTTGATGAACTCCTGGGCGTACTCCCATTCCTCATTGCGGGGAAGGACATGCAGAGTGAATAATTCAATGATTCGGACCCGGGCCGTCAAATCTTTCGGTGTGTCTGTGCCGCCAGTGGCAGAGATCCGTTGTTGAATGTCGGCGGATGCATTCTGTAATCGATCTGCCAGATCTAAATTGGGTTGTCCGTATGATGACAGATATGTTTCAAGTCGTTGTTGGTTGAGTGCTTGTGAAGATGAGTGATTGAGGAGTAATGTGGCCCTTTTGATGAATTTACATGTCAGCTGTGATGAACTTTCGTACACGGAAAGGGGGGAGGGGAAAAAAGGCGGTTGGTTGTTTTTAGAAACATACAGCACATAGACCACCTCGGCATCTACAGAGCCCTCTCGACCTTGGTATCCGACCTGCACAACATGCTCCCAAATTCCACCCTCACGAACTTGTGTCGCAAAGTCCTTCCATTCTTTTTGTCCAAATTGGTTTTTGCCTTCTTCCGCGCCGAGTTCTACGATCGCGCTGAGGAGCGTGATGTAGAAGTTCCACACCTTGATTCTCCACGTGCTGGAGGCAGTGGCGATCGGCGCGAGAGCCGCAGCGTAATCGCCATTCGTCTGTTGGTCTTCAGATGGTGATGGGACTGTTAAAATTGGCTGGAGGTTGAATAAAGCCTCTGGTAGACGTCTTGTGAGAAACAGCTGGGAAGCTTTCTTGTAGGTCCGAGAGCAGAGCTTCGTGGAGGTAGTGGAGGAGGTAGAGGAAAGTTGAGTATGAGAAGACATTCTGTTAACTATCGCGACAAATAATCATGAGAGAGAAAGAGAAAATAATATGCAATTGGGAAGAGGGGGAAGGAAGAAGATGACCATGGAGATGGCAAGTCGGAGGCGGGAATGGGCGTTGATCGGCTTTCGTTTTCCCTCGGCTCGTCCAAGTCCGGGGTTAGTCACGGGATCCTTGTGTACTATGGGATGTATACTGTTGTTGACAAAAGTAGTTGATTCATAAGAGAAGTGAAGTGAATACTCTCTACAACATTCTAAATACCATTTGTTCTCTCATTCACTATTTTTTTTCTTTTTTTACTTTTATTCCACACATCCTTCTCTCTTTCCTCTTCTGCAGTCTCCTTCAAGCTTTCTTCGCATATTCATCTATCATATCAACATTGCCCACAATCGAGAACGAGATGGAATTGAACTCGGTGAACTTTCCTTCTTACCTAGGAGAGGTCCTCCATGACCTCTCCTGCAGCTGTTTCGTTTCGATCGACCTCGAATTCTCAGGTATCCCACTCGCTCCAGGCAGCCAATCCACTGGTGAACAGTCGCTAGAAGAGCGATATGCCGACAACAAAGTCGCGGCAGAAAAATACCAGGTGCTTCAGTTAGGTTTAACGATGTGTCGGGAAAATGTCATAGATGGTATGTCCTGATTCATAGTAGAACATTGCGGGGGTGAACCCAAAGCTAACGTGGACAAGCAACGTACACTCTCAAGCCTTACAACATCGACTTGAGTCCATTTGTGGACCGGATGCTGGATGTGAATCGTGACTGGGTATCAATGAGCTGGGGTAATTCAATACATGGAGCGTTGGAGTGAACTTCTGGCTAATTCATTGACAGCGATGGAGTTTTTGGTCAACAACAGCTTCAGTATCGATAACGCATGCAAGAACGGCGTGCGTTATCTGTCTCGACAAGAAGAGGCTCAGGCCTTAGAGTTAGCTGAGCAGAGGTACAGTCTCGAAGGATCAAAGCGCTCAATCGAGGTGAAAGAAACCGACAAGGAGTCTCTCGAGTTCCTCAATTCCGTGCGAGGTCAGATCAACAGATGGTTATCGCAGCCAAAGGTATCATCCCTTCCACCTTAATCAAGTCAAGCGGTCTGATATGTGCATAGAAACAAAGCAAGGATTATCTCAACATCCCATCGTTGTCGGGTTTTAGATCGCAGGGGCGGACTTTGACCAGCATGGAAAGGCGGTTCGTACACCAACTTGTCACCGCAGAATATCCAAGCCTCAAATCAAAAAGCAAGTCGAATTTCGTTCAAATTGAATTTGCCGACCCAGAACGTGACAAGAGAAATCAGATCAAAAAGCTGAATGTGCTTAAGCAAACCATTCGCAAGCATGTGGGATGTCGATGGATCATTGAAGCACTAATGGGAGGAGATCTCACAGGCATTGAAGAACAATCATTCAAACACCTCATGGGCAAACCCGATGACATCTCTTACACAATGGCAGAGCTTGTGAGCCGGGTAAAATGTCGTCTTAAGAAGAACCGGCCAATCTTGGTTGGACACAACTGCTTCTTGGATTTGATGTTCTTGTATCGAAGTTTTATCGGCCCTTTGCCGGATACATTTGGGGAATTCCAGACCTTGATTCACGCTGCTTTCCCAATGGTCATTGACACGAAATACCTTGCAACTCACGATGCCGGATCTATCAACCCCAAGTCCTCTCTGGAAGACATCAATCGTGGATTGGCAAATGTGACGGTTCCCACTATCAGTGAGTATATGAAGTTCTTAATCAGATATTGACCCAAGGTATGTCCACTGACATTTGACCAGACATTGATCCCTCACATTCAAAGTACTTCTTCCGTCAGACTTGTCATGAAGCAGGCTATGATAGCATGATGGCTGCCTTTGCATTCATAAAACTGTCTAGCCAGTTGCAACGCGGCAAGGTCGAATTTTCCTCAACAGCAAAGACTGACGACATCACGTTCACGATGGCAAAGGAGATGCCTCTTGCGAAGCAAGTTGCAGAGCAGATGGAGAAAGATAGAATTGCTGCTGAGGACGATTCCGATGATTTGATTGAACTTAGCGATAGTGGCAGTGGGCAGTCGGGTCAGGGACCACCGCGTCCACCCCCTCTGACCGAGACTGAATGTCCTGATGTCACCAGCAAGGTCTCTCAAGGTCAATTGATACCTCGTCTGGGCAGCGAATTCTGGCAGATCTACGGGAACAAATTGCGAGTGTTTGGTACAGTGGAACGAGCCGTATGGCTGGCCGGTGCAATGCCATAGTGGAATGCCGAAGGTGCTCTAGGGGGGAGAGGGGATACTGCGCAACAGATTGAAAAGATGCGTTTAGTGAGGAGATGGAGGATATGAACAAGGATTAAAAAAGGCCAACAGTTGAACAAAAATTTCTTTTTTTTTTAATTATTGGAGATCGCATAGCAATAGCGTAGCAATGACATTAAATTGCAGTGTCGAAGTGTTCGCCGCATCTATCTAACAGTACACCTTGAGACTTCGAAGGTACCGCTAGCGAATCAGCAGCCAAATCGCTCTTTGCACCGCTGAATGATCGACTGGTCGTGGAGAAATCTAAACACAGTGAAGATAAGGTGGGTGCATGGGAGAAGGAAAGAATTTTGTGATTTCGAAGCGCAATTTAAAGGGCCCCGCTAGTCCAAAGTGGGACTAGTGCAAACGTGACCGGGGAACTTTTCTCGGAGTCTCAACATGAGCATCAAGGTCGATCAACCAAGGGGAACGTATACTCATCGTCAATTCCCTTTAATTCGTGGTGATGGCTACAGGAACATCTGGTGTTCGCCGTATGGCGCCACTGCTGCGTATGTCATGGTTTCCCCTCAATTCTCCCAATTGCGAACAAAGGAAACTTCCATACTAACCATTTGAATCCAGGTCCATCAAGACTCGACTCTGGCGTCTGCCGAAGCTGTCAAGAAACTCTGGGTCGTCGCAATTATGCTTCAGCGGCTGCAACCGAATCTACATCTACATCGCCCGCCCCTTCCTCTTCCATAAACCCCGTCTACACCATCAATGCCGGTGTGGTTCTCTCCCGCCCACCCCAGATCACCCGTGACCTCGAACCCTTCGAAAAGGCATTTTTCTTCTACCAGAAGCGTCTGAACGAGCGTTTGGCCCTCCCTTTCACTAAATACTTCTACTTCAAGCGTGGTACCCCGCTAGACGAGGACTGGAAGAAGAAGATCCAGGTTCGCCAAACTGCCGCGCGTGACATTGGCAAGTACAACGCGTACGCCAATGATGCTTGGAACGATGAGCTTCTTTTGGGATCTCAGGAATCAGAGCCGGAATACCAGGTTGAGCAACTAGTACTGGATGCGGAGTCGACTGCCAATGCGACTTCTCAGGATACCAGTAAAAAGGAGGAGATCCCGCGACCACACTCACGAGTGACGGAGGCTGATAAGACGGGCGACCAAAAGAGTCTGAACCGTTTGTTGCCCAGGACTCTGTACCTCCTGGTTCAGTCGAAGGAGGGCTACTGGAAGTTCCCCAGCACACCAGTGCAAGCACAAGAGACTCTTCGTGAGGTGGGTTGATTCACCTATCATCTTCATTTGTTTTCTCCCAGGTCAAATTATATTAACATGCTACTTTTTAGGCTGCTGAGCGCACTCTTTCCCAAACCGCCGGTGTCAACATGAACACCTGGATGGTCGGTTTCCACCCTTCCGGTCACCACGTCCACAACAACTTCAAGGCCCGTGTCGATAAGGCCACCGGAGCTGAGACCCACGGCGAGAAGACTTTCTTCATCAAGTCTCGCATCATGGCTGGTCAGGCCGACCTGACAGCCAGCGCTGAGAGCCTGAAGGATTTCAAGTGGTTGTCGAAGGATGAGATCCCCCAATACGTGTCGCAGGAATACTACAGCAACATCAAGAACATGCTGGCTGATCGGTAAATGTTCTAATGATTGGAGCTCATGTGATATATAACTTTTGTTTTGCTGAGGTGGGAAAGGAGAAAGAGACCTGAAGGATGTTGGCTCAGAAACCAGTGAGTTGGTTCTGGGGAAAGCGTTACTATTAACGCACTGCATATACTTTTACTGCGCATGCCATGTATAACTAGATTATTTTCTTGTTCTGTCAATCAAACTCATTCTATGAATCTATTTGAATGTTCATATACAACCTTGGAAGCTCGTAACAATAGGGTATAATAAAACAAAATTAAAGAAAACACGACCTCATATCTCTTGGTAGGAAGATTCAAGCATCTTCCTAGTAAATTTCATGAATCAGACATAGGTCAGCTGCTCATAATCTTTCCAACTTGGAGAAGACTATGGCCCGTACTGCTGCTGTTGGAAAAGATGCGGGGGATAAGGACCAGGTGCCGCAGAGTTGTAAGGGTATTGCACCGAAGTAGCAGGCTTGTTGTGGTCCGAGCCCCCATCAAGTTTATACCAGTTTACCAGACTCAGTAGAATACCAATGAAGATTCCAATGACAAATACAAATTGGAGGACATCCTGCACAACAGCCAGGTAAACAGGAACATCGATATAAAATGGGTTGCCGAGGTAGTACTTCATTGCAATGATGGCAAACATCAAGGTGTAGCCGAACCAGCAAAGACTACCAGTAATGACGGCAAATATGGGCATCTAAAACAGTATTAGCTGGGTCTGCTCTTTCACCTGTATCTAGTTAGTTTTTCGATCCTTACCTTGGAAGTAAAGCGATGAGCCCCAGCCTTCAACGCGACATAGATACCCCAAGCAAAAATTTCCAATGACACGATGAAGTAGACAATGGTGCGAGCGGTATAAATCTTGTTGGAATCTTTTAACAACTTCACAGTATAAGTTTCCTCAACCTCCTTAACAATCAAAGCAGTGTATACACCGAAATCGGCAAGAGAAACTACTGTGACGACGGCCAGCACAACCCAATGGAAGGCGCTCAAGACCGCATATGGTCTCCCTGAATCAGTGAGACGATCCAAGAGCTTATGGATGATTGTGTAAAAGACCATAAACACGAGACAGTATCCAACCACGGAGAATAAGTAACTGAGGATGTAGGCGATGTGATAGGTTTCTTTGACGGTGGCATTGGCGAGGTAGAGGATATCGACGACCACTTCGAGTGTTTGCGCCCTAGAGAGTCAAAAGTTTATGAGCATTTGAGAATTTGGATCAACCAATTCGAGTATCTCTTTGACAGAGCACATACATCAGCCATATCACTAGAGCAGCAATCGTGCCCCTTAGTGGGCTAATCGCAGGTCGAATTGTGCATGCCCAAACGGCGAATTTGAGTAAGACCAGCAGGATGAGACAGTCGAACGCGACTTGTACAAAATACAGTTTTTGGTTGACAATGTCATGATAAGATAGCTGTTCTTCTTGGTTCCAGTAGTTCGTATTCTCATAGGAATAATAGCTGTAGTACCTGCGAACGAGATTCATGGTGTATCGATTCTTCTCAAGACTGGCTGTAAACTTGTCGCTGTACTTCGTAGGGCTGTTGAAGACCCAGTCTCAATGAATCTTCGAGCTTGCTTCTTCAATTATACGAATAGTTAGGATGGACTCAAATCCTTTACGGATTCTTCAGGCACACTTTAGCCATGCGCGCCTCTTAAGGGTCTGGTTTCCATGAGTTGTTAGTCATTGACTAAGAGGCTCTTGAGCCTTCTAGGGGTCCAAACACGAGGCCGAAGCGAGTTCAAACCTATGCTGATTGGTTACTTATGATTAGGGCGTTAAGAATACGGGGTCACTCGGCCTTTCAAGGCTGATTTCCCCTTTCCGCCCCCATGCATTGCCCTGTGAATTTCGGTAGTCTATTTCCTTCAGCTTTTTTGACTCCTATTTTTGTGAAATTACTTCCAGGATTGCAGACTTGCAGTAGGGCTATTAAGTATTGTTCTAGAAACATGCAAGTAACACTCGAGGGTATACATGATGTCAGGTATGGAGCTCGGGAGACCTGGAGATGACAGGGGTTCTCCAGTATTAACATTTGAACTTAGCGGGAGACAATAAGCACTTGGGCAGATAATATAAAGAATTTGACCTAAATAAACAAATAAACAGGAGATTCTGGGGTGGCGCAGGGTACTTTGTACTAGTAGTGCAGGGTATAAAAGGTTTGACCGCGTGAACTATAATTAGACCCGCCCATCAACCCACAGCTCAACTTTCATCTTTTTCATCTCTGCTTTGTTCTCAAAAGTTGACAACTCCCCTTTTTATTAATGTGCATCAAGTCGACCTCGGCAACTCCGGTCATGACCAAAATCTTGTGGCTTTCAGATTGCCTTCTTCAGCTGCGTGCAGACTGTGGAGAGTGAAACTGTGGCTGAGTCGCATCCACCGCCACCTCAATAGCCACCTAACCAAAGCTGTCAGATTCGGTCAAGGAAGAACCCAGAGCTTTTTTCTTTCAGCTCTCCTATGGAACTCGGGCACTGGTGCACCACAGGTTCACGGCCACGGTCCCAGGCGATCGTCTTCGAATAGATCCGAAAAGTATAATCACGCTGCACCCGTGGCAAAGAAGATGTCGCACGAGTGGTTTCAGCAAGGAAGAATTAATCCACCGAGTTTGTACCCTTCAGCTCTTCTCTAACATCATGGGTCATTGAACTCTTTTCCCACCTTCCTATTCCTTTTTTTCTCTGATTTTTGGGGAATCCTTTTACATGTTCGTCACAACTGTGATTCATCCTCCGAGTATGCATGGTGACCCGCCACTTCCAAACTGGCCCGCAGCCATCTGCCGCTGAAGCGAACCAAGAGAATTCAGAGAGGGGCTTCCCATTCTCCTGGACTCGTGGAGAATCCAGCAGTTTGGTTGTCTCCAGTGTATTGGGTGATGATGTACTTTTAGCGGACTTTTTTCGCTCCTGATCCCCTGAGTGGGCGCGTTCCCAGGTTGCCAGGGGGGAGGGACAGAATTCCATATAAATAGTTTCTAGTCACGAAATTTCCCTTCTCTTAATGAATCCTCTTATAATTTAAAATATCGGAAATTTAATTGTCTCACTTGTTATCTTTTTTTCTGTCTTATTTTTTTTTGCGCCTTCATTTCTTTCGGTGCTGTGTTCCCTCGATGTCCTTTCTGGTGCAAACCGCATTCGGCACATCCGCATAATCCGCACTTCTCAACTGCATCATATCCCAACAATTTCCTCAGCCTTGCAGTCTTGAATCTTGATCTTCTACATCCTATCTTATCAACACCGCGGATCTACCGTTTCTATCTTGAATCTAATGCTGTGAACCCATTCCCCTGTACCTCGACGATCCCGTCTACCCGAAAGGTCAGCACAGACATCAAAGTTCCAACAAAAAAAATTGGAAATTTCAAGTTCTTTTTTCCAAGAGTCGCCCCGTTGACTCAAAAGACCTTGCTTCTGAAACTCTGCAGTGTCCAAGTTCCTATCAAATAACACTCACTATTTCGATTCTCATTCGCCCTTAGTTCCACATACTATAGGGCTTACACGGACTTGACCGGGAACATCACGGCCCCAAAACAAAAAGCAAAATCAACTCAGTATTGCCAAGATGCCTCCAGATGGCTCATCATTTACGGCCTTGAATCTACCATCGGGATTTACGCTACCACAGTGTATGGAATACTTCACACTGACCGCGGGCCCAAATACGGATCTATGGCGTAAGCCTCCAAACGGCGATACATCGACCGCACCCATTGTCTTCACATCATTACGACACCCATTTGTCATAGCAGAAGTAACTGTCAGCGCAGACTGGGAGATGGAATGGGATCAAGGTGGTCTGGTTATTTTTGCCGGTGCTGCGCCTCAGTCATTCTCATCCGATGCCCCGATCCTAGCCACGAGTCGCCGCGTCGGTGCCGCATGTCCTCCGTGTAAGTGGGTCAAAGCAGGCATGGAGTTTTCAGGTGGCACTGTCAATGCGTCTTCAGTTAGTGCTACGGCTGATGGTGCGGATTGGTGTCTATCACCATTGAATCAACCTGTTCAAGGGCCCATGGTTAATTCACTACGTATCAAGCTTGAGCGTATTGGTCATGCTCTCTGGATCTGGTATCAAGTTCCGTCGGCTTCGCCATATGCTTTGTCGCCTGGTGCTGTGGGAAGTACTTGGAAGAAGTTGCGAGAAGTGACGTGGTTCTTCTATGGTGTTGAGGATAAGTTTGTTCATGTTGGTGTTTATGCGAGTCGACCGACGAATCTTGGACGTGGTCAGACTATGTGGGATACTATGCATGGCTTAACGCTGGATAGTTTGTCTTCGTCTGGTACGGCTGATGGACTGGTTGTGGAATTTGAAGATCTGGAAATTTTCTAAGGTGTACGATCTCGATGATCATCGTTTCTCCTTTTTCCCTTCTCTTTTCTTTTTTTTTATTATTATTTTTTCTTCTCTCTTTTTCCTTTCTTCTTTTTTCCTTTTTGATCTTTCTTGTCTCATCTGACTGTTCATATTTTGCTTTTCTTATTCATCCTGGTGAGAATATCCTGTCATACCTTGTTATCTTTGCTTAGTACATTTCCCCTTCGCGTTTCAGCGAGCGAGTCTTTGTGGCATGATTGGAGTCAACTTTGTGTTTTTCTATGTGACTGATCCCATTCTGACATAATTATTTTTCCTATAACCTTTATTTCAACATTATTTGGTTATACAGATATCCTGAATTCTTGAGATAGATTGATTTATGTGCATACTTTGATTTTATAGCCTTTGACCGACACTATGTGCTGGATCTGAGTGTGTAATTAAAGAAAAAAATACTTCAGCTTGATTTCGATTCGGTTATCTAAACTATTTGAGAATACTAGAGAGTACGCTGCTTATTTTGACTGATTCAAACGTTCTCTCGTATATAAGGGAATAGAATCCTTTGTGATACGTGCCTGCTTGGATACTACAAGCACAGGTATCATCCGAATTTCTCCGAATTCCCCCTTTCCAAAGAGCAATGGAACAATAAGAGAATACAGTCCACATATTTTGCGGAACTGAAACAATAGTAAGACGTCTTACATTGGGACCATTAGTGTGCCCGGGCACTGTGACCAGCTGGTGACTTTATCTGACGAAAGCAAAATGCATTCGCCCGTGACTTCATCCAGATGTCTTATTTCTTGTAAAGCCTTTATCCTGCAACGATTAAAAGGCAGCTCACATTTCTCGTCGTCGCGTGCTCCGTTTTCTGATAGGAAAGCTGTGGGTCCGTAATCGGCACTAACATCTCCGCCACCTTCCGTGTTGCGCGAAACCCGCGAACGCGCGAAACGCGGGAATAGGCATGCAGGTAATATGTACCAAAAATATTCGATTTCTATTTTATAGTATTCAGGTCTAGTACGGTCCTGAATAGTACTGTTTTCAATTGAACATTTGTTCGGAAAATGGATATATGCGGTGAGGATCAGACTACTAGTAGTACAGTAAGCGCTGGCATAGATGCCCAGGTGTAGGACATTGTCAAATGCCAAGAACTTGAATAGCTTTTTATAATCGAACATTGAAAAGGAATATATTGAGTCTGGTATAATCTCGATTCTACACACTATGTAGTCCATGGATGTTTGTGTCTGAATATGTAAGTATCTATCCTGACTTCAAATTTCGAATGTTGTGCCGTACTAGTAGGTACTATGTAGTGTAAGTCTGTTGGTATATATACTTCAGATCAAACAACTTGGATGGATGGATGAAAGTAGTTCGAGTTACGTGTTCTTTGGACCAAATAACACCGGGGTTATCATCAAGAGCTATCTTCACATTCTACTCTATAAAGGATCTCATTCATTTCAGAAAACACTCCTAATGTTTACAATCTCTTGACACCTTGACTTTCGTTGATGTCACACTTGGGCACCTGAGCACATGTGCAGCTGACTCAGCCGGGTGAAGCGGGAACACGTTTCCCGAGGTCCCGGAGCTAGTGCGAGTTTTGCGCTGGGGATTGCTGGGGTGACCTCAAGCTCAATTAAGGTCCTCACGACTTGAATAAATAGCAGTCCCATAGCTCGATTGAATCTTTGACCTTTGTAGAATAAGCTGTCCAAGCATTGACCCTTAATTCATTGTGGGTGGAGAGTGGTGGACAGATGAACACGTAGCACCCCAGGAACCCCGGAAGCATCAAATTCGGAGAAAGGGGGTCTAAACATCCAAGCTCAGATGGCCCAGCATCTAGATTTTGGGGAAGAGCTGGGGGATGCGAGGAGAGCTTAAAGTTGAGAAAGAAAAACTACGTAGTTGATTTACGAAAGCTCCAAGGCCATTAATGAAAGTTGGTCACAAAGAGGACTCCAAAAAGACGTAGAGCGAAGGATTGCCAGAATCCAGAATTATAATGAAGACAGAATTTGATACGGCCGGAGGACTCAACACACAGAGTTTTGGTTTGGCTCGTTGGAAGTTGGGATGGGTGGGCCATATAGACTCTATATGTACAGAAAGAAATAGGTGTTGTAGATGACGCTGAAAAGTAGTACATGGTAATACATCACGACCAAATACCCTCCCCGGCGGACAGAAGGGAAAAGAAAAAGACAAAGGAAATTCTTTCAAGAGATTTCTATAGGTTTTTTTTTCTTCTCTTCGTTCCTCAAGCCCTTCGATCAAACGCTTAGACGTACTTGCACATCATGGCAACCATCAGGTCGAACAGACCCATGGCCTCGACGAAAGCGAAACCCAGAATGGCGTAGGAGAAGAGCTGGCCACGGAGAGCAGGGTTGCGGGAAACACTCATGAGCAGAGCGGCGAAGACGAGACCGATACCGATACCGGCACCACCGAGACCGATGGCGGCAGAACCCATACCAATGTTCTTGGAGACCTCAACCATGGCGGTGGCGACCTCAGAGGAGTACTGGCGACGAGCGGCGTGCTGGAAAGCCTGGCGAGCGTTGGCCTGGAGGAGAGTGGGAGAGGCGACGCGCTTGGGGGCAGCGAAGGTGGTGGCAGGGGCCTTCTGGGTGAAGGTGCGCTTGGCGGCAACGTTCATGTTGACGCGGGCAGCAGGGCGAGCGACCTTGGAGGACTGGGCCATGGCGGTAGCCAGGCGCTGAGTGAAGACACGGGAGGCCATTGTGAAGAGGTTTGGTTGGATTTTCCGGGAGGGAAGGAAAAGAGGTTTTGTGGTATATGGGGGATTGGGAACTTTTCAGGGAGAAAAAGCTGGGAAACTACGGAAGAAGGCCTGCCCAGGACATAAATACTCTACGGCCAAATTTTCGCCCGTCCGCCTCCTAGTCGAGGCTAGTGCGCGCTTGAAAAAAAAAGCCCTACTCTGTGCGGACTGCCGGAGTATTTCACTCGCAAATCACCTGTATCAGGAATGCTGGGGATGTGTTTTCCACTCGTTTTTCCAAAATTTCATACCTGTGTATTGATGGAAGTCGGAATGGTTCGGGTTCTAATTGTATACTTTGCGTAACATAAGACTGCTCCAAGTACATGAACCTCACCTGGGCAACTCTATTCTGGTATGTAATTCTGTCTCTGTATGTATCAATTGATAGTTGAAATACAAGTGGATCGTTTTTTTATTCCTAGCGGCTCCATAATTTACAAACTATTATGGATTTTCCCCCTGCATGAAGTCTTGCAATGGTTTCATATCTATCAAAATCCATGCATCAATGAATATCCTTACGAGGGATAAGGTAGATATATTCCATAAGAAAAAGGGGGAGCTGCATTGAAGTGATATGGAAAACCACGGAGCTTTCATGATTTTTTTTATTACCTCCCTTCCCTGCAGTGGATCATCTATGTTTCTAACTAAGTGGGTCATGATCCACCAGATCCATCTGATATACACCAATTATAATATAATCGGGATCCATGAACCCAGATTGGGGTTTCTGGATGTATTCCCGGCTTTATCCAAACCGGGCCGAGTCGGATTCCAGGTCCACCAACTATACAGTTACTGGGCAACAGATCCACTCCGGGACCACTTGGTCGGCTGAAAGGAGGGTCTATGTGGATGCTCAACTTTTCTCCCTTTCCTCGGGAATACACACACCGAGTGGTCTTTTTAGGACACGTAATTTTGCTGAGACCGGATCCGGCGTCCGATATGATGGTCGTCATTTATGAATTTTATTATTTTAATTTTTTATTCATTTCTTTTTTCCCTGGATGCGGCAGTCCGGCAAGCCAGCCATCATGAACATGCAGCAGGGGTGCAGCGGGCTTTTATATGCTAGAGAGCTATCGCGCCAACGGAAGAAAAAAAAAAATTCCCAAAAATCAGAAATAAATTTCATGAAATAAAAAAAAGAAAGCAAAAATACGAGTTGTTTGTTCTCGCTTCTTCCCTCGGCCTCCACCGATACTGGATTCCCGCGACCCGCCAGGACCCGATTATCATGAAAAATCCAGTTATTCTTCCGGTTCCCTCCAATAAGGAAACCGTGAGGCTATAAACATCCCAATTGCAAAAACCACTCCCTTAAAATGCCTATCCACCATTTATCTACTCCCCGGAAGTTCAGCTATACCTTCCCCAACCACATATAACAAACCCAACAGGGGGCTTCGGAGGCTCTGCTAAAATTCCGTTGGAAGAACCGGCTGCAGCTCGGCTGATCGCAGGAGCTTGGCAAGACCCACACCAGCTCGATTCAGGGTCATTCCGGGAGTCCTGCCCTTGCAGCTTCACTATGGCTATCCTTATTACGAGAAACGTCCTCAATTATTGACTCGAGTTGAATTGGTTATGCCGGTTGAATAACCAGCTCATTGAAACGGAGTATATACAATATGGAAGCTGACATTCGGGAGCTGACCGCTGACCGCTGAACCAGGGGCTGAAGCCGGGTCCACGGGTATTTTAGGGATGTATTGACACGGGAACGCGTAATACCGGATACGATACGTCCAATTCGACTCGTCGAAGCATCATTGATGACCCGCCGTGAGGTCATGGGATGGTATTCCTTGGCAAGGGGCTGGCATTTAACACATCTTGAAGATGAGCATAGCTCAAGGAGTCCCTTTCACCAGAGAGAATGGTTCATAGAAGAGAAGAAAAAACTTCGCAGATACGTGGCTCTTGATATTGACAAAAAAGATACATCAATCTCACCCTCCGACTCCGGAGATCGGAAGTTCCCTCTTATCCCCTATCCAACAAGCTGTTGGTGACGACGGAACCCACTTGATGGGGCAGTGGATCTCAATGAGACGCCCCGTCTTCGCAATACAGGGGGTTGTATCAGCGCTGTTGTCAGGTACAATTCACCGTGAATTTCACAAAACACGACAATGGCAGAACGGCATCAATTCACAATCGTAAGATAGGTAATTTTCGAGCCAGACGACTGTTGGGAAACGGCGTCTGTTTCTTTGGAAACGAAGCTCCAGCCAGACCTGTGAAGAATGGAGCTGCTTCCAGACGAATCATGTTAGGGTTGAGTTGCCGAAAAAGGAACAACCACTGAAGCATCACAGCTCTCAGGTATGCTCGACATAACCAATAGCCATATTCGTTCAAGTTTTATTAGAGAGACTGTAGGGATAAGGTATGCTCAAGAGTAAAATGGTAATAATACATGCCTCAAGATGGTTTGTTCAAGGCGCTTGAGTGATCCAGGATGGATCCATCGGTGCCTCGGGCAGCTCCCGTGCCCTACTCACAAAGCCACAACGGGGAACTCCCTCTCCATATAAGCAATTGACTAGCTCGGCTGCAGTAGTGCCACACTCTGGAGTTCAGCTTTCCCCAGATCTTATTCTCTCGATCTGATCCACTTTAGACTTCATCAAGCCTAGCGTCTTTAGAAGGCTATTTTGAGTCTGAGCTTGCAATAAACGGGCCAGATCATGTCTTGAAGTTGACCCCTTGCCAGTTGTGCTGTCGTGTGTGGTCAAAATTCAAACTGGAGATACCCCTCCATGTGTTTCCTAGATATGGGGCTTAGTTCCCACCCCACAAGACTTTGATCCATGCTGTCTTGTCATGCAATGTTTTTGACATCAGGCCTCAATACTCATAGTTGACATCCAAGCTATACTACATACGCGAATTTTGATCACCTAAAGACTAACAATCAGTATTTCATACCTATGTCGATATTTAGTCTGATAGACATTCTTTCCAGATGAAAATAGATCCCGAATTTGAATTTGTGAGCGAACATGCAAAGTGAAACATCCTGCTAATCATATTTTGAACTGATATGCGATTGCTCATCTGGTAATCTTCGAACTGCCACCCCTATCTGTTCCCACTTCTTCTCCAGGTCAAAGTATCCTCGGTTGATATACTTCATTCCTCCGACCACCGATGTGCCATGAGCAGCGATTGCCGCAAGAACAAGACTCGCAGTAGCTCGCAAATCAGAGCCAGCTATTAACGCAGCTGATAGCTTCCGTACACCAGAAATAACAGCCACCTGGCCCGGGTTGATCTGGATCTTTGCATTCATTGCCTGAAGACCTGGACAATGACCAAATCTGCTTTCAAAAATAGTCTCCACGACTCGACTTTTGCCATGGTCCAATGAAAGTAGCACAGTGAACTGCGGCTGAAGATCTGTCGGAAATGCAGGATATGGTCCAGTCTGTATATCAACAGAGCATGGTTTCTCAGCTTTATGAACAGTCACCGAGTTTCCCACGACATCAACAACAGCACCCACAGACCGCAATTTCTTAACGAGTATCGTCTGGTACTCGACATTGCATCGATGTATTGTCAGGGGATTTCCACATATCGCTCCAAGAATCAAGAAAGTCCCTGCTTCGATCCTGTCCTCCATGACTTTATACTGACTTGGAGATGACAATCCCCCTCGACCAACGATGATGAGACAATCAGTCCCAATGCCAGAGATATCAGCACCCATGCTGATAAGGAAATTTGCCAAATCAACCACTTCTGGCTCACGCACGGCATTGTGAATTCGTGTCACACCGTGCACTAAGCATGCAGCCATCATCACGTTCATCGTCCCCGTCACTGAGGGAGTCTCCATATTCACAGTCGCACCAAGTAATCTCGAAGCAAGAGCTTCAATAGAACCGTTTATTATATTCACAGTTGCACCCAGCTTTTTGATTCCCCGTAGATGCTTCTCAACAGGACGGGAACTTATCGCACATCCTCCAGGGAGACATAATTTGGCGTACCCGAAACGAGCTACCAATGGTCCAAGAACTAGAATCGACGCTCGTAGACTACTAACTAGTTCGTCAGGTATAGAGTGTTGTTTTGCATTCGTCATGTTGATCTCCAGAACATCGTCAACGCATGATACATCTGCGCCAAGGCATTGCAAAATCCGGCCCATGTTGTTAACATCTGAGATGGGTGGAATCCCTTGAATTGTACTTGTTCCACTAGCTAGTAATGTCGCTGCCATAAGTGCCAGTCCTGCATTTTTGGAACCAGAGACGTGAATATCTTCAGTAACATCGTGTCCACCGGTAATAGCGATATAATCAGACATCGCGTTAATAGATTCAGAATTGAGGCGATAAGCTTTGATAATTTCGACCTGATAACCCAAAGGGACAGGCATATAGTCACGATGTTTATTCAATCCCAATTCGGAGATATCCGTCGCGTGGAAGATGTTTGCGTCAAGTGTAACCACGAAGTCGCGCTCTTAAACCAATCGACCACTGCCACTGCGAACTGACGAAAAAGATGTGATTCTTTTTTTCTCATGCAAGAAATAGATGGTCAGTCAGATCAGCACGGTGACCTCCGTAATCAAGACGATAATAGCCCAAGATGCGACTGGTCAACTCGACCGGTCAAGATCACGTCCCAAGAGGGACGGTTTCGCGCCGATCTCCATCCTCAGGATCATTTCATGCAGGCAGCCTTGCATCGACTCATTTCATCACTCTGCATCAAAGTCCCAAGCCACAAATGTCTGTCTTGTTCTGGGAAGAGAACGTGAATTTGCAGTCCTATAACACGTTCAATGTTAAATGTGTCGCGCGGTGGCTTGTCCGGGTACGAAATCTCGATCAACTTAGCCACCTTGTCACTTCAGCTCGGTTCCGTGAGAATCGACATTTGATTCTTGGCGGTGGGAGTAATATCCTGCTCGGAAATTCTGAATATGATGGCGTTATTCTGAAAAGTGAGATTAAGGGGATTGAGGTTGAAACTGAAGACGATCAGCATATCGTGCTTCGTATTGGTGGTGGTGTTGAATGGGGCTCACTTGTGGGATATTGTCTCGACAACCACCTCGGTGGTCTGGAGAATCTTTCGCTAATACCTGGCACGGTCGGTGCAGCACCTATCCAAAATATTGGTGCATATGGAGTGGAATTGAGTGATGTCTTGGTCTGTGTCGAGACATTTGACGTGGATACTGGTGAAACGAGACTCATGATGAAAGATGAGTGTGAGCTTGGGTATCGAGATAGTATCTTCAAGCATTCTCTGAGAAGTTTGATGGTCTGTTTTGTTACGATTAGAGTGACCAAACCGGGATATCACTGTCTCAACACATCCTATATGTCAGTCCAAGAGGTCTTACTGGATCGTGGGATCTCAATACCAACCATTCGCTCTATTAGTGAAGCGGTATCTCTGCTTCGGATGAAGAAGCTATTTGATCCGAAGAATATCGGAAATGCAGGAAATTTTTTCAAAAATGTGATATGTGATGAGTCGATGTATCGGAGAATTGCGAGGATTGATGCCAATGTTCCATTTTACCGCAGATTTGATGGCATGTTCGTCATACCTGCTGCATGGTTGATTGAGAGATGTGGCTGGAAAGGAAGAGAATTTGATAACGTGGGAGTATCAAGAAGTCATGCTCTTGTTCTTGTCAATCTTGGTCGGGCACAGGGTCGTGAGATTGTTTGGTTGGCGGGTTTGATTATGAGGGATGTGAAGGCTCAACTTGGGTTAATATTGACACCTGAAGTCAATATTGTGAGCTAGATTATTGTGATTACAGCCATAGCTTAGACAGAAACTATTTGTAATACTCTCAGGCTTGAATTTACTACCTAGGTACACACATGGGTACCTACCTCAGTACCTACCACCACTTTTCCTTCCAGGTACCTAGGTAGTAGCCTTGGAAATCTCAGACTCTTTTATATCTACAGCCTGAGTGACCTTAAATTATACGTACATTGTGGACTCCGTAGCTGCCACTGATTGATTAGTGACCTTCCAAGGTTGATGAATGTATGTATGGAAGTGTACAGGCTAGTAATTTGATCACTGATTCTAATTGTTATAGAATATTGAGGCCATCATGTGTGCTTCTGGTCTACGCTACTTTCAAAAGATCGCTCAAGTCTGAGATCTGGTATTCACCAAGAATAATATGACAGCTCAATTCCAAGGTTGCTTTAAGAATAACTTCAATTCAAAAAGTTGGCAGTTCCGTTGAGAAGCTGCATGATCGACACTGCACTCTGGCCCAACCGCTCATATTCTCCATCATTGAAGTTCATGAAATACTCTCATGTCTCACCATCCTGAACAGAGTCGAACCATTTCTAAAATCATGTCTCTTTCAAATTTGAGGAAGTCTCTTTCATATGAGCAGCCTCCATCTCTACTCGCATTTCCCCCCTCAATCGGCCTGGTCCATTTCGTCGGCATCGGTGGCCATGGAGTCTCTGGCCTAGCCTTGATCCTCCATAAAATAGGATATACGGTACAAGGAAGCGATGCGAAAGAAAGCGACAACATCAACAGACTACGAGCTGCAGTTGTCACGGTCTTCATTGGCCATGACGAGGCATACGTGAATTCTGCAAAGCTGGTCGTCGCTTCAGCTGCAGCCTGGATAGTCAAATTTCGCCCCAGAGACAATATTCAAGTTAAATTAGCAAGAGAAAAAGGCATTCCAATGATCCACCGAGCTGAACTACTGGCCGAATTAATGCGAAACAAGAAAGCAATTGCGGTGGGTGGCAGCCACGGGAAAAGTACTACCACCAGTATTATCGGTGGTATACTCGAAGCTGGTGGACTTAACCCAACCGTTGTGACAGGAGCCATTATGAATCTCTACGACTCAAATTCCCATCTCGGCTCGGGTGAGTGGGTAGTCGCTGAAGCGGATGAAAGCGATGGCTCCTTTTTGTGCTTGCCACACTTGATCACCGTCGTCACGAATATCGATAGCGACCATTTCATATACTGGAAAGATCAAACCAAGACCCGAGCTGCATTTACTCGGTTTGTTCGGAATATGCCATTCTATGGATTGCGCGTCATTTGCATTGATGATCCAGGTGTCCGTCAGATTCTACCTCTTCTGCAGGACCGGGATATTATTACCTACGGTATTTCAGAAGATGCAGACTTCTGTGCAGAGAAGATCTGGTATCTTCGTGATAGATGCAGTTTCATAGTTCTATGCCTAGCCCAGAGACCCAGTCTCAACGCAGAATTGGTCCCATATCGATTAAGGCGCTTGGGATAGAAAATGTTCGAAATACACTTGCGGCGATTGTTGTTTCAACCGATCTGGGCATTGGAATAGAGAATCTGAATCAATCCTTGAGCTCTTTCCCTGGTCTGCATCATCGGTTCCAAGTTGTTGGTTCTGTGAGTGGTATTACGGTCATTGATGATCACAGTGCTCATCCTGCCGAGATAAATGCGGCGATTCGGATGGCCAAGCAGACGGGGGCCCGAAGATCATTGCTGTCAATCAGCCAAGCGCGAGACTCAAAATAGTAGAAGGCTGGCTGGATGAATACCCTGCTTTGTTCAAAGGAGCCGATCATGTTATTATTGGTCAGGGAGAAGGAGGGAATATGGCGGCGGCAACAGAGGGCCGAGAGATGCTTGTTGAATACTTGCGAGCTTATGGGCGTGAAGATGTTATTTCCATGCCCGACTCGAATCAGCTACCAAGACTGATCTCTGAAAAAGCTGGAGAGGGTGATATTGTTATATGCATGGGCTATTTAGGATCTGGTCGTTGGGCAAAGGAACTGATACAGCATCTTGGAGAGGTTAAATCTACATAGATCTATATTGAACTTAGGAAATTGACATAAACTATTGACATAGACCAATTCAATTCCAGATGTTCCATCAAGCACTGAGATCGTACTCCCATGACCCCGAGTCTAAACCTTGGAATGATATGGATCTGGACCACAATTGCGGGGAGAAGAGGGACATCCCGCGATCGGATGCGCCAAAATACCCACATCGTTCTTCATCAATTTACCTTAAACCATCATTCGCCGATATCGCCTCAAGTTGTCGGGCTTAAAAAGTCGCAGGTTTCTTTATTTATTTTCAAAACAGCAAGATTTGAATAGCCTTCAACCAAAATGCCTCTCAGCAGTGTCCCTTACCCCTTCCAATTTGATTCCACAGCACCGCCTTCAGGGCCCGAAGATGGAGCCAAAACAGACCTTAACATGAGCCTCCAAAATGTCCGTGGACGCATCCCATCTATTCAAGCCTCCCGTCTCCGAACTATGTTCCTAGAAGCACGCAATGACCCAACCAAAATCATCGCCCACGCCTGCACGTACGACGGACTATCCTCCCGCCTCGTCGAGGAAGCCGGATTCCCCATAGTATTCCTAGCTGGCTACGCCGTATCCAGCTCGCACGGTCTCCCAGACGCAGGCTATATTGCCATGGCGGAGATGTGCGAAAAGATCCAGGATAGTTATCGACAGGTTTCGGTGCCTATCATGGCGGATGGTGATACCGGGTATGGAAGTCCGATGAATGTTAAGCGAACGGTTGAGAGTTTCGCTGCAGCTGGTGCAGCGGGTGTCATGATTGAAGATCAGCAGTGGCCGAAGAGTAAGTTTACCTTATCATCCCTTCAGATTCTCTATCCTACTGGATAGTGACTGACTATTCTGAATCTACTAGGATGCGGTCATACAAAGGGTAAGAGCGTTGTATCTCGCGAAGAAGCATTTGCACGTATGCAAGCTGCTTGTGACGCTCGGAATGAAGGCCGGGATATATTCATTCTTGCGCGAACAGATTCCTTGATGCATGGCTGGGAAGAAGCCATGGCGCGAGCACAGGAATTCAAGCGCATAGGTGCAGATGCGATCTTTATCGAAGCTTTACCGGATAGAGCGGCAATGAAGCGCGCTGCAGATGAACTTGATATCCCAGTATTTGCAAATATTATTGAAGGGGGTAAGACGGAGAATCTGTCTGCGAAGGAACTCGCGGAGATGGGGTACAGTGCAGTGGCTTATCCTTGGACTTTGGTGGCTGCTCATCTGAAGGGTATTCGGGATGCGTTGGATAATTTGAAAAGAAGTATGACTGTTGGTGCACCTCCGATGATTCTTAGTTATGATGAGGTCTGTGAGGGTGTTGGCTTCAATAAATATTGGGTAAGTTTTCTATGCGAGGTTTATGGATGGAATTGAACTAACTTGGGATGTTTCTGTAGGAACGGGAGGAGAAGTATAAGTATAACTAAGACATAGAGATGATTAGTATCATCTCAGGACTTGGATGGATTCATGGATTTTTTTCTGGAACTGTTAGATTGAAGAGCGTGATTGCCTAGAATGTTACGGCCTTTGATTCAGACATTCCAGATCTATGAGAGAGGATTCGCGGGCGGTTATGCCAGACGACTTGCGTCCAGTTGGGGGAGAACCAGAGTTCAGTATATTTTAGGATCTCGAGGTATACCTATGCCAGTGGGATTTGTGTTGAGATTACGCCGGTCACTCTATCTGAGTTTAATCGAAATCGAAGAGCAACTTGAAATGCCGATATTGCTGTGTAGATTGAGGATGTGGTGAGATAGTGGTGCCAGCGAAAAGTCTCTGTTGATTGGTTTATTGAGCCGGATATAGTTTCCACTATATCAATCCCCACATCAGTGCGCCCTGTGGATGACATCGGGAATCTTAGAAACTGCACACATGGAAATATTTAATAACCTAATTAGAAGCATCATCAAATCAGCTCGCAAAATCCTCTGGAAAACAACACAAAACCTACTCTGCGCTAGTTGTGTCCAACCAATTTCAAACCAAGGACACCATCTCAAGTTCTCAACCCCGATCCCATACCTAATCACGATGGGAAGTGCAACTCCAACCTCTGATTCCTCCTATGTTCTGCGCAACCACCGACCAGGGGATATGGGATGGATCATCCACCGACATGGGATATTGTACAGCCAAGAATATGGCTGGGACGAGCGTTTCGAAGGACTCGTCGCTAGTATCGCTGGGGACTTCATCAAGAACTACGACCCGAAATCAGAGCGCTGTTGGATCGCCGAACGAGACAACACCTTCCTTGGATCCATCATGCTAGTCAAGGATACCAGCTCAAACGAAAATGCGGCAAAGATTCGGTTGCTCTTGGTGGAGCCGAGTGCTCGGGGACTCGGGCTTGGTCGTGCGCTGGTACGACAATGCGTGGAGTTCGCAAGGGATGTGGGTTATTCATATGTCAGATTATGGACTCAGAGTACATTGGTCTCAGCGCGGCGAATTTATGGAAGGGAAGGATTTGTACATGTTGCATCAGAGGAGCATGCATCATTTGGAGTCAAGATGATCGGTGAGGTTTGGGAGCTGAAGTTGTAGACGGGAAGATGGCCAGTAAAGGATTGGAGAAGTCGAGATGTTCTATAAAACTGATAATGGCACCATGTTGCAAGATGAGAAGTTTTATTAGAAAGATAAAAGTCGACCTGTGAACAACACTGGTATCAGATATTGGAACATTCAATCATTTTGATGCCCACCGGAAAGGTGGTGTGGAAGATAATAAAATTATCTCTGATAGCCCTTGTAATAAATAACAATTTGGGTTGTAAAAAACCAATGATTCCTGGTCTTTCAAGCTGCTGTTATTTTTCTGTTCATGGCTGTCTCCAAACTCCTGATGTTGTGGTGTTCCTCGATCTCGAGTTCAACTCTAACCCCAAGTTCTCTTATCATCATCATTCACTGTACAAACCAGTGTTGAGATCAAACATTATGTGAATGAGTTTGTTAGGTGTTGGTATCACATGGTGGTCCACAATCGTTTGCTCGCCATTCACTCGAGGTGGTTTTCCCCTGGTCCAGTGGAGACTGCGAGTGTCAGTGGCATTCACTACATATGACCATTCACTCATCCAAATTGTTTGTCCAGATGTCAGTCCTTAAATTTCCAGTCCACAACTTTTGATTTCTCTTCTTTAAATATTCTCTTCTTCATCTCCATTCCTACCATACTTACAGCTGGTTCTGTTCTCTTTTTGTTCTCCCCTCTCTGCTCTTCATTAATATCAAAATGGCTGGTCCATTTTCCGACTTTATTTACCCAGGGGAGGAGTTTTCAAGCTCCTTGGACGACCTGTATCTTCCAGTGCTGGCACTGGAAGACTGCGAGATGGGACTGGCTGGCCCATCCTCTCTCAAAACAGACCATGAGGCGAAGCCGAGCCTCTTTGCATTGTGTCCCCCAACGCCGGCCGTTGGAGACTTTGATCCAGACATCGCTGTCCCTGTACCTCCTCACAGTCCGTTTCAAGACAAGTTTCCACCAATTGCACCAATCACTCGCGATGAGGATGGCCTCGATGTGGCTCAAGAAAGACGAGACCGCGACAAGGAAATTTTCACGCTTTGGGCAGAATCGCGATTCAGTCCATTGGACCAAATGCGCCGTCCGGCGCGGCCATCACCCTTCATGAACGACTTTGACTTCACATACTCATTTTGGAATCTTGTTGATGTTCCTCTCATCACATTGGCTCCGGAAAGTGGTTTGCCCCATCAGGTCTACGAGAATTTCACCAAAGAGCAGAAAAAGCGTGTCCGCTTCTTCTCGGTACAAAGCTACCCATCCACTTTCTGGCATTTGGTTGAGCGTCTGATCCCGATCCATGACTGTATGCTCGATTTTTTCGAAGCAAACGACCAGAACATACATCTCCTTGACGACTTCCCAAGAAATATTGCTCGCCACATGATGAAGAAGATACAACTCGATCACCAGAAACTGGTCACCAAGCTCGATTCTGTGATGATTGGAGAGTGGAACGGACAGATCGCCTACCCGGACGTTGAAGTCAACACTATGAAGATGTTTCTCATGTTCAGAGATCTCCGGAGAGCTCAGGAATGGCTTAGGCAGGAAGTTGACAACATCCATCAACTTGCCACTAAGCGAGCTCATCTACTCGAGTTGATGGAGACAGGAGGTAATACCAGAGGAGTACGTGCTGCTAAAAGACGAACCACTCCTGGTGTCAGAGCAGAATTTCGCATTCGCACCGAGGCGAAAGTCGGAGTGATGGCTAGGTCAATTTGCGACCTTGCCAGAAGACTGCGCAAAGTACACAGATATTTCGCTGGCGAATTCCTCCGACTTCACAACCACCTCGCTGATAATATGAGCTACAAACCCGCGGCTGGTCCGCTGTTTGATGAAGAAATCCACCCCATTCGAATGAACCCGATCTATGAGGGCTATGCAATGGATCCGGCTGCTGAGAGTGTGGACTGGATGAAGAATTTGATCTCCGAGGAGGAGGAGTAAGGGGGAGTTTCTTTTTTTTCTCTTTTTTTTCTCTAATTAATTTCAAAAAATCAAAAAAGAAAATTTATCTTTATCATTCTCTGAAGTTGAGAGCTTCCAAGACTGTAGAATTTCACTTTGGTACAACCGTTAGTGGTCTAGGAATTGATACCACTTAGACTATATCTCGTCGACTACCTCAGGATCTTTACCTGATGTCTTGAACACTGAATATCCCGGCCTGGAGACCTGACTCGGATCAATCCTACCTAGTAGTAGCTCTAGTAATCCTAGGCCCATGAGGCCTAGATCCTACACATGCATACATCAAGGTTCAAGTTCTTATATTCGAGGTGTGGATTGGAGAATGCACATCTCAATGCATTTGACATTCAGGTAGATATTCTACTTCACCTTACGAGTATGACAGACAATTATGAAGAAGTAATTTCAATAAGATCATGGGAGTCATTACATACATCCTGGAGATAACCAGACCCACCCAGCTCTTCAAAGGCTTTCTATGGGGTGACAGTTCAAGCTCACCAACATGAGGGACGACAAAGGAAAATCATTAATAACAAGGAAATAGAAATACTCAAAAGCAGGGCGATGAGAGGGGATAAAAACAAAAACCGAGAGGATAGGAAAATCGTAAAAAATAGCAAGCCGCAGGTATCAAATACAGGGGAATCAAGCGTGTAGATAACAATCTGACAACTTTGTTTTTCTTCTTTTTGGCGTTTTGATAAGTTGTCACTGTGCTGGTTGACAGTTGACATGAGAGATCCATGGGTATCTCACTTAGAGCGAGCGCCAAAGAATCGCAACGAGGGGTACCGCAATGGTAATCAAGAGCAGGGTCCTGATGAATCAGTGTCAGTATTTGCGACTCCGAACCGCTTAAACTCTTATATGAATAAACCCGGGAATACCCATGGGTAACAGCGTCAAGGGGAATGGAAATGATTAAACTCTTCGCACGGTCTTTTTATAAAAGCATTGGAAATTCAAAAAAAGAACAGGACTTAGCATTTATTGCTTGCCCCAGGACCAAGGACGAAGGATCCGTCCAATGCTCTTAAAGACCGTGTGTAAGAGCGCCTTGAGCCAATTGTCAGGTGCATTGTTCATAGAAAGAGCAGTCACTGACCGGCTCTGGCTCGTAGGACGAGCATCTTCATTTCCGTCGATGTTGGCGGAGGTTCCAGGGGTGGGTTCAAGAGTATTCGGGGTGGCTTCAGGCTGTTTGCTGGACTCGGATGTGGGTTGAATCTCGGGAACGGCCTGAGCCTTCTTATCATCGGCAGTCGAGGGTTGGGCAATTGTAGCCGCAATCAACTGATCGGTGGATGGCTGGTTAAGCTTGTGGAGCAGAGCTTCACCATCACCGGCGAGTGCTGCGAGGACTGGATCAGCTTCGAAGGACGGCACAGATGCGTTATGCGAAGGAATCGGCAGCAAAGGCTTACAGTCTTCAGGCTGCGCTTCAGCAGCAGGAGGCTCTCTCTCGGTCTCCTTTGCGGCAGCCTCGTGAGAGCGGTGCACTGCAGCAACGGCAGCAACACCTGTAGCGGCGGCAGCAGCAGCCACACCGGCTGTCAGAACCTCGGGAGTCAACAAAGTCTCCTTGGTAGATTCTTCAGCAGGCTCATCTTGAGGAGCTTGTTCGACCTCAGCGGCCACTTCGTCTTTCTGCTTAGATTCTTCTTCAGTGGCAACTTCGCGAGCGGCGGAGCTGGGTGTCCAAGCATCTTGAGGACGCAAACCAGCAAGCAAAGTACCATACACATCAGAGGTGGCAGACTCTGCAATAGACCCTTCATTGGCGACAACAGTCTCGTCAGTAGTGCTGGATTGTTCAACAGGAGCAGAAGTTTCAGATTCAGCAAAAGGTTCTTGCTCAGCAACTTCAGACACAACAGGTTGCTCTTCAACAGCCTTGGCAGACTCTTCCGCAACAACGTTCTCCTCGACAGGGACAGCTTCCTGCTGGACGATAGGCTCCTCGACAATAGGCTCTTCCTGGGCAACCTCGAAGGTCTCAATGACTGCGGGAGTTTCCTGCTCAGGCTCAATGATAGCCTTCTCTTCAGAGACAGCAGGAGCAGCTGTTTCCTCAACGACGGGAGCTTCCTCAACAACTGGAGTCTCCTCAACGGCAGGAGCTTCAGTAGCAGGGACTTCCTCGACGGCGGGAGCTTCCTCGACGACGGGAGTCTCTTCAACAACGGGAGCTTCCTCGACGACAGGAGCTTCCTCAACGACGGGAGTCTCTTCAACCACGGGAGCTTCCTCGACGACGGGAGTCTCTTCAACCACGGGAGCTTCCTCGACGACAGGAGCTTCCTCGAGAACGGGAGTCTCTTCAACCACGGGAGCTTCCTCGACGACAGGAGCTTCCTCGACGACGGGAGTCTCTTCAACAACGGGAGCTTCCTCGACGACAGGAGCTTCCTCGACGACGGGAGTCTCTTCAACAACGGGAGCTTCCTCGACGACAGGAGCTTCCTCGACGACGGGAGCTTCCTCGACGACGGGAGTCTCCTCCACGGCAGGAGCTTCCTCGACGACGGGAGCTTCCTCGACGACGGGAGCTTCCTCGACGACGGGAGTCTCTTCAACAACGGGAGCTTCCTCGACGACGGGAGTCTCTTCCACAACGGGAGCTTCCTCGACGACGGGAGCTTCCTCGACGACGGGAGCTTCCTCGACGACGGGAGTCTCTTCAACAACGGGAGCTTCCTCGACGACGGGAGTCTCCTCCACGGCAGGAGCTTCCTCGACGACGGGAGCTTCCTCGACGACGGGAGTCTCTTCAACAACGGGAGCTTCCTCAACGACAGGAGCTTCTTCAGCAACAGGAGCAACCGCAGGAACTTCAGGTGTTGACTCCTCGACGGCAGCCTCAGTGGCAAGATCCACCTCACGAGATTCCTCAACAGGCTCCTCTGGCTTAGTCTCAGCAATAACCTCCTCTTGAGCGGGCTCAGCTACAGCGACCTTGGCCTCTTCCTTAGGAGATTCCTCGGGCTGGACAGGCTCAGTAACAGACTCCTCAACTACCGGCTCTTCAGCAGAAGGTGCCTCAATCTCAGCAGCAGTCTCAGTGACAGGTTCTTCGACAACAGACTCTTCAACGAGCACAGGCTCTTGAGCAGGAATCTCAACTTCCTCAGCCTGGAATTCAACCTCCTCAGCGGGAGCAGCAACCTCTGGCTCTTGGGCGGGAGTCTCCTCGGCTGTGACAGGGGCTTCTTCTTCGACTGTAGGCTCAGAAACCTCAGGCTCAGCTTCAACCTCCTTTTCAGCGACTGGCTCGGCGATAGCTTCGGGTTGAGCATCCTCGGTAGCGGCATCGACAGGAGCAGGGGTCTCGACTGGTGCTTCAGTAGACTCCTCGGCAATCTCCTTGTGCTGAATCTCGACGGATTCTTCGGTGGCGGGCTCGGGGACAGCCTCCTGAGCAGATTCCTCAACAGGAGCCTCCCCAATGGCCTTCTCCTCAGCTGGGATTTCGTCAGAAACAGTCTCAACGACGGCCTCAGCAGCTTCGGGAACGACCTCCTCGGAAACTTCCTTAGACTCCTCAACAGGGACCTCGGCCACAGCCTCGGTCACAGCTTCGGGTTGGGTCTCCTCAACAGGCGCTTCAGGGGTCACTTCCTCCACGGGCTCGGCAACCTCTGGTTCTTGGACAGGAGCCTCCTCAACTGGTTCAGAAACCTCGGGGGTGGCGACAGGCTCGACGGCAGGGACTTCTTTGACTTCCTCTGAGGCGGGCTGTTCAACAGGAGTCTCTTCGCTGGCGGGCTCTTCAATAGTAGCTTCGGGCTCTGCTTCCTTCTCGGCGACTGGTTCCTCAACAGCGACAGGTGCTTCGGAGACAGGAGCAGCCGGCTCTTCGGTGATAGCAGGCTCCTCAGTGGCAATTGGCTCTTTGGCAACTGTCTCTTCTTGAATTAGCTCCTCCGCAGTGGTTTCGGGCTCGATCGCCTTTTCAGCAACGGATTCCTCAACAACGGGTTCCTCGATGGTGACCTCCTTGGAAGCAGTCTCTGGTTCGGCGACAGTCTCAGGAACAGGCTCCTCAACAGCAGGGGTTTCCTCGGTAGAAGTAGGCTCTGCAACAGCAGGTTCCTCGGAAGCAGGGTGCTCAACGACGGGCTCTTCCTGAACAGGCTCTTCGGTGGTGGTTTCGGTCTCAGCCCCCTTCTCGACAACTGGTTCCTCAACAACAGCCTCTTCAACAGCGGTCTCTGGTTCGGCCACAGCCTCGGTGACGGGCTCCTCAGCAGCAGCAGGCTCCTCGGTAGAAGGCTCCGCAACGGCAGGTTCCTCAGATGCAGGTTCTTCCTTGACGGGTTCCTCTGCAGTAGTCTCCGGCTCGGTCACGGCCTCAGCAACAGGCTCCTCGGCAGCAGACTCTTCAGTTACCGGTTCTGCGGCAGCCTCAACTGGCTCCTTGACCTTCTGTTCTTCCTCGACTGCCTTTTCTTCGACGGCATGTTCGGGAACGGTCTCAGTAGGCTCAGGGGCGGACTCCTCGGCGGGCTGCTCAGTAACAACTGGCTCAGAAACTTCCTCCGTAGCAGGCACCTCCTCGGCGGCCTCTTGGGCAACCTCAACAGGCTCTTCAACCTCAGCGGCTGCAGGCTCGGGAACAGCTTCCATGTTCAATTCCTCCTGAGCGGGGGTCTCTTCCACAATTTCTTCCTTGGTGATTTCCGCAACAGGCTCTTCTTCAGCAGCCTCTGGAGTTGACTCTTCGACCTTGGCGGCTTCTTCGACAGGCTCGGCAGCAGAAGTTGGCTCAGGGGTCTCGACAACTTCGGTGGTAGCTTCGGGTGCAGGCTCGGTGGCACTTTCCGTAGTAGTCTCTTGGGCGACTTCCTCCACTGGCTCAGAAGCGGCCTCCTCAACCTTGGCTTCCTTCGCAACTTCGACAGCGGGCTCTTCCTTGACGGTCTCCTCAACCTGAGAAGTCTCGGCTTCTTCAACCTTGGAAACTTCCTCAGTAGGTTCGACGGCCTCAGTCTCGGTTGTTGTTTCCACAGTCTCGGTAACAGCCTCGGAGGTCTCTTCAGGCTTCGACTCCTCAACAACGGCTTCCACAGTAGGCTCCTCGGGAGTCTCTTCGACCTGCTGAGCTTCTTCGACGGGCTTCGCAGCTGTGGTCTCGGCGGCTACTTCAACAGTCTCAGCGGCAGCCTCAGGGGCGGTCTCTGGCTCTTGAGCAGACTCTTCAAGCTTGGGCTCCTCGACGACAGGCTCGGGAGCGAACTCTTCCTTGGTCTCTGCAACAGGCTCATCCTGAGCGGCTTCTGGGGTTGGCTCTTCAGCCTTGGGTTCCTCAGCAGCTTCCACAGCAGGCTCATCCTTAACAGTCTCCTCAACCTTGGAAACTTCCTCGACAGCTGTAGCCTCGGCGGGTGTTTCGACGGTCTCAGTAACAGGCTCAGGAGCGGTCTCTTCAGACTTGGATTCCTCAACGGCTTCCACTGTAGGCTCAGTCTCTTCGACCTGAGAAACCTCCTCGGTAGCGGCAGGTTCGGCGACCACGGTCTCAGTGGTTTCGACGATATCTGCAACAGGTTCGGGAGCGGTCTCTTCTTCAACCTTGGAAACCTCCTCAGTTGGTTCGACGACCTCAGTCTCGGTTGTTGTTTCGACGGTCTCGGCAACAGCCTCGGAGGTCTCTTCAGGCTTCGACTCCTCAACAACGGCTTCCACAGTGGGCTCCTCGGGAGTCTCTTCGACCTGAGCAGCTTCCTCGGTAGATTCGGCGACCACGGTCTCCTCAACCTTAGAAACTTCCTCGGTGGCTTCGGTAGCAGTAGTCTCGGCAGATTCCTCAGCGGTCTCCGCAACAGGCTCAGAAGCGGCCTCTTCAGGCTTGGATTCCTCGGCGATTTCGACGGTAGGCTCATCCTGGGCAGTCTCCTCGACCTTAGAAACCTCCTCCACAGTCTCAGTAGCAGTAGCCTCAGTAGATACTTCGGCGATCTCTGCAACAGCTTCGGAGACAACCTCAGTAGACTCCTGTGATGGCTCCTCGGCCTCTGGCTCTGGAACAGGATCAGCAGGCTTAGACTCCTCGACAACAGGCTCGGGTGCAGATTCCTCCTTGACCTCTGCAACAGGCTCATCTTGAGTAGCTTCAGGGGTGGACTCTTCAGCCTTGACCTCGGGCTCCTCAATTGATTCGATTACTTCAGCCTCGACCGGGGTCTCTTCGACAGCAGGAGTCTCAGTAGCGGGCTCATCCTTGGCGACCTCAGGAGTGGCGACTTCTTCGGTAGCTTCAGGAGCAGGAGTTTCGGCGGGGGTGTCGTGAGTCTCTCCATTTGTTGTGGGAGCACTTTCGACAACAGACTGGGCGATTTCTTCCGTGACAGGCTCCGTTGGAGCTTCTTCGGGCTTGGATTCTTCGGTGACGGGCTCAGGAACAGATTCTTCCTCAGCAGCGGGTGTCTCCGGCTCTGTCTTCTCAGGAACTTCTTCTGTGGCTGCAGGGGCAGATTCCTCTACAGCGGGAGTTTCTTCAGTTGTGTTGGCGGCATCTTCCACTACGGGTTCCTCAACAGTTTCATTTGTAGCATCACCAGCTGCAGCCTCATCTACTACGGCAGCATCGGAGACAGACTTGTTCTTCTTCTTGTTCTTCTTTTTGTTCTTCTTCTTCTTGGACTTCTCAGCCGCGCCTGTATCCGCTTCGGTGGACTCGGCGGTGGTTTGATCTGGTTGGGAGGACTGCTCATCCACGGCGATTGGATTGGTCGACACGGATACAGGATCCTTGGTTAGAGTCTCATCCGAGACTACAGTAACGGTTAGTTTTTGTAATAACAAGTAAGAGAAATATCTCTCTAATTATTCTCACCATTATGGATTGCAGCGGTCGCCATGGTTGTAGGTCGTTAAATCGTAATGGGTCGTGATAGAGTGGGGAAATTAGGGACAAAGGATTTTCGCAATTTGACCAGCAAAAGCAGAGTAACGCAGGATCAAAGCAATTAGCTGTACAGCCCACAACACAGCTCACAGAGCACGATTGGGGAAGGAGATGGTGATGATAGTGTTTCTTGAAGATTATTACAGATTGAGAAGAGGGGAAGGGAAAAGATGGGAAGAGGGGGGGGAAAGCTCAGGCCAATAATTAAAAAAAAAAAAATCTTGTCCGATGCCCAACACCTGTACAACACACCTGCATCAGCTTTCCAAAGAAAAAAAAAGCACTTCCGAGGTCAGTGGGGCCAAGTACAGTTGGCACAGTGACCAACTCGTGCTAGAGTCATTTTAAGGCAAGTGGCACACCACCAAAGTGATTTAGTTCTCCAAGTCGTGTTTAGTCCCGGGTTTAAAGCCCATCGACGCCCAATGAACATTCTGGTTTTTGGGCTATCAAGGTCGATCCCCACTAGGAACCCAATATGCGGTGAAGCTATTGTCACCGAAGTTTCTTTCTTGTTTTTTTGCCCCTTATTCTTGGGGGGGGGAGTGTGGTACTGGTTCAATAAAGAGACTAGGAGTTCCCGATAAATGTGCAACATGCGGAATATGCACGTCTTTGTGCTTTTCAATGTACTTTTACTGTTCAATGATCTGGCGACAGCTCATGCGAACAGAAAAAAAAAACCTCGAGTGGAGGCACTAGTGGTGCAGGACCCATTGATAAACATGGACCAATGAGGGTCCCGTTCCCTCCACCTGTCAACTTCAACTGTTGACTCATTGGACTTTTGTACTTCGTACTTGGATGTAAAAGACTCGTCATTGCATTGAGATATTCCAAGTTTGATCATTTTTTGAGAAACTCTATAGATAGAGTCACTTTGTTTATGAGGAGAGGACAAGTTCAATATGTAGTTCCACTTCCAGGGCTAGTGATTGAGGGATCCATGGGACCAAGTCGGGTCAACGGCATGGCATGATATAATTTATCTCGCCCGTTTTTTATCGTTTTATGTCATCTTTGACCCTCACTTCATATAATGGATCAATATCAGTTTGAATTGTTCCACGATCGCTCATAACAAAGCAGAAAAGCCTTTGTTTACATGGCGTGCAGTTCTCCACACGGGCCACCCCGGACTCCGTGCTGGAGTGAGAATTTCTCCCAAATTCCGAGTCATCCGGAGCTCTGATATTGGGGGCGATTTTTTTTTTTTTGGTGGCTTTCATGTTTGGATCCTTCGAGCTTCAAAGCTGTGTTGTAAATCAAAGTCTTTATCGGGTTGAGATGTGCCTCGTGAGCACATGTGCCAAGGCGTGCCCTTGCGATCTTACATCCTGGAGATGCATATATAACTCTGAGAAAGAGGTCCGTGCTGAACCAGACCTTTTCAAAGCCTCACCGCAATTGACCCCATTAGTCCCGAGGTCAAGGAGCTTGTGGATCCTTGAAATGACGAGCAGTACATGAGCATGGACTTGAGATATCTCGGAATTCGGATCTCACTAGCACGATCATGTGTTTGCTATCCACTCAGGTTGGTGGGTAAGTGGTTGTTCCCTTTGTAGATATAAACAACTTGCACATGTGCTCTCCAGAGCTCCAGCCCTGTACGTAGACCCCCAGGGCTAAACCTTGAACCTTACAAGGTTCTGAGCCCTGCAGCTTACAAGGTTCAGCTTGACCCTGGGACAACCATGCACGTACTTAAAGCGCCACTAGTAGTACATAGTGCATATATCCTCGCGTTGCCTCGAATGCTCTATCTTCAATCCTGAGATATGGTCGTTGCTAAGATAGTGTCAGGTAGTCATAGTAACACATGTGTAGTACTGAGCATCTCGAACCTTGGAATGCTCAACCTTCGAACCTTAGAAGTGCTACTACTACTACATAGTAGTATGGATGTAAATTTGGAGATGCGTCTGAGTTCAAGTTCACATGTGCAGCACTTGAGTGTTTACTGGTAGAAGTACTTGACAGTGCTCAATCAATTGCCCAGGTGAAGCTTCCAATTAAGTTTAAACTCAACTCAAGTGCTTGAATTTCAAGTTCTCAAGTGCTGGGTTCAAATTTACGACAAAAAAAAATCAAATGGATGGATTCAAGTCATACTAATCACTCCCAGCGTGTAGTACCTGACTACTAGGTAGTATATAAATCGCCGGCGGGTGAATTCTGGGGATTCGGACGAAAATATATATCACTGGCGGCCCAATACTCTACCCAGAACAATACCTATACATATGCATTCTGACTCCGAGTCGGAACATTCAAGCTTGAGAACTTCAAAGGCTAATTTGAGGGTTTGATTCAATGAGTGGTCATACGATCAATAAATTTCATATTTTGATTCATGGAGGCTTTTTTCAAGTTGCATATCATAAAACTTTTCTTTTCAAATATTGAGATAATGTACCTGGAACGACCCGATGACGGCACACGATTTTCCCACGTGCTTCCAGAATTGCATTAGGTCATAATAACAAAAGTTGAGCCTCTTATCATAAGCCTTCCGAATTGGTGTAGTGGCTAACATCGTCGTCTCTCACACGACAGCCGGGGGTTCGATTCCCCCATTCGGAGTTTCTTTTTTGAACTTTTTTTTTTTGCCCTCACTACTCTGAAGTAGGAGCGAAAAAGGTGCTTTATTAATTTAATTTCTGAAAAATTTGTGGTGTTATTCACGAAGTCGCTACTCTCAAGCTTGAGATAAAACCTGGTTGCATACAGTGCTCATTGAGCACGCTGGCTAAATCCATGCGAAAGCACCTGGTCACCTACAGGTGGAAACCTAGCCTTTTTTTTGAAACCCAAAGGGTGAAATTTCATTTATACCCCCTCTGAATTCTAAACTACCTATCTAATAGTGCTATAGATTAGCTCAATAGATTAGGTAAATCCAACAAAATGGGAATTTGGTACGAGTACGACAGTAGACTTGACAATTGTTCTCACAATCCTGACCCGGTCCAGTTCTCATCTTGAACCTGTTTCCGGGCTAGCAGAATACACCGTAGCACGTAATATAGAGCTCAAGAAATACTTAGTCCAGACATCTTCCAACGCTACCTAGGTATCTTTCAACTTGGCCTGAGAAACACCCTAGGGATGTGGACTGCTATATAGTGCGACTTGGCATTGTCTCACGGTTTTGACTTTATCCATCCTGCAGGAATTATTAAGACGAATGAGATAAAATGCTCAACTTCGTTTGTAAATCTATATCTAACTTAAAGAGTAGTCAATTAATGCCCACAAAGCAGAATTCGCCATCATGATGTTCAAGTTCTAACTTGAAGGTTGCAAGCTCTCAGCGAAGTAGCCTGATATCTTCACCCAAAGCCGGGAGTCGACCCGGACTGTGGCTTGCATATGGCTACATGGATGAAGGACTACTGCATATGACAACATAGGTGAACACAAGTACTCCGCAAGAGACCCGAACACAGGATAGCTAGTCCATGGAGAAACCCCCGTTTTTAGCAACAACAGGCGAGCATTAGCGGAATGGGCCGTGGTGGATCAGCAAAAATAGAGGAACCTGAAGCCCATAGATTGCAGCAGCTAGACTCGAGCTTGCGTGCAGATCATTAAATGACGAAAGATCCATGGTGGTACTGCCGTGCAGAAAAGGATCAGAAAAGGATCCGACACTACACATGTCCTAAAAAGCAAGCGAGATATTGATAAAGCTCCGTGTTTAATATCCAATATTTAACTGGTTATCTCAATCTGATTGTCGACCCGCATTCCCATTCTAGAAATCTAGAGGAAGAGGATTAACCCGGGATCCTCAAATGACCCACCTAACTCAAGTACCTATCCAATGGAATCCGAAGAATGCAATTATAGGGTCCACTATAAACCAAAGGGACATAAGCATAGATCAAGATCAAAACTTGTGAAGGTAGGTAGCTTTGCATCACGACAGCGGCGAAATGGGGCTGATTAAATTAAACGCTCCACATCGCATCCATGCCCACGCAGAGCCTAGGCAGGATCCTCTTGATAACAGGACCCTTAGGGTATCCGTCGGTACTGACCTATCTCTAGCTTAGATCTCCCTCTAAACCTACGACATAGTATCTCTGATGTGACCTAAAGCATTCGGTGAGTTTAATGTAGAAACCAATGGCAAAATTAGCCGACTCGGTCTCCGAAGACGAGGATTCGGGCCGCATATGCAGCCTCGGGAATATAGAATTCGGCTTCTTCTGCATAGCCCGTTGATCTTCAGTGTCGGTGGATCTGTTTGGTCGCTATTGTCGAAGGTACCTAGATCCGTTTTTACTCAAGCACCAATTATTCAACAAGGACGCGCGTCACATCGGCATTTTTTGCTCTGCCTAGTCCTCCTATAAAAGTCTTGGCACATGAAGCCTGATTCCTTCACAATGCTCCGACCCATGAGTGACCCAAGGACCGTGGGAGAGCCAGCGTCTTGGAATGACCAATCGCGTTGTCATTATTGTCAAACTAGACATCTGGAGTAACTCACAGGATCATCCCGTGGGTCTCACTATCAATGAAACGAGTATATCCGTTCGGTATGAACATACCTCCGAGTCAACATTGATCGAAATTCTCCGATTGCGACTTTGAGCTCGGAAGCAGCTTGCTGCAGCACTACATCGAAGGTAAAGATTGTCGTTGACGGGTATTCGTTTTCCCTTCTATTGATAAGGGCAGAAGTAATGGATGAAGAGGCGAGCTGAAAAGGTATAAAAGGGCTTCGAAATCCAGTGCTGATGGTGCATTCCTCTCTCCGGCAGCTCAAAGCACTCTATTTCACTTGACAGTACTATTCTTTCATCATGCAATTGACTCGTCTTCTGACTTTGGCTGCCGTTAGTGGCCCTCTCATGGTCTCTGCTCACCCAGGCCATGTTGAGGAAGATGCCACCCCTGAGCTGAAGAACTACAAGGCAAATGTTCGTCGCTCAGCAGAAGGCTGTACTTTCCACTGGGCAGAGAACGGACTCCAGAGCCGTGCTGTTGCTCGTCGACAGGCTACTATCGATATGCATCGCCGTCGTCTGGAGAAGAAGGATTCTAGCAAGGTGCTCAACACCTCGCACTATGAGTCTGATATCAAGCTCAACTCCCCCTTCGAGGATGTGTGGTCCGCAAGCAGCATTCCTCTGAACCCAGAGGGTGAGAGTGGTCCTTACTGGGTTGTTGGTGAGCGTCTTCGCTCCAACATCCTGGAGAGCCAGCGAGGTGTTCCCGTTATCATCGAGGAGCAGGTAACAAAACCCCACAAATACCCAATAAAAAAACCTTTACTAAATGAAGATCTTTCACAATAGTACATCGATGTCGAGACCTGCGAGCCCATCACCGATATGTTCGCCGAGATCTGGGGTTGCAATTCCACCGGTGTTTACTCTGGCCTTGTTGCCGAGGGTAATGGAAACCCTTCAGATGTTGGTAACCACAACACTACCTTCCTGCGTGGCGTCCAGCGAACCGATGAGGATGGTGTTGTCACCTTCCTGACCCTCTTCCCTGGCCACTACGACGGTCGCACCACCCACCACCACGTCGTTGCCCACTTGAACACTACCTTGCTGCCCAACAACACTCTTGCCGGAGGCTACTACCCCCACATCGGCCAGTTCTTCTACGACCAGGACCTCATTGAGAAGGTTGAGTCCACCTACCCATACAACACCAACAGCATTCCCCAGACCTCCAACAAGGATGACCGTGTTTTCTCTCAGGAGACTGAGGGCTCTACTACCTCTGACCCTGTTCTACACTACACTTACCTTGGTGACAAGATTGAGGATGGTATCTTCGCCTGGGTCCAGGTTGCTATCAACACCTCTGCTCACCACTACCCTTACTACACCAACGTTCTCACTGACGATGGTGGTAAGAACGTTACTGGCACTGACTGTGGTTCCTACACCGTGATTGACGGTGGTCTTTGCAACACCACTTCCAGCGACTAAATCAGTGGAAAGTGATGTATAACGAGTTATCTTCATGCAAGCACGACTGTCCTTAAAATACTGCCTTATATGTGCTTGATGTTCTGAAGGATATACCATGTCTTTTCCTTCAAGTTGCTATATAGACTAGAGTGAGCACTGTGACTGAGTTAGAGCCATGAATAGAAATATTGAATTATCCATATATGATATTCAAACAACCTAAGTCATTATTTCAAGTTCCATCCATGCATGTGCCCAATGGCCTTAGACTAGAACTTGAATTTACTTCTAAACAATATGGACAATTAGTATTAGCACTTGTCGCAGGTGAGTATTATTTGCACAAGAAAAAAGAAAATGGAAATTCAGCAGGACCAGGGATCGAACCCAGGACCTTCAAAATCAGAAATGCGTGAATAGCATCAACAGCTCTCACTTGATACATCCATCGCCATCACAAAATCCTTTCTATCTCGCTCAATTATTTTTATTTTGAGAATCTGAGAAATGGAATAGAAAGAGGAAGGTTAGAAGTATAATGGGTAAAAATATAGAAAATTAAAAAAAAAATCATTATTCCCTGGCCGAAGCCAGATACCCTCCCACCCGCCGGTAAAGTCTCTGCCACTGAAGATGGGTCCAGCGTCCGCATTTCAGTACCTTTGTCCCCCAGAAGGGTCGCCGACCGCTAGACTAGCAGAGCAGAGAAGTTAACTGGGGATCTTCTTACTCAAATATAAGGGAGCTCTGCTTCCTTTAATAGTGTTTAACCAGTTTAACTCTCCACTTTTTAGTATAATCCTTATATTTAGATATCAGAAAAAAATAAATTAAAACAATATGTTCTAAATAATAAAACATTCTAAGATTTTAATATTACTACCTATTCGTATTCTGTATCCCTGTAGTAAGTAATGCCTACTATCTATTGTCTACTATGTTGGCTTAATGTAATGATTTTTTTGAATAATCATCATGCAGGTGGTTCCAAGGTCACATTTCTATGATCTCAAAACTATCAGGAAATCTTTCATAAATATACCCAGAACAAGTTCAAATATTATAATTTATTTCACGAGGACATACCCTAGTTCTCCAAATGTTGAACTTCGGTCTTATCACCATAAACCACCTTCTTCGCGCGAAGTCCAATATCTGTAAAAACATGAGTCTTACACTTCCTCGCCGGAACATGCTCAGTGAAAAACTTTGAAATCTCCGTCTGAGTCCTCCCCTGAGTTTCACCAACACCGAACCAAACCCAAGCAAGGGACGTAAGTGTTGTAGCCGCATAAACAAATCCAACCATAGGATCCAATCCTGCATCCGTGAATAGATGTGGAGCCGTAAACGAAATCACCCATAAAAAGAAGTACAGCGCTACAACTGACACGGAGATGATTTTGTTCTGATTAACACTCACCGAAAGCTCTCGAGTCACTGCATAAGTTTAAGGTCCTAGTCCGAAATTGTATGCGCAAATGACAACATAGGAAAAGACGACAATGAGATATTTGGATCCCTTGGTAAGGTTATTCTGTGTACCGAGAGCGCCAATGATGATAAAGGCTAGGAAAATTGCTGTTGTGCTGATGAGTAGATTTGTGCGTCGCTTGAGTTTATTTGCTGTTAATACGGAGGCGGCGACGGCGAAGATCTGCAGGATCATCGTAATGAGGCTGACTGTGAAAGGGTCTGATATGCCGATCTCTTCCGCGAAGACTACCCCGTAGTTGTAGAAGAAGATGATGCCGCAGATATGCTGCGCGTACATGCCACCTCCGGCCCAGATCAGTTTCTTGCGCTCGATTGGGTCTAAGAATAGAGATTTCCATGATGATGCTGTCAATTGCTCTTCTTCGTGCTCTCGTTCCTGCTCGAGGAATGCGATGTCCGCGGATGGATCGTAGGTTGGGTCGTTTTTGTTGATCTTCCGGAGAGATGCCTCTGCATCACTTGTTCGCTTTCTCGAGATGAACCATGTGGGACTTTCGGGGATAAATGGGAGGAGGATGAAAGCTGCAAGTGAGAGAATATCAAGACCGCCCATTGGTAGTTTGTAGGAGATGGAGGAGTTTATCGAGTTGGTGCCTTGCGTGAGACCCGCTGCGACACGTTGAGAGAAAGACTGCAGGAATTGGTACATATAGAGCGCTGGGCTTCGGATCTCGAGCGGAGCAATTTTTCCCATACTGGTAAATGTTAGTTTTGAAGTCTCAATTCTAGGTGGTGCTGAATGAGCTTACTAGAGAAGCGATGTCACTCTAAAGTTTCCCACACCAAGACCAATGAGAATCCGTCCCATGACAATGATACCCATGATATCGGTATCAGCAACTTGACTAACACCTCCAGCCAGGGCAAAGAAAGCAGCAATCCACATAACGGTCTTTGGTCCAAACCGATCCTTCAGTGGACCTGCAATCAGTGCGCCAAACATATCGCCAATATAGATGCTCGATGTTGTGAGAGACTGAAAGTCAGTTGCGAGTGCCTTGGCACCATTCTCGTAGTAGTTGCCAAAGTCATTCTTGAATGTTTGCATTCCAAGAATTCCACTATAATATGTGTTGTCATAGCCAAAGACAAATGCGCCCACAGCGGAGATGGAACAGTAGATGATTGCCCATTTATGGCGGTGGAAGTCTAAATCAATGCCAAGCATCTTGCAAGATTTCAAGGCTCAGCTTTCGATTATTGCGATATCCAGCCAAAATACCGATATACAAGTAATGTGGGAAGACGCATCTTTAAAGCTCTGAAGCTAACCTGGAACAGACTCGTGAGCACACTAGCACCCCGCATTAACTGGAGAGGTCCATGGAGGACTCCTCGGAACTTGCGAGCATCATCATAGCCTAGAGAAGGGGAGTCTCCGCAATCTTTGGCGTGCGGAGGTAAAGTTCGAGTATCGGAACGGAAGAAGAACAGGGATGTGAAGCACATATCAATTCCAAAAGTAGATCCGATTGGTCGGCGGTATTCAAACGTTCAACATTGAGCACTAGATATTATGGAGAGACAGATAACAGGGATGTTGAGTGGGGGTACCGGTCCAGGATCCCAGATCTACAGTCCAATTAGCAGAGACGAATGAATGAGAGTTGCCGAAGATGCGGGGGTCGACACAGTGGGCCCAGAGACCTCCACCCGCGGCTTACCCCACGGGGAAGAGACCCTCAGACCGCCCCGTCTGCTATGGCTCGTTTAGTGTGGGAGTTGATATAGAGAGATCATCGCCACTGACGTGCTATGGCCTGATGATTGGATGTTTGTGCACATATTTTGGCGAATCAACGAGATGTCATTCCAGGAAGGTCTTCAAACCATGTTAGTACAGTCTAGCCGGGGGTTTCAGAGTGCTAGATCAAGTCGATATTGTGCCGTGTAGGTACATCGAGACTAAATGTGGCTGGTTAATTCATATCCGAGGGTCATACACTATTGCTCAAATCTTTATTTGTCACTGGTATCAGGTTCCAAGGTTGGCAGGCTTGGCTAATAATCAATTCTGTGAGAAGGCGGTCCTTAAATGACCTATCTAAATGATCATACGATCAGAGTCCTGGGATTCAGTACGGAAATTTTGGAAACTTCAAAAAAGTTCATTCATCAAATATTAGTATGCGCCAGACTAAAACAAGCTAATAAGCATGCTTCACTGGAAAAAGAAAGATTCGCTGACGAGGCTCAGGTCACCGGTACGTGCAAGAGACAAAATGCCAGAAACAACTTAAAATGTGAGAAAGCTTGCCAAAACATCAAAAGCAAAATCCGAAATTGATGAGTAACTGCATTCCTAAAGTCTGGGCATAGGTTCAAGCGTGCATGGACAGACGGGCAACGGAATTATCTGTAGATGGGTGTAGGTGGATCATCATCATCAGAATCGAGTTCATTCCATGGGACACCGTCTCTAGGCTCTTCACCCAGCTCATCGGTATATGCACGAATGAGTGCCGGCTGGATGTTCTTCGGCGCCTTGTGAATTGCCAAAGACATGGCATCCATCTTCTCTTCAACCGCATCGACAAGTGAGTTTCGAGCATCAAGCTTTTTGAGGACGTAGGTGGCCTTGGGTGTGCTCAGCTCCTGCTCAATACTTTCAATCCCGGAGAGCAATGCAACGGTGTTACGCAATTCCTTCAAAATTGGATGATTGTGGTCGGGAGTGACTGGTTCAGTGACATCAAATGAAACCTTACGTTTCTTGGGAGTTTCTAAAGCAGAGCTTGATGATGCTGGCTCGGAAATTTCAGATGCTTTGCGCTTGTTGGTCAACTTTGTGGATTCAGTCTCTCGCAGCTTCGCAGTCTGTGTAGTTTTGGAGCCGTCTTGAGGATCACTGGTTGATGCCACCTTGGGTCTGGCACGTCTTCTGGGCACGACTATCGCAGCGTCTAAATCTGAGTCATCACTCTCGGAGTCAGAGGCTGATATGATGCGAGCGGATAATGGATGCAACTTGTCGGATTTCTTAGAAATAGGTGGCTCCTTCGTCTTGGATGATTTGTTTGAATCGGTGGTAGCCTTGCCTTTTGCTGGAATCTTACGCTGAGCAGGCGTCTTTGGCTTGGCAGCTTTATCAGCTTCTTCAACAGCTTCAGGTGAGGTATCTGATTTAGAAGTCGATTTGGCTGCAGTTTGTGACTTCTTTGGAGTCTCAGGCCTAGCAGTGGTCTTTTTTCGACCCGCAGCCCCTGGCTTAGTAGCCTTTTCCGGCTGAGTATCATCCACAGGATCGTCATCTTCGGCAACACCCCCATCCTTAACTGCAGGCCCAGATTTGGCGGCTACCTTCTTCTTGGGCGCCGGCTTTCCACTAGATGCTTTGTCTGGAGGCGATGCTTTGGTTTCACAAGCAGTATTGCTCTTCCCTGAAGCCTTGTGACCGGGAGAAGGTTTAGATTTTGGAGAAGCCTTTGTCTTAGCACCTTGTTTGGGTCCAGTAGGCTTTTTTGCGTCCTCCGTCTCCTGCGCAGCAGTGTCGTTCTTCTTTGCGTCCTTAGGCTTGGCAGGCGACTTTTCATTGCCTTGAGCCTTTCCCTCGTCCAGTGTTTTCTTTGAAGTTGGTTTTTTAGCCTCAACGGTAGTATTTGACGTGGCAGTCGTTTTGACTTCGGAGGTCTTTGGGTCTTTGGCTGACTTAGCTGCTGGACCAGCTACCGCATTTGATTTGACTTCTTCTTTTTGTGTGGAAGAGATGCCCGAAGGGTCAATCAAATCATGTCCAGAGTCTTTCTGGGCCTCGGACTCAGCCTGTTGATTGGATTTGGGGATTTTTTCTGCTTGAGCATTTGGTGGGACCTTTGCCAGGGTATCTTCTTTGGTGGAAGGTTGAGCCTCAACCCCAGAGTCCAAACCGGAGGAATCGTGTGAGCTTGCTGTAGCGCTGTCTTTTGCCACTGTGCTGGACTTGATAGTCGTCTGCAAGTCAACTGAAGATTGTGGCTTGGCGTCAGCATCGTTCTTCGTATTTGAGGACGCAATGATAGGTTCGATAGCAAGTATGACGGACTTGTATCTGGCAGACGACTGAATCAAGGGTTCCGGTTCTCCAGACTGGGGCTCATCCGCCACGGGTTGTTGTTCAACGGTCTTCTCGCTCATCTTGTGAGAGCTTGTTTCACCCGGATTCTCCGATTCTTCAGTGGTGGGACAGCTTAACTTCTCAGGAGACATTGTAGACGATCAAGGGGTTGAAACGAAAGGTTATGAGCGATTGAGCGGTGATTGATGCCTAATAAGATGAGGCTAGCGTCAGACTCCTATAAAGGCGAAACGAAGTAGTATAATGCTTACTAGGAAGAGTCTTGCTTGATGGTTGCAAACGCCAAATGTGTTGATGGTAGAATATGAAGAGAGACCGGAACAAGGAAAACGAATAAAAGCTTGTAGAGATGCGGTCTTAAACGCGAGTCTCTAGTTTGTAGGAAGATTCCGGTTTAAAACGATGGGTGTAAGTGTGTTGACATCCATCTCTCTCCTCTCACTTCCATCCCCTCTCTACCCACTTCTTACCCCCAAATACGTCCTAAGTCCCCACCTTCAAATTCGCCCTGTCAAAACGGGTTTGTTTATTTTCTCTGTCTGAGCCGAGCATGGAACTGAAGACCGAGAATGAAAAGGCCCTTCCCATGACACCTGAATTCGAAGATACAACTGAGTCTCACCACCATTCCCAGCTTTTTGTTGACGCCAGCCAAAGACAGCACTCTCCATTTAGCCAATCCAATTCTGATCTATCAGGATTAGGTATTGAGTCGCAACTCCCAAGCCCCCAGCCCGGAAACAGCCCCCAGCACGGAAACGCGTTCTCTCGACTGAAGCCTCCGGACGTGATGCCCACTGAAACAAACGCCTCTGAAACTGAAGACTGGGAAATTCATGGTCAGTAGCGGTTCTCCATCCTTCTAGGCTGCATTTATCTTTGAGTTATTTCCATTGGACGCGTTATCAACTGACAACAAACAGAAAAATCAGGCAACTCAGGCACCTCAGGCACCACTAGCCCCGTTGAAGTAGCTCGTCGTCCCCACGTACTTCGCAAGATGTCCAGTATCGACTACAACAACGTGCTTGGAGTCCCTGGGAAGAGGAGTCAGGATTTTCAGTCAAATGAGGATGTTTCAGAGCTTTCGGACCCCTTCGATGATGAGAGTGAAAAGTTGAATGTCACCAAGAGACGCGTGTTCACTGAGCCTCTTCCTGCGGACATGACTACACCCAAATTTGCCAGCCCTCGCGACACCAATCCCATGAACACCAGAATGTTTACACCGGACCCTTTTGACATGGGCCTTCCCGATACGGGCCTTCCTGACGCAAGCTCTGAGGATGCCAATCGTTCGGGACCCACTAAAGGCAAAAAGCTGTCTCGCTTTGCAATTCTACGAGCCAAGCTTAGTACGAAGGATTTGCACAAAGAGAGCGCAAAACAAGAATTTGCTTCCAATGCGGCAAAGCCTGCCATGCCAGCTCATCGAGCTTTCACAGGTAGCGGGATACCCAGCCCCTCTTTTAATCTCCACGGAAACAAAGCAAAGCAGCCCTTGAACCCGGCCAGAACCCAGAAAATATCAGCACCCACTCTCATACCATCTTTGACGAGTGGCCAAATTCCTCAAAATGCGCGAAGAATACCTGTTCCCCCACCTGGAATGCTTTCCAATCTTCATGGAACATCAAGCCAGAGTCGTCGAAGCAGTGCGATAGAAAGCCAGGCCAAGACTCAGTCCGAGTTCACCAAAGAAAAGCCTGAGTCGGTAGCTAAGATGGCAAATCGAACACTCTTTCAGAAGCGCCCAGGAAATGTTGCAGCTCCTCTTTCAATTGGAGCTGCCTTGAAGAAACCATTACCCGCAAAACCGGTCTCTCCATCGGATACTCCTGTCTCTAAAGCTTTGCCGCCTAAAGCACGTCAAGTTGTCGAGGGAGAGGAAAAGCTCAAGTCTCTTCCAAAGAGTGAGTCAAAGCGTTGGTCAGGAAAGTTGCAGCTCCCAACTTCCAAGAATGAATCTCCTCAGACCCCAAATCAGAAGGGTTCGAAATTCCTTACACGCCTGGAGAAGCCGGAGACCCCATCCAACACACCGAAGAGTGTCGATCTGCAAAGTCGCAACACAACTGTTCAAACTCAAATTGATGACATTAAGGACAAACTCCAATCAATCCAGCGTCAGTTAGATTCTGGGGCAGCTAACATGAGTCGAAAAGTCGAAGATCTTTCGACTTGGGTTGGTGATCACCTCAAGAATCAAAGCGAAGCCACCTCGGACCTAAACCGTACCAACGCCGATCTAATTGCGAAGCATTCTCAGATGTCCCGTGAAATATTGAAATTTCAACTTGACGTCCGACTCGATATCGGTAACATGGATCGGAGATTGTCAATTTTTGAAAACAAGGTTCTGGATGATCTACAGAACGAAGTTCGATCTCTGGCGCGGGTGTGCGAAGAACTGAATGAGAAAACTGAGCTACTGATGGAGAAATGTGCTTTCGACGGTACCCAGAGCTTCATAGAACAACAGGAGGAGAAAATCAAGGATATCGAGTTACAGATTGCCTATTTGAAGGACCGCTCGGCCAACGTGACCTCTCATGAAATCGCTCCTTTCCCAGCAGCACGACAGGTCCCATCGCGCCCAAGCCTCTCTAGCCATGGGAGCATCGAGCCTCTGATTAGACAAGTGAGGCCCATACCTTCAATTCCATCGGAACCTATTCAGGAAAGTCCCGACCGCCCTCGGGCTCCTTCCATGTCAGAGAACAAGCCGCTCGGCATGTTTCCACGCAGCGTCTCGGTGACTGGAAAGGGTTTCCTGAAAGGCATCAAGGATATTGCCTCCAGCTCTCCAGATGCGACCAAGGAGAAGAGTATTGAGAAAACCAAGAATAACGAGGATGCTAAGAAATGGAACATGTTTGGACTGCGCCGTCGACGAGATTTCAGCGATAACTCTGCCAAGTTCGGTTGGTCTCCTCGTCCACGTCGGGCAAAAGATCCTCAGGCTTCGGACGTCACTAGGTCCCGATCTTCCTCACCTCCAGGTCCCCCGATTGTGCGAGATATTTCTTACGGTGTCGAGCGGAGACCTACTCCATTCCCGACAAGCCTAACTCAACCCTCGTCAGGGAGCCAACCGGATGACTCTGCTACAACCTCCCATGACACTGCCACTGAGCCCTCAAACTTAGTTGTGGAGCTAGAGAAGAGTGTCTCCCAGTCGTCTGCTGATGCTGTTGTCGAAGAGAATCCGCAGGAAATTTCATCAAGTGAGACTGTTCATCCGGTGCGAGAGGAGACTCCTGAGTCCGAGAAGGAGGTATCTGCTTGTGAGCCGTCATCCCCAGATACAGTCGTTCATCAACCTACCGCTACAGACGGTATTGCAAAGCAGCCAGTTTCAAGTGATGCCGAGCAGGACTGGGATCGAGTTTCTGTGCGGGAGTCCAAGGTGAATGAGGGTGACAACCAACCCCCACCTGGAATGTTTTGAGATCTGCGATTAAGAGAATTGTTTAATGTTTATGTCAGTTGGTTTGTTCTCCGAGTATTGAAGGAAGAAAAAGGGTTACAGAAATGAGGTTGGTTCGGTTTTTTTGCCAAGTGATGTCGCGCATAGGTTATGTCTACGAAAAGAAGGAAGCTGATTTTGATTGATGGTGGAAATCGTATCTGACGATTTGATTTTCACACATTTGTACCATTAATGTACACTATGTATCACAGATTGCCCACAGCAACAATATGAATTGTTTTAGTTCAATTTTCTATGAGTGCAAGACACCACGGTAAATAATAGCCAGGTCCGAGTCAGCGTCCATATGTTCGTGCTTGCATATTTGCTGCTGGGGTTACCATCCAGATGTCTCAGCTCCTTCCAAGTATGCCAGCCCATACGTACTAGTTAAGACTCAATCAAATTGCAGCTTCAGATCGAAAAATCATAGGCTGATTGAAGGCATGTGTTAAATCAAGATTACCTACTCGTGGGCTCTCCAACCAATTTGGACAAAAACACATTGAAAATTTCCCTGTTCAGTCCCTCAGACTCATCCACCTCCTGAATCAAATTCCTGGTAGCAACAATCCGCTCAAAACTCCATTCTTGAAATAGTTTATCTAAATCAAGCTCTCTGAACACTCCCTGGACTTTCAGAACCTCATCGCTGTTCTGGCTACCGTAGAAGGTCTCGAGAATACTTCTCTGACTTTGATTGCACCTCTGAAGAGCTTCTAAAATAAGCCAAGTCAATTTGTTCTCCTGGATATCATTTCCCATTTTCCCTGTGATACTGGGATCTGCAAACACATCTGTATAATCGTTGTGTGCCTGGTAGTATTGCCCAAGATGGAGCGCTATTCTCCACACTTCCTTTAGATTCTTTGGCGTTGCAAGCTGAAGATAAATTAGAGGAAGCACCAGCGGTGCATAAAAGGTGTAGGACGTAGTTTTTCGCTCAGTGATGAACTCATATTTCTCTTGAGTAAACTGGGATAGTCCCCCGTAATGTCGAGAGGCTGTCAACAGGTCATATGATTGACCTAGTTCAACCTGCAATGCGGTCTCTTGAAACAACTCGACTAGATCGTGGTATAAGGGGTGCTCTTTGAAGTATATTTTGAGAATGATGTAGATTGTAGAGTTGAGAAGACACCCGTCATTGACGGCCATCATTCCAATCTCCTCGTGGCGATACCAGCATGGCTTTCCGCGGCGCGTAATCGAGTCGTCCATAATATCGTCCCACATTAGGAATGCGGCATTGAGGATCTCGATTGACCAGCCAAGAATAATGAGATCCTGTGTCTGTTTTTCTCTCAGATGGTCATTTTTTAATATCTTTGCTGTGTCGAGGACTGTGGAGCATCGGTAGAGTTTTCCACCTTGGATGTTGAGGAGGAGACACTATGGGTAGGACAAAAGTCTGTTAGCGCACGAAAATATTTTTTGTATATTCCAGTTTACTTGCTTTCTTATACGATTTAACTGCATCAAGCGGGACTCCCGAGTCGAGGAAGTGTGTCGCAAGAGTTTCAGCAAGGGTCACCAGGGTGGCTTCGAATTCAGGACGCTCTGCCCTAGACATGTTGATGTATGAAGAAGCACAACCTGAATCTTGGAAAGTGATTGCTTTCAAAAAAGAGGAAAGATGTGGACGTAGATCGGGCTCTGTGAACTCCCTATTTGGGACAGTCCTTGCGCAGGTCACGGCGTCGGTGTTTTCTCGACCTGGGTCAGGAGGCGTGAATGAAGTACTTGAGCTTTAGGTAATTCTGGTAGTCATACGAATGGCAGGTTTCATGCTTAAATAGGACTGGTTGGAATATGACTATTCATGGTCAATGTTAGTTTCATGTGTGAAACAAGGTGTATACCATGTTGTCCAACATGAAGGCCGAGTATCCGGGGGTGAGGTGGACCAACTTGAAGCACACGCATGGAACAGGGATCTTGTAGCATTAGTCTGCAGTACATAACCACCTGGTTTAAAAACTTGAACTTACTACTTATGTTTCGCTCGAGGACACATACTAGTAGACAGATCTCAGATGGATTCCCTTGTGCGGGTAGACCACGGGCTATTTTACATGTGATTCATGTGACCAAGTAGAAGGAAAGTCGCTTCAAATTTGTATACATGTCATTTTAGATATCAAACTATTCCATCTGTAGGTATTCACAAAATCACCGTGTCGTCTATTTTGTAGCATTCATCATCTTCTCAATATCAATGGCCGCATCGCGGACCTGCGGACAGTAATGCTTGCGTAATAACTCGCCTTCCCAAATCGACCCAGCAAACACATTCGTACCTTCAACATCATTTGCGTAAGCATTGAAAACACCATCGCCCTTCCGCTCATCAGAGTGCCAAAGTGACGAGATGTGTCGCCCGTGGTGCCTGGAGACTTGGGTCATAAGTGAGAGTGACGCAAGGGCCGACTTCTCGGGAAGCTGGAGTGAGGTAGTCATAATGCGCTTGGCGAAGCCGGCAAGTCGGCCAGCTGGTGGGTTTCCATGGGCCCGAGAGAGAAGAGTCGACTGGAGACAGCGAAGAACCAAAACCATGGGGGTCTGGAAGTTGACCTTGTTTTTGGTTCGAATTCTGGTGGACTCTTCGGGAGCATTGGGGTCTGGAAGACGGAGAGAAGTATTGGGATTGAACTCGACATCCGGGTTGATGGATAGACCGTATAGGCTTCGGTATAGATGTTTAATGAAAAAGTTGAGATCCAAGTGAAGAGTTTGGGCGGCCTTGCTAGTGTCTTGTCCATCAAGCAGAGCAAAGGCAGTGACAATGCACAGGAGGGCTTCGCGTCGGGTATCACGAGTGGTAGTATCTTCATCTTCGTCTTCATCCTCATCACCTCCTTCTTCTGCCTTCAATTCCTCACGCTCTGCATGTCCAATCAAATCCTTCATTGCCTCCAGCAGGTCACCGAAGAAGTCCTGATTGATGAGACGGGCGTACTTGGCGAGACCCTCCAGAACGGGACCCATAAGATGGGGAATTCTTTGCTTCAGAATGCGGAAGTAGACACCAAATACAAGTTTCAAGGTTTCGGCTTGATTCTTATCACGCTCCTCATGAGAGACCAGCGCATCTGCTTGTTTCATATCTTTCTCGACTATCTTCCGCTCTTTGTGCACCTTGCGCTCGCGTTTTGTGCGGAACTCGCGCTTCGGCTTTTGCTTCTTGGTGCGAACAGGCGCTCCCTCGTCCTCACGGTCAATCCGGTCCTGGGATGCCTTGAATGTAAATTCACCCAGGAGACGGAGATGAAGGAATGTATCCAAGACACTCTCGTGGATGCCGAACTCTCGGGCTTTCATCATCTTTGCTAGGAGACGGACGGCTTCGAGAGAAACGACACCGTCAATATCCTTTGCAAAAACATCCTCCACGGTCTCACGACACTTTGCCATGTCGGCATCCACATTTTTCCGTGCCAGTCGGTTGACAATGATCTTCAACAATTCAGTCCGGAAATTGAAATGGGGCACAGCCTGAAGCATAGTGCAGGCGCAATTGATGGCCATAGTCTTCAGACTGGCGTCCTTTTCAGAGATCTGACCGCGACCAGGCTTGGCCAACGCGGCTAGTTTGTTAACATAGTTTCTGTATCCGGAAACGAGACCTTGTTCGAAGTCGCGCAGCTTGCGCACATCCTTTGAAACCTTGGCAGCCTTGTCCTCTTCGGTAAGAGGGCGAATGCGATATCCTGGAATAACATCCTTGTACACCGCAGCCTGTGACGCCAATGCTAACTTCTTGACTGTGACTGGCGAATCTGGGTTGTCTACCATATCAGCCATTGTCTTGAACAAAGCAATGTGATCCTCGGGATCCTCGTTGATCAACGACGCAATCCGAGCCAGGTCCTCCTTGGCTTGCATGATTTGCACCTTTATGGGAATCTTAGGCTTTGGTGGCTCGGCTTCCTCCTCGGATTGCTCATCACCGGATCCATCTTCCATCTCGTCATCGTCGGTTCCCAGAAAGCTGTCTGTCTCATCCGCTGCATCTTCTGGCTCTGTAGCAGTTTGAACGAAACCCTCGGAGGTTTTGATAGGCAGTCGGGTGAGTTCGTTGTCTTTTTTGTTCGTTTTGCGCGGGCGGCGCTCGTAGTCCTGCTCGACGTCCCACTCATTCTCATTGGTGTAGAGTTCGGCATTCCGCGAAGAAGGCTTGCCTCCTTCTGTAGAAGGACTCAATCTCCGCCTTTTTACTGATTGTCCACGCGCCATTTTGTGTTTTTCAAAAGCGTTAAATCTGCGAAAGTCTAAGACTCGCAAAGCTCTGCGGCGGGAAAGGCGGTGCGGAACTAAAATTTTCTGCCGCTATTTTTTCCCTCTCCGCCCAAATTTTCTCATATCAAAGATATCTGCAGCACGACAACTTCAGCTTTCTGATAATCCAGCAACCGCCAAAATGAGATCCCTCACAGAAGAAGAGCTGCGCACTTTCCTGTCTAAGCTTGCAATTTACTGCAGCAGCAATCTCTCAGAACTGATCAAATCGACCGCCGATGATTCCAACGATGAGAACTCTCGCATGGTTTTCCGCATACAGGGAAACCGTGTCTTTTATATGCCCCTTCGCCTGGCCAATTTGGCTACTTCTATCCCTCGAGCAAGCTTGTGAGATCCCACGGAATTTTTGCGTCTGTAAAGACCGAGACCTAACCGTTTTATAGGCTGTCCTGCGGAACCATGATGGGCAAGTTTACTAAGACCGGCAAGTTTCGTCTTGCTCTCACGTAAGTAGAACCAGTCATGAGCTTTCAATATCCATTTTATATATGTGCTGATACTTGGTAGCTGTTTATCCGTCATAAGCCCCTACTCCAGGACAAAGATTTGGATTAAGCCCAACGGAGAGATGCCTTTCCTCTACGGTTCCAACGGTACGGATCTCAATCGAAACGAAGTGAAAGCGCCATTTTCTGATAGCAATTTTCTTCCAGTTGTCAAAGCCCACGTCGGAAAGATCTCAGAAGACTGCCCCGAGCACAGTGGTTGCATTGTATACTCCATGGATGGTATGTCCCCTCCAATTCCAAGTTCGTGAATTCTGCTAACTATTCCATTTCGATAGATACCCCCCCTTGTACGTGTCTATTCCGCCTTTTCTAACCGGTATACAACTAACCAAGGAAACTTTTGTCTCGTGTATAGGGATTTGGAGGTGAGTCGTATTTGATTGCGCCATATTTATTTTTCTATGCTAACCTATCAATCTAGTTACTGCCCGTTCGAGCGCTGAAATGCGTAAGCTTGAGCCAACTGCTATTGTGTTGTTCCGTCAAGCGGATGTTGGTAAGTCTAATTGGTTGAAATTCGATACTTCTTCATTTACTAATATGTCTTACAGGAGAATATTTGCGCGAGGCATGTTGCCCCTGCTTGAAAAAGCCTACGCCTACCCTGCCTCCTGAATTATTGCTGACTTTGTTTATAGGAGGATACCCTTTTCACTACCTAAAGAATCTATTCGGGTGGAAATTGGATTGGAGTTATGGAGTTACGAGTTGTCAATACAAAAGTGTTCTTCCAACTTGAATGCCCAGGTCTATCGCCATAAATATCATTGTAGTGGTATTACCCGTATCAAAATACTATAATCTTCGAACAAGATGATGCACAAAAACTGTAACTGTCACCGTCAATGCCAGTGATGACCGTGCTCCAGAAATAGAGACTTTTGTAACCTTGGAATTCGAATGTCAAACTACATAGTACTACTACTAGTATTTATTGCCTAGATGGTGGCCCACACGTGCATGATCCTACAACTTCAGGTTTTAAATGCCCAGGTTACGATATCAGTGGGTAGGAGTAGTCAAATGAGCTTAAGCATATGTCTATTATAGACTTTAAGTTAGAACCCGTCTATGTCTAAATATCTCTCAGAGAGTCTCAAAGATCTGGAATGTTAATGGAGATAAGATAAGATAAGTTAAATGGAAGCCTTAGGCATCAGCTGAGTAATCGACATCGGAGCCTTAGGTGCAGCCCTGGAGGCCTATGTGCCAGGCATAGACACACATCAGACCAAGAAGTGAATGAACAGAGATTCACCAGAAATCACCACACCTCAGAATTAATTCCGCTGTAAGTTCCGCGCTCCCTCTCTCTCTCACCCCACTCCCCATCCTTTTTTCCCGCTCCATCTTCAACCTCCCAAACCACCACCATGACCGAAATGAATCGCGAGAATGCTTTGTCTGTCCTTGCATGCTTTGAGCCACCTAGTAATGAGGGGCCTCCAGATGCAGCTGTTCAGCAGTTCGTCGAGCAGACTGGAATAACTGCAGACGAGGCCTTGGATGTATTTCTCACCTGCCCACTTCCACTCCGCGCTCCGCCCCGCCTTGGTGCGCGGAGGCATCTCCGCTCCGCTCTTCTATATGTATCTTGGACTAGAGCTAACATGATGTTATAGTGGCTGTCTCGTTGCCCTGGTCTGACTTACGGCGAAGTTGCTTAGTGAGTACCTATTCCATTTCAGCCTGAGCCAAATTTGCGAGCTTTATCCACCAATATCTCAAAGTCTTGTTTTACCAAGATGGACTTCGTTTTATCTTGTGTTGTTGTTCCGTCCTATGTCGATGGCAATATGCATGGCACGTGCGAATCACGCCGTCCCATCTATTCCAGACTGACGCCTATTTCCCATCTTTCCCATCCCCTCCATAAACTCCTTCCCTCTCTCCCATCTCCAACCACCGGACTTCAGTCTTGTCATTGCAGATCATCCAAAATGGAGCAGCTGCCTTTCCACGAGCTACGTATCTACGAGATACCAGTTTCCATCATGACCTTGTGCTTATTACCCCAGCAATGAGTCTCAGGCCCCTCGGTGTGCAGATGTTCTAACCAGTCTCCTTCTTTTAGTCACCGACAGCGAGTCGAAGCCCACATGGAGAATTCTGTCAATCAGATCTTCTCCAACTACCGTATGAATCCCATTCCCATCTTGAATGATATCAAGGATGAGCAAGCTAACAAGATCTCACAGATGGCGCCACTGACGAGCCCGACAAGATCGGCATCGACGGCTCGATGGTCTTCCTGCGCGACATCGAAGTCAAGCTAGACGAGATCGCCTGCCTCGCCATCGCCGAGTTCTGCAAGTGCCCTACCCTGGGCGAGTTCACCCGCGCCGAGTTCATTCAGGCCTGGGCTGCTCAGCGGTAAGTACACACTCACCCTAAGCCTACCCTCACTCATCTCACCTGGAACCCATCGAAATCGAATAAAATCAACTTACTGCCACCCTCTTTCATTCCCATACCCCTCGAATCTCATCTACTCATCCACTCATCTATCTCTCACTTGGATATCAATAGCTAATATCACTCACAGCATCTCCACCATCATGCAGATGAAGGCCTACGCCGGTCGCCTGCGCAACAAGCTCCGTACCGACTTGAGCTACCGTCGCACTGTGTACAAGTACACCTTCCTTATCTCCCGCGTGCAGGGACAGCGTCACGTTCAGCACGACATCGCCGTCGACTACTGGCGACTCTTCTTCGGCGATCCGGTTAGCAAGGCTGGCAACACTATGACCACTCCTTGGCTCGACTTGTGGATTGAGTTCCTGGAGGGCCGTGGCAAGCGCCCCATCAGCCGTGATCTGTGGGGCCAGATCGAGCTGTTCCTTATCGAGGCCAACAAGGATGAGACCTTCGGTTGGTGGGATCCTGAGGGAGCTTGGCCTCCCACCCTGGACGAGTTCGTTGCTTGGGTAAAGGCCAAGCGTGAGGAGGGTAAGATGGAAGAGTAATTTCTCCTCTTTTCTTTTTTTAACCCCTTTCTCTTCTCTTCTTTTCTTTTTGTCTTTTCGAGCGCCCCCGTTGGTTTTTCTGGTGTTTTTTTGGGGTGGCCTCGCTTTTTTTATGCCTTCGTGGCTTATTTCGTGCCTGCGTGCCTTTTCATTTTTTTCACGGATCAGAATGATATCCGTTTCTTTCATTGCTTTCGTTTCCTTGATTGCTTTCTCCCCATTGCGTGACTTGATGCATAAGATAACGGGTTCATGAATAACAGTACATAAGCAGGTAGATAGACTCTGCTATGATCTAAGAGTCAAGCGTCTCTTGGCTTAGTTTAGGGCTCTAAAAGGGTACATACACCCAATGGCTAAGATACATAGTGTTAATCCTAAGACACCAGTTCTGATATACTGGTTTTACTACTACTAGTAGCATTGTATAAAAATATAGAAAATCATGTAATATTGGGGAATTCCATTCATCATAAGATTGAAAGACATCAAGGCGAGAAAGATATTTAGCACACCGAGATGCGAGAATGTGTACACTAAGATTCAAACACCAGGGAGAAGTAGAAAAAAAAAGAAACATATGGGGGCATGACACAAAAGAAAAGGGGGAATAGATATCTGCAGAGAAAAAAAGGAAACCGCATATACTCAGCAAGGAACAAAGTGAGCGGAATATGAAAACGATTCGACGCTCGAACGAAGTTCCGAACTCGAGTTAATTATCTGCAGGATGCGACTGAGGCCCTAATTTAAGGGTAGTCGCGCTTCTAGTAGCCATCACGGCGGGGATCACGAGGATCGCGAGGATCACGGGGATCGCGCTGGTCGTAGCGCTGGAAAATAATATTAGTCACATATATCGAGGACGGATTAGGGGAAAGATAATTGAGCACTTACCTTGCGCAAAGCTTCAAGACGCTTCTTCTTAGTGTGGGTGTTAACGTAGGTTCCAATGAAGAAACCAACGATGTTGAAGAAGGGCACCCAGGTGTGCTCGGGAAGGAACTTCTGGGCAAAGGCCAGTGCCAGTGGGGAGGTAACCCAGCTGACCTTCATGACGGGCATGAAACCGGCGCGAACGGTGGCGCGGACCTGGTGGAAGGTGCGCGCACCAGCAATCACCGCCATGGAGCACAGGTAGACTGAGTTCTGGATGGGGGAGATCTATCGGAAGCGGAAGCGCGGTTAGCATTTGCGGGGAGAGGTGGTCTGACTACAACGAGGATGATAGAGAGCGCGCTCGCATATGAAATGGCCTTTGGATATTACCATAGCGATTGCGCGTTCGTATATCCATTATGAAAAAGAGGACTGGGAACTGGAAATACGTACGATCAAGTTGCTGACCAGGATCTGGAGGATCTTAGCCTTCAGACTGGTGCGACCGGCGAAGATCCGCTGCAGGATGCCGATAAGGACGTGGCCAAGAGGCGCAGCGATGAACATGCCGTACAGCGACATCTTAGGGATGCGCGAAGAGAAGTAATGACCATGCTTGCCGACATCATGGGCGAGGAAGGAGGCGAGCAGTTCTTGGAGACCGGAGAGCACACCGGAGGTGAGCATCTTAGTGCGCAGCGGGTTGTGCTGGAGCTGACGGAGGTAGGCCTGTGATCGACATTCTTCGGATCAGTATGGAATGCTGGGGGAAAGAGGTCGGAGACAATTGAATATTTTTTGCGCTTTCAAGTGACGCCAACAGCAAGCACTTGAGCCACCTTGATTAGGGAATCATACCTGGAGGTAACCGTTGGCGGTACTACCACCGGTCAATCGCTCACCGACAGCATGGACCAAGTCCTCTGGCTTACCGCCAGTGACGGTACGGATTGTCTCTTCTTGGAACTTGACGGACATGATGAATGCGCCTAATTGGAGAGTCAATGGAGACGATAACGGAGAAGTGAAGTTGGGGGGCGGGACGTGTTTGTTTATGAAGTTGGCGGCCCGAGAGGGGGCTGGGCCTAGTCTAATTTAACACATCCGAGGCTCCCCCACGAGACTCTCTATAGGAGCTGAAAGTGAGGGATTGGGTTATCCACATACCTGGGGAGAATTGATTAAACTGAAAGTATGCACATAAGTAAAAAGGAATTAAAAAAATCTGGGGAAAAGGGCGGTCTAAGGGTAAAACAGGTTAAAAGGGAAATTTGTAAAGAAAAGTAAAGTCGGCGAGATCCATCGATTCAATTGGCGGCTATCGGAACCCTCCGAGCTGTTGCTGTAACGACAAAGATTAGATATAGATATAGATCTAGTATTATAATGATAGAATTAAAAGAAATTATATAGTATATTCAGACGTCCTAGATCATTTACTATATCATAACAGAAGTAGTTTTTCAAGTGCTCACTACTAACTACAGTATAGGTACTCCATGAACTGTTCGGAAATGATACTCCGGCTGTTATGATCGGTAGATAGTATTACTCTTTTCGGTTGTCTCCAAATAACTGATATCGGCTAGATCTATGGATATATTTAGTATTTTGATGAGATCCATTTTACTGCATTTTCACTTATATTCTTCCGATATTTAATTAATATTCAAATGTTCAATTGATTCAAGCACTTGAGCACTTCATCCCAGATGACTTGACATACATTAACAAGGACCCCAAATCAACATCATGCTCCAACCAATCTGTCCTGCTTGGTAGGTCTGGCTATTTTGACATCTTCTAACGGACGGCCTTGGTCTTCGGAAATAACGCGCTGCTCAAATTCGTCGGCGACATTCGTATTATATGGCCCCTTACTCTCGTCCACCATGTTATCCTCGGTATAAGGCTTCTGACTATTGTCACCAGTCTTCGTACGATCACGAATACTAGTTCTCATTGAGCCTGATGGTTCTGAATCGAAATCAAAGTCTTGATGGCCTGCAAATCGAAATAAACATGGATGTGAACGTGGTGCTCATGCACGTGGAAGATTTGAACTCACCATTGTTGTGATCGTGTATTCGAGGATCAATCTTATTGGCTAGCTTTGATCCATGAGGTTGATGAATGCAAGATTTACCTGAGTCTTCAAGTTGGTTTTCGACTCTTTCTTGCTGATGGCCGAGAATGGCGTTTTCGGCTTTGTGTAGTATACCCGACATGTTCAAATGTTGATTCTATCGCGGATGGTACACTCCAAAATTGAATTTCACGTTATATCATGATATGAATGCGCATTTTATAGGTGAGAATTTCGTAATAGCAGGCTGAGATTCAGGTTCTATACCTATTAATATGTCATCTGAATCATGATACTGGCTAAATAGTCATATATATGACGTAACTCGTATTCGTACCTAGGTACTTTCTATCTGATAGTTGCATCAATGGGGGTTGGCCAGTTGTCTGGCGTCATAATATAGTCAGACCTTAATTTCAAGATCAGGCCAAAACTTGAACTCCAAGTCGATTATAGAAATTACTGTAGATACTACTGTCGGCATTGGCAGCATTACCCATTCCTTGGAAGAGGCAACAGTACCTCGGAAGACCTTCAGCGAGTTAAATCAAGAGGAACTATTAGCCCTGTTCCGAGTCCCATTTCGTACATTCTTTCCGGAGCCTTTCCAAGGTTATTCTCCAAGGTTGCACAAGGGATTGAAATAAGAGTATATTCAGAGGTTGCCAGGACCCAGCATACTAGTATATGAGTGCCTACTAGTAGTCTGTTGTTGACCTCACCCTGTTAAATGGATACTCCACGTGCTACCTAATAGATGAATGTATGTATGTTTACTTAATAGGTAACTTCCAAGATTCAAATTTTATAAGCCCATAGTACAAATATTTAAGCATAGACTCGGATGGATGCAGCTGTGATATTGATACTATGTAATAGCTTTACGTGGTAGCTTTCCAAGGTTACCGAGTATAATCTGGCATAATAAGTCCTCACATGTGCACAGTGCACGTATTATCTGTCGGTGTCTAGTTACCCACTTCCACTTATACGGGTACCTACATTGGTATCTAGAGTCATTTCACCAGGGGCCATGGAGTCACCCTATCATACTGCTATCATTTGGGTGCATTGACCTTTGATTGACCTTCGATATTGAATCGATTGATCGCGTGTGGCTGGACCAGAATGACTCAGCACACCGGGGTTGATCGCTTACATCATTTCTTTCTTCCCCGACATATTTTCCGGCTTCATCTTCATCAATAGCTTCTACTAGCAGGCAGTTCACAGATCAGTGCCCTGGGTGCTCCGAGCATCCGCCATTGTAGCTTCTCAGCTTCATTGTGCGACAGTTCGTTGTTTCTACAGTGCTCAGTGGACCACAGGTGAACCCTGCACGAATCCGGCATCATATCACACCCCAAACGGGAAACCAACCTCCCCAATTGCAGTATTGATTTTGCCAGCTACTCCTATACAAACCTCAACATCTCACCTTGGCTGTCAAGATGACGGCATCGGATCGAGGCTCCCTCAACCGCCGCTCCTCTACCCAACACTACCAGACCTTCGATACCCCGCCGCCAAAGTCGCGTGGACGGCCGAATTCCGGACAGTCGGAATCCTCCGCAGATGGCTCCCATGGAAATCCAGATGACAGCCCGGATCACAATCATATACAGTCGTCGCCTTTGCCTGGAAGGCAGATGGCAGTGTTGGCGATGATCGCGTTGGCTGAGCAAACCGCCCTTAACTCGATCAGTCCTTATCTTCCTGACATGGCTTCTACCTTTCCCGAGGTGGAGCCTAGTCAGGTGGGTGTTTATGTCGGAACGATTGCATCGGCATTTGCATTGGCACAATTCGCTACCAATTATTTCTGGGGATCGCTATCAGATCGCATTGGACGCAAACCAGTGATACTTCTGGGTACTCTGCTGACGGCGTTGTGTTTTGTTGCCTTTGGATTTTGCAAGACACTCGGCCAGGCGATCGCGGTACAAGCTCTCATGGGTATCGTCAATGGAAACCAAGGCTTGGTATCTACATGTCTGGGTGAAATTACCGACCGAAGTAACCAGTCGCAGGCATTTACTTACCTCCCTGTCCTTTATGGCATTGGAGGCATAACAGGTCCACTCCTAGGGGGACTTCTAGTTCTTGAAAACAACCCATTCACTGGGGAAAAGAACCCATATCCATACCTCGCTCCTAACTTGGTCTCTGCGGCTATTCTTCTTCTGGATTTTGGGTTGACAGCCTGCTTTTTGGAGGAAAGCTTAGAAGATGCCGAGACGCTACCTAAGTTTAGCAGAAAAGTTCGCAGTCTGTTCTCCTGGATCTGGCAATTTACCGGTCTATCACGGCACCCGACTTACATGCGAGTACCGGACTCTGCACTTCATCACGGTGCTGAAAATGATGACCACGACAGTGACTTGGACTCAGCCTCTGAGGTTTCGAGCCGCCTTGACCATCATGCCGAAGAACTGACCTGGGATGAGATTTTCACTCGTGACACCATCTTGCTACTCTTGACCTATCTGATTTTCTCATTCTGCAATGTCTCATTCAACTCACTGTTTCCAATCTTCGCGCAAGCCAAGCCTCCTGCTGGTCGCAAACTCACACCATCTGAGATCGGTCTTTCGCAGGGATTTGCTGGCATCGTGACAATCATATTCCAGATCTGCGTCTTCAATCGCCTTCGCGACAAGATGGGCAATCGATGGTCTTACCGCGCCGGCCTTTTTGGCTTTATCATCTCTTTCCTGTTGATGCCATTCATCGGATACAAGAGCAGCCCTAGCGAAGGATTGACTCGTCAGTCAGTACTGATGGCTGTGGAGTTATGCTTTGTGCTCTTGGTGAAGACTGTGGCCTCTGTAGGCGGCTTGACTAGTGCCCTGCTCCTGGTCACTAACTCTGCCCCCAACCATGCCGTACTGGGTGCTCTCAATGGACTTGCCCAGACCCTCTCAGCTGCTGGACGCTCCGTCGGGCCCTTTTTATCTGGAGGCCTGTTCTCATTGACCTCCAAGATCCAGCCTAAAGGTGAAGCTATAGCCTTTGGTGTCTTTGGCGCTGTCTCTTTCGTTGGGTTCCTCATGAGCTTTGGTATTCGTGGTCGATCACTCGAAGCCGAAGGGTGGACAAGCGAGAGTGACGATGGAAACTATAAATCCGATGACGATGAGCCGAACGGTGCATAGTTGGGATTCCTTGTGGTGTGAAAATCACTGACACGACTTCATGACCGATATTCTCTTTCCTTTTTTCTTTTCTTCTTGAGCCTTGCATTAGATTCATATCTATTAATCCTTTGAAAGGATCGATGGCGCATTTCTGTCGATCTTGCGTATGATGTTGGTGTTGGTGTTTGTCTTCTTGTGTGGCTGTATTCTGGCGATGATTTCTTTGGTATAGATGATTTTGAAGATTCTTGGTGGCTGTTTGTATTACAACATTTGAAAATTTGAAACCAATTTTGTACAACCTGGGAAGATTTAAGAAGCTTTAAGTCAGACTATAATGTAAAAAGAATTGAAAAATTTGAAACAGTTTCCTCGATGCCACCTGGGCAGGATTGATGCTAACTTAAAGATGCTGCTATCTTAACTCACACAAAATCATCATCACATCATTCTATAATACTTCATGTTATAACCACAATTCGGGATACAAGGCAAGTCTGAATTCCGAGCCGAGACATCACACCTCTCCCAATACCGGGCTAACAAAGGTTGCTTATGCCGATTGGGTCATGTCTCTCGGGATAAGCTTAACCATCAATGGCATCTTCTCCCACAGAGTGTAAGACTTCTGGTCTATCCAATCGAATTCTGGCTCGGCCAACTCCAAATCGAAGTTGAAGATGAGCCTGGACAGAATCAAACGCATCTCCACATAGGCAAGGCTGAAGAGGTTTTAAATTAGCGATGTTTTTTTCAGTGGAACAGGGAGTACATACTTGCGACCAATGCAGTTTCTTGGGCCAAAGCTAAAGGGCTGCAGTGCCTCCTTATGGTCGGACGCAAACCGGGGGTCATCGAGATGACGCTCCGGGATAAATTGTTTCGCGTGCTTGAAGTTGGACTCGGATTTATAGGTAGCCGCATGCGAGATCGAGACGATTGTCTATGTCTGTTAGATTAATGAAGTGCATTGTAGCAGAATATAAGATTCAAACCTACACCTCCAGGCACGAAATTTCCACCGATAGTATCACCTTGAGCATCAACAATGCGAGGAAGACCAACTGGGACAGGTGGGTACATTCTCAAAGTCTCGGTGAGAACTGCTTGAGCGTAGTGCAACTGATTACAGCTATCCAGATTGATTTCGCTTTCGGCCTTGAAGGCGCTTCGAACCTCCTCTTTGAGTTTAGCCAATGTCTCAGGGTTTCTCAGTAGAAGGTATGTTGCTCCAGAGAGAAGAGTGGCGGTTGTTTCCGAGCCAGCAATAATAAGGGTACTTCCATTTGAATAGAGTTCCCCGTGTGCAAATCCCTTCTCTGTGCCGTTGTATTTCAAGATATTGCCAAAGAAATCAGGTCGATCATTATCAGATTGCTTCACTCTAGCATCCACTTTCTCCATGGTCAGCTTATCATTGGTGGCTTTAGCGCGCAGAAGACTCTTTGGGGTCAATGTTCTCTTCAGGAAATCTCCACCAGGAACTCGACGAGCCACAGAGCTGTAAGCACCAGCTTTAATGTTCTTGAAGAGGATGCTAACCCATGGGTGGTAGTTAGAATTTTTTAAACAGTTAAAGGACTCGCCGAATGCTAAATCGCCGATGATATCGAATGTGGTGAAGTTGTACCAGGAAACAAGATCAATGGGCTTCTGTCCTTTCTCTGAGATCTCATGGAGGCGTTGAATAAAGAGATTAATGTAGCCTTGAATGATAGGTTCCTGGCCACGCAAGGAGTTATCGGAAAATGCGTGTGATAACAGGCGGCGGAAACGTGTGTGATCAGTATCATTGGATACAATGATACTCGGAGAACCACCAACTGTAGGGTTGTAGAATCGATAATCCTTTGGCTTCTGAGAATGACCAGGACGAGTTCCATAGATTGGCTTCCAGGCCTCGCCATCGGTTACGAATGAGAGTTCATCGGGGGCAATGCGGAAAACTGGGCCATATTTCTCGTGATATCTTGTGACCATCCCGGGGGCATCTCCAGATAAGATCATCTTCAAATAAGGAAAACGTGTTGCTGCCATAGACTTGGGTCCTGGGTATTTGGCCAGTGGATGGAAGTATAGGTTGTAGATGATTTGACTAACGAAATAAAGGGGAATCTAGTAAGATCATATCAAACGAGTTAGTTTCCTCTCTCCATTTATTATTATTATGTGGAACTTGAAAAGATACTGACCAGTATCAAAGACAACACCAACAAAGCCACGACTGGACGAAACGGCATGGCGCCCGAATAGTCAGGCACTCCAGCGATGACCGCCATGGTGAAGATGTTTGAAGTTGAAAAACTTCAAGCTCAAATGTTGAATTTCAATGAATAGTATGCCTTTGACTTGGAATAAATTGCCCTGAAATTTGAACCACCCAAGACCACAAAATAGCCATAAACTGACTGATGCTGAAAGTATTTATACCCTGATCCAGATGCTAATGTGACACGACCGGCCGAGTTTTGCATAAACACGACATTACAACGGGATAAATGAAATAGTACTCCGTACCTATATGTACTAACCCCACATCATGCAAGCATACGTCGCTTGAGAAGTCCAAGGCTGGAAAAAGAGGGGATGTCCCATAGCCACATGAAGCTTTTCCAGGTAGAGGTGAAGATCTGCCCTCTCTGGGGATGGTACGAGTTCCAGTTTCACCCACCATGAACAAAATTAGATTTGATTGAATCAACATTTGCGAATTGGGAACATTTGATCTTGAGTCATGATGTGAAAATTATGCACACGTGACTTCATACTCAACTTGCAAGGCTTCAAGTTCTTTGTTGAATGGTCGGTCAAAACTGAACTTGAAGTCTTCATCCATGCCAGTGGATGTTTGAAATGATCATCGGGATTCGGCAAAATGACGATCGCTCTATATAGACCTAGACCTTGAAACCTATACATGACTTGCATCTCCCTGCATTATAAGTGAGATATGATTGGTGAGTTATATCAATGGCATATGTAAAGACCGCATTTCTCCCGAGATTTATGCAAATTACTAGGATGTTATGATTGAGTTGTGAATTTGCACTAGGGAGATCGGCAAAGTCTCTACTTCTCAAGTTTCTGCAGCTACGTACGGGGCGGAATACTCCGTCACGGTGACACCAATGTCTGATGACACATTTGTGATATTCAGGAATCTCCCTGCAGAGTATATTTCTTTTGTCAGAAGGCTAATCTTATCTTATGCCCATGTGTGTATAGTACTTTGCAAAATCCTGAATTCTCAAGCCAAAGGCCAGATGCAATTGTATAGGCTCGAAGAAACCTGTTGACCAACTTGAAGGCCGCGTGTCAGGCAACTTGTTCAAATTAACCCCGCATTGCCTCCACATCAATAAAGATTGCAGAAAACTTGAAGCTGGGGGATAGGCTTGAATCCGTGTCTTAGTCTATAATGATTGCGCTATAATAGCTAGGTTCATTGTGGCTCTGGTATAGCAGCACCAGCCCGTAACCTCAACTTGAACGCAGCGATTTATGTAACCTGTTGGGCACATACATATGTACTATGTACTATCCCGATATTACTAGTATATCCCAGCAATCATCACCTGAGCCAGGTTGATCCACTTGGAATCAGTGGCAATGGCTCAATTCCGAGTCCAAGTCCAAGGTCTGATGTACCACAAACCTCAGAACCGTTGCCGCCCCGATGACAATCCATATTGTGTGACAGAAATAAAAGCCTGAGTCATGCTAAAGTCGCTCATATCCAATCAATCAATCCCTCTTACAATCAATTCCAAGCTTGAGGGATTTGACCCGAGCGTTTAATGACTCTGCAGCATTCTCTGTTGCATTCATACCAGTGCTTGTTAGTGGGAGCAAGTGGAGTGCACATGTGCATAATTATGTAGGGTGCTGAGCAGGGCGCCTAGAGACAAGAATATTCGCTCGAAAAATCCCCGATGCGAGGACATCTGGATGCTCTGCACATGGATCGATTTATACTGGCCAAGAATACATACTAGGTGGCTATGCAGACTTATCAAATATAGAACATTGAAATCTATCATACATAAGTAGTCTTACGAATGGAATCAGATATTGATACATATAAAGTGGTAATAGGTACAGGTGCCTGGGCGAGCGGGATTTCAATTATCCGCTATAAGACTCTTATCATTCAATTCACAAATTTCCAGGTTCACCTCCAGGGCTAGTTGCATATGGGTTTTGTTACATCTGGAATGTTGGAAAATACTTTAGTAATAAGTGCGCGGTGCTTTAAAAATCATGGGACTCACAAAAAGCAGAGACACCAAAATAATGCACTAGTATATGCTAGACCATCACTGCCAGTGGCAGGCCTGGGCTCAGGCTGAGGGACGTAGAGGTCTATGTATGAACATACAGAATAATTTGATATCGATCGCCCCGAGAGTAGTGTTCAAATGAATAGAGATTTGATAAGGCCTCTTGGCGTCGTCAATTGCCGGCACCGAAACGTTTTAATTTGATAGTTGAAACAAAATAGCTAATCTAGACTTTGAAAGCAATGATGATATTCATTAGAAAGCCATGGAGCTAGTAAGGGATATCAAAAATTCAAGCGACCTCGGCACAGATGGCACGAATCATCTCGTCGTCTAACAAAAGGTCAGATTCTCCCAGTCCTGGCGCTCGTCGCATAAGAAGGTCAAAAGGAATGACCAAAGGGGCACCGGATACAACATTGTTTTCATAGAGGACAGTCTGAACACACTTTCTAGTTGTAAGCGGATGGTTTCGTGATTGGACCAGGTCGTGTGTTTGGTTGTTGACACCAAACTTCTATCTCAACCCGGTAGCTCGGTAACCTCATTGTGTTCATAGTCACAATGAGTTGGGTGTAATGGTCATTTAAGATCTGCGAATTGCTGTACCCCCAGTTTACGTCGTTACGGAGCTGGGGCCTGGATTCTGATATACCAACTTCAACCCCAACCAGTGAAGGCCATAGTGTTTGTCCCTGGGAACTCTGTGAATCAATTGGTGCTATCCACCAATCGGGCTCTTTGCTGCATGTTCTGCCAGGTATTCTAGGTGATGGAAGGCTCTCTCAATGACCAAGATGGGATAACAAATTCATCTGAACGAGACAAACCGTTATTGCGGCAGAAAATTGACCAGCAATTTGGTTATGCTGAGAATCTTGAATAAAACACATTGTTTAGTGTGAAAGATAGCAGCTTTCAAACCATGGAAAAGGTCTGGATTTGACTCAATTGTTCGGAATAAGGTCAGGTTGATGTCTTGAACAAAAAGAAAGCCACAGTGCTCTTTCTCACATAACACACTATCCTTACTAACTTCGAGGGTTTCCTGCAGCTCTTGGAGGGACGGCGAGACGAGGATAACGGTGGTCAGAGGAATGCTGGTGTGTTCATCGTCGATGCCCAATAAGGAACTTTCGAGTTGCTGGCCATAACGAAGGCAGTCAGTTTTCTTTTGTATATATTAGCAGGAGGAAAAAAATGTAGAAGGGCAACTTACAGGCTGAAGGGGTCAATATGGTGGCTCCTAATCCATACATCCATACCAACACCAATATACGCAGATGGCACTAGACTGGATTTGGCAGATGAGGCGTGGGACAAGTAAGGGGAATGGTTTGTTATTTTTTTTATCTCCAGTGTACCAAGAGCTCTTCTTACAGGGTGTGCTGCCTAAATGGCTAGTAGAAAAAAATTATATATTCCTCTTTATTCAGCTATCTCTTGATTTAGCTATTAGTAGCATCTCTTTCTTTAAATATCTCTCACTTTTAGTTTAGATATCTCTTACTTTAGCCTTATATAATATTATTAAATTTTTATATTATGATAATGAAGTAGGTAACTAGTGGTATGTTAGATAATCAAATAAAGCTGTCAGAAGTAGGAAGTAGAAAATTCTCAGTAGTTTGGAAGAACTGGGTCGACTTTAGGGGGGAGTAAGTTCATTCATATTCACATCAGTAGCATAACCATAACTAGATATCCGATCGTCACCACAAGTAAGCATGCACTTCAACAGGCCACACATGGGGTTCTCGGTAAGCCCGACTTCAAGTTCGAGTTATTCCCGATGAAAACTTGAGCTTGAACTGGTTCTACTAGTACTAGTACTAAAAGAAAGACTTGGTCTTCTTTCCTTTCTTCATCCGTCAACCTTCAACTTCCATTATCAAATTGTCAAAGCTCATGACCTCTAGTACATGTCCTTCTCAAATATCGTTTTCCATCCCCAATCTATCAGCCTATCATCAACAGCTCCGCGGCGAAGCTAACTGTCTTGTCTATCACCCACCCACCTTGTTGTCAGTACGGATTTGTTGAAACACCGCCAAGACGATGTCTCATTCGGCCAAGTGTGATTGTTCACACTGTGTGCCACCACAAGAGTTGCTTAAATCTGCGGAAGTCCTCGGCACTTGGCGCACAAAGAATGATCTTTTCACTCACCGAATCAAGCAAGAGCTATCAGCTCTAAAGGATATCAGTAACCTTCTAGACACGCTTAAGCACAACTTGAAGAACCCTGTTCCAACCCGCGAGCTTGATACGGCAACAAAGAATGTTCTTGACGGCATTATCAACCGCAGAAGACGCCGTACCAGTGTTTTTAATGTCCGTGAGGTTCAGCTTGTTCTCTCGGCGTGGAAATACAAATGCAAACAAAAGGAAATCCCCCCCCCAAAAGTCTTTCTGAATTTGTGATTGAAGTTCTAGACCCCTTCACCTCAGGTGGAGCAAAGAAAGCTAAGTCAGACTGTCTAGCCAAACGCAATAAAAGAAAAACTCCAGGTGGTGACTTGAATCTTGATGAACTAGAAAGAGATCTCGCGAGCACTCTTTTTGAAGCTGAGACCCTCGACAAGTTCCGAGAGACCATTGCAAAGCATCCAAAAGGAACTTTCCACTTCGAATACGGATGTGCAACCTTTCATTACAGGGAGTTGGACGATGGGATCTCGTCAACTGAAAAGGGTGCTAGCCCCCAGGGCCCCGTTCAAGTGATCCCCGAAGAAGAAGAAACCAGTTCCAAACCCACAGACAACAAGGGAGATCCCATGGTGGAACTGCACTTGCGGATTCAAAAGCTGGAGGAGTCTCTTGGCATGTCAGATAAAGGTACGGATGAGGAGAGATCAACGTTTTTGGACCGCATGGAGTTCCTTGAGGCGGAATTTAAGCGCCTGCAGTGCGCTCAAGAGGAAATCAAACGATCCACTTTGGAACTGAAGGAGAAGCTCCATGAGCAGCCTTCCACACCTTTCTGGAACATTGACCTGGCCGACTAGATTATCAGTTGAATCCAAGCAAGGGAGCGTGTCGCCTATGATTTATTTTGCGGGGGAAGTCGAGATCGACTTATGAAGGAACTTTACTGCAACTAGGAGCCATGTCTCATCTCTAGTGCCATTGGAACTGAAAATTCTATTCAAATTCTGATATCCTTGCTCGCCTGTATCACATAGAAGATTAGAAACAGGACTCCGAGTCTGCATGTATTCTTTACAGTGATGTTTCCAAGCATTCTAAAAAGATTGTTAATCATTCTCCAGTACTGCATACGCTGACAATTACTGACAAATATAGCATTGTGATTTTAACTCCCCATTAATCACCTCAATTCGCGACCCCATACCACGAGCTGCATCTTTTACTCCATAATTTCTATATTCAGTTAGCGTTGCGCAGAAGGAACATTGGCAGCCTCATCTCCAAGTTTACAATGTTAAAGCCGAGTCGATATCTCCGAGATTACCATTTACGGTTAGCGTTGCGCGCAGGACTATGTGGAGATTCATATCATGCCCCCATTCACGGACACTTCGTGGTCGCAGACTTGCAGCGATGAAGGAGCCTTGCACAAGTTGCGTTCGCATTTTTGATCAACCGGAGTTAGCAATATGTGATGAACTTCTGAGGTCAGTAAGGCCGCCTCGGACTTTCAAATTTCGTTCGGGGAAGTCCTGACTCCTGAGCGGCACAGGTATATAAGGTAGGAAGATGACCATCTTCAAGTTGAAGTAAACAACACAGTCTGCTTTGAAGAATACTACAGAAACCTCCAAATAAACTTTTATTTTCATTAAGCAAAACAATCTGCTTGATCACCATCATGTCTACTCAATCAGCTCTTCTTCTCACTGAGATCGGCAAGCCTTTGGCCAAGGGAATCCTTCCCAAGCCAGATAGCTATGAGTTGAAAGCGAAAGAAGTCTTGGTCAAGATCACTGCTGCAGGCTGTGAGTATTCTACAAAAAGCATCTATCTCAGAACTTCCAAAGTACCAGTTGACTGACTTGAATAGTGGCGCCTCTTGACCAGAAGTTCCGCGACAGAGGCGAACTCGGTATCGGTGCCCGCCTTCCTGCTGTGATCTCTGGTGATATTGTGGGTGAAGTCATCAAAGGAGGACCCGAAAATGAATTTCCCCTCGGAATCCATATATTTTCTCAGATGCTCTTCAGTCTACCTCAAGGTGGTGCATTGCAGGAATATACCATCGTCAATGGGGAGTACGCCGCTGCAGTTCCCAACAATATCTCCGATACCGAGGCTGCGCTGTACCCAATCAACTTGGTAACTGCAGCAATGAGTATCTTTTCAGCCAACGGGCTTAATTTACCTCTACCCGAGACCCCCGAGGCCAACGGATTTGACTATGCATCGCAGAAGGTTGTCATCATTGGCAGTGGCTGTAACACTGGCAAGTTGGCTGTTCAGCTGTGCAAGCTTGCTGGTGTCGGAACGATCATTGCAATTGCATCACCTTCCAACAAGGAAATCCTGGAACAATACGGAGCTACCCACATTATTGCTCGACAGGACGCCAACATCGAGGAGCAAGTCCGGGCTATTGTTGGAGATGAGCTCATTTATGTTTACGATGCTTATACATTTGGGGACTTGAGCTTGGGTGCATCGCTCCTTTCCAACACCAAGAAAGGTGTCTTTGTGCACAATGGTTCAGGAATTATCCCTGATGCTGTCTTGAGCGAGAAGAAGGAGGGCCTGGATGACAAGCGGATCTTGGGTTTCTCGCACTTTATCCCGGAATTTGGTCGACTGCTTTGGCAGAAGATCCCAGATTGGCTTGTTAGTGGCCAAATCCAGCCGCTGGCTTACAAGACTATTGAGGACATGGATGAGGCGAAGGTCAATGAAGGCTTGGATGAGTACGCAGCTGGAAGAAGTGCGGAGAGATATCACGTTAAGATTGCCTAGACTGAGACTCTGGGACTTAAAATTACCTCGGTTGATGCCATGTGTTCGAACGAGAGATGGTTGAGAGATAGTATGAATGAAGAGTCCATTTGACGATTAAACTCCTCGTATAATAAATTAACTAGAGCATCATTTATCATCCGCGGGTGTGAATAGAACCCAGTTATTGATCAGGAATTTTCTCGAGACAGACATTACTAGAAAATACTACATCTGTGCCAATATTTACCAGCATTTGATTACCAGTCAAGCCCACCAGACCCAGCTCCATTTGCTCTAGGGCCTGAGCAGTCAAGTTCTTTACACACTGCATGAAGTTAGAATCTGGCAATGCACCAGTCTCTTCGAGTCAGATATTGAGCTCACATTGTTCAGCCCTTTGAAAAAGTGGGCTACCCTTAGGTTGACGCATAGCAGGGAGAATCTGACCACCACGTATCTTCTCCATTTTCTGGTGCTCCCGAAGCTGCTTCAAGATTTTATGTGTCGTCGCTGAGCTTTCCACCGCGGTTTGAGCAATAGATTCGAAAACATTCTCCATATCATTGACAAGCTTATGCAAAACCTCTCCGATAGTATTGGCTAAAGTGCTCTCATCGGTTTCTTCCTTTGAGCCTACGTCGAAAATGTCATATCTGACCTGAGTGGTTGTTTCTGAAGCTGGCAAAAGGGTTAAAGCTAGCGCCAAGTCTGCCTTCTCGAAGGAGTATACGAGTGTCCTTGGGAATAAGGAGCAGGTTGACTTTTTATTCTTTAGCGTTAGGGCGCGCATGACCTGAGTTGCAAAAGATGGTCTTAAGGTTTCTGAGATCCTCTGCTCGAGCTGTGCAAGAGCACTCTTGAAGTGGCGATCAGTTGCTAAGATGAAAGTCAGCGAAAACTTAAGTCAGAGCTTGGTTCGAGAAATGCAGACCTCCCAACTTCCAGTTAAACGACCCAGTCAAAGTTTGTCCAGTTACCCACTCAGACCTTTTCCCCAGACCAGAGTCTCGCTTAAACTCTTCCAGAGAAGCTTGCAAAGAGGCCTCAAATGGACCGGGTTCCCCGGTATCCAGATTAACAAAAACCCAGCCTTGCTCAGTAGTATGAGCATGAATCTCGAAAAGACTGTTCTCTGACTTATCGAATCCTGGAACATCATCAAACTGCGGTGCCTTTACCAATCTTCCAAGAGTATCATAGCTCCAGCCATGATAACGACATCCCAGAACTGTTGATGCACCGGTTTCCTTACGAGTTATAGTATACGCGCGATGCCGACATACATTATGAAATGCGCGGATCTTGTCATCCTTGCCTCTGATGAGAAAAATAGGAAAGCCAGCAATGTCAAAGGATTGGTACGCTCCCGGTTTCGCAAATTGAGTGATATGAGCCAGATACAACCAGGACTGTGTACGAAGATCAGTGCCGTGCTCCAAATGACAGATGAACCTTGGTGATGATTACTTTACTGAATATCGCGCGTCGTTCTAGTTCGAAGACTTCCCGACTATCCCACCAGCCTCCAGGGACTTCCGGTTCCTTAGAGACCGCTATATCACCATCGCCTGGCTCAACCGAGGGGTTGAGGTGCCCCGTATTGTCTGTCTGCTTTTTCTGAAACAGTTGTGCCCAGGCGCCGTTTACGAAGAAAGCGAGCGTTGCGATGGCCACAAGGATAGACCCAGGGGAAAGATAAGCATCGAGAATATCCATAGTGTTGTGTAGACTGAGCTGACTTCTTTCAAAAAGTATCAATTGCTAATAGAACAAATTTGATTTATCTCAGTAACACTCCCCGAAGTCGGCAGTGCGACTTGATATACGACAAGCAAGCGGCCCAAGTGTGACGATCCCCACATTATACACTTCGATTCACGGAACCACGCGCTACGCCCCCTCATTGCAGGGGAACTTCCTGATCTAGTTTGAATTTCCAGAAAGTTTCGTGTAATGCCGTGCCGATTTCGTGCTTGCTTGTTGGGCCTTAATATGAGTGGTTGTTGAAATCGGGAGCTTATCGTCGACGTGGCTTCCTGATTAGCTGCATCATTGCTGCAGCTTGACTCTACTCCGCACTGAACAAGGATCAAGATTAAAATCTCCGGTTTAGATCCGGGATTTAATGGTGTTGGATTCAAGTTTTTAAGAAGATTAACGCATTATGATTGCATATTCCTAAATCAGGGCTATTTGCTAGTAAATTACGCTGCTGTTTCAACTGTAGATGGTCCTGTCCGTCCATCTAATTCGGACCCCTCAGTTGGTATCTTTCTGTCAGCTTCATGTTGCTCAAAGACCATGTCGAAGACCCGCTTTTGATAGTCTGGTTTTGTTAGTATTGTCGCTAGCGTCTCCTAGATGGGATGGTACTTACAAGAGACTCCATTTTCCTGGTTTGGATTTAGAATACCTTCGTGGTAGACACCTTTGGCTAAATTATCCTGGGCCTTTTCACAGAGCTCATAATCCTCTAGGGCCACTTGGCGGACAAACTTGAAATATTCCTCGAATGTCTCCCCAGAGGCTAGATGGTAGTAATCGAATTCCATGCGCGTAACATGAGGGTCCGCAGTAGGACAAACACGGAATGAGGACATCCCACCCCCATACACATTCAGCGTACAGTTGGGAAAGAAGTAGAGGAAGAGCCCGTCATCTGGCTTTTTGGGATCTGCGATATGCTGGGAAAAGTTGTGCTTATTGTGCACAGCGTAGAATGTGGGCGGATAGATGACGGAAAACGAAGGATGGGTATACTGGCAGTGCAAACACTCCTGGTATCCATCGACCCTGATAAGGGTATCAGAAAATGTACTAAATAGGTTCGGAGATCAAACACCTACATAGTTTTCCAGTTGAACCGACCCTCATAGCTGATGCTCCGACGGTATGGCAATCGAGTGAAGTCAACCTTTCCCAGGAGCTCCTCCAGCTCGGGGAAGAACTCATGGAAGCTGGGTGCTTTTTCAGATATGGTGGAAAAGAGTAGTCCCGTCGGAGTGACGTAGCAACGAAGCTCCTTATCCTGAGGTATGATGTTAGCGGACTTCTGGAGTGGGCGTTCCGACGCCAACCTACTGTGTTTGTGCAGAACACCTTCAGATCCTCTGGACCCGGATTTAGAGACTCTCCTCCGGTCCGCATAGCATAAATAGACTGCTGTGCAATCTCATAGTCGACATGCTCTCCCACTGTTTGGAACCTAGTCACAGGCCCAAGTAGGTACCATGACTAGAGAAGTGATTAGTTTCTCTATTGTGGGCAGGGTAGGGACGACATACCTTGAGGAAGACAGCCCGCCGCTCCATCTTATAGAGAGGCTCACTGCAGTACCAAGATGCTGGAAGAGTGCGCGAGAGTTCAGCCATGATGGATAATAACCAAGGAATTCAAAACCTCAGAGTACTTTGTAGACAAGTTCTTTAGCTTGAACGTGGGAGCGATGAGCCCCTCCACTTTATATCCCAAATTATATCTTCGCTCAAATGTTTGTTAACATGATGTGTTCAGTGACATGGTTATTGGTGACTCAAAACTCCTGTGTGGGCGGAACCTTAGTTGTTCTAGATCAGAGAACGGTTTATCGTTTCCTGAAGGAGTTATCGAATCCCGGGGGATGAGAATGTTGATGTCAACTCCTAAGATCTGGCTAAAAGTGGCGTATTCCTGCAGATAGCTGATTCATCACCTGCATGCAACGTTTGTAGCTTGACAATCCCATAGTGATGTGTTGGCCATCACATTGCAGGAGGTGACAATTAGGTAGTATCCTACACCCCCGATCTGGATAGACTCAATGTAGATCCACATATGCTAGTATATGGGACTAAACTGAACATTTGAAACCTGGGCTACCCATATCGGCACGGATAAAAGAATTTTCAGTTTCTTTTCCCATATTCAAGTTTGCAATTTCTCAGAAATTCAGCTGCTTCGGAGATGTTTTGCTGCTCAAGTTACGATTATTGTATAGTATAAATGGTCGAGTCATCAGGTATGACGGCCCACCCCACCTGCCAGTGCCCAGGTGGCATAAGCAGGTGATCATCTCTCCATATCTTTATTCAGAGAAATATCCATCACATCTGAGTCTTCGAATTTGCAAATCTGGATAACGTGAAGCTATTCCCATTCTGCGAGGGATTTGCTGCTGCCTGGAGCATGGGTTGGCGACTAAAGCCGAAACATTCCACAAACAAACACTTGATTATTCCAACGTATTGTCATCTAAGAAAGAAATAGAAGACAACACAACAGAACAAATAGTATTATATTTGAATTTTCAAAGAACTTCCAAGGTTGAAAGAGAGACTTTGACAAAGCTTGAGAGGCGTGATAAGGAAGAGGGGCGCTTATCGATAAGTTTATTGCAGATCAATTACGTCCACTTCTGTGATCTCATTCCATCTTTCACATTCACATTCACCTGGCCACCATGACGAACCCTGTTCAATATACTCCACCTTCTTCGCCATCATCTACAGCTTCATTTTTTGATATGAGCGATGGAGATGAGGGCGGGTACAACACGGTCGCCCATGCTCGGTCTGGCCGTGGTGTGAAGCTTCTCTACTCCAAGAGCAAGGTACGTGCTCTCCACTCAACTCATGATGCAAATAACCTCAACACTGACATAAATTAAGGTCTACGTTCATCCTAGCTCCTCTTCAAAAGATAATATTCCTGGCTTCATCGCCCTCCTACAACAAAAACCCGTGCCTTCCTCCAACCCATCCCCATCACACCATGTCGACCCAACTTCCTACCTACTAGCCTGGGTGCCCGAATCATCACTTGGAGATGCATATGATACCTATGTGAAAGTTGATCTGTCAGATGGTGACTCCCCTCCGCGCCAGCGATACCTTGTCCCGGCCCTTCCGACGACAACAACTCACAAGGACCCCATCGGCCTATACTCGTTTGCGGTACCCGTCTCAGAGATCTACTCGCTTTTGGTGCGCCCTCCGAGCCTCGGATGGTGGTTCGGAAGCGTTGTGATCAATACGCGCGCAGGTGACAGCTTTCCAGCGCTGTTTTTCCACGACAGTGAGTGCGAATCGACAATACTACAGAAGAAGAGACGGGTGAAGGAAAGTTTCGACCCTTTCGAAAGCGATGGGAATCTATTCTGGGGTGGAGATGAAGTTCTCCGGTGGTTGCGGAGATATGTAGAGGTCCAGCGCTCAACTGTGGATAAGAATGTATACCTGATCAACCCATCCGATGAGGACCAGCTGTCATTTGGCAAGGGCTGGTCCGGTGGGGATGCGATGCTGCCATCCAAGGCGCATCCTGAACCCGCAGCAGGCCCGAGTACGGGTCAGAGAGATGCCGGCATGGATCCCCTTATGAAGACTCTCAAAGAGACTCGGTGGAAGGTGCTTGAGCAGTTGAGCAAAATCACCACTTTTACGCGACGAACCGCAAATGATCTCGCTGATAACCCACGCATTCCGACACAAGTACGCCGCCTTATGAAGAATCCGGAGATCCAAACCCTGCAGGATGAGTTCGACAGTGCTAGGTTATATCTTGCTCGCTGGGCAATGAGCATCGCCGATCAAAGTGAGAAAGAAAGGAACCAGCGTATTTGGACAGCACAGGATGTTCTGGAGTCGGAGAATAGCGCTGTGGGTGAATTTGAGATTCTCGAGCTCGAGACTGGGAATCTTGGCCTCCAAGAGCGCCGTCGCATCGTCACAATTTCAGAATGGGAGGGTTTCTTTGACCCCACAACTGGAAGATTGCAGTTAACTGTGGAAGAGGTCAAAGAACGTATCTTCCACGGTGGACTTGATCCAAATGATGGCGCACGGAAGGAGGGATGGCTCTATCTTCTAGGAGTATACCCATGGGATAGCAGCCGGGAGGAACGCCAGGCAGTCATGAATTCCAAGAGAGATGAGTATATTCGGTTGAAGGCTGGGTGGTGGGAAAGAATGGTTGAGGGAAATTCGAATGCCGAGGAATTTGAGCATTGGAAAGAACAGCGGAACCGCATAGGTTAGAGAGAAAATACCCTTCTTGGTGCGCTGTTAACTAACTTTCGCATAGAGAAGGATGTACACCGCACTGATCGGACTATTCCTCTATTTGCCGGGGAGGACATTCCCCATCCTGACCCAGATTCTCCATTCGCTGATACAGGCACCAATGTTCACCTGGAGCAGATGAAGGACATGCTTCTAACATACAATGAATACAATCCGGACCTGGGTTATGTTCAGGGAATGAGTGATCTACTTGCTCCATTGTACGCAGTGATGCAAGATGATGCAGTCGCTTTCTGGGCATTTGTGGGCTTCATGGATCGCATGGTGAGTGTCAAGAAGACCAAGTAAAGTATCTTGCTAATGGATGGGTACCAGGAACGAAACTTCCTCCGAGACCAGTCAGGGATGCGTTCTCAGCTACTAGCCCTTGACCATCTCGTTCAACTCATGGACCCTCAGCTTTATCTCCACTTGCAATCAGCTGACAGCACAAATTTCTTCTTCTTCTTCCGCATGCTTCTCGTCTGGTATAAGCGCGAGTTTGAATGGAGCGATACCCTTCGCCTGTGGGAGACACTATGGACAGACTATTTCTCCAGCAGCTTCCATCTCTTCATTGCTTTAGCCATTTTAGAGAAACATCGCGATGTTATCATGGATCATTTGAAGCATTTCGATGAAGTCTTGAAATACAGTAAGTTGGTCTCTGAAAGAAATACTTGCATTAATGGACTAACATCCTCTAGTCAACGAGCTTTCAAACACAATGGAGCTTGTTCCTATTCTCACCCGTGCTGAATCGCTTTTCCACCGATTCGAGCGCTCAGTTCAAGCCATCGATAAGAAAGACAACTTCCCGACGGCCCCTACAGCTACGCAGCGTCGGACATCAGGTGTCACCAGCCCGGGACCTGGAAAGGGAAAAGCTCCTCAAAATTCCACCGTTGCTTCCACGAGTGGGGCCAATACCGGTTCAGCACTTCAGAGAATTATGGACGCTGACAAGCCAAAGGTGATCTCACCAGAGCTACGGGAACTGCTCAGCAAAGATATCCCCTGGAGACGCCAGCAACAGTCATAGCGTGAATAATACAATGGCTGAGATGAGATACATTGATGTTGAAGCTTTGCGCTTATTGATGCCACTACATGAGCACGGTTCTGTTCTGTTTATGAATTTATGATTTGCTTAGTGTATTTTATTTTCTCACCCATTATGATATCTGGACTTATTTAAGTTACAATATAAGCATGAAAAACTTCACTCTAAAATGATCATCCCAGTGGTTAAATGGACAACCTGCTAGGCATTTCAGGGGTTTGCTTATATCCCGAGATCCTGTAATATCCAGCATCCATGGATGTGTAAAGGCTAGGCCTAATTTCCAAGGTTGCTGAAGGGTGTCCATTTAACATCGCTCATAGTTCCCGAGGTCTTGACATCTCACTCAATTTGGGTAGTTCGTTGCCTAGGCCAGCAAGTGTGCCCTTGCGTCTGTATCACACAAAGAAGACTATTTTTCAAGCCCATTTATCTGTCCGCCTAAAACGATAGCCAATGAAAGGAGGAGATACATCTATATGCCCGGGAAAAGAAAGGACATTTCGATATGCTACAGACTACATATATGAGCTGCCTTCACCCAGTGGCTGAGCAAGCATTCGCCCCACTGCCCAGGTGCACTGTCAGATTGCAGTGGGGCGTGTGGACAAGTTCCCCAGCTGAGGATGCCCCGCACTTTGAACCCAGGCCCATCTGGTCTCCAGAGAAAAGGTCGCTCCCAAGCTGGCTGATGGTGATGTTGCAATCATGATACTAGCAGAAGACTCGGATCCTTTAGAACTCGCTCAAGTCGCTATCTCTCGAGTCGCTGATATCGCCTCAGCACTCGGTGTGGAGCTCAGAAGACCCGTCTGCGGCCGACTAGGAGCTGAGCTGCTCTTACTTGCAGACTATATTGACAAGGCCAGTCAGGATCAAGAAGATCAACTCAGGTCACGAATCTTCAAGCTCTTGAAAGATGTGGAATCTATCTGCTGGGTAAATATGCTGTAACGCTGCCATATTCGTCCTAAGATTGCAGACTAACTTGGAATTTGAATCCAGTCCTCGAAGGAGACTTTGTCATTGGAGAAATCACCAAAAAACTGCTTTCCTATTCTAGAAGCAATAGGAGAGTCAGTTCCTGGTTTGGATACGTACAAGAAAGCCCGGGCTGAAATTCGACAAGGACTTGCTAAACTCACTGCTCATTCTAAATCTGCGGAAAGAACCATCGAACACATTCGCGGATTCACCAAGCCAAGTCGCAAGTCTAGCAAATTGGATGCTGGATTTAATACGACCTCCACAAGAAAGACGAGCGAGCCGCAGTATCCGCGACATGTAAATGAGCTAGTATATCGAACTCTGCGGGAGTATGCGTACTGCAGCTGTGAGGTGGATGGAATCAGAGAAGTGATGCGAAGATCACATCTTGCGCGACTTCTTTTACAGCCTCCATGTGAGGAGTTTACGCGCCGCAATATGTACCAGTTTGACTTGCTGTTTTCCTCTGGGCCGCTGGAGAAGGAGAATATGTTAAGACATTGGCAAGACGTGGAGCTGATGGTACCTGATGTCAACTTGAAAGTCAAAAAGCACGCGAAGCGAGTACAGCGAGCACGATTTACCGATGACTTTCAAACATCTGACTATCGATTCGCCATGAACAATAGTCCGACCCAGCGACTGTCCCGGGGGCAATTCTGCAGGTTGATTGGTTTGGAAGCGAACTCACGGCTGTACCTTTCAATCAATGATGGGGAACTTCAACATTACTTTGCTCCTTTAAAAAAGCTTGTCGAGCATACCCCTGGCATATCTCTCGCAGACACACTCAAAGACTACCCTCCCTTAACTGCACGAATGAAATTAGTGCTCGCCTACATTATCGCATATTCCGTTTGGCAGTACTATGACTCGGACTGGATGAAGACCAAATGGTCAAGTGAAACAATCCAATTTATCAAGGAGTTTGAAGAAAATTCAGGCGCTAGCTGTGAACTGGCCAAGTTTTTCACGTGGAAACCTTATCTCTCAGTCAATTTCAACGACGAGGACCCTGAAAGTCAAGAATTCAATAGACTCGATGGGGGGTGTTCATAATTACCCAAGAATCAGGGCTCTGGGAATTCTCTTGGTCGAGATTGGAATTGGAGTTCCTCTTCACAATCAATCTCCAAAGAAGGGTCTCGTTGCTCAAGTCAACAATGATCTTCTATCAGCAAGGAGCTATATCAACGATCCCAAAATGTGGCGTAATCTGGAGTTTGAGCAATACCGCGATGCAGCAGCCCAGTGCCTAGATCCAGGACTATTTAGCTTAGCTCCTTTCGACGTGGGACCGTCCCCGCAACAGAGTAAAGATAGCCTCAAGCAACGAAGAAATATCTTATACGACAAGGTTTTTTTTTCCTCTGGAAGATCTCCTACATGGTACAAAATGGATGGAAGACTGGACAAGGATTGGTCCATTGGATTCGCCAACGAAGTTCCCTGCATTTCAACAATTTTTCCCAAACAACGACGAGGTCGAGGACTCCAGCGGCAAGGAACGAATGGAAAAGAAGCGAAAGCGCACGACAACAGAAAAGGAGGCATTTAACTGGCTTTTGCGTATGCCTCGTCTCAATCAAGAAGTGGATCACTTTATAGCAGCTGGAAAACTAAGTCATCCCTCTAAGCCTGTACGCATCGCGATTCTGGATACTGGCTACGACAGCAATGCTCCATGCTTTTTCGTGCCAAACGTTATGTCACGGATGAAAGGATGGAAAGACTTTGTTGATTGGTGTGGCGAAGCTGAGGATTGCCACGGACATGGCACGCATCTATATCCTGAAGTGCGCGCCTCATGCCGAATTATATGTTGCTCGCGTCGCAAAGACCCCGAATCAATTGCTAACCTCTAGTCAGAGACCAAAACAGCGCCTGGCTCAATATCGTCTCAGAAAGAAGTGGATGTTCGGACAGTCACGACTCTCAGAACTGGGACCAGTGCTTCTGCAATGTCAGCATCTTTCTTATTTCCTACTGTCGATCAGATAATGCCTAGCGCATCCTCGTCGATCATGTCCTCAACAGTCATTGATCTTGACTACCCTCGTCCCCGAAGATCATGAACGCATCTCATATATTTCGTTGTCCATGCTGCTGTGAAAGCTTGCCTGTCGCAATGGCGAACAGAAACAAATGGAGGTGAGTCTCTTGTCATTCAAAATTCCATCAACTAGGTAGGACTAACGCAGAGTTGTAGGAAACATGTTTCGGATGATCTTAGCCCTTACAGTTGCGTGATATCAGGATGTGACAAACCAGATGTTCTGTTCGGAAGCAAAGACACTTGGCGGGATCATATCCTGAGAGAACATAGTAGCCTAACATATTGGATTTGCTTTGCCTGCAATGATGGTAGGCGATTCAATAGCGAGCAGAATTTTGTTGAGCACACTGAGCTCGCCCATGCCACTTCAGTACCATCTGATCAAATACCTGTTCTGATGGATCTTTGCAAAGTTTCCGCTCCGGTTGAGATTCATCGATGTCCTCTTTGCAACTGGCCAAGCGAGGAGGAGGGAGAAGTGGAGAAAAGTGTACTACTTGACCACATCGCTAGAGCTCCACTCTTTCTCATTGCGATCTTTGCCATGGGCAGATAACAACGGTCAAGCGATAGACCAACGCATTGCTTGGAGTAGTGCTAAGGTCTATGACTGGATTGTTCAAAACAGTATTCAGAGTAATCCTACCCAAAAGCCACCGCCCGAGATCAAAGACTTCATGTGTCCAAGTACTTTGAAGGAAATGTTTATTTCGCCGATAGTTCTGGTGAATCTGGAACAAGTCAGGCTGAATCTGAATTCTCACGAACACAAGAGCTTCGTAGACTCAAGCAAGTAGAAGGATCTTCACTTGGCCTCTCGGAACATGATGGCAGCAAGGGAGGCTCAGATGAGCTGGGGGCTCCAACCTTCCCAGGTACGACCAGGTTACAAAACCCAGGGGGGTTCGGACCAAGACCCTGCAAAACTTTCCGACGAGGATCTGCAAAATGAGACGGTCTCAATTCAAAATTTGGAAACCAATGAATCAATTCGGAAAAAAGAAGACGGGCTTGGCAATATTTACGCCGAGCATAGCAGATCTATCTCTAACGCAGATCCAGGATTGCTGTCTCGAGGCCAGTTTCAAGAAGAGCAGACACAGTCTCCAATGGACACAGCCTTCAACGCTTCACAAATGGTGCCCGATGAAGAGTTCAAAGAATTTAGCCCGGAGCCGTACGAAGGGTTGGATCAGCTTCCCTGGGCAATCCCTCAGTTGACCTATAGTTCATATGACTCGACAACCGGCGTGGAGCAGCAACCAGAATCGGAGAGGGATCTTGGACCAGACAGTCTGCCTCAGATTAGCCTATCCAAAGCCAATTTCAATCGGTATATTGAAGAACCTCAACCGGAGAATGATGATGAAGGTGGAGGTGGCGATGGGGGTGGGGTTGGTGATGGAGGTGGAGGTGGCTTTTCTGAAAGTTCCAGCTGGCGTCAAGTCTCTAACCTGATGAAAGGAGTTACCACTTCGACAGAAACAGAAAATAAGACATCAGTCTTCATTCCAGCACTTCAGAAGGGAGAATTGCACAGAAAGGATGGAAATATGACGGCAGGCCCAGACTATTCACGGCAGAACTGGGCAGACTTTTATCGCCCAGAATGGATAGATCCCACATCTGGCTCTCAGTCTTTGGAAGAAGATGCAACACATAACTCTCAAGTTCGGTCTGAGGATGGCCATCCATTAATAGTGGAGACTGTTCCATCGCATAATTACATGGATGAAGAATACCATCAGGACAGTCAAGGAGGCAGCCATGTGAATGCGACAAATACCGAAAAAGAAACACAGCCAATAGCCTTCGCATTGAATGGAATGACTTTGAATCTCGATGATCAGGAGGGTCTCAAGGGAAAATCCATCAGTATTCGTACGGGAGATCGAGGGTCTATTCGACTTGATAATCCCGATGGGCCGACCCCGGCACCCAACCGATCTTCAAACTCATATGTGGAAGATTCCCCCTACTATGATAAGACGGGCGGTAGTATTCGTCGACAGGCACCAGAGAATGGGCGGCATACACGCGATCGCAAAATCGACCATCGGCCAGATTCACATCAAAGCTCACAGCCATGGAAAATTCCCGAGCTGAATGTGGTTCCCCCACCAGGTGATGAGGCTGACACAAAAGAAGAGCCTGTATTGCGTTCTAGCCCAGCTCTTGACAGTGGCTCTCTTGTGTCCTGGGGACAAGCTGAAACGCAGGGGTATGGAATCCCATCTGATGATGAACCGGATGAAAACCGACCACAGGTACAAACAGAAGAAAGGGTTCCGAGACGTCGTGAGCGTGACTCTGCCGGCTCTGCAAACAGACATGGACGAAGACCGGGTATATCATTTCCAGACTACGAGAGCTTCTCTGATTACTACATGAAAAAAGAGGACCACGGGCCCCAGAGAGAACTAGCATTGGAAGAGCTTCCAGAGCCGAGAAGCTCGGAAATTCTTTTCGACGGGATCAAACTCTCATCTCAATTTTTTATTCACAATGTCTCAGCCAGGTGAAGGGGAGTTAGAGAATCTACAACATAGCCAGGCTCAGAAAGCAATGTTGTCCCAGGCACTGCAAAAGGCAAATACTGCTGTACTTCTGGATAAAGCAGCCAATTTTAAGGGTGCATTGGAGGCATATACAGATGCATGCAAATTAATACAGTCAGTCATGCTTCGAAGTAATGGCGGAGATGATGAAAAGCTCAAGTTGGAAGAGATTGTAGGAGGCCCTGTTTATATGTGACTACTTGGAATTAAAAGCTAACGTATCTAACAGCGCAACACTTACATGATCCGGATAAACGAACTCGAAAGCATGGGGTTTTCTCTACTAGATTTCGAGGAGGAAGCCCTCTCTGAGCTACCTTTAAAATTCCTCCATGGCTCCGCAAACCATGGTGCTCATGTAGACAGTCGACGTAGCTACGGGAACCCTCAGCCAATTAAGAGTTTTGACTCTCCTGATTCGGCGCAGGTCATGCAATATACTGATGAAAGAGGGGGCAAAGATAAGAGAAGAGCTGAAGAGGAGCAAAATTCTGAAGAGGAAAGAAGAGCTGGATGGGACCTAGTTCGCCATTACAGTATGGATGATGATGCCAAGCCACAAGAAATACTGCCCCGACATGAAGGGTATCCAAGGAGAAGATCCTTCAGAGAGCTAGTTGACAAATTCAACAGGAAGGGTGAACCCGGGTACCTGCTTGAGGAAAAGAGACCTGAACCGGAACTCAGTCACCAAATCGACGTGAACGATGAGAAGGACCAACAAGAAAGGCTCTCGCGTGCGGTCAACAAACATTTAGAGGAGATAAAAGCTTCACAAGAGAGAACTCGCCAACTGTACTTGGAAAAGGAGGAACATTGGAATGTTTTCAATATGTTGGATGACAACTTCTCTGCTACCACTGGCTCCGGTTCCACAAAACTCAAAGAACCCAGTGCTGGTGATGATTCTGATCAGACACTATCACCCGAACCTGCCCGCAAAAAGACTCGAGGCTTCTCCGGTGGTATCTATGATTCTGATGATAAGCGAAAGCTGATCTATCAACACGATGATACCCAAGTCAAACCATCTGAGGGACAAGACCTCGTCACTTCTGAGCCACTCAGCCAAGTACCTGAAGAACCTGGGCCTAGTTCTCTAACCAGTCCCTCGAAGAGTCCATCCAGAAAAGAAAATACAAAGGGGAAAGCCCCCAGTAGAGACGCGCCCACCACTCCTGCACAATTCGATCAGGCATTTGAAGAACATTTTGAACCTGGGGCTAGTTTGATAGTCCAAGACTCAAATAACCCGTTCCCTAATCTCCCGCCGCTTGCTGATTCCGTGGAAAAGGGGCTATCTCGATCCAGACCTACCAGCAACATGGCCTCGAAGAGATCGCCAGAGCAGGTTCATGAAACCAGAATGCTTGGAGAAGAATTTGAAGGTTTCACCCCTGTTGAACCATACAAACCATCCGGTCAGACACTTGAAGATAGGCCCAGTTCTCCAACCCAACCTTCAACATCGGCGTCCAAAAACTCAAAGAAATGGCTCAGACAGTTCTTAAAGAGAACGAGACGATCTTAATCTTGGAGTTGCTAACATTTCAAATGCATATATTGGCTTCAAATTGAATCAACAATGTTGAAGCACGTCTTTCATACCTTACTTTACTCATGTAGCTGTCTTTAAATCCTAAGTCTGAGAAATTTAGAGAACTCAAGTCACAAGTGACGAAGAATTTAGCTCTGGATTCTATTAACCGACATGTATGATTAGAGCCTCGCAAGGGTATCGAAAAGCCAAAGACAAAAAAGGCACACAAGATGGTATCTGTACAAACACCGATAAAAATGACAAGAACAAAAAATGCAAGGTATGAGCCAAGCTAATGAAATCAAAATCAAGTAAATGTTCAACCCAGATTCAAATTTCGCCGCGCTGATGCAAATGATTCGAGCAAACCCAGAATATAGAAAAATGGAAATGGCAAAAAATATAGAAGAAGCGAAAAGAAGAAAACAGAATAGAAACTCCAGTATAGACTCCTTGGACATGAGATATTCGTAAATCATCTTCAAATGTTGGTGTCTAGGTCTGGGGTTCTACCTGTGGTTACCCAGCCCTCTCAGCGAAACTCGCCGGCTAGAGCCGACGGACCTGATATCGTTGACACTTCGGACTTTAGGTAGGGAGCGCCCGTGAGTATAGATGTCATCTTCGTAGGTATCAGGGTGTTCCGAATCATTGGCTTTGGGTGAGGTATTCAATCCGAATGGAAGGGGATTGAAAGAGGTAGATCGGCGGGTCTTCTGAAGAACGTTCTCGACCCACGCTTCACCCTCCGGACTCATAGAGATCTGTCGGGAGCGGGGTTTAGGACCGGCAAGGCCGAGAGGAACTTTCTCATGGGATGGCAGGGGTGGGGAGAGAACGTCTCCAGCGAAAGAATAACTGGAGGACATGGATAGACGACGGTTGCGTGAGAGTCCGGCGGATGGAGGAGAGGTAAAGGAACTCAGGGCCCCAGTGGTAACAGATCGGGAAGTAACTGCTTCAGAAGCAGTGGAGCTACGGCGTGTTTTGCGTACCGTGAGGGAGGATGAAGGGCGAGCACCGAGAACAGAAGGAGGTCGAGAGGGGGTGGCACGACCAGATGGGATGTATGGGGCGGCTGGAGTGAGAAGGTTGCTGCCGGGAGAGTGACCTGGTGACGAGCGAGACGCTAAGCCTTGCACTTCGACACGAGGAGTCTCTGAGACCTTGCGTCGACCGTGGTGAATCACGTATTCGCGGAGGTATTCGCCGAGATCTGCCCAGCCACCACCGACTCGAACCATCACCCGCTGACCTTCTTCTCCGACAGTACGTACAAACAACTTGGTAGGTGCTGTCTGGCCACCATGGTGCAGATGATAAAGCTTGACATAGCTATCTTCTGTTTTGTGGGCATGGGATAGACGTCTTCGGGTGGCGGGCATGAGGGTGAGAGAAGGAGCCGGCGTAATGCTTCGTGATGTTGGGCCATGAGGCGACTCGGAAAGATAGCGTTCTCGCATCTTCCGATCCAATGACGACGAGGATGAGGATGTGTCTGCCTCATTGTTGGGGTCAACCAGATGGATCCTGCCTGGCAGTGTGCTAAGAATGGTGTTGATCTTCTCATCAAGCTGGTCCCTTGGCTTCTTAAGCTGTCTGTGTGGCGAAGATGGACGGGAGCCACTGTCTAGACGCTCAGATTCGTCCTCCTCGACGTATGCAAGCTCTTGCCTTCTTAAACCGAGACCCTCCAAGCTGGGGTGAGCAGTCAAACGCCTGCGTAGACTAAAAGATTTGGGCTGGTCTTGATGCTGCATGGCTCTCCGAGCAGTATTTCCACCGAATGTAGGCAGGTCGCGGGCAGGGGGATTTGAGGTAGTGTCAACCTTCTTCAAATCGGATGCAGACTTTCCACGGGTAAGGGCAGGTCGGCGCTTTGGCATCCGAGGGCTTTTGGGAGTTGGGATAGGGATGTCGGAAACCCTTGCAATGGTGGACTGTTTCATCGATTTGAATTGTTCAGGGATCTCAGGTACTGGCTCTGAATTCAAATCCAAGTCCAGCTTTTCATTGATAAACCGTTGCAGAGGCAGGCTCACCGAACGTGTTTCCTGGAACTGGGATGAACGAGCAGAAATCTTCAAGTTCTCCAGTCGGCGGAGGCGGTCTTCTCGCAGCATGTATTCACCACGAGAAATTGATTTCTTGAATTCCGGGCGATGGGGCGGGGTGATCTCATTTGAGGAGCCAGTTGGGGCACCAGGTTCCGCTGGACTAGCTAGCATGGAGTCCTCTGAAATGATAGACCCTACAGATCCCATAGATGGTCGACGAGAGCGGGACTTCTGATTTTTATCGAGGCTCAGTCTGCCTATGCGAGACTTGGAAAGCTTGATAGGACTTTGAAGGGGCTTCTTCTTTGGACCATCTTGTTTGGCTGTCATAGGTTTATCGGCAGATGATGGCCGTGGGGCAGGTTGATGAAATTGAGCCTCGGGGATAATCGAGTTGTGGGGTTCATGTTCAGATTCCTGAGCTGAGGGTTTGGGAGATGGTCCAGATGCAACTGTATCCAATGATGATTGGGCCATTGTGCTAGGTGTCTTGATTGTCTGCTTTTCCACGTCCTCGGGTGCTGCAAGACAGTATGGTTTCTGCTCCGTTGAGAACGGCTCTCTTTCGAAACATGAATCACATGCGCCATCTGTGCTGGCAATCTTGGGCTCATCCGCAGGTACGGTTCGAGGGCCCTCACGAGGGATAGGTTGCATATCTTCATCTGTTGGTATATCAATAACCACAACAGCATTTGGCTCTGGCTTTGACTCTAGCTCTCGATGAGTAGATGGCTTCTGGAAGAAGAGATCATCATCCATGTGCTCGGCCAAAACAACAGGCTTGGCCGTTGATTCTCGAATAGACGGTGATCGTTGAGCCACAAATCCTTCTGGTGGAATATTCTCCTTGTTTTCAATATGGGGAGCTGACAAAGAAACACATGCAGGTGATTGCACTTCTGGTTCTTCCACAGATAGTTCCTGAGGGAATTCTGGTTGTTCCAGGGTCGGAAGATCCTCAGCAACGGTAATTTCGGGCCCGTCCGCAAGGTTCTTTTCAGTATTTTTACCCAAACTTGGGTTCGACACAGAGGGATTTTGAGAGATTTCCGGCTCGGGGTTCGTTGGAAGCCCAGAATCAGTATTCAAAGAATCAGGATTACTCTGACCCTGAACTGGAGATTCAATAGGCGGTGCAGGCTGAGATTCAGGCCTGGGCTCCTCCTCAATAGTCTCCATTGCGCCAATTGGTGGAGCATGGACAGAGTCGGATGAAGTAGATGTGTTGGTGTTGTTCTCAGAATCTTGGATTCGAAGCTCTCGCATTGCCTTGGCCATTTTGGACTGGTATTCTGTACTCAGGTATCGAGTATGGTCCTTGTACCTATGTGCTTCAGCCACATAGTCGCCAAAGTCTGGCTCAAGAGCATCCACATCAACCACCCACTGGTCGGGTACGGTATCTTCGCTACTCCCCAGTGCATCCAGAATGCGGTCCAGTCGTGCTCCAGCGCCAAGGATCTTTGCCTCAATTCTGACATGGTCGTTGGATATAAAAGAATTTGAAATACGGCTTTCGAAGTCTTCAACATTCTTCGTTGACTCTAACACGCGACGTGCATTATCCAGAAGGAATCGACTAGCCTTCAGCTCTCTCAATAGACCCGGAATCTGGCGGCAGACAAGAAGACGCACGTCCCAGGTGCTGAGAAGGCTAATCAGTCGGGATAGACCAGGCAGAGCACGGAGAATGGTGGCAGTGACGATAGCAGTAAAGTCCTTGAGTTGCACATAGCTGAGCGGAGGGGGCACGGACGTTGTGCTGGTCGAGGAGGAAGGGCGAGACCGGGATGGAATGTGGGCATTAAGAACGTGTTCCTTCAGCTCCTCCATATCTAAACTCTCTATTCCATCGCGTATTTCGTCGATTCTTTTTTCGTATTCTTGCACCAACTCGGCTGGGAGGCTGCCATAATATTCAACATCATCGCTGGAAGTTGACAGAGAGGAATCCACGGGCTCATCATTCTGGAACGAGTGATCAGGTGGCAAAAAGCCCATGCCTGCCCGTGCATCGATCATCTTCGGCCACCTCCATGTCTTTACCTCCTTATACCACAGATCCAGGTTTCGGGCGGCTATGGCAGCGCGTATACCCATCGCGCGTTCCGCGGGCGAAACTTGCGAAATACTTTGCGAAAGTACATCGTGGGAGAACTTTCCATCTGACGGCACGGCTTCGGTAGATGTGAGGGCTTGCAATGTTGATTCGGGGGAGAGGTTGCTGAGGAGGGGATCGATTTTGGAGAACAGGGAGCCGCGGCTTCGGTCTGGCGAACCGGAGCGCGAATTTTCTCGAGAGTGGGCGGGGAAAAGGCGGATAGATGGGCGAACAGGGCTGACCGGGAGTTGTCGACTGGCTGCCATTCCGAATGACAGGCTAAGCAGCCCCGTTCAAATTTATAGGGAGTCACAGGAGGTACGGAGAGCTCGGATGGGCTCAGGATGGCATATAAATGATGGATTTTGGTAAGGAACAGCAGGTGGACGAAGAGAGTACTGTCGATCCCGCATGCTGAGGCGCGTTCGAGAGCAAGAGGTTTTCTTGTTCTTAGTCCAATGCAATCAAAATCGTGCAGGCGAGACTTGCAGGACGTAAGATGGGGTTGGCGGTAAGCAAAAGAGAAGAGGTTGGGGCCCGTCTCTATCAATATTTGTTTTTTCTAGGGTCTTTCCGAGAATCAAAGACCACACACGGACATACAAGGACAATAAAAAGAAAGAGGGAAAGGAAGAATAAAAGGGTAAAAAGTAAACAGATCGGAAATAATTGTCGGACTTCAATGGTGGAGAAAGGGGGCACGGTCAAAGTGGACCAGTTCCGACGATCCGCGCGCAAGCTCTTTACGCTCTTTGGTTCGTGACCTATTAGATTTCCGGGGCTAATGATGTGTTTAAATGGTGTCCAGATGGCTACAATGAACATTTGAACGTTTTTGACCTTTATTGTACATATAATATCTGTAGATTCGGGATAATCCATTACTTGCAGCTCGGAGTCCCGAGTATATGCTTGTAAAAACACCGTGACGGATACGTACGCAATGACGAGTACTAGTATCTCATACTATCTATGAATAGGAAGTCAAAATGGTGAAGAAAAGAGAAACCCTTACATGGACATCTGGATGATTTGAATTTGCCTTCTATACCGTGCATAATAGCGGTCTATATCATTCGAATGTGCCTTGCTGCCCAGGTGACCTGGAGATGTGATATATCAACTGATAGGGCTATTAAGTACTGGTTGCCTCGGTATCCGGGATCAAATCATGCATTTATTGAATTGATACCTATAGTTTAGCCACAATTATTGGATAAAAATATACATCCTTGATGTGTAATTCTCCTTCAAATGTTGATTATCGATAATGGATTAGAATAGCCCTGGATAAGGGCAAATTTCAACACGGTATGAGCACTGGCATCGATGACATCTGTATGCAAGTTATTGTATGTAGTACATATGATTTCACTTGGGGATATACTTGATCTAACCTCGAATTAGATTTAGTCTACTAGGGCATTGGATGAAGTCATTTCTACCAGTTGATTTGGCCGTTTTTAAAGGTACTAGCTTGTATGGGATGTTCGAGTATGGCATGACCAATTGATCCTTTCTATCAAATGGGAAAAAATGGAAAAAATTAAATTAAATATGAAAAAACGATCAAAATGTTCCAGATATCGTATGATTCTTTTATTGACAATTGCATCCCTAAATTGTGAAACAATGATCAGTATAAACTCCTAATACTGTACTAAGTACGGACTCTACGGAGCACTTACTAAGTTACTACTTAAGAGTCGCGTCGACGCGATCAAGCGATAACGATAAGGGAAAGTATCTCCGCAAAGACAACCTCCACTAAATAATAACCAACATCTTCACCATGCGTTTCCGAACTCAATTAAAGAACACCAGGACCTTCTCCAGTACTTAATTCACCTCAATTGAATCATGTTTCCCAAATCTAACTATCTTCCAGAACTAGCTGCCTCACTCTCATCCCTCGGCAAAATATGTTGGATGCGTCTCGAGCACGAAGTTGTACGCTTCACCATCGTCCCAGATCAGGGCACCCAAGTATGGTCTCAGATCCCTGTTGTACGTATCCCGAATTCCATATTTGTCCAGAAACCGCCTAACCCAATAGACCACAATCTTCGACGAAGATACCTACGAACTAGAATCCAACTCCGAGGCCATAAACATTGAAATCAATATCAGCGTCTTAACCCGCGCCCTCCGTTCCGCAATCGACGCCTCCTCCGCTCAACTCCGCCTTACCAAGAAAGATAAAATCCCTCTCCTTGCATTAACAGTCGTAACGACCGAATGGACAGAAGGGAACATGGCCCTCGCGACAGACCAAACACAACCGCAACAAGATTCCCCACAAGACGGAACCGAAACAAACGATGTAGTCGGAGACCGACGTGCACGAGAACGCGAAACAATTATTACGCAAGAAATCCCAATTAAGATTTTACATGAAGGAGCGGTAGAGGGACTTCATGAGCCGCATTGCCCGGATCCAGACGTGCATATTATCTTACCCGGATTAGCACAGCTGAAGAGTATTTCGGATCGGTTTACGAAGCTTGCGTCTACGCATTCGAAAAATCGCCAGCCCGGTCTTATTGCAGCTGATGCGGCTAGTGCTGCAGATGAGGGCAAGGGGCCCGGTGCTGCGGGGCTGGGGAGCAATGCGCCGAAATTGGAGCTAAGTGCTAATATGCATGGGAAATTAAAGTTGGCGATTGCAACGGATGAGCTTCGCATTGCGAGTGTGTGGTCGGGACTTGTAAATCCGTCCTTGCATCCCGGTCAGATTACGGAGGAGGAGTATTCGCAATTACCGAGTGAGCGAATGCGAGAAGTGGGGGATGATGATGAGTCTGGGTGGGCGAAGGTGCGAATTGATGGGAAGGATTGGAGTCGGGTGCTGAGTGTAGGGAGATTGAGTCCTAAAGTGGTTGCTTGTGAGTACCTGTACTCCATTTTCCAGGTTTCTTCTGGTGGGTTCTATTGAGCGAGGTGTGTGCTAACAATCCTGCACAGGTTTCGTTAACGAGATGGCTCTTGTCCTCTATGTCTACCTACCTGATACCCCGAATAGGGATGACTCCTGCATAACTGTAAGTCTATACAAGCATCCATCTACACCGGCACTACTATTTTATGAAACAGTATCTGACAATCTCTAGTATTATATTAATTCCTTTACAACATGAGGATTCCGTTACGATGAATTGAGAAGTGTTTTGACGGTAACCAGGAGTTGGCATTATTCAGAAATCATTATTAAGACAGAGACATGATAACAGTCATGCGAAAGAAACCCTTCAAATAGAAGGCACGAAAACATCAGGTATCACCCAATTTTTGATATCGGAGTGTACCTCGAGGCCGAATGATATACATGATGCAAGGGAACTCGTATTTCTCGCTCCACAGGCGCAGAAATGCGCAGCAACGAACAACAAAAAGCAAGCTATGTGCAAGGCTTTGCAATGATAGTTCAGTGTGCAAGAACGCCAGAAAATGAATGCCTGCTCAGGAACAGAGCACGGCAGAACATGGAAACTGCTAGGGCGATGAATGGATGTTGAAGCACGGGGAATCTATTATGGGGGGGGGGGACGGGGCCAAAACATGAGTAGAGGAGTAAAAAAAAGACATAAGAGGCATAATAAAACAAATGAAAGAACAAAAAAAAGAAATTAAACGTGCAGGACCAAGCTATGCTTAGTTAGGACATATATGACACGGATTCAATAATTATTGAAATCACTGTGCCATAACATCAACGTAGCGACCCTTCTTCTTGCCGCGTACAGTGTTTGCACCCTTTCGAGCCACCGGAGCGCCCAGAAGATCATCGATGGACTGAGCGTGGCTCAAAGAGGAAGCAGGCCGAGGCGGAGGTGGTCCACCTGGTGGCGTCGATGATAAAGCCGCGTTGGAGGAAACTGAGCGAGGCATAGGAGGCGGAACTCCTAGTCCAGAGAAGGCGGGACTTGAGGAAAAAGGCGCAGCATCACTGGAAGAGGATGGGGGTCTGCTACCAGAGGCGACTGACATAGGAGCAGGTGGAGGGGGCATGCTGCCAGAGCTGGTTCGACTGGGAGGAGCGGAGCCGCGCGGAGGGGGAGGAGTAGCACGAGCAGAGCCTCCAGAGTTGGGATCCTTCTTGTTAACCCACTTCTTGAGGTCGTTATCATAATAGAAAGAGCTCTCCTCGCCAAGTTTGGCTTTGATAGGACCACCGCCTACATTGTCGGCTTCCTTCTTGCCACTAAACCAGCCCCCAAACCACCCCTTCTTTTGTGACTGCTGAGAACCGCGTTTGGCTGTGTTGTATGTTAGATATAGTTTGAATAAAAAGGGATAAAAGAGACTTACCATCTTCTTCTGCCGCCTTTCGGAATGCCTCATCTGCCTGGCGGTCATTCTCTTGCTTTTGAGACTTCTTGAGAGCCGCAGCTCGTGCAGCGAGATCACCATCGTCGTCATCGTCCATGAAGGCCTTCTTCTTGGGCTTGGGATCTTCATCTTCCTCATCGGCTAATTGCTCCGGAGGAACACTCATATCAGGTGCATAGGAGGGAGGATCGTAGGAGCTAGTGGTCGCAGGGGGCATGTAACCAGAATTTTCTGCCTGCGGCATACCAGGCGGGCCTTGGTAGAAAGGAGATTGAGTGGCAGCGCCATTATCCTGCCCGGGAGGGTGGTAGAATAACCCGTTAACTGCGGGCTGGGCCATCTCAGCTGGTGATTGACTGGCATCCTCTTTTACTGGAGCCAGGGGCATGTAGGAGGACTGAGGAGGAGTGGGCTGATAGTTAACAGTACCCGGAGATCCATAGATCGGTGCGCCCTGGAAAACAGAATCCACGGGGGTTTCAGGTTCCTGGGACATGCGACGTTGCCCAAAAGAAAGACCACCAGAAACAGACCGTTGGGAATCCATTGAAGATCGACCCCGGAATTGTTCCGGCGATGCGTTCGGGGCATATTGGTTCGATGGAAGATATCTGGAAGGAGCACCGGTGGGAATTGGCTGTGATCCGGCTCCAGGGTAAGAACCATATATGTCAGACACAGATGGAGACCGACTCACGGTTGGGGTTCCAGCTACATTCGCAAATGGACCAAACTCTGCAGCCTCAGCCGCTTTGCCGGACCCTGTTGATGCTGCATCGCTATCATCACCAGCAACGAAGCTATTGAAGCGAGCCCACATGGAGCCAGAGACCTTCTCCATGCTTGGTTTGGAAATCCAGGATGAAGCACCATCGCCCCCTGTTTGACGAAGACGCACTGATAGCTCTTCAATTTCGGCAAACAGGTACTGATTATGATATGGCGATGGACGAGTAGTTGCCTTAAGTGTTGCCGCCAAGGAATCGCAGTAATTTTGAGCCTCTGTCTTGCGACCTCGGTCAGCAAGGCATTTGGCATGGAGAAGCTTGAAGGCTAGCAAGTGTGGCAAGTTGGCGACGGGAGAATTGGCCAGAATAGACGTAGCAAACTCGTAGATCTCAGTCAAGAGAATAGCGTCTTCATCGAGCAAGGTGCAAGGGAAACGTTGGTGATCAGCTCCAAGGAGGACAATATTAGCTTGGGGATCATCGGCTCCACCAAACACAACGCTACGAGAGAAGATAAAGCAGATGTGTGCTGCCTCGACACGACCATAAGAAGCCAGTAAGTGACCAAGTGCCAATAGGGCCTGGTGGTCATCAGTGCTGCGGTTGCTCAACACAAGTCCAAGTGTATCTCTCCAGCTCTCGAGCCCATCAAGGGCATTCTTTGCGGGACCCTGGCCATCTGCTTTGCTGATCAAATGATGCCCAGCTCGTGCAGATGGTGGTACCAACTCGTCAATACTCTCTTCAATATTGCCAGCAAAGACTTCGTAGAGAGCTGCAATTGACTCAGCACCTCCTGTCGCGGATCGAACTTCACGGCGGATATATTCCTGTACAACTTGCTTCCAGATGGACTTCTCCATGGTGGATGCGATGATCATCGCATGTCCCCAAAGACGTCTATCGACAGCACTCCAGACGGCCTTTTCTCGCTCACCAAGAAGTAGATTGTTATGAAGCTCTTCACCCCACTGTGGATCAATCGAATCCGCTTGGGATGGAAGAGCCACAGGCCGGGAACCACTAGGTACACCAAAAGAATTTCCATAAGAAGATTCCGGCTGCGCCTCTGAAAGATGAGGGGAAATGACCTGGCGGAGGGACTTCTGGATTTCATGAGAGCCTTCAAGCACGCCGTCATGCTCAACAAGAATCTTGGTTATCTTCCACAGCAGAATCTTTTCTTCGTGGCGTTTTTGCGAATCAGGTTGCAATTGATTCAACCCAGGGATCTCCTCATTCTCAAAAGCGACAATCTTGCTTGACATCCAGGACAAGACTTCCCTCTTCTTGGACTTAGCTTTCAAGGGTCCGGGGTGAGGGACAATGGTATCAGTAGGTGATAGCCATGAGTCGAGCTGTGAGTATTTAGGCTCACCAAGTGTGGGCTTGATCATTGGTGCCGGGTTACCAGCGGAGTAACGAGGGATATGCTTGGGAAAGCAGGAAACAACAGCTCCTCCAAAGCCAAACTTGAAAATAGGAGCACCTTTCCAGCGCTGGAGGGGATCCTGTTCTTGCCCATCTGTAGGTGCAATGAATTCGAGCTGCTGGGAAGCACGAGAAGCTGCACGAGCACGGCTTGCAGCCTGCTGAGGGGCGTATGGGTTAACTGCCTTTGTGGGTGAGCCGGGGCCATGCACCGAAGCTGGACGTGGCAGCGTTTCGATGGGGGGCACGAATGATTTTGGGCTTGTCAATTGTTGACCAGGAGACTGAGTCTGAGATCTTCGGGGTGAAATGAAACCCGATTCACTCGGTGGAGAGACCTGCACTTCTGTGACTGCAGGGACAGGAGTATACTCATTGCTAGGTGCCATACGCTTCGTGAACTCGTTGAGATATTCTGGGGCTGCATAGCGGGGCGGTGTGTGTTGAGTAGCGACTGGCGGGCTTCCTGCACCTTGACTAGCAGAGTAAGGGGACCCATTAGATAGCTGAGGAGCATAGCCCGAGCCTTGATCAACACTAGGTCTTTGACGAGGAGGAGAAAGATCAACCGATGGTTGAAGAGATGGAGCTGGGAGCTGCTGATGGTTCTCATCAGGATGATACGATACTTTCTCGTGATATGCAAGGGGACTAGATGTTCGAGGCTGGAATGGCAAATTGGCACCTTGCCCAGGAACACTCAGCGGCTGCGATGCATATCGGTTCCGACCGGCAGATGAAGGAGGCGGAGGTGCGGGCGAGTACCTTGGCAACGACGGCGGCTTGGTCGAAGGATGCAAGCTAGGAGGCTTTGGCGAATATCTTGAATTTGCATTAGGGCCTGCAGGGGCACTTGAAGCTAGGTTCCCACTAGAAGCATACGGGTCCAAGAGCTCGGGCGGTTGAAGCGAAGATTGAATTTGAAGCATGCCAGCAGGGGCCTCGGGAGCGGGAGGTGCGACAGGAGCATATGAGTTTGTTGGGGGCGAAATGAGTGATGGCGCAGTTGGCATTGGGCCTGTAGGATTAGGAGTATAGCGTCCTGAGCTAGCAGGACGAGACCTCGGGGCAGGCAATGGAAGCTCTTCAAAGAAATTCTTTGGTGCAGGTGGCGGAGCGGTAGCTGCAGGCGCAGGCGCAGCTGAAATACCATGATGAACCGCAGCAGTGCTCGGTACTGGCGGCGGGGGCATACTGCTTACTACCTTGGGGGGGAGGGGCCCTATGAGTGACAATAGGACGTCGAGGTTGCGAGAGGCCCTCGGGAAGATCATAAGGTGACTTGTAACCTTCTTTTGATCTCTCGGCAAAGCTCTCTCCCCTGGTAGCAACAGGGTTTGGTGGTTGCTGCGTATAGTATGGTGGCATGCTCTGATTCTGCAGCGGAGCACCTGGGATGCCAACCCCTCCCACCAAATCTCCCGTGGAAGGTTGATGAGGTGTGTATACACCGGGGATTGGTCTGGGAGGTGTCTCTCGTTGTTGGGGCGTCTCAAAGGGGCTATGCAAAACCGTGGCACCGAAACCATTAGACGACACCAACGGACTCTGTGGAGCAGGTTGTTGATTTTCAACCATGTCATCTTCCAGCTCGTCATCGTCGTCTAGATCAAGTGCGGCTTCCCAGCGCGCAGCCAGATCGTCTTCCTCCGCGTCGCTTAGCTCTGCCTCCCAACGAGCGGCTAAATCATCTTCTGAAGGAGCAACTGTGCTTGATTGGGGTTGAACCTTCTGTTCGTCAGATGCGGCAGCCTTAATAACATCCTCAAATTGGGCTGCTGCTGAGATTTCGCTGACTGGGGACTCGATATCAAACCCAACTGACTCCATCACTTGACTTGTGCTCTTACGAGTAATATGGAAAGAGGGCTCTTTGTCGGCGTCCGCTTGTTTAGAGGAATCGAAGAACCCTTCCGCATCATCATCCTCGTCGTGAGCAAAGGGATCATTAGTCGCATTGTCGTCAAACAAAGCGCGATCAGGAGAATCGGGACCATCTTCCTCTAACAAGGGAACGCCTTCTTCGTATCTCGACTCTGCCTCTGGAGGAGCAAATATAGGCTTGGTCTGGGTTTTGAGTTGATTGAAAAAGTCGTCGCCATCAGAGTCCAACTCGTCGGCTTGGTTGTTCCATGAGATATCTGTAGCTGCCGATTGTTCTGAAGTTTCAAAGTGTGGCTGCAGCTGGGCACCTACTTCTAGTGACCTTTCTATAGTCACCTCCTCAGCAGCGGTATCTTGCTGATGTTCTGGCTCTTGTGGTTCATCAACTAAAGATGCTACGGGTGGAGCTTCCATAATATCCGCAGGCGCTTCAACGGGCAGCACTTCACTTTCATATACTTCAGGTTGTAGCGAAGCGTGAGTGGGTTCACCACCGGTAGATAGTAAAGCTGAGAAATCTTCCGTCTCCTCGCTAGATGCGAATACTGCATCGATTGATGAGGTTGAAGGCTCCTCGAGAAGAGGTGTATCTTGTGCTGTCTCAACTAAGGAGGGATCTGCTTGAGGGGAATCCGAGGAAGTCTCCGAAAGGGAAGCTTGAACTGTAGGCTCTACTTCAACTGGCGTAGCTTCAATCGCCACAGCTTCATTGAGCGCCTCCTCTACAGGCTCTTCTGGTTGAGCTAATCCTTGTGCCGGTTCAGGACCCGCCGCCAGTAGCTGTGAGAAATCGACCGACTCATCATTGGACCCAAAAAATGCGTCCGCTTCAGAGCTTTCTTCCTGTGCTGTGTCCACTGTACTATTGGCTTCAGGCTGGGTGTGTGCAGCATTATTCGAGGTGGTTTCAGGTATAATTTCCGGGGATTTATTTTCCGTTGTACTATGCTCAATGTCGACATTTGTGGTGTTGTCGTCTCCAAGAGCATCGGGGGTCACATCTGCTATAACGGAGTTCAAGGACACGGGTTGCTGTTCTTGAGCAGGCTTGTCTTCCGGCATATCCCACGCAGAGAAATCATCATCGCTTAGCGGTGATTTGACGTCTGGCTTCGAAGGATCTTGCGCGCCGCTCGCGACTAGGGGCTCGGGGAAGTAGCTTCCGTCGAAGTCGCCGGTACTTCGTATGTGTTGTCTTCCGGTCGAGCTGCCGGGTTCCATGAACCAGCGCCGTTAGCGGCAGTTAAATATTCGGCCATCATGAATGGTATAGGCCCTCGATTATCGACTCGATTCGGGGGGTTCGGAGGCAACCTGACACGTCTGTCCAATGACGTCCAGGGTCAACAATCCCAACAACGAAACACCAAACAAGGCTAAGCTTCGGTATCCATGAAATGGTAGAATGGGGGCGTTGGAAAGAAACACAAAGTATTAGATTACAAGGAAATAAAGCATTAAACAGCCTGTTGCCGAATAGATGATCATGGACGAATATCCCGAAGTCGCGACGCCCCCAGATTGCACTGTTTGCTGTTATTGGCCCCAACTACGGAACTTAGTCATCAACTCTATTTCAATGACCGGATATATGTTAATCCGAATTGAACACCGTTGCAATGCATAACAACCTTCCTAATTTAGAACTTATGCAAACTTATGTAAGATTATGACATAAATTCCAAAGGTTCATTTCTTATGCAGTCAGGTGATACATACTGCAGTATCGCGGGTATCAGGCAGTCGCGGTGCTTAAATTATTCCCCACGCTTCACGGACAGGCTTACTGGGAATTGGAGACCTTCAGTACTCTCCTTTATCTTCTTTGGGCATTTGTTCACCAGAACGCCTAGTCCATCAGCTATTACTTTCACATTTGTCCCCACTATGCTGCCGCGTCACCTCCACGCTATTTAAGGCTGTCGATCTCAAATCATTTATTTGACGATAAGCACGGAGTAGCATTTCGCTTGCTGCACAGCTCATGATCACCTAATCCCGAGCCTCCACGGCCATCGCCAACGAAATCATGCCTTCTTCCCCCGGATATCTTCATCCCTTGCACACAGACGACCCTGATGACTTCTCGGCATCTGACGACGACTTGGACCTTGAGGAGCTAGATCCCAGCACTGCGCCACAGGAAACAACGAGAGTCTCCCGAGACTATGCAAACCGCTCGCGAAATTATGGTCCAGGAATAGCTCTACGGAACTTGCGAGTTGGAGTGGGTAGTCGCTGGCGACGAAGTCCATCTGGCCACAGAGAGCCTGAAGAAGACACAGCTGCATTGCTGGAAGAGCGGGAAGATGATGGAAATCGCCAGTCCAATGGAAGCTCACGAAATATGCATGAGGATGATGCACCACTGCTGGATCGGCGGAGCTCTACTCACATGTTCAGTGACGAGGAACCTTCAAAAAAGCGCGGGTCATGGCTGTCTAATCTTACAGAGTCAAAGTTCCTACAGGCTATCTCTAGCCGACTCGGAGGGAGTGTTAATGATAATGAAAATGCGCCTCCACGAGAGATCTTGATCGGCCAGACCCAATCCGCTAAATACCCGCCCAATGTCGTCTCCAACGCCAAATACACACCATGGAGCTTTCTACCGCGCACTTTGTATAACGAATTCTCCTTCTTTTTCAACATATATTTCCTCCTCGTCGCATTATCACAAGTCTTGCCCATGTTACGAATTGGTTACATGTCGTCATACATTGCGCCGTTAGCTTTTGTGGTTTCCATCTCATTGGGAAAGGAAGCTTTGGATGATATCGGGCGGCGTCGTCGAGATGCGGAAGCAAATGCTGAAGAATTTACCGTTGTATCCCTGGACAGAAATGCCATGGATGTCACGAAGAAATCGAGGGATCTGAAAGTTGGAGATATTCTCAAAGTTCGCAAGAACCAGCGTCTCTCCTGCGGATGTTGTTATCTTGAAGAGTATTTCGAATGATTCAGGCTCCTCTCGCCAAAATTCCGTGGAAGTACCTGTTCCTAGCACTTCAACTGATCTGCTTGACCCAGATCAAGAGCATCTTGGGGCCACCCCGAATCCCTCAGCTGGCTCTGATGAGATTTCGTCTACCAGTGACACGTTCATCCGAACTGATCAGTTAGATGGAGAAACAGATTGGAAACTACGTACTCCATCTGCATTGTCGCAGTCCCTTTCTTTCGACGATTTTACTCGACTCAAGGTCACTGCAAGCCCGCCAGATCAAAGAGTGAACGAATTTATTGGCACAATCGAGTTGTGCTCTGCACCAGGACTTTACGATGCTCATGTTGACAAGTCGTACTCCCAATCACAGAATGGAGAAGACCGAAACTCCAACTCAGCCCCTTTGACAATTGATAACACCGCCTGGGCTAACACCGTCCTTGCATCCAATACAATCACGTACGCTGCAATCATCTACACTGGTTCTCAAACTCGCGCTGCGCTTTCGACCTCACCCTCCCGGTCTAAGGTGGGCCTGCTTGAATATGAAATCAACAACCTCACCAAAATCCTATGTATTCTCACGCTCGCTCTGTCCATCGTTCTCGTGGCCTTTGAAGGCTTTGAGCCGACGAATGACAAGAAGTGGTATGTTGCGATGATGATATACTTGATTCTCTTCTCAACTATTATCCCGATGAGTCTTCGGGTCAACCTCGATATGGCCAAGTCTGTATATGGTCGTTTCATTGAACGTGACAAGGACATTCCGGATACCGTCGTTCGCACCAGCACAATTCCAGAAGACTTGGGGAGAATCGAATATCTACTCTCTGATAAGACTGGGACATTAACCCAGAATGGTAAGCCCCCTTTATAAATTGGCAACTGAAGGTCAATAATGCTGACTTTTAACCCAGAGATGGAATTGAAGAAGATCCACGTTGGTACTGTCTCATATGCCAGCGAAGCAATGGATGAAGTTACATCTTTCATTCGTCAAGCTTTTGCTGGCAATGCCTTGACAACCCCATCGACTGTTTTTGGAACCCAGGCTGGGCAGGGAACCGCGCCTCGTACAAGACGTGAAATAGGTTCTCGAGTCCGAGACCTCGTTCTGGCCCTTGGTCTCTGCCACAACGTTACACCAACTACCGAGGATCTAGATGGTCAAAAGGTGACCACGTATCAGGCCTCATCTCCGGATGAGATCGCTATCGTCCGATACACCGAAGAAGTTGGACTCAAGTTGTCTTATCGTGACCGTCAGACTGTTGTTCTTGAATCAACCGACTCCAAACAAGTAGTCGTTCGCGTGCACATCCTAGACATCTTCCCCTTCACCTCCGACAGCAAACGTATGGGTATTATCGTACAGTTCCAACTGGACGACAATGCCCTCGATCCTGACAGCAAATCTGAGCCCGAAATTTGGTTTTATCAGAAAGGTGCAGACACGGTTATGTCATCGATTGTTGCAACTAATGACTGGCTTGACGAAGAGACTGCCAACATGGCGCGCGAGGGTCTACGAACGCTTGTTGTGGGTCGCAAACGGCTGTCACTCCAGCAATACCAAGAGTTTTCCGCTAGGTATAAGCAGGCATCATTGTCCTTCCAAGGACGTGATGCTGGTATGGCTGCGGTTATCGGCGAATGTCTTGAACGTGATCTGGAACTCCTTGGCGTAACCGGCGTTGAGGATCGTCTGCAACGCGATGTCAAGTCTTCTTTGGAATTGATGCGTAACGCGGGCGTAAAGATCTGGATGTTGACTGGAGATAAGGTAGAAACAGCACGCTGTGTCGCCATTTCTGCCAAGCTGGTCGCTCGCGGCCAGTACATTCACACGGTATCCAAAGTGACGGAAAAGTCTACTGCTCAAGAAGCCCTTGATTTCCTGCGCAACAAAACCGACTGCTGTCTTCTGATCGATGGCGAATCTCTAACCTTGATGCTCAATCACTTCCGAACAGCATTCATCTCTGTCGCAGTCCTCCTTCCTGCAGTCATTGCATGCCGCTGCTCCCCCCACGCAGAAAGCCGAAGTCGCCACGCTGATCCGTGAATACACCAAGAAGCGTGTCTGTTGTATCGGTGACGGAGGTAATGATGTATCAATGATTCAGGCTGCGGATGTAGGCATTGGTATCGTGGGTAAAGAAGGTCGGCAGGCATCTTTGGCTGCTGATTTCAGTATCACCCACTTTCATCATTTGACCAAGCTCCTCGTCTGGCATGGTCGAAACTCTTACAAGCGGTCCGCCAAGCTAGCACAGTTCATCATGCATCGTGGCTTGATCATCAGTATATGTCAGACCATGTACAGCATTGCTGGCCATTTCGATCCGAAGGGTCTCTTCATCGACTGGCTGATGATTGGTTACGCCACTGTCTACACCAACGCCCCCGTCTTCTCGCTTGTGTTTGATCGAGATGTAGATGAGCGACTCGCCAATCTCTACCCAGAGTTGTACAAGGAGCTGAAGACCGGCAAGAGTCTGAGTTATCGATCCTTCTTCACCTGGGTTTTTATCTCCGTCTTCCAGGGAGCGGTCATTCAAGGCCTCTCTCAGATTCTATTGGATACTATTACTGGCCCTCGATTGATCAGTGTTTCTTTCACGGCCCTTGTTCTTAACGAGCTGGCAATGGTCGCCATCTCTATCACCACTTGGCATCCCGTCATGATTTTTTGCTTGGTCGGCACTCTACTGTTGTACGCCGGCAGCGTCCCTTTCCTCGGTGGCTACTTCGATCTTGGCTTTGTGATCACTCTGGACTGGGTGTGGCGTGTTGTCGCTGTACTCGCTGTCTCATTGGTGCCAGTATGGGCTGCTAAGCTCATCAGACACTCCGTGAAGCCTCCAAGCTACCGGAAGGTGCGCGGTTGAAGCGTCTGCTAGTTTGGATCACAAACCCCTCTCACCCCCCTATTCTCCCTCGCTTCTTTTTCTTTTCCCTTCCTTACTTTTTCTCTCTTCCCATTTAGGTTCTGGCAGAGTGCCTGGCCATCCTGTATATCCACCCCCAGCATGTTGTCCTTGTAGAGCGCAAAGTCGTTAGAACCATCTTCTCTTGAATACCGAAATATAATTTCGATTTTTGTATCTATGTTGAGCGCGGTAGAAACTTATCAAGATGATTTATGTTCTAAACCATACATTTACTCAATGTCAGCGCGTGTGCGTCTGGTTGTAAGAGGTCTTGTGCCATCGCTACTATTACATAGTGCTTGTCCTCCAGTTGGCGGACCTGAATCATAGACCTCATGTATAAACCAATTTTATACGAGTTCAATCCAATTCTGCCCAGCTAGGATCCACTTCTGTGGACCTAATACGACCCACTGGGTCACTAACATATCGAGAGCCAAAAAAACACTTGTACATCACAATGATTCGGAAACTTTCAAGATCTCGCAGGGTCTGTTATTGGCGGATGAGGATGTAGCTTCTTCTGATCGTCTGATCGTACGTTCTTTGGAGTCCAGAAACATGGCAGTGCAGCAAATTGGCCCCTTTCCCCATACTCACCGAGTAGCTAGGATGAAGATTGTACACTGAGGGCCTTATGAGGTAAAAACGAAGTCTCCTGCTATCTACTTTTCTGACCTTTCTCCTCGATTTCCTCATGACCTTCAAGTCTCTGTAACATCTACCTGTCATTTGCTAGATATGCCACCTGCTCCAGGGCTTTCCTCAATGACGACTAGTTCTCCAAATTTCGGCCCTTTAACTACTACCTTCACCCCTCCAGCCGACTGTTTCTCAGAGCAATGGATCCAGCATAACACCAATTACACATTACTAGCCTGAGGTCCAACCTGCAATTCCGGTGAAATCGGATACGCCTCTTCGTGCTACCCTAGCGGATGGTCTGAATCCAAAGCCAACGATACCAATCTGAACTATAAAGCCTTCTCACCAGGCCTCATTTGTCCTTCCGGCTTCACTCCAACCTTCTCAGCAAGTCATATCCAACGCACAAAATCATTTCTTCTATCAGAATATGTGACAAGTCTTTGTAAAAATGACGGAGCTACCGTTTGTTGTCCTTCGTGAGTTGTCCCTACTCCATAAAGTACGGACTCAGAATAGATACATCCATCACATCACTCCCTTGCATGCATCCCAATAATTATTACTTTTATCACCCCAGCCCTTCCATACATCATGATTTTCCCTACACACGTACTTTTCAGTCCAAAACAAAATTGATAATTCGAAAATTGAACCCAGCGGCTACGACTTCGACGGAGACCTTTGTACCAGCAACACCCTAGTCCTCACATCACGCTCAATCCTAACAGTAGTGAGCGATCAATACACCACACAATCCGCCAAAGATTACAACGGCGTTCTGGGCAAGCAAGGCGAAACAGGCGACGCGATATTCCAAGCTATGTCGGTGATTCTTATTCGAAATACCATCTCCAATTACCTTCCTCTTCCTACTTCGACGAATTTGTCACGCTTTGATCCACATCATAACGGTGGTTTATCTACCGGTGCGAAAATCGCTATTGGTGTTTGTGTTCCGGTTGGTGTTATTATTCTTACTGCGATTGCGTTTATCGTTTGGGATAGACGACGACGCAATAAGACTACGACGAGTACGAGTACGGATTCTCAACAGAGTCCAAGTTCTGGGTTAAATGGGGATGTGTTAACGGGGAAACCGGAGTTGGATGGGGTTGAGAGGAGTCCACCGGTAAAACAGGAACTAGATACGGGGCAGGATGTTGGGGCTTTGAAGCTGAATGGATCTACGCCTGCTGAGTTACCGGGTAACTCTCCGGTGGAGTTACCTGTGGAGCGAAGCCACCTGTGGAGCGAAGTCCAACAGTGCCGCAGGTAGAGCTGGAGGGTGATGTGCAGGTTTCGTCGGTGACATCGTCGACTACTGTGAGAGACGAAGAGCAAAGCCTGAGAGACGAAGAGCATCCGAACGAGGGAGGATATCATGATGATAGAGATATTGGACTGAGGGAAACGAAATGATGTTTGATTATGATTTGTGCTATATACCCTTTCAATCTTCGAGATGAAATTCAACTTGAACTACTGCCAATGGCAGTCATAATCTCATTTCAGGTCGAAGGTGGCTTAATCATATTACTTCAGGGTTACGATGCCAGGGTTACGATATTGCTAGGTACTTGTATGAACATTGAAGGTGAGGTTGAAAGTATTTTGATTGAATCATGATCATTGTTATACATTGATTGGGTATATTGCAGTGCATCGTAGTCACATGGTCACTACATGACATGCTCATGTCGAGTCATGAATGGCATAAATGAAAACCAAGAGAAAATTAAAACAGTATCAATGCTAGGTAATAAGCAATGAAACGAAGTCATATGTTTATGGTCAACGCCTACATGGAAGGCTCAGGCGAGAACACCTTACGCAGGCGGAAGTGTGCCAGATCACGAATGACCTCAGCAGTCTGCTTCATGTTCTTCTTCACAATAACAGAGGTAGGCTGAGAGAAAAGCTCATCAATCTCCTCAAGGGACTTGTTCTTAGTCTCGGGCATGAAGATTATCTGGTAGAACCAGCCCAAAACGGCAATACCACCGTAGAAACCAAGAGTGAGACCAATACGAGTCATGGAGTCCATCATGCGAGTGAAGTTGTAGGTAACAATGAAGGAGCACAGGAACAGATTCGCGTCGGCGGTAGTCATACCGTAAGAACGCAGGTAAGTAGGGAAGACCTCGGAGGGGATAACCCAGGTCAGACAGGCGTAAGAACCGAAGAAACCCATGTACAGAATAATACCGGTGAGGTAAATACCCTCAGCAGCAGCGGGGTGCTTGCTGTAGTCGATGGTGTAACCCACACCGACGAGAACAAGACCAATGAAGAAACCCGGCAGCATGGCATTAGCCCAGTAGCGACGACCGAAGCGCTCCATGTACAAGACAGCAGGAATAGCACCAATCATAAGAGAGGCACCGCCGACAAGAGACATGAAGACAGCCTTCTTTTCATCAAAGCCAATAGCCTCCATCAGGGTAGACATGTAGTACATGACAGCGTTCACACCAGTGAATTGGCCGAGGAAGATCATAATGTTGGCGTAGACAATAGCACGGCGGGCACGAGGGTTGGTGAAGAAATCCATCCAGGCATATTTCTTTGTCCGGGACTGCTCCTCAGCCTCGATCTGGACGGCCTGGCGCATACCCAGGAACTCATCCTTTGCATCAAAATCATTGAAGCCACGGATGCGCTTCCAAACATCGTAGGCCTCGATCTCGCGTCCCTTGTGCATCAAGTAACGGGGGCTCTCGGGGAGGAACATCATTCCAACCAGGAGGATAGTCGAGAAAACGAGGGACGAACCCAGGATGTATCGCCAGTCACCGTCGACACCAATAAAGATGGCAGCAACGGCATATCCTAGAACTTCACCCAGTGCGATGTTGAGTTGATATAAGGAGACGAGGTTACCACGGATCTTGCTGGGAACTATATTGATTTCCCGGAATTAGTAAAATGAATCATCTTGAGCAACGCCACCTGGGCAGTAGGTACTCGTAAACAACCTTGGAATTGACTTACCAGACTCGGCAACATAGACAGGTACGGTACCACCTTCTAAACCAACACCAGCGCCCAGAACCATACGACCAGCAAAGATCATACCAAAGTTGATAGCTCCGGCCTCCAGACCAGCACCAATGGTGTACAGAATGCAAGAAACAATAATAGACATGCGACGACCGAGGTACTCGTTGCAGGGAGACAGAAGGAGGGCACCAGCAACAGCACCAAGAGGCATTCCACCATTGACCAGACTGGCCTGGCTGGAAGACAGATTCAAAGCATCGGGCAGAGAGATGTTGGCACCACTAATAAGTGACTGATCCAGACCGGAGAGCAGACCACCCATAGATGCAAATCCTACCAGAATCCAGGTATAGAGAGCTGGGTTCGAGAATGAAATCTCAAACTTGGCCTTGGGCAGAGTCTGCAGTTGCTCCTCGAGAAGTTGGAGCTCAGCGTCCATCGCCGCCTCACTAACTTGGGTTTCTTTCAGGTCTACATGGTCCATCTCAACGGCGATGGGGGCTTCCTTGTGAGTGTCTGCAGACACCTCAAGATCCTTGGCTTCCGACATGGTTGCACAAGACCCTTTCCAAGTTCTAGGGTGAACAAAGCAGTATGAAAGTAGATATTGTATATAAAAAAGAAGAATTAAACTGGTGTTTTCAACCAGATCCCACCCAGTGGGTATGCAGAAAAGAAGAGAAGAAAAGGCGTAAGGAAACTGGAACGCGAAAAGACGGGGGAATTGGGGAAAACAGGAAGTATTTGAGGTCGATCTCAGACCACACGACACAGGACCTCCTAGTCCCTCCTAGTCCCCAATGATATCCGGAAATACACTTTGGCGATGAGCCTGACGTACTACGTACAAGAAAAATTCTATAGGCAAAAAAGAACCAAGGCTACGGAGAAACTAAAAGTCTAAGTCTCGGCAGGGGATCCGCCCCATGATTCTCGTCAAATTTGTCTGGAGCATGTACTCCAACTTTCAAGATGTGGAGATTCAGCGGGGCACCACCCACGAGAGCGGGCAGTAACAGAAATGAGACAGATCATGACGGATTTTGTTCACCGGACGCCCAAACCTGGTAAAGACTGCCCCAAATTAGTATCCATCGACATACTTGACAGGGGGTACGGAGTAGTGGAATGCGGAGAGGGGAAGGCCGGGGAATTCGAGGGGGATGATCGGGGTTGTTGACGAATCGTAGCTCGAAAAGCTTAACCAGTCCAAGTTGCAACTTGAAATGAAAATACACCCATCCTATTACACAATAGGGATCCACGCCTATCATTTTTCATACTGTCACAGTGTCACCCACTGGAAAATGGAGGTGCCATCGGCATCGTAGTTCTGGAAACTTCCCGGCTTGCCGTTGATATTGTGCAGAAATCGGCCTGGGAAGTGGAGTATGACATTGCTTCTCAATGTTACGGGTGAAGACAAAGCCGACAGATCAGCCCGAGGGAATACATATTGAGTAGGTCTCACGCCGAGTCCAATGAAAAAAAAAAAGCAGAACCATATCACATGGTATGGTTTCGGACAGTGTCCGACTCCAATTCGGGAGTTAGAATGGGATGGGAACCCCATATGGAGACTCCAGTAGTCATCGGAGAGACTTCGGCGAAATGAATCCTCCATTCAACGCCCAGGGCGTCCGGGCCGGGGAGAGAAACCTCGGGGTGAAGTGGGGATGCGGGAACCTGATCCCGAGTTCATCCCGGCTTGTTTTCTTAAAGAAAACGGGGTTGCTCACGGGATCGCCAATTTTTGTAAAGGGGAGAATGGCTCATACCACGGGCTCCCAATCGCTGGAAATTACGGGAGTTTCCCGAGAGCGTCATTCGTTGACCATCGTATCGTGGAGAGGGGCGCGTGGGGGTGGTGGCTTTCTTTAGCGGATCTGACCTCAGTTTAGCCTATATTCGAAGGGGGAATTTTATAGTGGTAACCGCCGAGGGACCCAATCATCATCATTTGGTCATTCGCGTACCATGGCCAACATTTCATCTCTATCTCAAAATAGGAAAGACCTTTGGAGTAGTGGAGTCATTTTGAACAATTGTCCTCGAAATGAGACTCTTACGCAAGCCTAGAGCCTGAGAAGATGATGTAGAGTTTATATTACCTGACACTTGCATGGAACAGTGGGCAAGTTCGGGTAAATGATCAATTCTCATGGCAAAATATGTTATTTTCTTGGCTTACCGTAGAAAGTGCACATAATGATGTGGGTAAAATTTGTCATTTGGATTGTTTTTATGTATAGTTCAAAACCGAGGGAATGATAATAACTCCTGGCGCCATGCTCCAGTCACGACGATGCAATTTCTCCAATGCGAGCATTTGAAATCCTCATTACCACCGTCGTTCTCCAACTGGCTTCCGAGAACTAGGATCCATATTAGCAGGGCTAGGAGATCGACCTCCCTGCAACCGTGCTCGCAGTCTTTCCTGCGCAGAGCCACCCGAACCTGAATTGGTTCGTGACTGACTAGATACACTAGATTGTGATGATCCAGTTCGCTGACTGGGTAAGGGCCGAGCTCCAGCGGGGTGTAGGGAGCCGGAGCTGGGGTTCGAATACGTTTGTGCAAGAGGAGGACCTGGTGAAGGTGTCGGACCTGCGGGGGAGCTCACACTGGACTTCAGTGGAGGCGGCTGATTTGCGGTACCTCGGCCTCGACGAAGACTAGTGGTCTGTGAGGGAGGTGGCTGAGATGAGGCTGAATCACCCCATAGATCACCCAAGCCGCCACCCCGCCCGTAGGATGCGGCGGGAGCCTGACCAGGCAGCTGGGTAGTAGCGACAACACGAGAAGAGCTCGGAGTTGGAGCCTTCGGGTCTGCAGGAAGCCAAGGAGGGTATGGACGTCCTTTTTCGTTGTAGTAGGCGCGGAGTGCGTGGGAGACGTGTGAGCAGTCTTCGTTGTCAGGGTCGTCACCTTCATCGCCTACTGTAATGGCACGGCGGAGACTGTTAAGTCGAGAGCCCAGTACATTGGATATAGAGGAGGAGGATGTCAAGGATGAGAAGTACGAGCTCATTTTGGGCGCGTGGTGACCAGTGGCCGATGTTCAAGCAATCTGTCAAATCGATGACAACTGTGATGTGGGGTGGGTCGATGATGCGGGAGCTGCTTCCTGTGGGCGGTAGTGCAGTAGATGCAGAGAGCTCCGGAGGTATCACAAGATCAGAAGGTGATTATTTGAAAAAAGTTTCAAATCGTAACTTGTAGGCCTGTTGAGTAAAATGACGGAGTGTTTTGCAAAGAGCCGGCTCCTGCAAGTGGCGGATACTCGGGAAGTTGAAGCTCTAAATGAAACAAGTGAGGTTTCAAGATCACGTGCATATTCCGAGTCAGGAATAGACCGGAATCCGACTCTACTACCCCGTATAGTCTGTGTCTACACATGTGCAATCTATGCATGAACCTGTGAAGGTTAGAAGCCGCCAGTGACATTCATTTTTAATTTCTAGACAGATTGTTCAACTATGCTTAATATTACTATCTTTTGCTCCCCTTGGAATAGTATTTAAACTAGTTGCCCTTTTGCTTGATATTTACCAAATTACCATGCAGCTAGATAAATATGTAGTCTACTACAGCCAAGCTGGATTGCAGTAGTCGAAGGCCTCCCCCTGCTCGTACTAACATTCAAACGATACCTTCAACCTTGGAAGCAGCTAAGAATGACGCGTCAGTTTCATCTTGAGCCAATCTCCCTAAGTCGGATGACCCTTTCCAGTCTTACTGGGCAGTTGACCGAACCACCTGGGCAGTTCAGTCAACCCCTCAGCCTCTTCCCCAATTTGGCTTTCTCGCATACACCTGGGCACCTTCCCTCATCAGCATGGGCACGACACCAGTCGGAAACGGGGCTCCATTAATTAAACGGCAATTGCAAACCGATCACAGATTCCTCACCTCGCCCCTCGTTGAATTCGTAATCGGCAAAGGTGAACATGAGACAGCGTTAACAGCCCATCAGGACCTGCTGCTTGAATCGCCATTTCTGAAGCAATTGATCGACGCATTCGACGACTCAAGTCCCCGACGCATCGAACTCCCATCCGAGGATGTTGAGACTTTTAGCTGTTTCCTTCAGTATCAGTACACACATGACTACAGCATCCAACTTACTTCCGACAAGTCCTTGGATAGTATTGACGAGGGTGGTGAGCTCTTACTTCGTCATGCGCAAGTCTACACCCTAGCCAAGAAATTGGGCTTGACCAAACTGAAGAAATCGGCACATGACAAGATTCACTCCGTGAAGTCGACCCCAATTGGCGAGTTGAGCTACGCACGCTATATCTACACCCAAACCAATGTCGCTGATGTCACTATTCGCAGACCTGTTGCGTCTTACTGGGCTACCCAGGGCCATATCCTTCGTCGTGACCTGAAGGACGAGTTCAGATTGCTTTGTAACGAGATGCCAGAGTTCGCCTACGATATTCTTTCCCTCATGATGGATCGCAAGGACAAGGGAAAGACAACGGATCTTGACAGCAATGTCTCTAGTAGCGATGTCCCTGGTAGCGCCAGGAAGCGCCCTCGTCAGGAGGAATAGAATGGTTGGTTTAGCCCATTGTGTCATCCCAGTTGTCGCGACCCGGGGCCTTGATGAGTTTGTCAGTGAGTGTGAGAGCGGCGTTATGACCGTTCTTGGTCTCTGGCAGGGAGGGCACCATAGCGACTAAGGAGTAATCGAAATTGGTGTTCAGAGTTCTAATTCTTAGTAACGCCGGATGGCAACCTTGGAAAGTAGCCACCCACTCACATGATAACTAGCTAAACTTGGTAACACATTATATGCAATAATTTGGTATGATGCATTTATCACAGCGTAACAATTGAACATAACACAAGAAGAAAGAAAAGAAGAAAAAAACCATGACCCATCAACGCCATGCACCACAAATAAAGCTTTTCCCCAGATTCCTCGATAAGAAGTAGCGAGAAACAGGTTTAACCCATGACAGTATCGCGCTCCGCACCCTCAGTCTCGTACTCGATCTCAATACGGGGGCCCTTCTTGCGTGGCCGTTGTGTAGGAGCAACATTCTTGCGCTTAGCACCGGGCTTAGGCTTCTTCTCATCCTCACTAGGAGGCTCATCGTCGCTGTCCTCGTCACTCTCCTCATCGCTCTCATCGTCGTAGTCACTCGAGTCCTGAGCTGAGTCATTGCCCAACCAATCCTCAATATCCTCGAGGTCCTCGTCCTCGTCCAAATCACTGACATACTCGACCTCACCAACGCCCTCCTCATCCTCCTCTTCCTCCTCGAGCTCTCCATCATCCAGATCCTCATCGCGCTCACCCTCACCCGCACGCTCCAATCCACGGAGGACCTTCTTCCAAATACCCTCCTCAACATTAAGTGGTCGATCACCGTAAGCACCAGATCGCAAACGATCAATAAGCTCTCGCTCAATGGCCCTCTCAACCTTAGCAGCGGAAAGTGCCTTGCGCTCACGAGTCTCCTCTCGTCTGCGCACCTTGGGCGCAAGCTTAGGCACAATCTTCTCACCGAGACGATCCTCTTCCTTCGCAATATTCTTCATGCGGATATTCACTTGCGTCAGGCGTGTGAGACGCTGCTTGCACTTGTGAACCAGGAATTTTGGCCAGTAGATTAGACGCTCGTCCAGTTGCTCGAGGGCCTTGGCGTAGTTGGAGGATAGACGAATCCGTTCCCACCATTTGCTGGGCATGTGTGCGCGCTCAATGGTCTTCATGTACAGGTACATGGCGCCAGTCTCGGGGTCGGCGCGCACGGTTGCGTACCGGGAATTGGCTAGTGGGCATGATTGCCGATTGCAGAGACCTGAGACGTTGTATTCATTTCGGCAGAAGTTTTGGCCTTTTGTGGTTCTGTAATATATCAGTGATTAGTGGTGGTTTTCTTATGTTGGAAAATTTGAGTTGCATCGTTGGTGGAGATTGCGATGTTGAGATTGATGAGAAGGACAGATTTTTTGATAGATGGGAGAAATGTATCATGCCACTTACTTCAGTTTGTATGAACAAAACTGCTGGTTGATCACCTGCCAGACAATTTCGTCGGACATGATGGGCTTTGTGAGGTGAAGTGTAGGCTGGAGACCCGTTGCCCAGGTGTTGATCGAGAAGAAAAAAAAAGTTGACGGTCACGTGGAGCGCTTATCGATAGGAGCGCGGTGAGTGGTCCACTCCAAAGTATAGCTTACCTAATGAACTGACATTTTCAAAGACTTGAGTTAGTTGTTATAGTACAGAGTAGAAGACTTTGAATTCATTGACTTGGTGATAATAAGCTACTAAGGTGGGAATTAAATGGTGCGGTGGTTTCAATATTGAAGTTCTTGGTGGATATGCCCCCCGGTGGAGAAAGCACAGGCTCAAGTTGATCATCTCCGGACTCATCAATCACGACTTTAAGTTTTTTTACTCCCTACTGCTGCACAGTTCAACACACATGCATAAAAAAGCAATTTCATCATCATCGGGTATCTACATTGATCTATCGTCATCTCTGTAAAAAAAAAATATCATGACCAACCTTCCATTTGCAATCCACCATCCCACTCTGTGCCACTGACCATTTGGTTGCTCATATCCGAGTCATCTCCAACCATATCATCAGTAAAACCCCAGCCCATCGACTCTAACTCCCGAACAAAGAAATCTCTTTCCTCCTCCATCAAAGAGGTCCCTTCAGGCCCACCCATCAAATTCTTATACTGGCGAAGATGCCACCAATGGGTCAGTCCCCGAAGAGCCTGTTCCAATGGCAATGCTTCTTCAACGTCAGCATCGACATCCGAGCCAGAGAGCCAGTCATCACGAAGCTCAGGTCTACAATAAAGGTAGATGGCAGTGATAACACGCATGTTACTTTGACGCCATTTTCGGCCACAGTAGGGTACCTGTGACTTGAAGAGTTTGAGGGTGTAGAAGCGGAGATGTGGATCAGGGATCTTGAGGCCCTTGCGAAGGATCGTGCTGGATTTGTACTGCACAAGAAGGAGGCAGCGATGGCCCTTGTCGCGTGTAATCTTTTGCATGATATGGAGGTAGTTAATGGCGGAGAAGAAGTTGCGGAATGAGAATACGGTTATGGGTTCTTTGGGAGCCGGACCAGTGGGATAGCCTAGCTCGTCGACTTCGGGCCGGGCAGGACCATCCATTGCATCACCGATGGTGTCTTCGGATGATATGTTGCGCACAGATGTACTGCTGCGATTGAGATGGGGACGGTGTCGAGAAATAGGTGGCGGCACAGCCTCATCCTCGCTTTCGGTGTCTCCATCATCCACTCCAACAGTGGGCTGATAATCACTGTGCTCGCGGCAGAAGTGGAAGAAACTTGGGACGTGTTGTTAGAAAAACCATGCGCATATAGATTCAAAATGGCAAACACTCACGCAAGATCGTCGCGGTCATTTTTCTGTGCCACCGCTTGGTCCACATCTTGATGAGCGAACATCTTCAGGATCAAAGGCAGGTAATTAGAATCAAGTAAGAGTTGGGTCATATACTCAAATTTCAAGATGTCTGGATGGTGTGGGTCAGTAATGTGCGTAAGACGAAGCATTGGGGCAAGAACCACTCACGAGACCGCTTGAACCATTTCACCAGGAGGAGCAAAGTTCCGGACACAGCCTTTGAAGTGATCTCTCTAAGGCGAATATTATCAAGCTCATCAACGGAAGTTTCAGATAAAAATTCTCCGGATGTGCCGTTGATCCCATGGCCGTTACTAAGTCATGATTAGAATTCGGTCAAGTTGCAGCTCTAGAATAGTCATGGACATACCTCATGCTCTGACTGGCCTGTGAGTTTGCTTGGTTGACCACCGCACTAACGTTGGTAAGAATGATCTTCAAGAAGACAATTGTAATCGACTGAAGGTGAGACAATGCTTGAGCCTGGACAGAATTCATCAGCACAAGAACTCGTTTGTTTATTCGTTATCATTGGCGGGAACTCACATAGAAATTCTCCACGGCATCCAGTCGTCGCTGGATATCAGGATCATCTGTTTCCTTTGGAGCCTTCTTCTTGAGCTTGGGCTTATCAGAGCCCGATAAGTCCAAGTGTTCAATATCGCCATTCATTGCTTCCATCTCGAAAGGATCAAGCGGCTGTTGAGTATTCTCAAAATTCCACCCACGATCATACTTCATAAAGTTCTCACGTTCCTCCCACAACTGAGACATGGCCCGTGTGAGTTTCACGTGTGTAGAAAAAAGCCGACCAGCTTCAATGATGGAGGCAGGAACATCACTGCCTTCCCAACGCTTCCCAACAAGTACATCTTGCCGCTCGGTGGTTCCTTTGCCGCCGATCTTGTTGCTGCTATCGTCCAGCGGAGGATACATGAGAGGGAAGTTCTGGTTCGTCTGGTAATTTTGCTTCTTCCCAGCCTTGCCTCCAGGACCTATTGGTGATGGAGGGGGAGATGGCGCTGGAGTTGCAATATGAACGGCTTGTTGGATAATAGAGCCATTGCCGCCAGCAATGGAGGGACCGACGCCAGAAAATATGCCACTGGATGTGTTGATTCTGGCGGGATGCTGTGGAAGGGGAGGTAGGATCGAGTTATTCTCGAGTTCTAACGGAACAATGGGAGGAGGAGGATTGTAGGCGGGGTATTTCGAGGTGATTTCCTGTCGGAAAAGATGGTAATCGAGGGGAGATGCATGAAGGAAAGGTCCCCTGCGATTAAGCGTGTCATCTTCATACGATGCAGACGGCTCCAATATCTCTTTGGCTTTCTTAAGCTGGGCAGTACCGCCAAATACCAGAAGCAATGATTTCCAGAGTAACAGGATAATCCGAGTAAGAGGAATATTGGCAGTCTCATCCCATCTCAACCGGGCAATTATTTCCACAATTGTGACTAGCAAGCAGGGATCTGACTCTGCCAGTCCATCTCGAATCATTGTATACCGGGGATCTCGGGCCTCCTGTCTACGACCGACCTCAATCGCAAAATACAACATGGTCAATACCAAGTTAGCTTCACGTTCTGGTGCAGGAATATCGCCTGGGTGAAGCCTTTCAAACTCCAGGCCATCTTGATCAGGGCCCAATGAGGAGCGGCGACGGTCAAACAATTGCGACAACCTTTTGACCAAAAGTGGGATTCCCCCGCACTCTTGAACCAAAGACACATTCCTTTCAATCCACTCGATTTGTAGCGATTTTGAACGGGGCGATTCCGCAGCAGCCTTTGGTTCCGGATTTTCTGGGTATCCTGGTGTCTGACGGCCAGCAGTGAGGCCCCAATTGCCCGTGACTGTATAGCAGATGTTCTCTAAAGCCTCCAATCGTACTGAGATCTCGGGGTACTGCAGCTTGTCGAGGGACTGAGAAATAAAAGTTCTTCTCAGACTATCAGACGCATCCAGCCAGGACAGTCCTGCAACTCCAGAGCTTTGCTGTCGGCAAAATGTAGCCCATTGACGATCAAAAGTCGACTTCATGCCCATTAGCATGACTCGATCAAAGTCATTGTATTGAAACCATTCATCCAATTCTTCCGGGAATGGCTGGGCATCCGCATATTCAAAAGCATACGCTGGCTGCTCAACCTTCGGCATCTCCTGCACAAGTCGCCGTAATTGTTGAAGGCTAAGGGAATCCTGGGGGTCCCCCGTTCTGTTGTATCGGGGCTGGAGGAGGGGGTTGAAGCGGGGGTGGGGGTGCCGCAGAGTTATCGCGACGTAGTTCAGGTCTTTTGGTGTTCTGCGCAGCTGGCGTATTCTCAGACTCGACAGCCGTCCTTTCAGAGGCTTGCTCTTGGGCCTGTTCTTGTCGTATTTCCTCCGCAACCTCCTCCATCAGTTGATCGTCAGAAACAGGGGAAATATCGGTGCCAGTTTGGTCCACCTCATCGGCCTTGACAATATGATGCTCCTCAGACATTGTTGCGTCATTTGAAGCTGAGGGGATCTCCATATTTGTTGGTTTGTTGGCCCCTCACACGAAGCACTCAATTAAAAACCTCAAGTAACCAGAAGGGGGGATAGAACAAGTCCTACAAAGGATGGACATCAGGGGTTTAAATTCGAATTTCGGTTGATCAAATAGCCTCCATGGGCTGGTTCGTCATAGCCAGGGCCATTTAGATCTCCGGTCAGTTCATTGCGGAGTAGGAGTTGCGGTGATACGGGATTGATATAAATCACGTGATATACGCGTCACTGAAAGTGGAATAAAGTCAACTCAGTCAAAAAATGGGACCAAGTAAATACCATGGTTCCAGGTATATTCTGCGATACTACCTATTCATATGTCCTTGTATGTGCTAATATACACAGCAATATATTTATCCGAAAAAAAAATTTAAAAAGAAAAAAGGATAAACCAAAAAAAAAAAAACGGATTTACTCAGACTTGCGGGAACCACTGCGGCGACGCTTCAATCGCAAATCTTCCCATCGTTGCCAGCCAGCTTCGGCGAGATCCTCGCTTACTACCAAATCCCGAACGCGTAGCAAACGAGAGATAGTCATCTCCACAGCCCAGTTAATCCATCCCAGGCGACGAAGAAGACTAGTGATGGTGAACCAGCCAAAGGCACACACCACGCCAGCTCCGCAGCCCGCTAGGACCTGACGAGTAGTGTGGTAGTTCAAATATATGCGGCTAGCTGCAACTCCAGCTGCAACAGCCAGAAGACCGATGGTGACGAAAGCTCGGAGTAAAGTGCCCAGGAATGGGTACGAGGTAGCATAGGCAGGGGTGTGTCGGACGAGGAGAAAGAGGGTAAGGTAGACGGAGAAAAAGGCCATGAACTGAGAGTGCGATGAAGGCATTCCGTAGCCTTTACCAAACATTTCTGCAAAGTGATATCAGTCTCAATTTCTGCAAAGTTTAGATCGTTGCAGCTCCAACTTACCCTTTGGTCGTTCTTCCTTAATGAGTCGCTTAAGCACAAAATTCAATGCTTCACAGCCCAGCTGTCCAGCAAACATCAAAATGACTTCCATCTCTCGAGTTGACCAGATGAGAGTGGCGTAGGAGACGCACAGCGCCTGAGGAAGGAGAGCAAGCCATGCCGACACTAAGGATAAAGGATCCTCGGGATTCTGGGATAGCTGTTAGTGTTTTTTTTCTTCCCTCTGCGTGCTCGTGGACACTCACATAGTGGACATGTGTCAGAGACAGGGAAGCCAGGGGTGTGTCGGCCATGGTGGAGATGGAGAGGAGACGAGGTACTCGCAAGCAAGAAATCAACAAGAAACAGGGAAGACAACAGCCGCTTTAAGGGACAGTGACGATAAGATCCGCGAGGACAAAGCAACAGGGGAGGACCCGCTCTATACCAGAAATGGCTATCGTGGCTGCCGTTTTACCATCTTAGTCATCACCACTCCCGAGGTCCAGGGCTGTCAAATCTTGTTATTTAATGAGACACAATTTAAACTATATACAAGTTGGCCGATTGTAAATCTGTCTATAGCTTTTTTCCCTTGGTCCCTTACTTTAGATCTTGCTCCACCTAGAAGGCATTGGTTTGAGAGTCTTGTACCAGGCATCTTCCACCATCAAATGGTTCCTTTCGGCTGTCAATTCCTCCCAATCCTTCTCGGCCTTGCGGTACCTCTTCATCTCCTCTCTTAGCCAGATACTGCACGGCTCCACAGTCTTCTTCACCTCCTGAAACGGCATTAAATGTGTCAGGCCAGGTATAATGATTTCCTTGACTTTATTTTCAGGGATACCTCCACTGCCTCCAATACCAGTTCCACAAACCTTGATACCTTCCATCATCTCATCGATTTTGAGATAAGTGGACCCACCAAGCACCCACAAGCAGGATGGTCGAAGAGAAGGTAAGCGGAGGAAAGTCATAGTAGGTTCGGGACGATACATTGGGATAAATGCGGCGAGCGGATTGAGATCCGCATGGGTAGACCGGGGAATGCTAACTCGGCCAGTAGTCGGATCGCGAGCAGAGAAGTTCTCTCGAATCTGCGTTACGAGATCCTGATATTTTGAAGTAGTGAGAGTGACCGGTGTAGATGTGGAACTCTCCGAAGCGTCGGAATTAAATCGAGCCTTCACCGCATCGACATCCGGGTAAAGAGCGGTGGGGAGGTCACGAAACCCGTATTTGATCATGCGCTCAAGGCATCGAGGATCCCAGCCAGCCAGAAAAGCACGGTTAGCTCGTACGGCTGCCTCTCGACTTGGCCAGACATCATCTCGATATAGGGTGTGATTGATTGCACCGGGGGCATCAGTGCCGAATCCCATAGCGGGTAGAGTTAGCTGAATAACGGGTTCAATGAGCAGGAGGGTCGTGAAGAGGCGGGGGTGCATGTAGGCGAGATTTGTACTAGGAAATTCATTAGCGTACTTGCGGGTCGATGCGTAAACATGATGTATCACAAACATAACATTTCCGCCAAAACTGTGCCCGATTCCGACGAGGGGACGGGGCATTTGGTCTCGGAATTGGTTAATCATTAAGAAGAGGTCGCGTGGATGATCCATCCATGAGGCTATTCAGAGTAAAAGTTAATATCTAGGTCCAAAAAGATAATACACCCAAGACGGTTAAGAACTGTTAGTGTTTGACACACCGTCCATACTAAGCTTGTCTTCGTTGAGAATGCCACTAGCATTCATATTCGCGCAGTCGGCTACCCATATTCCACGGATATGAAAGCCATGCTGTTCCAGAAGCTCATCCCACATCGGTTCGTAGAGTTCCTGCGCCAGCGGTCAATAATAAGTCTTTAGAAATCAATATGCATCGGCAAGCTGATACCTTTGGCAGAGCGCACCCATGAGCGACAATGAAGGTAATAGCATCTTTTGGAACAGAATACGGCTGGTTCTTCGGAGTGTATTGTTTAATATGAAGCTTCAGAACAGCTTCTTGATCGATCGTGGTCCCGGGGTATTCTCGAATATGTGATCCGGAGATCTCATGCTCCGTCACGGTGAACCTGTCACTGGACATGGTGGTGGTAGTATGAATACAAAATAAGTTGTAAGACAAGAAGAGAGTACAATGGAATACAAGAAACTCGGGAGTGAGAGAAAAGCAAAAACAATTGACCAGCCCCAGCTGCCCAACAAGTTAATCGCTAGGTAACCAAGTGGGGCAATATGTGCGGACCAATCTGAGTCTCGAAGAGGAAAGGAATCCTCTACCCCACAAGGTTTCGGCCCGGCTCCACCGAGGTTTATGGTGTAGCTTCCATACTACTCCGCGAATCTTTAAAACGACCTTTAGAGAAAATAAAAAGGGTGGAGGATAAAGAAGACGAAAAGAATGGTGGAATTTGACGGTTATCATTTGGAGCAATTTTACACCGCCACTTTTTCAATCGGGAGTAGGTACTTATGAATAGTGGCAACAAACTTGAATATCAGATCACTCCACTTTGACAACAAATAGCTTCATTTGAAGGCTAAATATATCACAATAATTCATTAGGCGTACCCCATACACATCATGCCTAGGCTCTCCATATACGTGCCCTGGTGTATAATTGGGACTTAAAGGAGGCCTCGGGCACATATATTATTAAAATGGTCTATACTAGTAGTAGGTAACTTCCTGTATTTGTAGGTAGCCCTGGAACTTCAATATACTACTATTTCAAGCTCATTATGCTCAGATCTGCCAGTGCCAGTGGATACTTCAAGTTAGGGCTGCCACAATACCAAAACTTAAAGGGTCATACCTAAACATCTAATCAACGGATATCTCTTCTTTTTACTACATATCAAACATTTGAATTTTGCTATAGTAGAATTTCACTAGGCTATATTGGGTATGCATACATGCAGTATATCACGTGACCGTGACTCATGTTTCCAACGGTGAAGTAACCCGATTCGGTCATGAATGATGCTGCTATTAAGAACTTGGATGTTTACAGGATCAAGATCCATTTCAAATGTTTGCTCTACTTCGCACTATTCTAATCAAACTCTCCAGTATTACATGATATTTGAATTGCCAAATGTCAGGTATGATGCCTAGAATAGGCAACATCCCATCTCTAAATGTTCATCTGCATAAACCTGTGTTCCATGGTGGCCTAGTATATTGTATGCTATAATCCAATCAAATCTCTCTATTGCATAGCACCCGAGGACTATGTAGGGGGCTTAAAAAGATTGAAAAAATCAGAATAGTCCAGCCCACTGGTAAACTGAGCACAGAATACACCTTTATTTCACAATAAAATAATAGTAAAAAAAAACTTGATACACACAAAAATCCTCATCAGGCACCAAGACTGGGCTGCTATTGTGTGGCTTCGCTTGCTTCTTTTCTTTCCTGTTCAATATTTTTTTCTCTCTCTTTTTCTTTCTTTTCCTTTTCACTCACTTCATCCTTATTTGGACCTATATATCAGCCAATTGATTCCTTCTTATTTGTTGAAAACCATGACGCATTTCCTGTCTCTCTCTACTCCCGCTTTCTTGTTACATCATTTGATAGACCCCTCATCCATCGCTGGGGCCCGCGACAACCACCCACGAATACTCTGCATTAGAGTTCCTTGATTTAAACTGTTCGTTTCACCCCCGCATTGCTATTCATTCTGAGAAGTCGAGTGAAATTTTATTCTATCATTTTTTTTTATTTCTGAGTGTCGCTGATTGAAGCGTCCTGCAGGTGTAAACCCCCCCATTTCTGCCCGATTCCGAGGGTCGCCACTTTTTTTTTTTTGGTCAAGACCAACCCGCTCTATACAACCCACGCTTGCAAACCATCCCCAAAAAACCAAACGAGTCCAAATTTCTTCAGGTCGCAAGGTATGACCATCCAAGACTAGCATATCTAGTCAAGGTCGTTCTTGACGACATTGCGACCGCGACTCAACTACTTCCAGATCTTCAACCCGGTTCCCTCAAAATTCCGAACGGGAATCCTTCAAGATGGCCGAACCCGAAGACCCCGCCGAAGACGACCGATCCGTTGAACTTTCCACCATCGTGGCAATCTTCCCAGAGACATTGATTGAACCGGCTGTACCTTTCAGGGCTACTCTTGAACTGCCCGTCGCATTACCGTCACCTACCCGCGTCTGCTTCCAACAACCGCCAGATACCAGTCTTCCCACAGTATTGACACCACCAACTTCCGTCGATGTATCTAAGGCCGATTTAGACCAAGTCGCCGCACGAGATGTCCACATTTTGTCACATCTTCCCCCGCTGAGTTTGGAGATCGAGTTGCCAGAAGGATACCCCTCTGAGAGACCTCCACTCGTGACACTCAGCACCAACCCGCCATGGTTATCGCCAACGACCCTTGCAAGATTGACTGACGATTGTCAACGATTATGGCGTGAATGCGGACAAGAAGTGGTCGTGTATAGCTATATCGACCATCTTCACCAGTTGGCGGATACTGCCTTCGGGATTCAGGATACCGCGGGCGGGGAATTGTCTCTATCGCGAGACTTGAAAGTCGCTCTACTGGACTTCAACAACAAAGCGGAACGGGAGAAATTTGAGCAGGAAACATTTGAATGCGGTGTCTGCCTAGAACCGAAGAAAGGCGCAAATTGCCATCGACTCTTACGCTGCTCACATGTATTTTGCATTGCTTGCCTACAAGACTTTTATAATACGTGCATTACCGAGGGTGATGTCGACAATGTCAAGTGTATGGCGCCAGACTGTGACAAGAACGAGACTCCGAGTACGGCTCCAGGGAGTGAAGGCCAAATTTCGCGACGCAAGAAAAATGACCGCACAATTGGACCCAACGAACTTCTTCAGATTCCCATTGCTCCGGAAACAGTACAACGATATGTATTGCTAAAGCGCAAGAAGAAGATCGAGGCTGATAAGACTACGGTATATTGCCCAAGACAATGGTGTCAGGGTGCGGCACGGTCAAAACGTCACCCAAAACCAACTGATCCAATGGCGGACGATATGGATTTTTCCGACGATGAAGATGGATTTGCATTCGATCCCCAAGGCGATGAGTCGCAGTTGCCTCCTGTCGCAGAGCGTGTGGCAATTTGTGAAGATTGCAACTATGCATTTTGTTCCGTGTGCAAAAAGGGTTGGCATGGCGAGTTGGTCCGATGCTTCCCTCGTCGGGTTGCAGAGCAGACCGAGGAGGAGAAGGCTACAGAAGAGTATTTAAAACTCTACACCTCACCCTGCCCAACCTGCAATGTGCCTTGCCAGAAGTTGATGGGTTGCAACCACATGCGTTGCCGCCAATGTGATACACACTTCTGCTACCTCTGCTCCAGTTGGCTCTCTGCAGATAATCCATATCAGCACTTCAACAAAGAAGAAAATCGATGCTATAATCGTCTCTGGGATCTGGAGGGTGGTGATGGTCTGAACCCAGTGGGGGCTGAGGCCTTACATCGTATCCCGGAGGCATTAGCCATTTTTGACGACGAAAGCGATGATGACCATAGTATAAACGATGATGATAATGACGATGATGAACGTCTTGACTGGGACTTTGACTTTAGCGATGACGAGCCGGATATCCGCCATCGTCCGCCACCACCAGCCCCTGTTCCTCCTCGTGCTGCTGCACGAGGCGCTAATGATCAAGGTCGGGCAGCGCGTGCCGCGGCTTTAGAAAGACAAGCCCAGGCACGCGCCATGGCTGAGGTCCGCAATCGCCAAGCCGAACGCCCCCAACGTCCCGACCCTGAGCCGTTCGTGGAGTGGCGGGCCGGGCTGCAACGCTTCCTTGCGTTAGTGCAAAACGACCGCGAGGACGAATGGGACAGCGATGAGCTGGACGATGCCGATTTTTGACTTGGCTCTTATGTTTGAATGAGAAATGAACCAACCCCCCCCAAATGAGACCATTGATACCGGCATTACGACATGGGATTTTTTTCCTTCTATGTACACTGTTGACTTTTTTTTTCTTTTACATTTTTCTCCCTTTTCTTGTTCTCTTCTTTTCTGTTGATCCTTTTTTTTGCTTGAAAACTGGTATTTTTTTTTTCTCTTTATTCTTCGCTATACCTCTTTGGTCGAGTTTGCTTTATGATTTGGAATCTTTTATGCCGTGAACCCCCATGCATCGATTGAGCGATTGATTTGAGCATTTTGCTTCCCCTTATTTCAATTTCAAAATTTCACCTTTAATTTGTCATTCCTCTGATTCTGCTTATAGCTCTAGACGAGCCAGGATGTATTAATTGAAATTATAATTAAAATAATCATCCAGACCAAATCGTATGATAAAAGTGAACCTTGGAAGCTGAAACAACTTAAAGCCGAAGGCGGTAAAGTCAAGTGGATTTCATCATTCATCTCCACATCCATTGATCCCCCGCTGTCACCGATATGAATCTCCGATATTTGGCTTGACCATGTGTACTTCTGCCTATTGCTCCTTTCTTTCTTTGGCCCAGAGCTTCCCGGAAATGACCAATTTAATTTCTACCCACCACCTTCCCTTTTGCACTAACTACCCCTCACAGCCCGAGTACTTTTGTCTACTCTCCATCTCCAACTCCCAACCCTAGTTTGAGGAAATGTCGGTCCTGAGTGACGAGGAATCAGATGAGGAGCTCTTCCTCATAGAGACTCGGCCGAAAATCCATGCTCTGAACTTGGAGAGCGAAGATGAGAGAGTAAGTTGCCCCTCTTCTTGCTCACGTGGGGTCCAGAAACTGACTGTCGCAGTTCTCCGCGTAGGTTTTCAAACCTCTCATAAGGTCGCGGGATGTTATACTGACAAAGCCTGAAGAAAGGATGATCGGCTAGGTCCGCCGGTCGCTGCGTGGAGGAGTAATCTGGTAGGATAGTACGCAGTTTTCAAGTGTTGGGAATATACTGATGGTGTGATAGGCAGCTTCCTCTCAGCGCCGGAATCTCATTTTCGTGGCCCATGGTGCCGATATCTATGCCTGGATACCACATGGACCTCATCAAACTTTGGGCACGCAGCCCGCAATGATTATGAACCCTGTTATGAAGAACCCACGTGCCGCCGGATATATCGACCGAACAGCGCCTCACACTATCAATAATGTCCTGGTGGACGATCTCGGCAGGGATGAGGTCTTGCTACTGGCTACGGATTCTGGGAATATATGTGCCTACCATGTAGAGGCGATCTATTCGGCCATCATGCGATGTACCAGTGCCGGATATAAACGACCATATTCTGGCTCAGAAGTGAATCCATTTTTCGTGGAGAATGTTGGTATGAGTGCTTGGGGTCTTGCCATGCATAAATTCGCTCGCCTCATTGCCGTCAGCGCAAATACTCGGCAAATCACCGTATTCGCCTTTGCTCTGGTAGATTCCACATCGATCAATAGCGATGATAAGTCACAGCCGTCCATCAACCAAACAACCGAGCAAGTGGACGATGCTTGGGTGAAAATTGAGTCCCAAAGGGATCTTCGAAACCTCCGGAAATCAATGCCTGCTAACCATCGATCTAAAAACTTGCGGCTTACTTATAGAGGCCATTTGGACAACATTCCCTGCGTGTCATTCGCGAACTTTGATCTGGATGCAAATGGCGAATGGATGGTCAGCACAGATATCACCAACCGAGTCATAGTCTGGCGCATCTGGGACTTTCTATCACCATTTGAGATCTACTATCCTGGCCACCCTTACAACAACCCACCTCAAAGGGGCTGGACTGTCCTCCCGCTGGATCCTCGGACGTTCAAGCATTGCAAATTCAGGGAAGAAGCGTGTGGCTGTGAGCCAGCCTCAGAGATGATTGACTCACGGACAGTGTTGGATGTGTCGAGAGCTATTGAGGATGTTTACGATGCGTCTCAAGTTTTTGACCCCGATTATCAGCAAATTCCAGACGCGTCTGACGAGGAAGTTGATCATGGCCTTCCTGTGGAAATTTTCTCAAGCTCCAGGGACGACCAAGCAGTGGATTTGAAGCAAGAGGAAGGGGGATACCAAGCCAAGCGATACAATACTGGATCAGAAAACTGCATCAAAAGCAAGAAGAAGAACGGATCGCGTCACAGAATTCCAGAGCAGCCAGCTCTCGCTACCATGATTGATAAGGACAACCAGCACTATCGGGTGCGACCGGATTTATATCATGTCTCTGCATTTGACCAGCAACCTGATCTGGACGCTTTGAAAGCACGCCCTGTCCATCGTAAGAGATGCCCCAAAATGTATTTACCTGCAAAAGTCGCTAATAAGAGCCATAGCAAAATCTCCCACTTTCTTTCCCGTCATCCACTTCTCAGAACACCATATCAGCTTGGCTCCATATCCCTTGGATTCCGAATACCACATTCTCTGCAAGAATCCTCTCTTCCAGCGCGTATTCTTTGAGGTCGAAATCAGTGCCTACTGCGACCGGTTTAACATGGTTAAATACATTCCTGATCTGGGAATTGTGGTGGCTGCGTCTCAGAAAGGTCGTGTGGCCATCATCTCTCTCACCTGGCAAGAGAAGATTGGGTTTGGTTTCCGGCTCGACTGGATCGTGCCATTCAAAAGCCAAGAGGCCGGGAATGTTCGCCCCAAGATTCCCCTTCTAGGTCTTATCGTAAGCCCAATGCCCGGATATGAGAATCCGCCCGACGTCCCCCATATTCCGCAAAACATCGATCCAAATGACCATCTCGCTTTCAATTATCGCACCGTCGATCCTGAAGAAAGTGATCCAAGCGCATCCTCCTCTTCATCCAGTTTCTCCCGTGATCAAAATTCCCAGCACACGCACTTTCACAGACCGTCAGACCAGTCTATCCCAGATCTGGGATCTAGTCCTGACCCTGAACAAACATCCGACTCCGAAGAACCCGGATCTGATAAATCCATGGAAGACTCGGACAACGACACCCCACATTCAAAACCCATTAATGCCACTCACACGGTAGCCGAGGTTCACGCCCAGGCTTCACGCTCTTTCCGGCCCCATGAATGGTGGCACGGTTACCATCCTTCTCGACACTACCGTCTTCTCTTACTATTCTACGACCACACCGTGATGAGCTATGAGTTCTGGCACGACTGGAAGTATACAAATAAAGACCAAAACACCTTCGAGTGACTGGATCACCCTGAGGACTGAAAATACAAGCACCAGACCGATAGGTAGATAGTTTCGCATATGATTCTCTACATCTGGCATGTACGGATACGATAATTGTTGATACATTAAAAATTTCAAGTTCCAAGCATAAATTCAATCATCTTACCTTGAAGCGCTCTAGACAGATTGGGATACTATTTGCTTTCTAGTAGGTAGCATATGACTGCTCTATTTGTAAATATTAGGTAGACAAGCGGTGTATCTGTACTACATACTACCTAGGTATACCTAGGTATGTACTTTCGACTACATAATAGTTCGCTGATCAAAATAATACCCACATGTGAATGTTGAAACAGCCTCATAGTTAAGATGCAGTAAAATGATAGATCGTATGTACACCGAGGACCCTGAGACCCTGAAACTTGAAATGCGCATGGGACCCTGACCCTATCTATGTACCACCTGCATATGAGCGATTGATTTTTTGTGGGACCTTGATGGAACCTTTATGCATTTAAATGTTTACTTTTTTTATTGCCATTTACGTGAGGTTTTCAAGTGCCTCACTTGCACGTCCCGTTCCCACCTCATTCTAACATGTATGGAGAACAAACACTCACACATGATCAAGGGAAGTAATTGATTTCCGATCCATAGACTTAAAAGAACTCCAACATGCTTTTGCAGAATATGGTTGAAATGATGTTACATCGATTGTTTCCTACAGCCTTGGCTGATAAGAGTATAGCTGATGGCTTCACCATGGTCGGTGCCCCTTTGATCCACGGAGCCCAGGAAATATCCATAAAGAGCCGAAATGATGACCACCATCGGTGTATTTGATCAAACGCTGAAATGGCATATTTACTCTCAGGAGTACTTCCTGGTACCATCAATCCCCTTTGAACCCGCATCCCTAAACTTGAAGCCATCACTAGATCTACATTGATAAATTTTCACCATGAAGTTCGACATTTCCTCCATTTTACTAGGAGTTACCCTCCTATCTACCACGAGCCTCTGCACACCTCTCACAAGCCTACGACAAGCCCGCCATGAAGCCCGCCTATCTCGCTCTCTTGGACACTACAGCAATCCACCCTTACACCCAGAAACACAAGAAATCATTCACCTGAACTCAACTCCCCATGTCCAGTACAGTCAAAACTGGGCTGGCGCTGTACTCATAGGCACAGGCTACGAATCCGTAACCGGAGTATTCACTGTTCCAACACCACAAGCACCCAATGGAAGCAGTGGTACAGGAAACTACGCCGCAAGTGCCTGGGTTGGTATCGACGGGGATACATGGAACAAAGCCATTCTCCAAACCGGTATCGATTTCACCGTGAGAGGAGGAAACGCTAGTTTCTCAGCATGGTATGAATGGTATCCCGAGTACGCATACGATTTCACGAACATCTCAATCTCTGCAGGAGACGAGATCAAGGTGAGCGTGCAAGCAACATCGACATCTACCGGGTGTGCGATTGTGGAGAATCTCAGTACGGGAGTGAAAGTGAGTCATGAGTTCTTTGGTGGAGAGGGAAATGAGTTGGGGGAGTTGAATGCGGAATGGATAGTTGAAGACTTTCAGCAGGGTCTTACACTGGTGGATTTTGCGGATTTTGGAACGGTTAGTTTTCGCAATGCTTGTGCTATTGATAATGGGGTTGTTGTTGGACCTTCGGCGGCTAGTCTTGTCGATATTAAGCAAAAGGGGAATGTGCTTACTTCTTCGTCTGTTACGGATAATACGGTTGTTGTTTCTTATCAATGATGGGATATTGCAAGGTTCTTAATTAGCAGTGAGGATGATGGTATGACTCGTATGAGGGCATGGAATACTATAATTGGGTATGGCTTCGGGTTTTTACAAGGAATCTAGGTAGTGGATCTGTTTTGATCTAGCTTAACTTCAGCATTATTTAGTATAAGGACGAAGACTTGCTTATTGATTGATTTTAATGCAATATTTTCAAAATTTTGAAATATCCATGACACTATATCCACATGGAAAATCATTCAGCCCTGCGATTAGTTCTTGGACGCTTTTAGTTCAAGTTACTCTCATTCTATCTCCTTCCTCTCTCCTGCTCCATGCCAATCCAAATCCCGATGTCTGAGGAGTTGGCTTGCATTAGCTTCCATATAAGCATGGGCCATGTCAATCTCGGAGAGTCGGACGCGATAAATCTCTCGAAAACTTGAATGTGGATAATGGTGGCTGGCTGGCAGTCTCCACAATAATCAACCACCCATTCACAGTCTCAGATGTTTTTTATCACACAAGTGACACGTTATGTGCCTGAATCTGGAACGGAAGTATACGTACACAGCAATTCATGCGTGAAATACTAATCTCACCGACTATTTGGATGGATCTAGCAGATTTTTTCAATGTCCGGTATCGATTCTCAACTCTACGATGCATTATCTTGATTCGTAAACTATGGCCCCCATATGCTTTTTCATGATGTACATATTGGGGGCCAAAACTAATACCCTCTCACCTGTGCTTCATTATAAAGACTAACTATTGCGGGGTATTATTTCTAACTTTTAAAAATCTCTCAGAATATTCCTTACATAAAGATTATTCTTTATTCCAAAATGACAGGACAGTTGACCTGGCTTGTGACCGGATGCTCCTCTGGCCTAGGTGAAGCCTTTGTCCGAGCTATTCTTGCTAAGGTATATCTCTTTACTGACCTTCAAGCTACAAATGAAGCCCCACTTACCATTTTATTAGGGTGATCGTGTTATTGCAACCGCGCGTCCAAGTAATGGAACTTCTGGGACAGACCGACTCACTTCACTTAAAGAAGCCGGTGCGGTTACTTTAGAGCTTGACGTGCTAGCTTCACAGGAGGATCTTAATGCCAAAGCCCGCGAGGCGTGGGAAATATACGGCCAAGTTGATGTTCTAATTAATAACGCTGGCTATGTTGAAGCAGGAATTTTCGAAGAACTTGAGTAAGTTTACTACTAGATATTATATAAAATTCTCTTCTGACTCAATCAATAAAGCGAGGAAACCATTACAAATTCCCTGAGGACCAATATCCTAGGCCCACTTAATGTCACCAGAGCATTCATCCCCTTAATGCGAGCCGCTAAAACTGGTACCCTTCTCTTCGTCGGCTCAGTCGGCATTTACTACGGTGCTCCAGGTGCGAACTGCTACACAGGTGGAAAGGGCTTACTAGAAGGGATCGTGCCAAATCTCGCGGTAGAAGTCGCATCCTTTGGCATTCGGACATCCATCTTAGTATTCGGACACTTCCGTACCGAGCTCATGAACCCTGAAAACACCAAATTCAGAGCCCCCAACCTCCAGCCAGAGTATGATGAGCTCAACAAGCTTATCAAAGCTGGTCTTGGTGCTCAAAATGGGACCCAGCCGGGTAACCCTACTAAGGCTTGCGAGCTTGTTGTCGAAGCGGTGAGAGGTGAAGGGAGGTGTGCAGGTAAAGAGCTGCCTTTGAGATTGCCGGTTGGTGCGGATGCATTTGGTTTTATCAGGGATAACTGTACAGAGAGATTAAAGTTGTGCGATGAGTGGGATGGCATCACATCGCAAACTAACTTTGATTGATCTTCTTCAATTCATTAAGATGATGTTTTTTTTTGCGAGGCCCTTAGTAGCCCTCTCACTTTTGTCCATGAATATTGATGAGTAGTCTCATCCTCAGAGTTCCACAAAGTTGAAGCAGAAGAGCCCGTGCTTAAGGGAAACTAGCTATAATATCGGGATATTAAGACTACATTTATTCACTATTGATGTTAATATAGCTTCGCTTACTATGCTACTACTCCGTATCTTTGCCATATTGTGAGGAGCTTAGTACTAGATTGTATGATTTGATATCTGTGTGAGTATGGGAATCTATCTGTCGGAAGATGTAGATCCGGATCCGAAGACTATCCGACACCGTAGTCAAGTTTCAACTCTCGGATGAAACGGCCCCGTGCCGCAAGAGTGTGCCATTAATAATCAACTCCATGGAAACAGAATTTATTAGTAACGAACTATTTGGGCTATAAAGGTCGATTGAACCTGGAGTATATTCAAATTTTATGGATGGCTAATCAAGGTCAAATAGAAGTCATGTCTCGACCCAGTATCATTTTCGGTGGTGCTTCTTTTGGTAGTCCATTGATTGGAAAGAACTTCTGTACGCCCGAGAACGTAAAGGAGCTTCTAGATCAGCTGAAACCTCATAATGTGAACAGGATTGATACTGCTGCTCGGTACTCCCCAGGAAATCCGGGTGGCTCGGAGACATTACTAGGTCAGGTAAATGCTGCTAAGCAAGGGTTCATCATTGATACGAAAGTCAATATTTCTGATGCCAATATTGCCACTGGCGCGGGCTCTTTAAGTGCTGTCGCGATATCTAAATCTATCGATGAGAGCTTTAGTCGACTAAATGTGGAAAGCGTTCACATTCTACATTTTCATCGGTCTGATCCTACTACCCCTGTGGAGGAGCAAGCGGCTGAGATGCACAAGCAATATTTAGCGGGTCGTTTTGAAAAGGTTCAATTTGCCTCTTATTACGAATCTTTGATACTGTTGACTGACTACCTCTAGTTTGGAGTTTCCAATTTCACGCCACATGAGCTAGCTGAGCTTATCTCTGTGTGTGTAGAGAAAGGCTACATCAAGCCAAGTGTATACCAAGGGTGCTATAACTTGATTGACCGCCAAAGCGAGCAGACCCTGCTACCGTTGCTTCGAAAGCATGGCATTGCATTTAATGCGTATAGGTAATTTCAGTATTCCCTACCTATACTTATATGATACAAGTTCCTAGTGCTCATCTTTCTTGCAGGCCGCTGGCAGGTGGCTTCTTATCTGGCCGAGCAACACGAGGTGATATCGAGAACTCTCGATTCTCTCCAAGCAACCCAGCATCAGCAATGCTGAATAAGGATTATGACAAGCCGCATATCCATGCGGCAATGACAGAGCTCTTGCAAGCACTTGAACCATATGATATCACCGGCTCCGAGGCTTGTCTTCGATGGATTTTCTACCATTCCGCCCTGGGAGATGGTGACGGTGTCATTCTTGGGGCTAGCAAGACTTCTCAAGCAGTGCAAAACTTTCAAGATATTTCAAAGGGACCATTGCCTGCAGATGTTGTGGAAAAAATCGATATGATCTGGAACCTTCAGTGAGTAAACCGTGAATGCTAGTATCAACTTGAAACAAACAACAATTTCAAGGCTTGAGTGGAGTGGCTTTCACACGGATAAATGGAGAAAGGGAACATGTAGAGACATAGAAAGATATAGGATGAAAATATAATTTATTCTCTCGAGATCAATCCCTGGAAAGTGTGGCGTTGGGCCAAACCCCACATTTACAGTGAGGCTCAATTCTTCTGATCCACAAGGGACCAAAATGGCTTCCCCACTGTCGAATGACTTAAAAACCCGAAAGTTCGTCTGTTTCCTCTCTTCGGCACTTAGCTTTCTAATTTAACGCACGAAAATGAGAGAACATGCAACAGGAGATTTGGAGTGCGGGGCCCCGCCAATTTTGAAGTCAACTGGTGGAGATGACTTCCGGATCCCGACTGCCTGGATACCCAGGTGTCGATCACTGCGTTTACTAACTAACTAACCTAAACATGTTTGTGCAGAAGTTGGAATTCCCAAGATTATTTCTTCCGCATGTTGAAGAGTAAACGAATCTTAGTTGAAATATTCAGCTACTATTTTCGAGCTGGGATACCTGGGCATCAGACTTGCTGAAAGCCAGCACATAATGGCTATGAAGAGTATCTACGCCCAAAGTTAAGGTAACTCTGCTCCTCGGCTCAATTCTCCGCCGAAATCAAACCAGCATATCAGAAAACACCTATTTTTTATGCATTTATGCCTTGAGAAAAGCAGAAAGATCATGCCATGACCTCCGGTGGCTTGCTGTCTTGACCACGGGAAGTGGGGAAATGCAGCCAGCAGTCGTGCTACGCATACACATTCGACAGATCACATAGGATTCAAACTATGAACCGTGTACTCCGTAGCACGCCACACAACGTGTTTGCCAAGACTGCAGGTTATGCTGACATCTAGACTTGGAAAAGCGCGGCAAGTTGTGGGTCTAGACAGTGGGCCGAGCTCAACGCTCGACCCGTCATGAGCAGCTTACAGCCGTCGGTTTCGTCCTTTTGTTTTTTCATCTTCGAACCTTGTTTGTCCTCTTGCATCCAGCTAAACCGCACTGGGTCAGACTTCGAATTTGGTACAGATTACTTGATAACGGTTCGTGCAGACTCTTGGAAAAAAATTCCTTGCGTGGCCCCGACCCTGTCTGTTTCCTCCCCCCCGCACCCCCCTCTCACCTCTTTTCCTCAGGCATTCCCGGGTATTTCTACAACGGTTAAGATATTGACAACTTGCAAGGAGTGAAGAATTGCAATCATGGCTGGAAAAGCGGAAGAGATTGCGGTGGTAGGTTCTTTCTATGAATATATCTTGATGAGATCATTCACACTGTGAATTGGCGTCCCGCTCACCTTGCATAGGACCCGGATCTATACTCTATGGCCGCTGGTTATGCCGTAGATGACTTTCAATCGTCAGTAAAAATTTTTTGAATTAATTTTCATATTAGATATCTGACTGAAATGTCTTTAGGGAAACCACTTCTATTGCATCAAATATTGCACGAGGACGTCTTGAAAATGGCCGAAGGTAAGTTCATCGGAACCTGGCCCCTACATCCGTTGTACATCAAGCTAACCTAATTTTTATAGATATCAAGCAATTAAGGAAGATGATTACTGGTTAGTTTCAACAAAACATCTGGTCCATTTTATTTTCTTTCCATCTAATAATTGAATTCAGGGGTCCGTCTGATGATCAACAATTCGAGGCATTCGAGATTTGGTAAGTCACCAAGGGATTATTCCATGTCTCCACTGTATAAAATGAGCTTCAATACTAATTAAACAGCCATCTGGTCTTCCTTGTGGTAGACCACAACGAGCCGAATCCCCTTTTCCATGCCCCAATTACGGAAACGCCCAAGGTAAGTCTACCAAATTAAACCTACATAGGGCCATTGAATAAAATGCTCATTAAGAACACAGAACATTCTGGACATTGGAACTGGTAAAGGCAGTTGGGCGATGTATGTCTTTGACCTCTCCAATTCATAAGAGACTCCTAACAATTCAATGTTAGCGATGTTGCCGACATGTATCCAACAGGTACTGGTCTCTGATTTCAATTAATCTCTTCTAAAACTAACATGTACCAGCCACCGTCCGTGGAGTGGATATCTTCCCTCCACCAGTAACATGGATGCCACCAAACTGCGTCTTCGAGGTTGACGACGTAAATCGCGAATGGACATGGAGAGAGCCATTCGACTTTATTCACCTGCGTCTCATGTACGGTGCATTCGACCCTGAAGGATGGGACCGTCTCTACCAACAGGCCTATGAGTGAGTGTTCTTCCAATCCCTTTCAAATCGCGAAACCAAACTTATCACTCTTCTTCCACTTAGTGCCCTCGAGCCTGGTGGCTGGATTGAACAAATGGAACTAGACGTCCGACTATACAGCGAGGACGGCTCCCTAAAACCAGAGCATCAGCTCCACGGCTGGGGTCCATTGTTCATCCGTTGCTCCGAGCGAGCAGGACGTTCACTCCGAACCCACGAAACGATGCGCGACGCAATCAAGAAAGCCGGATTCGTCGATGTCCACGAGAAGAAATACAAGATTCCTATTGGACCCTGGGCCAAGGATAAGTTGCTGAAGGAGGCCGGTCACCTCCAGTATGCACACTGGAACACTGGTCTTGAAGGATGGGCGATGTGGCTTCTTACTCACTTTGGAGAGCCAAAGCCGTGGACCAAGGAAGAGGTCCAGGTATTCCTGGCTAAAGTGCGATCGGAGTTGAAGAACCCGGCTATTCATGCTTTTGAGCCTGGGTAAGGCTTTCTATTATCACTTTGGAATTAGATCATTTTTGCTGACCTTTATGTAGACGACGTGTGTGGGCTAGAAAGCCTACTCGAGAGGAAATGGCTGCTAAGGCTGCTAAGGAGGCCAAGGAGAAGGAGGTCCCGATCAAGGCTGAGCCTTCGACTTAATGTTAAGCAGTGGGAAGTTGTCTAGGCATTCGCAGGTCCAACAAATGTCTCTGTAGTTCCAGGCGGGCGCTTTCCTGTCCTTTCATTTTGTCACGTAATATTGTCATCTCGGTTTAGTATTTAGGAGCATGTCTATACAAATGATGCCTGATGTCCTGGTGCATTTAAATAGTCCGCATATATTTTCGGGGATCATAACCAAATTGATCCTCCAGTCTATTTCTCAGTCAAAAATCTTGAAAACTGATATATTGTCATATTTCCGAAACCTGTTACCTTCAGTCGGATGAAGCTCCAAGATCTTAGATCTTAGATGACCTCATGAAGCGCAGCGCTTGCCAGCACTCCCTCACCGCCTTCGGCATCAAGATTAACAAGCGATAGCTAATTAAGCTCAACCTTGGAACCATCCACCTTGACAAATCCTACAACTTACAAAGAACCCATCATGGATCTAGTCGCAGGCGTGCGCAAAGAAGGCAGCCGGTAAGAAAGCCCGCACAGCATACACATATACCAAATCTAACCTTTCACAGCGGCGGCCGCACCGAATTCAAATGGTCGGACGTACAGAACTCAACCCACCGGGAGAACTACCTCGGCCACTCTGTTATGGCCCCAGTAGGTCGCTGGCAACAAGGTCGCGATCTAGGCTGGTACGCCAAGGGCGATGTCGATGAAGAAGAAGAACGACTACGCCGCGAACAAGAAGAACGACAACGCGTCAAGGATGCCGAGGAGGAAGCTATGGCTCTTGCATTAGGTCTGCCTCCACCAGCTAAAGCTGCGATTGCCGCAAATGCCAATCTGGAACCACTTGGTCCGCGAGGCGCACCAGAGAAAGCGGATGAGGAGATGGGTGGTGTTGAGAAGGAGAAACCGGAGCGGGAATCACGCGGAAGTCGACGGCATAGACGGGACCGCGATCGGGATCACAGTCGGAGTCGGAGTCCACGAAGGGAAAGAAGACATGAGCGCAGTGATGATCGTGGGAGGGATAGAGAGCGAAGACATCGAAGACATTATGAGGATCGGGATCGGGAGCGTGAGCGCGATCGCCATCACCGTAGCCATCGTCAGCGGTCTCGATCAAGGAATCATGCTCGCACGAAGCGGGCGGATTCTCGATCTAGAAGCCCTCGTCGTGCTCATGGGCGGAAAGATGAACATCGTCGTCCTGAGCGCAGTCATTCGCCTGATAACCGACGACGACGGGATACGGAAAGACGCAATGAGCGAGAACGCTCTAATCGACGGGATTAACCTACGACGCAATGCAATGATAATGACACATAATTTTAAGAATCACAAGAATGGACTCTATTCTATTGACTTTAGCGAGTGTACAATGCTGAGTTTGCGTGGCACGCTCTAGTATAACGAATCCATGCGCTAATTTTACATGCATCTCTCGGCCACTACTACAGCTCGTCGTGGAGAACCTCCTCCTTCAGATCGGGCATGGCCATAAGGCTCACCACCATACTGGTCCAGCCGGTAAAGTGCTGTGTGCGCTGTCCGACACCTGTCTCAGGGTTGTACTGCTCCCATGCGAATCCAGTCCTCTCCCATTCTCTGAAGACGTTCTCAACCAGGTTCTTGCGCAGGCTGGAGTACATCTCACGAGCCTGTTCACGGTGGGGACCATCTGCGTTGGCGGTGGCCTAGAAAAGAGGAAACAGAAATTAGTCCAGAGGTACGGGTTTTATCTTGAAGGGGATGATACTCACAAAAAGGTTTCTCAAAACCAGGTAGTTGATAGGAACCCACACAGGGCTTCGCCAGTAGTTCTCTTCTGTGCCGTAGAACTCATCCTTCTTGCTCAAGCTGCGAATACCGTAGTCACTCCACAGCTCCTCGGGGTCACTGATGAGATCCAAGACTGCCTTGAGGCGGGGACTGTCGGGGCCAATCATGCCCGTCAAGTAGGGGAAAATAGAGATGTAACCTTTGTGGCAGACATGCACACTCTCCTCATACTCATCAATTGTCGCATCGCAGAAAGTCTGCGCATCTTCATTCCAGTGTAGATCCTCAATATTGCGAGTGATGGCATTCTCGTGGTACGCGAATTCCTCCGCATCCTCCTGTTCGCCAAGAGTCTCTGCGATGCGGCGCAGAGTACGGGTCATCATACCCATCCAGCTGAGCAGATCAACGTGCAGCTCACCAGGGTGTGGAGGCTGAGGACGAGGGTAGTCATCGATACCAGAGGTCAGGATGTGCTGGACGAAACGTCCACGCCAGCGGTAACCCTCCTTGGAGGAGAAGGCCTCGCGGTCGTAGGACTTGATGTCACCGCGTTGGGTGTTGCGGTACCAGTTGTAGTGTCTCTTCATGAGAGGGTAGAAAGAGCGAAGGTAGGCATCGGCCAGCTCCGGGTTGCGTAGGGTCGCAGTGCGGAGGTTTTCAGCAACATCCTGGTCATCGAGACCTTGCTTCTGAATGCTCTTGTTGCTCTTGGCCTTATCCATGAACGCCTCGAGAGCCATGAAGAGAGTGGGCGGGTTAGCGTAGTGTGGGTACTGCACTGTGAACTCAGCGGGCACTTTGCTGCGAGCTTCCAAGCCGAGAATTTGTTCACGGGCAATCCATCCATCTTCGTCCATCAAGTGGAACCAGCTCTTGATGATTTCAAGTCTGTGGATGTTAGTTCATTCTCATATGAAAGGAATCATGATCGAACTTACGCGACATCAGAGTCATATTCCATCACGGGGAGCAGGTGGAAACCCTCATCCCAGAGGAATCCACGAGGGAAGAAAGGACGGGATGGAACACAAGTGAACAGGTCTTTGGCGCCCCCGAGGACAGGCTGAGCCGCAGCGCGAGCCTCTGCGGTCTCCTCCCAGAAGCCCTCGTTCTCCTCCTCGTAAGCAGGATGGGCAGATCGGTCGACAATGTCATCTCCGTGGAAGAAACCAATACCACCAACTAAGTTGGACAGCATAGCCTTGGAGAACTGGACGTATTTGGCGGTGTTGAAGGGTGCGTTAGGTGTCAGCACTTCCTTAAAGCGCTCGGAGAAGGACGTCGACGCTTCCTTGATTTCCTTTGTAATTGTCTCCGCTGTATGCTGTCAGAACGGCGTGTCTATTAATCTATTTCATTGATTTTAAGGGTCAAAAACTTACAGGTAACAGGCTCAGGGGCAGATCCGGAGGAAAAGAGAACATCAAACTAGAAAGATTAGCCATAGTCGTATTTTGGAGAGGATCAATGATAATTACCTCGAAGGCACCCTTGAAGACCTTCTGGACAAGATGAAGGTTGCCATTTCCAGGTTGGTGCTTAATAGTAAATAGCTGGGCTGGGGGAGGAGGATTTTCCGTTCCATACTTCTCAATGGTGGGCTCAACCTCTCCCTTCATCTGCATAAACATCAAACCTACTTCCGAATCAGCACAGCTCAGGGACGCAAAGGTTTAACGACTTACCCTTAGCCTGCCAAAGCTGAGGCTGCGGCACATTGCCACTAGTAACCAGACCCTTGCCCAATGGTTTATCCTCGTAGCTCGGGTGGCTGTGCGAGAAGTACTCATTGGTCTCGGGACCCTCAGTGACGTCGATAGTAAACTCGCCAAGTTCAGAAGAATAACCCAGAATCCTGACATCACCTTCGAGTGCAGGCGCATCACCAACACTGGCCTTTTCAACGCCTAGCTGACCCAATCCCTCGAGGGTAGTGTAGAAAACCATAGAAGTAGGCTGATCCGGGGCACCATCCTCACGAGGAACACCCTTGACACGGAATCCCCAGCTTCCGCCATTCTGGCCACCGGGGACCTTCACAAAGTCAATGGTCAAGTCCAGAGAGTTCCCAGCATCGTGAATAGTCTGCCGTCCTCCCTTTCGGATATCGTATTCGTCCCATCCGTACCCTGCCATACCCTCATTCTGCTCACACGTATGCCGGAAGTCTCAGGTGATGCAACTGACGTTAGTTATCCGACATCTAGAACATCAAGACAAGAGATATACATACTTGACTGGGCAGTGGCATAGTTATCCACCTTCGCCCACATCAAACCTGCAGCAATACTGTTCGCAATTCGAGGACGAACGCCGAAATACAGGTTGGGCTTGTAGGGACCCCATAACAGGGATTCGTTGTTGGCGCGTGCGGCCTCTTTAATTAAGATAGAGACATCGTTCGGGTCTTGGCTTGCAAGAACTCCCGTCGCGGAGAGGAGCGATGTTAAGAGAACTGGAATCCGGAGATGCATTCTTTTCAGTTGCATCCCAATTGAGGGGACATTGAATGTGTACAAGTTCCAAATTCCTGTCTTGGGGGTTAGCTGTTCACTCCGCAATTACGTGGCCCGAGCTTCCGTACTTGGTGCTTTGTGATTCGGCCAGGATGTGGATCACAATGAACCGCGCGTCCAAGTACAAAAGCCAGAGTGAAGAATACAAAATACAAAATTGATTTATTTGCAAGTTATCTATTTGTTGAAGTATGTGCAGATTATGAACTTGTTTATAGCTGTTCACGAGGATCCAGAGAAGCGATCTTTGCGCTCTTAGCCTGGCCATCAAATACAAACTCACTTATGAGCTTTCCTGTACCAGGACCATTCTGAATACCCCAACAAGTATGACCAGCAGCAAGATAAAGACCCTTGGTATGTGTAAGACCAACCAATGGCCCTCTGCCACCAACAGTGTTGGGTAAGTAGCAAGCTTGACGCACGCTGATCTCTCCGTCCCGTAGCTGGTTAGAAATGCTACCCACATGGTCAATAATCTCCTGGCAGCGCTCCTGATCCACCTCGACTTCAACGGAAGTCGGGGGCAATGGTACAGTCTTATCACCATCACCGCAGGCGTATACAGTGTCATCGGGACGGGTATAGATCTCCGGCGTGGCTACAGTCGGCCGAGATTTCATAGCAGGATTGAAATTCGCTGGGATCTCAATGTTCGTAAAAAGTGCATAGGCACTGACTGGTCTTGTTGGTCGGATGACCACACTATGTGCCCGCATCGCAGTAATGGGAGCTTCAGGAAATATAGCTTGAGTCCATGGGCCAGCCGCAATAATCACATCTGTAGCTGAGATTGTGCGAGACTCGCCTGATGCTTTGTCGGTATATGAAACAGATTTCACAGCACCATTGGGGCGCACGATCTCGGTAACTTTACCAAGGATGATTTCCGCTCCTTTCTCCTCGGCCAGCTTTGCCATAGATGTAGTAAACAAATATGGATGAACCTGTGCTGTTTCGCCCGGTCCACTCATACTCTCATAAGCTCTCAAGAGTTCAGGCTCAATCCAGTCCAGGTCATGGGGGATCTTAGCAGCCTTAAGTTTGGATATAGCGGCTGCACTGCGCTTCTCAAGCGACTCATGCTGTCCATCGCCGGTCTGTTTTTTGTCGGAGAGAACCCGACCCTTGACAACTAACTGGCCACAGTTTGTTTCCCTGTAGTCCCATCGGTTCTTGCCGTCGTGTTCCTTTGCCAGCTGTTGGTGGAGTGGGTAGCTGAGATTTACAAGATTATCCGGATATGCCCATCGCGCTAGCAGTCCTCCGGCTTTCCCTGACGCTCCGCCTGCGATGTCCGAAGCTTCAAGAAGGGTGACTTTGTGTCGGGTTGGGTCATAGGAGGGGTGTCTTGTAAGAAAATATGCCGAACAACAGCCGATGATACCACCACCTATATTGCAGAGACTTTGATCAGTATGTATTTGGATGCGGGGTATCTGGTTGGCGCAAGCGAGTTCTTCCTACCAACAATGACAATTTCACGACGATCTCCGGATACCGGCATCTTGAAGAACGGTTGGATTCTATGCGCTATCGAATGAATTGATGCCACAGCGAAAGGTGTTGGGAAGAAGGATGTAGGAAGACAAGTTTTTGTTCAACGATAAGCTACGTCACCCCGAGTGAGTTCTGTTGGAGAAGACTAGTCATGTGCGGACTCTCTAGCTACCTCAGAGGAGTTTATAAAGAATAAATATAGCTGGATAGCTGGATATATCCAGCTAATAATTGTAAAGCAGCTGAAATGTTTAATAAGTGTGTTTGTAGTATTCATATCACAGAAGTCTTCGAAACAAATTTTGAGAATAACCCGGGGATACCATGCTCCACGAATGCAATATTGCTGGGAATTATAGAAACAGAAAGGAGGGGGAAATAAAGAGAGCCTCCATAGAAATGATACACAACCTAAAGCCAGAAGAATCATAAAAGAGCAGCTTCGGAGAGGTAAGAGAAAACCGCCCCCCGCAGGCAGATTTACCGCGAGGGACTGAGCGGTCGGTTGAAACCACCAGAACGGTTCATGTACTGGCGGTACTCCGTCTTCTTCTCCTTGCGCACACCGTAGATATCATTTCCAGGTACTTTTGTGTTTTTGGTGGTTCGGAAACGGGAGAATCCCATTGCTTTGCGCATCATTGCCTCGATCTCATCCTCATCAGCGTCCTCCTTGAAATCGACGTCCATTTCATCCTTCAAATTGGAACCATTAGCATGCCTAGCGTCCTCATGGCCTCGCTCTCGGCGACCAGGTCGGCAGTCATCTTTGTGGCCACGAGGGGGAGGAGATCGGGTTCCGGGTCCAGTATTTCCATTTCGGGCGGGTGATCGGGAGCGAGAACGGTCGCGAACATTGTCGCCTTTAGATGCATTACCTGGGAAAAAAATTCCATGTCAGCTAAAGATCTCGGGACGGTCAATTTGGTTTCAGTTTGTGCATACCTCGTCGATCATGGCCACGGTCTCGGCTAGTACTCCTCTTGCGGTCCCTGGGCCCACGGTCATCCCGATCTCTATTCCTTCGGTCTGAGTCGCGGCGATCTCGAGACCAGCTCCTGTCTCGCCGTGTGTTCTTGCGATCTCGCGAGCGCGATCTGTATCGTCGCTCGTCACGAGGACCGTCGCGTCTGTCATCTCGGGGTGCGGGTGAGCGTCTGGGGTCGGCATTTGAGCCTGAGTCCGGTTGGCGTCCATAAGAGTCATTCTTTTCCCACATCGCACTACTATCGACTCGTCGGGCTCGCTTTGTTGGAGGCTCAGCCATCGTGATGTCCGAGACAAAGGTGCTTGTCTCGCGCGGTTTGGCTCTTGTGAGAGATATGATGAGATAAACTTGCGGAATAGAAGCTCAATTTCCAGGGATAGAAATCAAAGAAGATCACTTGGAACGAGCGAGAATGATCCTTTGGTTGGATTTGAGTGAGAGTGGGGTATAAGTGGTCTCAATAAAGAAGCTCCCAGTGAGCCTGAAGGATGAGAGGTTTATTCCGGTCGGCGGGATATACCAATTGTGCAGTTTTATAGATCGCCGTCAACTGGTGTATACAAGTAGATAGTATCACCACTGGGCACTGATTCACCTGTGGACAGGGCTGGTTGTATTTCAGTCTTTCTTCAAAGTTAGAAGGCTAACTAATATTAGGCGAGATTCCCATGACTTAGACTACTCACATGCATACATATTGCCATAATGTGTTCCATAATGATCGGATGGTTATAGGTGTGGTGAGCAACCTTGGAAATAACCTTGGAAGAGCGTTCTCAAGTAATCAGTACATATATACTATAGATACCTTGATCTTCAAACTTCAATGCGGTGCTTCTTAATCTCAAGTTCTATCAAGGAGCTTCGAAAATTTACGTTTCGTAGTATAAGTTGAAATGTCCATGGTGCTGAAACTTGAACTTCCTAATTAGGCAATGGTCAAGTGAGTGAAGTGAATCATCAATAAAATACATAAGTATATTGAGCTTCAATTTTTCCAAGTACCTGCCTAGGTACCTACATGGGTAGCTTAGCTAGTATCAGGATGATCAAGTTCAGAATGTATGCTTCTGCCTAGTGGTAGTAGTAGTGAGTTCCGATGATATCAAATATTTGCGAAGTGAGGGTTTCCTAATTAGGCGATGACACTACCTCCAGCTAAACGAGCCTTGGAAGTGAATGATTGTTTGTCCCCCCAGACGCGTCCCCCACCGCCTCCCAGCCTATTTAATCTTCTTCCCCTCTCTCTCTTCTCCTCCTTCTCTTCTTCTTTCCCCAGACCTGTCGGTGTCTCCAGCCCGAGGACCCACACCTTAGCGCTTGCGGCTTAAGTCTGGGTAGGGAGGGAGATATTAGCAGGTGTCCCGTCTTTCGGAGTTTCGATTCTTATCATTTCATTTTGAATACGGAACGGAGCGAAGCGAGACGTTAAGCCCGTGATCCTATGACCCAACCGAGTCTCTGGGATGTATCAGCTCAGACTGCTCTTGGCGAGGTGAGGTGGCCAGGTCTTTCCTGTCGAGGCTGTATGCATTTTCAAGTGGGCTGTGTGGATTTCGACCGTGGCTGGTCAGCAGCTTATGACGCACGCACCTGAACTTACTACTCACACTGAAAGCGCATGATGAAAATACTATATGCCGTTCTGAGCTTTCTTTCCCCCTGCACCAGCACCCCACCCCCCCCCCAGATCTTGGTATATTAGTCTAGCTTGAGGAAGCCTGACATAGTGTGAAGCTTGTTGACAAAGCATCTAGGTACGAGCAAGAGTCGCAACAAGATAAGCTGATCTGTGATCATATGATTATTTCTGAACCGGCTCCTCGACGCATGCGAAGTTCACACAATCACCGAGCGAGATCGACATATTCAGTATAAGAAAACGGCGTACAAGCTTCGAAATTGTTGGATTCAGCTTGGCTGAGGCTTGTTAACTAGAGGGAAGACTTTTGTTTTTGTTTTTGGAATGGTGATTAGGAGGCTTTCATGATGGTGGGGTTTGAAACAACAAGATGCAGGATGTGTAAGTTTCCAAGGTTATACTAGTATATCAAAACTTGAAATAGTTCTGTAATGCTATGGATACTATTGCTATTCATCCATGTTTTGAGCACCTGATTATGGATAATGAATTGACTAAACTTGAATGACATTTTGAACGAGCAAGAACTAACATACTGTACGACTTTCAGATTCTCCTTTTATAAGCTCAATATTTATCCGGTTCGAGTTGAAGAGTATCTTGGACTTGCTAGTAGTTCAAAGTATTTCTTTCATCTAATAAATCTTCCTAGTAAAGGGGATACGATCTAGCTCTATGGCCAATGGGTCGAACTAGCAACAATGACTTGAACTAGCAGTGAAACCACCCGACAAAAACACTGCCCAGGTGTGACTGATGTGCAATAGACCTCGGAGATGAACCGTATAGGGATGATAATTTCCCCGGTTTTCTTATCAAGGGCGCCTTCATACCCATTCTCATCTCTTACTTATCTATGGAGACACCATTACATGGATACCCAATTGCGGACAAGACAATGACGGAGTGACCGAGTATAGTAAGGTACTCCGTGTAGGTTGGAAGTGACGCTCCTCCCCCGAGCCGAGGGTCGAGGGTCGAGAACTGAGATCGACAGAACCCCACAATTCCAAAGTTACGTGTGCGGATGGATGAAGATCTCGCCCCTTCCAAGATTACTTTTTAAGTTTCGAACACACCGTGGAGACCCGTGGACATGAATTCGGTTCGGAAAAGATACTACGGCAATACTTCCGTACTGCATGAAATTCATGATCGTCCCTTCTCTCTATCTCCAATGAGGAAGGCTGGAGGAAAATCGCTGGTGGCCGCGTACCATCCAGCTCATCCCTGGAAATCGAACTATGGGTTTCAAATTGTCGGCTTTTATAAGCAGCCATGGTCGTCAGCATTGAAATCCAGCAACACCTTGTCTTTCTCTCGCTTTGTCGTGTCTGTTTTATTCATTCGTTCATTACACTTTTCGACAAGCCCTTCATGAAGCTACTCACAACCCTCGCTGGTGTGGCTGCTTGCAGCTCATCACTCGCTTCTGTCAGTGCCCTGAGCCCACCCGTTATCCATACTCACTATGGTACTATCAGTGGTGGACTCTCCCCTTTCCGTGGAGGTGACAAGGCTTTCGTTTATAAGGGGAATTCCATATGCTCAGCCTCCTACCGGCGAAAATCGCTGGACCCAGGTTTCTGGACCAAGCTACTGGGGTGATTTGAATGCCACTGAATTTGGTCCGCAATGTGCCCAAACAATCAGCGACGCTGGTATATTCTCCAGTGGCAAGAAAACAACCAGTGAAGACTGTCTGTACCTCAATATCTGGACTCCAGCATATAAGAACCAGACAGACCTGCCCTCGAAAAAGTTACCTGTTCTTTTCTGGATCTACGGTGGACGTTTCACCGGTGGCTCTGGTGATGTAAAGACCTACGATGGCACTGGTCTTGCCCAGAAAGACATCATCGTGGTCACTATCAACTACCGTCTTGGACCCTTTGGATACCTCGCGCATCCCGAACTGAGTGCTGAGTCGGGCTACAACAGCTCGGGCAACTATGGTATCCTGGATCAACAGGCCGCTTTACACTGGATCAATGAGAACATTGCCAAATTTGGTGGTAACCCTGATCAAATCACCGTTGGTGGGCAATCCGCTGGCTCGGCTAGTGCCCTCGACGCTATGTGAAGTCCTCTGGCCGAAGGTCTTGCCGAAGGCATTATCGCAGAGAGTGGTGCTCGTGGACCCCACGATCCGATGACCGGTAGCGTGGCTACTTCCTACAGAACTAAGTCCGCTGCTGAGGCACAGGGAGGTAAGTGAAGATAAAATCATAACGTCAAGTAGTGGTATGTTTTGTTAACATGATGTGATTCAGTCCGCTTCTTGAAGACCATGGCAGTCAGCTCGATTGCCGAACTCCGAAATGTCTCTATGGACAGCCTTCTTGAATACGACGGGATTTTTGACACCATTTGGGATGGTACCCCCTTCGAGAATTTCACCGCTGCATTCATGGAGCCCCCGATGTGGCGTCCTAACCTTGATGGATACGTCTTCCCAGATTCCTACTCCGAGGCTCTGCGCAACAATTCCCATGCCAACATCCCTATCCTGACCGGAAACAACGCAGACGAGTCTGGTGCTACTCCAACTCTCACTTACTCGGCCTCGAGATACCACGCTCTCTTTAGCAACCTTTTCGGTGATCTCTCTGATGAATTCTTCTCCTTATACCCCGGTCAGAACACCTCTCAGGCCTCGGAAAGTGGCAAGGAATTCTTCAGAGACTTGTCTCGGGTTGGAACCTGGCGTTGGGCCCTTGACTGGGCTGCCGGCGGCGCAAATGCATCCGTTTACACTTACTACTTCAACCACTGGCCGTAAGTTGATCCTTGGTCCAGACTCCAGACCTGTACAAATCTTGACTAACACTATTCCAGGGCCGAGGAAAAATCCGAAGGTGCTTACCACGGAAGTGAACTTTGGTATACGTGAGTGAATTGATTTTCTTTGGCTATATGATCAACAGCGAACTAATCGTAATACAGCTTCAACAACTTGCCATACAGCTCATACTCTAATGTGACATGGGAAGATGAAGAGTACGCCATCGAGAACAAGATGGCCAACTACTGGGCCAATTTCATTCGCAATGGTAACCCCAACGGAGATAATCAGCCTCAATGGAAGGCCTCAAAGAAGGAGGAGCAGACTATGTGGCTTGGAAACCAGTGGGAAATGGGCCCTCTTACCGCGGACAACAAGCGTATTGAGTTTCTGCACAAGTGGACTTCTACCTTGCCTGCGTGGTAAATGGGTTGGTTTATCATGGCTGTTTTCCTTGGCTCATTTGGCCGTCCTCTCATTTCTTTTCTTGTTTCTTATAGAATTTAGATCACCTTTAGATTATCCACTGTGGCACCTGCATGTGGGCACTCCGAGTCTGTGTATGCCAGTGTTGATGCATGCTATATAGACGATAGACCAATGGATTTTTCTTTTACTACTAGTAATTTCTCTTAATTCCTCCAATGGCATAGCTCACCCTCTATATTCGAATGTTTTTAATACTGAACAGGTAGATGTAAATTTTCTATGCCAACTAAACCTCCGAGGTTTGCTTATTAGAATATTTGTGTTTTAATGTTACAGATACAGATTAAGCCTGCTGCCCAAGCGCAAATGTGGGGGTTACCAACTTACTACATACCCTGGGGCCTCAACCTTGGAAACTTTGGAAACCTTGGAACTGCAGGACCCCTACGCGCGTTACAGAAAGACGCGTTATGTTTCAATACATGAGAACGGACTCTCCGCTCTCTCCTCCGTAGCCTTGGCAAAAGCCTGATCATTTCCCGGAGCGGAAGCCCATTCCGACCCCGTGACCCATCAACCCTGAAAGCCCGAGCTTCAGGGTGGAGTGTTTATCCGTTATGATTCAAGGCTTCATTCTTATTTTGAGCCTAAAACCTAGACCTCTCCACTGTTAGCACTCCGCCCCACTGCTAGCACTGGGCGGAACCCAGTTTTTGATTCTCTTTTCTGGTTGATTGATTGATTGTCGATCCTTTAACATCCTCTGACGTGTGGCCTGGTAGATGATTTAGGCGTTTAGGACCCCCGGAGCAATTCTTGCAAAACCCGTCCTTACTTCCGGGTAAGTGCATTTTCCTGGTCGAGTCTCCAATTGTGGACATTAGAGAAACACATGTCCATAATCTCAGGCTGCCAAGGTAGTTTTTCTCGTCATCTCCGTAATACTCCGTCATTCTCCATAAATTCAATTAAACTGTGGATTTAATACAATTTTTGAATCACTTGTCTTGTCTATAGGCATCAACGTCGGAATCCGTAACGGTGACTTGCATTCATCCTATCTATCATGATCATATCAGGGCATGATTGTTAGAGAATCATCATCAGCCAGACAGGGCCACTACTCTATCTAGCCAATAGATTCCCAACCTCGTAACCATCTTAAATGTTGATCAATTCGAACATTTGAAGGTTAGGCTGCATTTTCATGACTTGGCAAAGATAATCCCCATAGATGCCAGTGGATCTCGGGAAACGCGGAGAGTCCGAGTCTTCCACAGCCAGGACATCTGGAATATCAGATGTTGATCCCAATGAATCTTGGAATGTTGCCTGGGCGAAGTATGTGGAGACGATCCATAGAACTATTTTCCAATCGAAGACACGAATCGGATGTATAAGCGTTGGACATCATTCGATAACTCGGCCGTTGAGGCAAAAAGGATAATTTTAAAAAAAGAAAAATTAACATTAGAATAAGAGGAAACCTATATAGTCTGCATATGTACAGATGGTACCTTGCATCGTTCTTTTCTCTTGGTAAAATACCTTTGGCCTTTGCCTTTCTTTACTTCCCCTGCGACCTTCAAAATGCGTCTTGACATTGCTTCGGTCGTCGGCCTTGTCATTGCTCCTGCATTGGCAGGTTGCCCATATGCTCGAGATCTCGGCTTGAATGTCGACGATAATGAGAATCCTCACATCAATGCCGCTCGTGGGGTTCCCTCCAAAAGCTCATCAACAGCTATCCCGTCAGCTACACCCGCCGTTGGAAAGAAGGGTGTTTTCTATAGTAAGTAGCCACCTTTGGGTATCAAAAAGCCTAGGCAAAAGGGAAATAGGATAAAAGAAAGAGAACTGACTTATCGAAACAGTGAACCGCATCGGACCTTCAGGATCTCAGTTATGGATTTCCAACGCGGACGGAACAAATGCGACACAATTAATGGGTAATAAGACCGATGCCTTTAATTATCACCCTACCTGGTCGCAAGATGGAAAATGGATCGTTTTCACTAGCGAACAACGCGGAGCAGGCCAGTCCGACTTATACCGTGTGCGCCCCGATGGAACGGGCTTCGAAACGCTTATCGACACCGACAGCGCGGAGGATGCTGGTACATTATCGCCGGATGGAAACACTCTGGCTTATGTTTCCACACATGGGAATTACACCATGAACGTCTGGGTCAAGGGCCTCCAAACTGGCGTCGCCCAGAACCTTACCGATACCCCGGAGAACCGTGCTGATAACACCTGGCCCACTGGCCACTTCCGCCCTTCATGGTCTCCTGATGGAAAATGGCTCGCCTTCAGTTCGGACAGAAACAACGACTGGACTGGCCACAGTGATGGGTAAGTTATCATAAAAGCTTCAAGTCAGTCAATGGCTTCTAATTCTTTGATCTAGAGTTGGTTGGGAACACACCCAAAATCTTGGTCTATACATTGTTCGCCCCGATGGAACTGGCTTCCGTAAGATCCTACACGAGCACGGCTTTGCTTTGGGTACACCTCAATGGTCGCCTGATGGAAAGCGCCTTATCTATAACAACATGACAAGAGAGAACACCTACTACGCCCACGGTGTCTCCACTGAGCAGGTTCTAGTCGCTTCTCAGATCTACAGTGTTGATGTGGCTACCGGAAAGCATATTGTCAAGCACACCTCTGACGACCACCTCAAGGTTGGCCAACACTTTATTGGCAATTCGACTAACATTGGGTATTTGATCAAGGCTGGTACATCGGAAGGAATTAGCTATATCTCCCCTGATAAGACACACAAATCTTTCAACCTGACTGGTCTGCGTGAGCCCTCTTGGTCTCCTGATGGCTCTAAGATTGTCTACAATGTGCTTAACTGGGATCAGCAGCCTGGTGAGCTCCAGCTCTGGAGCTTTGATGATGAATGGGATTACCGGTATAAGAATAGTTACCCTTTACTGAAACTTCTTTTTCTGACTCAATCTTAGCTACATGGATGTCTTCCCCATGCACAATGTTCCTTCCAACACCCTAGGTATTACACAGAAGGTTCTGGGAGGCGCCAATAGCTCCCTCGTGACTTCATCAACAAAGTACACCAACCTGATTGACTCACTCGACTCCTATGACATTTACTCTGCCGACAACAGCACTGAGGTTGAGTGGCTGGTTGAGGGTAACTCCGGTGCTTTCCAGCCCTCATTCAATCCCGACGGCGATGAACTTGTTGTCGGATTTGGTGCCTGGTTTGTGACCCGCTCCACTGACACTGGTGGTATCTGGCGTGTCGCCGCCAACGGCACCTCGCACACCAACCTCACCGACTTGCAAAACAACGCCGGTTTCCCCACCTGGTCTCCCAATGGAACAGCCATCGTTTACCGTCTATGGGACATCGAGAGTGGCGCTCCCAAGGGTCTCCAGCTCTTGAATTTCACTACTGGCGAGACCACCAGGTTGACCCACGGCTGGGATAACACCCCTGGCTGGTCTCCCGACGGAGAGCGTATCGTCTTCACCCGCAATAACAACTGGACCGAGTCTTACGGTGCCCGTTGGTACGCTGATCGCTTTGATATCTACACAGTCCGCCCCGATGGCTCCGATTTGACTCAGGTCACGGACAGTCTGGCCAATGACGCACAGTAAGTTTTTCTTCTAGTGTACCGGTCGCTCACTCCCGAGGACTGGTATGCTGCCCAGGTGTACTGTACTATACTGTACTAACATTTTATTAGCGCCGTTTGGTCTCACGATGGCCGCATCATGTGGTCTACCGGAATGTACGGTTTCAAGGATGAGAGCGCCCTGTACGACAACACTTTCCAGCCTTATGGTCAGATCATGGTCATGAACTATGATGGAACTGATAAGCACATCGTCACGGATACGATTTGGGAGGATTCTATGCCGCTTTACATGCCTAACGAGTACCTTGAATAGGTATTGGGCCTTTTTCAAGTTTATACATGTAAATTTTTGTACATATAGTTGAGAAATTATAAGTATTCCAGATGAATTAGCAGTTTTATGATGATCAAGTTCTATTGCAACTACTGTCTTAAACCCACATCGGCATCCATGTAGTCACCTGGGCAATATTGGTTTAGCAATAGTCAACCCGACTTAAGTGTGCCATATTGGAAACTATCTAAATCAGAGATCGGCACTCATGCAGTCAATCTGGATTTGCAATAGTCAGCCCACTTGCGACCTTATTTCACATTCTCAGACGCGTGTCGTTATGCACTTCCTTCAAATTTTGGGATGTCGAATATAGTATTAATTATGGACCCTCGGTTTTAAATCCCCAGATGAGTTGAAGCAGAATGTTGCAGTGGCCTACAGTGGGCCTCGGGGGTTTAAAATGGGCCCGGGGTTTAAAGTGGGGGTTTTCATTGGACTCCAAGTTTTGGCAAGGCACCTTTAGGCTATGGCTATGACTCTATGAGGCTATGATTAGCGCCTTTTGATTCTGCAGAACAAGGAATATGTTGGAAGTGCCTGAGACTATCTTTCTCACCTGCCTTGATAGGAATAGTGCGGGCGTTTTATGGTTTTACTAACGTTCAATATTGAATGGATGTACAAGTCCCAAGAATCTCACGCTTGAAGACACGACTGCACATGTCTAGGCAATCTTGGCGGGAAGATTCCTAGGTGCCATGGGCAATTCTTAGTTGTTTCTAGCAATTCTTAAAATGTAGCTGCCTATTTGCGCTAAATTATGAGTGATTCTTTGAGGGCACCTCGGCTACAGGTAATAGCACAATCGTCCCGAGGTTATTGGGAATCGAGTTGACTCGATGAATGGATGTGAGTAATTGAATATGCTAATACTATGATGTGCTGGGATCTTGAATCCGCATATACAAAAAAAAATATCTAGAGCAAAATTCCAGAGCTCAGCCTTGGGATCAAACTTCATCCCAAGAGATTGAAGCCAGCAGGTCTATTTTTAGTTGAAAAATCGTCCTGGCTTCGTCAACCATTCCTCAATGTAGTTGTATGCGGTCTTCATCGTGTCTTCGTATTGACCGGGATAAGACTCGCAAGGCTTGCACGTTCCAATCTTGTGCTCAGCTCCCTCAACAAATACAATAGAGGTATCATTACCGGGGGCATTGAGATGGATCTTTTCCTGGTTCAAGTACTCCCAGTGACCAGTCATACCCATATTCAACAAAGGAGCGTGAGCACCCTTGATGGACTCCGTCGGCGAGAATTGAGATGAGGCGTGGTCAATTCCATGCAGACCGGTAGGCGTGATATCGAAATCAGATGTCGCACGGATAGCGAAAGTCGAAAGATATCTCCGGACAGTGGTTTTCAATGCTCCCTGGATGTACTGGTTTGCGTAGCTTTCAAAGTTTACGGGAACGCGCACCGAGGGAACAACCTGGGTAGTGATCGAGCCATCCTTGTGGAGAAGAGGCCAGGCCTTGGAGGTATGAGCGAGGAATCTGGTATCCTGAGAGAAGAATTTGTTGTTCATCACTCCGTAAGCAGAATCAGTGATATACAGTGGTTCATCGTCGATCAAGCCGGTTTCGTTCGCGTTCAGGGCAGCCAAACGTTCCTGTGCGTATTTGATGATGAAGTCATTTCGGGCAACAACACCATGCAGGTACGCCTTCTTGAACTTGGACGTATATCTCGAGCTGTTACCCTTGATGAATCCATTGGCAGGATTGAACAAGTTAAGACTCTCATTGATTGTCATCCCATGGAGACCCTCGAGAGCAGGGTTCAGGCTAAGGAATGGCATAGTTCCAAGGCCAAAGTTGGCATCCAAGAGCATGACTCCATCAGCTGGGTGAAGACCGGCTACTGCACTGGTGCAGTTATATAGCTTCTCTGGTCCCTGACATGCAGAAATACCGTTCTCAGCAACGTTTTGGAAGGCAGCCATCAAAGCGCCGCCACCACTGTGGCCGAAGAGGACGACCTTGTCGATATCCGTCAGGTTACGCAGGTATTGCATACCAATGTCGGCTTGGGTGAGCTCATCTTCGAAGTAAATGCTCGACATCACACCGATCTTGTCAGCGGCATTGTTCCCGCAGAAAACGGTGAAACCTCGACGTGGGAACTCTCGACAGGCGGAGAATGTCATGTAGTCGCTCTCTGCGTGCATCACGTAGACAGCAATGCGGGAGTTGGTACCATTGGTTACTGAGCGGTAGAGATCTCCTGCAACTCCATCATTGTCAAAGTCAAATAGAGTTGGTGGTGGCATCTCCGAATCTGGAGTGACAGTGATAACACTGGCAGCGAGGCCTTCAGTGATCATTGCACCAAGCGCAATGGCAGTTGCGGCAACTGCACTTTTGCAGTAAGAACATTTTGGCTTTCCGGGTTTTTTGTTTAGATAGTAGGAGAAGTGAATTTCTGGCCTAGAGTCGAAAGGGCAGAATGATTTGAGATTGAAGACATGACCTTTAAATCCCCGAGACTCCATCTGGAGCATGCACATGTGTGTGATGATTCGGGTAATTGAAAGCAGATCATCAAGAATTGACGTACACAGGTGGAGGGAAATCATTGATTGTTGGCACATTATGGGCCCGAGCCAAACTCTCCATATCTCTTCGGACCTAATAACATGTCGTTCTCACAACATGTTTTGATTTTTTGAGGAGTTCAAGTCCGATGTATCCAATCTCAGACAATTCGGAAATTCAAATCCGAGATCAGAGGTCCAATTTCAGACAGCTCGGGCAGCTGCAGATCAATACTATTAATGACGCATACAAGTTCCAAGGCATTCCATATGTAATCAGACGTCGATATGCAAAGGGCGGTTAGAAACCACATATGCAAGGAATCTGCAAGGCATCCTGTTCCTGCATTTCCAAGTAACTTCAGCATACGCATTACCGTGTGACAGTACACACCACTGCCCAGGCGGTAAACTTGGAACCATTAGTATATTTTCATGTCAAATAATGATTTAATATTCAGGCTCCTGTTATTATGAGGAGCAAAGTACAAGATAAAACTTGATAGGCCAGAATTAGCTGCTCATTATGCTTGGTCGGGTCGTTCATTCTCATACTCAAGTGCTACTTCGCAGGCTCAGTGATCCGATCATTCCGTGCTCAAATCTAGTACTATGTGAGTAAAACCTTGGAAGTGACAATAGGGTGAGCACTCATATGGGAAGGGAAACCAAAAATTGCGAGACGTATCATTTATTGACTAAGTAGTAGAATTACTAGTATGTGAATGGTGCTGGGGACTCTGATGTCCCTTTTTCCACTTCAAGTTTTTATTTCGGACTTTATCATAAGAACCACTTCAGTCAATAGCCTAGCTCTGTCTCGCTCTCTTGATATTTACTGGATATTTCTTGTGTTTTTTCAAGTTGTTATGAATTTCTCTTGAGCTTTGAATCTTCTCCCATATCATGATTCCTCGCATGTGCAGGCTGGAAAAATCTCCAGGTCTGGGGCTTATCCCAGTCCTGTCCATGCTGATTTTTTCTGTTCTTTATTTCTTTATTTAACTCCTCAACAGGAATCTCCTGAGGTTGTCTTGGTGCCGGATTAACTTGAATGTGAACTTGAACTACCCCAGTCTAATTCCAACTTTGAATATATCATGATCACTGCCGAGGTCTAGGTACATGGATAGGAGCTAGTACTAAGCACTGGTATATGTATCGAAGCCGTCAATTGATAGTACACATGCACATGTGTGTACATATAGTATGCACTATCCGATTGGGAATCTAGTGCCCGTGGATTCCAGTGCCTTTACTTCAAGTTGTGTCCTCATGTTGATCTTAACTATTAGCTTGAGGTACCAATGCTGTTCAGTTTCCAACCATTCTGAAGAAGTATGAACCAGTTGACACATGCACATGTGGGCATCCTCCAGAGCTCTCTGCCACTGCGGTGTGTAGTCCTGCCAGTGGGATGTAACTTGAAAATTGAATTTAGCGCCTCACTGCCAGTGGTCTCAACTAATTTCAAGAGATTGTTTGAAAAATTTATACTAGTTAGTTAGTCAGATAACAGTATCCATGATTTATTCTATTTGTTCTAGAAGGTAAATTAAACTGGACTCGGAGGAAGGCCTTCGCTATCTTATCAATGATCATGGCTATCCATGATTCAAGTACTAGCGGCACAGACTGGAAATCAGATTTATATCTGATAATTTGAAGAAAGAAGAGTACGGCAGGTTGACCGAAAGAATTGTTAATCAATTGATATCCATGGACTCTGAAGGTATACTAATATGACAGTTCAAATGTTCGCACAGGTAGTACATAGTAGTATTTACTGGTAGGGAAGGCGTAGTGTGTACTAATAGTACCTATAGATACTCCTAGAATGCCAATTTAGAGCCAGAAATTGACTAGGCCATTCTCTATGAGGCTATTCGATTCAAAATAGGTCGAATCAAACTTGAAGTTTACGTGCCGTTGTGCGTACACGTTCAGCTCATCTGTGCATGATGCGGCCCGAGCCGTCGAGCCTCAACTGCATCGCACTCGAACTTGAAATTTTCCAACGTAGCCGATTACCCCACTTCAACCTCCTAACCCCAACCAGCAGCCATTATAACGCTAAGTGACGGTCGCAATGGCCCCAGTCAATTTGTCCCACCGGCGGACACACAATCTACTCTTGATCTCGAAACTCCTGAGTCTGCGGGATACAGCCTCGCCTCTCGCGCTGCTTTTAGACTCGTTGGAGCAGCCTGCATCACCCCTCATCCAAGAGTATATCAGACGTGCCAAGGTTGGTTTTTATCTGACTAGTTTGGTACACAAAAGCATTTTCTGATTTTCCAACAGCTATCTAAGGTGCACGTCACCCTAATCGCATTTGAGACGTTAAAATGCCCTGAAGGATGCGATGCATTTGTATCAACTCGTCGCAAGAGCCCAGCCGATATCATTAAAGAAGTAGCTGCGGCATATCAGCCGAGTCCGTCAACGAGCCCATTTCAAAGTGAGTACTTGATTGCCTTTTTTAACAACAACCCGCATTGCGACGTGCAAGAAAGCTGATCAGTCATACAGGGCGTCTCATTATAATCGATGCCATCAACCCACTTTTGAGCTCAAGGGGCTCGGACCCAAGTTTCCATCTACCTTCTTTTCTCGGTGCTTTTATCACACCGACAAATCCAGCAGCGCCGAAGTCAGATGCATCCCTGGTGGTGACATATCACCAAGATGTCCCGGGGATTCCACCACAGAATCCCTACCTTCCATCAACTTTCTCCATTCTTACATATCTTGCCACCAGCATTATCACTCTCCATTCATTCTCCCATATTTTGGCGCAGAAGGCCGCTCGGGACCGCAGCCTGGTACCTCCCGTCTTTGGTCTTGAAGAAGAGCAAGATGGCGTTCTTCTTGGCCGACTCGATAAACTGGGTGGCACCGGGGCTACTGAGGGAATTGTCCTTGAACTAGAGCACCGTCGAAAGAGCGGCAGAGGTGTTCTGGAATGGTACCTCCTTCCCCCGGCATCCCGGTACCCTGCAACCCAAGTCAAAGAGATTGTGACCCTTCTTGATGACAACATCCTATACAATCCACCTGTGGAGAGCTATGGGGATGACGATGAAGAACCTCAATCCACATTCGAGCTTGGTCTCACTGATAGACAGAGACGCGACCGAGAGGGTGTTGTTCTGCCATACTTCGATGCGCAGCATGGAGATGGCCCTGGCGAAGGAGGTCGGATTCTCTACGACATGGGCGAGGAAGATGACTTTGATGAAGAGGAAGATGAAATCTAGAATCCATATGAGGCACTACGAGGTTCTCAAAACTGCTCTGCAGTTTCTATGTTTTTCTGCATTGTAGTTGGGGGTGGGTTGGATCCTGCAACCACCGGGGAGGTATTAACTAAGCATACATTCATACAAGGGGGTGTCGATACACAGGGTCACCAATGATCAGAAGGCGAGATCAGAAGAAGCGCCAGAACAGCAAGATGAAGATCAAAAGCCCAACTCCGACAAAGGGACCATACTGCCAATGATGTCAGTCTTTGATTTCAGATACTTGGGGTATGGTCGTCTTACCTGCTTCACCAACAATTCCCAGTTGATGCGTACGGCCGCCTTTCGGTACTTCTTGCTGTCTTCTCGCAAACGGCCAGACAATTCACCCATCCGCTCTAAGCTATCTCCGCGGTAGAGGAGATCCTCGATATTCTTGGTCATGACCTGAGTGACATCACGGAGTTCATCATTCAGCTTATCAAGGTTCCCAGAGGCACGGCTATCTTGGTACAGCTTCTTGGTACGTTGAATGAAGGTGTCAAATTCAACAAATGCATAAGGGCGGAGGTTCGGGGACTGGTATTGTGAGGGAGAGTAGGTGGTAGTGAATTCGGAGGCCAGATCAGCAAGATAGGTGAATGCAAGCTTGCGGGGATACGAGCGATCACAGATGGTGAGGAAGCAAATATCATCCTTAATTAGATAGCTGCAACAATATTAGATATGTCTGGGCTTTTCATAGCGTGAGATTCCACCTACTGGAGGTTGTATTGGCCTGACTCAATGCTTGCCTGAGGTGCGGCATTGCGATTCAGCCGGCGGAAGATCATCTTAGCCTGACTCTTAATCTCAGAGAGCTCATTTTCGGCCTGCAAACAAACTGTTAGCTCTTTGCCAGTCCTGCCCTAATAGCACCGGTTGGATGAGCTTTCAGCAGCGCCCATTCACTGCTACTCTCATTCACTTACCTGCTCATCGTCGACCGAGGCGGCCAGCATTAAACCTGCTCGTCAGTCAGTTGAATATTTCTTCCTTCCTTGATATTATAATCCTCTTCATACCATCAATTCGAGAGATTTGTGTTGACTTGACCATCTTGACGGTGGTTGATTTGGATCTTTGTTTATTCAAGAATTCCAACTTCAATCCAACTGCAATCACTCAACCGGCCAGAATGGCCCGCCGCAAAGCGGTGACCGGAGGCAGAAAGCCACGCTCGGGGTAAGCTTGTGTCGATCCCTCTCCGCTTCCGCTACTCTTTGTTACTGGACCCGTTGACTGATTACTTCCAATCATGAAATAGTCCATTGGCCTCCAAATCTGCTCATGCGGTAGAAAAGAACTATATGGGAATGTCAACCCCTGGATCGCCGGTGGCTGTCAGCCCCACCAAAAAAAACACCCCGCAAAGCTGCGTCCCGGGGAAAGTGGAGCGAGGAAGAGCTGTTGACAAACGATAAATCGGCGCTGGTGAATGCAGACTTGGTGGTAAGCACCTTTTTGGACCTGACCCCCATCATCTGAACCCTACTTCCCGAAAACGAAGAATACTAAATGAACGAAGAATACTAAATGAACTTCTAGAAACTTTTGGCTAGTTCCGCAGCATGGAACTGCTTGGAGGAAGACGAGAAACGCCAGGTCCTGAATCTGCTCCCCGCTGATACCCACCCAAACCCCGATCCCCCAACAGATGATCCTAATGCGAAGATCCCACCCCTTCCTGATTCTTTCGTTCGCTATTCAAACAATTGGAGAGATGGTATCCGCCAGTTCCAGCTGGATCTGGAAAACGGTCGATACGACCCGCAGTGGTTGCGCCAGGCAGACGAAGCACGAAAGCAACGTGAAGATGGCGCATTTGATTCATTCAAAGAACGAGAGTACGAGCAGTTCTGGGGCCAGAAGCAAAAATCAACAAATATTACTACTGCTACGGGCGAGGCCGGAAAAATCAAGCTTGCGACTTTGATTGACGCAGGAGTATTCCATATTGGTGACATCTGGAGGTTCACTTACGTGTATGGCAGAGGCGCAGATCGAATCTATATTGATAAGGAAGCAAGGGTGCGTTATGCTCGTACGAGCTTCCCGAGCATACGATGAAACGGACTGACCCATTTTCCATCCAGATTCAAGAGATCCATGGCCCGAAGCTGACATTCGTGATGCCAGCTGGGGAACGTTCCTTCCTCCGGAGTTCCAGAACACATTCTCCCAAGCTCAAACTGGAGGATCAAGAAAGCCAGCCGGTGAAACCCGAAGAAAATACAAGCACAGACGTCAAAGAAATGGCGACGGATGCATCGGCCAACTCATTTCACCAGCAGCAAGAAATCCTGGACTTGGCTGATGTCGGCAAGGAAGAGCCAGATGGTGACACAAGTATCAGCATTGATCTTCTGGTTGATGTCGCCGAGGAGCCAAGTGTGGATTTTGACAAAGTTCCAGCCGATGAATCTAGCCCCTCACGAAGCTTCCAAGATGAATCTATGCTCGCAATGATAACCTCAAGCCCACTCTCCAGCCCACTCTCCAGTCCGCCACCATCTAGCCCACTTGACTGGTCTCCTGAAGCAGAAATGATAGATGAAGAAATGATCTCATCAGTACGAGTTGTGATTCGAAGCCCTGAGAAACTACCAAGCCCCGGTATCAAGCGCCCGATTCCGCAACCTGCAGAGGAGTCTCAGCCAAAGCGGAAAAGAGGTCGACCACGCAAGATCCAAGATGACCCTTCACCTGAGACTAATGCAATTGAAGAGCAACAGCTCAATATCGAGCCTGAAGCTGAGGTATTTCCTGTATCTTCTTCAAATGTACAGGTTGTGCTTCAGTCAATGTCGGGGCTAGAACCCAAGTCAGAGCAACCAGCCCTAAATGAGCCCGTGGACCCTGTTCAAGCCACCACTTCATCGAACGCTACAGAAGATGCACTACAATCCATCAAATCATCGCCCATTGCCGAAATTCCCAGTCCTACAAGCATGCCTACGGATGTTGATATTGATACTGCCCCAGCCACACAGCCAGATGAAGTACATACCTCAAACAATCTGCAGCATGATTCTCATCCTGAACCTGAAATTACTGGATCACCCACCCCATCTGATCCTGCCGCCGAAACATCGAACGATGGGTATGAGGAGGTTATCATTCATGATATTGTTACACCCAGGATGCTAGTGCACTCAATGTTGGGTGTTGACGGACGCCGTAAAGATGGTCGCACATCTAATGCGTGGAAGGAAGTTCGGTGCTACCGCAATAACCAAGATATGGGCTCACTGTGGGATGTACGCCAGGCTTGGTTTTTCAAGCAAACTTAGTCACAGCTTGCAAGGTGACTAACATGAAGTTACGGTTCTTCCCTTCATTCTGTTCTGCCTTAGTCTTCGTTTCTCTCGGCGTGGAGTTTGCGTGAAAATCATTTTTTTTTCTATTGATGTACAATATCATGAGCTTCTGCGGGCTATATCATAGTCGTGGCTATCGTGCCTTGTTTTTATTTTGGGATTCTTCAAATGTTGTCGCTTTGTACGTAGTGTGGTTGACCCACCTACCAGAATCCAATACAAGTGAGCTGAAAATGAATTTAATTCCACGATTTCCAACTTGAAGTTTAGTGTAACTGTAAATTTGATATTATTCGGGAAATCCGGGGTGTATAGGGTATTCTATGGCAGTGCCAGTGGGATATATCAAATCATTCCACCAACATGCGGCAAGGGGTCCGAATCTGCCGCAACATCAACAGCAAAACTAGCCTGGATAAAATCTTCCAGCTCCTCGCTGACCGTTTTTAATTTCTCCTTGACACTAGCAACACCTTCTTGTCCTACGATATGCCGCGAGGGTGGGTTCTCATGTCCACCGATAGATGTAATGGCGTATACAGTCTCTGATACCAAAACTTCGAGATGTGCAGAGCTGAGTGGGGGATGCATGGAGACAACCTTAGGAGCGGAGAATGGACCGTCCTCCATTGAACTGACTCTGGCATTTTCTGGGTCATTGTCGTGATCATTTTGTCGAGCTGCAGCTGCAGTCGCTGGGGATTTGACCCCTTCAGATTGAGCATCCGGCAATCTGGGGATGAGATGGTTGAGTATACCACGGAATAATGGTGCGCTATTTTGCGAAGGGCCATAGGCAGGGGAGATGGGTGGGACGCTGGTCACCAGATTTGTGAGGATGCCGATCTCGATACTGCATTGGAAGATAGTGAGTTTGATGTTGAAGGGCGCAACCTCGAATGCCAGGCTCTAGTATGATAATTAGTTAACAGGCGTGTACTGAATATCTGAAGTATACTTACGTCGCAAAATCCTTCAAGCGCCCAGCCTGCTGCGCAATACATCCCTAGGCCTGGCGTGCCAATATGGGCGGCTTTTTACCGTTAGATAGGTACCCTGCACTCTTATGCATATGTAATACTCACTGATACCTGATAATATCATTATATGGCCGCTGTGCTCTCTTCTCATATATGGTAATGCGGCTTTGATTATATTAAGTGGGCCGAAGTAGTTGATTTCGAATTGGTCGTGTACGAGGTTCAAGGTTTGTGGGGAGGCCGATAGCTCTTCAACAGTGCCAATTAGAGCTATAACAGTTTTAGCATCCTGAGAACCTATAGTCAATAGCTTTTCCTAGTATTTACCTTGACTAGTGCAGCATAGAAGGATATCGATTTGACCAAATATTGTCGCTGCCTCTGCGACGACAGCTTGGCATTCTCCCATCATTCTATGAATAGCAAGGGTATTAGTATCTCTTCAGAGAATACTCTGGCGCAATTGCGCATACCGAATATCCAGAGGCACTGCTTTCATCCGATGCTTCCATCCCTCGTCATTATGCTCCTCCACTTCAGCCAAGAATGCCTCAAATCCATCTTGACGACGCTTGTCTCGTTCCAGAGTCGAATATGCCAACCCTAGTAGCACATAATCCCCGTGCGCCAGAACCTGCCGTGCGACTGAGATGCCAATTGGCGAATCCCCCGCAGTGATCAGCCATACTCTTGGTTCGTTGTGCGACGGGAATTGCTGCGAGCGAAAATCGGGAGACGGATGGTTGTCCATTTGGGATCAGCGCCAATATTGAATTGCGATACCCATTGCGCGACAGCGATATATGGAGGGGGGTATGGGTTGGGCAGCAGAATTGCGGAGGAAACGCGGAGTTAAAGAGTTTAGTGCTCAAAGAGTTGGAGTCGGCGAGGAACCCGAGTGCCAAGCCCCCGCGTTCACTTTCCCTAGCTTTCAAAGACGTGATCGCTCAGCCCTCCATTTCGGCCGCGTTGGCCTCTTCTTCTTTCTTTACCATATTTTTGATCCCCCTCATCACATCATGCCTGAACAGGGGCAACGCAGAGATGAGTCAGGGTCTGGCGTATGTTGTCACCATTGATAATCATTGGAGTTCCCGAAGCTTTGCGGTTTATTGACGATCATCTTATCTAGTCTGGCTTGAAGGGTGCCCTCCAGGGTCTGGGCATCTTTCTTTTCGCGCAGTTCGTCATCGGACAATTCTTCGGCAATAAGCAGAACAATGCAGTACCTAGCGCCGGTGGCGGTAACATGGCCTTTGAGAATCGCCCACACCCTAGCGAAATCGCCGAGCCTAGCATTCTCCCGGATCTCATTGCTCCTATTTGGGCTCCTGATACCGGTCTTGATATCAACATTTATGTAACGCCATCCCTCGCGCTGCCTTCCCTTAAGGCTCCGGATACCATCCTGGTACTCCAGGAGAAGAACTTCACGCTCGGAAACTACAGCGATACCCGCGAAATCGATACTACCATCAAGGTCCCGAGACAGGTGCAGCATAACGGTACTCTCTGGGCTCACTTCTTGGTCGCTCGAACTGGTCATGAACTCGACCCCGCTGCCAAGGGTTACAGTACTGACCATGCCGTGCACTTCCAGCGCCCCCTGAACCAGTACCTCGCCAAGAAGAAGACCAAGAAGTTGAAGAACCTCCTTACCAGCGAGGGAGAGGAAGAGGAAGTAGAGGACCATACCCCAGATGTGTCAATTGCCTCTTACTACCATCCCAACTTCACTGTTTCGTTGATTCCTGACTCTGGACCCCAAAAGCTTGGACAGATGCACCCCGCGGTCCGCCAGTATGTGCAATTGGAGCGCACTGGTGCCCGTGACATTAGTGGCAAGAATGGATGGTACTACCCTATTGTGTTCTTGAACACTTTCTGGCAGTTGCGCACCCATATGTCCGAGTTGAACTCGACTGTTGAGAGTGTACCCCTGCATATTACTCTCAACAACATGGCCAACTGGAAGTTCAGTATCATTACTAGCGTTGATGAGGGCTCCAAGAATAGTGCTCGCCAGGCTGCCTACGGCGGTCCTGTACCTGGTGGTGGTGATGGTACGGAATGGGAAATGGTCAAGGAGATCCTTCTTAACACCAACATTTGGCTCCTTGGAACTACCGGTATCGTCACTATTCTGCACATGATCTTCGAGACCCTGGCCTTCAAGAGTGATATCGTAAGTCATTCCCCGTGCTCAGATCTGTATTCTTGGAATTTTACATTACATATACTAACTTCAACTCATTCAGTCCCACTGGCGTAACAAGAAGGATACCGTCGGTACCTCCGTTCGAACCATCTTGGCAAACGTTTTCATGCAGGCTGTGATCTTCCTCTATCTGATGGACAACAGCGACAATACCTCTTGGATGATTCTAGGAAGTCAAGGATTCGGAATCCTTCTGGAGGCCTGGAAGATCACCAAGACCGTTGACGTTCGTCTGCGTCCCCCACCAGCCAATTCCTTCTTCTCGTTCTTGCCATTTGTCATTGTCTTCGAGGACAAGCACAAGCTCAGCGAGACCGAGGAACGAACCAAGGAGTACGACCAGATCGCTTTCCGCTACTTGTACATCGTTGCAGTGCCTCTTCTTCTCGCATACGCTGGTTACAGCCTGGTCTACAACACCCACAAGTCTTGGTACTCTTACATCATTGAGACTCTCGTCGGTAGTGTCTACGCCTATGGCTTCTTGATGATGGTTCCTAGCTTGTACATCAACTACCGCTTGAAGGTAAGCTAATCCAGACACCCCTCCCCTAACGCATTCAAGCCAAGTAGCACATCAACTAACATTGTTAACTCAGTCTGTCGCCCATATGCCCGGCAAGGCTATGGCCTACAAGTTCCTCAACACCTTCATCGACGATCTCTTCGCGTTCACTGTCAAGATGCCTTGGTTGCACCGCTTGGCTACCCTCCGTGACGATGTCATCTTCTTTATCTGGCTTTACCAGAGCTACAAGTACAAGACTGACTTCAAGCGTGTCAATGAGTTTGGACAGGGTGGTGACAGCGACGAAGAGGAGGAGTCAACTTCGGCCACCGAGAAGACTGAGAAGATTGAGAAAACTGAGAAGACTGAGAAGCAGGAGGTTGTTTCCCAGACCTCTTCCAAGGTGGAATCCAAGTCCTCCAAGTCTTCCACTCGTAAGCGGAAATGAGCGATAATTTGAGTATTGATCTCGTGGCCCCAGAATTTGTATGTCCTTATTATGATCTCTCGGTGTTATGGGCTCCGTTCCCAAGACTCATAAATAGTTGATCGCCTTGCCGGTGTCGTAATGTTGGAAGAAGCCACCGGCAAGTGATGTTTGATTTTTTGAAATTAGCATTAGTACGTTAGACTTTCAATGAAATAATACTAGTACTAGTACTACGATTCCAAGGTTTTGACGAAGTTGAACAAAGTTCAAACTTGAATCTTATTGTAGGATGTAGGATGTACTAGTATATCGGATGAATAGTAGTATATTAGTAGATGTGCTCAGCCTGTGCCGGTACTAGTGATTAATGAAATTCTCCGAGTCACCAAGTAAACCTTGAAAATTGCAGCTTCTTTACCATTATATTATTCTAGCGCCGCTGGCAGTAGTCTACTATAATTACTACCTTTTTGTCAAGACTGATTGATCCCTAGAGAGAATAAATTGAATTTGCGGATTTTGGTCTGTTGTTGTTAGTTACCCGATTGGGTTTAAGCGCGGCTCCGCTTCGCGCCCACGTTCTTTCTATGCTACAATGATCCAGTCCCTACTATTTGGTCCATTTGGTAACATCTCACTTCATTAAGTTGTTATTCTCTTGCATAAACCTGGTCCTGTCACTCATTGCTCTCTGACCTCGACTACCAAGGGTTGAGCTTTGCCGTGTAGTGCGCGGTACCTAACGCGCCAAGACCAATCCTGGAGGTGCATAGGGATTATTGAATTGCGGTGATAAAGAGCAACCTTTACAAAGCGATAGCTGACGGGACTATGTCTTCAATGGATATTGAATCTGGTATTTTCAACTCCCCAAAGACCGGGCAAGGCAAGATCAACTGATTAAATTCCACAGAAAGCAATGAACGAGGAAGCTTGGTTGACGCTATCGAGCATCTGGAGGCCGGTAAGAGAGTCAATAATTACGAATATTTCCCAAGTGACGAGTAGCCGGATTAATGTTTCTGCAGTTGCTTTTGTGCCAGTGAAGAAAAGATACACTGATGCAGCTCAATTGGTCAAAACAATCGCCTCGGACGCGTACGAGAATGGCATTCCACAGGATGCTCTGGGTCGGTTGCTGAAGATTCTAACTAAAAGAAACAACCTGGATCAAGGAACTATTACCACCTTGATCAATAATCTATACCCACAGGAGAGATTCCTTTCAAAACATGTCACTCAGGTCGTTTGCTGTCTGGGACCGAGCAAGTCCAAGCCAACACCGGCAACACAGGCCTTACTCGTCCGCTGGCTGATCTTGACGTATGAGATCTTTGAAGACCGAAGCCACCTCGGAAAACTATACGCGGTGCTTTTTAATCATCTTGATATGATTAGCTTGCGCAAACCTCTCTGTCATCTTCTATCCTTGGTGACTAGACGTAAACACGTTAAGCCATTTCGAATACAGGCTTTGATGGAACTAATCCAAAATTCCGGCGGTGATGAGAAAGACCTTGTGATTTTATTGAAGATGTTCAAGAATTACTACCCGGAAATCATTATTGAAGATGTGGGTGGGTCAAGGCGAGCTGCCTTGTTTTTCAAACACCCGGACACTGAATGGGCCAGCCATGTGAAGGCATTGCAGGTTGCGAACCTGGAAAGGACAGCGGCATTGAGGGGCTCGTCAGGCTTCCAAATTGCACACCGAGGTGCAACAAAGAGAAGCAAGATCGAGGTCGTCATTCCTGTTTTACAAACATCGCGCGTGTCGAATAAACATACATCTCTTGAGGAACTCCGGGATATCGATCACTTTGTTGACAAGATCGATATGATCGAACTACCCAATCAGATAATCTCGGCGCTTGGTGACGGCATGGCCCAGAAATATCTTTATTTGGTTCAATCAGAAGTTGCTGATCATCGACTAAATGAGTGGTTGAGAAATTTCCTTCAAGACAAGCTGGAGCAAATACAGGCAGAGGATAGCGACGATTCAGATGTTTTGTCTTATGTTTTAGGCTTTGTTGAGGGATACGCTGCATACACCAAAGTGAGGACCCTGATCAATTGGAGACGAGCAATGCTAATGAGACTATAGCAACTTCTTCCTTCTGTTCGATCATTTCTGGAATCATATCTCGAATCTTGGAACGGTCAGGATGATCGTGCACAAGTACTTGGGCTGCTGCGATTCCTGCCAGTCGAGCCCTGGGAATCACTCCACGCCGGGATTTTCTCTCCATTGGAGTCTAGATTATTGGATGGCTCTCTCGCTTCAAGGATAGACTTACTTGACTTTTACTCAGCATTGATTGGCGAATGGGGAGTTAAGCTCCGAACTCAGCCATCTGTGCCTGAAGAATCAGCCTCTTTGACTGCATTGATCAGACATGCTGAGCTTTTGGCATTTTCGATTCAAGAGTTCATTCCTATGCCCGATGATAAGCCAGCAGTGTTCAAACCAGCCAGTCTATCCGTGCTACGGCTCTACAAATGTCTTGCGATACTTTTTTCTCATGCATCTGAGAATGCCCAAATCCGAATCTCAGTTCCCTCCGCTCCATTAGTGTACGCGATTGCCTTCACGCCTACTATCTCCACAATTTCTACTCTGGGGTCCGTTTTGGCAGGCTATAAGGCAGCCTTGGAAGCATCTCTCTCATCTCAAAATCTGAAGGATATCCACGCTCCTGAGTCTGTGTACAATGCCAATGCTGTGGGCGAGTTCAACGGCTACGTCATGGACATGTGCAATCTAGTCTGGCGAAATCGTGCATTGAATACGGATGATCCCAATGCTCGAGCTTGTCTCTTGGCGTTATCTGATATTTCAGCCCTGACCAAGTATGTTCGTGATGTCAACGAAGCAGCGAGACACTATGATCGGGAAAGCGCCTTTCATTGCACCCTTCCCAACATCTTCTCTCTCAGTCATCATGCAGCCTACTGCAATCTATCGGCGGCTTGTTTTGCAGAGTTGGAAGGAGGCCAGCAAACTGCAGGAGAACAACGGGCGAAGCTGCGAAAACCGGTCACGCCAAAGTCTTTGCAAGCTCTTGAGAAGGAAGGGGGTTTCAAGATTACCTGGCAAGAGTATCGAATTCATATGCTAGAATGGCTAGATGGTATCGGTAGTCGGGGAACGAGTGAGCTAATGAGAAGCACTATGAAAGCTTTGAAGAAAGACTGATTGCTACCAATAAATGCTGCCAGTGTCAAGATGTTACTGTCAACTTGAACTACGTGACTTGATCTTTTCCTATGCCCCCTAAGCTTCCTTGCGTAGAAATAATGACGCCTGCTAGTCATCATGCTTCAAATGGGGATATTCTATGTGTATATCATACATCTATCTCGTATTGTACATTGGCTTGAGTCCGAGTCCATAGCCAGAAGGTGTTTTTGTATAGCAGCACTCTGTACCTTTGCTCTTCAACTCAGAAGAAATACAGGGAAGATGTGTTTATAGCTTCTCCGTTGTATTGAGGTAAATGTCCTGCACCCCCGGCTCATCGCGCAGAGCACTGAGGATGTTGTCAACTGACTTGACATGTTCCTCATCCTGCACCTCAACCAGAGTATCAGGGTTGGGATCCCAAAAGATCTCCAGCTCCTCAATTGTCAGACCTGCTGATTTCGAGAATGCTTCGCCAACTTTTTTGGTTTCCGATGGATCTGTAAACACAACCAAGCGTCCATTTTCATCTGTAATGATATCGGTTGCGCCGGCCTCGATGGCATGATCCAAGTAGTCGTCCGCGTTTACACCATCCTTCTTTTCCATTGCCACTCTGCCTTTTTTCTCGAATAAAAATGTCGTTGGTGTCATAGTTCCGCCGTATGTCTTAATTGCATGTCGGACATCTTGTAGAACTCGCAGTTTTTGGTCAGTCTGACACTCAATGACTGCTGCCACCGAGCCGGGAAGCATCGCCTCAAGTGTCAAAGCCTCCAATGCTTGTCCCGTCACACTGAGTCCTTGCCCCCTTGCAATTGCGGCGTCAATGACGATTTTTGGAATGGAGGCACGCTTCGCATTTGATAGCGCGAGGGTTAAACGAGGATTGTATTTCGGATCAGGGCCCCATACTGTTTGCAAATAGAAGGATTAGTAAGTTCTCCCAAATAGCTGGAATAGACGTGAAAGACAAACATTGTGTAGCACTGCTAATTTCCTTGCTCACCATCTGGCGCTCCTTGCTCTTGGCTTTGTCATTTTTGGCCTTGTCATGCCTAATTGTCGCCCACTTGCTGTGTCCAGAGAGCAAAGCTGGCGCTGAGCTGAAACTGCGACAAGAATTGTAGACTGGGGCGCTGTAATGTTTTTGCAACAGCCTGCTGTACTGGTATGCCATCTCTGTAACCCACCCGGCCCTTTCACTTGCTGTGTCTTCTATTCAATTGAATCTTTATCTGGAGATGATGCGATTGAAACCCATACATTCCATATCGGGCCGAAGTTTCTCCGACCTCCGCGGGCATCAACGATAAGGAGACACGATGATGCACATTGTCCCTCCTATTTAGCTACATTCCTTTTTAATGGGGATTTCTAGATCCTTGAACTAATACCCTCAATGTCGTCCTCCGAACCCTCCCTCAAATCTATAAAACCAGAAAATGCGGCCCCAGAACTGGATGTCACCAAGCTACATGCCCTCCCCTCCGAACAACAGGACCTCTACCTGCTCACCTTCACCTCTGATCTGGTGCAGTTTATATGTGGTCTCGAACCCGCACAGATCTCAGCACAACAAAAATCCTTGAAAAAGGAATTGTTCAAGATCTTGACCCTCACCTCCCCGACCATCACGCGAGTCCTCCGCAACAATATAGGCCGATGTTTTGGAACTATTCTTGGCAAAGGGGATCGCGGGATCCTCTTCGAGACGATTACCGACCTACTTGCCATACTGAATGCTAGTAAAAGTGAAGCAGATGTGAAGACCAAGTTCGCAGCGGTGCATTGTCTGGGTGAGGTGTTCGCCACAGCGGGCGAAAGTGCATTCATGCAATCCAACATCGCAACAAGTGGTACGATAAAGCTCCTCAAGTCAGCTAGTAACCACACTGGATTGCATGGTGTTATCTTCTCGGTTCTCCGCAAGATTGTGGTGGGCATTGGTGTCCCCATTGACGAGGCAACTGCCCGTGATATCTGGAAGCAGGCGCGCAATGCGGCGACTGGTGATAAGTCAACCTTTGTGCAGATACATGCGTGTCGCTGCTTGGAGCAATTGATCAACACCACACCCTTCTTTGATAATGCGAATGATTTCGAGGTTCTTAAGACCATCGTGTGGAAGATTATCGATAGCCCCACCCCACCAGTCCGACATGCAGCAGCAGCTTGTCTGGGGCGGGCTTTGATTAAGCTACATGTTACGGATACTCATGTCATTGCAGCGCCAAAGCCTAAGTCAAAGAAAGCTAAGAGATTGTCAAAGATGCCTGGTGCTAGGCCTGGAGAGGAGGAGGAGGCGGAAATGTCTGAGTCTTCTATTGCACCAAAGAAGACTGAGTCTCGTCTATTCTTTCTCCTTCCAGATCTCCTGCGGCAGTTGTCCTCGCAATATTTAAAGAGCACGACTTCTAATCGCGCCCGCGCTGGTATCTGTATCTGCTACAAGTACATTCTGCGCAATCTGGGTGACAAAATTGTCGAGGACCGATATGGGCAGATTGCTACAAATTTGCTCATTGAACTGTTGAATCACCCCACAGTAACATACAATCGATTCCGTCTGCTCATGACTAGAAGATTTGTGAAGACCATTCTTGAAGACACTATCGGTCGTGAAATGCTCCAGGAGAGTAGCCAACTGAATGCTGCCAAATGGATCATAAACGAGATCTTGAAAGACTACCCACAAGTCATTCAAGAGCGTCGTGAGCCCAGCAAATACACTTTGACAAGTGCCGTTAGCACCTTGTCGTCTTTGATCTCATCACTCGGGTCCGCATTTGGTGTCCATGCTGATGCATGCCGGGATGCTTTGCTTCAAGTTTTGCCGCATCCTAGCTATACCGTCCAGATCCATACAGCACATTGCTTGCGCAGCTTTGTCTTGGCCTGTCCTCATCACTTAATTTCTTGTGTCACAATTTGCATGAACAGCCTCAACCGAGAAATTGGACATCTTGCAACGCCGCGACAATCACCCCGTCGATGTGTAGGATACGCGAATGGCCTCTCAGCAATGCTGAGCACATCTCGTCTCCAGCCACTTTATGGTGCTGTGGATGTTTTTGCGCGGGTTTTCTCCCAGGCCACAGATCTTCTCAAGACTAGCGGCACGTCGGAGCTTCGTGTTGCAAGCACCCAAATTCAAGTTGCATGGATCTTGATTGGTGGTTTGATGCCCCTCGGACCCAGTTTTGTCAAGATTCATCTTTCCCAACTGATGCTGCTATGGAAGAATGCTTTGCCAAAACATCTGAGCAAGGAGAACTCCGCTCAGCCCAGTACTCTAGAAACCAGTTTCCTCGCCCATGTTCGGGAGTGTGCCCTCAGTGCCCTTCTTGTTTTCATGGAGTTCAATAGTAAGCTCATTACTGCAGATGGAGCCAAGAGGATTGCTAGCATGCTGCAGAACACAGTTGAGTTCCTGGATGACCTGCCGCGCCCCAAGTCTATGGAAGATATCTCCCAGCGGCTTCACCCTTCTCTTAAATTGCACGACTTTACCACAATGGTCCGTCGTCGAGTCTTACAGTGCTTCTCAAAACTGGTCCATGTTCACCATCCCAGCCATGGCGATATTATTTCTCAGTCCAGTCTACTCAGCCTTGCTATCTCTTCCTTCGCGGATCCCGATGCGCAGTATAGGCCGCTGGAAAGCTCAATCGCAGCTTCAACAGGGCAATTTGATGGACTGTGGGATTTATGCGACAATTACGGCTTTGGCGTTACTGGACTTGCACGCGAGTATATCCACGCTGCCTTGTCCGGGACCCATGGAACTGACAGCACCCCTGCTTGGTCATCTATTGAGTCAGCAGACGAGGCCGTCGATAATGCTTTGACATTTCCTGTTTGCCAAGCTAGTGAGTATGACTCGGTGCTTCTTTACAACCTGCGAGATGGCGATTCTCTCTGTGTTGACCCACCAACTACTGGTGTAGTCAACTCTGCAATTGACCTTTTCTCGGTCGCTATTGCTCTTCACTCTCCTAAGATCCAAGAGAGCAGCGTGGAGCAGATCGCTACGTTTTTGTCATCACCCGGTCTTCAAAGGAATCCAGGAAGAAAAGCAGCGCTAGCTGTCAATATTTCCGTTGCTCTCTTGCATGCCTTGAAAGTAGCCGTCAAGGAGACTGACTTTGTGGCTGGGAAATTGAGTACATCAACGGACAAGATCTTGCAAGAACTGGTCCAAAAGTTCACTATCGACACTGATCCCATTGTACGGACAATCGGTGTGGAAGCTTTGGGACGTCTCTGTGATAGCGCAGGAAATGCTTGCACTAATACACAGGTTAACTGGCTTGTTGACACCATTGTCGCAAACAGAGAGCCCAATGCTCGGGCTGGTTGCGCTGCTGCTCTTGGTTGCATCCACGCCCAAGTTGGTGGTATGGCAGCTGGTCTGCATCTCAAGACTATCGTCGGGGTGCTCTTGTCTCTTTGCAATGACCCTCACCCAGTCGTCCACTTCTGGGCTCTTGGTGGACTTGAACGAGTGGCTAATTCTGCTGGCTTGACATTCTCACCATTTGCCTCCAGCTCATTAGGCATGCTGGCTCAGTTGTACAATGCCGACACGCATAATGAAGAATGCGCATCATTAGCGACATCAAATATCGAGATGTCGTTCTTGACCCCGGTGGTCATCAGTCGATGTGTTGATTCCCTCATCAACGTTCTTGGACCAGACTTGCAAGACATTGCAAAGACCCGTAACCTCATTCTGACCCTTCTCCGTCAATTCCAGCTAGAGGACAACCCAGCCCTGGTAACTGAGAGCTCTAAGTGCTTGGATCACTTTTCTCTCTATGCCTCCAGCTACGTGGACTTCCCTGGGTACGTTAAACGCTTGCAAAAGGAGTTGCGGGCAAACCATCAATTCATGCGAAATGTGGCTGTCCGTGGTCTCAGCAATCTAATGAAGCGTGATGCCCCATCCGTTGTCCAGACTGCAAACGAGGCCCTCGAGGACGATATATGGCTTGCATTTGATGATGCCCCCGACAATATTCCACTCAAAACCATGATTCAAGAATGGCTTCAACAGACGGCTCTCACCGAAACTGAAATTTGGATTCAACGCTGCCAGAACATCATGACCAAGACCCGCAACAAGGTAGAAATTCTACCTATGACAGCTATCCAGACTGCAGCGGCAGATATGCCCGATGACGAAGTTGCTGGGTTTGCTTCTGCGGTCGCTGGAGACGGACAGGGCGATGCTGCCAACGGGGCTATTACTGGCCAGGAGTTACTCAAGTGGCAGACCCGCAACTTCGCAATGGCATGCCTCTCTGAACTCCTGGCAACTGTTCAAGAAGCCATTCTTCCAGATCAAACCATTCCAGCAGAGCTGGCACTTCAGTCCAAGGTTGGAGACATCGTCAGAATGGCGTTCTCGGCGTCGACTGCCGGCGTAATTGAGCTTCGTGTTTGGGGGGTTGAAGATTATTGATCAAGTTTTGACCGTATGTTAGCTCATTAATTTTTCCGAATCATTGCTAACCCTCTACTAGATGTTTGGAAAGACTCCAGACCCGGACTTTGCCGAAGCATCTTTGCTGGAACAATACCAAGCTCAGATTGGATCCGCGCTCACTCCCGCATTTGCAGTAGACTCATCCCCTGAGCTCGCTTCAGAGGCAATCAATGTGTCAGCCACATTCATAGCCACGGGAATTGTGACCAATGTGGATCGCATGGGACGAATCCTCAAACTCTTAGTACTTGGTCTTGAGAACTTTGCCAGTATGCTCAACCCCCTCGATATTGTTGCAATGCAGCTTCTAATCAGTTTATGTAGAAAATCCTGAAACTACCGAGATCGGCGATCTCAAGGGCTTGAACTCCAATGCCCGGGTGATGGTTAAGCTGGCGCTGTTTTCAGCTTGGGCTCGACTTCAGATTGCCAGTATTGAGCAGGAATATCTGAACCAGGTTGTTCAACCCTATCTTGCTAAGCTCACACCCCTGTGGCTGTCCTCGCTGCAAGAATACGCTCGATTGCGTTTTGAGCCCGATATCTCCGGCGCGTTGGGTACGAGCACACAAAGTGATGATCTCGACGAGGTCTATGCAGCACTCAATCGTGAAACTTTGCTCAAGGTAAGCCAATTTCTCTAAAGCTCCGTACTGTTTGTACTATACTAAGCGATTCTATAGTTTTACCAAGACACTTGGCTCAATCTAGTCGACGCCATTGCTGGGCTGGTTGAGAAAGACATTGATTTTGTCTTCGATGCCTTGGATAGCAAGTTAGTTCAGCCAGAAGAGGCTGATAGCTCCGAAAATGCCAAGGAGAAGGAAACAGAAGGCACGGCTGATGATGAATCTAAAGGCAAGGGCCATGATATCAACTACCGCGAGGAGCCAGTTGCCTTCTTCTTCGTTCTATTCGGCCTTGCTTTCGAGTCTTTGGTTGATCAATCAACCTCGCCTTCTCAGAGGCTGGATATTCTCCAGGCACTCAAGAGGATCTTACGGCCCGTCATCTCTGGCAATGCCATCTACCAAGATGCTATTTTCTCGGAAACCATGGATACCTTTGATCGACTTGTTCTGACTGAAACTACGCCCATTCAAACTGTGATCGTTGGAATCGCACAGAATCTGTCTCTTGACCACCCAGCAGCACAAAGTGACCAGGAACGAAGTGATCATCTTTCGGATGACATCGAACAGCTATTCGAGCTGACCAGAAGTATCATTCTGGTTCTTGCAGGCATGCTCCCCAACCTTCGTGAATCTACGCCCCTGGCACGTTTCAACGTTTCCTCGGACGAGTCACTTGCGCTTATCCGCATGGCACTTAGCTCTCTGGTTGATGTAGCTTCTGTCTTTCCTTCCATCATTCGCAATGATCTCCATGCCTGTATCCTGCACATTTTTACTACCATACTTGCCACAGGAATCTGTCAGGCAGAGGTTGTCCCCCAGGCATTACCGATTTTCCGTCAATTCATTCACGGAATTACCCATTCTCCCGAGGTCCAGGAGGATGTGGACGTGGTGGCTTTCCAGATGCGAGGCTGCCTTACTCGTTTCCTGACTATTCTTACGATTGCCCAGCGTCGAGAATCAGAGACTTCCATGCCCTGCGCGAAGAATACGCTACTGGCAATTACTTTCCTGCTGACAGCCGGCGGACATGTTCTGCCCCCACAAGATCCGCTTATCAGCCGTGTTCTTAATGAGCTTCTCGATTGTCTCCAGGATGTTGGTCTCGCTACTGTTGCGGCAAGCTGCCTCCGTTCCATCGTTCTCAAGCCAAACCCCCGATACACAACGGACGATGTGATATCCCGGTATCTCATTCCACGTTTAATCGCTTTCATTGTCGGTTGTCCCTTGGATAATGGCGAAGTACCCAACGATCCAGAGAATTCGCGAACAGTCATTGCTCGCACACTTGTGTCCTGTGTGACCAGTGCGACATTCTCGCCAGATGAAGTCCCCACTGCCGTTTCTCTAGTCATGTCTGCATTGTTAGCTCGTGCAAGTCGTGAAGGCCAGCCTGTATATCAAGAATCTGCGGGTCATTTGCTAGAACTAGCCAAGGCCGACCAGCTCAGTTTCCGAACTTTGGTCACGACCATGAAGCCAGAGCAGAAGTCACTTCTGGAGGAAGTTCTTCGCAGTGCAGGTATAGGAGCCGGTGCTTCGAGGTCGGGTGAACAAAACGATAACACGCAACAAGCTGCGCCGACTATTGCTCTTCGCATGGATTTTTAGACGCTGGTTGCGTTTTTGATGTGAGATGTGATATGATATGAATGAAATAGTGCACCAATGTATAGAGTATGAAATGGATGCTTTTATTATCTTTCTATACCATGTCGGCCGCTTTTATATTCCAAATACCGTATTTGATGTGGACCTGGACCTCTTTACTACTTAATTTTGTTCCAATTCTACTCGGCGTCTGGCATAACATTTGAAAGATCGATGTTTTTCCAAGGTTTATCAATTCGCAAGTTCCACGCTGGAAACTACTATCTATGTAGTTCACTGGGATAGATTTGCCACAAAACATTTAGTACTGAGTCCTTCCGACGGATCTGGATCTCATTGGACCTCGGCTTGATCCGACTTCGTGGTCAACTTAATGAATTATATTGGTCATAAAGAAGAGACCCATGCTTATTTCCCCGCATGTAACCGGGAAATGGAAAGAGTTCCTAGTTTCTTTATTTTTAGATTATAATTTATGAGATAAAAGACCGTGTCTATCCTGAATCCTGATTACCTATCACTATCAGTATTCCGACGGATGTCACCCGATAGCGGATAAACACGGCGATAACGAGTGATACAGCTTAGAGCTTATCTGAGGCTTGCTCAATGCAAGTGATATAAGAGTTCCAAGGTGATCGCATAGAAGACATGGACTTACACTTATTTCTATTCTATAATTCAAGTTTGAAATTCATATCCTACTTTCAAGTTGAGCTCACACCGAGTTGACCCCATCAACATCAACCCCATATCATACTCCGATCTATAACGTTGCTTGAATCTACACACTATGCCTGGCAACTGGGATCAAGATGTCCTTCGCGCTCAGTTCTGTCACGCGCTCTCCAATGTGTACAAAAGCGAGGTTCCCTTGTATGGAGATCTCGTTGATCTTGTTTGGGAAGCAGACGCAAAGACTATCCAAGCCAGTCAGGGTCGAGAAGGGAAGCAGACTATTGATCCTGATGATATTCTGCCATCACGGCACCGAGTGGAAAGACATGGTGCTATTCGACTAGGAACCGCCCAAGAACTGAGCACAATCCGCCGCATGTTTGCTGTCATGGGAATGCACCCGGTAGGATATTACGATTTGAGCCTAGCCGGGTTCCCCATGCATGCTACAGCCTTTCGACCTAAGACCCGTGATGCTCTGACTCAACATCCTTTCCGAGTATTCACTACAGTTTTGAGAATGGATCTCTTGACTGGGCAAACGAGACAGCTGGCAAAGAAGGCTCTGGACCAAAGGAACATCTTCACTCCCAGACTTCTAGCTCTTTTGGATATCGTGGATACCAAGGGGTCATTATCTGCAGCTGAATGTGCTGAGTTTATCATCAATGGGCTTGAGACTTTTAGGTGGCATTCAAAAGCAACAGTAACTCTGGATGAATACAAGATACTCAAAGCGGAGCATCCACTTATCGCCGACATTGTCTCTTTTCCCAGTTCTCATATTAATCACTTGACGCCTCGCACCATCGATATTGATCTAGTTCAACAACTCATGGTAGACCATGGGATGCCTGCCAAAGAGCGAATAGAGGGCCCTCCAAAACGAGAATGTCCGATTCTTCTCAGACAGACCAGCTTCAAGGCTCTTGAAGAGACGGTTTATTTCCGAGATACATCCGACACTTATGTCAAAGGGTCCCATACTGCCAGATTTGGCGAAGTGGAACAACGAGGCTATGCCTTAACTCGGAAAGGAAGACAGCTCTACGATCAGATTCTGGATCGAGTCAATGCCGAGTCAGCAAAGAATAATATCAAACAAGCCGCCTATGAAGAACTTCTAGAAGATCACTTCAAGGCCTTTCCAGATACCATGTCTGCCTTGCGTGGTCTTGATCTAGCATACTTTTTCTATCAATTGACCCCAAAGGCTGAAGATCTGGTGAAGGAGAATCATGATACTTCCTTTGAGGATTGCTCGGCATCGGTTCAGGAGCTCTTGGAAAAAGGCCTATTGAACTACGAGCCTCTCACCTACGAGGATTTCCTACCATTGTCCGCGGGCGGTATTTTCAACTCAAATCTGGGCAATGTTTCGCAATCAAAACAGCTAATAATGAGTGCTGAACCTGATATTGATGGATTCCAACTCTGTCTTGGAGCTCCAGTTGCGGATGAATTCCATCTATACGAGGAAATGCAGCGGGAGTCATTGGAGAATTGCAGACAACGACTTGGCTTGAACAAACTCATCCTTTAGAAACAATCTTGGAGCTGTATTTTTGTTATTATATCATTCTAGCGTGTTTGATTCAATTTTCTGAGTCGTTTTACATCATATTCATTAAGCCATGATGACCTTTACTCATGACATGCAACATATTTTGAATCTATCATTTTATCCATAGTTTATCTTATTTGCAGATCAATAACTGTGACAATAAGACGACTTTCAATAAAATAATATGTCGTACATAAATTATGAACGACTATGTTCATAAGATCATCGAGAAAATCAATATGGTCAGTGGGTCTTCCCCAGATCCAGACTCAACCGCTACGCCACATTGATATTATACTAGGAACAATCTTCGGATGATTCCGACATAGCTTGATCATAATAATGTGAATTCCCCTCCTCTGCAAGGAACATGTCGCTACCACATTCAACAAGATCTCGGTACCATATAGATCCAAGCCTTCGTCCACTCTATCAGAGCGATCCAGCTCCTATATCGCCACTGCTGCATCGGCTACGGGGATCCCCAGTCTTCCGGGTTATCTCAAACCAGCCTTGATTTACGTTTCATTCAACCTCGGCCGACTAAACCATATACAAAAGGTAACCGGAAGCGCCCGACGTCGCGGCAAACCGAACCGTATACGGCATACTAAGATGACGGCACCACCCGTTCCGGCCGAAGTAACGCCGCACAGGAAAATGCAAAGAGGCTCAGCAAGATGTGGCTTAGAGATCTGGGACCCGATCTATGGAAGTATTATCCGTATCAGATCTGCTAGCCGTTTATCCATGAATGGTTCATATAAAAACAACATGGCGGATTATGAAAATCCAAGATGCTCATTCAAGTCTCATCGTTCGAGACTTCCAGTGGATGAAGTTAGGACTATATGGAGTCCTCTCAAGCTTCCCAAGTCGATGATATCACTTGGCATATCTATGTGGGAACTATCACTACTGTTGTGCCTGCAACTGTTGCGGTTCTTTTGAGATTCGCTGCACGCCGCGTTTCTAGAGCCGGGCTATGGTGGGATGATTATACCATTGCTATAGCTCTGGTGAGTCTTATTTCAATTAACATCCTATTATACTGATTCTTAGTATCTAGGTCATCAACTGGGTTATGGCAGCTCTGAGATGGGCACAGATTCTCCTTAATTATTATGGTCCCAATTGCAATGCTCTTTCACCAGGAAATGTCCAAGCATTTGGAAAGGTGCGTACCGTGACCCAGACTCACCTTGCTAGAGCATATAACTAATATTCCGCTAGACCTTTCTCGCCATTCAATTAGTATACTTCCTCAATGCCGTTTTCACGAAGGCATCGCTTCTCCTGCTATATTATCGCATCTTCGGCGTTGTTAGAGGATTTCGATGGGCTCTCTGGGTGTCTGGATTCCTAGTGGTCGCTTATTGGATTGCGTGCACTCTTGTTACTATTTTTGAGTGCTGGCCAATACCCAAACTCTGGAATCCCAATCTACCAGGGAAATGTATCAATATTGGAGCATTTGGACGCTGGAGTGGTCTCGCAAATGTTATCATCGATATCTTGATACTTTGTCTTCCTTATCCCATGGCTTGGCGATTACAGGTGACATTGAGACAAAAACTAATACTGACGGGTATTTTTCTTCTGGGAACATTGTGAGTTTACTTCCAGTCCTGACATTGATATCCTTCCGCATACTTATACTTAACAGTGTCTGTATTGTATCAGTTCTTCGAGTAACAAGTTTCGACTACGATAATCTAGGAGACGGTTCGTGTAAGAGCATCGAACCGGCAACTTGGTCATCGATTGAACAGTCAGTTGGCATCATATGTGCCTGTCTGCCGACTCTGAGACCATTTTTCCGATGGCTATATGACAGCTCAAAAAATACCACAAGAAAAAGAGACAGTGCCCTATCTGGTTGCTCAAAGCAAACACCCCTTGCTTGTCGGGGCTCCCAGGCGGACGAGGAAAATGGGCTTGGAGTCCTTCAATGACAAATTCAATGGTTTAAAATAAAAGTTTTGATATTCGAGATACCCAATCTATTGAAAATTTGAATTTCAAGTTATTCATTTAGATGCCAGGCACAGAAACTTGAAGCTAATATTACTACTACGTACACGCAACACCACTCATAATTTGAGAATAGTGATTTTTTATGCAAGCCGATTGTGCTTAATTGTCAATATTTATCTTTCCTCTTTTCTAATATCTCAGATTCTTCGAATATTGTTATCCTCTCATAGTCACGACTCACATGTGTTGGTGTCCAACAGTAGGACCAATACCCAGAGTGACCGCTCTTTACTCCTTACAACCATTTCAAATCATTCGATAACTTTGAGCTATTACAAAACTTGCAGCTGATACCATGACTATGGATGATGCCGTACGCACAAGCGATGATAAATTCAACCAAATTCTTCAGCACAGTTTCAAGACCTGGTCCTCATACCTGGATTACCCGCAAAGATGCCCAGCTTCCCCGCCATTCCATAGATCTGAGACCTCTCGTCGATCAAACCCCACCTTTTCTTGGTGGTGATCTTGCTAGCTCAGACTTGGACAACTCCGTTTCGTTTGCCTGTGAGGAGCCCCCGAATGGCGGTCTTTACGTGAATGGCCGGTCAACATGGATAACTGCGAAAGGCGGTTGCGATCTTCCACCAATAATAATGCCCAAAAAGCTTACACTAGGAAAAGGAAGGAAGTTAGCTGTGAAATTCTCTTGAGGACGCCGCTTTCTCAGACTGGCCTGGAGTTCATGAACTTCCGGGATATGATGAAGGAAACTATTTGTCGGTGCTTTTTTTTGGCCTGGGCATATATTCTCTCTGCCCGCTGGGTTGAGCTACTTGGACACTCCGCCGATCATGAATGCCATCTAGCTTATATAGCGAATACAACACAACCCGTGGAGGACTCGCTACTGCCGCGAGATAAACAGAGTTTTGAAATTGATATTGGCGATGATGCTTGTGAAGAGGAAATATTCTTGTGGCGTGTCATTCTTGGCTCTGGCAATGGCTGCCAGTGGGAGGCAACGGCAAAATATAATGACCATGTCTTTTTATCGCCATGGTCAGTGTCGACGACTGATGTGAAATTCACCCCGGCCAGCTATGAGGGTTTGGACGCAAACCCAAGTCTACCACAATCTGAGACTGCTCTCAAATACCTCTTTAAATTCTGTGCGTACCATGGCCTGTACGGGCAGTGCTCAGTTGCTCTGGCTGGGGTAATATTCATTCCATTTTTGGGGGATCAAAGCATTTGTCTTCCGTTTCCGAACCAGAACCCTCATCTTCAAAGAAGAAAAAAGGATGGTAATCCTGCTAGTTTGATTCAGAATCTTCTTAAAGAACACGGTGAAATGCTTCCCAGGTATATGACTAAGTTCTAATACCTGGGGTTTGCGCGCTCTTCTTTCTAGTACATTCTTCAACGCAGCTATCGAGTGCAATCTTGTCAGCGCCTGTTTAAATCCCGCATTCGGCATCATTAAATCAATCGGTTCCAATAATGGTGCATTGGCTACATTTTTAGCTAATCGGCAGCCTCGACTTGGTATACTCTGGCTTGGTGCGATTCTTACAAATATTGCAAAGAGAGCCTTGCAAGACACCCGAATGGGGATGACAGCTTTGGATCTTCCAATATCTGCGTGGTCTGGAGTAAGACAAAGTTTTCTGACTTCAGAAACTGTGACCATTCGTGATGAGGTGATAAGCCGGGCAGATGAGTGTCGGATGCTTTTTATGACGGCCTCTGAATGCCATCATTGTCCCCCTCTTTGGCATTGGAAGCCATTTGGGTTTACAAAACTTTGTGATACGGAGCTCTCTGTTCAGCGCCATGCGCAATGCGATAGTCATTGCTTGGAATGAGAGGCCTGGGAATGGATTCTTACCAACGGCAGTTCAATTCGAGTTGGAAGAGAAAGCAACCAGCGCCCGGTGAAGATGGCCGCGTTCAAAGCGCATGGCGAATGTTCCAGCAAAATACCTGCCAAGCCGGAGGATTATAGTTGTGATTTCTCTTCGCAGACCCTTTCTGAGGGACTCACAAGAGGTATATTCGGACGATTAAGACCTATAGGGTATCCACTCTGCGAGAGGCCCATATATCAACATTCGTGGTTGGATCTGGAAGGCTCCGATGACAAAGAAGAGCCTGATGATGCGGGATCCGACAAAGACGAACTGCGGAGGTCAATAAAAACACATGTCGAGAGCTGGCTTGAAGACATCGAATGTGATTAAAAGTGGATGTTAATGCGGAGTGTTCGTACAAATGGGCCCAGGGTCTTTGCGATGGCGTTTTCGAGTCTGGCATGATTATAGAATTCCCGGAATTGATACAGTCCCACTTCAATAATAGCAGCAGGACCTTGTAGAATGAAGCATGAGAAGCACTGGCAACTTGAAAACTTGAAATAAAAGATTGATATAGAATACAGTGCATACAAGGGTGAGCCAAAATTCCATCTATCTGTACAAAATATGCTAATTGCATCAAATCCCATTAGGGCAAACGATCAACAATCCCTGGGAAATCCATTTAATATGCGTTCCGAGCCTTCCCAGTATCAAATTATGACCGGGCCTCGATCTGAGGGGAGTCTTCCGCATCCTCAACAACCACAGCACCCTCCTCCAGCAATTCCTCGGGACTCTTTACCCGCACATTCATGACACGCATGATTGTGTACCGGTGCTTGCTCTTCGCCTGCTTCACGTGTCTCTGTCTCCGCTTCGTCTTCTCCTTAATGCGCAAGGGTTCGGACTCCACACCAATAACTCGGACACGGCATTCAAACAGTCGCTCGTCGATATGAGGTGCGCCCTTCAGAGTAAAATCGCGAGATCCGAGCGCAGACGCGCGGTTAAATCGTAGGACGTCACCGGTCTTCACCTTGGGCATGAGAAACGGAAGACGGATGTGATCACCCTCTGTTAGGAGGAAGGGTCGGGCGTGTAGTTCGGCGACGACGTAGTGTGGTGTTTGGCCCACAAGGTGAGGGAGCTGCTCCATGAGAGACTTGCTCACTTCGATAGGCGAGGTGAATGTAGGAGCCACGGGTTGCTTCTCGATAGGGATGGCATTTCGTGATTGAGAGAGGGTGTTTTGGAGAGGAGTCTGGGAGATAGCACTCAATGGTGCTTCGGGAATGGGAGATGAGGATTGAGGTTCGGATTGCTGTTGCGTTGTCCGGAGCCAGGCAGTTTGATGCAGGCAAGCTCGTTGCGAAATGGCATTGACCGATGAAATTGAGGTTGGTGCTGACAAGCGTAAATCGGAGGTGAGACTCCGCAATACTGATCGAGAAAACATGGTGACAGGGTCCTTCCCGGGGATGTGAATTACGGGAGGAATTGGTGGTTTGGGAGGCTAAAGCGGCTTTCTGTTTCGAGAAAATCAGATACTGCGTCTGTGGCCGCTCCGCTGCCCGTAGTGTCACGTGTGGCCATACTAGATGAGTGTAGTTGTGATTTTCTATGCTCAGGATATAAAATATCATTCTGATAGAATTGCTTCTCATGAAAGAAGGTTTTCCTAAATCGCTTCCCTTTCTTATATTCTATCTTTTTGAATAAAAATTGCAGTATTTGTTCATGTTGGCTACTGGAGGGCTGGAGTATAATCTGGGCCCGATAAGAAAATCACGTGGCCCGCTATCTTTGCCGCCGAAACAACTTTTTCGCTGCGATTAGATCTTGCAGGCCAACCCATCACTTAACCCCCACAGTCTGTACTCAGTCTGTATTCATCATGGTACGTCCGAGAATCAAATCCCACACAAATGAGAAACATCACTAACTGAAATTCCCACCTACAGCCTCAGAACGAGTTCGTCCCTCCCCCGCCAACCACACCGATAAAATCAGACCGAACTAACCTTCTCTCCCCAGGTACATCGAGCGCTGGCAGAAGCAGCATGGTAAGCGTCTGGACCACGATGAGCGAGTCCGGAAGCGCCAGGCTCGTGAGGGCCACAAGCAGTCGTTCAATGCGCAGAACCTGACTGGTCTGCGTGCTAAGCTGTACCAGCAGAAGCGTCACAAGGAGAAGATTCAGATGAAGAAGCGCATCAAGGCCCAGGAAGAGAAGAATGTCAAATCCGCTGCTCCCGACGAGCCTTCCAAGACTCCTCTGCCTCAGTACCTGCTCGACCGGTCCCAAGCTACCAATGCCAAGGCCTTGTCCAGTGCTATTAAGGATAAGCGTGCGGAGAAGGCTGCGAAGTTTGCCGTTCCTTTGCCTAAGGTTAAGGGTATTAGTGAGGAGGAGATGTTCAAGGTTATCAACACCGGAAAGAAGACACACAAGAAGTCTTGGAAGCGTATGATTACCAAGCCTACTTTCGTTGGTAATGACTTCACTCGTCGTCCTGTCAAGTACGAGCGATTCATTCGCCCTATGGGTCTGCGTTACAAGAAGGCCAATGTCACTCAGTATGTTTCCTTGATTCTCCCCGGTGGATAATCGCAGTTCAAGTTACGGACCATGCTAACATCTATATTCTACAGCCCCGAATTGGGTGTCACTGTTCAACTTCCTATTCTTTCGGTTAAGAAGAACCCCTCCAACCCGCTATATACCCAGCTTGGTGTTTTGACCAAGGGTACTATTGTCGAGGTCAACGTCTCTGAGTTGGGTCTCGTTACCACCACTGGTAAGGTTGTTTGGGGTAAATGGGCTCAAATCACTAATGTGTAAGTTTTGCGGTTCCATCATCATCTTATCATGCCGTGTGTGGTGTATACTAACATACTCTCTGAAGTCCCGAGAACGATGGTTGTGTCAATGCGTAAGTCTCAAATCATCTGTTTGATGCAGGTTCTCTTACTAACCCTACTCCCAGTGTCCTGCTTGTCTAAGCGTCTCGCCCATTACAAGACCACAACATTCCTTTTTTGACACCCTCGGCAGACGGAAGTCTGTCTTCGATACCAATGTGTCCTAGGCACTATTCTTGATTCTTGAGGTTTCATACGTTGATGTAGACCATGTTATTACTTCGGTGTTTTTGGCGCATTTCTTATATCTGGTCTTTGAACGAAAAGTATACTGCATGCTCGGGTTTGCCGATGGATTTAGGTAGACCAAACTAGTTAAACGCATTTAAACAATTGTTTACGAAGACGACTGCACTTTAAACAGACTTTTTTAATCACTTTCTACCTCCTGGTCAGAAAACGTTGGTAGTTTAAGAAGGCCCAGGTGGGATTGTTTTGGATGGATTCGATGGATTTATCCTATACTAAGATGGTGAGATGTTGAGATTAAACGTCATAGCCAAAAAAAAAAAGAGTCAGGGCACCAGGGCCAATGTTCCTCCACGATCAAATGTCATGAATAAGGATAAAGTTAAAGATAATCATGTACAGGAGTAAAGTCCACATGCTTCGCTGAATCGCTAAACGGGGGTGGTAGGGAACAAAAAAAGGGATGCAAGAGAACAGCGAAAAATCAGATAATTGGCGTAGATATCCATCAGATAAGCCACCCAGGCTGTTTGAAACCCCCCCAAAGGAAACCCATTCAACACCAGTCATAAAGTCGTACTGAAAAGGACACAAACGTAATAAAACCATGAAAGATATGCCGAAAAATGAAGACAAAGGAAATGAAGGCCGGTCAGGCGCGTTAAGGATTTTCTTCCTCCAGAGCTGCTTTAATTTTTGCAAAGAAACCGGCAGGCCATGCAGCGAGTTCTTCCTCCTTGGGAATACCCCGGGCTTTACAGTGATTGATAACATTTGCAAGAATGCGACCAAGCATATCTTGGGTAACAGGAACAGCGCCCTCAAGTTGGGCATCGGGGTGCAAAAATGGATCGCGAGGGCCAAGCATTTCCTCAATGGTAGGTCGAAGGGTTTGGTCTCGTTGAAGGCAGCGCTTCAAGGTTCGGATCAATCCAGGTGGTACAGGAACACCGCCAATTCCATGGGCGGGAAAATCAATTTGTACACGAGGGTTGGGGATTGCCATGATGCGCTCGTAGTATTTGGCGATCTTGGCGAATGGAGGTTGGCCATACACCATTTTGTACAAAATGCAGCCCAAACTCCAAACATCACTAGGTTTGCCAAGCTTCATAATTTTTCCAACGCTCGCAGGTAAACCGAGGGAGGCATTCGAATCAACCAATGCCTCGGGAGACATGTAATTCGGTGTTCCAACTTGCTGTTCACGATGGACATTAACAGTGTTGTCTTGGATCGCATTCGCGATACCAAAGTCAATAAGTTTCAAGCGCCCTTGCACCATCAGAAAATTGGCGGGCTTCAGATCGGAATGGACAATGCTAAAGTTATGCACAGCTTGAACACATTCAAGCATCTCTTTCCAGTAAAAACGAGTGAAGTTAATGTCAAAGACAGCGTCTTCGGCATTGATGCGATATGTAAGGATCTTCTCAAGATCAGATTCACCAATTTCCATGAGAACGCTGAGACAATGCTTGTCAGAGTTAAGTTCCCAATCAAACAGGCGCACGACTCGATCAACATTCTCCAACTTCTTGAGCAAATCAATTTCTCCCTTATATCCAGTAAGTGTGAGAGGATCGACATCTTCAAGATTGACTCGTTTCAATGCAAATATCTTGTAATTCTCAGCCATCACACGATACACACGAGAGCTACCACCACGACCAATGCAGTCGAGACGAGTAAAGTGCTTGCCGTTGATGGAGACTTGGGTTCGCTTTTTCCGAGACTGTGACGTTGATGCACCACCAGTTGCGGTGGCAGTCTCGAGGACAGACATCTTCGGAGGTGGAGGAGCGGCCCGATGAGGCGTGTTATTACTTCTAATAGCAAGAATTTTTCGTGGTGAGTCTCCGGATGGTGTTTTGGCAGGTTCTTTTTTCTCGGTGTCGTACATAGCTGACAACTTGTCGGGTTTATCCAACACACCCAAGCCCTGTGGCTTTGTTCGCTTGAAGGTCGGAGGCGGCTCATTCTCCTGATCCCGCACAGAAGGCAGTGGGGGCAAGGATGGAACTTTGAATGCCGGCTGTTCTCTTGGGCCAGAGGACCGGTCCGATGATCCTGGAGTTGACTTCGATTGAGATCCATAGGATTTTGGAGAGGATGATCTTGAGAAAAGGCCTTCACCTCTTGAGGAGCTTGCAGGTTGATCGGAGCGGCGCCAGTCATCTTCACGCGGCGGGCTTGGGTCAGCCCAAGACACCTTGGGTGATGATGGTTTGGCTGTGTCACGGGGGTGAGGTTCAATGTCATCATTCTCCCTCACACCGTCGAGCAGGTAGTTCTCCTCATTATTTTCTTCGCTCTGTCTGCGCAATACACCTCTTCGCGCAGGGCCGTTGAGAAATGTGCCAGTTAATCGCCCAACCCGTTTGACACGCAGAGAACTTTGGGGACCAAACTCATCAACATGACGACTTCGGAGTACTGAGGATCCAATTCGTGCAATGGGATCATCCTCATAGTGTGCTTTGCGGTCACTATCAGATCGATCACCGCTCCCATATTCATCGCCAGAATTTCGCTCTGAAGATCGATTTAGAGATGGTGACATTGAAGATGGAGATCGCGTATGACTACGGGATGCATTGATCCGAACACTTCGTGGTCGAGGCGCAGGTGTGATGAAATCGCCAGGTCGATCTTGAGCCTCTGACTGCATGCTCTGACTATTGGAGAGTGGAGAACCCTCGCGGGAGAATCTAGAACCACCAATTCGAACTACTCGTGGGGCCGGGCTACCAGTCGAGTTATCAAGAGGTGGTGAGTTCCGTGGCGACAGGCTTGGATGTCTCGAGCCTAATGCGGCAGCTCGTCGTTCATATGCTGCATGTCCCTTTTGCAGGTGCGGTGAAGATCCCAATCCATCTCCATCTAATAATGCCTTCACAGAAGCGCTGAATTTCGGTTCGGGGACCTCATCATCAGAGCTGTCCCCCGCAGAATAATGGCGTGATAAGGATGTTTTGGACCCGGCGTGTGGGAGGGCTGGGGAGACCCTTCTGGATGTGGAACGAGAAACCGTAGATCGGGACATGGGTCGGGAAGGTTGTTGATACAGACCGCTGTTGTATGCGGACGAAAGGGAGTTCGGGGAGGCCATGGCGACTAGCGCACTACATTGAAGTCGTGGATCAATGCAGCCCTCGGCGACCCGAAGTTATCGTTGGTTGTCGTATGTTTGTTGTTATCGGGAAAGATCAGGTTCAATTCCAGGTTGATGTTCCATCGTGAACGCGCTATGTGGTCACGTGTCAACGCGTTACTATGGTGATAGCCACAACAAAGAATGCTAGATGGGACGGTCATCTTATGGACTTTAACCTCTATGTAGATCTTCTATGGTTCCATTAATTTACAGCTTGAAGAATCATTGTGTTTTCTTGGGTGTTTGAAAACCATCTATCATGATCTTTTATTTAGTCCATATGGTCTCCAAAAATCACTCATTCATCCGAAGTATATAACGCAGTCCGGGATGTATCACTACTCATATTCTACTTGAAGCACTTATTCCCAACAACAACATGGTCCCATAATGAACTATCCTGCCCGTTCCTAAAGCTCCAACTGTAGTTTTAGTATAAGGGTTATTCTGAAAAATCACAAAAATACACAAGTGTTTGCCCTGGACTATATGGCCACATGTACACTGACCTGGCCAGTCAATCGTGACACCAACCTTAGAAGCTATGCTAGCTTCAAGATTATGACTCTCAAGATCATGATACTACTCCATATGATATTGATACTAGTACATCTCAGCATCCTCCAAGCCCAGGGCTTATGTAGTACTACTATCATATTCAAATGTTCAACCAAAGTTAACATTTGAATATATTTCACTGCCACATGCACATGTGTGCCCACTGGCAGGTGTAGAGTATCCCTGAGATACTGACATTGATCCATGTGCCAGTAGTACTTACTATCAACATTTGAAGTAGCAAATCGATACTTCAAACCTTCAAATGTTGGTTGAAGGATACTACATCCATACACTTCCCAGATGTTCCATGTGCCGCGGCATGATCTGGACTTCACCCGAGTTCATGTACACATGGTGGATCATGATCGGGATGTGTATACTAGTGACTCAGATCTAGAATACATAATTCAGGTCATGCTGCACATGTGCACATCCACCATGATGTGTATTCTTCAATGTTCAAACGTTCGTAGGTGTAAAATGAGAATATGTATACTACCTACATATGATGCAGCATCCTACTACCCGTATATTCAAATGTTGCTACCTAGTATCACCTACATACGGCACCTGGGTCAAAACCGGGCATCTGGATTTTCAGATGAGTACCGGGGCCTAGGCTCACAATGTTTTGAATTTCCCCAACGTCCAAGTGTCAGATGTCTACACCTGCCAGTGGGTAGTCCCCAAGGTATCTCGGATTATTCAAGCTGGAAGCCGCGCGTCCATGAGTTCAAGTTTAATCAGGATTTGAGCTTTCAGTGATAAACATCATGATGATGACGCGTGTTCTCAATCTTGAAAACTTGATGATACTAGTAAATCTGTGTCTGTACTGTTCTGACCTCGGGAGCAAGGTCAAATTTTTTCTTCCTGCAAGCGAAATATTTGAATATTATTTCAAGGAGTACCTAGGTACGGGGTATTCATTAGGACGCTTAGATGGATACACAGAGGCTTTTAAGCTTATGAACAGCGCCATTGTTCAAATTATTATCCAATTTAGTTCCCCTTTATTGCCCACTTGGGGAAATGTAGTTTGTAGTCTGTATTGACTTCCGAGGTTCCGTGGTTGAAATTGTTGACATTGGCATTCATATGAGGTCGAAACTCAAATATAGATCGATCCAGTCCTGATATAGCTGCATTATTGGCACATATCAACGGTCGCAAAACAATAATCTAAGTCTTCGTCAAATTAACATGTCAGGAAGCAAATGAATTGTTGGAAAATAGACCAACACCGGTCTTTCGTCTTTCGTATTCACCCCCTTGGAGGCGTTAACCGGTGTGCATGGGAAGATGCAGAATCCGATCGAGGCCTGGCCACACCTGCATCGTGAGATCCCCACTGGCGAAATTAAACCAGGTAAGCACTTAGGACTAATCACCCTGGTGGCGTTGAGTTAATTGAGTCAATTGGGCATCGATCGGGTTCCTGCATATCGCCCCTGGTACGGTGTATTGAGGACCTAGGCTATGTGAAATTGTTCCCTGATCACCTGCAGAAGCGAGATATGGTAGATCATATTTTTGGGACATGTGCATGGTGCAGGACTGGAATTACCGAGTGAAAACTCTCCGCCATGTGCGATGCCATGCTGCAATGCGATCCACATGTTAATCGGCAACAATAGGCGAGGACATGCCGGTACTCCGTGAATTGATTCGAGAACCTTAGAAGTTAGTTGTTTATGGATGACTTTCCCTAGGTTTCGGTTCACCGTTCCGGATACGAATTGGTCCGGTCGATCGATAGTTTCTCGTAAATAAGCCATGATCTGATAGCTGAGATATGATCTGAGCAATGAGTATAAAACATAGTTTGTTAGTAGAGCTTAATGGGTCATCTGGAACAACCGGTGTCTCAGCCCTGGAGCCTCCTGAAGCTGGGCAAAGACCCTTTTTCCCCAATGGTTCAGTCTTGGCGGATAGAGTGAAAGAACTATAGACTTGTGCAGTAATCGAAGTATTATTTTTTCTTCTAAGCGATTCAATAGACAAAAACTTACCTTCTCATCTTATCTATGGCAACACAGAGAAAAGTAAATATAGGGGAAAAAATCTATGCCCCAGTAAAAGGCAATATGAACATGGCTGCCTGATCGGCTACCGACCGTAGCATAGGTACCGGACAGACCCCGATTATCCTCGGAGAAGAGTACAATTGTCCCACCAAGTTTTGTTAAGAATCGAACTCATCGGAATTTGACCTAGAGGAGGGGGAAAAAAAGATCCTAGGGCAAAATGTTAGGTATCACGATGATGTTTTCGGTAGCACACAAACTTTAACCTCGGGTGTGAGACATGCAAGTTTCGAAGCGCTATATTTCATACTCTAGTACCAGATATTGATGGGAAAATGTCTCTCAAAATAGTTCAAGTTACCATAGCTTGACTTTTACCGGTAACCACAGAATTAACATTAAGTGAAACTGCGATCGCATCAAAAGATCCTCAGGGTCAAACGAACCAGTTCTCTTTAGTCCCATAAACCCAGAATGATGGCGTAGCACTTACACGCTAGTGTCATCTTGGAGCATTAGTTTGTGGGGCATAAACAGTCCAGAGCCTTAAGAATGTCAAACAAAACAGGGGAAATTCTGAACTCCGAGTAGCACTACTCCGTATTGCGTTAGTCCTGGAGGTTCCAACGCCGAGTGGGACGGAATCCTTCCCTTGGCATCCCGCCGCTAGTTGTCTCCAATTTTAGGAAATGTTCATATTTTTTGGATTTTTTTAATTTGTGGGTGTTTTCTTTCTGCAAGACGACGACGACGCTGTTTACCCAGTGGGTTTTACAAGTGGGCCTTACTGCAAGGGCCGCATGAGAGATTCACTATCGTTGCCAGCTGGACCGGTGGCGTACATTAGTGCAGGCCACATCCTTGGAAGAACCCTGGTCAATTCATGAGCACTTGAGGGGATTTTTCCCTGATCAAGACATTCAGAAACTTGGACGTGGAGTCCTTGGGGTACAATCTACATCATATGTACAAAGTACTTCGTATGGAGTATGAAAGTCATTCCCAAATTTGTATATCCCTCCGAGATCTGCCATATTATACTCGCATGACATATGGCAGTTCAAAGAAAAGAAAAGAAAAAAGGAAAATAATGATCTTCATGATCTGGAAAAAACCGCGAATACATACACGCAATGAGTCCAACATAGCCCTACAAAAGTACGTCAACTTTCCTACTAGTAGAAACACAAATCAATATTTTGTACTCCGTAGTAAACAACTGGATAAATAGTCATCCATTTGGTAATGTCGCCCGAATTCAATGGTACTCTTTTTTTTTGGATGTATACCCTGGTTCCATGGGAGTCATTCGATAGGTCTCGTCCCAGACTACTCCGTGGTGGAGTCCCAAGTAGCAACAAGATGCATACATCCTTAACCTAAAAGCGTATAGACCGGTGTACTTGTGCATCATGTTCCTGGTCTAATGTAAAGTGGGAAAAGGTACCGGGCTTTGCGAGCCATATTGGGCGGATCCGTAACCAGCCACTAATAACTATCTTTTTTTGAACCCCTGCAGAGGTTCGTTTGGTTCGTTTGGTGCGAGTCCACTCTAAATGAATGAAAGAAAAAAAAATAAAAGATAAAACTATACAAACCCAAATTCTTGACTAGCTATTCTCAAAATAAAATTTAAAGGGGAATTGCAAATACAGTCGCACTCAGAATTTCCGGGTTATCGCCCGTCAACCGTTTTGGTGGATCCTTGACGATCATTTCCCCTGATTGAACGACAAGCAGGTGGGTGATAAACGCATGGCAGTCTATGATCCTCGCTGTCGTTACCTTCTTGAGCCCGAGGTCTCTGTCGCTGGGCCGCCCTCGTGCATTGGTGCGTGTGATGAGCAACTTGAATTCCATGAAATGTTGGTATAGTCCGGTCAAACGTGTGGTGCTATGATGGGTCCGGTATCAATTGAGTGGGCCATGGTCCGTATGCAAATCGATGATACTCCCGTAATCTGACACCTTTTCTGACGACCTTGCCACAGATGGACGGCACGAGTGGACTCGCATATGATCCTAACTTGTTATGGTGACTCCTCACTGGCAGTACTGTATCCACTCTGCCCTGGACGATCCAGTAGTCCCCGATATCCGCGAGCCTAAGGGGTTGGATAGCTCGAAATGTGGACTGGAGGCGTCGAGACCGGGGTAGCCCTCTACGGAGAGGACTGATCCATTCGTCCTTTGCTCGTGGATCAGGCACCTGGGTGGAGAGCCTCCGTGTCCAGTGCTTTTCAATCTCCCAAAAAAATGATCAGGGGTATATAAACATAGAGGATCGTCGCCCTGATTGTTCTTCTTCATCAGTCGTTTATTTTTCTTTTCTTCTCATTTTCAACCTTTCACCAGTCTATCGTTAATCCTTTTGTGGACGGCTTCAGTACCGTCTACAATCTAGCTTTTATTTTCTTACTTTTGTTTTATACAACTTTTTTGTACAAATACCTCGACGCCTATTGCGCCTATATACACACTCGTTATCATCCGTGAAGAAGAAAAATGCGTTCTTCACTCGTTTTACTCGCCGGTCTGGCGAGCTCGACTCTCGCTTACCCAACTGACGTGTCTGTTGACCGTCGTACTTTCGGCCTCGTTTCCGAGATTCTCGGTTCCGTCGGATCCGAGGTCACTACAATCATTGATGATGTTCTTGGTCTCAGTGGTAGCTCCTCCACTACTCTGCTCGCTGGCTTGAGTGCTCGTGGTGCTGCAGCTCTGGAGGGTGGTGTGCTCGGATGCGGTTACTCTGTTATTGACTCTGCTGCCCGTGTGGAGCTGAAGAGCTGGCTGGTCAGCCAGACCAGCATCACTGGTTCCATCAAGACCTCTCTGGTCTCTTGGTGTGAGGGCTCGGTCACTGTCCTCGAGGAGAGTGCCATTGCTGCTTTGGCTGTCTATATCCCCACCTGCGCCGAGCTTGCTGCCAAGGAGTCCATCTACGTTACTATTGATGGTATCTTCGAGGCCACCGAGCTTGAATCCACTCTCGTCCTCAGTGCTTCTGCCCAAGCTACTCTTACTGCTTTCCTTGACGTCCACGTCGACCTTGATGTTAACATCCTGGCTGGTCTGAACCTTTGCGCTGGTGGTGGTATCATTGGAAGTTTGACTGCCGATGTCAAGGCTTCTCTGCTTGCTTGGGTCTCTGCCTCCGACTGCTCTTTGAGTGCCTCTCTGCAAGCCGCCGTTCTTGCTTGGATCAAGGGCGAGTCTTGCGATGACCTTGTTGAGGTTGGTACTATCTCTGTCGATGCATTGACTGCTATCTCCGTTGGTGGCTCTATCGAGGTTCTCGTCGATGAGTCCGGTGTTCTCACTACCAGTGCTATGGCCTCCATTGCCGCTTTCCTCGAGGCTGAGGTTGACATTGACGTCAACGTCCGTGCTGCCCTGAAGGCCTGTGGTGAGGGCACTCTTGCCTCCGCTCTGAGCCTTGAACTCCGTACCTCCTTGGCTCTGTGGCTCGTCGAGTCTAGCTGCTCTCTGGGCGTTGAGCTCAAGGCCGTCGTTCTGCTCTGGCTCTCTGTTGCTGTTACCGCTGAGGTTTCCGTTGACATTGTTGCTGACCTGCTTGTTGACATCACCGGTTTCTTGACCGAGGAGATCATCGCTCTTCTCAGCGTTAACCTGCGTGGTGCCCTTGCCCTCCTTGAGGCTGGCGAGAGCCTGACTCTGCTGTCCTGGAGCACTCGTGCTGAGCTGGCTGCTTTCCTCAGTGGCTGCACTAGCATCGATATCAGCGTTTCCATCGAGATCATCATTATCGAGTGGTTCACTGGCTGCGGTATGGGCTCTGGCTCTGGCTCTGGATCTTCTCCTTCCGGCACTCCTTCAGTCTCCATCCTTCCTTCCGCCACTGGCTCCGTCTCTATTCCTTCCGGTGCTGGTCCTACCGGTTCTGGCTCTGTTCCTTCCGGCGGTGCCCCCACTGGTTCAGTCTCCATTCCTTCCGGTGCCGGTCCTACTGGCTCTTTCTCTATTCCTTCCGGCGGTGCTCCCACTGGCTCCATCTCCATCCCCTCAGGTGCTGGCCCCACTGGCTCGGTTTCTATTCCTTCCGTCCCTGCTCCTTCTGAGTCTGCTGGCTCTGGCCCCGCTCCCTCCGGCCCTGCTGGTGGTGTTCCCAGTGGCTCTTCCCCATCTGGCCCTGCCCCATCTGGCCCTGCTGGCTCAGTTTCCATTCCCTCAGGTGCCGGCCCTACCTCCGTTTCCATTCCTTCCGGCCCTGCTCCCTCCGAGTCATCTGGTGCTGGACCTGCTCCTTCAGGCCCCGCCGGCGGTGTTCCTGGCTCCAGCTCTGTGCCTTCCGGCCCTGCTCCCTCTGAGTCTGCTGGCTCTGGCCCCGCTCCCTCAGGCCCTGCTGGTGGCGCCCCTAGCGGCTCTTCCCCATCTGGACCTGCCCCCACCGGCCCCGCTGGCTCGGGCTCTATCCCCTCTGGCTCTGCCCCTACTGGCTCCGAGGGTTCCGGTCCCGCCCCATCTGGTCCGGCGGGCCCTGGTGCTGGCATGAGCACTGGATGTGCTTCCCCCTCTGAGACCGGTTACCCCGGCGGTGGTGCTGCCCCCTCCGAGACCAGCGTCTGGGTTGCCCCCACCGCAACTGGTGCCCCCGGCGGCGGCTCTCCCGGTTACACCGAGACTGCTGCTTGGACCGAGACTGTTGCTTACACTTCTGCTTGGACTGAGACTGTTGTTGCCCCCGCTCCCACCACCGCTCCTTCTGGTGTCTCTCCTGAGGGCTCAGCCATCTGGACCAGCACTCTTATCATCACCAAGACTGTCTGCGGATGCGAGGCTTAAGCGATCAGCATCCATGTTTCTAGGCTCTAACAGCCATTGTTTTCTACGCTTGTTTTTCTATTTCCCCTGCATGACAAGATGACCTTCAGCCTTTTTTTCGATGGTGCGGCCAGCAGATCTGTTCAACGGACCAAGTTAACATCCCTTTCTTGGCTCCGTCCTGCTTGTAGATATTTAATTCTAATTTTAATCTGCTCTGGAAGATTTGGCCTCAACTGTGTTGGATATTATTCTTCGTGGATACGATTTCGTGTTCGCTGGTGAAGATCACTTGTTTTTTGAAGATCTAAGATTCCCATTCATTCTCTCAATGGAGTACATTCCTTTTCTTGTGTATTTTTCTCGTGCTATTTACTGTTGAGTCTTATTTAATGTTTTCTGCTTGATGCAGGTTTTCAATCAAAAAGCAATTGTTGTTTAATAATCTGAATATGTGCGTTATGAGCTAGATGGGAGCATTCCTACCTATTGAGCTATAGGTCTGCCTCTATCAGCGCACGGTGATAGTGCTTGCCAGTAGTTATTATCCAGTAGTTTCAAAATGGCATCCTTCGGATTAATTGCAAGATAAGTGAGGAAACTCCCATATTCGACAAGCGTGGGGTCATTAAACGAGCATAATCCCGAGACTTGTAAAACACCAGGAAACACTAGCACTGATACCGATCATCTTGGTTCTAATTAACAACCTCGGATCCAATCATCCGGACTACAATATCCGGGTTTAACTCCCCACAAATCGAAAAGAGCAAAATATGCCTATGAGATCGAAGCAAATTCCAAGTCCGAACGAAACCCCTCCAATTCTATCTAACCCGGCATTCAAGCCGTAACAGCAGCCACTTGCGCAGTGTTCGTCTCTTCCACAATCACCTTCGGTTCAACTTGAACTTCAACCTCGACCTCAACCTCGCTTTGAGGCTCAGTCTTAGGAGCTTGAGTGGGGTAAAAGTCAATCTTCCCACCCTCCTGAATAACTCCCGTGCGATCTAGAACCGTTCGAGCGCGAACATAAGGATCAAGCTTCCAGTAATTCTCAGAAAGCTGCTTTATAACCGAGTCTCTCTGCTCATTCCAGAGTTCATCATGAGAACTTGTGATCCACTTCGCATTCAAACGAAATAAATCATCCGCTAACTTGTTTCGCTCTTCCAGAATTGTGCTTCGGGTAGTGGCATCCCGGAGTTTTTCGTTCTCGTTGGCTCGCGGTTCAATGTACTCCCACTCCCAATCTTCTTCGCCGCCAAGTTCCTTGATTATGTGTTCTGGTGCGACGAGGGTTTCTAGCTCTTTAGCACCAGATATGAAGTGGACTTTCGAAGCAACTACGGGATCCAGAAGGCCGTAGATGATTTTCCAGAATCCTAGGTCCAATGTTAGCTGAGTAGTTCTAGGAACTTGAATGAATTAGAGTAAGGTCGTACCGGAGAATATCCAGGGTGCGTTATAGAAAATCATGGCGCCTAGAGATTCGGGATAATTCTCTTGGAAGCAATCGATAATGAATTTAACGGGGGCAAGTTCCTGATTTTATTAGCTGGTGGGTAATACGATTTTATTGAGGCGTGATCCCACATACCCAATTTGAAAGAGAAAATGAAGTCAAGTCAAAAACAATAGCCTAGTCATGACAGAAATCGTTAGTTCGAATGAGTACGCCTCACGTTGAAGAATACATACCATTGACTCCACAGGCGAAACCATCAATATGCGCACTGTCTCAATACATTGCACAATATAATCATTCAGTCCCTTCGCCGTCTGGGTCCCAGGCTGATGAGTCCGAACCCGAACAATACAGATAGGACGACCGTCTCTATCCGCACCATGAAAATGACCTTTCCCAGTATTTAACTGCAGCATGAAACCCTCGCCATCTTTCTTTTCAGTCGAATTTTCCTCCAATGTCGATTTCTCCATCGCATATCCCTCACCCTTCATGAGAACCTCCTCGTCGACATGGTACTCATTCACGCGCCAATTAAGCGACCGAACAAGCTTGATCCATGCTTTCGGCACATCCCATTTCTCTGCTCGAAGAAACCGGAGGCATAATGCATCCGGGTGATCTTGTTTCAACATAGCCAAGAAAGCCGTACGTAGGTTCTCACCAGGGAGCTTGGTTAAGAGGGAATGAATAGCTTTAAGATCATTGGGCCCCGCTCCTAGTCTCTTTAGCGAGACAAGTAGATTAGGTGGAATAGCAGAGATCTCTTGATCAAGTGGTTGAGTAGCGGATCGACTAAACGAGAAGAATCGTCGATGAGTTCTTGTTTTGGAGCCTGCTGATGCCAGTGAGGTGGCATCTGTATCTGGACCAGTCAGGCTTGAATCCCAGGACTGCTGGATGATTTTCCAAAATTGTAGAAGTTTCTCTTGTTGGATAGTGGTTAGATTACCCGCATAACCCTCTGGGATAGGTACCGGGTCAGGCATAATGGGATAGGAGACCTAAATTGAGGTTGAGTTCGGCTTCTCAGAGGGATGTGAATGAGGGATTGAGCTCATTATAAGAGGGCGCTTTTTTGCTTTTTTCGTAATAGCTTCGGATGCCTCAGGTCCAATCACCATCATTGGCATTCCTCCCCATGTGATCCTTCCTGCATTAGCCCCGCACGCGAGCCGAGGAGGTTCGTGGGCTTGCTGGTTGATGCAGGTGAGAGGGGGAGATCTGCATTCAGGGACAAAATGAAGCCGAGGAACCCACCGGACTAATATCGTACCTAGATATGATGATCTGGATCTCAATTTCAATATGGGGATATGAACTAATAATGGAACTAGACACATCGGGATAATGGTACCAACTTTGGAATAAGTGGGGGCGAGATTAGGGTATATGGAGTCTACGGGTCAATTCGCACTGCTGCTCACAGCTGCTCGAGGACTGCGCATGAAGCGAGGTTAGTCTCCTCACATGTCGTTGGAGTGATGATCACATAGCGCTATCGGCAAGGAAAATAGTAGAAGATATTTTACAGCACAATGGACCAGACGGAAGGGATTGCTTATCACATAGATAATGATATCAAGCGTAAAAAGTTCACGTGGGCTAAAATGCAAGTACATATCAAAATGTTTTTTTTTCTTAGAAATTGACTCAATGATCCACCTCATCGTCTGGCTTCTCTGGCTTCTCTGGGTTGGGTCGAATATCTGTCTCAGGAGAACGATGAGAGTCCTCATGCGTATCAGCAGTCTTCTGCCGCTTCTCCTCACGTGCAGATGCAGAAGAGGCGCGTCGCCGGCGCAGTGTCGGACTGTATCTTTCGATTGAGCGGCGTCGATCATGCTCCTTTCGTGGACTTCGGCTGCGATGCCGTTCATGACGGCCACGATCGCGACCACCACTCCGACTCCGACTACCATGGCGACCATGGTGATGACGGTCACGACTACGACTCAAGCGTAGAGAATCACCTCCATGCTTCCTTCCTGTTCTCTCATTTGAACGTGATCGAGATCGGGAGCGGTGATCTTTCGTATCAGAGTGTTTACTGTAGCGGCGATGGTGTCGAGCTGGTGGGGTCACGCTGCGGGAGACTGAGCGCCTTTTCCGTCGGTCTCTTCTGGGAGTTCGTGAGCGGGATGATTCACTGCGGGTAATGGATCTGTGTCGATCACCGTGGTCCGAATTGCGTCTCTTTTCTCTGCGGTCTCGTGCATAGGGGGAAGTGGATCTACTGTGATGGCGGCGACGCTGACGATCTGAGGATCGATCACGTCGTTCTTGATGGCGGCGACGTGGTGGGGAGCGAGATGGGGAGCGGGAGGGGGATCTAGATCGAGAAGGGGACCGAGTTGGTCGGCGACCTCGGTTGGAGCTAGATGGGACGTAAGAATCGAATTCGCGGCGAGGTGGGGGTTCACGGTATCGATCCCGGCTTCGGTTGCGTGGTGAGCGTGATCTCCGGCGACCAAAGTCACTGCTACCGTGGCCAGGGCCTCTTCTTGCTCGTCCGCGATCTCCGCGATCTCCACGTTCTCTCCGTCTGATATCATCCATTTCCCGGTCTCGCGCGAGGTCTTGCTCCCTCTGTCGGCGAGCGGATTCCGCAGCTTTCTCGGCCTCCAGCTATAATTAAATTGATCAGAACGTCATTCAAAACGGGTCACGATCTTGGAAATACCTTCTCTTGGATGAGTTCGAGTTTCTTAGCTTCCAAGAGCTCCTTCGGAACGCCCTGGGGATTCTCTTGACCGCTCAGGCATAATGACCATAACTCTTTGCAGAAATTGGAAGTATCTTTGTCGAGGAAGCCGGTCAATTGGATCTGGAGTGCCTTGATGTTGGGCTAAATAGAAAAACTGTCAGTTGGTGAACGCGCCGCGGATACGCCTTATCGTAAACCATAGGATAAGTAGAGATCAAGAGACGCACATAACGAGCTCCTTCAAGCAAGTTGAAGCAAAGTTCAATGACTACATCATCTTCATTGCCAAGGATTTCTGAAATTCGTCCTGCAATCCACCTGCAGCCGTGCGTCCATTAGCATGTTCTGTCGTCGCGATCAAAATCCGGGGAAGGGCAGAGCTAACTTCTTCATCACCTCGATGTTCACCTTGGTCATGTCCACCTTGCGGCTGAACTCAGGTGGAAACTTGGTCTGCCGAAGCAGCTTCGCATCCACAGGGGTTGCCATCTTGGAACAGTGTCAGTAAGAATGACCAAGTGAACTGAGACACGAGAAACAAAAAGGCAATTGTTTCGAGGGCGGTCAGCGATAAAGCCGGCGGTTGATATTGGGGCCTGATTATCTAGGTTATAAAATTACGTAACCATATATACGCCTCCACCCGTGGACCTGGGCAGTAGATTTCCGAATTCCTCACTTTCAAATGTTCCATAGCAACCTATAACTATTCGCGATACAAATTCAAGCTATTATTTCCTGTTGCATGTCTTCTTAACTGAATTCGGATCCCAATAGTGTCCAGCAATTCTCTCAATATCTGTGGTCCATAACAAAATCCGCTTCGTCCTCTCGGGGCTCGCGAAGAAAAATACTCGAGGCCTGGCTATGAGTCTATGACCTTCCCAAAATAATATCACGCTTGTTTTGATCATATCAGTCCTTTCCCCAGTGCAAATGATAAGGGTCACTCAACTGAGTAAACAGCTTCGCTGATAACTCTTGATCCTTTATATCCTCAGAGTGATTGAGCGGCGAATACATGCAACGTTTTTGTATATCGGGAAGGCCATCATCCAATCCTTGCTCAATAGCATATCGCGCAATAGAGGCAGCCTTTGAGTCTGTTTCATATGCTTGCGGTGCCCCACGGAAGATGTTGCGGGGCACTTGGTCCAGGAGCAGCATCAAAGCTAATGCTCCGCACCTCTCTCCAGCGCAAGTCGATGTGTCCAGGTCACCTTTTTTAGCTGCCTGATACGTTTTACCTTGGTGATCCCGCACATATCCATTATCTGATGGACATCCATGCCAGAAAGATTTCTTTTTTCAATTAATCCGCAGAAGATTTGGAACCAAACCAAAAGTCAAGGACATTCTGGTATATCATTTCCGGCATGATTCGCTTCATGAACTCAGTGAATCGGGCGATAATAATTCTAAAATGAGATGCGGCAGGCTGAAACTTGAGATAGTGAAACATACAAGTCGTAGAATCTTCAAACTTCATTGACCGGGCAGAGAGCATGATGTCATGACCATCAGCTATACAATGTTTTGTGCAAACTTGAACCCGCATTCTCCACATGAAGACTCCGTTCCTTCTACTCTGGTATGTACCCCAAAGCTTCCTTTTCGAGCTTAGTGCTGACCACCTGCCGCTCAGGCGCGGAGAAGGGGGACATTGACATTGCAGTGGATACACTACAACCTCAGCTACCCCGGGATACCATGGTCTTCCCCGCAGATCAGCATCTGCACATTTCAGAATCAGTTAGCTTAATCACTAGCTACGAATACCCTGTGCATGATTCGTCAAGTTTCCCACAGCCCTCGGAACAGCTGGAGCCATTTGAAGCTTTTCTGAACTAGTTGGTCCATTTCCCGGCAAAACTAGAGTGGAAGTCTAGATACATCCAGATATGCTTCAGGGTTTACCCGTCTGGTAACGATCCTCCCGTTAGCCACTCCCGGGGTCCAAGTTTAGGAACATGCAACCAGTGAAATCTCACTAGCAGTATCTTGGATATGGTGAAGAGGAATCCGTGGCAATGGTATAAATCAGAACACTGGCTAGCAGCAAAGGTTCAATGATTCGATTTCCAGAGTATTAATCAGTCATCGGTTGCTCTCATGAGACATGATAATATGGCTGAGAAGGTATCGACTAACCGGTGCAGATCCGCCTCGCCGTGGATTGTGTTTTAATTAAATCATGCAGAATATTTAAGTTTGATATGAGGCTTACCCCAGAAAGGGAGAAGTATGCTGCTGAACTGATTTCGTACCTAGTCGTGGTCAGGTTATACCGCACACACGGTTTAACCGCTGTCAGTACACAAGTTTCCTGATTTGTCTACTAGTACTTTGTGCCCGGATCTTCAACCCCGAATGTAATATGTATAGCGATGCTGTGCCAAAGGGGATAGAACGGCGATTTATCAACTATTTAGATCACCTGCACACCTATACAGAAGCTAGTATTGTGATAATTGAAGGTGTTTCAACTCCCCTCATAGAGGTATCGGCACTACTATCAACTTATCGACATGAGATCTGAATCTAAAGTAAAACAAGTGCTGGAGGCGACTGGCGTTCCCAACAATGATTCTGCAGAGAGCTCTGGCAGCGCCACAGATAAAGAGGAAAGAGTCGGGAAGCTTATCGAGATGGCTGGAGAAATTCAGGATAAGTCGGAAATCAGCAAGGATATTGAGAAGAAAGTGATGGAAGACAACTCGGATGATGAAAGTGACGCCCAAGATGGAGGCACCCGGGCCTGGCTACAAGTGCTAGGCTCGTTTCTTGTCTTTTCTAATATATGGGGACCTGCCCTTGCATACGGTATCTATGACTTTATTTCATTTCAAGGTTATCGGTAACAACTAACAATGGATAGGAGCATTTAAATCGTTTTATGAGATCACATACTTGCCCAATACGTCTGCATCAGCTCTCTCTTGGGTTGGCACAACTGCCAACTTCTTACTCATTTTTGGCGGCATTCTGACGGGCCCTCTTTTCGACATGGGTTTCTTTCGCACTATGCTCCTAATTGGTGCTTTGATCGAAACTCTGGCTGTGTTTTTGCTGAGCTTATGTACCAAATATTGGCAAGTCCTGCTCACACAGGGAATTATGCTTGGTATTGGGTGCTGTTTCCTTTATATGCCTGGGCTTGCGCTGGTCGGTCGATCATTCAGAAAACATCGCGCCGCGGCACTCGCATGCGCTATCTCTGGCGCGCCCATCGGCGCAATTGTTTTTACTCTAGCTCTTTGACGCCAAAGCTTTCCTTGACCTGCCCTTCGTGGTATATACCACGAGCAACTTCATGGTGTTCTTTGCATACTTGGTTCCATTCATCTACATGTCCAGCTTTGCTCAGCTCTCTCTAGGGATGAGCTCTTCAGCAGCAAATCTAGGCATTATTGTTACGCAGACCACTTCGATTGTCGGTCACTTGATGGCCGGCTACATTGCTGGCAAAATTGGCAACATTACCCAATGGATTATATGTGCATTAGGCAGTGGAGTCCTATGCATTGGTTGGATTGGTGTTCAACAACCATGGGCATATTATTTCATTTTTGCACTATTCGGCATCTTTAGTGGACCTCTGCTCTCACTGCCACCAAGCGCCTTCCCACTGGTATGTCCTGATCCAAAGGTGATTGGCACAAGACTGGGTATGGCGAGCGCAATCGGAGCATGTGCCAGCTTGGTAGGTAGTCCAGTAGAAGGCGCCCTAGAGGGGTTGGGTGGGCATGCCTTTCTGGGTCCTCAGATTTTCTGTGGGTTGTGTATGATGATTGGAGGCTGTACTTTGGTTATTTTATGGGGGATTTTGGGAGAGGAGCGGGAAGCAAGTTCATATAAAAGGAACAAGCAACTGCCATAAGTATGCCACATAGTGGGAACCTGGGCACATGTGCAGGCCCTGTGAGGATACCATTCAACATCGCATGTATTATTCCAACATTTGAAGGCTGGCGTGCGCATTCATTCGACATATGATTTTGTATTTTAACAATTTCTCATCATTACAGTTAGTTTTCATACCCTAGCAATTCAGAAATGCGTTTTGAAATGTTCCAATTCGTGGCTACGACATAGCGATAAAGTAGATTTCAATTTTCACAATATTACTATCCTTTAAGTGTGGTTTTTTGGAGTTTATTTTAACTTGAAGTTCTTACAGAATACCAGTACAAAAAAATCTTCGAGCTAGGTCTAGGAGTGGCGGGTTTGTAGGCTCAAGTGCTTGTATACTCCTAGGTCTATAATAGCCCCGGGCCTGTCAATATGTATGATTCTGAACACCACTCTAGGCTAATTGGTAGGCCCAGCACGAAGCATAAGGAAAACTGCATAATGAGCAACATTTGAACTTGAATTCATTGACTAACCTATGTGAAATTACAATTGGGTCTTCTGGGATTCTGCCGTCGTTCTCGAGAAAGTGCATGGTTGGTTATGGTGATCACACCAGTTACATTTCGGCTTTACCACATCACAGTGAATCTAACAGTCAACCCATTAGATCCACTCAGAAAAAAAATGTTTTTAGAACAAGTGAAGAGCTCTCCAGGGCTATATACCTTCCTTGCAAAGCACGCATCACACGCACGAGGAGGGCGTCCGCGGCGCCTTTCTTGTGGATTGTCTTTTGGAGTGAGGAACATTGATAAGTTCAGGAGGTCAAATCTAGTATTACTACAAAAACGATGATTTTCCATCAATTGGAGTCGATCAACCGGTCAAAAGAAGTATTTATCGGACTGATGTAGCCTGATAAGCTATAAGAGATTGGATCAAACAGGACCACTAAAAGTCAAAGATACTTACAAAGCAGTGCACCCAAACTAGACCTTCAACCTCTCGAGCGCTTCTTTGGATTCTTCAAATGATGGCAAGGTGAAGTTTGATAGTAGAGAGCATGAAAACGAAGAACTTGGCTATGTGGCGAACTCAAACTTTAGTCAATGCTACAATTTAAAAGCTAGTCAAAACTCAACCTTGGAATGTTGGGGGACACATGGATTGACCTGACTGCCCAATGAGTTTCAATGGGATATCAGCATTTCGACCGCGTGAATTTACATCTAGCACCACAGTGATATACACGTATGCACCTTTGGGAGTGACAATGCATCCATACTGCACCAAAATGCGGAGTCAACCTCAGGAGATGGAAGTGAAACGCGGAGAGACGAGACTGAAGATGGGGCGTCTGCACATGTATTAGCACAGGTGATCCTCAACAGAGTTGCCAAGTCTTACTAGCAGGAAGCCACTAAATTTGCATGTACATTTCGGTAATTGGAAATCATATTAGCTGTTAAACTACACAGGTTTTGCCGGCTTTGCCGTACTCGAGTTCTGTGTTGATTCATTCTAGCTTGAGTTATCCCGGATGATCCTCCATTCCCATCAAAGATCAGCACCTGAGGCATAAATGGTGTGAATGGTTATAGCCAGAGATAGCTCAATCTACACTCTATCATCAATCATTGATGATCATGGTGAGCATCTCCGGGGAGAAAAGGACAAGAAGGGCCAAGTTCACGAACTTTGATGCTGGAAATTCAAGCCAAGGAGGAATAAAAAAAGGGTCAGGCTAAATCGACAGACAGCTAGCCTCCTTGGGACTAGCTCCCGCAGGGAGACCTAACCCATAAAAAGATACTTATATTTTCTCTGACCGCTTTCTATTTTCCCTACCTTCTACCTACCTATTGATTCATACTTTAACTAGGGATTTAGCCACCAATTTCAATAATATTTCACTTTTTTTTATGTATCTTAAGATTTTGATTTTCCCAGACTGGCAGAAAAGTGGCAGAAAAAGTGACAGAGGTATCTTTTTGGTACTCCCAAGGGCGCTAGTCGTACATGGGACTAGCGCCTGTCGATTTAGCGCTTTGTGCTATCAATTTAGGCTGACTAAAAAAAAACGTTTCTACCGAGAATCGAACGAGACCCTTTCTTCCCATCAAATTCAGATGGAAAATGATCAAAAAGCAAAAAGAATTGACCGACGCAGGGGTCGAACCTGCAATCTCTTGATTCGTAGTCAAGCGCCTTGCCATTGGGCCAGCCGGCCTTGTTGAAAAGATTGCCAAAGTTGGTTATATGAAGCAGAACTTTAATTCAGCTAAACCCACGCACCGCTTCTTGAATAGGATTAGCAATGTTATTAAATTACGCGTTTTGTAACAAAACGCCTACAAGTGTACTGAACACAGGTAAGACTCAAACAAGGCTAACCAAAAAGGGGACACAGCGCGTGTACCTGAGATGTTAAGGGCGTGTTTTTTAATCATTCTTAATTCTCAACTCTTGATCATCAACACAATTTCTTAGTCTTCTTTCAGACTTCCCATGCTTGGCTATTAGGAGCCGCTTGGGATTACAATTTTCATATAGAATGACTGGTCAACTACTCGGTAGAATTATAGGAGGCCCGGGGTTTGGACAAAAATTAAAATGTTATTCATGAAACATTTTGAACGTGGAGTTGGGAAAAGATTGAATGAAACTTGAATATATATAGTAGCATAATGGATGGTCGCACCTGAATCATCATCTGACCACACTGACCTTTCCACTCAGGCCTATGCGCGTCAACTTCAAATTTTGAACAATTTGAAATTTGAATCAGATTGGATCAATTGTCTAGCATTACGGGAAAGTAGTACTCAAATCAGAAATTGATACCAAAATTTGAAGGGAATCATAAACATGGATGAACGTAGCGGGCGGCGGAAGCAAAAATCGAACCACCCCCAAAACCAAAAATGGAATGGCGCACTTGCACTCCTACGCAACATTTAGACATTTGAAAATTAATAGAACCTGCATGCGCAGAGCATGGCCTCCAAGATAATGGCATAGAAAATCTCAACATTGAATGTTTCAAAAAGGCTAGTGGTCCTGACTCCTGCCAACCACACAATCTCGCCATGGAGATAGACCGCCACTCTCAAGAATCTTGAAGGACTTGACCAAGAGATAAGAAAGCACCAACTGGATCCATGACATCCGTATTTCCTGCCAACATCGGCCAGTTCTCAAACAAATCTGTCGAATGTGAAGTACTCGATATGGGTGGGAAATCGATATCAGGTCCTGAAGTCTGCATTGCAGACTGTAGATCAATGTTTGTAGCGCCAGAAAAGTCCGCTTCTTGTCCACCATGCCTGTCGCTAGTCACATTAAGGGAATCATTATACGCTGGGCCACTCGTTTTCAATGCTTCCAGTGGAAGGCTTTGAGCAGATAGTCTCCTTTGAGGATCCTGCTCAGAGGCCTGCTGCCTACACTGATCAATCTGACTGACCTGTGCCCGGAGCTTGGCAGCAATCCTCGGATGAGAAAGTCGAGATAGCTCAATATCAATATTTTCAAGGAACTCAGCAAGCGCTTGGAGAATACTCTGAACCAGAAAATATGTTCGCGTGGGAGAGGAACTCGGAATTGCGCTGCTAATGATGTGACCAATATGAGCCAAGTGATGAAGCTATGGAAATAATGTTAGTAATGGCAAAGCCAATAGAAATAACGGTACCCAGATTGGACTTGAAGCGATGGAAAACCTTGGAGAGATTGATTCGAGCTCATCAAGCAGTTCGCTTGCGATGGCACATCGTAGGTGGACATTTGGCTTCTCACTTCCCACAAGATACATTTTAATGTTACTTGTCGTAAAAATGACATTTATAGCTAGTGATATCGTCAATACCGTTTATTAGACCAATGATTAAAATTCAACAGAAAGGAGGCTTACCGATGAGACCACACCAATTCGCATGTGGATTCCCCGCTATATCAGCCACCTTCTTGAGCTCGCGTGGCAATTACTCATGCAGTTTCGAGATCAAGTTAAGAATTTCGAAAGTAAAATGTTTCGAAGCATGACCGCCAGAAAGAAAGGAGTTAAGAAGGCCAGCAGGTTCCTCCCGTGAGACCTGCTGCCAAGCCCTCATCATGCTGTTAATGTTTTCAGAGAGACGGTACAAGTCTGCGTAGTAATTACAGGCACGCAGAAAAGAGACACGGTCGGGGTTTGTTCGAGTGCACATAGCTGTGATATCTTCATCATCGAAGACCTCGGCTGGATATAGCACTGTCGTCTTTGCCTCGCACTGCCGGGATGGCAAGCCGAAATTGGTAGAGATGTACTGTTGCTGCTGGTAGACGCCCCAAAACTAAAGGCAGAATCAGCAACCAAGAACAACAGGGTAGAATAAAAGCATGAGTGATATACCTACCAGTCTTCTCCTCTCCTCTTTCTCAATCTCTGAGAGACCGAGAGGCCAGTTCGCCTCAGAATAGAAACCATGCATGACCGAGAGAGACGAATAGTCTCCCAGATGTGCAACAGTCTTTTTCATATCCTCGTTCTGTAGACATACAGAAGCCAGGATTGCACTCGCCTTCATTGCTTCACAGTAGTCTGTAGCATTTGAAATGTCACTTGGCATCGCCTTTACTGCCATGGTGTAGCATTGGGAGGATAAAGTCGCAGCCTGTGGCTGAATACCATGGAGACCTGGAGGCACTGGAATACCACTATCTAGCTGCCCAATAGTCAAAGCACAAATAGACATGGAGGCAACGAATGTCCCCCAGTCAGATCGATACATTTGATGATTAACTCTGTCGAAGAATGTCGGCCAGTGGAAGTATGGTACCCTAGATATGTGAGCACATAGAATGGGCTGAGAATGTACGCATTGCTGTGTTATTGGAAGCAAAGAGGAAATCAACATACATCGGGTAGATATTATGATAGAAAACTTGCATCAAAGTTTCGATCACTTCAGGATTAAGAAAATCATCATCACTTGCATATAGATCGGACGGAAATGGAGAGGGGAGAATGGCGTCATCGTTGGAATTTGGGCTCTTTGATGCCACAGAAGGCTCACTGAGGGCCACCACGGAGGGCTCAACAGCTGGAGGAGGAATATTCGTTGAACTGTCAACGGGCTTTGGGGGCTCTGCGTCAGTTTCTCGCCGAGCGCGGCGTACTGGAGGCTAGCTTGGCGTGAGCAGATGGGCAAAATTGATATAACATGTATGAAATTCAAACGCAACAAGGGAAATATAGAAGATATTGAGCTTACTCCTCGTCTTTTGACGGGCCTATTGTATGTGCATTGCACTGCCTGCTTCTCAAATCGGCGACATGTGGTTCCCATGATACCAGGCAAACACTACAATATAAGTTAGCTATTGCTCAGATAAGATGAGTATTCTTAGCTGGAGGACATACTCTACACGCATTTCGATGACATCTGTCACATGCGCGCTAGAGATAATCAGCAAGAAATAATCAAGTCGTTCCATCGATAGGATTAATCGGCAGGCAAGAGGTAATAACTCGTGGTAGGATGTCGGATCAACTCACAGTTTTACGTCTGCGCTTTAAGTTGTCAGTAACAATATGCAAGATATGAAACAAGAAAAAATATACAACTGAGCCAGCTTCAGTTGTGGCGGGAATTTCGTCAACATCCATCTTTGAATAGAGAGTACTAGATCTAGCTCGCTGAAGCCAAGATGTGTTGAAGGAACCTAGATTTGATCGAGTGATAGGGAAGCGATGAAGTAGGGAGATGTGCTGGTGAAGATTTGGGATCCTGCTATTGAGAATCTTCATGAAGTCATTTGCATAATCTTTTAATGGAGAAGGCAGAGTCAAATGACATGTAAGTGTAGGAAGATGAGCTCAAAATGCGGGGCGAGGGTCTTGCCTCAGCAAACTGTTCTGGACAGAATAAATGCGGAGTAAGGTTCATGGTACATGTCAGTAGTACTTTTATTGCCACGACGACAGCTTTATGCTATATCATTCCGTAATCGCCAACACGTAGAAACGTGCACTTGATAGGCAAGCTCCAATTACAGAAGGTAATAGACAGAATTTCGGGGCATCAAGATCGGGGACTGGGTCAATTTGATACAATTAGTACTGTGCGGGGAATGTTGTACTCGGATGATTAAATGGTTCAAAAGTTTTAAGTTGATCTCAATAGAGAATATGGGGTAAATGATGAAGAATTCTACAATAGTGACGATCAGTGATCGTCACGGGTTTCCCTGCATGATTTGGCTCTGGTACCGGCAGATCATGGATGCACCGGTTATTCTAATTTAATCGGCTCTGCATAACAAGGAATGAGAGTTTACAAGGACACATCGATCTACACAAAGATTTGTAGATTTGAAGATTCGTGCACAGGAAGACAATTCCCATGCTTCTCATAGATTGACTAGAGGATATCTCTTACGAATCCTTTCACCATAGAAATAAAAGACCAGGGTTATAGGTATACATCCCAGCACGACAAGTGCCAAGAGTGTATTTCCCCAACCTATTCCCAATTTATCATACAAGGTCTGGCCACGTAATGGGATGACAGCGGCACACAGAGACCGAAGAGCAACGGGCACCTATTGCCGAGGCGGCATATACTGTAAAGACATCAATCAAATAAGCTGAAGGTGCAGCCTGAGGATTCGTTAGGGTCAAAATGGTAAAGCCTATCATTTACTCCAGATCAGGGGACTCACAAATACTATCGTTAGCCCAATAGCCGCGACAGCGGTCCCAATTATCGGAACAATCCAATGAACCTCAGCTTGAGCTGACCATCCGTACCAAATGAGGCCTATTGGCAACAAGATGCCACCAGGAACTATGAGTGGTAGTCTATCTTCAGGCTTAAAAGTACCCTTGGCGATGCTTCGTGCTACAAAGCGGTTCGACACAGTGGTGTATGTAGCTTGACCTATGATAGAGCCAATGCCCCAACCCAAGTAGACCAGTCCTGATGTGGAGGTGGGAATCCCGTACTGACCCTCGAAGACAGTCGTGAATGTGGTAAATAGGCTAGGGACAGCTTATTAGTATCCTGGTAAGACGTAGCCCTGCACGCACTTACATGAACATCATAGTGTAAACAATAGCAACATAGATGCAGAGTAGACACACGCATGACTGATTTGAAGAACATTTTTGCCGGTCGAATGAATGACAAGCGCAACAGAATTGCAGTGGAATCCTCTTTGTCTAGACGTGACTTCAAATCTGGATTTCCGCTCTCTTTTCGAAGCTGTTGCACTTTTCGTGCAAGTAGGACCCGGGCAAAAGTCTCCCTCATGAATATGATACTAATACCGCATATAACTCCCGCAATTATGGAAAGGATCCAAAAGGTCCATCTCCAACCAAGGTAGGCACTTATGAAGCCACCGAAAGTGGGTCCAATCACGGGTCCTACCGTCAGTCCGCCCATCCATATACCCATGGCCGTCCCTCTTTGTGCTGGATCCACGATATCTGCGATTGTGCCTCCGCCAAGTGTGAACGGTGCGGCTCCGAAAGCGCCAGCAAGGAAACGAAATATAACGAGGGCTGCCATGTTTGGAGCGATAGCGCAAGCAATGCACCATATCAAGAAGTTCAGATTGCAGGTGAGGCAAACGGGAAGTCGGCCGTAGGTCTCCGATAATGGCGCAATGACTATTATGATATTGAGTTAGCTCCAACCAAGGACCAGAGGTGTTAAGCCTATACCTAGGGGACCGAAGGCAAAGCCTAGCGCATAGACGGAAATGACGAATCTCTCCAGGAGATCATTATCTGAGTGAAATTCCTTCATCAACTGTGGAACTCCTGGCGTGGGTATGGTTGAGCCCAAAGCAGTCATCAATGTGCTAACAGAGACAATGGAAATCATAATCCATTTTCGAGATAGGGGCCAGTTCTTTGGGTTCTGTCGATCTTCTGGTTCTCAATCGATGATGTTCGGGTCAGGTGTGGGTTCTCTGCTGTCAGAAGATGGTGTTTCTGATTCTCCCTCAGATTTTTCCTGTGACAGGAAGCTATCATTCATCTGACTGGAGGAAAGTAGTGTATCGCCGCCCTCGTATTTTGTTGCAATTTCGTCACGTATCGCCGGCGAACCGGGTGATAAGTCTGAGCTTGATGACACCGCCATTTTCTTGCGGCAATTCCTTCTTCAAAGTATGCTGTCTCTGATTATTCGAATTACATTGATTCTTTGTCGGAGTTTGGAGAGGTTTTAAAGATTTTTTTTTCACACGCATATTGACTGTGCCTAGATTCGCCGTGCTGAGCGGAGCCGCTAGTTATCCATGGCTGGCACTTCAGGTGCTACAAGGTATCTTCACCCGGTTAAACTAAGATCTTGGCCTCAGATAGCATGATCTGCAGACTACAGCTATCAACATACGCAGAAGACGATTTGGTTTATTTTTATGTTTAATTTTTAATTTTTTAATATTTTTTTTTTTGGGTTTGAATTCTGCAAGATTACCGAGGTCTGCAAGTAAGCTGTCAGATCGCTGTCTGGTTGTAGTAGGCGGTCTGATCCACTGATGATGTCGATATGTCTGGTTTTCTATTTTCTCGTAACGCGTCCTTAGATACATGCAAATTCTGCCGGGTCACCTGATCCCGCTAGACCGGTTCTGGCTGACATAAGCTCCTGACTAAGCGGGATATTGTGGGGCCGGAAATGCGGGGTATGCCAAGACTTATCGGGACCAAATAGTAAATTTAAGCGTTAAAGTGCCCAGGTGTTTAACCAGAGGACAACGGTCCGATTAAAACGAGGGTCAACTTGAATCGTCTACAGATACATGGATCATCCACCAAAAACAAATGGGCTGCATGCATGACTATTAATTGCTTTCATGCTGCGGTCATGACAAATAAGTTATTAGCTTCTGTCTTCGAGTCCGTATCTTGTTAGTTTGTAAAGTTGAACTATGTAAGCTATGTATAAGAATTTGGGGCTCTATATAGGAGCTGGATGGAAAAGGGACCTTCTTTTCTTCACTTGAGAAAAGTTAGGAGAATGAAGCTGAGGGCTATAATCAATAGTATTGGGATTCATGACACAGATGTTGTAGAGTAGCACTATGCTACACCGTGGCCATACAATTTGTTTTACCATAATGCTTTGAATATTGATAAGACTTGAAAGAGGATCAAAATTTTACATTTGAAAGCATTGATCAAAGGGCCGACTCATAATATAGCTCAATGACCATTGTTGAAATGACTTGGACTAATACCCGGCACTAGTTATCAAATTTACTGACAGAGATTCTAAATGACAGTGGAAATTCCCGACGAAATTCTCGCAATCGAATCAAAATACTCCGTGAGTGCCCTGCCCAACCCGCATTCTGTTGCAACACCAAACTTCTTCCCCTTCAGATACTTTGTTGCTGCAATCAACCTCTTCATCGTTCCAGCTTCGTCATTTGGATGCACAAGACCAACATAAAATTCAGTTTCCTCTCCTGCATTCAACCCCACCAACGGAGCAAAGTACGCGTCGTCATCTCTTGACTTCGGCACAGGGAAGTGAACCCAGTTCAAGACTCGGTTTGACTCCGCCGCAACGGTATTGGAAATCTTCACAATATCCGCCGTGTCGACTGGTTCAATAAAGTGCTTGTGACCCATGTCTCCGTAACAAATATGCAACCCAACATCAACATCAGGAGCGACACTTCTAACCAAAGAAGCAACTCTTTCCATTGATCCGGTAAAGGCGTCTCCTTCCCAGTATTGTTCAAAATGATAAATGACCGTCCCTGGCTCAGCTTTGATAAGCATTGGCTCCGCAGCAACATCCACCTGAAATGCAAGATCCTCATGTGGAATTTCAGCCTCAAGTCGTTTCAGACATCCAATCAGGGCATCTGTATAGAGTGGCTCAATTGCAGCTGCATACTCAGCTCGCAAGAGAGACATCACGCAGTAAACGGTCGGGACGCAGACCAAGAATCTGACGCCCTGGGGAATTATTCCCTCGGCTCTCAGCCGTCTGAACTCTGCGTAACTCTCAAGTCCAAATTCATCGTATCGGAGGTTGAGTGGTGGGAGATTGTTTACCACCTCTGCGATCTCAGCGGGTGTAGCTGTAGGCTTCTTGATGACATCATTTTGCGCGTCATATTCCTCAAGCATGAATGGCGCATGGGAGAAGACAGATCGTTGCCAGCCGACGAAGTTATTTCGTGAGGCGGGTTCACCGTCTGGGAGGCGGCGGAGGCGTGCTGGGAAGGCGGCGATGCACTTTTTGAAGGACTCAGTAGCAGTTTCGGCGCCGCAGATAGAGCCCACGAGGTGGACACCGGAAGGAGATGAGGCCATGGTCCGTATTTGAAGATTGTAGAAGAATCAGTTGGGAATGTAAATATTTGAGAAGAGAAAATATTGTCAAATGGGGTTTAAATAGATGGTTTCCGGGTAAACTGGTATTTACCTGAAAATATTGAAGAACCGAACGGCTTCTTCGTGAAAACATCACGAATGCATGGAATCTTCGGAATTTGTGACGATCATCAATGATCGATGCGTGTGATACAAGATTAGCGCCGTGTATCATCTCACAGACATGGGTAACGTTGTTATTGGTAGAAGAATGACGACATCTAAAAGCTCCTGCTACAGCAATATGAGTAAAATTCGAAGAGTGAAAACCTGCTCCGAGGTCTCAAGTTAGGAGATACACTGGGAGGCATGGATGGCATCCAATAACCTTGAAACTTGAATAGTCTCAATTTTTGTGGTTGCAGTCTGATCACAAGTCAGAATGATCTGATAAGAGATCTACTATGTCAACAAATCCTTGCTTGATACTCAAAAATCAACCAGTTGCCATATACAAGCCCCACCACCTGGGCAGTTTTGCAGACTAAAACTAGATATTTGTTCATACATGTATCCTTTCTAGTCGGTTTTCTCTCAGCAGAATTAACTCAAATTATTTGATCTTTGATAAAGATTTTACATTATCATCAGCCATAACTGACAACTTGAAAGCACTTGAGCACATCCATGTGTATATAGAAGAGAAAATCGTCGCAGAGTATAATAATGCTTAGACGGATGTGACCTTCATCCATAATAGGTAGTTAGCTCTAGTAGGTACTGAATTCACCCACCCTCAATGAGAACAACCAGCCCCATATGTGCACATTCCATGTCAATAACTTGAATAAGTACAATAATAGAATGGGGATCACAAGATCCGGAGAAACACGGTATGTAAATGGCCGTTGAAGACGGCGAATGGTCTTGTGGGGCTGATGTGGAGAAACAGGGCTCAACTTCAAAGAGTAGATGACGGCCAAATTGTGGGTCTCAGGCCATCCACTATGTTGTTTGAACATCTGAATACTTGAGACATCATGATATCAGAAATAGATAGGCTTGTACCTAGGTACTAGAATCAAGACTATACGGGGCTGGAATATTAACAACGGCCCCACCTGAGTATGTCTCACAAGTGGGCAAGATATGGTGGGTTTATTTGTCCGGGAAGTGGAATGATGTAGACATAAAATCCAGAATATTGTTGTCCTTTGAGGATAAAGTTGAATCCAAGATTATTTCAACATCTTTCGAGTGACTTCAACATCCTTCTGGGTGAACTTTGAATAGCAACATCACTTAAACAATCAACATGTCGACCTCCTTCTCTTCTATTCCTATCGTTGACTTTGCTCGTCTGCAGAATCCTGAGACAAAGGAGACTGAACTAGCAGTTCTTCAAGATGCTATCTTTCATGTTGGGTTTTTGTATCTCGTGAACACTGGGCTAGAGGTAGCATATGAAAAGGCATGGTATCATAGTGAACACTTGCTGACATCGAAATATGGATAGTCCCTTATCAGCGAAACTCACGCAAAGTTGCCCGATGTATTTTCAATCCCCACTGAGGACAAGGAGAAAGTGGACATGTTGAATTCGCCTGCCTTCTTAGGCTACACATCACTGGGCAGAGAAACCACAGCCAAGATCACAGACCTGCGAGAGGTAGTATCTGAGAATTGCAACAGCCATGAACTCTGCTGACGGGATCTAGCAATTTGATTTTGGATCCGAAGTCGAGGACTTCAAGGAAGGCGATCCGTTCTGGCAGAAGCTGGAGGGACCTAGTCAGGTATGACACTTCATTCTCTGTGCTATGGTTAGCGCTAACAATACATCCTCTGGTAATGATTAGTTCCCCAATGAGTCGATCAAAGAATTAGTTTGGCGGTATATGGGAAGCATGGAAACCTTAGGAAAGGCCTTTGTCGGCTTTGCTGCTGAAAGTATCTTTCTTCCGAGGGATACGTTTGATCAATTCCTCGGCAAGATGTCAAGATTGAAGTTGGTCAAGTACCCAATGTCTCCTGCTGGATCCCAGGGTGTTGGGCCTCACAAAGACTCCATCAGTCTCTTCACTTATCTTGCCCAGGATAATGTTGGCGGCCTGCAAGTCTTGAACAAGTCCGGGGAATGGATCGACGCCCCTCCTATCGAGGGCAGTTTGGTCATAAATATTGCGCAAGGATTCGAAGCCATCACTGGAGGTGTCTGCTCGGGCACAACTCATCGCGTTATTGTAAGTTGAGAGGAGTCAACTTCAGAGATTCTCGTATCACTGACACCTTGACTCAAAGGCACCGACATCTCGTACTCGGTACAGCATTCCTTACTTCCAGGCTGTAAGACTTGATCTCAGGTTAGATGAGCTGAAAGAATCGGCTGCGAATATTGTCGATCGGATTCCAGTGACAGACGATAAGAAGAAGAGGTTGGTGGACGTTCCAAGTGAACTTATTTCGCCACTGTACGAAAGTGTAAGTCAATACGCTTGCAACACTATGCACGAAATTGCGTGAATAAATGGACTGACATCGGATTATAGTTTGGCGAGGCGCAACTTAGGAACCGGATTTTCAGTCACCCGGATGTCGGCGAGAAGTGGTACCCGGATGAGTACCGGCGCTACTTGAAGCAGTTGCTCGTGTGAGGAATTCTGACTGAGACATTCTAAATGATTGAATGAGATGTGTGAGAGAACAGGATGATAGCGGAGTCATCTTTCCTTTTCTTGCCCAATGAGGCGTTGCTGTTTCTGTTTTTCCAGATTGATAATCGTATATCCTCTCTTCCCTTTAGGATGCCCCAAATCCTGTCAGGGGTATCAACCGATCGAAAGATTGGTGAAATGAAGAGATATCAATATTTACATCATCATGATAATTTGAACAACACCACGGGTAGGTTTGGCTTCTGTTTATGCTCAATATTCCTGGCAGACTATTCGAGGATGGTAGGGATATGATTTTATTTTGCATGATTCATCTCATTAAATTCAATCAAAATCACAGTTTCTTGACTTTCAAATAATTCCTAATATGTGAGCTGAGTTCAAGAGGCATCTTGTATTATGACTGGAATATTCTCCTGTCTAACAAACATCGAATTGGTGACTTTCCACTCATGATCCAAGCTAGGAAGCTCCATCTAGAGGTGAGAGTCAGATAAGTCAGTCATATCGCAGAATAAATCTGTCATTATTGAAATAGACTTACATCAAACGTAGTGAATAATGTAGCCAAAAACTTAGAAGCTTCCAGCTCAGAAAGATATCGGCCGACACAGCTTCGCGTTCCAGCTCCAAATGTAAAATTAGCGCCTTTCATTGCCTGAATCCGAGCTTGATATTCCTCTTCGGCTTCGTAATCTGCTCGAAGCCACCGTTCTGGGATGAATGAGTCAGTGTCATCCCCAAATACGGTGTCACGATTGATGACCCAGGGGTTCATTCCCGACTATTGTTCCTTCTGGAATAAAGCGACCGTCGGGTAATGTCAAGCCTCCCTTTGGGACGACTCTTTCGAGACTAAAGCCAACACCGGGATTTATACGCATGGACTCGCGCATGACTGCCTCCAAATACTTCAACCCCTGTAATTTCTTCCATTCGGGAGGATATGACAGGTCCGCGGATCGTAGTTCTTCACAAAGTCGTTGACGAACTGAGGGATTTTTGAGGATGTAGTAGACAACTGCGCGCATAGTGCTTGCGGCTGTATCACTTCCAGCTGCGATATTCGAAAGTAGATAGGTGATAATAGTGTCATCCGTTACTGTATTAGGATACTTGTCTTTCAATGAAATGTATTTATCCATGAAATAGACGATCGGCTGCGACTCAGTGCTCTGTGACTTTGGTCTCCCATTTTTGAGTCTGTTTTTGTCTTGCTCTATACCAAAAAGAACTCCCCAGCCACTGCTTGGTGGCCCAATCCGGTAGATGGGGCTCTTATTAAGGATGAAATCCAGTTTGGGAAATTGACTAATCTGATGAGGTTATTAGTAGATATCTTTAGTAATTGTTCCACGGGTGGACCGCATACAGGCGAAAAGTAATCCGAAGTTTTGGTGCTGATCTCCATTAGATTTCGTTCATCCCTTCCATGTTCCAACATGCCCAAGTCTTTGGAGAACGTGATCTGACTCATGGTATCCCAAGCAAAATAGCCAACATATGGTGACATGTCACATGCCTGATGTGTTTCAACAAATCTCTCGCGAATATTTTCTACAAGGATCTTGAGGATGGTGTCAATGGCAGGCTGGTACTCTTGGACTTTCGTCATTGAGAAAAGCGGTCTCACCGGGCGGATAAAGGTAGAGTGCCATTCCTCGTCCCGGTGAGAGAAAATATCTTTTCGCCGGGCTCCATTTACCATAGTGTCATTGACATTGTACATCTCACTTTTCATCCAGCGTGTCTTGGTCGAATAGACTTGATGGATCAATGCGGGATCGGACAGACTAAGCATATTCGGACCCAGACGAACAGCAGACCCATATTTCCGATGAAGTCGCAGTTGTGTGATATCACATCTTCCTTTGAAGGCATCTCGAAGGCGCCATAAATTTGTGAATCGGGTTGGCCCTGGCCCAGGAAATGACCTCACGGTGGAGGTAAAGAAATTCCAACAGAAATGGGCGACTAGAATGAGTGTCCCATATATGGCCGCATTATAGAGCAAGTACCCTGCAGTGAACATTGTTGCAGATTATTAACTCCTGTAAGCAGGATAGTGACTGGGACAGGGACGCCTAAGAGTTAAACATCTCATTTCAAAATGGAGCGTCATCGGGACGCCTGATTTGTCTTGAAACCTTCCGAGCTACCCTCGAGGCGCCTAAGGGGGCAATTCCAAATAAATTTCAAGTGCTCCTGGACCCCAGAGATGTCCAATGAGATGCTTGCATGGTATAACCATCATATGGCCATCAGGTCCAATGAGACACACAGACCCTTATCGACATGCACGTATAGGGGCGAAACCAAAGTCTCCGATCATCCTGCATTCCACCATTCAACAATCCATAGAAAGAGCTGCGATACTTTGGAATGGAAATCCCCGTGGGGTTATTCCGGAGCTTGATTCCTTAAGAATCTGAAAAGTTCCTGTCAGTGGGCCGAAATGGATACCTGAACGGGTATATCCCCAAGCTTGAAATGCTTATGCACGGACGGAGACGGGCGTATCTGTAAGGATTTTGATTCATGTATGACGCGGAGTAATGGTTATGCTTCTGCAGCTCGGCTGGATCAAATATTATGCTTTGATAAAAACATGTATGCTGGGTGGAGAACCAGTCAAACGTGTTTATTGTTCTTCGGACTTCAAGTGCCAACATCCGTGGACTGTGGAGAAGAAATCGTAGTTCCGGTTGCGAAATGGTAGATAAGTTTGAATAGCAGCTTGAAAAATCTAAAGTTAACTCCATGCGACCAAGGTGCATTATTTCAGTGACGATCATTTTGCTGGGCTTCAAGGTTATGTGGAATACTTGAAGTAGTCAGCGGAGTACGCTATTACCTGTGTGAAGTTGATTTCGGGAGATTTGCAAGGATCCGGCTTGCAAGTTGTGGCGAGGAGATAGAAATCATTGGCACAATAAATAATCTTCAAATGGATTAAGAAAGAATTCAAATGTTGCCAATAGCTGGAGTTGAACTGGAGACCTCGAAAGTGGGTCCGCATCGTGAGATGCTGCGAATAGCCTCACTTGATACATCCATCACAACACTATCATCCTTGATATCTCACTCATTCTTGAGTATTTTAAAGTTCTGGAAAGAACTTGAAAGATAGAAAGAGCGAGCTTAGAAGTATTCTACATAAAAATATCAAAAATTCAAAAAAAAGAATGCCCGTAGCTTCGGTCGAAGCTACTTCCCTGCCCGCCCGCCGGTTCCAAGGGTTAGGTATCAATGTATGAGGATTCCGGATTCCGACATATAAATAACATTTGAATATCATGATTGAAGCCAGTAAGCTCAGGATCTTTCATACCAGTGGGTATGCGAGTTCAGGGTTTTTTATTCAGTAATACTGGCTCATGATAACTCTCGAAAGACCTCAGCCACATCTTCTCTGGCTTTTTGGAGCCCATCGTCCACTTTCCCATTTGCATGCCTTGATTTGACTTCATAATGGAGATTGACAAGTTCCTTTGCGCGCCGCAAATCCTCTTTCTTTTGGAGCTCATTGGACCCACATCCTGCACCAACGCCATTTTCGCCAGAGACTGACCCGGGAGTGGATAGATTCACATTGACCAAGGCGAGTGCTTCATTGTGGCCCTTTTTATTGTCAGACTAGACTCGCAAGGGGCTAATAATAGGGACTGGAGATCTCCGAGAATGAAAAAGGGAACTTACACAGACTCGGAGTGAAGTGATATCTGATAAGATTTCCGCGACTTGCATAGTGAACTCAGCGATGGGTCAGGTGTTTGGGAGAGTTTCAAGGCTGTGACGTTGAGGTGTTGATAAGATGAGGACACTGATAAAGCACACGCTTAAGGATCAAAAGGCACACGCACAGTTTGGATTAGCCTTGTTTTTGAAATACAGAAATTTAAACCAGTAATGTGCATTTTAGTTTCTTAAACCGGTAATACCAGAACGCCGCTTGTCCTAGATAGGGAATACCGCGTGGATTTAGCTGAACTAGAGATTTGCTTCATAAAACCAACTTTTGCAACTTTTTCAACAAGGCCGGCTGGCCCAATGGCAAGGCGCTTGACTACGAATCAAGAGATTGCAGGTTCGACCCCTGCGTCGGTCAATTCTTTTTGCTTTTTGATCATTTTCCATCTGAATTTGATGGGAAGAAAGGGTCTCGTTCGATTCCTGTCGGCGACGATTCTTTTCTTATTTGGTCTTTCTTGCACTTCAGGACTGTGTCTGCCAATTCTCTCAGGCATTACCACATTTTTGCCTATATAATTTGCTAGTCAGGTGTAATAACGATTTAGTGCTGAGTCCAAGGTTCGTTGGTATGATTGTACTTTAAAACTATGCACTGATGCACCTGACTGATCTGATGCGTAGTAGTGAGACTGGTGTAAACTTGCCGAGGAAAATGGGTCCTGTGTAAATTTACTTATCCGGCAACCCCAAATAGCAGATATGGGCATCTTGAACTTAGAAAAGTCTTCAGTCTCAATTTTCAATAACCTATCTTTGAATTTTGCCTCCTCATATCACTTATTTTGTTGGCCGTGAAGATACATCGGTGACGAAAAATGCATTCAAAATGTTTGTCGATACGTACATTCGGCCATATCGTGTCTTCGGTCTTCCCGAGGTCACCATTGGAATGTACACAGTACGTGAACAGAGAATAGGCGGTCATTTAGTGATCACAGATCAGGGGGTGATACTGGACACTGTATTGGAATCTGAAGCCAAACGTCGTGGTGCCCTTTCAATGTTGATTCTCCCGGGCTCCTAAAGTGTAGAAGCATCATGCCATTGAATCTGACTAGTATCCCCCTCACTCCACCACCCCCTTCCACCACGAAAAAATATATCAGATCTGACCTCAAACGATCTCAACTGCTGTGAATATTCCTGGGCAACCTTCTCGTCATCAAATGTATCCCAAGCCATAGACTTCTGAGGCCCGTCAAAGCGAGCCATATCTTGTTTCCGCGAAGCATCCATCATCACGTAACCGATCTTCCTACTGGTCCGATGAGGTGGGGCAGCTACGTACTGTCCGCTATCATCCCCTTCCTGGGCTTGAAACCATATCTCTGCTGGCCCAGGGTTAGGATCGAATGAGTTGTATTGGCTTGGCAAATGTCGCAATTTAACCATAGCCTGCTCGTCAAGTTCATTTGTCTCTTCGGGGTAAAGCTCATTCGAATCAAGCAGACATTCAATCAAACCGGACCACTGCTGGCGAGTGAAAGGTGTTCGTCTAGCAGACGGTGCCGTTCTTCGTGATTGGAAGCAGTGGTCACTTGTTCGAGAAATTTGAGCCCATGCGAGACCTGCGGCAGTGTCAGCTACAAGGTTAGCATCGCTGCGAAGCTCCATTTAACATACGTAGCCTTGTAGCCAAGAGTTATCGTTCTCGGCCCAGGGGATAGAAAGGTCGCCAAACTTAACGTCATGCGCGGCTACTTCCTTGAAAGCTGAAAAGAAGTGTCAGAAATGACAATATGGTGGAGGGGATAGACCATACCTGGCTCAAGTTCATCAACCAGAAAATCATGGACGCAAGCGAGCTGCTCATTTTCCCACGGCGCAAATCGTTTGAAAAATGTCTCCAACTCATCATCCAGTGGCAATGGAGTCTCCGATTGTCCAAATAGGGAACAATAGACTTCGAAAGTATAGAAACTGCGCTCCATACGATATTTCTCCGAGGGGGTGAATGAGAAGGCTGGGGTGTGCAAAGATTTCTCGTTTTCCAAGTAAATTCACAGCTTGTGCTGCGGATTTCCTAGCAAACTTCCGCACTGTGTTATGAAGTTGTATGACATGCAGAGCCTCACATAATGTTATGTGAGCTAGGATTTCTCGGCGAGAGAGCGACAAGAAAGCATTTTTCGAGTATCGGAACGACATCTGTGTACCGATGTGGGATGTGACGGGCTTTATCGAGCTCAAGAAAGGCTGACACGTAAGGGAAGAGCCTGGTATCGATTTTCTTTTGTAATACGTGGGAAACAGTGGTGTTGTCTTCTTGGAACGCCTCGTATATTAACTTGTTGCTTTGTATGGCTGATAGAACATCTTGAACTGTCGGTAATTGACGCAGGATAGCGTTGCGAAGCTCGACTGGTATGTTTGAAATTCCGTGAATCTTCATGACGATAGTCGCAAAATGCGCGGGATGTAAATCATACAATACTGGGGCGGGTGGATTCTATCCAGGCTATCAAAGAGACGTTATCCGAAAGGCTTGAAAGGGAAGACAAGCTGAATCGAGATCTTGGCAAGTTCGCAAAGATCAAACTGGATAGGCGCCCAGGATGTGGGAATGATAGCCGCTCATTGGTAGTTTGCAGTGGCTTATACAGATCAAGTGCGGGGCATCAACCCCAACCCCAAATCAAAATCAAGCATCGTGCAGTACACCGCACTCTTCACTGCACTCCTAGTCACGTTACCAGTATCTCTCAGCGACTAATTGACGACTTGTAATAGGGGCTGCACCGGAACCGGCTGCGGAGGAAGAGTCTGCATGGAATATCTGCCCTGGTGGTTCAATGGATATTCCGGGAACGCAGTGCATTATCTGGCCGGCCAAAGGCGTACCAAAATCTTGGGCTGTGTATGTCCTTCGAAGGAGGGCAGTGCACGCTTGGTATCAACCTTAACTGCTTCGACGCGCAGGATGCGTCGGGACGGAAGATCTGTAACACGAAGGGGACCCAGTCGATTAAGGTCTTCACGTAGCATTCTTTCGAGCCGCGAGCTTTGAAATTCGAGAACTGCGAATATTAAGTGTCGCGTTTGGTGTAGTCTACCTGAGGTGTCTCACATTGATGGATGTGGTTTGGGGAAGGAAAGTATTTGAAAGCGTGTATGTGTTGAAGGTTCTTGAATCGTTCGAGTTAAAAATTTTCTATTTCTTGACAGGTTGCCTCTTATTCCATCCATTGACTTTTCCTTTCCCTTGTGCGAGTGCAGAATTTATTCTTAGTTATGTGTTTTCTGGACGAGACCCTTATAGAGTTCAGTAAGTCAAAACTAAAATGGAGAGTGAATGGAAGCCTAAAAATTCACTATCTCATCACCTGGACTTCAGGCATACTTCAGGCATACTAGTCTTTAGCCTAACAGGCTACCACATCTGTAATGTTAGTATTGAGTCGTGATTTTCATAGGAGACTCAAGGGTTAGTGATAGAGAGGCATACAAAATAAAATAGCTACATGGAGGAGGCTACGTGAGAAAACATTGGTTGGAATGCCAGGCATGTATTGATGTGAGGGGTTGAGAGTCCCATGGAAAAGAAGTAAGCCAAGCCATAGAGAAGACATGAAGTTATTGAGAACAGGAAAGATCAAGAGAATATTTTAAGCCACAGACAGGCCAGAGAGAAAAAACCGATGCCCGAAGCCCACTATGCCGATTGTCCTGAGGTTTCGGAGAGCCCGCCACGGTCATAGCTGCCATCCTTCTAACTCACTGTGCCGATTGTCCTGAGGATCTCGCGAATCCCGCCACGGTCACAGTAGGTCTATAGCGCGGAGAGCTTCTTCTCTTCTATGCGCTAGTCCAATGAAAGAATCCACCAGTGGAAATGTCGTCAACCAGTTGGTCGGTTGAGGAAGAGGGGCAAGAATCCCAGAGAGAAAGTGTGTGCACAAGACCCAGAAGAGACCCATCGTAGAAGGGGACCATCAGACCAAGAGAGGATAAGACCAAGTGGTGTTTGGACATGTCATATGTCAGACATGTGTTGATGGAAGGTTGTGTTGACAGAGAAAGAGTGTGTCAAGGGACCAAGGTTGAATGAAGACCACAGTGGATGAGTGAAAGTGGAAGAGCCTTCATCATGATGGATAGTGATGGTCGATGAGCATGATGGATGGTCATGATGATGGATGGTCATGTTGATAGATGATGTTGATCATGGTCTGGTCGATGGTCATGATGGGTCGTGGTGGAGGGTGATGTAAAAAAAGACGCGACGCGTCAAGATGTTGACGAGATCATGTGTGGTCATGTCATGAAACCATATTGATGGAAAGTGATGTCAACAAGGCAAAAGATGGTATAAAAGTTGGTGCTCAGATGCGTCGATGATGAGGCAGAGCAAGAAGATGAAGATGTGGTGTTAGAAGATCCAAGAGTGAAGTCAGGGATTTGAAGAGGAAAGAGGAGAGTTGGAAGAAGGAAGAAGTTGGAAAATGAGTGAGATCTGGGGAATTTATACCCTTGAGGTGTGGGGCAGTGAGACCCACCAGGATCACACATCCGGCTCTGAATCGACCAATCAGAGGCCAGCGTCACACGGATTGTATTTAAGCATCGCCCCACATATAAAATGGCATACAACTCGATGCTTCGTTACTTCGAACTCCTGGATCAGGATCAGTGAAGGTTAACCGAAGATCACCCGGTCGAAGATAAGCGAACTAATCAAACACCAGAATCACAGATTCCAAGCGAGCCAATCATATACGAGGGATTCTGGGAAAGTATTTAGACATCACTCTCCATAGGAAATTAACTACAACAGGGGGCTTCGCTACTTCCCCACGATCTCATGCGGAGATCACCGGCCTAGAATAAGCCATCCAATAAAAATCCAGTATCACGAATCCAAGCGAGCTCATCACATGCAAGGAGATATTACACTTGATCCCGCCTGGCAGCTTCCAAGTCATGCATGAGTCATGACCCATGACCTCCATAAAAACACCGCTCTGCAGTTGAGAGACTGTCCAGTTCATTAAGAGACTACTTAGTCATTGAAGGAAAACCTGAATCTATTGTAGAGATCGATCTAGACAACATACCAATTGGGCATACTTAAGAGGGGATCAGCATCTGAATGAGCTCCATAACCCGCCGAGCCACGAGCTGTGAAGTTGAGGATAATGAAATATGCAAAATTATGCAATGAATTTTTCAATCCCTATGCAGGCACTTCCCAGTAAAGAAAATATCCCTTCGTCTATAAGAAAGTAGTCTACTTGCCTTTCTGGACAGGTGGGACTTTTTCCATTGAATGGTCGCCAGGTCCTCAGCATCTACCCAACCCCCCTACTTTCCTTCTAACCACACCCAAAATCTTGAACAGAAGAACAGCCTCAAGACCACAATATCAAGGATTCAATTTGCAGTCTTGTTATCTGCCGATTTTAGGAGGAATCCCAGCATCATACTCGGTACTGTATCCACCCGGAACCCTCCAGACCCACATGGAGCCCCACCCGGAGCGTTCCTGACAGAATTGACAGCCTCTAAGCATCCAGATCGCCGAACTCGAAATCCGAGACGAATGCAAAAAGTGCCGATTGGAATCATGATTCCTTTGATTGATCAAGGCTTATATAGCCCTCCGCCGTCGATTCCAGTACCATTTTCCATTGGTACGGCCTGCATCCTGACACCATGATGCGCCAAACCACTCTGCTACGAGTGCGACGAGCGTACGCAGGGACAACTCGAATCCTGGGACGCTTCTCAAGCACATATGCAGGATCAAAGAGACTTGGCGTGGATTACGAGAAACAGATAGCGAATCTGAAATCGCTGAAAGAAACCTGTCGACGTCCGCTAACCTTGACTGAGAAATTACTGTATAGTCATTTGATTACGGATGATGCGCGAAACTGCAACTTGGATCACGTTGAACGTGGCAAGACAGTTCTCGAGATCAGACCAGATCGAGTTGCTTGTCATGATGCGACAGCGACAATGGCTTTGCTACAATTCATCAGTGCGGGTTTACCCCGGGTTATGGCGCCGACCACGGTACACGGTGATCATTTGATTGTTTCGGAGAAAGGAGCTGAGGAAGACCTTCGGCGTGCTAAATTGGAGCATGCGGAGGTCTATGAGTTTCTCAGTAGCGCTTCTAAGAAATATGGGATTGGGTTTTGGAAGCCTGGCTCGGGAATTATTCATACTGTGATTTTTGAGAATTATGCAGTGTGAGTTCTCAGCCTTCGCGAGTCATACATAAAGTAAATACTGACAAATTCAATTAAATTAGCCCCGGTGGTCTTGTTATTGGAACCGATTCTCATACACCAAATGCTGGGGGGGTTGGGAATGCTTGGCATTGGAGTAGGTGGCTCCGATGCTGTTGATGCAATGTCTGGCATGCCATGGGAATTGATTGCACCAAAGGTGATTGGTGTTCGGCTGACCGGAGAGTTACAAGGATGGGCAACTACGAAAGACATTATCTGCAAGCTGGCAGGGATCCTGACCGTCTCTGGAGGGAAAGGATCTGTGATTGAATTCTTCGGTCCAGGGACTAAAACAATGGGAGCAACCGCAATGGCAACAATCTGCAACATGTCTGCAGAGATTGGGTCGACATCCTGTATATTCCCGTACGCGGAATCAATGGGGCGCTACTTAAGTGCCACAAGTCGACACGATGTGGCACGCGAAGCTTTCCGCGTCAAGGATATTTTCTTGACGGCGGACGAAGGGTCTCATAACTACTATGATCGAGTCATTGAGATAGATCTGTCATCTCTGGAGGCTCATGTGAATGGCCCATTCACACCAGATCTAGCTCATTCTATTTCTGAATTGGGCAAGGCTGTCCACGAAAATGGGTGGCCGGTTGAGCTCAGTCATGCCATGGTGGGAAGCTGCACAAACAGCTCATATGAGGATTTGGAAAAATGCAAGCAGCTTGTCTTACAAGCGAGATTTGCTGGATTGTCCAAATTCAAGACCTCATTCCTCCTCACACCTGGAAGTGAGCGAGTTCGTGCTACCGCAGAAGAGGACGGTATTCTGCACGAACTACGCGAAGCTGGCGCTGTTGTTCTCAGCAGCTCCTGTGGACCTTGCGTTGGGTCTTGGGATAGAAAAGATGTGGACGTCAAAGGAAAAGAGAAGAATTCTGTCATCTCCAGCTTCAACCGTAACTTTGTTGGTCGACATGACAGTAATCCTGCTACTCACTCTTTTGTCACATCTCCCGAGATGGTCACCGCATTTGCTTTCTCCGGCCGACTCGACTTTAATGCTACCACTGATGCTTTAATTGGCGACGGGCAGCAATCCTTCAGATTCAAACCTCCTGTGAATCATGAGCTTCCTTCCAAATTTCAGAGTGGCGTCAATACCTTCCAAGAGCCTCCCGCAGATGGGACAAATCTCTCAGTAAATATCGATCCTCAGTCAGATCGTCTTCAGCTATTGGCGCCTTTCAGTTCCTGGCAGCCGGGATGTGCAGAAGATATGGAAATTTTGATCAAGGTTTCTGGCAAATGTACTACTGATCATATTTCCCCGGCAGGACCCTGGTACAAATACCGAGGTCATTTGGAAAATATCAGTAACAACATGCTGACGACCGCATCCAACGCCTTTCTTCCCAATAGACCTCAGATGCTAGGTCACACAAGACACCCATTGACTGGAAAACTCGAAGTCGTTCCCCAAGTTGCTCGGGATCTCAAGCAAAGAGGTGTGCGATGGTGTATTATAGGAGATCATAATTATGGCGAGGGTAGTTCGCGTGAGCACGCAGCGCTTGAACCTCGGTACCTGGGTGGAACCGCGATTATCGCTCGATCCTTCGCAAGAATTCACGAGACGAACTTGAAGAAGCAGGGGATGCTCCCTTTGACATTTCAAGATATTGCTGATTATGATCGCATCTTGGAAGGTGATCGTATATTTCTGGTTGGCGTTGAAGATGGTGAGTTTCAGCCTGGTGTACCTGTCATCATGAGAGTCAGGAGCAAGGATGGAAATGGTTGGGAGGCTTTGCTCAACCACAGTTATCATTCTGGGCAGATTGCCTGGTTACGAGCGGGAAGTGCGCTGAATCATATCAAAGATACTCTAATAAAGTGATTGGATGTTTCCCTGCATCTTCAGAGATTCAAATAATCTGGTTGTCTCGAGAACTTCGGAATTCTCGGAACTCCAAGCAATACAAGGTCCATTGAAAAAAGTTCCCAGTAGCTCATGAATTTGATTTTTGTAGTCTGAATACGCCGCCGGTTAGTTTCAGGCTAACGAACTAAGCTTTATGGACACGTCTTATCTTCGCCCACCGGGTCTTGTATTAATGGGCTGGGCTGTAAAGGAAACAAGCGTTGGATTGGATACAAGGCTCTCTCAAAGAGTTGGAAATGGGTCCCAGCCCCAGTCATCGTGCAAAAACTCTGCCATGAAACTTTCCATGGCCACCTCTATGGACGGTGTGTCAGGGAGATGAAATTGATCATTGGTAAACGGGGATATCTGCTCATCTTCAAGGGGGAGATGGGGCTCGGTGGCTGCGATATAGTCATTAAATAAAGAAGCCTCAAGGAAAACACTCGACGGATTGGCCTGTGGGATTGCCCACGTATTTGGGCCAGATAATGGAAAATGTGGATTTTGATAAAACTTACTGCCAGACTCATATGCTTGATCGTCCATAACTGAACCTTGAGGTTGGATATTGTGTATGTCTTGATGAATAGACTCAGGATTTGCTATATCCGAGCCCAACTCATTCATTAGGGAAGGTGTTTTTGTGACTATGCTTTGCTCACCATCTATATGTCGACGCTTTTGATGAGGGGGAAGGGCGAGCTCTTGTAGTCTTAGCTCGTCAAAGTGTTTAATGACCAAGTCTATCATAGTTTCAAAATTCCGCTTGCCATTCTTTACAGAAGGCCACCATTGGCTTCCGATACTGAGGTGATTTGAGCATATCCTCAAATCACGTAGCAACTTTGACAGGGGAATTGTTCGCTGGACTTCCCGCGACACCCACGCACAGTACACGATCGTTGCACCAGATGAGAAGATGCCATGAATGTTGCGCCAATCATAGGAAAGAGAATTGTTGTTGCTGAGTATATCGTAGATTTGGAGTCGACGACTGCAGCTGCGATAGCATTTCAACAATGCACTTTCTCTTGGGCATGGAAAAGCCTGCGATGGCTGGAATAACAGGGTAATTGCAGAGTGGTAAAGCTGCTCATGCTTCATTTTTTCTGTTTCAAATTGAACTCGCTCCTCTTCATCCACATTCTGTGGTGGGTCGACCATCTGAACATTAGCTAGCCATTGTTCAAGGTCGAGATTTAGGCGACTTTGGATCTCTGGAATATTTGTTGGCCAAAGAAAGATTTTGCTTCTAGTAGGGAGGTGATAGAGGATAAGCTTGATGTCGGAGATGTGACGATCCAAGCAAAACTTGCTTATGGTGAAGCTCAGGGTTGCGTTTGAGGCAAGTTTGATGGGGAGCGCTCCAACTGAGAGTGTCATCATCTCAGTAATTTCAGTTATTCTTGCTGGCTGAATGTCAAAGGTCTCATCTCTGATCCCAAGAGGACGACCCTGAATGGTCGCGACAGACCTATATTTCTTTTTTAGAAACGAAGGTAAAAATTATAAACCAGGGGCACATATCATACCGGTCCAGGGAGTATACTGAGAAAAAGATGAGTCTCGAAACTGTTACAGTCACCCCAGATACTTCTGAGCCCTCCGGTTCTCGGTGCATTCCGAGATCAACACAGTGAGACATTGCAATATGCGATAGAGTCCAGATATTCACGCCTGCTGGTTCAATAATGCCTTGTACAGCAAGCAGCAAGATTGCTTGTAAAGAGGTCACTGAAATCCCGGCAAGGGCCTCTGACGCAGTTGACATAGCAAAACCTTGAAACCGAGCTGGAGAGTGATCATAATTATTTTTCCTGGTCAGGAGTGTTGCAGCGATAGAGAAAACCATGAACAGATGTAATACACCGGTGAAGATAGATATAGGTGTTGCATTGCGACTTATTGAGGTATCGAACCTGCCATTATATGGAAAGTCATCTGTCCTGCACGTCCACCCATTTTGATCCGTGGAACCGTCATATCCATGTTTGACACATGAAAGCAAGGCATCATAGACGTTTAAGATAGATTGGGGATGCATGAAAGGAAGTTCGACTTGAACATTTTGGAAGTAGACTTCCAATAGAGTACATGCCTCCTCTGGAGATGGTAGTTCCTGTATCGGTCAGTAATTTTGGCACCAGTCGCAATTAATAGAAACACGAGACATACTCTCTCTAGCTCATAATACAAATTTTTGTAGATTTCATCCGAAACTTTTGATGTGTTTGATCGCCTTGTGCGAAAAGCACTGTTCCCATGACACCTTTCATTACCTAGCCCCAGGAGCTTAGTAAATAACAATCCAGATGAGGATCCAAGGTAATGGCGTTGCCGCGAATCTGACTGCAAAGAGAGCATGCCGAGATCAATTGCCACAGACCGGACCTTAGCCGAAATAGGTGACGTGCTCCCTGATTCCATCGAGGAATGTGAGCGTTTATTAGCGGTAGACTCCGCCGGGAAGGCCTTGTCTAAAACCTCCACTTGGGGCTCTGCAGGCGTCTCATAAGCTCTTCCCGCTTCACTTGATTGATTCGTCGTATTTTCCAAAAAATGAAGATCCACATTGGGTCCCCGAGAGAGATCAAAATTAGGATCCATCGTGGTTATTTGCTGCTCTAGCCATTTGATTCGGGCACGGCAGTTGGCTGCAAAGTCTCTTGGAATAGATAAGTCATTGTTGCCTGTGTGGACATCGATACAGGAAACATGCGCCCGAGCACAATTGCTACAAGCAGGAATTCCTCCATCGCACTGCACATGTTAAAGATTTTGACGCTATCACAGGGGTGGAATGCACTGACTTTGACGCGCTTTTGTCGGCATCGGCGGCACGCGGATCGAACTTTTCTTGGCCCCTGAACACCTCCTTCCACCGCTGTCGCTGGGTATGACTTTCCAGAACTCATTTGAATATCCTTTCTCCGATCTATTTCTTTGGGGAGAGGATGCTCGTGATGATAAGGGAAGCAAGACGCGTGGATTAATCGGAGGAGAAAGCGATGCTGAAAAGGTTTGATTTTCCTCTTTCTGTCTCTCTGTGGAGGAGCCTTCTGACGCTGTTCCAAGTCCGGGATGAAGATACTCAAATCTTTCAAATAATCCTTTGCAAACTTTCATTGATTCTCGTATGCCATCCCTGGATCTAGTTTATAAAAAGAAAAAGAAAAAGGAAAAGGCAAAACAAAACAAAGCAAAATCTCCGTCCTCGCCTCCCCCTGCCTCCTCTTCCCGATACAGTGTCATAAGGGGTAGATATGCTTGCTAGCCATGGCTCAAGCTAGTACTTCTAATCACTGCCAACTCACCATTATTTGGGATCAGGAAATTTCCATCCGGAAGCAATGCACACAAATTCAAACATTCAACGTTACGCCAATCGGTCGGGAGGAAAAAGTGACGTACAATCTGGCCAGAGTTTGGGTTAAAGTCGAGGCTCCAAGAGCAGATCCAGTATTTCTTGTCAAGGAAAACGATGCGCTTCTGTGGAAGGAACCCAAGAGGGAGCCTGATTTGACGTTGAATTTCTTCTGGGATAGTGATCGAGCAAGGAGTGCCCACACTGTCAGGAAATTCGATCCAAGATGTGTAATTTTCTCCGTTAAGGTTTGTTGGAAGCACCATATGGACAAGCAAGAATGGACCCGATGTACAGAGGCGCTGAACACTCCCATGAACTTTGCGGCGTAAATCAAGATTGGTGAGACTGACAGTCACATCGGGATCTAACCTTGTGAGTAAATCTGTAGGGGTCGTGAAGTTCATGGAGGTGACTTGAGACAGATCGTCCCATCTATGAACACAGAGAGTGGTGGAGCTAACGGCGAGAAGTAATTCATGGTTTGTTGGATGGTTTCTCCACCTTGTGTCTGGAGATTGGATTTTGAAAGACAACCCGTTGGCTGGAGTCAAGTTCACAGGTTGAATGTCAACCGAAGACCCATGTTTGATCAGAATCATCGCCCCATTGCTATTGAGCAGTACCTGGTCAATAGCTCCATGGTTGAGATCAACGTCATCTCGAAAAACAGGTTGAATAGCAAATGTTCCGGTCATATCTCGGAAGACTCGGTTCACAACCACCCGGCTGGCCATTTCAACACATGCGAGAAGTTTACCATCAGAAGACCGATCTAGATGTGCGATTGGCAACTGGAAAGATGATCTCCAGAGCTCAAACGCTTCCATTTTGCCATCTGAAGGGCATATCATGCTGACAACGCCATCCTCATTGCCAGTCGCGTGACATCTCCCTCTGGGATCAACAGCAATTGCCGTGGTCCGTGCGCGCACCTCCGCTAAGCTTTCAGAAACATTTGTTGTTGCGATGCTGGCTGCTTCACCTCCCAAATCACTCTCGTCCTCATGATCTTCCCCTGAAGCAATTGCACTCGGCTCCCAGATATTACACCATGGTACACGAATGTCATAAAGCCGCTTACTATCAGCACTGAAACAAATCCGCGTGATGCTTTGATCATAGGAAAGCCTGTAAATCATGCTGAAATGTTGAAAGTTGTACAGCTTTATTGTTCCATGACTGCCACCCACGGCAAAGAACTTGCCCTCGGCACTACACGCAAGAACAGATCCTTCTGCGTCCAACTCCTGCTGCGCATTTGTCTGAGGATTCCATTTAAACACCTGTCCGCCCATGTATAAGCCAAGAACCTCTTCGGATTTTGGATGCCAAATAACTTGGTCCACAATGGTCCACGAATCTCCCCCCCGGTATGCTCGTTGACACGCATGCATCTTCCCAGTAGTGTTGCAGTTTCAAGAGCCCAGATGCACATAGGAGAGCTTCGGTACGTCACAGCAATGCAAGATATGTCTGAGCTGAATGCCACATGCCAGGGAACGCTGTGCGCATGTCTGCCAAGTGCAGTGTTGTCTGTCAGTATTTCATCATGATAAATCGACCACCTAGGAGCTGGATCAGTTAATCGAGCCATTCTGAGTATTTGGTCAGATGATAAAACCACAAGCTCGGTAACTTGAACGAAAATTTTATTGCCATAATCGAGCTTTCGATAGGGGTTTGAATCCGATGCATCTCACTACCCGAGTCGACTGACCATACTTTTGTTGTTCGATAGCCATAGGTCGCAAGAAGGTGTGAATCGCGACTAAACTCAATCATAGAAACATGCTCCTCATGCTTGAGAATATGTTTCTCCTCAAATGTGACAGAGTTGTACAGTGTGATGACACCGTAAATAGTTAGGACAGCAAAAAGCTCTCCCCCAGAAGCAATCACATGGCCCTGATTACCATTGTGGAGAGAAATTTTCGCCAAGCTGTCATCCCAGTTGAACCTTGATAGTCCAACCACTACCAAAGAACGTGAGTGAGGGGCTCATTTCTCGAACTGTTGATAAATCACTGAGGACGCTGGGCAGAATGGAGGGATTTGCCGGTATATACCTGCCGGGTATTCTATCAGATGCAATCCAAACTTCCCGACGAGTCTAAGCAAGTCTTTTGCCCATAATTCCACCATATTCAACTCTTCCAGATGATGATTTATTGGGTTTGTGACCTCGTACTGGCCTCGCTTGCGTCTAGCATATAGTTTCATGGCCTTTGCCGAGGATACAAGCACCCGCAAGTTCCTTGTTAGTGCCAATGCAGCGATACAATCTATGACGCAATTATCTTTCAGAAACTTCGCCAAAATGAGCAGCGGCTCATCTGAATCAGGCGAAATTTGACTCAAGTGATATGCCCACGAAGTCTGCATAATTCAAAAGCTGTCCTTTCGAAACAGGGTTCACACTCCCATGTTGAAGAGCTAAGTTTCGTAAGACGACGTGTTTTTCTTCTAACACAGCAAGACACTTGAAAAAAAGCATTTTATGTCCTTCCGATACGTGAACCCTGAGCTCTGAGCTTGCTGTGGTGATGTAATCTCTTGCAGTCTGGTGTACCATCACCACTCGACTTGTAGCAGAGTCAACAATGACTAACTGACCACAAACGCGACTGATGATGAGATTTATATCAAGCATCACTGAGAATTTGGACTCCAATGCCTGTAACAACTCGCTAATTACCAGCGGTCTCCGGGAACATACTGCCCAGGTCAAAATATTCCGCCCCAACTCCCGATCGCGTGGTTTCATATGAGAAATGGCCGTATGCTCCATGCGTTGGTATATGCCTTCCATGCCACGAGGAATACCGTTCATTGTGTCATCAATATCTTGTTCTGTATTGCATTCCATTACTTCCCTCATAGCAAGGCTGGCCCATAGAAAGTTGCCATTGGCACTTTTCACCATTTTATCCACCAGCTGAATTTTAAACTTAGTGGTGGTGCGCATGTACTGCACCTCCCGCTCAACATACAACATGATATCGTTCGTGACACCCTCAAGAGACAGGCATGAGACTGATAGTAGAGAGGACAGGCGGTCAAAAACTGTGATGATCTCTGAAGTATACCGACTCACGAGAAGCACTTTGATGCGCATAGTTGAATCGGATATGCCCTGCAGCAAGTCTGAAAATTGCTGGGGATTGTCGGATTCATCCAAAGCGTCAATGAGCCAGTAGACTGTCGCTGCAAGCTTCATTTTGAACAGAATCTGGACAAAAATCCTATCCTAAATGGTCTTGACATCTGTTTTTTTCTAAACTCTTGGAGGAAAATGAAAGCCGTCCTAGGGCTTGGCGAAAGGATGGTAGCTGCTCTGTAAGCTGAAAAGCAAGACTCCGTAAGCAAGAGCCAAGCGAGCGTTGAGAGTTGTCGCTAAATCGGAAGAAGTAGTATACACAAAGCCGTTTGTTTGATAGCTGATGTGCAACAGATGCTGACAGCACAGACTTTCCACTTGCCGGCAGGGCATGCATCCAAAGAAGATCTGAGGTGGTTTTGGCTTCATCCATCCAGTCAGCAAAGAGTGAATTGCAACGAATCCACTCGCATGTTCCAGGTGTCTGCTTTTAATGAAAAAAACCAAAGTCGTGTTGATAGGTGTTCGAAGTTGCGAGGAAAGTCTGTACCTGCTCAAGCTGTCTGATGTCTTCTTGCCTGAATAACGATTCGCCTAATTAAACCCCGGGTCACTATAAATACACAATCTTTCGTAGCAAGGACAGGATCAAACTCACCCTTCTCAAGAATGGATGACCAAAGTTTTCAAAGCATTTCTGACACAAATATAGTTGGAGTCTAAATTGCTTTTGAGCTTGCAAACTGTGTGGTGATCGGCGTTCAGGGGATTTGAGATTTCCATGTCGTAACCAAGAGTCGCTGAGTCTTTTCCAACCACCATCTATATCTATATCAGCATCCGCCGACGAATACATGTGAAACGAATCACACTTACCATTTTCTTTGGGCCGTATGAAGTTTGCAATGTCTCATAAAAAGATATTATCTTCAATTTTGGGGCGAGATGACGGAATCGTTCATTCAAGGCTGCAACGGTCTGTGAGCTGGTGCTCAGCTCGGATATGTACAACTTTGGACTGTGGCTGAGGAATGAAACTGTTGATATTCCGTTCAAAATATCGGCAAGGTTAGATCCACGATGAGGTGTTGCCATAAAAATTATCGCACGGATGGAGGAAACGATATCCGAAAAATGATGATCATGCTGGCCAATGATATAAGCTTGTTTCGCAACCAGCCCACCCATGGAGTGAGCGATAAAAATAATAGGTCTCTATTGATCCTGTTTGTGAGCTTTTTATTGACAAGGCAGGATAAGAGGAGGGAAATTACCTGGCCCAGTTCAAGCTCCTCTAGATTATGGTTCTTGGCAAACTTCATCGAAAACAGGAGATCCTTTGCAAAATCCGCTATCCCTGAGATGGGAGCTGAGCCGACAGCAGCCCAGTTTGCATTGTAACCGAAAGACAAAATCCTTGCTGAATGAATTCCGGGCTCAAAAGGGAGCCATCTTTCCGGCCAAAAGCATTGGAGATCTTAGTCTCGCGTCCAAGTAGTCTGGCTGGTACCCCCAAGGCCATGAATAAAAATGATATCTAGAGCAGGAAGTAATTCCGGCTCATGAAGCACGGTGAGACCAAGGGGATCTTCGAGGCGGTGGATTGTGACTGTCGAGCTTCCCTCAGAGGGTCGAAGCGATGATCTTGGAGCATTCGGCTGAGGACTGTTTGTAAGTAAGGAAGCTTGGTCTCTAATTGCTCGGCTTGTTGGTGAATCTTCCGGTTCATTTGGGGGGAGTTGCTACTCCAGTCGTAGGATGTGGTGACTTTGAATTGGAATTTGAACGTTTGGATTTCCCATCAGATCCACTATCAGACCATCGGGACCTCCCCCTAAAGAAAGGGGAACTGGGTGAGTGTTTAGATTAGTACAAAATCAACCAGATCGGAAAAGCTAGGTCGAAGAAGCATACCATGTGATTTCCTGCACTTCTGGTATCTTGTCAATGCGAAATTTGATGGTTCCTGTTTTTTGAATTATTGAAAGAACAGAACTTGAAGAAAAATGAGAAACTGGGAGCGATCAAGAGGGGGCCAGTAGCTTTGCGACTCAAAGTCTCAGGCACGACTCAAAGGCAGAATGTCCTCTGAAATCAGTCTTTGAGGATCATTACTACCCGCTTTTTACCTATATTACATCGATTAAAAAGGCATAGCTACTGTCAAGTTAAAATAAATCATTTTCCAGAAGATTTTATACAAATCCTAGCTTTTTTTGCGTTTATCGTGGCTATCAAATCCAGGGTATTCCGTAAAAGGTGCGTATATGGTCACGGCAGCATTTAAAAATGGACTGAATAGCCTCTTCTAGTCATGTCGATGGTCTCAACCACGCTACGACAGATGTTTTGGAATCAGGGACTTGCTTGCTCAAGCCCACAACTCATGGTGCCGACTGCAACCTTGGAAATCACATCATGCATAGATTCTAGGAGGTAGATGATGTAGTCTACTATCAATCCCGGGCCACTTCCATACCTGATCGAAACCATTAAAGGCTAGGAAACTTGGATGATAGTTCTTGGATAAATATTGTATTTCGTATACTAAAAGAAGCTCAAAGTAATTATGAAACTTGATCACTGGTACCAAGAAAGTGGCGTTGGTGAAAAAGACGGTGAACATGCTATCCTAAGACATTGATCGCGCGACGTGCCACTATAGATACCTCCCTGGCTGCATGCACATGCGAATGGGTGAAGATTACTACATTCCGTAGCAGGTTTCCAATAAGTCCTCAGTTTCAAGCAGTGTCTTTCTTCCATAGCCACTCACAACTCGAACAGGGATCTGACTGATCTAAGCCCCACTTGCCTTTGTGTCGGCAATCAGGACCAATCCTTATAGGTAAAATCCTCCAGATGTCAAGAAACCCGGCCAGGTTGAGCAATAAAAATTACTCTGAGATCAATTATTTGCACCCCAGTAATAACTTATGAGAGACAAATATCGGATACGTGCATGTGCGTGGCAAGGGTATTTACATGTGTATGATAATTTTCCCAGGTCAAACATTCGAACTTTCAAATGGACCAAATTACCGGACAGGGATTCAAATGACAGGGATTCAAAGGAGGGGTTAAGAGGGTTACCAACATTTAAATAGCTTGATTCCTCTCTGATCAGCCTTGGAGCTCTGGAATATCAACTTTCAATGTTGTCCAAATTTTGCAGACCATAATGGCTTCAAAGATTCAATGCCCGACCCCTTTTTCTGACTACACTCCTCCGACCAACCCAGGGCTAAGAACCACTCTCGTAACACCAGGAAAAAGCCAGGCAGGGAAATTACGGGTAATTTCCCTTTGGATCAAACTGTGATTGACTGTGAGTACCACCAGTAAACCCTTTCTCCCCTTCCCTCCTTCTTCCTCCTCCCCACCATATGGATTTATAGGAATTTTACTGATCGGTTGAACCATAAGTTACCTCAATGCAGCCGTGTCCTTTCTTGTGACCGCTATGGAGCCTCAACCTGGACAGTGACAGCGAAAATTATAACTACTCTGCCTACCGGGGAGCCCAAACTGTACTTTCTCAAGGTATGGCCAATATGAAACCGACCGACGAGATAAAATCACTTTTCGTTAACCTGGTCATTATTAGTGCGCCGAGGAAACACAAGGCAAAGCCATGCTTGAAGGGGAGTTTAATTCTATGCTTGAACTCTACAAGACGAGCCCTGATTTTGTTCCAAAGCCTTACAAATGGGGCAAACTCAATGTTCTTTCCCTTGACACTTATTATTTCTTGTGACTTATCAAAATGAGTCACAGTGTACCGGATCCGGTCTGTTTTGCTAGCCAGGTGGTGCAGCTACACTGGGCGAGTAAATCTCCCATGGGTGTGTTTGGATTTCACCTCAAAACATGCCAAGGCAATCTTCCTCAGCAAACGGCATGGAATTCAAGCTGGATCGATTATTTTGCCCAGCTAATCAAAGGGGCGATGGCGCCCAACAAAGAACGCAATGGTGACTGGAAAGATCTGGAGCAGCTCATCGACAGACTCATCACGCATGTAGTCCCTCAAGTCCTCGGGCCACTGGAGGCTAATGGACAAACAGTGAAACCGACTCTTATTCATGGGAACTTGTGGGATGAAAACATCGGGATCAGTCTTGAAAATGGACGTATCTATGCTTTCGATGCATGTTCTCACTATGCACACCATGAAATGGAAATTGCTATATGGCGTACAAAATCCTGCAAAATTCTGAGAGATAAAAAGTATCTTGACTCTTATCTCAGTTTGATGGGCATCAGTGAGCCTGTGGAGCAGTTTGAGGATCGTAACCGCATTTATACTTGTTACTTGGCTTTGCATGCATCCGCCTGTCATCATGGCTCTTACTTTCGGGAAGAGTAAGTATCACTATCCGCCTCTTCTTTTTAATTTCTTTTTTATTAATCTCATACCTTCACAGTTCCTACGAGCATCTGACATACCTCATCAAAAAATATGCCCCCCTTCCAGAACAAGCTGACTAGCAGCATGTCAAGATGCAATCCTGTAAATCCAACTTAGTTATCGTCACAACTGAAAGATTCATTTTCAATAAATAGTGAGGTTTTTTTTCTTCAAATACTGTCAAATTAGTGGATAATTTTGGGGTAATCTGGAACCATGTTCAACTTGAAGTTCGGGTTTACATGCAAGTCGTGGATTAAGAGCTATCTCATGAAATGGCCCACTCGCTCTGTTTGTTGCAGGAAATGACCCCTGCACAATCCTTTCCATTAGCGGCTAGCCTGGATTGCAATCAATTTTGTCTAAGGCAAGGAACCCATAATTCTTCAAAATCTCTGCTTCTCGCAGCATATAAAGAATTCTACCTATATTGAGTATCGAACCCGATAACACCATCTCATCATCACTGATGGCGGAGCTCACAATCTTCCAAGAACCTACTATGTTGGTCAGTAATGCCAGTGGGAAATTGGATGAAAAGTAAGCTCAAAATGAGGGATCCGATCTTGATTTTACCTCCCATTGGCAGGACTCGGAGAAGCCTCATGATTCACTCCCATCAGATGAGGCTGCTACCGCATCTGAACTGCAACTTGAAGTATATTCTGTCCTCACTAAAGCAGAAAAACATACAGCAGTGTTCTTCGTTACTTTCATTGCAATGTTCTCACCATCATCCTCATTCATTTTCTTTCCCGCCATTCAAGCCTTGTCTGAAGCTCTCGGTGTGTCCTTGGAACGGATTAATCTCACAATCACCTCTTACATGGTTGTTGCCGGCATTGTACCGGCAATTGTGGGCGACATGGCAGATATAACTGGGAGAAGGAATATTTATTTACTCACGCTCTTCATTTATGTTGTTGCAAACATAGGACTGGGGGCCCAGAGTAGTTGGGTCGCACTCTTCTTGTTGAGGATGCTTCAGAGTGCTGGCGGTGCAGGTGAGTCTTTGTTTGCTTCTTCCTTTCCTTCTTTAACAGAGATTCCCTTCGCATCTCATCCAGAATTCTTTCTATGATTATGGTCAAATACTGGCTAAAAATAATTAGCGACCATTGCAATGGGATACGGAGTGATCTCCGACATCGCAGCACCATCCGAGCGGGGTGGCTATGTTGGTGTGTTACTTCTGGGGTAATGGATTTTCCCAGTTCTCCCAATTCAAAATTTCTCGAGCATACCCCAGTACTGACATGTCTCCAGTCCCAATTTTGCTACTGCCATTGGTCCCATCGTTGAGGGCGCTTTGGTCGAGGGCCCTGGATGGCGCTGGATATTCTGGGTTCCAGCTCTTGTCGCGGGAACGCTTCTTTTTGGCATCGCTCTATTCCTACCAGAAACAGCTCGCAGTATTTTTGGTAATGGGTCGCGAAAGGTCTCTTCTCTTTATAAACCACTCGTCAAAGTTGGTCGGTCAAGGGACTCTGCTGCACTTCACGGAGACCAGGAAGAAGCACTTCCGCGCAAATTTCGCATCCCAAACCCCCTCGCAAGTTTGAGAATACTTATGTCCCGGAGTAGTGTTCTCATTACTGCGATCAATGGCGTTTATTATATGGTTTCCAGTTGTCTTCAAAGCTCCATGTCAAGCTTGTTCACTGAAATATACGGACTCTCGGAGATTCAGGTAGATTTGGTTTATCTGCCGTTTGGGATAGGCTCTTGTGTCGGTGCTTACTTATCAGGTATCATTCCTTTCCTGTCAGAAATCCAAACAGGAATCCTTTTCCACATTTAATGATTCTCTTTCCAGGAAAAAATCATGAATCGGGACTATAAACTTACAGCCCGAGCGCACAACATTGTCATAGACGTCAGTCGTGGTGACGATCTCAAGCTCTTCCCGATCGAGAAGGCCAGATTCAGAAGTATCTGGTATTCTATGTGCGCTACTGGAATATCAACTATTGGTTACGGTTGGGCATTGCAATCACGCTCTGTGAGTAACCTTATCTACGAACTTGGTGTTGTAGCAACATCATGATACATTCCCAATAGAAATCGTTCAAGCTCAGCTCCTGAGAAAACTGGCAGAACATGGCGATTCCCCTTATACTCCAATTCATAATAGGGTTTTCAACGGCAATGACTTTTAACGTGAGTATCACTGAATGCCAGTGTCTCCCTTTCAATGCCGTTGTTAAATTTAACGAAAATTCCACACCATATAGTGTTGCAATACTCTTCTTACGGACCTGAATCCTAAATCGCCCGCCACAGCACAAGCGGCGAATAATTTAAGCCGATGCTCCCTTGCCGGCATAGGATTGGCCTTTCTACAGGTTTGCTTGGATGCAATAGGGCCTGGTTGGACGTTTACTCTGTTTGGTGCGTTATGTATGGGCTATTTAGGACCGGCATTTTTGGAATGAAGATACGGGCAGGGTTGGAGACAGGAATAAAATCTAATTCTGTAGAATGGAGACTTGGCTACGAGCCGTCAATCATGGTACTAGTGGATTCAAGACCTCGGGATGAATCTAACCAGTCAGAGGGGGAAAAGAGCAACTACCTTAGTATATGACATTCTACTACTAAAGAAAGTACGAGTTGCTTTATAAATCTCATCCCTAGCGATAGTGGATATATGATCCCTGAGGAAAAAGACTGAGTCGACTCAAAACACCATATTAATGCGTAAGACATCGGGATAAGTTGAGATAGACCCTCCAAGGTCGACCATATTCTCCACCTCTATCATAATTTTGCAGGAATCTCCTTTGTCGCTACATCAGATCGAAATTTATTGCTCCACTGAACAACAAACTCATAGATGGAAAAGCTCAGTGCCCCCGAGACCTGGAAAAGAATTAACATACTATCTTTGTCAAATTCAGCCCAAGGGAAAACTTGAACTTACACTTAGCCTCACAAGTCTAGGCGTCGTCCCTCTCCAAAGCGCAGAAGCACCTTCGTGCAAAACGACAGACCTCAAACAGTCCCATGAGCCACGGTATCTTTGATGTCCATCAATAGCCTGCAGTCGCGTTTTAATCGAATCAAACGGCATAGTCGCATAAACAGTGACAACTCCTGCCAAAGCACCCGCCACGACGGTATTGACCGATTTGCGTACCCCGTCGCTGAGTGGTAGACTCATCGCTTCCATCTGTGCCAGAAATAGATTATAGCTCGTAAATCTCACCATCGAATTCGAGGCCTGTTTCAGCGTAACGGGTACCACACCACGGTATAATCCTGCCAGTCCATCTCTGGCAACAATAGACCTGATACCGTGACTTGTAGAGCGATATAGTCGGGGTCCGGCACGGTCATCAATCATCTTCGTTTTAATGGTCTCGCCAGGTGTGACTACCACCACTGCCTCCGCGATACCGGCCATAAGGCCTGCCCCCATATTTCCCACTGGGGTTACTTTGCCTGAAGCGTCGGTTGGCATGAACTGCCGGATGAAATCGAATGTAAGGAACCGGATGGCGGATTTGGAGGCGTTAGAGAGGCAGAAAACGCTGCTGCCGGTATATAGAGCCCTGATGCCATTCTGACGGATCGTAGAGACGAGCAACTGGGTGGCGGATTGCTTTTCTGCTTTTCCGGCTTTGAATAGTTGTTGACGTGTTTTAAGATACTCAGTTGGATACTGAAACCGTTAGCTTGATTTAACCATGCGATTGATGGATCTATCTTGGTACCGTGATTAAGCTCTCGAAACCACCTGCAGCTCCGCCGGCTAGCACTGACTGCCATGGTGATACTTTTTGACGTGTTGACATGACTACTGATTTGATTAATCTCTTTCAATGTAGCTGTGATTTTGAGTTATATTTCATCGTTTCATCGGTCGGTGTCTCATATATCGATGCAAGTATAAAAGCCCTCGGCAGCCCGACGGAGAGTTGATCTCCGTATCCACGGAGGATAACTTTCCGTATTGCACCGACAAGAACAACGGAATATTGTTACCCTCAGGGTGTCTAGGCCCGACATCTGGAGTCTCTGAGTAGCCATTCTGGGTTTCAATATTGGAAATGGCTTCTGCTCTGAAGTTGACGGAGCTCCGAAAGAGTCGTTGTGATGACATCCGGAATGCCCCAGACCCCGGATTATAGCTACGTCCACGGGTATGATGATGAGGCACCAGCTGGAGGACTAGTACCATGAGCTAATTTGCCTCGGCTGCTTTCCTATTTACATGAATATTGCCGAGGACAAATGTATTTCGACCTCGTTGAGGCGCGGAGTAGCGAGATATCAAACGAAAAAAAAATATTTGATATTAATCTGACCTTCATTGAAATAGAATGAATACCCCTGATAGCTCCTTTTGACTCCCCCGGATATGACTGTGTTCATAAAAGCTCCCCAATAAAGACCCGGGACTCCTCGATAAAAGAGATACACCTTCAAGCTAAGCAACTCACTCCTCCTCAGAAGCACTCAAATCTTCCTCCGTAATAGGCTCAATAACAACGAACCGCTTCTGCTTCGTTCCATCGGGGAGAATCACAGAGCCATCTTCTTGTTGATGCGCAAGCGCATAAGCCTGTTTCTCAAAGTATTGTTCCTCGAGAATAATGAAAATAGCCATATGTTTCAGCCAACCCCAAGTCCAGGTTTCTTTGCGCAGGATATGAATTATTCGACGACGGTAGATCTTCTTATCAAGACCATCAATAAACAAGCTGATGAATGAGGATATGTCAAATTCATTCGACTGGCGGAGTTTGCGACGTAATGTTTTCGCATCTTTGAAGTATTCTTCGAGGGAGCGGCCATTCTGGGCCTGTAAATCTTCAATGGTGGGAGTAGAGGGGAACTGCGAGCATTTTGACTCGTCCCCTTCTTCGGTTTTGATGGTAGGCGAGGTTCGATCTGAAGATTTCAAATCGTGGGGACACTCAAGTGCCGATTGCTTTGTTTCTGCATTTTCCTCTGACTGGGTTTCTCTGGCGAGTGTCTCTCTGTTATCCGTAAACACCTTGTAAAGTTCCCGGGTCACCTCGACGAGATCCATCATACAGCCGAGAAATTGATCTATGACGTGGTAGTTCTCATGATGACCGAGTGCGGTCTGGAGAGCAGTAAGGGCATCCTGGGCGGATTTCGAGGCGAGGCGGAACTGAGGATAGAGATGATTCAGTTGTTGACTGCGACTGCAGGCTGATTCTCCGTATGTCGTGTTCATTGAGATTTGTAGGAGCATCACGTCCTTCGTGAATGTGCGAAGAAGTCTTGTCAGATTTCCAACGTTCTCAGCCTCGGATTTTTTTGCTTGTAAGTGAGATCTCATGATGTCGTTAATTCGGGATAGCTCATAGGTCCATAGGAGTTGCGCTGGTTTGACGGAAGCAGAAGCCTCCGAAGATGGCGTTTCCATACCGGAGGCTTCTTTGAGTGGACTCGATTAATCCAAAAACTTGGGGAATCGGTTGGTGATAAACTTGAAAGGAGAGATGTTGGGTGAAAAAGATGAGGGCAGCAACAAGGTCGAAAGCTGGAGACGTGCCCAGATGTCTCGTGACTACAAGTCAACACTACACCCAACGACAATATAGAAGACCTTTCCCTCGATTTAAATATTCCTTACTGATATTGAGTAATTCCATATACTAGGTACCATACACCAAAGAGAACACCGTGAGGAAAAACAAGTCACATTTTGGCTCGATCTATTTGATTAAGTACGGTAAAAGCAGCATTCTTAACCAACACAGAGCGAGCTAGATACAGAAATAGGAGAAATGCGGAGACGAAGGAATAAGAAAACCGTGACGGGAACAAAAGGCACAAGCATGTCACATCTCCGTTATTGCAGGGGACATAGAAAACCATAGCAATGACCCAATCGCGAATCAGCGAGAGCTTTTTTTAAACCCTACTCGGCATATAGTGTAGAGATGTAGCTCCCCATCAAGGCATCGGGTCACCGCGAAAGCGGAAAATTGTAATGAAACACAGAAAGCCACTTTTTACGCAGGTTTCTGCGATCGTAATCCGCATCAAGACATCAAGAAAGTGAAGAAGGGGTGAATGCGCTTAGATAAGGTCGGCAACGTTCATGGGCATCTCCTCAACCTGGGTGCTGTAGAACTGCTCGATCTCACGGAGCATGCGAACATCGTCAGCGGTGACGAAGTTGATGGCAACACCCTTACGACCGAAACGACCACCACGACCGATACGGTGAATGTAGTTCTCACGGTTGGCGGGGAGATCATAGTTGATGACCAGGGAAACCTGCTGGACATCGATACCACGGGCCAGAAGGTCAGTGGCGATCAGGACACGGGAAGAACCAGAGCGGAACTCCTTCATGATAACATCACGCTGACCCTGCTCCATGTCACCGTGCATGGCGGAGACAGTGAAGTCACGGGCAGTGAGCTTGTCGGTGAGCCAGTCGACCTTTCGGCGGGTGTTGCAGAAGATAACGGCCTGGGTGATGGTGACGGTCTCGTACAGATCGGAGAGGGTGTCGAGCTTCCACTCCTCCTTCTCAACAGCAATGTAGAACTGCTTAATACCCTCAAGGGTAAGCTCCTGCTTCTTGACCAGGATACGGACGGGGTCGCGCATGAACTTGGTGGTAACCTCAAGGACATCCTGGGGCATGGTGGCGGACAGGAGGGTAACCTGGGTAGACTGGGGGAGCAGCTGGAAGATGTCGTAGATCTGCTCGGTGAAACCACGGGACAGCATCTCATCGGCCTCGTCGAGGACGAACAGCTTCATGTGGTCGGTGCGGAGAACGCGACGCTGGATCATGTCGTGGACACGGCCGGGGGTACCGACAACGACCTGGGGACCCTCACGGAGAGCAGTCATATCCTCACGGACGTTGGTACCACCGATACAGGCGTGGCACTCAAGACCCTCCATGAAGTCACCAATGGCAACAACGACCTTCTGGATCTGCTGGGCCAACTCACGGGTGGGAGCAAGGATCAGAGCCTGGCAGCCCTTGATCTTGGTGTCGATCTTCTGGAGAGCGGAGACGGAGAAGGTAGCGGTCTTACCGGTACCGGACTGGGCCTGAGCGATAACATCGTTACCTGAACCTCAAAGTTAGGCGATTGATCAAATAACCAATAATGAGAGAAATCAAGACTTACCCTTGATGATGGGCATGATGGCGCGCTGCTGGATAGCAGAGGGACGCTCGAAACCGTAGGCGTAAACACCTGAATTCTTAGTTAGTCCATGTACCACATGTGCCCCGCCGAACAGGCACGAGGGGCGCCCGCTTGGCCTTTTTTTCAGGAACAGGAAAATTCATTCACATACCGCGCAGCAGCTCGGACTTCAGGTCCATGGCATCGAAGGAGTCGGTGATCTCATCGTAGTTAGACTCAATCTGACCTATTATGAGCACAGTCGGGTCAGTCTTGGCTTCATATTTGTCCCTAGCGGATTTTCACACTCATCGCCACCCGACGGATTTTCCCCCCATGTAGTCAGGCACCACATGGAAAAAGGAAAAAAAGATCGAGAATGGACGATAGAGAGCGAAAATAGAGCAGCGATGTGTGACATACCCTCGGCGAGGTCCTCAAGACCCTTATCGTTGGACATATTGGCGGTTGTTGAGAGGGTGATCACAGGCGACTAAACCGCTGCGATCGGGATGGTGGGGTGGGAGAGAGTTTTTTTTAGCGAACGTGACGGTACGTTCGGCGGGTCGAAAACAGTATCTAAACTCTTCCAATATAGAAGAGCAATAAGATACTTAGTGGGTGAGATGTCCTGTGGTGGATGGAAATTCGTTAAGAATGGGGGGAAGAAGAAAAAAGGAAGAAAAAAAAATCGACCGCCCGAACACCAATTTGCGCGACGTTTTTTTTCTTCCCAGAATGGTCTGACCGCCTGCCCGATGTGCGTCTGGCCGCTATGGTTCAAGCGAGTCTCTTCACTTGCTATTGTTCTTTATTGGAATTGAGATTGTTTCTATTTCCTTGATTTTACTTACATTATCGATATTTCGACTTTCTTTTTTTTTACTGGCTTCAACAACATTGCCGTTTTCACTCTTTTTGTTGCTTTATATCCGGGGCTTGGTTGTTGAGGCGCTCGGGCAAAAAAAAATCTTGAAGCCCTAAAACTAAAGTGAAGATCATGCCTGGCATCACAACACTACCAAGCCATTCTATGGTTCAAGACGAAGACCGGGATATTGAGGCTATTCCAAGTCATCCATTGGGTGTCAAACCAAGTGGCAATGCTTTATTAGCCACATCCAATATCCGGACGGCTATTGGATCATGGCAACTGCTACCCGATGAATTGATCCTGTTATTACTGGAGTCATTGGATGGAGCCAGTCTATTGCGCATTGGTCGGGCTTGTAAAGCATTCTATGCATTTACTCGTTCAGAAGATTTATGGAAGACTCTCTTTGTCCGGTAAGATCAGCAATTTCCCTGATATAGAATTCCTATACAATGGTGGTCAGGTGATCCGCATCTATAGGTGGCTATAGTATACATCTATGAACATCTATACTCTATCCATTAAAATCGGATCGTAGATAATTTGGACAAGTTATTACGGATGAATGCTAATAACTACAAGATCCGCCCCGGACTCATTCACATGGCGAGGAACATGGCGATCAACATATCTGAATCTACCCGCCACCAAAGTTCCCCAGGTAGACTGCTCTACACTCTACTCTGATGCTCTATATCGCCCCTTCAACTGCGCTCACATCCGACTGGATCCATATGTCACCAAGATCCCAGCGCGCAATCAAATTCCCCGTCTACCAGACCTCTCACCAGAGGAATTTCATGAAAAATGGGCCGATCGCCCATTCATCCTTACCGAGCCTATCAAGGAATGGCCAGTCTACAAGAACTGGACAATGGGCACTCTGCTTTCTAAGTACGGCCAGGAGAAATTCCGCGCTGAAGCCGTCGACTGGGCTTTACGCACCTACGGCGACTACATGGCCGACAACGCGGACGAAAGTCCGCTGTACCTTTTTGACCGGAATTTTGTCTCGAAGATGGGTCTGGCTGTTGGGCGACCAGATGAGACACCCGATGCGGCATACTGGCCACCTGCGTGTTTCGCTGAGGATCTCTTCTCAGTACTTGGGAATGACCGACCAGATCGACAGTGGATGATTGTTGGACCCGAGCGCTCGGGCAGCAAGTTCCATAAAGACCCGAATGCGACGAGTGCGTGGAATGCGGTCCTCCGAGGCCCGAAGTATTGGATTATGTTCCCGTCTGGCGACAAGCAGGATCCCCCACCGGGAGTCTTTGTCTCGGATGACCAGAGCGAGGTGACTTCGCCACTTAGTATTGCTGAATGGCTTCTCACATTCCATGCTGAGGCGCGAAGCACGGCGGGTTGTATGGAGGGGATTTGTGGAGAGGGTGAGATTCTACATGTGCCATCTGGGTGGTGGCACTTGGTTGTGAACTTGGAGCCATCGATCGCTATCACTCAGAACTTTATCCCACGGGCTCACCTTGGCGCGGCGCTTGATTTCCTGTCTAACAAGGCGGACCAGGTTTCTGGATTCAAGAAGAACGTGGAGAACCCGTATCAGAAGTTTATTGCTGGAATGCAAGATGCATACCCAGAACTTTTGAAAGAGGCACAAGAAGAGCTGGAAAGGAAAGCAGAGGGCAAGAAGCGCAAGTGGGATGATATTGTTCACTCAAAGGTAGACTCCGATGAGCAGGAAACTGGAGGATTCAGTTTTGGATTTGGAGATGATGGGAGTGATGTTGAAGTGCCCTAACTTCTTTGACATTGATTCTGGGATGACAATCGTTCCATGCGAGCTAAGTTGAAATGAATTGGACTGTCCAAAAAGCATCATAGTGGCATATGCAAAAAATGAAATTTACGAAGTAATGTTTATCAGCTCTCAATGTCTGCTTATGCGCCATGTAACGCCCTGATAGCCCTAACTTGCTGCAAAAGTGATAAACTTAGTGGCAAGCAATCGTCTTGGTAGCTGGGGTGCCATCCGCAAAAGCCAGGTAGCCCACAAAGGCACCAACAGCAACAGCAATCATAACCATGCCGTTGTAGGTCATGAAAAGAAGCCTAAACGTAAGAAAATGGCAATCAGTATTAGAAAACCTTGGAAGCCATCGTAGTCTCTTGATACTTCAACTTACATGATAAAAAAGCTATAGAATACCTGGATGGCATACAAAGCAGCCATAGTAATCTTTCCCTTCCGGATCACGGCAGCTCGGTTATCCCGTCCTACAATTAATGGTGAGCTCTCGTTATTGATAGGTAGACCAGGAAGATCGGCGGTAACGTTGGCAATGGATGGGTCGGCGATGCCATCATCTGCAAGAGCAAGACATCAATGAGAGCTCGCTCAAGCAGTCATGCAATGGTATATTCTGATTCAACCCAAGTTCATGTCTTCACCAGTCTCATGCCAACGCCATGAGTCGTAATTAAGAACAAAAGAGCTATGGTATAGAGCTCGCCACAGTATGAGATTAAGACCTACCTCCAGTGGAAGAGACTGCAGTAAAAGCATTCAGTCGTTGGGCATGAGCGACTTCGTATTTACGGGTAATATTGCGGACTCCTTCGTAGCCGGCTGTAAGCAGGACGATAAGGAGGAGCGAGAAGAAGAAGGAGAGGGGTCCTGTAATGCGCCACTGGCGAAAGATGATGCAGAGGTTCTCGGAGGACCAAGTGAAGATCATCTGGTAAGAAGAGTATTAATCCAAGGACATTATTTCAAAGTCCGGGGCATTGTCGAGTTAGTACTCACGTTCATGCTGCACTGGCCACCCATATCCATATCGCCATGGCCGTGACCATGGTCCATATCCATCGAGTGCATGGAGTGATCCATAATGGCTAAGAAACAGCAGATATGCTAAATAAAGAAGAAGAAATCGCCGAAGATGAAGATGAAGTACAAGGAGATATCACTGACTAAGTCCTGTCTAAAATGAAGGTAGTACTAACTGTCCTCGGGAAGTAAACATGAGGCGGGATCATGAGATACGCTGCCAATGCAAACTATGCAAACACGTCCGATAAGACCTCCAGTCCAGCTTCACAGCGTCCAGTTCAAGCCGCATTCTACTAAATTCCGCCTACTGGCTCTCAGCTTTCCACACGATCGCCACTACGTTGGGAATAAACACATCGTGATACTTTCACTCCACCACTGGTCTCATTTCACTCGTCATGGCGGAAACGGCCTCCGCCCCAACAACAGCACCCGCGACCAGCGCGCCGGGTGCACCAGCAAGCGGCGCAACAGCAGGAGCACCCAATGCGCCGAACGAGCAGAACACCGCCAATCGAGGGCTACCATATTACGAGAAGTTACGGCGAGAGCTCAGAGATACATTGGCGAAGAAGCGACTGATGGACAAGAGCATGGTGAGTCCGAGTCCCGAGTCGTCGTCTGCCACAGCGCGTCATTGCGACTGAAGGCATCGATCAAAGAATTGGGCCTACTGGCTAGCGATGGCGCCTATTTCCCTTTCGAACTGAATCCAGTTTATCTCTTTGTACCCGTACTGACCGACTATCTTTCAGGCCCAACTCGAAGACCAAATCTTTCGCTTTGAACAATCCTACCTCGAAGAGACAACCGCTGGGAACATCATCAAAGGATTCGATAACTACATCAAGGGCTCAGCCAATACATCCAGTCTTGGTGCTTCAGGGCTGGGTATTGGGTCTGGTGTTGGAGCGCGCCGCAAGGCTCAAGTGACGGATTCGGATCGGGTTTTCTCGCGAAGTTCGGCGAGCTACATGTTGGTATGGAGCGCTCCAAAAATATTACACCTGGAATTGCGAGAGAGCGGTAACTGATATGATTGAATAGGATTCACCAGGTCCCTCGTCTGCACAAACCACGCCTTCCCATGCTGCTACACCTACTTCCACTGCGGGTGGCAACGCACTCTCTACAAATAGCAACGGTGCGTCTGCATCCGCTAAGAACGCATCTGTGTCTTCGAAGAATAAGAAGAAGTCTGGCGGATCGAAGAATACCAAGGGGAAGAACCAGACGGAGGAGTTCTCTGATGATGGGGATAAACCTCCTGTTAAGCGGTTGAAAATTAGTTACGGACGTGACTAGTGAGAGGACTTTCAAGTCGCTATTACAATTTTTTCACGGTAGGAGTTTGGGATGGATTTATTATCACTTTTCAACTAGGAGTTGTGAAGCTGGCGCAGTGGGAAAAGGTCTATTTTTGCGCATCATGTACATCACGAATTATCAAGGCCAGGCTACGCTGAATGCCATATACAATTATGGAACTATTGGATCGATGGAGACATGTTTATGAGACTTCTTGGTAGACTATGAACAGTAGCTAAGTGTTAATGAGAGACTGATAGATTAGCATTACAGCTGCAAGCGGAAAGTAGCGACCTCAAAAGCCCTCAGTTCAATATCAACTGCAATTCCCTCGTCCGTTTCCTGAATCTCGAGCTCCTCTCCATCATCCTCCAAGATATTGCATTTCCAGATCCGTTTCACAGGAAGGGTACTGCGAATGGTTCCTCGAGCCTTACCACCAAGCGACTCGTAGGAACGCAGGATCACGCTCTTACCAGGACGGATAGGGAGTCCACCCACACTAACATCTTCATCATCTTCGCCGCGTTTCACAACATCTAGGATGATAGACGAGCCACCGTGAATAGACAGGCTCTTGAATGCAGCCTGGCTTGTGGCAATCTGCGAGCTAGCCTCTTCAACTGCGAGCGGGTGGTTGAAGTTGTATCCTGCACGGATTGTGCGCTCGTCCAGGGCGCCAGCGTGGGGGAAGATAGCATAGCGAATGTGATGGCGGCCCATATCCGCATGAGCATCTGGAGCCTTCGGGGCACGGAGCAACGAGAGGCGCATGAGGTTTCCACATGTCGCGAAGCCGTACTTAGAGTCGTTGAGAATGGAGACACCGTATCCGTTCTCTGATAGATCGGCCCATTTGTGGCAACACACTTCGAACTTGGCCATGTCCCAGCTGTAACAATTAGTATTCTATCTTGGGAAAAAGGTGAGTAGACGTACCTTGTATTATAGTGAGTCGGGCGACGAATGATTCCATATTGAGTCTCGTAGGATGCCTCGGTGTTGGTGATATCGACTGGAAACTCGACCTTCAGGAACTTCATGGTTTCCTGCCATTCTACCTCGCTCTCAAACTCGACGAATGAGGGTTCGGATGAAACTGACGCGGAAAGACTGATAGTGGTCTTGATCCAACTCTTGTCACTGATTTTAGTCTCCGTCACCAGGCTGACTCGATGGGGATCATTCTCAGCGATGACGGTCTTGCTGCGAGGGAGTTCCTTTCGTGAATCCAAGTGGAAGACTTCAACATCCCAGGCCTGCCAGTAAAGAGGCTTGTCATCGAAAATGACCAGCTGGCCACCCTTGCCACCAGGTGCAATAACTTCTCTCTTTGCTTCAAGGTCAAACAAGGATGTGATGACACCATCCTGGACATCAACTCGCAGCTTGCCATTGGCCAGACGGAAGATACCGGGGCTTGTTTCAGCGACAGTCACAGCATTTGTAGTCTTGAAGTCAACAGACTTGCACGAGACTACTCCAGTAGAGCCATCAACGAGGGCGTATTTCGACCCATTTGCAGTGATTAAAGATTGAGGAATCTTGACAACCTCGGAGCGAGTCCAAGGAAGAGTGTTGAGAATCACCAAGTCCTTCTTGCCAGCGGTATGGCTTACTCCAAGCGCAGCAAGCGCATCCTGGCGCAGCTTAGCACCGGTCTTGAAGATTCCAGCGTAGAGCTCGTCAGAGTCATCGTAGCACATCTCGATGGAGCTACCTGGCAAACAATCATGGAACTGACAAAGCAGAGTACCTTCCCACATTTGATCAATCTCTTCTTTGGGGTATCTGTAGGCATCATCTGAGCCACTGAGTGTAGCTAACGTGGCCAGCAGCTCAATCTCCCGCAACAAGAACTCCGACTTGCGGTTGTTGCGCTTATTGTTTGCCTGCGTGGTATATGTGCCACGATGAAGCTCAAAATAAAGCTCACCGTACCAAGTTGCGAACTCAGTGCCACTGGCTGCTTTGGCCTCCAGCTTGTCAAAGAAGTCGTCGACCGAATCACCCATCTTTACACGTGGGAGAGTCCCGACTTTATCACTGAGACCGCGGCATCGGCGGAGTTTCTCAAGATGTTCGAAAGTGGGACCACCACCACCATCTCCCTTGCCGAACACCAGTAGAGAAGACTTGTCCGTATCCATGGACTTGTGTTGCGAGATACTGCGTTTGACATCGCCGAAATGGGCTGAAGCAGTATATGTCTCCGAGGGCGGCATGTGACATACAACCTGGCTGCCATCCAGAGCAACCCATTGGAAGGTGGTGTGCGGGAAGTTGTTGATATTGTTCCAACTGAGCTTCTGTGTGAAGAAACGACTCATTCCAGCCAGTCGGCAGATCTGGGGAATTTGTGTAGAGTATCCAAAAGTGTCGGGTAGCCAGAATGTAGTACATCGTTTCCCGAAATAAGTTTCAAACAGCCGCTGTCCGTACAGAAACTGTCGCACTAGGGATTCACCACTAGGCATGTTGGTATCGTGCTCAACCCAGCTTCCACCAATCGGTTGGAAGTGGCCCTTTCGCACCCAGCGCTTCACACGATCGAAGACGGTCGGGTAATACTTGTGCAGCCATTTAAACTGCTGAGCCTGAGAGACAGTGAATCTATGTTCTGGATATCGATCCATCAAGTCGCACTGGTTCGACCACGATCGCGCGACCTTACGCTTAGTCTCGGCCCAAGGCCACAACCAGCAAGTGTCAATGTGGCAGTGGCCGATAGCGTATACATATGGATTGGTATCCGCCTTGTAGACCTCCGCAGAATCTACTTTCTCACCAAGATATTTCTGGCCGATCTTGCGAGCTTCAAGAATAGACTCTTGGCTTCCATCGCCTGCAATGAAAGCATCGATCATGGCATTACCAATTACGTTGGCCTCATGTGCCTCCCATGAGTTACCGGGGAACTCACGAGCCGCATCGCCTATGATCCAGAAATCATAGTAGAGTGCCCGTGCCTCCAAATTAACAGCAGTGATACGGGCCATGCTCAGCTGGTAGTATTTATCCGGCCTGGGAGGCTGGATAGAATCACCCCCAGGGGCATTTCCAAACATGCCGTTACATGCCATCTCGATGTAGAATGTGTGCTCTCTACCATCACGCCACGCATCGGGGATGATCCATTCGACTCGCTCGCCGCCTCCAGTCAGACCTTGAAGCGGGTGGCCATTCTCCGTCCACACCATGCCCTCATTATTGGCATCCCAGTGGAACTCCAATCGTTCCTTCTTACGCATATCCGCTGGCACGGTCAGCTTGATCCGGAACCAATGAGTCGACCAGCTAGGTCCAAAGGATGCTCCGATATGAGTGGGCTTGAATTCATGGGACGTTGCTTCCTCGAAGGTGGGCCGCTGTAGGTCGGGAACCGAGTATACGGATAACTTGACATGGTCTTCGTCTGAGTTGACTGCTTCGAAATACTTCGAGACCAGGTTTTGGCCTTCATACTGGCCTGTTGCGGTAAACTGTTTCAATCGGTCGGTGTAGAGCTTCGTGATCCGTTGGCCGACCGGGCGATCCGCTAGTATGGGGATGCCCTTGGAAGCTGTGGGGGCAAGATGCGGGGCTTCTCCACCCATGACGAGTATTTATCTGGGGATGTTAAATGGACTCGAAATTGAAAATGGGAAAAGTGTCGTGTACTTGTGAAGAGAGAAGGACTTGGAAATAGATGTGAGAGAGGAGATTCCAAATGCGGAGACGTAATGGAATGCGGAGTTGACGAGGTTCAATGTTACTCGAGTGTGGCATTATGATCAGCGGGGAAACTGATCTGCACACACACAGCTCATTCATGTCAACATCTCACCCCTGGAACGATATAATTCTCTATCCTACAGCTGGTCTTCGTGGTATGTAATTTTCATGGTAGAAGTAGATGAAAGTTTTAGATCACGTTTTATGCAGCTCTCTAGGGCTCTCTCCAAATTATCACCCAACATACTTTGCATACTTTCCAAACTCCTCATCAGCTCTCAAACGCATCCAGTCCTCGTCCCTCAAACAAATTGCAACGGCCATTTCCCCATTCGATGACCTTGGCATAAAATATAACAAACTTTCAAAAGGCATAAACCCCGGTCTTCGAACTACCTCCGGCTTCCCGAGCATTATAGACCAGATCCCGGACTTTGGGATCTAATTGTCGGCGAAACTCTGAGGCTATAACGCCAAGTGGTTTCTCTGCTAGTGATTGTAGTGTATCATGCTGGTAGGTCATGTTTTGGAACATCCCTGGGTATGAAGTAGGAAGTCCCATTCTTTGACGGATGTCCACAGCGCGTGCAAAAGAGGACTTTGTATTGGGTGCCAGGCAGGGAATTCGGGCGCGGGAAACGCATTTCCAAATAAAAGCACAGAGTGCATCGTCTGTAGAGATGAATCCAGATGGGAGAGTCATCGTTTTTGTTGCGTCGATCTTCAGGGATTCCAGAGCGGTCACGGAGAACGTTATATACGCCCATGTTGACGGGGCAGGCGTTGTAGGTGTCGATGATACATCCAGTTCTGCTGGAGGTGGCCGGATCATTTGTTCATCTAACTCAGGACCAGGCTTGTAGTCATCCCCAAAGAGAGATACCGTTTTGGTTCGGTCCATGTTACCAATCGAGATATCCTCTTGAGTAAGTGGTGTTCCATGGCAGATATTGTCCAGCCACTCAATGATAGCGTCTTGGCCTGTCATGTCCATAACATCGTGCTGTCCGACAAAAGTAAGAATGAGGCCACCAGTGATGAAATTAGCCTGGACGGCAAAGACAGGCGCGGAGTGAGCCGCTAACCCGACAGTATTCCCAGGTAAGTTGATAGTCAAACATGGCGCGATAATGTTTTCATGAAGCATCGATATAGGAAAGTTGGATTCTCGGAGAGCGTTCATTGTAGGCGCAGAGGTATCTTGTTGGTGATCTTTGACGATGAGTGGGATCCTTTCCGTACGGATGATCTTATAGACGCCAGTATTTCTTTCACTCGCGCCCTCATTTATAACCTCTCCGGCGAGCCAGGGAATTGACTCAGTCAATTCATCGAGTCCATTCCTCAAAGTATTGATGATCGTGTCGAAATTTGACGAGTCTGGTACAGCGTAGATGGAGCATATTTGGGTGTACAGCTTGTGCATCCCTGGCTGCTGACCCAGTATGTCCAGGACATCATTCTCGATTTCCATTGATGTCACCATTTTCTTCTCGCTACCTTCGAGGGTGTCCTTCCAAGTACAAGTCCTGTAATCTTATAAGAACCTTAGGGGGAGGGATGGTCGGCCTAGAAACTTCCCAAATTAGATTCACAGGCTCGGCCGCTCGGGCCTAAGAGACCCACTTCATCAGCGTGAGTCAAGGACTCAAGGTGAGTCTTGCGGGTCCAGGGCTCTGCAATAGCCGCCCGGTGCAGCAAAAGTACCGCAGCAGAAATATCAACAGGCCCAGCAGAGTCTCTTTCGGTGATTTTTACGCCTGCCAAGGCTGACGTGACTCCAGGCGTCACAGCTGCTACGGTAATGGTAACATAGTACCTCCAGAATCAACCCCAGTCCCGACTATGGGACTTCAGCGAGGGCACCGCTGTGCCAGTAGCTTCAGCTGCATTAGGAAGAAGTTGGAGGCTGAGCACTTGACCTCGGAGTCGAGTCCTTGATGAATAAAAAGGGCCGCAGCTGAGCCAAGATTAGCGGCTCCTACGACCATAACGACAATGATTGCATTTGCCATTTTTTGCCCGGGTAGGGCTGTTGGGTGATATGAAAATGGTATTGGTGTTTGCCCTAGTATGTCTGGCGCTCCTGGAACCTTTGAATCAATGTTAGAAGAGCGTTTGCCCGGAAATTCATTAACACACTGGAGGCAAAGAATGAGAAATATAGGATTAGGCATCAAAGTCGCATCCATTGGATACCACTGTGTTTCAAGGTTGGGTACTGGATTCTATTTAATCGTTTCATACGTAAATCCCGACCTAGGTATCTGTCAGTGTTTGATGCTAGAAATCTGCACCCCGGGTGCCCCGAATCAAAGGTACCTCCTAGTAGTATCTTACCCACTATTATTCCACGACATCTTTCAACTTGAAGCCTTGGAGTGGCTATGCAATGATCATGATTGGATCATCAAGTCAACCTTGGAAGATGCATATGAGTCCCTATGTCATATCACCCCCACATTAATTTCCTCATACTCTCAACACGTCCACCTGGGTCCAAAAAGGATTAGTCTTAGAAGTACCTAGTCTCATCCTTCAAAGGTGATATAATCCTACTTATCTCGCACATTTTCTTCCAAAGCCACTCCTACCATTTCAACTTCTCCAGTACCCCGTATCACCAGCAGCCCATAATAGTCGCAAAACCCAAACTCATGGATCCAGACCAGATACTCGCAGTAAGGCCACTACCTATCTTTCCGTGGAACCTGGCTGATATTAAAGATTGATGTGTAGGTTACCGATGCTCTCAATCTATTAAGCTTGATGCCTATTCAACTTGCACCACCTCCACAACATCCTCCCCCATGTCACCTATGTGGCCAATCTGGCACCAGGAGAACTACTGGAGAATTCAACGGGAAAGGAAACGCTGGACGGCCCTTCTACAAATGCGACACTTGCAATAATTTCCTTTGCTTCGCTGACCACCGTGGCAATGATGTGTCTAATCCTTCCTGTTACTGTCAAGCCTCGAGCAAGAGACAAAGAGCAGGCGCTGATAAAGAGGTGCCAGGTGGCTTGCACTTTGTCTGCAGGCTAGGGCGCTGTGGTTTCTATCAAGCCTGCAAGAATCCCCAAGGGCAGCATCTCACCGTCCCTGATGATCTTGTAGAGACTATGAAGAACCTTTCTTTCATTTGAAGGTTTTTCGTTAGAACAGATAGGACCATAGGCCCCGTTCTCCCTGTGTAGATATCGCCTTCCACGGCACCTTCTTCTTTCCCTTCCCCAAGCACCTTCCGCTGACATTCAAATGTTTTTGGAAATTCATTTCCAGCTGAGAACATTTGAATATCATTCACTTAGATCATGATATTCCTTCAATTCTAAGGATGATTTCATCAGATGTCCCTTCGGTAGGCCAGGTTTTATTTGAATCATGTCTAAGCGGCTACCATTTGAGGCATATGCCCTTCAACCATTTGCTAGTTAAGCTGGTTGCCTCACTTTACCAGTTGACCTTACGGGATGTACTGCAAACTAATTGTAGAATGGAACTCGCTTTCGGAACTTTTCTCATTGACTGTCTGACCACTAAGAGGTGGACAGAGGAAAAATTAATCGGCCTGGTAGGCAGCAAGGACATCCACCTTCATATTCTCCGGCAACTCCTGAATTGCCTGACGGAAGCTCGAGAGCCCATCGGTTGTGTCAGGGATTGTCAGCTTAACGATGACGTTCTGGGGGATAGGTGGAACCCTGACTGGGGTTGATGGGCTTGTCTCTTGCTTAAACGTCAGCAAAATAGGAGATTTGCCGCTCGGGGCAGTGCTGAAGGGTCGCACTCTCAAGTGCTGATCTTCAAGTGCTGCAAATAGGTCGTTCATGGTCATGCTTTTTCTGTCCCCCTTTAATGAGTGGACTGCATGCCGGATTCTCAGGGTGAAGGAGATCGGGGTCATTCTCCGGTAATGGGCACCTCTGCAGGCAGCAAGAAGCTCGGTCGTTCCGTGGAGATCATTGTGACGATCTCCAAAAGGAGAATCAAGGATCACCAAGACATCTGAGTCTTTGTTGCCTTTGCTGCACAATGCGTCATTGATCGCTGACCATGGGATGTAATTCCCTTCATTTTCCAGAGCGAAATTCTCACTTCCTTCATTTTCCAGAGAGGGCTGCAAACTAGCATCTCCCATTGGCACACCTGCATCGCCAGCATAATAGAAAATGAAAAGTGTGGGCTCCTGGAGATCATGGTCGGTCTTTCGCAGCTCCAAAATCTTCGCTACGAGGTCCCACGTGAAGGATTGGCCTCTTCTTGGTATGACGTGGACGTTGGACTGGATACCAAAATTTGTATCGAGCAAGTCAGTCATAGCTGCCACATCGGCTCTCGCGTTGCTTCTGTCGGTTTCCCAGCGGACTAGGAGAGCGGATTGATGTGCGTATGGTTGGCCTCGGCAGTCTGCCAAAGCCTGAAGCTCCTGCATTAAAGATGGGAGGAGGCGAATTGGAGTCTGCATGATGATTTGTTTGCGCTGGAGGTCAAAAATACCAATGTTGTGGAACAAAGGGAGGGTATATAGAGCGAAAAGACGATCGAAAGACGATGGTTCATAACGAAAAGACGATCAAAATACGATGGTCCAGAGCAAGAAAATGATCAAAAGACGGTTGCTCAGAACGGAAAGACCATCAAAAGACGATGGTGTGGAAGAAAAAGACGATCGAAAGACGGTTGTTCAGAATGAAAAGACGATCAAAATACGATAGTGGGGAAGAAAAAGACAATAGTGTGAGAGATATCTGTTAGGCAGCACTACCTATGAGCATTGTTTGATAGTTCAAAATAAGAAACTAATCAGTCCAATGTTTATGCAGGCTAGTAGGCAAAATGATCGGGATGGTCTACTAATGATCTATCTACTTTGGTCTACCTAATTCAAACAATAAGCATCTTGAGCTGAAGGAGATTCCTTTAATAGTACAAAGAATAAAAATACAAGATTCCTCTCTTCTCATACATTATCAAAAGCCTGCAATTCCACATCCACACATCTGAATAACTTGAAATCACTGTCAATCAATCCGTCACAAAATCAAATCAACTCGCAAGAACCTTCTTCCCAGCCTCAAGATCTTCAATCTGCTTTCGCAACTGGTGCCTCTTGCGTAAAATGTTCGCGTTTTCACCCGCAATCCCCCTGAGCTTATTGCTAGATAGATCATTGACCCAGGTCGGAGAGAGGAGATTGATAGGTGTCTGCGGTCCGGTAATCAGGTAGTAGTCGGCGGCCTGCATACAGACACAGTCGACAAATCTTTTCCGAGCCACCTTGTAGTATTACTCCAAGATATCATGGATGTCATTAACAGTGTGGGATTTATTGCTCATATGGTGATGTTGATCAAGATCGTTTAATCGAACAACTTCCCCGTATTTGGAGTCTTGGAGGGTCAACAATGCCATTGCAGCACAAAGGCGATTCTGACAACTATTAGATTGCATTGTTAGTTAGAGCTCTTAAAAACAGATGGATAGTCAATCCACTCATACCATCTTTGCAAATTGTCATTCAAGTAGTGATTCATGGTCATGAGGGTACCCTCGCGCTCAACAGTGAGGAGGAACTTGACCCGCTCTTGGGCCAGACGATAACGGTCTGTCAGTTCGTCCATAATCAGAGAAATGATACTGGCAGCTATGCCTTTATCAACACAGATGGTATCAAGAATTCGAACAATAAATTGGTGAAGGATGATGATAATATCACTAATGTAGCCCATTCCAATTGATGGCCATTTCGCAGTCTGTTGCTTGAACAGAGTCGACACAATTGTGGGATTGAACGTCCCAATTTCAAAGCCCCTGGAGCTACTGTACACCTGGTCAGTCCAGGTATGAATTCCAAAGGAACGAGGAGCTGGCACAAGCTTGGGACTTTCAAGTATTTCCTGAATATCAGGAAAATCTGGGAGCTTTCGACTCGCGTCAGACTTGAAAATTGTAGCATCATATGACAGAATGAGCTTCCCGTTCTCTTTTGACTGTTTTTGTTGCTCGTCCTCACTATCTACATTACCGGAGACAAAGTTGTATTCGTGACCCCGAATTGCCATGTCTTTAGAAAACCTGGAATTTCGGGTGGAGATCATGGTAGCCAGGCGTAGTTCCTCGTTGTTGAAGATATCGGTTGAGCCGTAATCTGTAGATAGGGCATGTCGGGTGATACTCTGGAAATCGGCGACAATGTCCAAAAGAATTCTTCTCTGTTGTTCTGCCGAATGACGCTCAATCCCAAGAGCGTCGAGAGCCTTGGTGGCTTCCTTCAGTTTTTTGGAGAGTTCGACACGTACCTAGGTCAAGGTTAGAAAGCTTTCACCGCATAATGGGAGGGGTGACCTACTTCAGGGAAAACCCGGCGAACATTGGAAGTAAGAAGCTCCTTCAGTCGGGCTCGCAGCGTACTGATGCCATAGTTGTCGCTTGAGACACGGCTCCAAGTGGTCATTGAGTGGAACGACTTTTCCTTTTAAGTCCCGGTCTGCCAAACCATCTTGCATCTCCTTCTGTCCGAGATTGCGAAGGAGAACCCACCCAAGCTGTCCAGTCGTACTTCCATTCTCAATCAGATCTATCACTTTATCTTCGGCACCTTTGTCAACAAGGTCAGGTTTCGTCATGATTCCAAGAGTCCGAGCGCCAGTTGGGTCCAATTCATGGGCCATCTCAATGATCTCCTGTGTAGCAATATCCACGTTGGCTGGGACGACAGTCAACATGATTGAGCGAGGATTTTTCATGTATCATTCAACCATGCTGCGCACAAGGACCATGTCTGCCTTTGTCGTGGAGCCCATAGTAGTATTCTTGAAAATTCCAGGAACATCGATCACACTGAGATGATCCTCATCCGGACCACAGATTTCAAGCCGCGGCACGCTGTTGGAGAAAGTGGGTTCGCTATCGCCAGAACGGGTCGAAAGACCCATTAAGTCGTGAACCTTGATAAGTCAGTACTTTTCAGTTCAAGTTGTCAACGGGGCTGGGTATATGATTACCTCTTGCATCATTTTGGAAAATCCGGATGCTGTCATTGTATGAGTACCCGATGCACTCCACGCTCGCAACTTGTGTTCTTGCTCTGGCATGACGCTTAGGTCCGGTATGATGCTAGCTGAGATTTCGCGACGGTCCAGGTTTTTCATGCGGCGAAAGATAATTTGAGTTGCAAATTGTGTGCAGAGACCACTATCGCGAGGGAAAATCAAGCCTGTCAGGCCTTCAAGGACTGAACTCTTGCCACTAGATTGATCACCGACAGCAACAAGCTGGGGAAGGCTGATGTATTCACCGACATTGCAGGCAAACAGTTTGTCAATCTTACCTAGCAAGATTGGATCAGCCAAGGCAACCTCAGCCAGGGTAGCATCATGGGCTTCATCCATGATGGTGTTGTTGGTTATCTTCACTGGTCCGTACTTTGGCATTGGTCCGAGTCACAATGAGAGGAGCATAAGTCAAGGGAAGAATGAGTTAGTGTAAAAGGTGGGAATAATACGCAAACACACGTCAAGGGAAGGGTGAGGAAGTGTTTGGGTAAGTAGAGGGGTGAGAAAAGGAGAAAGAAAGGAGGAAGAAGTGAAATGGTTTTTCGATAACAATATAGACGCGTCGACATACTAAATGGGAAGTTCGAATTTCTGCCTGATTTTGATTTCTCACCTAGAATTCAAACATTACAAGCTTTCTATCAAATACTCACCTGAGTAGGCATCTCAAGTCTCAGAAACATCTCTTCACATATCTTCACATCTCTGCACACCTCTATAGGCACTACTCAATACACCCCAAAGGTTTTGACCTGAAGAAAGTACAAACTCTATAACATACCTTGTCACTTTCTCCTAATCCTAGTAGAATTGATAAATTCCAGTCTCTTCTCTAAAGCAGTATTATATCTGATGTCATGTTCTGCAAGTTGAGATTCACCCATAGATCATGATGCATACGCCGATGAATGGATTATAGGCCGTCCCAACCCAGCCTGACTGCCCAGGTGGTTCTTTCTAGAAGAAAAAGAACCAATTTGCATATAAAGAGATAAGGAGATGAGATTGTTTCAACTAAGTGTTGGCGTATTCTGTTCTGCCCGGAGTCAGAGCTTTCACCTGGCCACTATTTGGAGTCCGATTTGAACATCTGCCCGAAAGAATGCATGCACATGTGTGGTCTCCTAGACACAATTCTTGAAGGGAGTTGAGGTCAAACTGTCTCCAATCATATACATTGGTGCACTTTAGCTCATCGTTCATCATCTTGACTCTCAGTATTTGCAGGCAATTGGAGTTTATGGATCCTCTTTGCCAGCAGAGTCCGATCACAGAAAACGACTGAGAGTTGTTCGTTCAGCCGAGCATGAGAGGCTATAGCAGCGAATCAAAAACCTGAGCATTTGAGCACTTTGATATCCTCTATACAATAAAAAGCAGTCTCTATAAGAGACTCTTTTTTCAATTCTCATATATTCATTCCAAGGTTAGCTCTAACTCATCTACACACACTTTTTAGACTTCACCACGCACTCAAGCATTAATATAGTTGAAGAACTGCCATATCTGCAAATACACACGCACATATTCACAGATATGCACACACACACTGGGCTAAAACTACACCTTCCCCGGGGCTGTCCTAAACCTGGAGAAGATGAGACAGACCGAAGAAAGAAAGAACTTGCAATCACAAGGGTTTTGAGTTATGATCAGTCATATAATGTGACTTCCACTCCCCAGGTCACTACCTCCTAATCTCCACCTTCTTCCTAGCATAAGATATATGGCAGTTAACTACGGACTCCAAGTACATCTTACATATGTGCTAGCCTCCAAAATTCAACAGTTATCATGAAGACAAAAGCACTGTTGAGCTAGACCCACGTGGAGTCCACTTTCAATGAAGTCTCGATTGCGCCATGATCCACAGAAATCCTTCAATCCCGTGCATCCTCCAGGATCGATTTGCCTCTTGACTCGCATGGATACCTAATTAGGAAATTCCTCGCAATTCAGGCCCCACGCGCTAGACTTGATGAGTTGATATCCAGATGAATGTACCGCAACACCTTCCACAGTTGCATTTTCCTTGATGAGTCAGTGTCGTCTGGATATTTGTGCTCATATGAACTAATCTGGTAAATGAAGGATAAGCTGACTGCCAGTGTCAGATAGGTTGGTATGGGAGGTACTATGAAGAGAGATTCCTGAAGTTCTAGATTTTTTTCAGAATGATATCCATGATTATACCGGATACTTTTATTGGGTAAGTTTGGATGAGAATGGTGTTGTCGGATAGCTTGAGGTTTGGGTATGCGGAGAGGCTCATGTACATAGATAGACCTCATCCATCATACAAGTAATAGTGAGTGCATTCGAATCAATATACCCGATCTGAAACCTTGGAATATTAATTCCCCGACATCCACATCATCAACCTGAGGATTTCCACTTCTTGTCGATCTCCCCAGCCCTGGAGGTCCTATGTACCTCTACCTCTACCAGTTGACATACAGTGCAGAACAAACCAAAGTCCCAATAGGGACGGAGTCTGACCATGCATAGCCCTAAGCATTAAGCTCCGCAGATCGACAAAGTGGCAAGTGTTAACCCCATATAGCCAAGCTATTCTTCTTGCGGAGAAAATACCTCTAGTTGAAACAGCCCTAAATCGGTGGCAAATGTATGCATGGTTGGATTCTGTGAAAAGCGGGCCTTCCGCATGTGTGCATTCTATGCAGAGAGGTCGGGCGAAAAGCTTGGTGTTGCTTGAAAGTAGCAAGTGAAGGTAATTATGGGTTGGAATACCGAGGATCGTCGGGATGACATGTAGATCCATTGACATGACTTTGCAGTTCTCCCGAGGTGGCTTGAGAGTATTGCAACCATTTGAGACTAGAATATTGCGGTGTGACACTTGCCACTAGAGCTTGCAAGCTCTCGTAGTTTTGAATGGGACGAGCGACAAAAGACTAAATGAGTGGCATGCGTAGCTAAATTCTAACTGGGTCGGAGGGCGTGGTGCAGTGGAGGGCAATTGAAATCAGACTGGTCTGAATGGAGTTATTTCGAGTTGTAAATATCATTTATGCTCGGTGCGATGGATGAAAACGATAGAATAAAAATACGAGGTATGCCCAGAATAGGATGAACGTTCTCCAATTTCAAGTTAACTCTGCGTACGATATGTTCGAAGCAGCAAGATTAATATTCATGTCTAAATTGCAAGCATTCATAAGGAAAATAGTGAAAAGAGAAATATCAAAATCCAATTTTCAAATTGAAGAGCTCGAGTCCAGCTCAAGCATAATATTCAACAATCTTGTAAAGGCAAAAAGAAAAATCGCTCAATGGAGTAAAGTCTTTAAAGAATGTCCAAATCCAATCCACCAGGTATAATGAAACAAAATAGAAGCACGCGGAAAGATCCGGCGGGAGTATCATGAAAGTCATAAAACATCAAGTATAATCAAGAATAAAAATGAAGGGAAAGAATTATTAAAAAGGGACGATGCCACTTTGCAGTGGAGACCACGGATCTTTCTGTGGCTTGCAAAGGTGTGGATTCACCGAGCCAACAAACTTAATTCGACCTCTAATCTCCTCACGACGACGTTCAGCTTCATTCTCCAAATTGGATTTCTTTTTCCCTCCGCCAAAAGCACCAGTCTGTAAGGCGGGGAGGGCTGCAAAGGTTGATCGCTTGGGCTGTTGAGTAGTTGGTCTTGATGACGCGGGTCGTACGCGAACGGGAGTAGATTCAGGTCTCTTATTTGTCTTGAGTGGTGCCGGTGCAGGTGCAGGTTGTGAAGCACGCACGCTGTTCTTCGCTGGTAATTGCCAGCTAACGGAACTGTGTTTCTTGGCTTCTGAAGACGGAGACATGGGGCTCCTCATTGCTGATGGTGGTGATTTCATAGCAGATGGAGGTCGAGACTTCATCGCTGATGTGGGTTGAGAGGATTTGATTACTGGTGGAGGTTGTGAAGCGCGTGTCTTATTCTTAGATGGCAGTTGCCATGAGACAGAGCTGTGTTTGCGAGGAGTTGAGGAAGGGAATGCGGATTTTCTTTCCCGTGCATTGCGCGACTCGTCTGCATGGAAATTGGAGGTCGAGGTTGAGCTGGTAAGTAGTTGAGCGTGGAACTCATCCAGCTCCTGTGCCTCTTCTTCCTCGTCGTCTTCACGGATAGGGTCGGTTGTGCGTGTGTTCAATGGACCCATGGGACCAGTGAACCGTCGTGAGTGAACTCGAGGTACCTCAACCGGACTCTCCTGCGGCTCCTTCATCTCATGTTTCTCCCGCTTGTCCTTTTCCTCGGAGTGGTGGGAGATCTTATTAACATAAGTCATAAAGGATTGGCGCACACCCGATTTCCGGCCCATATTCATCGAGTACCATTTTGGTTGTTTCGCAGTGACGTTCAAGCGACCTTCCTTGGGGTGTCCAGGACTCTCGCGACCGGAAGTCTGGGATGGAGAAGGCCCCAGTTCAGGGAAAAGATCCCACTTCTTTTCTCGGAAATAATGACTAGTGTGCGAGGTTCGCCCTTCCACATTTGGTTCCTTCCATTGTAATGGACGGCCGTAGTGGGCAGATGTACCGAGAATCACAGATGATGCATCAATATCTATGGGGCTGGTAGCGGTGGAGTTGTCAGGATCCTCATCATCAGCGAGCCCCACGTCGGTCGGGCTTAGACTGGGGGAGGAGGCCCGAGAGTCAGAATCGTTGAATCGCAGGTCGGTTACAGCGGTGAGATGGTTAGGGTTCGCGGTATTTTTTCTTGGGGCAGTGCCGAAGATACTGGTGGAAATGTCGATATTGAAGGGGCTGGGAGGGCCCGCGATAGGAATAGTATCCGTCTCTTCTTCCGTTCTTGGTGAAAGTGAGAGCGGGTGAATGTAGGGAAGTGGGGAAATTGGTGAGCTGTCTTTCAGCCCATCAGTGGGGGCCGGAAGATCCAACAGGCCTGTGAAGTCATCCGATCCCGTCCGCACTAAGATGGGAAGATAACTCGCTATTGAGTCTGACAAGTCGGCGGGAGTGCCATAATTGCTGTCATCGTAGCTGCTCGCCGTCTCACTGGAATCACTGTACATGGCTGAGGATGATTCACTTGGTGCCTTTAGACTGTCTCCCGTATATGATTTGGTGAGAGGTTTGTTGATTGTGATCTCGGAACGGTGGGCAGTAATAGACATGACTCTTGGAGGGACGACTTGTTCTAAGCCTTCTAATGAAGGAGACTGTCGAGAAGGTGTGTGAGAAACAGATGCCATGTTTGTAGATACCATGATGGACAAAGAAATATAGAAGATTATAGTTGGCCACACAAGCCTAGATCTTTCTTTTCTTTGTTAATAGAGAGAGAGGGAATCACATCCAAGCAGAGGGGATCCAGGTCAATAAAAAGCGTAGAGAACATACATGACTGATCAGCCATGAGCGTCATTTGTGCACGGACACAACGCGAGGGGCCAGGATATTTTTGGTAAGATCCACATAAAAAAAGAAACATTTTGAATTTTGGGGCCAGAAGAAGATCTGCACTGGAACTTGACCATCTATGGATGCCAGTGGTAAGTCCCCCCCATATACACGGCCCCCTTCATGAAAAAGGAAAACCCATAATAAACCCCGAATCCAATCATTTGATGTTACTCAGCTTACTATACATAGAAGATCATCGTGATTCATTAAGATTCATTGGAATTAACAATCTAACCAGGATCCCCATGAAGGTTTTTCGACCCCAACCCCTAACAGTAGACCAAGTGGAACACCCTCATAAGATACCACATGTGCAAGTGGAGGGGAAAAAGGAAGAAACTAAACTACATCAAGTAATATTTTAGATGTATAGGTACAAAGCCCAGACTAACGAACTCCTGCAGGCCCAAATCTAACTAAGTTTGGCTGCCTTTTCCATAGTCTCCCGAGTCAATTGATCTGAGGCACGCCTCACAGCACTTAATCGGCCTAAACGCCTCAGGTTAGTGATCATAGCCTCGTCGCCAAAGTGGCTATTATGTTCAAACTCCGGTTCCTGCTGGTATGCGACTCGCGCTGCATCTACAATCATGCGTGCTGTCATGCCGAATACCCGATACCGTTGGACTTGTCCACTCTCTTCTTGTTCCACAAGCTGCTCCACTGCCTTTTTCTGCTTTTCATTTTGGGGAGAAGGATGGATGGGAGGATTATTGGCGCGAACAAAGAATTGGTGCACTAGTGATAGTTAGCGTGTGATTTAGAAAAGTAAAATCAATAATAAGTAGAAAATGGAGCTGGAAATGTAGAATCGGGCCAATAAGCTATGATCTTTTCTCGTCTTCAAGCAAAAACATGGCTCGGACATATTCCATTTCTGTCCAATATTGGAACAAACAGAGTGGAGCCTTATTGACAGGTCCACTGCGTGGATGAACCGTTGGAAGGGAGAATCAAGAATTGAAAAGGAAAACATACTCCGCCAGTCAGAATTATGCCACGTCCTCCAGGAACCACGATACCATTTTGAGGGTTCCTCAGAGGACACTGCATTCAAACCATTTTCCTCATCACGCGTCGATAAGAAATTATGAAATGGCGCTGTAAAAACAGCAGCGACCTCCCGAGCATCCAGCTTTGGAATCAGCGAAACTTCGGGATCCGCATTCTCCCCGGTTTGTGGATCAAAAGAGTGTAATAAAGCCACGCATGGCCGGACCACTAGCTCAGTTCTGGCTAGATTGGCCGGTAACTCGCAGAGATGTTCGACGGTGAATGGGCGGGGCAATGGTTGATCAATCCCAGGGAGACCGATTTCCTCCCATGCTTCGCGGCGTGCGGTCTGGAACGGTGTCTCTGAAAGTGTATCTGCTCGGCCTGATTAACATTAGGGAGGTTCCACCTACATCTGTGGTGATCATGGTTGCACAGGCCATGTCCATTAGGCTCGTGTCTTGGATTTTGCTTTTTCAGGCCTCAGATGGGATCTACCCCTTGAGGTTGATAGGTTGATCATCAAATTAATGATGGCCCTACTGATTGATTTCCTTTTCCTTGGGTAATAAATTTGAGAAGAAAATATCTATAACTCACCTCCTGGTAAAGCCGCATCTCCTGCATCTACAACGTAAAGTTAGCGGAATCCACAATCCACATGTCATACAGGAATCAAGGATAGCTCTGTCGGAACCAAGAGAAAGGGATGCATACACGAACTCAATGTCTTAGCCCGAATTGTAATCACAATCCTCAGGTCTCCTTTTTGGTCGGCATACAGCAACAATAATACTGCTGCTCGTCTAGAAAGCGGAACATCGTTGTAAGCTGTTGGTGGAGGAACATAGTCTCGAAGTCGATTAATCGCTTCCTAGTTTCGATCAGTCTTCCGTCGGATGCAGTTTCTACATTCTGTAACACCAGTGACTCTCCACCAGTCCCAAGTTGTCTCGTTGGGTACATTGCCACGCGACACGGGTTGGTTCAGCCTCCTGTTTATGTTCGCTGAAAAGGGTTGGACATCCACGGGGATAGACGTCCAACCCCTCTTCATGAACCATGAATGTGATACCTCACGACGAACTGTGGGGCTAAAGGCTGAACTCAAATATAGACTCAAACATGTGGAAAGATAGGTCAAGACCAAAGACTCATGTCTGGAGTTTCATAATGAAATAGCCGACGAGAAAAGTGACCAGTTCGGGCATAACGTGGGTCTTGATTCTGTAAAGCCACGTCGTCACGGGTAGACACAGCTAGAGGCATGAAGCATCAAACTCGATGCATCCAACAACTGGCCAACCTCTCTTCTCAAAGGACACACATAAACAGTATACAATGAAAAATCAAGCACGTACCAATGAAACTTGATTAAGTGGAGCCATAGTAGAAACACAGGCGTTCCTCACTGTACTGCAATAAAGACCCCGATAGTAGAGTAAGCTACAACCGACAGGGCTTGGAAGGCTTAGAAGTTTGTAAATGGGGCGAATATGCTGGGTCAATCGATGTTGACGTCTCCACATGGTAGTACCTGTCAACGCAGGTACTATACCTTTGCAATGAGAGGTGTGGAATGACTGGGGGTCATTCAAATCGGCAAAATGAAGCCAATGTGATCCGGCAGAGTGAATGTTGGATCTAAAAGGATCAGAAAGATTTCCTAGCTAGGCAATGGTGAAATATGACTAGAGTTGCAGTTTGCGGGGGCAGAAAGCGGTTGTTCTACCGAGTACTGGGAATGTTGCTTGCCGAGGTTGGGGGCTGGTGACTAATGATATCATTGCCGCGAGATGGTTTCAATCTAAAATAATAACTCTGAGATCTAATTATAAATCTTTAGTTGAATTCATTAGTGGTTTGATATAGATAATACCAAAGAATCCTGCAGTGTTTCGAGTTGGTATGTTAACCTTGGAACAGTTCAAATGTTACCTGTGCGGGATGAATATGGTGGAATTTACTAGTGCGATATCGCCTACTAGCAGCATTGAGTAACTTCAAGTATTCTATGATAGTATCATTTAGGTAGTACTATTAAGAATACTAGTATTCTCAAGTCTGTTAGTAGTATTGAGAGTAGTTTCAAGTCATGTTCAACTAAGTACTCAAAAATCAACATTTGAATGCCCATGGAGTTAAGAACCATCCATATTATCAGACAAGTATCAACATTGAAAATTCTCTCAATCTTCATCACAAACTTCAAGTTGAAGTTTCTCAAAAAGCTCATGACCTTGCTCATCCAGCTCCGGATATTTCTTTAAAGAACTCAAAGCCCACCAAAACTCCTTCGCATCCTCATACCCATCCCCATGGACCTTCATCCGCTCCTGAAGGTTACTAACTTCTTCCACTCACAATCATCATCCGTCCATACCCACAAAGTAGAGACATATTCATGCCAGATGGGTAGGAATGCTGCATATTCCCAGTCCAGAATACCAACCAACTTGCCATCTTGAACCATGATATTACACACATTGAGATCACAATGGGTCAAAACATAGGGCTCACATTTTGGCATCCGTTTCTTCATATCATCCAGTACTTTTTTCGGAACTTGAAGTGACGGCACATGCATCCCATATCTCTGAAGACTGTTACTTATTGCATCCCATAACTCATCAGAGTGAAAAGGACCATAAGGTACAGAATCAAATAAATCATAGCAAAGTAACCAGATCCTAGTGGCATTCCGATCAACATCTTGAATGGCATTCGAGGTAATTGATCGAAGATTTCTGCGAACAGCGACAACTTCATCTGCGATAGAATTCTTTTGGGTTTCCGATAACGAAGACCAGACCTCATCGAGTGTCTGTCCTTTCATTCGCTCCGTGAGCGCGAAGTATCGTCCATCACTGTCGACCCAGTCGCGGAGTACTTTTGGAACGGAGATTTTGGGATAATTCTCAAGGAACTTCAGGGTTTTCACTTCGGTTTGGGACAGCCGTCTTGTCGTTCTTCCATTATCACATCTGAGCCTATGGACCATGTGCCTCGTTTACCTGCACCGGATAATAAATTCACGTGGCTTTCATAGGAGCAGCATTTTTTGTTTTTCGGTGGACGATCCACATGCAACGCACTTGGCGTCTTCTGTCATGATTGGACTTGGGAAGGGAAACTTGAAGGTAATTGAAAAGAGTTGGGATTGATTGCAGGGATATTGCATGTATGTCGTCACCGCTCTTCTCGGACCTTCAATCAGACTCTATGTCAGTCTCAATAACTTGAATGAGACACAATCTAAGTTGATATATTGTATTCAAGTTCAAATTTATTGACGATCGAGGTTCACGATTGCTACTATGAGCTCTGTGCACATGTTACGATCATACTAGTACTAGTAGTATGCGGATGTGATTTCCCCGCTCGCTAGCCTAACAGGTCACTATAATTGATGCCCGAATAGATCCCTAACTCGGGCAGTACCTATTATGTACTAGTAGCTATATTACGATGAGTATATTACGAGAACTTGAAAGGATTCAAGAATGCATCATGTGGATTGTATATCAGTACATGGCTTTTGCTCTGAGCACCACGTCATAGCCACTTCTTCCAAACATATTCCCAAAAACAATCAGTCATGCCATGCAGATAGGCATCATTGCACACCATCGGATGAGTAGAAAGCCAGGAGAAAAGAAAGTGTGATCGAACAGATCAGCAGAAGACGTCGAGATCAGGACAACAAGCAAAATGGAGGAGACAAGGAGAACAGGATGAGGGATGAGATGAAGAGGGATGAGGGTCTATATCAACATAGGTAAAAGTAACACAATGGGCGAGAGCCGAAGGGACAAAATGAGATCAGAGAATAATAGAATCTATATGGTAGCACAAACAAACAACCCCCAAACAAAATGAAAGAATAAAAACCTAGTCATTAAACTTACGAGCTTTCGCTCTTCTTGGAGGTCTGCTCAGCCTTAGCTCCCTCAGCCATGGCCTCGGTAGCTTCGGTAGATTGCTTCTCGCCGTTGGTAGTAGAAGAAGCCTCAATGCGAGCTTCCTCCTTCTCATCTATATCTTCGATATCCTTAGGCGCGGCAACATTGTCCTCGCCCTGACCTTGTTGCTCGCTCTCCTCTTCGATCAGCTCTTCCTGCTCCTTGATAACCTCAAGACGCTGCTTGTTAGTAGCAGCGCCCTCGGCATTGTGAACCTCGAGCTCGATCTCGTGGAACAGTTCCTCGGGGATACTGGAGAGAACAGACTTCAGAGCATCAATCTGGGAGGCCATGTCGGACTCCTTGCCACCCTGAGTGTACATGTAGGCGTTGCTCAGAACGAGGAGGGTGGAGGGAACGCCCTGCTGGAGACGGAGGTCCAGCCACATGGTGAGATCCTCGCGCAGACGGGCGGGAGAAACACCGTGTGTGCGAATACCACGGGAGGCACTAGCCATCTGCAGCTCGGGAACGGAGAGAGAGTCGACACCCTCGTAGAAGATGGCGCGGTCGTCACGCTTGATCTGGCGCATGCGGTGACGGATGGTGTAGCGCAGCATGGCGTCAGTGCCGAAGGTGTTCAGGTTCATGTATCGGCAGATAGCGACCAGCTGAGGACGAGACAGGTTGTCGAGGGTAAGGTCATCCTTGAAGATCTTGCAGACCTTGATGACGTCCTCGGTGGAGGGGGATTCACCAGTGGTACGGATCTTGCGGAAGAAGTCGGTGAACTCATCGTTCTTGACAGTAGCGGCGGTCAATGGTAGACCAGTCTCACGCAATGTGTTGCGCAGGAAGCTGGAGACCTCCTTGCGAGTGGAGCTCAAGTTCAAAGCCTTGGTCTCACGGGCCTTCTGGCCCTCGTAGGTGCTAGGCAGAAGGTTGGGGAAGATCTTCAGAGCAATGGGGAGGAGCAATTCGGCGAAAGGAACGATAAGGAAGACGGAGAATGGGACCAAGCGACCCAGATCCTTGGTGGTACGTTGCAGCTGTTACGAGAATCCTTATGAGCCCAAATAATTCAAAACAATGATCATCGACCATGAATGAGACTTACCTGACGGTGTTCACGACGGCTGAGCTCGTAACCAGCCGCCATTTTCACAGCAAGACGAGTACTAATCTTGACTTCTGTGGCCAGCAGCTTAGTGCCATCCCAGTAGTGCTGCACCTCCTTCTTAATCTTCTGGCCAATAGTCAACTTCTTGGCATCCTTCTTCTCCTCAGCAAGGTTCTTGGGAGAGTCCACGGCAACAGCCTTAGCAGCAGCAGACACCTTGGGGGCAGCTGTCTCAGGTTGAGCAGACTTAGCATCTGTTTGTGATTGCGCTTGATCTTGAAGAGGCTTCTTGGCTTGCTCGGCGTTGAAGCCAGGAGGGGGGGTATGACTGAGAGGAGTTGGAGGTAGACTGCTCAGTGGCATATCCACGCTGCTGAGGGATCAGAATCGCAAGGGCAGTGACATGGGATGGGAGACCGCGTCCATTCCGGAGGAGGCTGTTCGCCGCAGCGATAGAAGCTGGGCCCAGGGCGCTCGCACGGGTACGCGCTATATATGAAAGAAAAGTCAGGAAATCATTCCGGCGCTATATAATACATCTGGAATTATCTTACCAGCCAATGTGGGCCGCAATGCAGAGGTGTTGCGCACCAACTGAGCAGATCTCATTGTGGCGGACATTTGCGGAAATAATGTTGGGGCGAGAAAAGGGAAGCCCGATGAATCGAGCAGGGGGTCGCGGGCAACGCAACAACTGAATGTCTTGAAAACTTAGGTCAAGACAATCGCGGAATAAATCAGATAAAACGATAAAAGTTTTGATGATATGAAATTGTGTAGGTTGAGAACTTGAGTACCTAGTTGAAGATGGTGACGCTGCCGGCCATCACGTTGATCCACGTGACCGAAACCGGCGTCGGAGGTTCTAGACGGAGATAAATCTGATCGATCTGCAGTTCCATTCTTTCCACTTCTACGGAGTACGGAGTAAAGAGTCCGGTTTCAAGTTTTGAAGTTTTCGCTTTTTCTAATATTCGGCATAAATATCAAATCATCTTGAATTCATAATTCAAATAAAAAAATATACATATATCATCAAATACGACATAATGATCGACTCTATAATAAGCCCAGGCAATGTATCTCATCCGCATAAAAGACTGGTCAACTGGTAGTACCGTAGTACCATAATAAAAGCAACGCATCTTAGTAAAGCGCTAGAGAAAGAGTAAAAAGGTCATATACGCCAGGGGTATCATGAAATATTAAAGAAAGTATAAGTCTGGCTCTCAAATTCGCTCACGAACCTCAGAGTTGATGTCTCCAGCAGCCTCCTGGAAGGCAGTCGAGGCAGCACTGGTAGGATCCAGAAGAGGGATCCGATCAACGCTATTCCGTTTATCGGCGGAAGGATGAGTCTTCAATGCGTCAGACGCGACCGTAGCAGGCGTATCCGGGAAGATGAACGGACTAGCCGCGCCCTCGGGAGAGCTTTGCCACCGTGCAACATCCTTCTTCAGCTGCTCCAGCTCTTTCTGGAATCGCTTGCCGAAGACATCAATATAGTAAGTTGCACCATTGTGGATACTCCAGACAAACAGGGCAGAGATATAGATACTACTAGCCCATCGGTACCAGAACCACAGCGGGCAGGGAATCATAGTAGAGAGCGCAAATCCATATTGAATCAGCATAAAGGCTGGTTCTTGTAGTGCGTCGGGAAGACTCAGAACGAATCGACCAATCGCAGCCTTGGAGTAGGATTTGCGAAGCCAGGTGAAGCTAGTCGGGCGACCGGCCGCAATCTGATCAGCACGACGCACGGAGATCAAGAAGTGATATGACAGTTGCCAGACGAAGTAGGGTACAGTAGCCCAGATGATCATGGCTCCAAGAGAATAGTGTTCTGGGTCACCCGGCTGGCTGAACTTGATGGCATAGATAGCAGGGAATCGTTCCTTGAGCATCTCGACAGGGGTGAGGTGCACAAGACAGTGCAGAGTGACAGGCGGCATGATATGGATGAAGAGACTGGAAAAATATGTTAGATAAAATGCATGAGAGACATGTTGAGATTAGTGTTTTCATGTACATACCTGACTACCTTATCCATACTATGGAAGACCAGCGAGTTTCGCCACATAGCAATCGCCGCTGCGTTATTACCAAAGGTCAAGCAGTAGGTACCCAAGAACAACCGCTTCGAGCCTGGGAATACCCACAAGCTCAGCATGCAAAGCATGTTGACGAAGTAGCAGAGGTCGGCCAGGAAATAATGATATCCCTTGGCGTGGTAGGTATAGTATCGAATGGGCATGAAATAGGCAAGTTGGGCGGTAAACCAGAGATAGAAGTACTCAGGACACTGGCCGATCAGATATCCACTGATAAAGATATTGAGCACACCTGCGATGAAGGACGCCTTCTCACGGAGGGTCACAGTGGCAGTCTTGTTCCACTGCTTACCCAACCGCTCCACACCGGTCTTCATACGCTGGCGGTATTTCTCGAGCTGCTCATCGGCCGTTGGCACACGGCGTCTGATTTCTCCCACCACACGCTGTCGCGCATTCTGTCCTCGCGATCGGAGCTTCTCACGTTGCAGCCGCACCTTCTCTCTTTGTAGGTTGATCGTCTGTTGCCATTTCTCCAGTCTTTGTGTGAGTTGGATATTATCGAGGACATCGAAAATGGTCAACTTGTCGAGTGGCGGGAAAGTCTCCCAGTCCTCTTGGTACGAACTGCTATTGGAGAAAGAGCCGTTCCTCGACAGTTTGCCTGGGGAGGCGGGAGGCGAGTAGAAGTCATCCCCATCGGCGAACTCCTCCAAAAACGGGTTATCCAACTCATCGGGACCTGGAGTTGAGGCGAGAGACTCTGCAACTACCGAGTCTGACCTTCGGTGTTGGTTGACGGTGGATCCCTCCATCAGGAACTGTTGTTGAAAGGAGAAGATGGTAGGACCGTCCCGGTAGTGAGGGTAAGGTCGGCTAAGGAAACGGCCAAATGTTAACATCCCCATGTTGGTCACACAAAGTTCTATAATTTTCTCATGGAGGGAATGGAGGGTTTCTTATCACGACACAAGACTCGGCATACCTTATCGGGGGGCAGATCACGACCACGGGTTCACGCGGGGAAAGGGACCAGGAAGAAATCTGGTTGGTAAGTGATAGAGTAAAAGCACCTGGATGCAGTTAAGAGAACCAAACAGACCAAACAAGGGAAGAAGAAAGATGAACCAGCAAGAGATGAATGATGGAAGGTGTGCTGTTGTGGTGGTCGCTGGTTGGTGGTAGAGTCGTAGCTTGTTTATGTGGGACTGACCAATCACGGAGCTTGACTGGATCACGATGATCAGGGTAAATGTGGATTCTATCGCGTGATCTAAATGACCAAAAACGGTTATGTTTTCCTTTGTATTAACATTATTATTATATAGTAGTATAATATTTATATCAACTGGGTAGACTGAGTAGACTGAGTAGACTGAAACACTCTAAATGGACTGCATATCTCGATGTGGACTATGCACATGTGTGGATCACTTGACATATACGGAGTACTATGGCGTACTATATCCGCACTCCTAGTATATCTATAGAATCCTTCAATTTTAGATTGATGATAGTCGGACCAAAAGTATACCAGATTCAAGTTTGCCATCTGAATCCTTTGTGGGTATCTTCTTGCATAATCTACTATGAGTCAAAGCACTCTCACCCATAAGCTCTCGAAGCCACACACCGACTGCGGCAGATAGACCCACCGCTGGCAGTCTTAGTGCTTGTACATCCTGCCTGAGTATAATAATGGTGGTATGCAGAGCCTGGATATATTCAAGTTCCCAAAATTCTGGGCGTCATAAATTCCCAGTTGAAGACATTTGCCGAGATGCATAGTACACAACTATGAGTTTAGTGGCACTGCTGTTTGTGCTATGGACATCCGGACTGACTCCATAACCATAATGTTGCTCAGACAAAAATCAGCGTGTGTCACAACTTCCAACTTGAAGGTTCAACGGGATTATTGTGATGACCTGCATCATCACTGGCATTGCCTAGGTCCCTACCTAAGGTAAAATCCTGAGCATGCAAAGTAGTGTAGCTGGTCTGAGCCCACCAACATTTGAACTTGAAGATTCATGAATTTAAGGGCACAAGTAACTTTAATGAAAACAGTATAACAACAGCCTGAGTCTGCCAACAACGTTCAAGAATAATATCATATTAAAGCTTCCATTATAAAAATTTGTATATTATGATACATATTGATGTAGACCTAACTTCCAAGGTTGGGTAGAATGGGGGAATGAATGTTGAGGCGGGTGTAAATGATAGTAGCATTTTGTAGTCTAGCAATAATAATTTGTGTAGAAGTATCAGACAACCCGGATTTTGAATTTTTCCCATTGTTGGATTTTAATTCCTGAGTCTTTTTTTCAAGTTCTGAGGGGAAAACTTTCACCTCTTTTCGGTCTTCTTCATTATAGGATGTGTTAGAGGGAACCATGAGCACTGGCATCATCTCGTCTTCTTTGCCTTGGAGTGTTTCTCTTTAGACTCCTAGAGCTTCGCCTCATCGTCACTGTTTGTAAAAGACGAATAATATCTGCTGGTAGATGAGGAATAGGGTCTGGCTTCACCCCTCCAAAGTAGCAGCACTCAAAGAAGCTTGCGCTTTCCAGGAGGCCTAGGCCATCCTCTGCCAATGCATCATGCATAGTGAGAGTATTGGGTACCCATCCTTCCCGTCAACCGTTACGGGGTCATATTTCCAAGAGAACAGGCCACTGGCCGCTAGGTTTCTGTCGATTCATGTATATCATACAACGATTGGGGTCAGAGATCGCACTGACTTTGACGAGTTTGTGCTCAAGTTTAGCCATATCGGCTCCCGCACGATCCCGGATAGATTTCAATGCTTCATATGCTTCGATAAGGGAGTCATACTTGCCGTCACGAAAAGGTTTAAAAATCATCTGATCATCGAATGGTGAGGTATACCAGCGGGTGTCATACTCGGCACCTGTCTTAGAAGAAGTGTCTCCCACGTAAGGGTTGCGTCCTGATGTGATTCCAAGAGATTTCGTTTGGGGAGCTACCCAAACCTTCAAGGGGACATAAGGGACTTGCGATTCACGCACGCCGAGACATGCCCAAACCCTCACGGGGATATAAGGGGGACTGACGCTCAGGGTTAATCACAATAGCACGTGGCCAAGCCGTTCTTTCGGAAGCATAACAGCCTCAGTGCGAGTTGAGATACCTGTTCGGTATTTGAAAATTTGTTGGAATTTCCCAAAGAATGAATGAAATTCCATATGGGCGCATTATCAAGCTCAACCTTGAGTTTCTCAATCGTAGACTCTTCGTGCGGGGATGTCGATCGCTCTCATTCGAGTCATCCAGCTTAGCATTTATCCAGACCTCATCCAACAGTAGTTTAAACTGTTTATATGCACTCGTTCGTTCGTCAAGGTTATGTGCTGCCACGCCTGTTGGTGCAACACAGACAACAAGTTTTCCAGGGACAGAAAGGTATCTAAAAGGGACAGCTAGCTGGCAGGTGAAAAGAGATGGCCACCAACTCTCAACCTAGAGTCAACTCGCCTTGTGGCCTAGCTTCCGCTCTCAAGAAATTTCAGGGTTTCAAATAACTTGCAATGCGTTGATAGATTCCTCAGAGGGGAATGGGTGTTGTGGGGGGTAAGAAACAATATGCTTTTTGCATTTGCTGCTGTCATGCCATACTGAGGCCTCACACCCCTCTTGGGAACAGACGGATTGTCCCGGTTCCTGAAGAAGACTCTCCTGAACGAATCCCGCATGGAAAGCGTACTCTTCTTGACATTGGATACAACGTCTTTACATGGCAGATTTATTGCTGAAGGGGCTCAGGATGACCTCAGCGGTCTCAATGTTGATGGTCTGGTTGTGTGGACACAGTTCTACCACCTTTTCATTGGCCTTAGGACCAACACAACCACAATATACACACACGAAGGTGCAGTATGTGCAAGACAACAGGAGCCTAACCCCTATTATCGACCTCGCTGTCACCGCTGATCAGGCCTCTCTCTCTGTCTCTGTCTCTGTCTCTTGCTTCGGGGGTAGCCGTGAGACCATATTTCAGCGTATGGCGTGTACAGTGTTCTACTGGTGTCTATGTCGATTTTCCAGACATTCAGATCAGAATAAGGTACCCGAGGTTGTCAGATTAGACTCACGTTCCGGATGAAGGTGGGTTGACTCAGTCTTCCAGTAATCTGAAGCAGTGGGGAAACAGTAACTTAGAATTAATGACATGCAAGATGCGTCACTGTCACTTGACAAGTAAAACGGGTCAACTCCCTCAGGAAGAGGCCGCTTGCCAAACTGGTCGGGGCGTAATATCTGCCAAAGACAGGGACCCAATGCTGACCTTCCAGCGTATGACACTTCTTCCATACCACCAATGGATCTCAAGAGCTTCAAGGCGGACTTTCACTCGGGACCTGGCTTTCACTCTCAAGATACTTGAGAATTCAAGATATTCTTCAGGGCGTTATTGAATCGGGAGAGGAAAATCGCATTTGCGGGATCCAGGAATCAAAATGCTCTTTGCATAATTTGGTGCCATAATTTGGTGCCATGCCAGGTATCACCATATGCTTTGAACCATTTTTATAACCATCTCTGAAACCCACTTCCCTCCCTTTGTGAAGCGTCATTTTCACCCTCTCATTTCACCCTCTCACTTCACCTCTCACTTCACCTCTCACTTCATCTCTCCACCCACTCAGGTCCCTCACTTCAACCATTCTTCCCACACTTACTAATCTGTCAGAGTAGTTGACTTCTGAGCAGTAACTTTTCTTGTAGTGAGCATTTCTCTTGTCGTTTTCCGGTTCTCGGGTACAGCTTTGGCTCTTGTTGAGTCTCTGATATAAGTTGGTAGTAGACTTCAAGTTACAAAGTCTCAAAGCTGTTGTAGTGTTGTGGTAAATATTGAAGCGAGTGATCCGAGTCAACTATGTGTTGAGCCTTGACCTTGCCACTCATAACGGTTTCAACTAAATATCTCATCATAACATTGAAACGGACATGGAATCATTCCAAGGTTGTGCAACAAGATGAAAGTTGTCTGTAATTCCTCCGCGTCATCTTTAAACGTCGGTTCTGCCCGAGGTGGAATATTGAGCCTGCGTTTCTCGGGGAGGAGCTGGGAGCTTCTTGTCATCTCATGTGTTGGTGGTCCGAGTCGGCTATGATTTCGTGAGTATAATAATCAAGACATATTTGGAAAAAAAAAAAGAGGACTTACTCCGCCATTTCTGTGAGACCGAGAACGGTCTAACGAGCTTCGTAAGTTGTAAGTGAGAAGCAACCGCTCTGTAGCCTCTGTTGCTACATAAATATCACAGTTGTATAGAGAGAGCTGCCGCATCAGATCATCCCAATGCAGATCTGCTGCAGAAAGGGTCTGGGAAAAATGGGCTGGTCGAAGACTACGCATACCGCGCGGGTTTCATGGTGACAATCCTGGAGGAGTTCCAGTATGGTCTTGTCCCACGGATAACTGAGTGTAGGCAGACAGTTCGAGGGATGTAAGTTGTATTAGCACATCAATCACGGAAACAGGGAGAATTGGAGATTAGGAGAATCAGGGGAATCAGAGTCGCCTCCAGGGCTGAAACCACTGTTAGTTCACATATAGAGGACACTCCCGACCATGGACTTGAAGACAAGGATGTATATTAATTCGGATTCTCTTTTTCCATGTGAAGGCAGTTCCCATGCACATATAGTTCGTAATGAGCAGTGAACGATGAATCCAGCCTGAGTTCATAAACCTCGTCAGATGGGGTGTTCTTCGTTCATGGGTTTTCGTTGGCACGTCGTCGTCATCAAGCTGTAAGGAACTTCTTACTCATAATGGGATGAAGTCAGCATCTGCTCTAAAGCTACTTCATTCGCTTTTGTACTTGAGCATCGCTGTTTTCTGGATATTGTAGCCCACTTCAAGTTCAAGTTGAAGTTGATGATGATAATAATATTATAAATGCATCTGGGTATCGAGCATGTATATTTCGATGATGGGATATTGATATAAAGGTGCCAAATGATATATGCTAAACTGAAGTCATCATTTCCCCACAAAAGCACGAAAGAAATACTAACTGTGTTTGATTTGGTCAAGCGGCGAGACCCGCGATCAAGCGGCACTCAACAAGCGATAACGCAAGCAAGGTGGGGCGGAGTATGCTTGTGCCGCCATCTTGAACCGCCATGTGGTTTCATTTAATTAATACATCTGCTCTCTTTCTTGTCACTTTATTCATATTCTCAATTGATACTTGCGAAAAAAATAACTACACGGGTAGTTTCACCATGAGCGAAACCAATTCAACGCAAAAGCGTCCAAACTTCCTATTCATCCTCGCCGATGACTTGGTATCTCAATCTCCAAACTGATAAGCAATTGCAATGAAACTAATGGATAATCTGGCAGGGTTTCTCTGATATAGGCTGCTTTGGCAGTGAAATCGAAACACCGAATATCGATCAGCTTGCTGCGGACGGAATCCGCATGCTGAATCACCACACCGCAGCGGCATGTTCGCCCACGCGCGCAATGTTGATGAGCGGGACAGACGCGCATCTGGGTGGATTGGGATGCTTGATTGAGCATCGCGCAAGTGAGAAGGGTGGAAAGAGGTGGAATGGAAAGGCTGGGTATGAAGGATATCTGAACCAAGATGTTGCGACATTGCCGGAGATTTTGGGTGATAATGGATACTTCACCGCCATGTCTGGGAAGGTGAGATTCGTCTAGGTCTAGGAGAATGGTTCTGTACTTGGGTATTACTTGGAGCAGGTGCTGATTTTCGCAGTGGCATCTAGGTCTCCGCGCTAGTCAAGGACCTTCGGAACGGGGCTTTCAGAAGAACTTTGCGATGCTTCCTGGATGCTGTAGTCACTATGCGTGGGAGCCAGTCCAGGAGAGATTTCCTTTAGGTGGATCTCCGATTCATACTGAGGATGGTATCAAGGTTGATGTGTGAGTATAGCCTGTAGGATGCGAGCCGCAAGACCATGCTGACAATTGTATTCAGAGCACCAAACAAGAATGAAGATCCAGAGGGATTTTACTCTTCTGATACCTATACGGATCGATTGATTGAGTATCTTCAAACCCGCTCGGAGGCAGATCAGTCAAAGCCGTTCTTTGCATTCTTGCCGTATACTGCTCCCCACTGGCCACTGCAATGCTCTAAAGCCAAGCGCGACAAGTATGATACTCTTCCCTATGTCTCTCTGGATTTATTTACTGACTATTTCAATTGTTTAGGTACAAGGGCATATATGACGATGGACCATATGCTCTGCGCGAACGTCGACTCAAGAAGCTAGTTGAGATTGGCATTATCGATGAATCTGTGGTTCCTCACAAGGTGGAGACAACTACTCAAAGTGCAGGCGAGTGGGATGAGTTCACACCAGAAGAGAGAAAATGCTCAAGTCGAGCCATGGAGACATACGCCGGAATGATCGATACCATGGATGTCAACGTCGGCAAGATTGTTCAGCACTTGAAGCAGACTGGCGAATATGATAACACCTTCATCGTGTTTATGAGTGACAACGGTGCGGAGGGTGCAGCGTGAGTATCAACATCCTTAATCACAGTATGTCTATGTTCTAACAATATTTTCGATGCAGAATGGAAGCTAGACGTGAGCAACCCCGAGTCCATCTCGACAAATGTGTATCTTTATGCTAATAAATATTGCAGCTGTTATGGGTGACAACATCAAGCGGGCTATCCACAAATATTACGATAACTCGCTCGAAAACATCGGCAACTATAACTCCTTCACTTGGTACCTTCCCTGTCTCGTCCCTAAGATAGAATGAATCTAACCTCTATCAGGATCGGACCTCTATGGGCACAGGCCTCAACAGCCCCCTCCCGACTTTTCAAGGGATTCCCATCTCAAGGCGGAATCCTCGTTCCCTGTGTAGTGAAACCACCAGCGAACACCTTCCTCCCATCATTCACTCCAGGCTCACTGAATCGATCCTTCAGTACAGTAATGGACTGGTCCCCAACCTTCCTCGAGCTCGCAGGTGTATCTTTACCCCCATCTTTCAACGAGGAACGAGCCAGAACCCTGGAAAAGACCACCGTCATTCAGAAAATGACTAAATTCCGCGGTAGAAGCGTACACGCCATCCGGGGTAAATCCTGGGTACCTTTCTTCACACAGGGCCAGAAAACCGAAGACGAAGAACTATGGAATATCCATCCCTCCTCTGAGCCAATCGGTTGGGAACTTTTTGCGCGCGGAGCTATGCGAAAGGGAGATTGGAAGATTGTTCACATCGCGAAGGCGAATGGAGGAGTTGGAGAACCGAATGGAGATGGTTGGGAACTATTTAATGTGGCTGAGGATCCTGGTGAGACGAAGGATTTGGCGAGTGCTCAACCGGAGAAACTTGCGGAGCTTTTGGCTTGTTGGGAGGAATATGTTAATGAGTGTGGGATTGTGTGGGGTGAGAATGCGTTTGAGCCGGGCTTGAGTATTGATGAGGCGCCGGAGTTGTGGGAGGATGAGGTGGAGTTGCAGAAGTCTTGGTTGGGTGCTAAGGCGGGCGAAAGTGTTGCATAGATGAAATGATATAAGATTTCATCTTCCATTTGATGTCTGTATGGAAAAATACGTGCATTCTCCCTTTTTGCTCGATGTGGTCTTTGAAAAAGGCATGGTGTGTCTGGAGTTATAGTGGATATGGAGCAGTTTCGGGGTATTTCCGATAAGAAGCGAACTGATCTGATCTGATCTGGTTGGCCAAGCGTCGTGGCAGCCCTGGAGAGGCTGCTCTCGGTATCGGAGTCCTCAGCAAAAGATTCAGACCTTTGTCGTTAAAGACAGTTCATAGCCAAATTGGTCACTGGAAGCTGGTATATGATGCTTCAAGTAATATGTCCCTGGCTTGGTCCATAATCCAAGAGCATCGTAATCTGGAAAAGTCGAGGATTGGAAATCCCTTATAAAGACGTAATGGCATGCATATAACTCCGCATATCATCACAAGAAATGAAATTTAGAAGTATACTGATCACGAAGACACACAATGCAAGCAAAAAGCAACCCAGCCCAATAAGAAAGACGATTCTTTGAGCCCTGGTAAAAGTGGAATACCGGCGTAGACCCATAACAAAGTAGATAAACCCCGTGGTAGTCACCACTATCAGGGGACACATTTCTGAAAAGATCGATTTCATTTTAAAATATTTGTGAAGTTTCCAAATTTCTGATTTCAAAATTCTGTTCCTTTTGATTAAAATCCCAGGTGGTAGTCGGCTTTACCGGATGGAATGTGGGGCGTGGTGGAATGGCCAAGAGTCCAAGACTCCCAAGCGTCAGAACTGAATTTGAAGCGGGTCACTCAGTACATTACTGATGTTGAATTCCTGTCTCAAGGTGGAAATTGGAGAGGATATCTAGAATCTCCAGGGTTTGGAAGACTCGGGTGGATCAAGTTTTCATCACTGATTCAAGTAGGGGGTTATCAGTGATTAATTATAACCGATGTATGATTCGGGGAGGATTCCGTCCGCGTAAGGCTCCACGTCACATCCACTACCGAGATTAACGATAAAGTAGTGCAAAGAGATTAATGTGAACGTTAATAATGGGGGTTAATATGGGGTTAATGTCGATAATCTGAGCTAAAATTTGAAGCTGATGATATTCAAGTTGGTATTTTGTATATTTACTACCTAGGCCGTATGAATGCTTGAAATCAATTCTTATCCGTGTTCAAATCAATGGCTGAATTTCAAGTTTTCATATCCGAGTCCGTTCCCGTATGTTCTGATGATTGAAAAAAATGAAATGCCCGCATTATTCCAATCAATATCCAAATTGTGGCATTGAAGGCATGTTAGGCCAATATCCCGTGGTTTTCTCTGGGACATATGCATGTGGTGGCGCATAGTACCCTGGTATGGAATTAGGGTCCGGCGGCATGGGTTTCGATGTGTTCGGTGGCTGTTGAGGCAACATAGTTGGAGGCATACCCACAGGGTAACTATTATAGCCTGTGGTCGTGGGACTATGCGGACCACTTGACTCGCTGGTGGAAGGCGACAAAGGCAATCCTTGGGAATTGGCTATAGGGAATTGGTCGCTGTCATCTGGATGGGGACCATGGTCATCGGCGAGATCTTGTTTATCGTCCTCGGTATCAACTGCGGAAATGGGGGTGGTATGTACCCCATTTGACATTTCTTCGTCTTGGTAACTAGCTTCAGGAAGATGGGTGTGCGTCACCTGAACTAGTGTGCTGCCGTCTGCTTAGAGTTAGCGACATGCTGTAAAGCTATACTGGGGATACATGCAGAGGCTTACCGATATCCCCGTCAATGTATCGTTCCTCCATTTGTCGAACAAAGTAGATCTCATCTAGAACTTGTAGTCGATGGGCTGGGCTGATCTGACGCCGCACATCCTGACCAGCCTCACGGAGTTTGTACGCCGTAACTCCATGGCTATCTTTGAGCTCACAGAGAATATGTACCAAAAGGCGAAGTCGATCTGAGCGATGGAATGAGTATTCATATTTGTTTCCTTGACTGAATAAGTGATGCTTACCGCGTTTCAAGAGATGGTCTGGCTCACGATGTAAGACATCAGAAGGCCACCATCCAGGTTTAGTAAGTTCAGGATCAACGCGCTGTGAGACTCCCGCAATCACTTTACGTCCATTGTACGGGAAATGGACCTGCTTCCTTGGCTCCACGAGTTTGATGTATGATTTCGCGATAGCCCGACAGTTTAGCTGCTGAAAATCCTCGAATGCCTTTTCGTAGTACCGCCGCAGTAAATCCCGATTCCCAATACGAAGAACACTTCGTCCTGGCGGGGGTGTGGGTGGTGGCGAAGCTGACTTTGGGCGAGGTCGAGCCATACCCGCTCGTTTGAGGTCTCGTCGCTTTCGACGAGTCTGGTGAGATTGCCATTCACATGGTATCAACTCTGCTGGTAGAGCCTGACCTGGTTGCATCCATCCTAAAGTTGGTTGCATACCCCATGGGGCGGGAGATGTTTGGTTTGGGTCTGTGATAATCAATATAAGTATCTCTGGGCTTCCAGTCACAATTAATATGGCTGATTGACTTACTGGGAAATCGCATAGGTGGTTGGGTATTGGGTGATGCCATTTCCATAAATCGGTCTGTCACGTCTGGGGTGAAGATAGCTCCACCACATCCTGCAATGGACGGTGAGGCTTCGACTTGGAGCTTGCCATTATGATCAAGGTAGATGACAGCGAAATGAGGATGAGGAAACTCCAAGTTAGATGCTTGGCTTTGGCTGGAAGGAACTTGAACCGTCTAGTAAAAGATATGAGTTAACCTTGAATTTCTTTTCTAGTTGCTGTGGCATTCGCGCAAGGGTCAGATATACCATTTGATGAGAATGAGGCATTGATGATGTATCGGAGTGTCTTCGCTCAAGGGATTCCCCCATCCCTAGATGTCGATTTAGATCCATGACACAATAAAGAATGTGTCACACATGCGATGTGTTCAGTTTGATGTCTCCAGTCCAATATAGTCCAGCTTTTATGCGCAGACCAAAGTGGAGGACAAAAGTAGTAGAAGCTGGGGAGTAAAAAAAAGCACGTAGATGCGAAATAATGACTTGAAATAAAATAGACGGGACTGGCCCTTCAGGTATATGATTATCTTCCCCAAAAATAAAATTCCAATAAATGCGACACGGCTATCTGTTGAAGGGTATAGAATCCGGGGCCATTAGGAGAGGTAGCCGGGTGGTGAGAAATTATACATGATCTCGAACGTATTTTTCCCACAGAGGCAAAAAGAAAAGTCACTATGTACATGTATCTGCGTCTGTAAACGTATTTCCTGGAACTTTTTTTTAGCGTCATGCTAATGCAAGGGAAAAAAAGAATATCTGCGGATGCTTCAGCTCCGCAGAGATGGGTGGCAATAACAGCGTCGTCTCCCATTCGATCTTCCCTTTCTGCATCTCAAGATCGGGTCGTCGAAGAACTCCCCCCTCTTCAGATGTGTCGAGTGAGCTCCAGACCCAGTGCACTGACTACATATAGTAGGGCTATTCTTGAAAAGGTTTTTATTGGTTGCTTCTGACATCCGGTACTATGTGGACTTGAGATTCGGAGGATCCGAGTCCCTCTCCCAACTTAGTATTAACCAAAGACGATCCTGCGCTTGGACAGAACACTAGCCACAGATACTTTGGAAAGATTTATCAACTTCGGCGTTGACCTTCGGAGTATGCGTGGTGGAACATACATCCGGGGATCAAGCCTGCGAGAGTTAAAGAGACATGACTTGATAGGTTTTTTGTCGGTACGATTGCCAAATCATCATGCTCTAGCCTAGGCCTTTTCAGGGGATATCTGACTTGATAAAAGGCAGTTCAAGGTACATCATCGACGATGCGCCAATCATGCTAGTGAGGCTACATTGTCCTTGCCAATCATTGGGCACGATCGGCGATCTTTTGGTACCCGAATGTACTAGTGCATATGCCTCCACTCAGTTGATCATTTCCTTCTGAGAATTACGGCCTGAGATGTACAGATGTCTATCTTGCTAAGCCGTAGCTAAGCCGTAGGGCTTGTCAGACACGGTATCAGAAGTATCAATGAATCAATGGAATTCATCGTAGGAGGGGTTGCTGACATATTCTTGACTAACATCAAAAACTTCCAATGGCTCTAGAGATAGCGATCTTACCCCGTTGGAGGATCTTGTACAGGATTCTAACAACCGGGCTCTGCTCATATCCACCTACTAGCTCTTTTCTTTGGGGGTCTATGCAATACGGTCAGATGTCCGTGCGCGGGATCTAATCTTGAAGCGAATTTCAAGTGGAACTTCCAAGGTTGAGAGTGTCGTTCGGTCCAAGCCACAGTCAAAGGGCCCAAGCGGTTTAGACCAAAAAAAACTACTTTATTACGCATGAGCGGTTGAGAGCGGTTGAGAAAAAGTGACAGATAAGTTCTTTAAAAATTGACCATCGAATTTTGAGCTTATTCCCACCACGGAACGTCCGGTCCGGTTGACTTCGATGGCTTCACCTGGACAGCACAGACGATATCTTCCATGAAAGAGTTCAAATCTTGGAGTTAGTGGATCTTTTTTTCATGTAGTGCGCCGAGTTCGATGGTACTAGCATTACTAGCACTTTGATGTTCGCCTTGTTTACTTTGATCCCCAGAGTGACAAATATCTAACAGCAGTGACACACATATTTCGGAGTTCACATATTTTCTTCTTCTTCTTTGGTGGGTATTCCCTGTCTCGGCCGTTGAGATATCCCGAGTCCTGGCCGAAACAACGTCGACGACCCAAATGACGCAAAAGAAGGAAAGCTAGATACAACCTTACCCATTAGGATCAATTCCCTGGTCCCGAATCGACACCTTTTCAGGTGGGGAACCATGAAACCAAATCAGAGTTGGATCGTTGCAAGTTATTGTCGGGGATGTACATTCTCTGGGACCAAGTGGCTCCTCGAATTCTGCTGTGCAGTAGTGGGTATCCACTGTCTGGACCCAACAAGTATTTTTTTTCTTTTCTCTATCTTTCCGTTTCTCATGCAGCGACTATTCCCAACCAGATTTGGTTCGTGCAACATCCGGAGAATATACCCAGGGCCCATTATTGATTGACCGGCTGTTTATTCCCCAGAAAAGCTATACCCGGATCCACAGTTTGTGGGTATATGGGTGAAGGCGCGTGGATTTAGATGAAATAGTATCTGCAAGAATACCGTAGCCAGGATATCTGTGGAGTAGACGATCTCGACGGAGTAATCCGTGCAGATCGATGGATTGTTAAGGCAGGATAAGGTTTCCAGGCTTCAGGAGAAGGCTTTCGGGGTACGGATTACCTTGATTCTGTACTCCGTATTCCGTGCGAGAAGGCTGAGTTGCTTCACGATAGTCTTTCCCCTTGGCAGAAAGTCAAACATCATGACAACAATCATGATCCTTCTCATGAGCCGCACTGTTCTATACTTCATCACTTTCCATCACACTATTTCCAAACTTTCTGGCTCAAAAGTGCCCAGGTGGTGTGGAAACAGTGGAAACAGTAAGCGGCCCCTTGCGTACGAGGGGAAAAGAACAAAGAGGAAAAAAGCAATTCTTCCACCTGACGCAGTAAGTCGGAACCCTGGTGCCTTGGAACTGGGCCCCGGATACCCGGATACGGGCTTCCATCTTGGCTTCTCAAATTCATAAATCCAGGAACAGTCATTGGTAGATTCCGGGACAAAAGTACGGGCATATGCACCCGGGGAATGAAGTGGATTACCATGGCGAGCTTTGTGCAGGACAATTGGATCCTAATACCAGGAAATCGCTGCATTGGCGTCGATTTGTAGACTGATCGACCTCCACAGTTGTGGATTCCTTTTCAGCCACCAGTGAGTTGGCCCGGTGTATCCGTTCAAGCCATTTCGTGGAGTCTAGAATTGAAGCGGTGACGCGAAGGCGCGAAGCCGCGGCTCTGCGCTAGGAGGAAGAACCTTGGAAGTGGAGAATAATTCACGGGAATCGGGATTGAATCGGGATTTGGAATAACGGAATAATGATTCCGCACAAGTTCCAATGAAAAAGTAAAGTGTTTCAATGTTTAGTATAGTCGCGAAGATCTTGATGATCTTGATGATCTTGGATGATCTTGGATGATCTTTGAACCAAGTTCCCCCTCCTTTTTTCAGCCGTAAGATCTGATGATCTGATGATCTCCAGGGCTTAGCGTTTATGTTTCAGGGACTAACCCGATCCGCTGGTTCGTGATACTTGGATTGATACATTATTCGTCCAGTAGTTTAAGGTTATACTCCAGGCTGTAGCCCTGGAGTATACTGTAGTAGACTATAGTATACCTCTATACGGTGTACTCCGTACTCCGTACTCCGTATACTATTTCAAAAATATATAAATATAATTGTTTATTCTTTACTCTTTAATCTGAACTTGGAATTGATTGCCCCTGCATCGAGAGATTCGAGACTAAATCTTCCCCACACATTACCTAGATGATCTGCAACAATATTCCGTTTTACGTATTTCATGTTCAAGTTCATGTGAGCTACGAAGTACTCCGGGTTAAAATGCTGTTTCAGGGATAGTCGGTTCTAATAATCTACTCATTTATGTCTCAGCCTTACAACGGTGTTACAAAGCCTCGACAATGATCCCTGGAGATGATGCATATTTGTACCGAGTACCGGGAACTGGCATACCATAAACCAATTAAGGCAATAATCATGGTCTAATACCCTTAACTGTCACGAGGCAAGCTGCAGTAGCGGTGAGAATATTGATTGAATACTAGAAAACATTGAAGCCACGAGAAGAATCTCGTATTAGAGTCCATACGGGACTATCAACATCATAGTTATGAAACTAGGATTTGGATGTTGTCAGTGCTTATTCTATGATTGACTTATCTACATACGCGTACGTACCTAGGTAGTACATGAGCCGAGGTATCTCTGTCGCAAAAAACATGAAAGCTTAACTCCATGATCATGTCCAATAAAACATGACAGGACATCATTAGATTAAGGTTCTATTGAGAAAATAGAGGGGAATCTCTCAATTCTAGTGTTTAGACATCATGATTTCAAAGAGATGATAGATCGATGAATCATATACGAGATCGATCCTTTCGTATACTTCCTTCAAAACTTAGTACTGAGGACTTGAAAGTACGATCAGGCATCACGATCTAAACTTGAAGTTTTACCTCGTAGCTTTGAGTGATGATTGGGCTCTTCTAGCACCTGAACGCGCATCTTGCATCCTTACTAAGTTCAGATTCGTGTTGCACATAGATGGACCATGACGTGGCGAACACAAATTGTCCATTGAGGAATGCTGCGTCTCATTTCAGCTTTGATTTTACTGATTGACTCAAAGTTTCATGATTATTGATCAATGATATGGCTCGGACCCTTGTCACTTATGCGGTGCAAGCGTTCCAAACGCCAATTATCTTCGAATATCAGCCACAGATGCAGGAGTATGCCTGAATTAAACGCTCATTGCACTGATTTCAACAGTGACGCCCTAAGATCTGAGGCTATGACAAACCTTTACACATCCCTGCCACCTGGGCAATGATTGAAACAGTAGCCCGGGATAACAATACCTTATCCGGCGAAACATTTGGATGAGCAAGTTGTTTATCAAATGAATATCGCAAATTATGGGATACTCGTAAATTTTCATTGTCAAATACTAAGTGTGGATTAATTGATTGAATTTGAAGCTATTACTGAAAATACTACATGGTAGTTACACCAGATCTCCACTTTGAACTTTACTTCTTCTGCGTAATTGTAATTGCCAATTCTATGTCCAAGCTACAGCTCAGTACTATGCCTCACTCAACTCAACCACTCAAACACAGACCTGTACAGGGTGAAACCTGAAACCTAAACATTCAAGATAACACCGCTAGACCAAGGAACCTTAACCTGGACCAACCCCTTCGAATCCACCGAAACAGTCTCTCCAGTAGTCACATTATCCAAGCGTACGGGCGCACCACCCTTCAATTCATAATTATAAGACCATCCATCCCAAGTAATACCCGAGATCGCATTACTCCCATTGGCCATCAACCGCTGCACCGATAGCGATTTACTCGAAACGTCGGACAAAAGAAACTCATACGTAACGGAAGGCCGGGAAGCCGACGAGTCTGAAACAGTATAATTATACTCCTGCAGGTTGATCACGGCGATCCGGCTGATTTTTCCGTCAATGTACGCGGCATAAGCGGCTTCATTCTCGTCTTGTAATGGAAGATTCACGACTTGGACGTTCGCTGAGCTTGGGCTATCCCCACTACCCAGCATCGCTGCTACCATGACATTCCCGTAGTAAGGGGCCTTGGTACCGATTGTGGTATCGTTAGTTTGGATAGGCTGCCATGCAACATACCGATAGTTTGTGCCTTGATGCATGTGCGTTCGGCGGATGCTCTGAGAAGCACAATAAAGATTGAAGTCGACGCCCCAAAGAGCAGCGCCGAATGAGTTTGATAACCCTGGTTTACCTTCGTTGTATAGGGAGTTGGTTTCACCGAGGATATATGGGATTCCAGTTGTGATATCTTCTTCGTTAAGCACGTTCGATAGATTTACATGTTGCTGAACACTTTCAACCGTTTGGGTGTGGTTCATTAGAGTTCTTTGGAGCGTCACCCCTGGCGAGGTAGCGCCAGAAATGTAGCTGCAGTGGATAGCGGTCATAAATGGTTCAATCGGATTCCTTCCGTCGCCGCCTCACTTACTTGTGCATGGAGTTCAACTTTATATCATCGTTGTCTGTACCAAGTCCATCTTGCCATGTTGTCACTGGGTCCAAACTATTCGTTAAGCCGGCAAACGAGGGCGCAATATACTTGTATTCGGCATCTGTTGCGAGCTCGGGACATGTTTTGGCCATCTGACGCTTGATGAGCTCGGTTTTGGATAACCATTCAGCCACATAGTCACTTTCATCCCAACTGGCTGGCCGCTTTGTACCAGGTGTGGTGGTTTTGAACAGATCAGGCTCGTTACCTAGCTCCCAGTAAGCCAGTTTTCCCTTGAGAGCCTTGCACGCCAGAGAAGCAGTCTCGATCAGATTCTTCCGACCCTCAGTCCCGTTTTCGGCGAGATTGAATCCGAAACTGAACTTTGCGCCAGGCCATGTCGCATAGGACTCAAAAAATGAGGGTCCGATAGAGACAATTGCAGGGTAGTCTGATGAGACGGATGAAACATATGTTCCATTAATTCCGGTCTTCAAGTTGGGGTCATACAGGGTGAGATCCCTGTTCCAGGATAAGCAATGGTTCCCACTGGAAGGTCTTGGTAAGTACTAGTGTCTTACTGAGTGCTTCCGCCAACTCGAATATAGGACTTGACACCCTGGAGGTCAGCCAAGTTGTCTAATAACTGATTTGAAAACTTGTTCGGCTGGGACAAGTTACCTGCATGTCATCCTGGTGAGTTATCTATGACGATTCAACACATTGTGAGATTCATACCAGCGAAATCAGGAAACGAAGAAAGCTCAATTGAAAATGAGACGAATGGACGCAGAATTGGCTCGCCTGCATCTTCAGGTGCAGTCACACTGACTGAAACTGCTGAGCTGGAGCTGTCTCTAGCAATGGGTGCTGGACCAGCCGACACTACGGCAGCGCCGAGCAACAACGGGAAGAACATAGCTCGATAGTACTCGCAAAGGGTGATTTCCTCAATCTGCAGTATCTTGTCTATCCTTGTTTTCTTCTCTTCAGCTCTGCGGGGTTGGACTTCACTTATACATCGAGTGATTGCCGACGTTGCCTGTGGAAGGCTATTGAATGCCAGTCTGCACGGGTCATCAAAAGCCGCCTGTGACGATATCTAGCTTGAAACATCATAGCGTGATGAAAGAGAGGCGGTTAATTGGAACGGATTTATCCGGACAATTTTATTGTGCACATCGCCGGGTTGAAAATGCGGGGGGTTACATCTGGGGTTGCGGAGAAGATGATCGGTGCAGCGTTGTCATCATATATCGGCTATTCAAGTTGAAAGCATTCATGAGAAGGGTGCTCGGATGCTATCACCGGCATCTGTATAAAGTTAGTCGAAGCAAGTCTATGTTCGTGGTACATACTGCAGCCTTAGTTCGGGTGATATCCGCCACTGGCAACTAGTAGTATGGGAAAATGCCGAAGATCCAGCAAGCTACTATTGTAGTACTATGCAAACCTTGGAATATAACTCATTTCGACATTTAGAAGTTCTCAGGACGAGAAATAATGTACTCATTGTAGGTGCGCATAAGAAATGGTATCAATTAGCGGAGCGATAAAACTCATAAGCAGTGAACACCTCGCCGACTTCACCTAACAATAGAAGCCGGCGCTAGCAATAATCTACACAAATGAAGAGAAAAAAGTACCCAGACCATCGTAATTCCGTCTCAATCTCAGTCTCTGACAGGGATCAGGTGTATTTGCGGAGCTAGAAAAAAAACAAGTCAGTCCAAGTTCCAACTAAGAAGTCGAAGATCAATAACTTACATCAAGCGTCAGAGATTTACTGCTGTTCTCGACCTGATCTCTGTAGATTCCGACTAGAGCTTCACTGTTCTGGAACAAGCCAGTCTTCAAACTGATGACGATGAACTGCATGCCAGGGGCAGCGTGATCCTGAATGTAGTTCGCAATCCGGGCGACATTAGTGTTATCGAGGGCCGCATCAACCTCGTCCAACACGAAGAAGGGCGATGGCTGGTATGAGTGAATCGCGAACAGAAGAGCAAGTGCTGCCATGGTCTTCTCACCACCTGACAGGTGTTCCATATCACGGAAACGCTTGAGAGGAGGCATGGCATGGTATTTGATTCCATCAAGGTAGGGCTCATCCGAGTCCTCAATATCGAGATATCTGTAAAGGGTCAGGTCTCATGCATATCAAAGCAAGGTGTGAAGGGCACTTACGCTTGTCCACCCAATGGGTAGTTGGCACTGCGTGTTAATTCTCGGTAAATGGGGCCGATTTGCTCCGAAATGTGGGTGAAGGCCTTATTGAAAAGATCAGAGCGCTGCTTCATTACGTTTTCAAACTCGTCCTTCGCCTTTTTGGCGTGCTTTCGTGCATCTTCGAAATCCTTCTCAGTGCTACGAAGCTTGTTCTCAACAGTCTCGAGACGCTCCAAAGCCCTGGTATTGGGTGCCATCTTATCAAGCTCGCTGTTGAGAGCGCGTATCTTCTCCGATAGCTCTTCTTCAAGCTTATCGTCGGACTCCTTTAGACATATTAGTATTGTGAAGCATGATGTAGTCTTCGCATATTTTCGTTTGCATACCTCTTTGAGAGTGTCTCCAAGTGAGTCGAAATCAACCTCGATTCCATAATCCTGAACCACCGGTCCCTGCTCATCAGGATCATCGGCGTCGTCCACATCCATAGCATCTGGGTCTGCACCTTGCACCAAGTCATCAATAGGAAGCTTATCCAGGAATTTAGATGCGTCGGTCAACGGGATATCGATATCTTCGAGCTTGCATCGTCGCAGAAGAGCATAACGGCTTGATGAGTTCCGCTGAATCTCAGACTCAAGTCCATTGATGTTCTTGAGAGCTCCCTCGACGTGCTTGCTGCGCTTTTGAAGTTCTCTGCGCTGCTCAGCAAGGTTCTCTCCTGACTGAGTATAAACCTCCTTCTGCTGCTCAAGGTTCTCACGCAGAAGATCAAGCTCGGCATCGAACTCGTCCAATTTGTTTCGAATCTCATCCTGTTCACTCTTGAGCTCCTCAATCAGAGCCATGTCACGCTCATACTGAGCTTCCAGGCCGCTGACTCGATCAAGCGAGGTTTGGACTCGCTGCTTCTCGAAGCTGAGCTGGTTTTCAATACGACTCTTTTGGGTTGTGAACTCGAGTTTCTTCTGTGCTGCCTCCTCCTGCAGTGAACCCTGGTGGGCCTCGTATTCACGAATATCATCGTATCCAAGACGCTCGCAGAACTCGCGGTAAATTTCATCTTCGACTTCGCTGACCGAAGACTGGGATGTCTCAATGGTTTCATCCAATTCATCGAGATTCTCCTTCCGTTCAGTGTATTTGGGTCGTAGGTCTTCCAACTGACGCTTGACGAAGTCTATCTCGCTGCGCTTGCTCTTTATGTTCCGGTCAAGGGCCTTCAACTCTTCCTTCGCGTAGGCTAAACGCTGTTCTAGACCCACAAGCTCGCCCTGTAAGGTCTCCTCCTCCCCGCCCCGGCGATGGCTCTTGGGCAAGGTCTTAAGATCGCTGACCAACTTCTCCTTTAGCTTATGGAGATTCTCTACTTCCGAATCCTCCCAGCGCTTGGAGTTCTGTTGCGGACCTCGACCACCAGTCATGAGACCACCCTTGTGGATAACGGTTCCATCCAGAGTAACAGCTTTGGCATCGACATTTCTTTCATAGCAGAGATACTTCGCGGTTGCCAAATCGTCACAGACAATCGAGTTTCCACAGGCGTAGCTAATGGCACGCGATACTGATTCATCGTAGTCAACGGTCTCAATTGCAGGGCGCATGTTTCGGTGCATACCCTTCAAATTCGAGTTCAAGGCCTTGACTTGGATAGTTTCAAGGGGAACAAATGTCGCTTGGCCTGCACGCTGATCACGCAAATGTTGGATGCATTCCTTGGCGGTCTTTTCATTGTCCACGACAATAGCATCGAAATGGCGACCCAACACAGTGCTGACTGCTTCGGCATACTTTTTCTGCTTTGGGCGGCACAAATCACTCACGCGACCCTTGACACCAGGGAAGATACGCTTGAGAGTGGAGATTAGCTCCTTGGCGCGAAGCTCACGCTCAGTTTGCTTCTTGCCATCATCGGCTTCGAGCAGCTTTCTCAGAACGACCTGCAACTTCTCTTCAAGCTCTGTCCTCATCTGCGAGACCTTCAAACGCTCTGAAGACAAGGTATTCAGCTCCTTCTTCTTGTGATCGATATCTTTGGATGTGGTTTTGATCGACTCATTCAACGTCTTCTTGCGCCCATTCATCTGCTCCGAGTCGGTTTCAAGGGTCTTGAGCTGCCATTCTGTGTTCTCGAATTTTCCTTTGAGACTATTGACAGCTTCTGCCTCTGTCTTTCTCTGTCTTCGTAGATTGTCTAGGTTCAGCTGATCTGCAGATGAACGCTTGCTAACCTCGTCCCGTAGTTTGTGATATTCTTGCTGGTCAGCTTCGCTCAACTGTGTGCCCTGCTTGCTCATGGTCTTCTGCCATTCAGCCTCCCACTGAGCCTGGGCCTTCTCCACGAGCTTCAAGTCCTTATCGAGCTTTTTGGTTGCGTCCGAGTAGCCTGCGCGCTCCTTACTGATCTCATCGATTTTCGAAGCATATCGCTCGACCTTTTTCTGAGTGATTTCGACTTTCTCGTTGACTGGTACCAGGGAGTTGTTGAGTTCTTCAATCTCCTTCTCTTTTTTGACGATGTTCTTCTCGGCCTTTCCAACATCTCGGCCCACACGGGCGTGCTCCTTCTTGGCATCTTCGACGTTCTGTTCGTATTTCTCAACTTCACGGCGATATTCCTTGAGCTCGTCCTGGTATTTTTGAATGTCGGCACTGGAGTCATCAATCAGGCGCTGGAAGTGGAAGAGCTTCCACAGAATGTGGGTAATGATGGCTTGATCGCGCTCCTCAGCCTTCTTCGCATAGTTCTCGGCCTCTCGTTTCTGCTCCTGGTATTGCTTGACTTCGGAGTTGATACCTCGTCGACGATTGAGTTGGACTGTCTGTTGCTCGGCAGCTTCTTCCGCCTCCGCCTTCAGTTTCTCGTAGTCGGCCTTGTACTCCAGGGAACCAGAGATCTGTTCGATTAAACGGGTGAGATCCTTTGGTGATTGCGAGGCAATGGCCTCAACATCTCCTTGAAACACAAGGAAGTTGCGCGCGCGAATCAGAATGTTTTCCTCCTCCAGAGCTTCATTGTATTGCTGGGCGTTCACGACCTTGCTGTTGATGCGGTACTCGCTGACACCTGAACTGGTGATGGAACGTCGCCATTGCTGTTCTTCACCGGCATCATCCTCGTAAACAGCCATGACCCAAGCGGTCTTGGGGTCATTTGAGCCGCCATCCTGAGATGCATCCACGTTGTCGGCGTCATCATCTTGTTCTTCTTCGTTATCTCCGTTGGCGGCAGGATCTCCATCAACTTTGGACGTGCGCAAAACTCGGCCACGGTAGACGAGATCGCGAAGATTTGTCGATCGCAGGTGAGAAGACTTGATTCCTAGAACGAATGAAATCGCATCCATTCTGAAGTATGTCAGCCAAAATACTCCAAATGTAGACTTTGAATGGGCGGTATAATGCGGTCACGTACGAATTCGATTTACCAGATCCATTTGGACCGATGATAGACGTGAAGTACGCATCTCCGAATAGCAATGTGTGATGTCCCTTGTAGGACTTGAAATCTGCGGATCAGGTTAGCGATCTGCGCGAAGCACCATGTTACCGGGTTCGTCATACTGAAAAGCTCAAGGCGAATTAATTTTCCCATTATGCAAAGCTGCCGCTCCCTTAGGAAGCCCCACGCTCAGATACTCAGGAAAAACAGGTTGTGGGGGATGGTCAAATTGCGAGACTGTCAAGACACAGAGGAACCAAGAGGGGCGCGATACGGGGAATCGCGCGTCAACCCCGACGCGCCGGAATCACGTGCCCTGCTGTCAACGGTCTATCAGATGACAATTGAAGGATTTTACAGTGCATAAATGATGAATTGGTTGTTCTTGATTTTCATGAATGAATATTTTAGTCACAGCAAGGAGTAAAAAAAACTTTGAAACTTGAAATTATCTGGAGCAAAGATACTCAGGCAACTTGTGCTTGAACGCCAAGATATAGTATACTCTGTTACTGGGAACTTGAATATGGATATGTCAACTAGTTATGTAGTAATACAATTATCCTTGATTTTGGGTTAAACTCAGAACATCTATGGATTTGAATGTCATTGGCTATGTGGTATAATAAAGGTAGAAAAAAGTTGAGTAGAGTAGACACTCGATGGGATAAGAGCAATTACATCATGTATATGTACACTATGGAGACAAGATAACTTCCATCAGGCTGAGAGATAGAAAGGCAGAATTTATACATTGAGAATTATCAATGAAAATATCTTCCTTCTTATTCTCCCTATCGTCGGTATTGAACCGGGTTACCCAGGGCCAAAAAGTCATCAGCGACAAAGCCATTGGAATCCACTCTGAGCGACTGGTGCTGACCTTCAACACTCAATAAGATGAAGTCTTCACCGGTAAAGATCTGACGCATAGACATGAAAACTTTCCAAATACCAGTACTCAGCCCCTTAACAGGTGCCTTCAAGAGACTTGACTGTGGTTCGTCGGCGGAGCCAATCTTTTTGCTGTCATTCTCGAATCGCTGTCTCGAATCTTCTGAGACAATCAGCCGGCGAGCAATGGAGACCTGCGAAGGGAGAACCTCCAGCTGGTAGGGCTTTGTGAAAGGGATCATGCGTCGGACCGCAAATTGAATCTTGGTCTGATTAACACCGGTCTTAACAGCTTTGATATTGCGGACCAGATGGCCCGTTCGAACGATGAATAGTGTGCCCATAGCACTCATGGTGATGCATATACCACCAAACAACCCCTTCTGCCACATAGGGCGCTCAATCTTTGAGTCGGTGAAGACATCGTAGGAGTTGAAGAGAGCGTATGCAAAACAGAATGCTGAGAGTCCGTATGCACTGAAAATATAGGCTCGATGTGAGGGCGCCCGGAAGAGGACTACCTCTCCTTCTCTTGCGACCTTAAGCGCTAATCGTCCAACTGAACCTGTTGGGATGTTCGTGTGTGTAGGAAAGGTTTTTGGCGCAGGCCGCGAGGTCGGTTTAGCTTGAGCGCGAGCTCCTCGAGGCGCACTAGACGCGAATGATCGCCAAGAGACTTGGGCTGTTCGAAATTGAGATCGCAGCGAAGGTCCGGTGCAAGACCGTCCTAATATGCGAAATGTCGGTAGCTTAGCGGCCATTATTGCGGAGGTTCTATTAATGCCAGGGTCAGTTTAACTTCGCCGCAAAGCGGTGCCATTCTTGCAACAGCAAAGCTGGCGCCGTGGATTATGGCCAAGTCAATTCCATTACCACCACATGAGATGACAGATGTTGGCTTTTCAGGGTAAGACTTACCCAAATACCGATCAGTCCACCGTTATTCTCCTCGGAAAACAGCGCCAGATCGAAAACAGCCGCCGCGGCAGAAAAATATTCCCGTCCCGGCCGCCGGTGAAGCTCCCAACGCCCTCAACGTCTAATCAACCTCCAATTCCAACACCTCACGAATCAATTACATTATCGAATAAGGGATCTAGCGCGGCTTGACGCGGCTGTGGGCTCTTGGTTGTTTTTATCCGTCTCTGCCGAATATACATCTTCTCCGCAAACTTGCGACGCCTGCAGTGTATATCTCCGCCAGATCCGTATCTCTCCACTACCTCTTTGAAGGCTTCAGACCATACACATTCAGAATGGCAGCTCGCGTTCCCATTACCCAGGCCTCGGCCATGTTTGCCCGTCGCCAGCCTCGGGTCCTTCACATTTTCAAGCGTAAGTATTGTCCATCGACCAGACAATGCGACTGCGTGGGCTTCGATCCTTATCGGAATTCGATATCCGCCAGAAAACAAAGCGGTCTTACACGCCAAATGAGGACCACAACGACTAATTATGTTGAATATAGGCATGCAATCTTCTTCAGCTCCTTCAACTCAGAACCCCGCCTACCCTCTTTACCCCTCAGTCAGCCAGCTCCTGCACGAGAAGAACATTCCCGAGTCCGAAGTCTCCAAGATCCCCGCCTCAGGTCCCAAGGGCCGCCTCCTGAAGGGTGATGTCCTTGCCTACATTGGCCAGATCGCTACCGAGTACCCAGCTCAGCAAGCCGCTCAGCTCGCCAAGCTGACACACATGGACCTGAGCAACATCAAGATCGCCGCCCCGGCCCCCAAGCCCGCACCAGTTGCGGAGCAAGCAATCAAGGAGGAGGTCAAGCCCCTACCAATGACTTCTGTCGCCATCTCAGTTTCCTTGGCCGCTGTCCTCTCTGCCCAGAGAAAGCTACACAAGATTGGTGTCACCGTCCCAGTATCCCGATTCCTGGCTTTGGCTACCGACCTTGCGAACGACGACCTGCCACGCTCGAAGACCCAGAAGCCCTCTGCCGATGAGCTGTTTGACGAGATTCTTGGCGGTGAGCCCGTCAACGTCTCCCGTGGCGATTACATTCCTGAATTAAATGTCTTTGACGCTGCCCAAGCGCCGAAGCGAAGCGTGTCTGTCACTGAGGATATCATTGACTTCTTGAGCGCAAAGCCCGGCAAGCGAGCTGCGTCTGCTACCTCAATTGTTGATTTCGAGGGTATTGAGGAATCAGCTGGTGGTGCCTCGAATATCTTCAGCTTGACTGTTCCTGTTGGCGAGGAGGTGCGTGCGAAGGCATTCCTTGAGCGCATCAAGGACTTGCTTCAGATCGAGCCCGTCCGTCTGGTCCTCTAAAATTGTGATTGATTATTTTAAATTATCCCCCGGCCTTGAAGAATTCTCTTCTCTTTTCTTTTTCATGTCCCCAGTGCGTTTTGAGGACCCAAGGCTTTGTATTTAGTATAGCATCGATAATTTGATACCGCTTAGTCGGCTTTTATGAACCTTTATTTTCTGTTGAATAGAAAATACTATCTCGGATATGCATACCTCGAGTTGCACTTGCAAATAATATTATGGCCAATCGAGCACCCTAATGTACAAGCTTAATTGAATAATCCGATGAATCCAGATTGAGTATGGTAAATTCAGGTCTAAACCTTTGATCATCTCATCCTAACATAATAAAAACAAACCCCTGCGCCGGACCGATGATATGGCCTAATTAGATCGAATTGAGAACCACAACACGCAAGCAGTGCAGTAAGAAAGAAAACAGGAAAAAGGTCATATCGTCATATCAAAGGGAGGCAAAACAAGTTGCCAGAAATAACCATCCGCGCCGACGCAAAGTTGAATATGGGGACCCATTTGAAACACCATGAGCGCCACGCTTGGACTCGAAAAGGGAAAAGGGGCGCCGAATAAAAGAAACCAAAAAAGACATCACCATAGAAGAAGAAGAAGAAAAAAAGCCCATAATGAAGGAAGAAATCAGGGGAGGATACGAGCATCGTATCTGAGCTGACAGAGAAATTGAGAAGCCGGACATAATGTAGTAAATGCCGATGCAGATATGCTTAAAACCGTAACGAAATCCATGCTACCATGCAATGACAATGCCCGCCCGAGGATAAGACCAAAACTCCGTGTGGTATGCAGATAAAAGGCGCAGAATGAGATGATCAATAACCGGATTTAGCGAATGGTGCCCCATTCGGCCAATCTGCTGACCTCTCGTCTCGAATCTCGAGTGGAACGTTTGTCGAATATCTTCCAGAACCGCAGGGTCTCGTCACCAGCACCCGTCACAACAGTCTGTCCGTCTGGACTCATTGCGAGGTACAAGACACGGAAAGTGTGGCCTGTCAGTGAAACCACCTGTTCCATGCGAGGGTACTTCCAGATCACAATCTGGTTTTGACTGTATCCGTGAGTGCTGATAATCTCGTCTGAGTTCTTAGACCAGGACAGATTGCAGACTTGGCTTCCCGTGTCCACTTCCTTGATCATCGACCCGGTCGACGTATTCCAGAACTTGATCGTGCGATCCGCGGTACCGCCTCCAGATGCGAGTAAGTGGTGTTGATGGGGTGACCATGCAATGGCCTTAACTGCGGCAGAGTGATCCGAGAAGCGGTAAAGAGGAGTCTCGCTTAGCTTGTCCCAGACCATCAGTTTGTTGTCATTTCCACCAGACGCTAACTGACCATCATCGGTGTTCCACTTCAATCCACAAACCTCCTGTTTGTGACCAGACAAGCGGCGAAGGTATTGATCAGGAGAACGGACGTCGCGGTGATAGATGAGACGATCGCGAGAGCCAGATGTGAGGATATGGTCATTCCATGCCAGGGCGCCAACTCGATTAGTGTGACCAATCATGGTACGCAATCGTCGACAATGCTCAGCGTCCCAGATCTGCACCAGGCCCTTGCCCGTTCCGATTGCAAGATGCGTACCCCTCTGAATCCAGCTCACGCTAGTGACTGTGTCGTCTTTGAGCTCACAGAGCTTGGTGACACGACCAGACTGAGAGTTCCACATGTAGACCGAATTGGCTAACCCAACACCCAGAATATTGCTACTGCCCCAGTCTACCAGGTTCAGGTAGAAGTCGTCCTGCAGATCCGGCGCATCCAGGACCTTGTAGGGAACCTTATTCACGTAGCGCGGCTGCTTGCGTGGGGTTTCGAGAATCCGTTGACTATCATAGCGAATTGGCGACAAGCTATACAGCTCAGAACGGACATCCAGATTGGGTCCATGGGCGCTTCGAGGAGTTTTGGAGGGAGTTGGGTGGTTGGAGGCTGACCGGCTGGGTCCATAGTTGAAGAGATTCTTATGAGGGGTTGAAGGAGTAATGCTAGCGGGTGGAAGGTTGGCAAGAAGTGCTGGTGGGGTGTGAGATCGGGTTTTATCAAGAATGCCACTGCCGAATCCTAATAAAGGATCCGATGAAGCTGAAGTGAGATCTGGCTGTGGGACTGTATTCCCGAACAGCTCACTTCTCAACACGCGAGAGAACGTTCGGTTCGCTTCCTCGGCTGAATCTATAGAATCAGTAAGCACGATCTGGACGTGACCGAAAAAAAAGAAAGAGAAATAAACAAAAAACACCAAAGGCAGGAAGATAGGTTACTCACTCTTCTGGAAATGAAGCTCAGGATTAGGTGCCCGTCTCTTCACCTTGGATGGTGTTGCCGGACACCCGTCTTCATGAAGCAAGTTGTACGTCGCTTGGAGGTCCTGTCCCTCACGGTTGGGGATAAACCTGGAATTCAAGTCAGTCATCATCATGCCAATTGGAAGGTGGATTTGTCATGGCAAGTCTTGGGATGTATTGATATCATGATATCATCCGAAGACCGCCCTCTTCCTGCTATTGACTCAAACGTACCGATCGCCATAAACCCGCTGTCTCTTCCGGCAAGGACTTGCTCCCGGTGTCCTGTCTCTCTGTCGTCCCGCATCCTCATAATCCTTTAGCGCCCTGGTCAATGCTGCGGCATCCACCGGGTCTGACCCCTCCAGCGCACGAGGAAAAGTCCCCAAGTTATCTTGATAGAATATCGTCTTCTTTGCCGGGGCACTGGGTGGTGTTTTGGAACCTGGAGGCGATGCGATATTTGCCGCTTGCGATTTGGTATTCTTTGTTGTTGTCCCACTACTCACACCTGCGTCCTGAGGTCGGTCCCCCATGCTGGCGGCTGATCCTCAGGCCTCAGATGTAAAATGCGCTTTTTATCGGCGAGAATGGCTCGGAGCATGCGATATGATTCCAGATGTTGATGAAGAGGCTGGCAATCCCAGAGTAAGAAGGCGATCGGTGGTTTATTTGAAGCAATTGTTCTTTGTTGAAATGCGATGAAAGGCCGGGTTCAGGTTTCAGGATCAAAAACTATTCCAGTTGGAGAATATACCCAAAGATCAGGAATTCTTTGAACGGATGAAACCATTCCAGATCAAAGGGCATTCAATGACAAAGGGGATCAAGGTATCCAAGGGCGACTCTCATCCCTCTCTGGGTCACGCGTCGGGAACGCTATACCCTATTAGGACTACCGCGAGAAGCCGCCCATCAACACGATCTCCCACTCTATTCTATGGAGAACTCTAGTATACAACAGAGTATGGAGTACAAGATAATCGATTATCTTGTTTATTCTCTGGTTCGGTTCTTTTTTATCTGATCACCGACATATTGTGCCCTCCAGACCTTTGCTAATTATCATCCCAGATCCCGATCGATAATGCATTTCAGTCCAGTCGGGAACAGGTTTCGAGGATGCAGCTAACTCCCCCATGTGCTGATCAAAAGTTGCTTCTTCCCCTCACTGCAGTCTCAGACTTGTTTACATTCACGCGTGCCCCGGGTAACTTCATTGGACTATGTCATAGGCTAAGGAGTGGGGGTGAAGCATCAGACGCGAACCGGGGGCTGCGCGCGCTTTCACGCGCCATGGACGCGAGCTTGGACCATAATCAGCTTAGATTGTCTTTACCAATCAATTACGCCTTGTCGGAGATTTACAAGAAAAACACTAAATTCCCCTTAAAACACTGATCCTTGGTGGTGATCATCCTGAGACCTATAGGATTTTGTATATCCTCCTGTACTTTGTAATTGCTGTAACAATTGCACGGGATATACCACTTCCTGGTTCTTATCTATGCGTGAACTGTCACCGCCAACGGGAAAACCTTGCCCGCACTTGACACATCCCCACAACATCTTGACTATGCGCTCCCCTGTTCTCTCCTTGAGTCGTAATATTCTCTCTCGATCAAATTCCACTATGGCGCAGGTTTCAAAGGTTCCCGCCCAGCAATTTCTGGATTTTGTCAATGCTTCCCCTACTCGTATGCTTCTGTAATCCTGTGGATCGTGGATCGTGGAGCTGACCGGGTCTAGCCTTCCATGCCGTGCAATCTGCCAAGGACCTTCTGAGTAAGGCGGGCTTCCAAGAAATCAAGGTACTCCTCATTCCCCACTGATCTATAGGGGACATATCAACATAGCTTGGGACATGTTTAACTCACAAAATGTGTAGGAAAAAGATTCCTGGGCCTCCACTTGCAAGCCAGGTGGTCGTTACTATCTGACCCGCAACACCACTACTCTGGTCGCTTTCGCTATTGGTCAAAAATGGAAGGTGAGTTAACAAAGGCATTGTGTGAAGAAACTCAGACAGTCACTGACGGAAACAAAGCCCGGTAACTCAATTGCCATGATTGGTGCCCACACTGACTCCCCTGTCCTGCGGGTCAAGCCTGTCAGCAAGAAGCAGGGTGAGGGTTTCATCCAGGTTGGTGTTGAGGCTTATGGTGGTGGTATCTGGCACACCTGTATGTATAGGCCATTGAACATAGTCTTGTGGATTAAAACTAATTATCATAGGGTTTGACCGTGACCTTGGTGTCGCCGGTCGGGTTATGACTCGTGCCAGTGATGGATCTATTGTGCAGAAGCTGGTCAAAGTTGACCGTCCCAGTATGTTGAATTTCTTTCTTATGTTTCTATTATTTGGACCTCTTGGCTAATTTTAATAGTCCTTCGTATTCCCACTCTGGCCATCCACCTTGACCGCCAGGAGACTTTCTCCTTTAACAAGGAGACCCAGCTGTTTCCCATTGCTGGTCTGGTTGCGGATCAACTTAACGAGACTACTGAGTCCAAAGAGGATGAGTTCGCTCCTTTGAAGAACGTGGCTCAACGCCACCACACCCAGTTTGTTGAGCTTGTTGCGGCTGAGGCTAAGGTGAAGCCCGAGGACATCCTGGACTTTGAACTGATCCTCTTCGATACTCAGCAGTCCTGCCTGGGTGGAATGAATGAAGAGTTCATCTTCTCCCCTCGTCTGGACAACCTGAACTGCACCTTCTGTGCCACCTCTGCTCTTACCGAGTCGGCTCCTACTACCCAGTCTCTGGAGAACGAGGAAGCTATCCGCCTGATTGCTCTGTTCGATCACGAGGAGATCGGTAGCCGCACTGCTCAGGGCGCTGACTCCAACATCCTGCCCTCTATTATCCGCCGTCTGTCGGTTCTTCCCTCGCAGGCTTCCTCGTCAGAGGATGTGTCCACTGCTTATGAGCAGACCCTCTCCACCTCCTTCCTGGTCTCCGCCGATATGGCTCACTCCGTCAACCCTAACTACTCCACCAAGTACGAGTCTGACCACAAGCCTGTGATGAACAAGGGTTGTGTCATCAAGATTAACGCCAACGCCCGCTATGCCACCAACTCCCCCGGTATCGTCTTGCTCCAAGAGATTGCTCGTAAGAAGGGTGAGCAGGAGGGTCTTCCTGTTCCCCTGCAGCTGTTTGTTGTCCGTAACGACTCGAGCTGCGGTAGCACCATCGGCCCTATGCTGTCTGCTGCTTTGGGTACCCGCACCCTGGATCTGGGTAACCCTCAGCTGAGCATGCACAGTATCCGTGAGACCGGTGGTACTTACGATGTTGACCACGCCATTCGCCTCTTCACTGGATTCTTCGAGCATTACTCGGAGTTGGCTCCTAAGATCTTTGTGGACTAAACTGGATTGGTGAAGATTCAAGACTACTGAGAATATCATGTAAAGAAAAGGTCAAAATCAGCTTTAACAGATTCAGTTTACATTATTCAAGCCCAATTTATTCCATTTTCATACACGAAAACGACTTGAAACATCATATTATTACTATTTTTTTTTCGTCAATTATGTCAAACCCTCCAGGTTTGTATACTGTAGGCTGTACTCCGCACGCGGCCGGCCCGAGATAAGTCCGCATCCGCTCTCCTTAATGACGGGACTCCACTCTACTCTTATCAACCACTGGACACCCGATTGCAGAACAGCTTCCATGCCCCCATGATCCTCTATGACCGACGTCGATGCCTTCCGCGATGCAGAGTTCATCGCCGATACGTCTGGTATATCCTTCAACGATGACGCAGAGAGCGTTTCAGGTGTCGGGGCTGGCCCGCGGAGCGCCCAGGACCGCATCCGCGTGAGGAAACTCCAGTCAAAAGCGAAGATAGCTTCACTCGACAGATTACTTCGAGATCTTGATATCCTCGTGTATTGTCAACTATCTGCTCTGTACTATATGGAGTGAGTCGTGTTCTTTTCCCCCCACTGAGGGCCTCAGTCATTGTATGTCGTCATGCAATGAGCTGTCAGCTTGAATCATACCTATTACCCCGACATTTCATAATCGCATGAATGCTAACGTCTCTTCCTGCTTACCAGCTGCTCTGTTATCCTCTTCGCCATCCGCGCCGTAGTTGAACTAATATTCTTTTCGCCGAAAGTCTCCCCATTCGAACCAACTCGCAATCAGCCTTTTATTGGAGCCATTCTCGCCAGTAACCTCATTTGCATGATCTTTCACGCCTTTCTCATTCGCCCAGAAGCTGGAGAAGCCACGCGCGGATATCTACACGGCGGTCTATTCATCGATTTCATCGGACAAACTCCCGTCCCTATCTTCCGACTTCTCTCATTCGACATCTTAATCTTGCTTGTCGATTTCGTCATGCTAGGCCTGATTATTGAGCGCGTGAAAACAGCTGCGATAATTAGCCCACCATCTACTACTGCTGCTTCTACAACGAATAACGACACCATGAACACCTCAGATCGAAACACAGAGGGACAAGCACTAGGGCAAGAACAAGACCAAGACCACGATGCAGAGGAACGGGGTGTTGTGCGAGGAAGCGAACAGACAGAAGATACCGCTACAACACCCACACTCTCAATAGAAGATGACGACATCAACGATGAACGAAATACCCTTCTCGCTGATCCGGGCGAATACACCTCAGGCCGAGATAACCACCCCCTCGACTTATTCGCATCGGGCCAGGCTGTGATTATGCATATGGGGCTATTCAGTACAATAAGGGGTCAATGGGTGCACTCTAGTATTCCACATCGTCCAGCTGGTTACTCGCCGTCACCGGAGACAGCGATGTTTCTTCGGCAGCGGTTCGGATTGCAGGTTGGCACCGATGGACGAATTGTACGGGTGGGTCGGTAGATACCCTTGATATATGGGTGATATGCATGTATTCTAGCTATGTTAAATGATCATATGGCCCAAGGATCAACTCGGTGCTGGATACCGAGTGCATGACTACGAAATAGGACATAGCTCAGATGATATGAGATGAAGCATGTTTAAGAACTCGAATCAGTAGGAAGTATGAAGACTTATGCGAAAGTCAACAAGGTCGCGACCTGAAATAAAATCAAATAATAGTTCCATGGAATCAAAACACAAACCCGGGTATCTAAATAACACTAACCATCCACGGGTTGTGTCCAACAAAGCCTCTGGTGCCAAACCCTCATCATCACTCAATCAAATACTCTGCTCTGTCTTCTCTCTTCTCGTAAGAATCTCATCCACAATACCCATTTCCTTCGCCTCCTCGGCGCCCATGAAATAATCCCGCTCCATCAACTTCTCAATATCATCCAACGTCAACTTCTTCGGCCCATTCAAATGTTTCATATAGATATTATTCAGCTGCTCCCGAATCCGCAAAATCTCTTTCGCATGGATCGCGATATCAGTAGCCTGGCCACTGTATCCACCTGAGGGCTGGTGGATCATAACGGAGGAATGGGGGAGCGAGAAACGTTTTCCTGGGGCGCCCGCTGCGAGGAGGAGAGAGCCCATTGAGGCGGCCTGGCCGATGCAGATTGTGCTTACTGGTGCGGAGATGTAGGTCATTGTGTCGTAGATTGCAAGGCCTAGGGTATAGTTAGTAATGATCATCGCATGTATGTTGATGTGTAAGAGGATGGGCCAAGTACCAGCTGTGACCGAGCCACCGGGGGAGTTGATATAAAGGTGGATTGGTTTCTTGGGGTTATCAGCTTCAAGGAAGAGGAGCTGAGCTACGATTGATGAGGACATCGCTTGGTCGACTTCGCCGTTTAGACAGACGATGCGCTCTTTTAATAGCTTGGAGAAGATATCGTCTGGGTGGGTTAGCGGGTGCTGGTTGTGAGGGATCGAAGTTGGATAGGTAATTCGTATTTTAGGATAACGTACAAGTATGCCAGCCTCCAGCCTATATAGAAGAGTCATTAGTCCTGACTCTGATGTTATACCTGGGATTACACTCACCACTGTCTCTGTGATAAAAGGCATTGGCGTTCCTCCCCGCGGAGGTAAGAAGTGGGAGGGAGCGGAAGTCGAAAATGACGCGCTGGTAGTAGTCGTCCAGAAAGGGACGAAAGGGCGAGTGGCCATGCGACCAGCCCGCTGGGCTAGAGGAGCTACAGCGCGCATCATTTTCGATGTTGTTGACCTACACGGGGATTGGAGCTGGGTGAGGAGAAGTGGAAGGAGTTGGATAAGTTGGACGCTAAGATAAGGAAGCTTCCCAGCCCCAAAGCTCCACTCTAAATTCAACTTGAAGTATTGTATGAGCACTGTATAGATTCTATGTCATAAATATTGATATTCGAGATATTGAATTCGGAGCTCTCATATAAACTTCAACCAAGTTCATTGAATATACAGTATACAATTATCACATACAGGAAGCTATTCGGACTTGGTACTCAACTCCGCAAATAGCGGACTCTGATTGGTGCGAAGTGGATTACGGGTGATCGCAACAAAAATCCATTTCTCCTTTCACCATCACCGACATGCAGTGCACTAATCATCGTATCCCTTATGAGCTATGGCGTCTCCGTGTCTTCCATGAGATATTCGGCCCTTCCTACATATCCCAATCCTCGCGCCACTTCTCAACCTCTAAGCCATGCCAGGACGAGCCCAAGTCACAGGATGAATCCCCGATTCCTCCATCTCAGCGCCTACCACAATCGCCTCTCATAACACACCCGCGCCCAGGCCCAGGGAAAAATCTCGGCCGCAAATTACCGCCCACCATCGATGGTCCCGAGCCTCTAGCAAAGAATCCATGGGCGCAAGCTCTGGCGTCACCGTTGCGAACATGCACGGTATCAGGCGCAAGATTACCACGCGATTTGATGGGAGACTGGGGTCTAGTACGACGACCACAATCAGATGACCTATACCTACTACCGGTGGATTATCTGAAAGAATCTCTTCAGAAAATCTCGAAGAATAAGGGCGAACGGGAAGCCGATGGGAAGATGGACGATGCCATCAAGACAAGAAAGAGTAGTACACGCCGCCAACTAGTCTTCAAGATGTTCAATGCTATTCCGTTCCTTCGTCTCATGATTAAACCTTTGGGGAAGCCGGGTGGTAAGAAACCACATGTTTCAAGGTTAATTCCCTTCCGGTGGAGACACCCGCAGGGACCTATCACCCAGCGCGAGGAAAAGCAACTCGTATGGATGGACGATATGCCGCAGTACTTGCTACGACATATGAGAAGTGATCTCAGCAAGCGCCTTGTAAGGGCTTGTCTGCAGGCTAATACTCTTGGTGCTGCGAATGGTGTTTGGAGCGTCATTGATATGCAGGGTTATTCGACATCGGCTCTCTTGCAGGGATTGCAAGGGCTTCGGCCAGTGACAAACATGGAATGTGGTGCCGTTATTCTTCTAGGTGAAGAACAAGTGGAAGGTGACACTGGAGTCGCTGGAACTGAGTCTTTCCCGGAGTCTGTGACTATCCCTCAGATTGAGAGAGGCGCCCCGGTGTTCGATCTATCAGTGCTTTTGTCTACTTCAGAGTTGGCTGAGCTGCGTCAGTCAGTCCCTCATTTCCAGAACTCAGCTCTCTTCTTCAGGCCGAATAACAAGGCTGTGATGGATTTGATGTTGTCTTTGTGGAAATTAAAGCAGTACTTGGTTGAAGATCCGGCGCTCGAAGGAGCTAATCTCAAATAATACTATAATAAGATCTACATGGTGTCCATCTCAACAAATAAACATCCATTATATCCGGCTTGAAGATTTGCTCGGCTTTTTATATTCCACTTTTTCAAGTCTTCAAAGTTTGTATGGTCATATTGAGTGTCAAGGAGCTCCGAGTCCAGCAGCTCATCCAAAACTACTCATCTACTACTAGAAGTCTCACAGCAACCTCGATTAGAACGGGTCCCAGAACCCCAAATGCCCAGGATACTCATATATCTCCTCTTCCCTTGATTCTACACAGCCTGAAGTTATATCCATACTTACGGCCTTGTGAGCCTAGACTCACATGTGCACTTGACACGCTCAACCATCGGGCACTAGAACTAGCGCCAACTACACCTAGCCAAGTACTATGCCCTGGCTGGGATCACTTTCACACCGCCCACTCCCACGTACCCCTCTTATTCTTTCACTATTCCATACCTTATTACTCTTGTTCATTATATTTGGATCAGTAAATTTGAGAACACACCTAAGCTAGCTTCAAATGCTAGGGTTGACAAGCTATGGAAAAAGACAACTCAGAGGAAGGAGAGATTCTTCATTCCCTGTTCGCCCGCAAGATTGTTCGAATCAGTGATAGTCTTGTAGTGAAAAAAGGCCCAGATCTTCGAGCCCACGAAGTATCAAATCTTCGATTCGTTGCCGCGAACACAACAATCCCTGTGCCGAAGGTGCACGATGTTCAGTATGAAAATGGCAAAGTCACAGCCATCATCATGGACAATATGCCTGGCAAACGACTGGACGAAGTTTGACGAAGTTTGACGAAGTTTGGATGGCATTAACCCCCGACCAAAAGCTATCTGTTGCTGAACAACTCCGTGACTATATCACTCAGTTACGAAACCTCAAGGGCACCTACATTGGAGGTGCTGATGGTGGAACTGCCATCACAGACAAATACATCTCAATTGAAGGAGGCCCATTTGAATCTGAGCGGATGTTCAAGAAGTGGATTCTTGAAGACCTTGCGCCAGGCCTACCTGGAATCTACCAACACTTTGCGGAGCATGCATTAACGAATGATCATGAAATTTTCTTCACTCATTCTGATTTCGCTACTCGCAATATTCTTGTTGATGACTCGGACTCGGGGAAATGCGAGGTCACTGCTATCCTTGACTGGGAGTGGTCTGGATGGTACCAAGAGTACTGGGAATACTACAAGGCATATCGGAATTTACTACCCATGCCCGACTGGCCTGATTACCTCGTCCGCATTTTCCCACCCAAGTATGAAAAAGAGTACATTGCCATGTCTTGGTTGTCAGGTTTTGGTCGCAGTTGACCGAAACTTTTGAATTAACGGCACCTGGGGTTGCCAACTTTCATAGATCCATATAATTAATCAATCTGTTTATGCTCATCAAGAGCAGAAGAAAAAAAAAGACTTAAAACAAAAAGGAAAAAGAAAAGGCAAAAAAAGATTTCTCAGGTTTTTGTTTTTAGGAATAGCCGAACGGGGGGGGTCGAACCCCCAACCTTGAGATTAAGAGTCTCACGCTCTACCGATTGAGCTAGCCCGGCAGGGCTGGTTGGAAGAGGTTCAAATTATGGCTACATAAGCCAAAATGCTTACATCTTGGCTTTGATCCGCTGGAGACTCCAGGCAAGTTGCATACAGATGTATTAGCACTGTTACCCGGGAAATCGAATCATGATCCCAACTTGAAGGTTTCACACGTGAATGCCTATTTTGGACTTCACGTTGTTACTAGCGCTAGTATCAGTGGCTAATCCCAATCAATATCGCTAGTACTAGACACATGTGCATCATGATGGTCTGATATATTTCTGGCATGAATGAAACTTGAATGTACTACTACTACTACCTTTGCCGACTTCAAGGTTCCAAGGTTCCTTTCATTCCCACGCCTGGGCACTACCAAAATCACTGGCAATAACCTTGGAACCAACGAGAAAAAGCCCATGTGCATATGTGCATACTTGCCCAGGTGGGTAAGTGAAATATCAATACTATTGAACCAACCAAATTCATTATCTGACTCAGGCTGTATAGCATCATGGCAACCTCATCAAACATCCATGGATTACTACGCAATACACATCGGAGCAATTCTTCGAGAGTAGTGGGGCAATCTTATTCGACCTTTCTAACAGCCAAAACAAGACTGTTTGCCTCATTCATTATCACGCAAAGAATGAATGGCTTTTTTGTAAAGGAACGCTGTAATTGTGGGGAATCCAGTCAGGAAGCTGCTATGCGTGAAGTTTGCGAAGAAACTGGCTATCAAGCTCACCTTCACCCTGTCATGATGTATACCCGTGCTCCGCCAATCGATGAACAGGGCTATATGTCTGATATACCCCGCTCATACCCGGATGTTATAGAGCCATTTATGGTCACTATGTGACAGCTGGGAAAGGATGGAGCGGATGATGTTAAAATCATTTGGTGGTTTATTGCTGCACTGGATGAAGGTGTGGTTCCTGGATCTGCTGGTGGGGAGGAGCAATTTACACCTGAATTCTTTTCCCCGGCAGCAGGCTTTAGAGAAACTGAGTTTCCAGAATGATCGAGATGTTTTGCAAAAGGAAATTTCATTGGTAAACCCATAATTGGGTTATCAGGTAGCTATAAACAGACCCATGGAACCAATTCCCAAGAAAATGGATTTCTATAATATCTTCTTAAATACTTACATTTCAGACCTATCTCTATTGATGGAGGATGCGTAGATACAACAGTGATGTTTGCAAGAATAGGTCAAGGCAGCTGGATGGCGTCGATGATCATCTCATCCAGTGACTTACCAGTAGGAACCCATGGAAGCACGGGAATCTTGTCGTCCACCTGGACATCTAGCAAGACTGGCCCCTCTGAGTGAATAAACCACTCAAGTTTAGCTTCAATATCAGCCATAGCATCTAATCGCTGAGCTTTAAAGCCCATACCATCAGCCACCTTCACAAAGTCTGGGTTTCGTTGATGCACGCCGACATGTCGCTACCCAAAATAAAGATCCAGCCACTGGGCGATCATAGATTGCACATTATTAGTGATCACCAAAATCTTGATCGGAAGTCCGCGTTCCACGGCTGACGCCATCTCGTGCAGTGACATACTCAGGGATGCGTCCCCATCAATATCAATAACCATTGCGTCGGGTTCTGCAAGTTGGGCACCAACGGCGGCAGGAATACCAAATCCCATTGTCCCTGCTCCTCCAGAAGTGACCAGCGAACAATTTCCAGTCCATCGGAAGTACTGAGCTGTCCACATCTGATGGGATCCGGCACCAGTGGTAATAATCGTCCGCTTGTTTGTCATCTCGGTAAGTTCGCTCAGGAGCATGATCGCATATTTGGGAGATATATTTGTGCTTTGCGGAATGGTTGCCTGCATTGGGTATGTCTTTTTCCAATCAGAAATCTGGCCCATCCAGTTGGGCCTGCTCTCCACCTTCTGAAAATAAGGAAGCAGTTCAGTGAGCACCTCGGTAACATCCCCAAGGACAAAGTCATTGCATTTGATGGCCTTGTTGATATGAGGAGGGTGTATTTCAAAGTGAAGAATGCCTCCCCTTTGTTCTTTACCAGCCTTCCTCGCAGCAGGGGCAAAGCGAGTGGGGTCTCCAATAGCACGATCATCAAAGCGTGGGCCCAAAGTGAGAATCAAATCAGCAGTTTGGATTGCCTTATTAGCATAAACTGTGCCAATGCATTCCCAGCATCCGAAGTGACTTGGGATCCCGCTCATCAAAACATCCAAGGCCAAGAAGACTCGCGGTAACCGGCAGGCAGGCAGTTTCTGCCAGCTGTGCTAATACTCTGCGGCCCTCTGTACGCATAAGGAGGGCTTGGCCTGCATAGATGACGGGTTTCTGAGCTACGTTGATAAGCTCTGCGCATCTTTGGATGCTTGCTGATCGATTGGCTTTGAAGACATCAGATTGTAAAACAGGGCAATATACTACCGTGGGAATGGACTGAAACGGAGTCAATCTGATAGCATCCTCAAGAACTGCACTAGTCACATCTTTGGGTAATGCCACTAGAACGGGACCAGATTGTCCACTCATGGCAATTCGAAATGCATCGTTCATTTGGGCGGGAAGATCTCGGATGTCTCGAACCACCATATTCCATTTTGTGCATGGGGTCGTAAAACCAATTATATCTGCCTCTTGAAAGGCATCCGTACCCATGGCATATGTAGGTACCTCCCCGGTAAGAGAGACCAAGGGGGTGCCATCTTACAGTGCATCTTGTAAAGGCGTCACAAGGTTGGTCGCACCCGGTCCTGAGGTGACCAAAAGAACTCCCACCTTCTTGGAGATGCGGGCATATCCCTGCGCCATATGACTTGCCCTCTGCTCATGTCGGGGAAGAACAATTTCAAAATGGGAATTGTTGTGCAGTGCGTCAAAGACTGGCATAATTGCCCCACCGCTGATTCCAACTGCTCATTTTTTTTATCTAGTTATTTCCTGTGTCTTAAATACTAACTTCTGAGTAGGTTACAGCAGTGGACTTTGGATTAATTTACAAATAAACCTAACATGATGTCTTCGGAGCATCTCACACACAATTTGGCCCCCATGCATACCCGTTAGGGATGGACCGGGAGCATACTTCAGCTCATTGCCCCATTCAGCAGGATGATTCGAAGGACAAGGCGGGGCTTCATTCAAAGCAAATTCTGAAGAAGCAACCGGAGCTATTTGATGTTTCATTGTCAAGGCTGCTGACCGCTAGGACTCGGAGTGAGGTGGTTCTAAGGCTGATATCTGAGTAGATCTTGGTTTGAGTCTTTGAGTGCCTTCATGGTGGGATGAACATGCTCTTTAAATAACGCAGCTAGAGTTCAAAATGACCATGGACCTCGGGACCATCCATGCATATGGCTAGCAGAAGCTCATTTCATTACCAAATTATGCTTAGGGAACAAGATAGTTTGCACAATCCTATGCCAGGTGTGACGGTAAGCATTGGCAAAGTATAAACCTCCAGCACTGGAGGGCATAGGATCTGCAGAATGATAAAGCAAGATGCCTTAAATTACCCCGCGTGATGATAAGAACTCACTGGTAGAATTTGATGAAGACTGTCTGTGACATCTGGACGGAAATTTGCTTGGTTATAAACTGCATATGGAAATTGCATCACTCCACAGACGTACATTCACTTAGCCACCTAAGAGTGCATATCCAACGACTTGAAATCATATTATTAAATCATCATCGGATATTGCAGTTATCAAGACGTACTACCTCAGAGTACCTAGTAATTGTCGTCATTTTCGTCCGATAAACATGCGGAGATATTTCTTAATGCCCTAGATAGGTAGGAACCCAAGATAGTTGCACATACGCGACATGCCCTTCGCTAGCAGGTCCTCATAAGCGGCAAAGAAATAGATGCTCCCTCTGATGGCATGTAGAGAGGCCAAAAAGCTATGGAAAGAACAACCTTGGAAGGACCTAAAATCTGTGAACGGATCATAGATGAGTCTCTCGCAGATTCAGGCTATTTATGATTCTCTACCAGAAAGAACGGTTTATCCTGTACATATCTCATTTCATTTCATCCCTACTATATAAAATTGAGATAACCACCCATTTCTGTTTCAAACCAACCCATACAACTCTGCAAAAGCATCAACCGTCGAATCAAGCTGTCTAGTATACTCAATTCTCTCCGAAACCTCATTCGCAAGTTTCTCCCCAAAATACTCCGCAATCCAAGCTAAAATCACATCAATCCCTGCACTAACCCCCGCAGAGCTCCAAACCTTGTCATCAACCACCCACCTCGCCACCGGTACCCAAATCACAGCGTCCCGCACAGCTACAGTCTCTTTCCACGCACGCTTGTTCGTCGTTGCGCGTTTCCCATCAAGAACCCCAGCCCGAGCTGCGAGTCCGGAGCCGGTACATACTGTTACCAGGTACTTCAGGCTTGGGTATACAGTTTTTATGAACTCAATTACCTCGAGAACTGCGGCATCTGAACCTCGGGCACCTTGGCCTCCTGGTACAAGGAGGAGGTCGATGGGTGGGGCTGTTTTGTAGGTGCTTGTTGGGACGACACTTTGGGATATGGCGTTTGAGATTTCGGGGTGGTATGTAGAGATGGGGTCGAGGGTTGAGGAGAGGAGGGTTAGAGTCAGAGGGCGCAGTTTCGAGAGGGTGTTTAGACAGTCTAGAGGTCCGAAGACGTCTAGGGCTTGGAAGCCTGGGAAGAGGGCTACGCCGATGCGTAGAGGTTGGTCTGTGAGTTTTAGTAGATGTCTATGTGGGGCCATATAGTGTTTGATAGATTATATGGGGGTATACCTGTCATGGTAGAAGAAGAAGAGCTTGGAAAGCTTGAAGATATTTCAATGTACTTAATTTGCTAGTGCTACAAAACAAGAAGATCTTAGGACGAGTAGATGTATTATATATGACTGATTTGAACCAGAGGGCCCGGGGTCATGGTACTACAGTTGATTACAAACCTCCAGTACTTTCAATCTGGAGCCTTGCTTGCCTTACCACCTGGGCGGCATTACTATTGGTCTCCCGTCTGCATTGGGCGCCTAAGACGGATAAACGGTTGCATTTGGCTGTAAGATCTTATGCTTACTTAGATGAGTGAGAGAATTGACTGAAATGTACATAAATCAATGTTGCTTTCATTAAACTCAAGGTCATACAATTTAGTATCTACAGGACCGATCCCTTGATATCATGATCCGAGTCCTGACCATGTTAGCTGAGACCATGATCCGTGAGTACACATGTGCAGACAAGGCTAGACAAGACATGATAATAACGGTCCGATTCTCGGTCCCTATGAGTGTAGGAAACATTGAAATAAACATATAAGAAAACGGCGAAATCCATCACCATAGACATTTCCCTCCAAAGAGGAAAGGGAATACTCGCCATCAGAGCACAATTTCTGTATATCAAGGTCTGAAGGACTGACGAACTCTATAGACCTGTAATCCTGCCAAACAACATTTTCCCCCGAGCGCCAAGGTTAACAAATACACACTCCCTAGAACGCGACACGAAGATAGCGGATTATGGAAATCATTAAGCTTCCGTCACGAAACAACCCTCCAGTATGGAAAGGAAGGAGGAAAAAAAAGAAACATGAATAAAGACAAATGCAGGAATGTATCACAGTGGTATGGGTATGTGAACCGTATATCTCCTGGACGAGATGCCGTGGAGGTTTTCCGTACGGTCAGAAAAAATGGAGGGTGGATCGAAGACGAGGAAGACAAAGTCCACGTTCAAAGATCAACTTTGTAGCCATGGAATTGCCCTATGCAACGGATGCAAATTAGTACGCCTTGCGGTCTCCCAAGTTGCCGGGCTTCTCGTCGGTATCAATGTGCCAGACCACGTAGTTGGGCAAACCAACGACTTGGTAGCCGGCACGCTTGGCCATCTTAGCGAAGCCTTCGGTTTCGGCCTGGTTCTCGAATGCGTATGAGGGGAAGTTGATGCCTGGGGATCAAATCAGAGGAAATACTGTGAAATAAGAAGCATTTTGCGACATACCAGAACGGTGGACATCGGCCTTGACGAGGATGTTCACACCACCAATACCATCCAGCTCAACCTCCTCATCCTTGTCCTTGCGCCAGTCACCCATGCTGACGAGGTATGTGCGGCCAGTGTCGTACTCCTTGTAACCTTCAGCGAGGACGGTATCAGGGTCCAGGGTCTGTCGCAAACGGCGAGCCTTGTCGGAATCGATCCAAGAGTTGTAGTCAACTGGAAGAAGTCAGTAAAGGGAGAAGTGATTGGAAAAAATGTGGGGTTAACATACAGCGACCCTCGACATCACGACCATCCCGGTAACGATGGAACCAAATGTCTAAGTTCTAGTTAGCGGAAACTCGTAACATGATCAAAGATATCGACCAGGTTCACATACTAGGAACAAGAATATCCTTGTCGTGAGCCATGAAGTCCTCCAGAATGCGCTCGGGGCAGTCCACAATATCGACATCACGCCAGTAAACCCACGAGTGATCCGGCTTAAGAGCCGAGTAAAGCAAGTAGTTACGGGCACGACCAATGGCCTTGCGACGAGGTCCCTGGGCGGCAAAACCGTGACGCTCCTCCACGCTCATCTCAACATCGGAGCCGAAATCCTTGCGGACAACGGTCGCGCTGCGGAAACGAATTTTTTCATCGGCGTGGTTTTGGATGCGGTCGAGTTCGGAGGCAAGGTTAGCCAGGGTGTCATCCTTAGTGTCACCAACCAGGAAAGCCAGATCGATGAGCTCGTGAGGGTAGGTCAACTTGTAGAGGAGATCAAAGTATTTCTCGAGGTAGGGGGCAGCGTCGCGCAGAGGGGTAAGGATGAGCACGCGCTCACGGTTGGAGACAGCCTGAGTAGAGGAGACGATGGGATTCAGATCCACTTCAGCGATGGAGGTGTTGTTGACTTCGTAGGGTTCATGGTGGTTGAAAAGGACAGGGGTCTGGGCGTGAGCGTTCCACTCGACCATCTCATTGATGGACATTTCCATCGGCGACTTGGAGGAGCCATAGCAGTAGAAACTAGAATGAAGTCGTTAGTAACGGCGGCTCTGTTGATTCATATTCATCCAAGGGAGATTCTGCATACTTTTGCATCTCCGACGCGGACCTGCTGACGCCACGCCACAGCAGAATGACCAGACCAGTAACGGCCACGGAGACCAAAAATCGAGTCCGTGTCAGGAGAACAAGGACTGCCCTCCATGGTGGTAGGTTCGCCCTCGCGGACTTCCAATTAACTCCATCCTTAGGGAGCAACATGGTGTGTATGCAGATTGAGGTGAATAGGGAAATGTGTGAGAGATTCTGGACTTTCAGGAGCCGGAGCGGCGACGATCCCGGGGGTCTCGATCGCTGGGCAGGCCCGTCGAAAACCCCTTGCGGACCAAACGAGTGAGGCCTTCAAAGGACGCGCAGAAGGACAAGAGAGATTGAAGATTGGAGGCGGTTTTTTTCAACTTGGTGTGGACAGATAGGGAGGAAGGGAAAATGAAGACGGGATCGTCGGGGGAAGAAGCGGGAACGGGTAAAATCGACACTCCGCTTGATCTACAGGGAGAGAGTACAGTATTCATGAGAGATTATCTTTGTTTTTACATAGGAATTAGATCTTGATTGATTTATTTTGCATTGTTCATAATTTTATATGATTTTCTATATAGTTTTCATCTCTTGACAGGAACTTGGCACCAAATTTTAGTTAACGCGGAAAAGACCCTGCGTGTTATTTATAGCACGGATATCCTTACCTGAACAATTTACCCTAAGATTATAGAGTATCAAGTTCAAATTATACTACAATTCATGATAGTTCATAAGGTCTAGTTGAGTTGTTTAGAATACTTCAATCTGAACTTATCCCCTGGCGCAATTTTTTTTTTCATTTGGACCATTGCGTGTCCCTGACGTGCTGGGGTCTGGCCACGGGTGTGGCGTTAGGCGCCCCTTATTATCACGTCTCACAGCAAGGATTTTGATGCTCAGATTAACATGGACTGAATCAGAGAATTGACGAATATTCGGTTCTTTATGAATTAGACTATATTCCTATCCACTGGCAGGGTCCAGTCGAATAAACCTAAGACATGGGGATTTTCCCCACAATCTCGGTTATATAATTGGGTCTGGTAATGACATCTGCAATATTTGATTTTAGATGATAGATGAGCAACTACTAGTAGTAATCATCGATATTGGATGCATGAGTGGACATCTGGATGATCTGGCCTGTTCTCCCAATGGCTATTATGGGATATCAGGACATCAAATTTAAGTCTGATGACCTTTGTGACTATATGTATTGCTTGTACATGTAGCACTACTTGCTATTTCTTGTGCTGCTTGGTATTCTCGAGTTACACCTGGGCTTTGAATCATGATAAGGGTTTCAATCCATGACTCGAGGTATATGCAGGGGTGCACGGGTGACTTAAAGCCGAAATAAACAAAACAACATGATCTATCACAAACCTTGACCTCAGAAAATCAGCGCTACAGCGTTCAAGCCAGTCCGATGCAATTACCAGGATGTGTGGTTGCCTTCGAAGCCATTCAAATGTTGTAAACAGTGCTCAACCTTGGAAGTGGCAACTAGGCAGTGACACTACTGAATTTACCATTGATTCATGGCAAGAGAAGATATTCAAAGATTATGTTGTCCAATATATTTTTTGGCAATATCAACAAAGAAAATACTCATAAACAAATGAAATAAGATCAAATATCCATCCAGCGTATATACCCATATCAACAAAGCGCCAATGAAAATAGACATAAGAAAAAGAGAACCAAGAATCCACCCATTTTTAACAGATTGAAGAAGAAAGAAAAACAAAAACAAAGGTCCAACGAAAGATAAGAATCAAAAGATCAAAAAAGGCAAAAATCAAATCGAGCAATAGGGGACCTCGAACCTCCGGAAAAATTCAGCTATTGTTACAATGCAGACACGCTAAGGGCACAATGCAGCGATCAAAACAGAGCGGAATATTCAAAGTCAAAGTTATCATCGACCCCAGAGCAGAAGGGGAAGGGGCGATTCTGTCTGCAAGGGGCAAAATATGGAGATGAAAGAAACTCTGACGTGGAGAAAGCAAAGGGGAAGAATATCATCAAACATCAGGATCATGATTGGCTGCAGACTTAAGGCGACGGGATGAGAGATGTACGGCGCGATGTGGGAAAGTGGAAGGAAGGCTGCGAGGAGAGGAAAGCGGGAGAAGAGGGTCCAGTTGTAGGGGGTGTGGAACTGAGAAAGGATGAGCCAAATGATTGGGACGAGCTGAATGATTGCGATGTGGCGCTGTGCAGGGATTCGTGGTGCATGGATGCTTCAGGACCATTGCTATTGGTCCTGATCTCGTCACAGAAGACCTGGAGTCCTGGAAGACCCTTCTTTTGGCGCTTGTGCTCAGGGACTTCGACCAGAGGGCGAGGACTGGTAGCCTCAGGCTTGGGGGAGCGAAACATTTGTTCGTAGGATTTGAGTTGGAACTCCAGAGCACGATTGCGATCAGCCAGAAGATCATTCTCGGCCTTGGCAGCACGGAGCTGCTGCTGGGCTGATTGGTTTTGTTGCTGGAGGGAAGAGACTAGTTGTTGTAATTGCATGCAGCGGACTTGTGGCTGCAGCTTCTCCGAGAGCTGGGGGGGTCACCTGCTCCTGGCGGATCAAGTGGACAATGATAGCCAGCATGAAGTCAATGAGGTAGACAGCACCCTGGACGATATGCTCTTTGGACTGGGGGAGACTCTTAGATGGGTTCCAGCCAGCGCGCTCTAAGAAAAAGTCATGGATACGGCTATCCAATTCACGGTGCAACTGGCTGAGGTTCTTGCGACGATTGCCCTCGGCAATGCGGTGCTTCTCGCGCTGATCATCGGGATCAGGGGAGTCAGAGCTGCCCTTGCGCTTGCGTCCGCAGAGCTGCTGCAGAGGTTGCTTACGGTTAATGTTTGTTGGGGCAACCAGAGCCATAATCTCATTTTGAGAGAGATCGTTGGTCCACTCGGATGCAACAGTCTTTTGAGTAGTGAAGGACTCTTGCCAAGAGCTTTCAGCAGAGTTGGCTGGAGAGGGAGGTGTCACAATCTGATCACTGCCAGCCTGAGACCATGGCGACTTGAAGTGGAATGTGTCCTGAGGCCCCGGGGTGCTAGGAGGAAATGCCTCCTTAGCATGGAATGGATTGAGATTGAAAGGACCGCGAGGCAGTGGGTCCACACGGGGAAGAGGAGGCAGGCGGCGCTCATCGCCCAGGTCAGAGCTAGTCATACCAGAAGTAGCTGATTTCAGCGAGCTGGTGATCTTGATTAGACTTCGAATAGAATATAGATTCGCAATGTGTGGGAACTCACGGGAGCGAACAGCGGCGAGGAATTTCATCAATCATAGAACCCATCTCTTCATACATCATGGTGGATCGTGAATGATATTGCGTGGGTAAAATGATGTATGTGTTGTGATATGTGCACTGGTAGACGGTCGATGAAGTCGAGTCGAAGCCGTAAGAATCTATATACTGAACAAGCAAGATATTCACACAGGGTCGAAGAGTAAAGGGCGAGATGATATAAGACAATGGCAATGTTGTATATACACAAAGACAACGTGTAAGTCAACCAAGGGTAGCCAGATACGGAGTATAGACAAAGAAGGCGGAAGGGATCGAGATCCACACGAGGCGAAGACAATGAATGAGACAATTCAACATGCGAACCGGGGTTGGATGCATGGGTTTATATGTAGATGGCCATGCTGGAGAGGGGGGAGTACTTTTGAGTGGAGCGACTATATCTCACATTCAAACTCTGGGGATTCGTACGTCTCCGAGCCCAGGGAGGGGAACCATGATCAAGGCCGATCATCCCAAGCGCGGAAGACCGGGATGTCATACAGAAAGATACTGTACATAGTGCATGCGTAGACCCACGGTCACGACGGGGAAGCGAGCCTCGCCTCCCGGACTGTGGACCACCTAAACCCACTTCGGGAGAAGCGTCAGAGAACGATGGAGGAGATGTCGAGTATCTGTCACATCCTGCACAGAGGAGTATCATAGTCATAAATCATGAGATCAGCGAATCATCGAAGCACGATCCCGCCCCAAGAGAAAGGTTCATGATGAGGATCCCTGGCCCTTGATTTGTCACCGGTCTGGTGGTATCGTGATCGACACGGGGAAGTCTTTTAGGGGTAGTGCGGCGTTGCCCTTACATCAATAGTTATCAATTAATGGGATTATGTTGGAGTCATCGCCGTGCATTGTTCACTGGGGAACCAGATCAAACCAAGATCAAAAATCTTCCGGGGTCCATGTGGTGATGTTTGGACCAGTTATCAACTTTAGGTACTATTTAGATGAACTACGCTGGGTTGAAAAAAAAATTAACAGACGAACATAGGTACAGGTAAAAACTAACACATATGATGTATAGAAATGAATTAAAAGAAAAGATAAAACGGGAAAAAAGAAAAGAAAAAAATAGAAAATAGAAAATATAAAAAAAATACTAGTAGAAAGAGGCAACGTAGGAAATATCTTCCAGAATGGATCCCAACAGATTAACTTGCATATTCCAGATCAAATTTTGAAAATCTCCACTAAAGTGCTTCAATTTGGATAAATCATGAAACACCTACTGTAGCATAGTTGCAGGGAACATGCTTCATGTAATCCGTAGGTACAGTGTACTCCGAGAGATTGGCTTTCGATCTCCTGCGTTGATATTCAGGAGAACTATGGCCTTGTCAGGAACAAGGGGTAATTCAAATCTATGATCGTCTGCAAAACTTGAACCTACCAATCTCTTATTAATCTATGAAATAGAATCACCCTAAAACCAAATAAAATCAAGCAAGGATTACAGATAGAAACTTCATGGTGTGACATGCGAGGAGGCTTGAACTTGAATATGAAAAAAAATTCAAATGCTGTTACTTACCCAGGTAGTACCTACTAATTAGTGTAAGATAATTAGAACAAATGAGATCTACAGATCAGATGGTGTCATACAATCTAAAGCGTTTCCTAACGCTAACAATGGATCAGATACCTAGGGCAAACGAATCATGATCCATGGGGAAAGGTGAGAGGATCATCACTCGAGGAAAACCGCTGACTTGGGTCTTAGGCTGACCCAGCGACCAGGATAAAGGTCCTGTCAGTCATCCAACCAGATGAAAAGATTTGATTTGGAATGAACAAAACCATAACACACAGACAAATTGGCGTCGTTAGTCCCTGGGCAAGTCATAGCGCAAAAAACAATAGCCTTGGAACCCTAACAATTCAAGTTGCACGTTCCTCTACTGAAATCGCCCCACGCTTCAATAATAAATTTTCCTAAATCTAGGAAAATAAATGACTTTTTTTTAAGAGTTATTACTTCTTTTGCCTTTTATCCTCATTATCCCGTGCTGCTGAGTTCGCTAAATTGTGAAAGTGGGTCGACTAACAGGGTCCGGCTTACTAGTATATCAGAGCTGTCATATTTCTCCCGCTTGAGGTCCAGGCGTCCATGATTGAGGGGGCGCAGTCCCCACGTTCTGGAAATCAGTCTCCGAAGTCCCCTGAGATTTATCATGACTCGAAGATTTGAATAGTCTAATTATTAAAGGGTGATTAAAAAGATATAGGTGAGACAATGGCAATATAATTTTGGTTTTAGTAATATCATGATCCGCGGTATACTATGTATGAATGGGTGACTCCGCTTTTCCCTTTTTTTATCCCTACACAAAGTACTAGTACGCAACGCAACTTATTTCCAGACCCAATTTTTGAAACTTGCATACGGAATCTTCTTGAAGTCCCGCGGCTGCGTCTAGCATAAGTGTGCAGTGGTGCAGGTGGGCACGCAGCGGCTGCAGATGGAGCACTTGAGGGCAGTGAATCATAGGCACGAACCATCTCAAGATCAGACAAAGTCTACTCCAATTCCGAAAGTCCCCCGGACCCATTGGTCCCAAGGATCTTCGGACATTTGCCTCTCCCTGATTACCCTTTTCAGTGACGTGCAGGGAGATTCGCCCAGTCTATGCAGTCCGGATCAATCGACAAGCCAACCGGTTGGTCGGTTTTGAGTTCATAATCAGAGATCAGAGCTACAAACCTGTTCCCAGGTTTTGAGATCTCCTCATTTTTTCTGATCTCAGGGACAAACTGATAGATGGATGGTTCGTACTTGAGGTTTAAACATCCCGGTCTTTTACGATCTGTGTGGTGGAGATGAACTTGATTTTGCATCTCTTCATTACACAGCATGAAACGGGGTTATCCGCTGCGGCTCCAGGTGCAGGGCCCAGACTGATCCGTGGTTTCGCCTGTCTTTTCTTGACTTACAGACCAATAGTCTTCGTAGTTTGGTCCTCCTAAAGCCAAGTTATTTCCAATAATTATCCAGTAATTGCCTCAGCTAAGCCCCGCTCGAGACCTGTCAAGTTTCAACCGTCACCGGTGACATAGCGGGGCAAAGGATAAGTGTACGAAATAGGTATTATTATTCTTCGATTTTAATTTGGATTTACAGAATCATCTTTACCATTGTTTTTTTGCATTCAAAGATTTTCTTCTCTCGGTTATGACTTTACTCATCTTGATCTCCACCCCACAAGATGGAGATCTGCCAAGCGTCCAAAAGTACGGAGTACGCAGTACGGGTTCATGCACCTCACTTCAACCGCTGCAAGAGCTTTTGGATCTGGTAGATACTTTCTACTACAAGCTACTGTACCAGAGCCCACATATACGACATTTCCCGGTTCATCAATTACGTGGTCTACGATCGATTTCTTCAGTTCAAGATCGGATCTATACATTGATTATCCTTCCGGGATTTGCTTCACACTGCAACTGCGGATACGGGAGTACACTGTGGATGCTGTTCGCCCCGCTGATCCAGATCCATCTGCTGCCCAGTTCAGTGGAAACCACGTACGGTTCACTCGTGCTAGTCCACATTGTTCAATGTGGACGCACGGGTCATAGAAAGGGATACATTTTATTCTCCATTTGATCATGACAAAACATGAAATAGACCAATAGTGATGCTATTGTATCTGAGCATCGACAAAACCTTGGAACACTCTCTCAAATCATTCCCAACATGGAATAGAACCATACACACAATAATTTCACTTCGTACATATTATCGATATTATCGATGAGGCAATTGCAGCAAGGGCAATGGGTCAGATTCAAAACGTCATCGCCTGTGCGGATCATTAAACCCTATGCCATTTGCCATTTCCGGGGTTTCTAAGATCATGCCAAAGTACGGAGTGCAGTGCATCGCATCGCATCATGTATTTTTCGTACATTGTAGATTGCTTAGAAAAAAGGAAATTACAATATCTTCCAGGATGTTGCTGCTATACTGCAGTCTCTCCGAGACATTAAAAAAAAGCCTCCAAAGAGGATCCTCAAAAATAGCCCATTTATTCCCCGAGTAGCCCCATTTAGCCACCGGAACCCTGCAAGGATCATAGGTAGCATACAGATCTAGTAGTACTTAGGCACATTATCATCTATTCTGGGAATCTCTCATCTCTTCCGGAAGTCAAATTTGCCGCATCTGATACGTACATTATTCTCTCTTCCCCGAGATACTTTCAAAGCCCGTGGAGTTCCCCTTCGATCGTAAATTTCTTGGTGAAACTTTGGGTTCCTACATGTACATGCTGCAAGCTGCGATCGATGTACGAGCGCTCGAGGCATCAAGAAATCCCCATTACCTGGATCACAAATTGGATCCAATGCAAGGCGGGACGTAAATTTTATGGGTCGAATTGCATCTTCATTCAGGTACCCTTGAACTCCTTATTCTAAGATGACAAAAGGATCTGAACGCGCAGCCACCGGCAGAAAAGTCCACGATCTAAATTTTTCCTTGCCACGTCCTTTTCCTCACGTATCTTCTACCACGAGAGGACAACTCATCGTCCTTTTATCCGATCCACATGGTGGTTTTTTTCTCGTAACTCGTACTTGTGAGGAGTACCAACACTTGAAGCAGGTTCTAAGCTACTGCGAGAACCTTAGAAAGAGACTTTTGACCAACTCATTGATCTCCATATATTGGATCTGATGGAGTATTCTGATTTTCATATCCATAATATGGCCTATCTAGATGTCCCAATTTGGATTCCTGCGTTATGCACCTTGGCATCGCCCGATTACCCCGATTCACTTTCCAAGTACGATGTTCTATTGTCTAAAAACTAAACAGCTTACACATTTGAGCTTATCCATCTCATCAATAGACTCTCAATTCGGTCTTGTTCGGGATCTGAAAGATATTGACCTTGAGAATTAAGTCCATCAAAGTTTAAACAACCAAGAAACCCAAAGAAAAAGGTGGCTGGAGGTAAATCCTCTCTTCCAAGGGACCCATTAAACCCACCAGAAAGGAAACATCAGAAGCACTAAATCCGGCACAGACAACCAAGCAATCAGAGACTTTTGTTCTCACGAACAGATCCTAAATGGCCACAACAACCTGGATTCATCGCGACTAGGAAACCCAATTTTTCTCCCGCTCAAAGAACGACCTGTCAATACTCTCTCTGGTTCCTACATGAAACCTTCCGGACATGCAGCCACGGTCTATGAATCATGGCTCTGATGAGAATTGCCTCGATCCAGTATCCAGTTTAAGTGGGGAGAAATCAGTTCCTTCTGCACTGCTCATGCACACTACGTATAACAGCGGGCAAGATCCCGCGATCCACACAAACAATGATTTTGTTCTCTTTATTTATCCGATATGTGCATATTATTGTTCCTGCTTTTCAATATCAAAAATGATATTTCTATCATTCCAAGGTTTTCGTGATCGAATATGATCTCATTGAGATTTTCATGATCCATTACCAGCCACCAGAATCACTTTAGTGGTCGATCAGCGATCATCGATCATTCTGGCCAACTAACCGAACCCAATCAAGTCAAGTAATATGGAGACAAGAATCCTTCGATCCATTCTGTTACCAGGTGCATTGACTTGAATAACTGAATTAAGAATCTTCGGTACGAGAATTCGACCTCGACCTCAATTCCCAATTCCTGGTTCCCTCATTAAGAGTCCACCAGCCTCCCGCTTAGCTCGATAAAATCCCCATCTAAGCCTCGAATCGGATAACGAACGGCTGATCTATGGTGGATTCGATACATCCACATCATTTGCTGCATGACACCGAAACTGACCTGAGACGCACATGGAAGACCTGTTGAGGGGTCGAAACGAGCGGAGAATACCTTTTTTGAAATTTTTTTTTTCTTCTTTACGATTGATTCTACTTCAATGACGATTACTCGTATCAACCCTTCAACTTCTCCTCTTTAGTATCTAATCGGAGTTCCTCATGCATTCTTCCCCGTATAATTCCACTCCCAACCCCCAAAATTCACGATCGCGATCGATTCGTCTAATATCTCTGTGGTCGGGAGAATCTTCCAGAGTTTTAAGCCCCGCTTTACCATTGAGATGGTTACCTAGTTTAGTTACATGTAGCTAAAATAGTTAAGTTCAACAAGTTTGCCGTTCTCATATACTTTTTTCCCTTGCCAGTGGTTCTTACCAGCCATGCAGATAAGTGCAGTATATCACACCTAGCTTGACAACACATCCTTAACTCCACTTCGTATGGGTTGGCTTCGAATTTAGAGGTCCAAATAAGTACGGAGTACTCCGAGTTTGTACTAAACTAGCTTGTAAAAAGGCAATCCTGGTTCGCTTACCAGTATGCATCATGATCAGGATTCGTAGAAACGGCTCGTCTAATGTGAGGTGTGGGATTTTTTTTCTTTTTCTTTTTTTGAGGCCGTTTCTAGGCTTTGCTTTTGTTCGGAGCTTTTTTCTTATCTGAAACAACTTAGTACGGTTTTCTTATTCTTGGGTTGTGGCGGTCTGATTAGTATCATGATCTTACTGGAGGCTGATTGTGAGGGATTGTGGCTTTTTTGTTCATTTTTCGGCTTATGTGGAATACGTATCAATTGTACTTTGGATTTTGGACTTCGTGAATGCGTTGGCTAAATTTGAATTTTTTTTTCTGATGCCCAGGATCTGTAGGATCTAGACTTGTGTCGGTGTCTGGTTCAAGATATCAGATTTTGTGAAGGATTTGAGAGATGCTCAGTGTAGTCACCGCCATTCTAACCCGCTTACTAGATATTGGGGAGCTGAGTGGTGCAATGGCATAGGTCTATGTCGCTCAGGCAGTTTGTCCAAGTTATTGTGCCAATGACTTGAATTTTCCAGAGTTGTCGGATAATCAGTCATCCTCATAGAGCCTATTTAGGATCTGTTAGCTGTAAAATAGTTGTAAACTTGGACATCTGCTACGACAATGTTTCTTGGGAGTGTAGAAACCGAATTTGGTCATCATAACTCAGAGGCATACTAGTAGACAGTTCTCCAGGTAGCAAGGTCTCAAGAGCTCTCACTGGTAACGTCGATGATCTCAGTATCAAACTTAAGATTCACTGTATCCCTTCCCCAGTATATTATCCCCTGGCGGCTTGCGAGGTAATATTGACACAGACCTATCAAATGGGTCATCATACTCAAAGGTTCAGCCTGTGATATGAAATCTCAAGTAGTTTCAATGTCCTTCCTGCCAGTCGGAAACATGCAGTTGAAAGTACTCTATGAACATGCGACAAAAGTGATTGATACAATCGGAACTCGAGTACTATTTCTGGAGTGATCTGCTGCCACTATGTCCAGGTGTATGGCGCAACATACGCCGAGATAAACAGTATTCGATCACCAACTCCCTGATTTCTTGAAATATGTTGTCATATCGATTGGTAAGAACAATTGATGTAGAATTGTTGCGCCCCATTCAAATGTTGATGGTAGGAAGATTTGACTATTTGAGGCTTCCGAGTCGCTTCAAACAGTGGTACTGTTCCTGGGATTGTAGCCATATTCAGTCCGTTGGCCATACCCGTGGACCCAATGGTTCACCAGCCTCCAGGACTGGATCTTTTGTATTCCTCTTCATCTCATATGTATATTCATTCTTGCAATCCAATGCTTGCCAGTCCAGCTGCGGTCATTCAGAATTTGAGTCAGTTCCAGTTTGTTCAAGGATTTATCCTCGAGTGTATGTAGCAGGCTTGCCGGTACACCTGGGCAGTGTCAGCTTGTGGACTTCTTCAAAAATGTTGTTCCTCCGGCATAGTTTGAATTGTTCTCCAGGGCTTCAAGTTCGACCATTACCTTGGTATTGGGATTCCTCCAATAGGTATATATTTCTTGAAGAAGTCTCCTTGAAAAATTGTCTGCTGAGTAAATTCGAATCCCTTCGCACATTGGAGATTCTTCCACTGATATATAGAAATAATGCAGGTGGTCTTAACCTGTCTATATATCTTGGGACCAACCGTGACGCGATAAAAGAAAACAATGGATTTCTGTCGTGAGTGTTCCTGGAGAGCTTCAGTTCTTCTTCTGAAAATCGTAGCACTGGTAATATTAGGGCCAGATGGTAGTCACTGTAGGAGTTGTCTCTCAACTTGCCGGATTCCTCGTAGATATGTTCTTTTCATGAACGCTAGAATGATTTCCTTTATCCTAATTTGATGTTGCAGCGAGACGCGATGTGGAAACACGGCGATAACAAGTACGTCTCCGTGGCGCAATTGGCTAGCGCGTCTGACTGTTAATCAGGAGGTTGGAAGTTCGAGCCTTCCCGGGGACGTTTCTTTTTGTTTTTTCCCCCTCCGATCTATTATCATTTAGCCATCAGGTTTATTCAGCGAGCTGCCCATATAGCAGGTTCATCAGACCTTGATCTGTTGTGGAGATCAGACGGTTCGGTAGCCACATACTGGTCTCTTCGCACAACGAGTAGTATCCTGGCCGTCACCAACTTCTTCCCACGCTTATACTCACACAATAGCAGTCCCCTAGCAGGCTATGAGTCCCTTTCTTCTTTCCTTGCTAGTAAGAAGTTAAAACCTCCAAATATTTGCCAAATTTGACTCTTGGTCCTTCGAGCATCAGGACATGATCTCTGAACCTGCTCCTGAGGTCAGTCAGTAACTGGCGATAATATGCCAGACACCAGATTGCAACCCAAGACCAGACTACAAATCCCCCGACCGCAACGACTGTTATACTCACCGAGCTAAAGAGACCACCGGAGACGAGGAATGAGTATGACGATTGGGTGAGAACAGTGCAGTCTATGCTAGAGAAGGTTAAACTATTAGACCTCCTAGACACCAAGACTGTACGCCCGAAACTTCGGCGCTCATAAAAGATGTCATTGCGACACCAGCAACTTTGAAGGACAAGGGCATGGAGCAGACTATTCAGCCCACGGCATATGCTGTGCCAGTGCCGCAGCAGGCGACGACGTATGGCGCTATGGGCGCAAATTGTGCCGCTCAGCAACTGTTGCATCATAAGACTGTCGATTTTGTCGTCCACTGGGTGTGATAAGGTGCCAAGCTCCAGCCTTAGTCTAATAGCACGCCACTTGTCTCAGTTTATGATCTGCCATTGTCGTAAGTCGCGAGAACCTATCGTGGATATCAGACCAGTGGTAGTCACATGCTGTTTGCCTCCGGACGCGTAGCGCGACGTATCTCTCACCTCACTGTCGCCATTATTCCTCTCTTCATATCCTCTCGCTACAAATTCGTCCCATAGCACTATACATTGACGCATCCAGGCGTGGACGGGGCCTAGTGGGAATGCCTGACGTGGCTCAACCACACAAGATCTTCTGATTCGCATGTATGATATTTACGAATTTATCGAGAATATGGCATGTCCAGAGCCTTATATTTTATCATTGATATCGGTACCTGTCAAGAGATAGCGAGTGAGCGAGCCCAGTGATGAATACATTGTGATTGAGACGCCCGAAACCACAACCATCCCAGCCCCATCAATACCGGCGATCAAGCCCACAGGAGCGATATTGATACACTGTATGGCTTGAGAATCACCCTTACCCACGATCGTGATTGCATATCTTATGCGCAAGCTATGCATACCCTCTACCTGTCTCCGGTCCTAGTGAAGAGGCTCACCTACTTAGAAGTCCTAGACAACCACATGGGATAAGGACTCTGTTTTCAGTAGATCAACCGTAATAGAAGGAGGTGCTAGCGAGAGGGACCCATAGCCGTGGTAGAAGTGGTACCAGGAAAGGAAGAGGTAGTGAGAACTATAAATCCGCCTGGATCACTGGCATCCTCCAATACACCTCCATAGCAACTAACCCCCAAAGTTCACTGCTTTTGAAATCGATTGCCGTCGGTCTAGTCTCATCCGTCATCTGTACACCCGGATTATACCTAGGTACCCCTTGATACTGTACACCCAGTGTCTAAGGTACCCAATTGTTGTCATAGCTATGACCCTTCTATCGCCATAAAATCGGTAGCAAAGTCCGTTGAAGTGGTAAGTGCCCTGATGGTGGTAGCACTGGTGGGCTTGGATATAGACTTCGTTGTAGTAAAATTCAGATATTGACTTTGGCTCTGGCTCTGGTATGGTGTCTGGGGCTGGGACTGGGACTGGTGTCTGGCATTTCGTTCTGGCGTTCGACTCTGACGGTTAGCACTAATGCCTAGGACGGGACACTTGGACTCGTGTCTGGAGCTGGTAGCTGTTTCTATAATCGTACCTCAATATGTTCAAGAAATTAGCAAAATCATTTGTGCGTGCCACGGAACGGGTGATGGTAGTGGTAGCCCTCTAGGTAGGTGATAGAGTTCCCTTACCTTATCCGTGACTATGAGATATCGCCTGGCTCCAATAGCAAAAGACAAGGGCTGTAGTGCGTGCTAGAGAGAGTAGGCTGGCTCATGATATGCCAGTGCTGTATGGCGGAGCAGCTGGGGTGGACGTTCATATAGTGATATGCGCATAGATGTCAGGGCAGGAAGAAGCTATGAGTGTGGTAGAACTACACCCACTGGTGTTCATATGGATCGCCAGGGCTGATGGACGGATGATGATGGAAGGTGTGCTACTGTGTGGCAGCGTGCAGTGAGGGAGAAAGTGATATACAGAGGATGAGATCAGGTAGTTCAAAGCCTAGGGTATGATCTATTATCAAGGGAGATTGGGATGTGTTTGGTCGTGCTGGGCTGTCTTGGGCTATGATGCTTAGTGTTAAACCGTGTTGACCCGATGGTACATACTGGTCGTCTAAGGCCCCGGACGTAGCTATCACCTCCCACCTACTACAACTTCTTCTTTTCCTTTTCTAGCAAACTCTATCTCCCACCACCTACTGGTGTCTACCTGATGCTGGGTATTATCTGCTATCTCCCAATTATTCTCACTTATTAGTCCTCCTTGAATGATCAATTGACGAGCTAAGCCATGTTAATTCACCATCCAATAAGACTAGGCCACAAAGCACCAAGTTTTGACATTGATTTGACACAAGGACAGACATGGTTTAGAGAAGACAGCAGGGATAATGTAATAATAAAGCTCAACAGACTCCTCGGTGTAATTTTTGTGTCTGGATAGCTGCATGCCTGAAAAGAACTTGAACTCAAACGCAACTTTGCCACAACTTTCAAAGTTGTTTGACAGCTAACTGTATTTTGTAAAAAGACGCGTAGATCCAATGGTCCTACAAGGATCTCATGGGGGTCAAAATGGATGTACGGGCAACTGTCTGTCACAATCCCCACTCGGGGCGATAGCAGAGTAACATTATTGGCTATCCAGGCGACAGGGGCATGACACCCGGAGACCCAAAATTGATACATCACATAAATCTCTCTCTTTTTTCGGACAAAGAAACCACATTTGCCGACAAACACGCTATGGTTCGGTGGGTGATGACTCCGTGCTCTGATCACCTATCACAGTAACGCTAAGGGGCGCCTAATGCTTTTTAAAGTTCAAGCTATACTTCTTCTTCCTTGACTTGCATATGGATTGCTAGGGTATCAATCAAGTGTACAGGTTGTCAAAGAACCAATGCTGTGATGACTTTCAAACTTTCACTCGCTTTGAGATCAGCAAGCGCCATAGTCTCCCTAGTGGAGTATAGTCTTGGTGATAATGCATATAATCCTTGTGTTAGCTCATTGAAATTGTCCACGAGTCCCAACATTGTGGCGCTTTTTGAAAAGACTTCTTCTTTGACTCAAAAATGACATTCCTGCAGTTTACCGAATACAGCTGCAGGTTGGGAGTGGTGGCGGTAATGCGTTGGCCACTAGGGGTAGGCAAATGACCCGAGTGAGATGTTAGTTGGGAGAAGGCCTGACCGAGATAATATTGAGGTTTGTTGCGGGATTTTTCAGGTAAATTTTTACCTTGGAAGACCGACCCCTGCAAGTCGTTTTTTCTTGAGCTTCCGTCTCCCTACTTGGCTGGTATAAAAGCGTAAATTTCCCTCAACATAACAACAGCCTTGTTCCAATTTTCTTCTCTTTGAGCTACCTCTTCATCCTCTCTATCTCTGCACCACCTGAACTCACTGTTGTAGAGGACTCTGAGATGTCGTCATCCTTGAACTTCACAACGCGCCAGTTAGACGTAAAGCTCAATCTCCACGGCTTCCAAATCAATCTTGACGACCTCCAGAAGTCAATCAAAAGCGCACTCGAGATTATGTCATCGTCAGACAGCCTGGCTCTTCACTTGAACGAGCCTCTAGAAGCGCAAACTAGCCTCGAAATACTCAAAGTTGATTTATTTGAGGGTCGTGATCCGCGAGTGGAGGAGTCCAGTGGCACTGGCAGCAGAAGTCCTCCAAGCATGGTCACCTGGATGCAGCTCATCCAGGAAGTCCCTGCTGACGCTTTCACAAGAGATTCATCGTCCAATGTTCTATACAGTTGTCTTTATAAAGGGAAGATTGTTAAGGTCCTCGAAAAGGAAAAACAGAAAATAAAAACCCTTCAACAGGTTTTCATCAGAGAACTGCGTGCACCTCCGTCTCCGCAAGACATCCGCAAAGAGGAAGAAGTAACAACAAACCTGCTATCAAGCGTAAATAATACGACTCAAATCCTCCAGGGTAAGTGGTCACTCTATGCTCTCCAGCCCTGAAGTTAGCCTGATTGAAGAAATACAAGACACTAAACTGTATCGCATTTCCTAAAAATCACCAGAGCGCTGGAAGAATTGAAATATCAGCTTGGAGGCCGCATCCCACTTTATCAAAATGAGCATCTTGGCGGAGATACGACTGGATTCAATAGCAATGGATCTCCACGAAGTTCCGGTTCCAATTCAATAATAAACGACTCCAGAGGGGAGTTTCCCTTTGAATCAACCCGGGCACGACGCAGAAGGCCTCGGCAAATTGAGGTGCATGTGTCGGATGAGAGAAACTCCATCCCTAGCCCACGCAGAAGGCTCCCGTCAATTGAGGTTTCGACTGAGGAAAACTGCATCCCTCGATCCGCTGAAGAGTTAGCGAGGGGTGATATGATTCTTGCTGCAGCCCGAGATGCGGGAACACTGTGGCCAGCCGTGGCCAATGAGTACGCGGAAATTTTTCGCGTGAGGCGCAGTCCCAATTCTTTGAGTCGATTCCTCAACATATACAGGGCATCTTTGCGGCATGAGCATCAGCCACAAGTTCAAGTTACTAGTAGGTCTGAGATCCGGGTGTCTACCAACAGAAATTCCATCCCACTGAGACCTAGAGAGAAGAGAGAGGGTGGACCATTTGTTGAATCTGCATTACGCGTAGGTAATGATTGGGATACTGTGTGCGACGATTACTCAGTAGAGTTTGGGGTCTGGCGCTACAAGTGGGTTCTTGGGCTTCTTCGCAACAGATATCTCAGAGCAATAGCCAGTTCAGAGTGGGATGGGACCAGTTTTGGGAGTTCCCAGGTGATTCCTGATGTCCCTTCAGCTAACGTTCTCATTGGTGTTTCGAGAGAAGTTGCAAATTCCGAAGAAGAGACGCATTGGGTTGAGATGCAAGAAGATGAAGAGGAGGAAGCTGATAATTGGGTTGATGTCCAAGAAGAGGATACTCCTATGGCAGATATTTCAATTCGCCACTCAGTCTAATTTTCGTCGTTTGTTAATCTGCATGGCCACTCATTTCTTTTGTTTTTCATTTCTTTTTCTTTTTAATTCACTTATTTTTGAATGGATTTTGATACAGCACTCCAAAGTCTCCAACTTCCCCTGGCTTAACTCTAGCCGAGAATAAATCAGACCTAAAGAGATTATTGGACTGAAAAGTATTATCTGTACGGAACTTGAAGTTTTGCAATCTCATACTCTAGCTACTACCACAATTTTTACAGCCTTGGAGATATACCCAGGTAAATGGCAATCATGGGTCATGAAAATCATGCCATATTGTCTCCCTAGTAGAGTCCAACACCGGCCGCTCAATTGATCTACATACGCTAACCTTGGAAGGCAGTGGGGTCCAGAAAGAGTTTGTCAGTCAACTTGAAGCCGACTTCGCTATCGAATACATTTGCTACATGATATTTCTAGCAGGCCACGGGTGTTTGAAATTTACAACATTTTGAAAACGTTCCGAAGTTCCAAGGTTTTTACAACAACATCATGATTCATGGATATCTATTAAGTAGGTCTACAGCCCTGGTGCAAATTAAGACTCGGAGTTTATGATTCAAAGTTTCCACTGGCATCAATTTCATTGGTCACCTGGGCACTGGGAGAATCGTGTCGTAGCATACGTTTAGCTCCCAGGTGTCTGAAGGCTCATTAAACATTGATCTTCAGCTTTAGCATTAAGCTCAATCAATCATATTGACTGGGTCTCCTCTCTTTACTCTATGTAGTCTGAACAGGTATCCTACGATCTGAAAAAAATACACAAGTTGCACATGTGCTATTTGAATTCACTCCTAGCCGTCCCCTGACCATCGTCCCGTTGGGGGTTCAGAGCGTACTGCCGGACAGCACGAATACATACCATTTTTTTCCAATGTGATTTAGCACACCCGGCCCCATCCGCGATACCATCCATGGATTGGGGCGGGTCCGCGGGCGCCGAGTTTTTTTTTGGGGTGATCCTCTCCTGAAAGGGTAAATTCCGAGTCGGCAATCAGCACTGCTATGCCTGATAGAGTGAACTAATTCTAGAGGACTTACGACCTCTAGTTGGCTACCTAGGTAGCTAGTGGAAGAAGATGTTTTTCTTTTCCCCAAAAAAGAGCTGCTCTCCTTCCGACCACATACGTTCTTTTCAACTAGATCACTCAACTAGAATTTCAATGTTGTGTTATTTAAGTGATTTGCTATACTCCGTGGTTTAATATATCTAATATAATTTTGGAATTTAGAATTTCATATCCTCCTTTATATCCACTATAATTTTAACCAGTCAATCAGGGCTAAGGCTAGGCCCTGACCGCCTTACATGAAGTTACATCCCTAGTTCATCTGTAAATTACCATTTATGGACTTTCATCTCATAGGTACTATCTAAACTTGGCCCCCCTTGCCTGCCAAACTACCTACCTGCCACCGCTGTGGACACCGCTATGGACGGCCCCGGGGGCCTAAACTAAATCCACATGGCCTACACTACCAGAAGGGCTAATTTCACGTACCCAGAGACAGCAATTATCGAATTGAATCGATTTACACGTGAAGATATATGCCCTCATCAAAGCTCGGACGAAAGTCTTGAAAAAGGGGGTAGTTAAGACTATTTCGCTCTGCTACAACTATGGAGGTATAGCGGACTTCAAGTTAGTTTCAATTATGGGTTGGTCTAAACTACTAGGTCGTGGACGTATATATGGTATTTGATTTGCATCTAAGCTTTTTCTGCCGAGCCGGAGGCGGATAATATATATTCCAGAGGAGAAATTTTTGAGCCCCTATAACATTCAAACATTTGAATGTTCAAATGAATGTTTGAATGTACTCCAGGGCTGCGAGTTAAACCTAAATTGGTGGAGCCATTAATAAAACCAGAAACTTCACATGAATATTGAACCTGTTATTTTCACTACAAATTACCCAATTAGGGTGGACGAATATAAGTAATGTACAAGCGAATGCACACAAGGTTGGTATAGGTACGCTAAGATAGTAGTAATTCTGACCTACTGCCCACTGGCAGGTGATTTATCCAGTATTGATACATGCCACTGGGCACATGTGCAGTGGATGGATGGATGGCATATCATATTCACTGCCGAGGCCGCGTCATCGCAGCTAGAAGCTGGAACTTGAAGGAGCTTACCTAGGCCTTTATCCCGGCGCTGCCGGCCCTGCCGCTTAGCTTAACTAAAAACTCGAGTAAATCAACACTGGAACCGGTCCCACTTGACAAATTTCTCAATGAGAGCCCTGAAGGCTGCATTGAGTTAGAACTTGAAGTGGGCTCGTGCCTTCCTGTCCTCCCCAGATGTCCCTTCAAATGTTACATAATTTACTATATGATGAGCTGCCCAGGTGGGTGAGCTCGAAGCACTTCATTGCATGTGTAATTCGATGACTGGTACAAGCCTCCAGGGCTCTCGACTCGGAACTACCACATGTGCATGTATGAGACACTCTTCAAGATCATCTCCAGTATGGCTTCCCGATTGACTCCTGAATGAATCCCGATCTTATCAATTACTGGAGCCGGGCCAAAAAATGATCTAGCCGGTGAGGTGGACCAAGGTCGTCGGTTCCTTGATTGAGCCTTAGGCCTTGGCCCCAAGTTTAGCGGAGCCATGGCCCCGGGGCTGGTCTAAAATGGTATATCCACTACAGAGGGTCCGGAGTCCACTGATCAGTGGCAAAAAACCCCAGAAGAAGGCTTCTCTAGCTGCTAGTAGTCGCTACATAGCTCCCCAAAGAATTTAGGCCATGCAATTTGTGAGTGTGAGACACTTCCATCCAATTACCTTGGCACGGCGTGGAGCAGCAATGAATTTACTCCACGAGCTGAACCTGCTAGTGCAGAACTAGGATTTGGTTGAATTAGTGCCAGTGGTGATCAGGCTACAAACCCACAATCAGACACTTCATTCTAGTAACACACCTAGAGACAGTAGAAGAGACTGAAATCCAGGTCTATTGACTCTGTCAGGCCACGCGTTCAAGACTCTCTAAGGTTGTGCTAGATAAGACCAAAGGTTGAAATATGCTCTGGATAGACACCTGGGCGGGTATAAATAGTAGCCCATGGGTCCCCGTTCACAGCACTTAGACTCATACTCTTCTTCCAAACTTTCAAGACTCACTTCAAGTGTATCAAACTACTTTCACCATGCGCTCTTTCGCCATTCTCCCCGTTCTCTCCCTTCTTGTCTCCTCGGCCACCGCTGCCAACTGGGGACTCGATTTCTATTCATCAAAGAGCTGCATCGATGCTCATGGACTCATGTCTTATGGCGACAGCGTTTCCGATGGTTGCCAGAATATCGAGTCCGAAAAGTTGATCCACGCCGTTCAAGGTGACGGTCTTGGAACCACATGGCATGCGAAGATCTACTCCGGAGCCGATTGCACCGGCAGTGAGCACACTCTCACTGGCAGCAAGTGTAATGACTGCCAGAACCTCTTCGGTGATGGAACAACCGACACAATCCTGTCTTGGAACGTCAGTTTGATCCCAATGTTTGAGATACCAGTACTTCTTTACTAAATACTTCATATAGATTGTCAAGGTCTAAATTGACTCTTTGAAGAACGACTACGCTGTGGGTGATCATTTAAGGATATTATGGGAGATTGAGGGACTCGGAGGATTCAGTAAAGTGTTACTTGAGCTTTGGTCTCGGCATTATATGTTCTTTGTTCTATATTCTACTATACAAGAACCGCAACTTTCAATAATATGGAATCCCTCCAATATTTGAAGGTTCCAAGGTTGATATGACGATTTATTTTCTAGTCCCTTATAAGTCATAAACACCGTCAATACTACCAATATTTCAAGTAAGGGGGTCTTTCTACACCAAAAATGACAGAAATCTTTTTCTTGCTATGGTCCACTTCAAAACTAAATGATCAATAATCAGTTCTCAAGAGAAGTAAAGCATCAAGTTCGTCCAAGTACCTAGGTATTGCTCTAACTCACTTAGGTATCACTATGTACCTGTACTAGATACTAGGTGGGGCGTTAGCATCTGCCATTTGCCTGACAGTTGTCATGCTGGTCATGCTGGCCAATATTTTAGAATTTTCCTCGCTGACCTTAGAGTCTCACTATGAGGGAATGGACAGTCACCTCAAAGTCTGCCGATATCGTTCCGGCAATCGACATCGAGAATTTGAGAAAATGTCGATGTGATATAGGCAAATGGTACTAGTATTATGCCAACATCAGTGGTCCCATCTGTAGATAGATAGTTCGGACCACCATGTTGTTGATATCCAGCTCTCAGTTCGTAGTTTCCTTCCTTCCCTCACACTTCACCAGATATCGTTCCTTGCCTTCCTAGTTTGCGCTCTTTCTAGTATATTATCGTCCGCGGATATCATTACCGATAATTTGATAATAAGTGAATACTGCTAGTAGTATGTATTTAGCGCCTGGTTCTAGATAAAGACAAAAAGTTGCTTTGAAACTTTACTAAACAATAATTCAAACCTCAAATCATCCCGAAGTCGTTAATTTGGTCAGCTTGCTCCTATTCGTGTAATTTTATAATTATTCGTACTAGATATGCACATGTGAGGTTATAGGAACATAGAGAGTTTGTACTAGTAGTAAATCGCCAGGGCTTTAACGTTGCCCTACCGTCCTGTTAACTATTAATTACTCCCTAGGTAGTAGTAACTCAGCCACTGGCACTGCAACCCCCCACGTCACGGTCCACACTGGTTCTCTTCAAAATTTGCAAATGAAGCTGCTTCATTCCTCTGCGAAGGCATATTTATACATACTATGTATGCCCGTGGGCAGTACATATGTATGTATCATTCCAATAGACGCGTCACATCTCAAAGACCAGGACGAGTGCCCTGTCCTCTTTTTTGCCATCAGCCATCTGCTCTTCCAGATACTCACTAACACCACCTAAACCCCTTAGTCCTGATTTTACTACTAAACCACTGCGTCAGCGTTGATAGTGACCTTTGACTAAAGCCCTCTGTTCGTTCGTACTGTGCCAGTAGCCCGGGAATGTCACAAAAATGATGCGTACCCGGCAGAAATGCCTCAAATACCGAGTTCTGAAGGACGAAAGTGACAAAGAGTCCTGTCCGATGATCGAACCGACCAATCAAGCGAACCAAGAAAGTTACCGAGCAGCCTTACAGTGGATGTACTCTCCCGGCCTGTCAAAAAGACGTGGATGTCCCCGCCTACGGATTGCAAGCTTCAAGTTCTACCCTCCGAGTCGTGATATCCCATGTACGCAATCGCTTGGATGAAAGCCTTTCACTGCGTCGGGCCGATTGGATCTGAATCATCGAAATCAGGAATTTGTGAGTTCTTTTTTTAACTTGAACACCCCCAATGTGATTTGAAAGACGGAGCAAGATCTCATCAATGAATTTAATTATCAGTTCAATCTTTCGGCATTGAAACTGTTCACGGTATTTGCGGCAGTGATTTACCGACATAAATTCTTTATTTTATTGGATTTGTAGGTATTAAGAAGCCTTTGCCTTTGCCTTAACTACCACTCAATCAGGCCATTCAAAATCTAGTTTCAAGCATCTATGCGCTTCATTGGGTACAAAATATTCTCAGAAATAGAGTTCTTCTTTTCTGGGCCAGCACTCATTAATGCAGTCTTTACCAAGAGAATAGGATATTTATAACTTTGGACATTGTGGGCAGACCAGACAGACCAGGCAGATCACCCGCACCGTACACCCGGTACGCACACTCCGTAGACCTCGTAGACCTCATAGGCTGGGTAGATAAGACAGACTAAACAGACTAAACTACCTAAGTCAGCCCTGAGCCATTAAACTTGAAGGCACCAAAAGGAACCCCTAGAAATGAGAGCACCACTGACACTACCTATGTAACCACCTGTGTATTTTTGAAGTCTGTGAGGCCAACAGAGGAAAATACCCACTGGTAGGCACTGGAGGGGGTAATAGGAAATAAAACACCATCTCTAGACAAAACGATACAGTGCCGCCAACATTTTGAATATTGAGCTTCAACTTGTAGGAATATCATTCCAACGCATGAGGATTTCGGAGATGCATGTGAGGGCGAGCGGAGGCATACTATCTGGATGTTTCAAGTTCATGTTCAAAGTCCCATACTATCTGGGCATGTCCCAAGTGTTAGGTATGCACGAGAACAAGACTTGGGGTTTCAAGTTCTTTCCACCGACCATATGTAGACTATTGATTGGACCAAGCACTAGCATCATGATGCCGAGTGGTGTGGTCTCTTGGCCCGAAGCCGTGGAGGCCGTACCCTCGTGTTTACGTAGCACTCCGCACTTCTGCCCATAGTTTCGTACTTCCGGAGCGCCAACCTTGGAACCACTGCCGGTGGCATTGGCAGCCCTAACCTTGGAAGGTAGTCAATGATCAATGTTGAATGACATATACTACTAGAGACTGTTCAAGTTCAAGTTGCGGAAGCGATGCCCAGGAGGACGGTAAGGGTTATGGAGGGAAAGGCAACTTCAAGTTGAAGCGACAGTATGCCAGTGCCAGTGCTACATAGTGGTGGTATCTTCTAAGGTTTCAATGTTATAATGGTGAAATTCAAGTTGTCACTTCAAGTTGGTACCTACTTGTATTAATAGTTCTGGACCTGTATACAATGCGACCCCGTAATTCAAGTTCCAGATGTCAACATTGAATTGATGCCTGAACAGACATCTGGATGACTTGCATATCCGGGCAACATGCACGACTTGGAGCTCCGCTCCGACTAGGAAAATATATGTAAGGGAGAATAATGGATGCAGCTGCAGCCTACGAGCTACAAGGTCGAAGTAAGGACTAGAACAAGGTACAAGTGGCAACCGAATACATTAGAACACAGAGTGCGCTCCAGTAAAACAGACATTGAAACAATAAGAAAGGACGAGGGGTAATATAAAGTAAACTCCTTTCCGATGAAACGGGGACGAGGTGGTTGTCTTCTGAGGACAGAATCCATATTGCGAATTTTCCTCAAAAAGACCAATTATTATCATGAGAACAGCAATGTAAAAAGCGAATAAAAAAGGAAACCGTTGCTTGGTGGAACTGCATCTACAATCTCTTCAAAAACTTTCTTTCCATCCCTCCAAAATATTTTCTACACTTAGATCAACTGAGCAAGAGCGTAGAAGATAGCGGCGGCACCGGCGACAGGGGCGGCAATGCCGTTGGCGATGGCGGCACCGGAGCTGGTGCTGGAGCTGCTAGAGCTGGAGGAGCTGCTGGTACCAGAGCTGGAGCTGGAGCTGCTGGTGGCATCGGGGTCGGTAGCGTTGCAAGACCAGGTACCCTTGACGGAGCTCTTGTACTCAGACTTGAGGTTGTTGCAGGAGAAGGAGCCGTTGGTGGAGTCGAGCTTGAAGCCACCGTCAACAGTGGTGAGAGAACCGAACTCAACCCTGCAGATGCATTAGTATATTTGAAAAAATATCGCTCATCTGACTTCAGACATGATAAGGGTAGAAAAACTTACTCGTAGAAGTTACCGGTGAAGTCAATGGCACCAGCAACAGTGGTAAGCTTAGGAAGGTCAATAACCTGAAGAGCGTCGTTGCCGTTGATGGCGAATCCACCGTCGACGGTAACCAGGACGGGCATGGAGATGTTGCTGAGCTTGGAGTTATCGCTGAAAACAAGGTCACCGGTGGTGGTCAGGTTGGGAGCGTAGAAGGTGGAGAAGTCAGTGCCCCAGAAACCGAGCTGACCAGTGAGCTTCTTCAGGGAGGGGACGGAGATGCTGCTGATGTTACGGAAAGTCATGGAGGTACCGCTGCTCAGGTTGGGGAGCTCAATAATCAGAGAGTCGTCGTTACCAGCGAAGTTAATCATGCCAGTGGCGTTCATGAGGTTGTTGATGTTGACGGTGACCAGGGAGTCGTTGTCCTCAATGTCGAACTGACCAACGGTATTCAGGGAGATACCGTCCAGGGAAGTCAGACCAGTGTTAATGATGTTGATGTCACCAACATCAGTGACACCAGTGGTGAAGTCAAGAGACTGCAGCTCGGGAAGAGCCTCCCAGTAGATGCTACCAATGGTGGTCAGGGCAGCGAAGCTGAGGGAGGTGACGGAGGTCAGACCCTCAAGGGTGAAATTCTTGCCAATGGTGACAAGGTCGGCAGCGGTGATGCTGGTGACGTTGCTACCGCCGTTGCAGATCAGGTTACCAGTGATCTTCTCGATGCTGCCGAGATCCAGGGAGCCGGAGTAGCTCTCATCGATGGTAACGGCGCCACTAATGGTGGTGCAGGAGGAGATGGCATCAGCGTCAGTCTGGCTAGAGATAGTGGTAGCGCCGCAAGCTGCATCGCGAGTTAGTAAACCTGGACCCTAGCAATTCCCCACCCCTTTCCCCTGCCTGCTCTTTTCTCTTGTCTTTTGCGCTTCCGTATGATTCTTTTCTCTTCCACACACAAGGACGTTGGGATAGACTTACAGTCGCTAGCCAAGGCAAACTTGGAAGCTGCCAGGGCAGGCAGAAGGTACTTGGCGAAGGACATGACGGATTGAACTCTGATGGACGCGACCGTGTTAATTAATGCACAATGAGTTCAGGGGGGAGGGAAGGCAATAGACCTGAAGGAAGAATAGAACGTACCAATGAGTAGAGAAAATTAAAATAAAAAAAAAACAAGTGAGAACGAGTGGAAGAAAATACCTCAGAACGAGAGAGAGGCTATAAGGAAAGAACGAGTGGACGGGTTTGGGGGGGAAGGAGAAGAAGAATAAGAAGTTTCGGGAGAAAGAGAGGAAAGGGAGGCGTCGTCTTAGGTGTGGAGACTCAAACCATGTAAATAAATACCAATACACTGTATACACACAATACCCAAGGGGGTAATACAACATAATACCGCATCTGGCTCCAATTCCTGTTTTTTCCCTGCTTTTTTTCTTAATTTTTGGTGCTTCTTGTTGCTTCTTGGTGTATTTTTCAGTCTTGGTCCGCAGCTGGTCCGCGGTTTTAGTGCAATTTAGTTTGGTTATGGTGCTGTTTCCGTAACACATCATCATGCACCGATTCGCCAATCCAGCCCCCTTTCTCCATCCAGTGGAGCCCGAAACTCATAATTTTTTATTATTTATTTCTTTTCTCCACACGTGTAAACTGTATCGAGCTTACCCATGGCTCTGCAAGCATGAAAACCAAGAGAAGGGGGGGAAATAATATAGACTCATTGTGGAAGTTGGTGGCCAAAATAGAATTGGAGTTATGGATCAATAGCTTAACTGGGAATAGGATATTTGGATAGCTCTCTATATTGACTCCATAATTCTTTTTTTGACATCGTCCACGCCATGTTTTGGTTTGTATTAGTAGGATGTGCTTTAGTGCAGGAAATTGCCACTGCATTAGATTCTTCTAGCTGCTCAATTGTACAGCGATAATCCGTCCTTGTATGAAGAATGCATTGTACTGCAACTTGGATAGTACAAAAGCAACAACATTTGATAACAACTATGCAGTGACTCAAAAAGCAAATTTAACAAAAATAAAACCCGAGGAGATCATCACATTTTCGTGAACTTGCTATCAATTGGTGTTGGCCTTTGCAATGGCAACAGATGGTGAACTCATACCTACCTAGGTACCCCGTACTCCTTAGTCAGATAATATTATAACTTGGAAGCTCCCTTTCAAATGTTCTGTGCTTCATAGCCACTGAACAAAATTAAGATGAATATGTGTATAATTACTTACAGTTTAATTTACTACTATCTCACCTCGATCCCTGAAACGGTTAAGCTCAATGGCCCCATCACCGTATCTATCAGAAGTTGTCGTCATCCATTATATCCAATTTCATCCCCTGATCAACCTAATTCCATAATGAAAGCTAGAAGATGACGAGGACAATATGTTAGCTTTTCATCGTTGTTTCAATTTTGAATAACATGATCTCGCCTATTTGTCAATAATCATATGAAAAGAAGACTTTTTCCGCTGTGGTCGATCTAAATTTGCAGGAATTCAAGCCTTCATGGACCCGCTGCGCCCCCCCTGCCGCTATCGTTCACGGCCCCGGTATGTTTGGTTTCTGATTGGCACGCTGGAATGATTTACCCTGGATTAATGTCAATCTTCGCTGTGTTCCCGAAATATGGTCTTCTATCTGAGGGGTCCCGTTGTTTTATTCGATAGGTGACAGCTTATGCGATCGTGATATATTATCATGAAAACAAAAAATAACCAACTGAAACCAATCTTCAAATATTCAAATGTTGATTAATCAATCCCCCGAGCAACAGATTTAGCTTATGGACCCATGTGCCTGCAAGTCCATTTTTAATCCCGAATACTAGTGAATTTGGGCATATTGGGATCGCCATGAGGCCTGATAGCAGTTAATACAGATAATACAGGATCTTGATTACAGTGACCCTGCATTTTAACAGCTCACCAGTCGATAGCATTTGAGACAATGCATATTTTCGAGTTTCAGTGTTGACATTTCATTCTGGTTCAAGTTTTCTTCAAAATTAACATAGGAATCTGAATCATACTTTGTGGGTAAACATCCAAGAATATTTGAAATGAAACACGCTTGCGAGTCTTGAGTCCAGATCAATCTGTCACTGGGTTGCGATGATCGGCTGTCCAGAGCGCCATAGACTCGGACTCAGGATCCGCACGGTTGTCGGGGTACCTTGCCCTTCAAGTTCAATCAAGTTCAAGTTGATATCTGCATATGCAGGTGCGAATTATATGGCTGCCTGTTTACAACGAGAGAATCAAGTTGTTGCCCAAATGATTTGAAAAATTATAAAATCCTAGACCCTGCCAAGGGCATTAAGAGCCTATGAATTCCAATATTCAAAGCAAGATGGTCACATCGTGCATTTCCAATCTTACAGTAATTTGGTACAGGATCCGTAAAAGTTGTCATCAATACACGTACGAATTTGTTTCAGATCTTGGACGCTGCCAACTTCCTCTGCGACTCCATCGCTCCACCTTGACAACCATTAACCTAACCAACTCCACTTGCCAACATCGCTTGACCAAACTGGGGTTCTGATATCGATTTGAAGAAATTTCACCCTATCCATACAAGTTCTTTCCATGGCCGCGTTATCCTGCAGGTCTAGCGGGAATCCCGAGCCGGGAGAACTAATCAATGTACTTTAGTTACGGAGCCCATCCTTGTTTACTACAGTCCGGGGGGCAAAAGTCCCAAGTTCAAATGTTTTCAACGCCACAAATATGAGTACGAGTACCGCGCGGCCCTAGGGGACCGGACTAGTCTCACTTGGTGATGTTGTTTAAACTGTTGTCGGCTATCCTACGCATTTTGACTCACATTCCGCTGTCCGCCTGACAGATCGGTTTCTTTTTTTGGTGTTGCGGAATGCGTGGCACCTCGGCAGTCGTCCACGCTTTGATGTTCTTCAAGTTGAGAACGTAAATAAGGGGCAGGGGGAGGCTGGGAGATATTTACATCTACATTCTCCCCTCTACCAGGAATTGAGCATGCTCTTCTGGGGTTGGTTGGGTTTTCAATGGGGATTGTCTTTTAAGTCCGATTATTTGGGGCCAAAACCACAGTAGCTTAATGTTTACTCCGTAAGTGACCCTCCATTATGAGTTGACGTGAACCCTTTCTCTCTCAGGCTTCTCTCTGGTCCAGAGTACATAGTTAAACAATCTAGATTACACAGGAACCCTCCAAGGTTGAAAAATTTAGGTTACATGTAGTACATAATAACTGCCAGCCTTGATTTTTGTCGCACAAACAGGGATTAACATCTCGTTTCGAACTTGGTACGGGGCACACAACGTCCGTTGAGGATCTTCCTAGTCAAAATTCCAACTATTGGTTCGATTTGACGGATCATAGGTTTTTTTTTTCTGATACACCGTGGATGATTGACTTTGAACCCCACTTACAATCGGAATAAAAAAATTTCATCGGAGAATCTCTTGAAAAGCACCTCGGATTTTGACAAGTTCCAGCTTCCAAGTTCCAAGTTCGGCATCCGTAGATGACGCAAGCCCTACTAACCGCGACCCCGGCTATACTGACTATACAGACTATACATGCACGCTAAAGCACTCTACTGCGAGGATGCCAGCTGGTTCTTTGTTCGTACATTAGCGTTGCTCGGAGTTTAAACTGCTGTTCACTTGTTCAGAGAACTCGTGGACCTCATTCGCATTGAATCTCGTTCCTTGACTCCGTTCCTTGGAACAAGTGCGGAGTGTAATGGATCAGTCCAATTACATGACTTTCATGCATGGACGTTGAGTTGACTGTCCATGGATTCAAAATTACCGTCATCCCGCCAATCAATGCAAGGAAATCTTTTGCTTTGATCATTAAACCTGGAAGTCTGTTATATTTAGACCGGGTGTTAACGGTCGCTTCCAAGGTTGAAGTGGCTGATTCAATTGGGTGTCATCTCACCAGCCACCATCAGATTTGAGTCAATGTCTAAGCTTATACAAGACAACGGAATTTTCTGCTCCAATCAATGACCAGTGTTTTGATTCAAAGGATTTTATACTTTGCACTGTACGTGCACAACAACAATTTCGAGCGAATATGTCAGCCTTAGCGACAACCGCCTAAAGCATAAATATACTAGTATGGCTTTTCGTCTAAAATTTTTGGGGATATCATCCACCTGTATATCCTTGATTGATTGATTGATTGATCTTATCAAGTTCTTTGCAATATTCTCGTATACTCTGCAGCCAGGTTTCAGATGTTAGCCAAGTGAGCTGAATTACTGAGCACCATTTCCATCCCCATTGTTTCTGTCACCAGTATGTAAACAAGCTATTCATGAACGACGCTCCAATAGGGAAGCAAAACACCGGTTCTTCTTTAAAGGGACCGTTCGGGTGGGTTGTCCCTTGAAGTAGATTATTGGACTCAGTGTTTGGGATCAGCAGCTTTACTTGATCCAAGTCGGCATTTGAACTTGAACCTGCCCGTCATCTGCTTATAGACCTTAATCGTGTCAGGCATCCGGAGAGGACCTTCAATGCCAAACCAGACATTCAATTCTGGTTGTAGATACTGGTGGGCCCAAGTGAGAGCCTTCTGAAAGGACCGACATTGAGGATAGTAGGTAGTATGTATGGACATCATCCATACAGCGCAGGTTGAATTGGAAAGGCAGGGAGAATATTACCCGTGCAGATATTCCAAGATCCATATGCTACTAGTTTGATCTAACATGTTGGTGCCAGTAGTACTAGTAGCAAGTACGACTAGTAGTATTGTTATCTTCAAATTGAATAATGTATATCTGCCAGTGAACCTTGGTGAACTCATATTGCCGTAGGAAGCTAGCAGAGGAATAGGACAATTGATGTATGAAGTTGAGATTAATGCACAGTCTGATATTGACCCAGCCTGTGCTTTAACTAGGTGTTCATCTAAGTTCGAATTCTGTATTAAATTAAATTAAAAAGAATCAGTTCAAGCCTGCATATATATATATAGTAGAATCATAGCAACGGATACGAATGCGGATCAACGGGGCTCAAGCTTGGCGCGCGTCTGCCTGGAATCCGGGGACTCGATTCTACCAAGAATCCGACCATATCCTATCTCTCACTCAGGGGTTCATCTCAAATCAGAATAAACAACATCATAAGCAAGTACTACCATGTCGCTCAGGCGCTCAGCTAGATTGAGTGCAATTCCAAGCATCAAACCCCCACTACCGAGCTCACCAGTCAAAGTGACCAGGGTGCAGAACAGCTCCGTCACTAAGCCTCGCAAGGCGATAACCAAGAAAACAGCTCCAAAACCAACAAAGGCACCTGAAAAGCCAACAACCTCTTACTGGTCACCAGAACCACCCACTACAGACGACTCTACTCAGAAACTAGCCGAAAACAGTGTTACTACTGATACCCCCAACAACAGACCTCACACCCCACCTCCCCTCGACCGTCCAGTCGACCCGCACCGAACAAACGTAACGCTCCTGACACCCCACGGCTCCTCCGTCTCAGCCTATCCACCCCGCACAGAAGATGCCTCACCTTCAAAGACTGGTCTCCCTCGACCAGCAGCTACAACTGGAACATTACTCGAGAAAGGGCTTGCGCATTTAATCGCCACAGACCCGCGTCTCAGAACAGTAATCGAGCTGCATCCCTGCCCGCTATTTTCTCCGGAAGGTCTTGCAGAGAAGGTTGATCCCTTCAATAGCTTGACAAGCAGTATCATTGGACAACAGGTCTCAGGCGCCGCGGCCAAGTCAATTCGGAATAAGTTCCTGGCACTTTTTGATCTGGAGAATTCGATTGCGGAGAATGGTCGTTCGAAGTTTCCGTTACCTGAAGAAGTCGCTCGGTGTGATATTGTGACGCTGCGCACGGCTGGTCTTTCTCAGAGAAAGGCGGAATATATACAGGGTTTAGCGGAGAAGTTCGCGAATGGCGAACTTAGTGCGCAGATGTTGGCTCGCGCTAGTGATGAGGAACTTGTTGAGAAGTTGATCGCTGTGCGGGGATTGGGAAAGTGGTCGGTTGAAATGTTTGCTTGCTTTGCGTTGAAGCGGATTGATGTCTTCTCGACTGGAGATCTGGGAGTTCAGTAAGTTGATTCTCTTCCTATGTTCCTTATCCCGGGGCTTGGTATGTGCACACAATACTGGGCGAAACCGATGCATATAATCCGGCTGAGATTTGAAGTATATGTGCTGACATTCTGAAGACGAGGCTGTGCTGCATTTATGGGCCGAGATGTAAGTAAAATGAAGGGAAAGGGTGGTGGTAAGTTCAAGTATATGGCAGAGAAAGATATGTTAGAGCTGGCGGCCAAATTTGCGCCGTATAGGTATGTTTCAATGCTATTGATTCATCTCATATACATGCTAACTGAGTCACAATAGGAGTCTATTCATGTGGTATATGTGGCGGATCGAAAATGTTGATGTAGCCGTCCTCACAGGGTGAATAGCTTCAAAGGTTGACTCGGATGTGTACTATCCAGGCCTGGCATGTAGTATGTTCCAAATCAATTGAGTAATACATACTAGTATACCTGGGTAATTTTGCATTTGTGTTTCTCTGTTTGAGATCCATGGGCCTGGCACGGTAGCTTCAGTCACACTGGATGATAGATCATGTCTCGGATATCCAACTAGCTCAACTTCTCAAGGGACAACCCCACTCGAGTAGCGCTCGATCATCGTCATAGTAAAGACATTCGGTCTGCTCGTGGTTTAAAGTCATTAAACATGCCTACACATCTCAATTGCTGGCAACTCCTAAGAAAGAACAAAGAAGATCGATTTGTACATATATCAGTACACATAGGATTATCTAGGCACCACCATCCACGGCTGGTCCGTATCCGTCGCATAAAAATCTGGAAGGTCTATCGCACGCAAAAATTCCCATAGCCCTTAGAATTGCACCGGTTTTTCATAGTCAATCGCAACGTATTTATACGTCATGGTTGGGCAATTTACTTGCGGACGACGAGGTTGTCGAGGTCCTCACGCTCCTTGTTCTCCTTCTCGATCTCACGGATGATCGGGCTCAGGTACTCAACGTCCTAAATAAGTATAAGTATTAGTATTGGGGTGAATGAGAAAGAGTATGTGTGTTGAGGCTCTTGGGTCATATGTGACAAATCCTTGCAACCGGATTGGCCGATACGGGGTCGGATGCGGGGAGAGCGAAATTTGGGGGTAGGAGACTCACCTCGGAAGGCTTGATCTGCTCGTTCGGGGGAAGGAGAGTGTGAGAGATGGAGCACTGCAATTGATATATCTGTTAGCGTATGAATAGCCGGAGAATAGGGAGGGGTTCGGGACGAACCTGGAATGCGCGGCGGATACGGAAAACACGGTCGTAGGCCTCCTTGGGAGGGAGACGCTTGATGGCCTTCTGGACAACCTCGCTCTCCTCGGGGATGAGGTCGTCGAACCTAGAGATTGGTTAGCAATTGAGGTAAGCGAAAAGTACCGGCGAGCGTTCTCCGAATAGCCGGGTGACATTTATTGCGACAGGGCGGTGACAATGGCATCGAGGCCGCTCATATGCAGCAATTCATGTCACTTTCAATGTCGTGAAGCCCCGGCTGTTCCAATTTGCTCGCCGTGGAAGTGAATTGGCTGAAGGGGGGGTCGATAATTACTTCAGTCCGAGACGACGGTAACCAGCGGCATCGGTGTACCAGTTGGCAATGGGGGTCATCCAGCGCTTAAGCAGAGGGCGCTTGACGATGTAGTTGGCGAATGAAGGAGCAGACATTTTGAATCCCGGGTATCCTGAAGCTCTGGGGAACAAAAGAAGATAAAAAGGGCGGTCCGGCTGAACACGAGTTAACCCGATGTTGCGAGGTTGTGCAAAACGGAAGCTTGAGAGACTAAGCCGAAAGAGGCAGTTTTACACCTGGGGCAGCAACATATATCACGTGATATATACTAACGTCGAGTCCGCGGGTCTCGTGATGTTCAGTCCCGTGATATAGACTTCGGGTGCCTCAGGCGTTGGCGGAGAGAAGTGCCAATCAGTGACTCCACCTCGCACTGCTCAATTCCCTATGTCACGATCCCGAACTCTGCTCCGGTCGCTTTTTTAACACTCAAACAGCTCCTTTTGTCGATCCGATATGGCGCTGGTGATCTCATAAAGCAGTACCCGATCCCTTCTTGGGGAGCTCACTTTCTAGGGCGAATTAAAAACCCCCACACCGGTCAAGTCCGTGCTCCGACATCATAGAGCATCGCAATCAGAGCCCGTCGGTAACCATCGGCTCCGGCAAACTCCCCTCTCCAAAACCCCCAATTCCTAGTCACGAAAACATCCCATACTCTCGAACGCGCCCCTTTACCGGGCTTTGAAAGCTGGATTCTTGGGTTCCGGATCGAGCACCCGATATGCTCGAGTCTGGGAGCCCTCTGTGATCAAGACGGACAGATAAGCAGACAAAGCGTGAACACCTGCAAAACTTCCTCATGATGCGACCGAATCAAAGCAGCAACGGAGCTGCCAAAAGCTCTTCCGAGCAATCAGATAGTCTCCATGGAGATAATACTGCGCCCTCTTCCCACCTGCAGGTTGCCGATAAACCGTCCAAGTCCGCTTTCTTGACTCGCATGGAGAATTTATCCACACATGTCCCAAATATTTGGATCGCTCCCTTCTGCGGTGGTGCTGCAGGTGTAGCCTCTGGGATTGTGACCTGCCCTCTCGATGTTATCAAAACCAAGCTGCAGGCCCAGGGTGGGTTTGCACGGCGAAGTGGACCAGCTATGGAGACAAAGACGCTGTACCGAGGCATGCTTGGAACAGGAAGAGTGATAATACGGGAAGATGGTCTTCGAGGCCTTTATCAGGGACTTGGTCCAATGTTGATGGGATATCTCCCTACTTGGGCTGTCTATCTTGCTATTTATGACCGAACTCGCGAATATTTCTACGAGCAGACCGGTTAGTTCTCTACTTAGATTTCATGTCACCCGAAGACCGTTAAACTAATTTTAATAACAGACAGCTGGTGGCTATCCCGTGGATATGCTTCGGTCACTGCCGGTGCTTGCTCAACGATTGTGACGAATCCCATTTGGGTTATTAAAACAAGACTCATGTCGCAGAGTCTCAAACAAAATCACGAAGGTGCCCGAGCTCCATGGCAATACTCAGGGACAATAGACGCAGCTCGCAAGATGTACCAAGTGGAAGGATTGCGCTCATTTTACTCCGGACTAACACCTGCTCTTCTGGGCCTCAGTCATGTGGCCATTCAATTCCCTCTTTATGAATACCTGAAGATGGCATTTACTGGCTATGGAATTGGAGAACATCCAGACACCGGGAGCTCCCACTGGATTGGAATTTCACTCGCTACATTTCTCAGCAAAGTGTGTGCAAGCACTATCACATATCCTCACGAAGTCCTCCGAACTCGACTACAAACACAGCAACGTACTGCACCGGCCCAATCACACGAAGAAATTGTCTTCCGCGGTGGCCTGAATCACCCACATGATCGAGGCCGACCCCTAGCATCATCATCCGATGGGATGCCTCTTCGCCCTCGTTACTCCGGAATGTTACGCACGTGTCAGACCATTTTACGAGAGGAAGGTTGGCGTGCGTTTTATTCCGGAATTGGTACCAACCTATTCCGAGCCGTCCCGGCTGCCATGACGACAATGCTCACTTACGAGTACCTCAGGAAGGTCATCCACACCTTCCAACATGAGGGTGAGATGAACCTTGCAATGGCAAAGGAGGCCGACGCTTCCAGCATGATTTGATAATTAAGACATATCATATCAATTTAGAAAGATATCTCACCTTTCAACATATCCCGCCTCCGAATTTCCGCACAAAAACTCTCTCTTCTTTTTATCTCTTTGATCCCCTTACCTCATCCTTTTGGTCTGTTTAGAATGGAAGATACTTCATAGCTTCCGGGTGGATTTTTCAGCGGGTGGATTTTTCAGCGAATGGGCCTTTCTATCATGCATTATCCTAACATATCACTATTTTCGAAGATTCTCGGCATAGATGGCAGTGTTTTTCCTTTCTTTGCTCAGGGGCCTTGCATGTGAAGCCTCTGTAGCCGATACCATGATCACATGCTCAGAGATCTTGCATTGCAGCTAGCTGCAGCTAAGATCTGCGATTTTGAAGCATGCTCAAAGTCTTGTTATTTATCTATGCTTGTGTACATACTACCTGATTTCCTTTATATGCACTCCACATCACCACTTCTGCTTCACTACAATACTGATTGGTTGGAAGTAATCTTCAAATATGGTATTGGTCTTATCTAGACACTATTATTGATCTCTTTTTCACTTAGAAATCGGCTGCAATCATATGATATTATCTAAGGTTGCAATATGGTAATTCAATGTCGTTTTAGAGCTCTAAAAGAAAGGAGCCATCCGAAACTCAACTACTAGTAATTTGCTTCAGGAATAGTACCTAGTCAAAGCCTCCATCTGCTGATTATTACACTGCATAGGGCTCGATTATGATCATGACTTGGAGTTTGAGATGGCACCTGGGAGCTTTGATCTGTAATTCCTTGAGAATAATGTTCTATATTTGGGAGGATGTATCCAAGACCGGATAAGGCTTTCAAGTTGTTGTGGCAGCTTCAAGTTTGAATGTCTGCCTTGCATCCATGTCAATGTACTGGAACTTGAATGTATAATCACTGTTATCCTGGCCTGAAGTTTGCTATGTAGTAGATCTCCTCAAGTGCTGGTCTGCAAACATCAGTAAATAGCGTGTCGATCAAAGCCGTCTAATGGGTTTCAAGAAAACTTTCTATCGACACAACCAATTATTCCGGTATCAGCTACATACTTGAAAATTGAATGCCTGTTGCCATGATTGACTGTCAAGATGATATGTATTCCAAGGTAGCCAAGCTCTTTTTCTCTTAATACTACTAGTACATATTAGAAGAGACTTCCGGATACTGCTTTGCTTAACCGATACTATTTGAATAAACCGAGGCATATCAAAATGAAGTCATGGATAATCTTCAAGTTCCCCGCATTTCCCCATATTTTATACTGTTCAATAGAGTTCACTCCAATATTGATTGCCAGCCTTCCACCGGCATTTATGAAATCTAGAGGCATGCCACCGGAAAACAATAACAATACAGGAAAGATGAGAGTTGATCTTTCTTCTTAGTCCATTACCGACTATTTATCTACTGGTAGGTCTGCCCCCGATGCAATTGTACCCGTTTCTCCAAATTTTGCTACGATGTCCCGCAACTTCGGAATAAACACTTACAGCTTTTGGATTGTCACATATGTGGCCGTAGGAACAATCTCATCTGCCTATGGACTAGTGATCATTGGATCAACAATTGGCCAGCCGAACTTTTACAAATTCTTCGATCTTGCCTCTCAAGGCGAGCCGGGATACGCTCATACTACGAACATAATCGGCGCTCTCAATGGCGTCAATTCTGCCGGCGCAATAATCGGATCGATATTCCAAGCTTGGTCTGGTGACTATCTTGGACGAAAATGGACTATGCAGTTTGGTCTGATTGTTTTGATTATTGGCGGTGCCTTGTGCGCTGGTACAGTTAATATGACCATGTTCATTATCGCTCGACTGGTAGCGGGAATCGGATCGGGAACTCTGGCTTGTATTGTACCAACATACCAAGCAGAAATGGCGATCGCTGAGACACGTGGTGCGATGGTTGCCGTTACTGGAGTCATGTATGCTGTCGGCTATTCACTGGCTGCATGGCTTGGGTATGCGTGCTACCATATCAAGTCCACGGACTCGGCAGTTACATTTTCCTGGAGATTTCCATTGGCTGTTCAGGTCTTATTTCCTTTGATTGTTCTAGTTGGTAGTCCTTTTCTGCCAGAGTCACCTCGATGGTTACTCCAGCAGGGACATCGAGAGAAAGTATTGTCAGTTGTGACTCGCCTGCAACGCGATGTTGTCAAGGCAAGGCAGGAGTTCTTCATGATCGAGAAACAATTTGAGCTTGATCGGTCGATTTCAACAAAGTGGTATGAGCTTATTCGGACTCCTGCTAATCGACGACGTGCTCTTGTTGCATGCGCCTTGATGTGGGGAGATCAGTTTCTTGGTATATTCGTTATTACGAATTACGGGGTCTTGATTTATGAGAGTATTGGGTTCCAAGATCCAACTCATCTGGTGCTGTATGCCTGCTGGGCTAGTTTCACGCTTATTGAAAACACATGGACTGCGTTCTACGTGGACCGATATGGGCGTCGAGTCTTCCTCTTGATCGGCTCTACTGGCTGTGTCGTTTGTTTGATTTTCCTGTGTGTATTATGCGCTCAGTATCTTGGGAAGACAACACAGTAGGACTACACGCTGCAGTATTCTTTGTCTTTTTCTATTGCTTATGGTGGTGCTTCTTTATGGATGCAACGCAGTATATCTACATCGCCGACATATTCCCCAACCATCTTCGTACGCAGGGCGTGGCCTTGGGTATTACTGCCTTTTATCTTGCGTCGGAGGTGACAATGGTTGCAGCACCTGTGGCCCTGGCTAAAGTTGAATGGAAGTTCTACTTGTGTCTAATTGTTCCCTCTTTGTTTTATATTGGAGTGATCTACTTCTTCTTCCCAGAAACAAAGGGGAGAACACTTGAGGAGATTGGTGCTTTGTTTGGCGATGATGCCCATGTTGCATTCCATTGGTATGATGCTACTGCTGAGGAGCGGGAGAAGATGGCAGAGGAAGTTCTTTGAGGGCTTCCAATTGACTTATGAATCATCTGAGGATAGCTCCAGATGTCAGTCTTTCCACCGCCTGAGTATTAGAAATTAGAAGACTGTGACCTCACCACCTGTTACTTTCCTTCCCTAAGTCAAGTACATTATGTAGTATGGTGGCTCCAGATAGTTCTCTCACCACACCGTAATGTATGTCCGAATCACCACGTAGGTCCAAATCCTCCTTTTCCCACACTAGACACCTCACCTTCCGCAGCTAGGAAATGACACATTATTCGGGCTAGCAAGCTGTCATGCAATCTCAGTGCTATTTCAGACAAAGAAAAGAAAAGTTAAGTGAGTGAGAATGAACCGGACCTAAAGAGATTATTAGACCGAAAAGCGAGGTCTGTACGAGAATTCAAGATTTGCAATTTTGTACTAGCTATCATAATTGTTGCAACCTTGAAATATGGTAAATGGCAATCATGACATTTATATGTCAACCTTGAATTGAAACAGACCTGTCATTCTGTCACTTTATACCGTCCATCTACTATATTGGGAGACTGATGTTGATTTCTGGAAACTGCAATAAACGACCACTTTCGTGACTTCTGGGGAAAGGGAGGAGTCAGGACTTCAGGCCGGCTCACTTGTGTACTGCCTTACACCATTCTGGTTCATTCTTCAAGTTTCTCCAGCCTCGATATTATTCATTCTGTACCTGATTCTTCCTGAATGCCAGTACATAATGTACATCGACAAACTCTTTCCAGGTCCCACATCTTCGTACGGCCCCGGGGCCGCTTGATTGATGATCTACATACGCCAAGGAAGCCCTGGAGTGGGACCCGGAAAGAGTTTGTCATTGTATACTGGTCAAGCCGATTTCCCTATCTACTTTACATATTTCTAGCAGTGTTTATCACATACACAACTTTCTGAAGTTTCTACAACCACATAAGTCCACAGCCAATTGTGAGTTTCTGATTTCCATCAACCTTGGAATCCCATTCAAGTTGGTCCTAAGTTGATAGTTGGGTGTCTTGTGACTAATAGCGTATAGTTCGATATCGGAGTATTAGCTGTTTATGTTTTAGCACTTGCAATTTTGAGCCTCTATCTGCTCGGTGGAACGTCCCCTCCTCACTCTCCACACACTGGGTTTTCGCGGTAGTTGCCGTTCTAAGCAACTAGCCACGGTGATCTGGAGGTGTGCCAAGGCTTTAGCCCCAAGATTTAGTGGAGGAGAGCCCTGGAGCCCTGGCCCCTGGGGCCGGTCTAAAATCATATATCCACTATACATGCACTATGTAGTATCAAAGGGTCCGGATTCCACTGGAACTGGTCAATGGCAGACAGCTCCAGAAGAATCATGCTTCCCTAGCTGCTAGATCCCCCAACTAATTTAGGCCGCTCATACGTAAATTGTGAGACACTTCTTTCCAATTCCCTTGGCATGGTATGGAGCAGGAATGAATTCAAATGTTTACTCAACGAGCTGAACCTGCTAATGCAGAACTATGAATTAGTTCAAGTTGATTTAGTGTCGGTAGTGGTTCCGCCAAGAGCCCCCGGGGTCACAATTAGACAGTTGATTCGATAGTATACCTGGAAATAGTAGAAGAAACATTTTGAACTTGAATTCAGGTCTATTAGCCCCATCAAGGCCGCAAGTTTGAGAGGTTGTACCTAGGTATAAGACCGAATGTTGAAAAATGTTCCGAAGACCTATGGACTGTGACGCAGGTATAAATAGTAGGCCCTCCGTCCCTGTTCCTAGCACTTAGAATCATACTCTTCCAAGGTTCATCATTCAAGCTTTCAAAACTCACTTCATCAAATATTTGAACTACTTTCATCATGCGCGCTTTTGCCATCCTCCCCACTCTCTCTCCCTTTTGGTCTCCTCGGCCACCGCCGCGACTGACTGGGGACTCGATTTCTATTCATCTAAGGGCTGTGTATCTGAACATGGGCTAGACTCTTACGGTGACTCAGCTGCTAAGTGTTGCGAGAATCTCGATTCCTTGGCAAAGATACACCCCGTCCAAGCTGACAGCCTTGGAAGCTCATGGAATGTAAAGGTTTACTCCGGACAGGATTGCACAGGCAGTGAGCACACTCTCACTGGCAGTAAATGCAATGACTGCCAGAACCTCTTCGGTGTTGGAACAACTAAGACAATCATGTCTTTCGAGGTGAGTTTGATTCCAATGTTTGAGACTCTTCTTTACTAAATATTTCATATAGGTTGTGGCGGCCTAAATTTACTCTTTGAAGAACAAATACGCCGTGGGTGATCATTGAGAATCTTGTGGGGGTGATTGAAGGAGGATTCAGTGTCGGTGTACTTTTTCAAGCAGAATGTCACTTGGGCTCCATTCTTGGATAAGCTCTGTTCTATGTTCTGCCCACCAACTTTCAATAATGTGGAAACCTTCCAAGGTTGCAAGGTTGATATGGCGATTTATTTTCCAGTCCTTTACAAGGCATCAGCCTCGATACCGATATTTCAAATAAAAGGGTCTTTCTACGTCAACATGACAGCCAATTTCCTTTCCTATGGCCTAGTTCAAGACTAAATGATCAATTTCAAGAGGAGTAGCAAGTCCGTTTGAGTATCGCTCTAATTCCAAGGCTCACGCAGCTACCACTGCTCGAACCAGATGAGTGGGGTGTTAGCATCCGCCACTTGCCCGACGGTTTTCAAGAGAGGAGTGAGGCTAGCCATCATGCTGGTCAGGATTTTTCTCTCTGAACTAAGAGTCCCACTTCTGAGGGGAAGGAACAGTAATGCGGTTTATGCATGCGGGTAGGGTAGTTTGCGATGTGTCAGTGTGTTAGTATGTGTCTATAACGTAATTTTAAAGCAAGTATATGTAGAATATCCCATGCCCTTGCGCTGCTAGATACGAGTTGCTTCAAACATTGAATGGTTCAAACTTTACTGAAAAAAATAATTGGAACCTCAAATCATTCCAAGGTCGTTCAAGTTGATTGGGGCAACTCGCTCCCGAGGTCCTATTCGTGCCTCGGTGCACATGTGTAGGTATCTAGGTAACTCTACATTGTAATTATTCGCACTATGAGGTTTAAGTTATACACTCAAGCTGTTCAACCTTGGAAACATAGGACCATTCGTCTACAGTTCCCTGTACTAGTAGATATCTTCCTTGACTTCGTGGAATGATCAGCTTTGAAGAATCCACCTGGGCATGAACTGAACTGTGGTATTAGTCTTCATACTTTCAGAATCCCTATAATTCAAGATTCATATGCTTAATTTAATTCATTTCATTGCTACTTTGCCAAATTCAGGAAATAGAAAGAGGTGAGGTCCGTGAGGATGAGAAGTAAAGCTCAAGTGGGTCCATGCTTCGGTTGGTGGGTAAATCACGTGATGCTATCCCTATCATAATTTTTTCTTCGCTTGGCTTTTCTCTTTCCTCTTCCACACTTGCTTGCATCAACAGGCGGAGATCTTAATGTTTGGACTCCGCAAAACATGACAATGCAATTATACGCTTTATGATACTGACCTTTGATGTGAGGCCGAGTCTTTATGAAATTGCTGCTCAACGTCATGAGCGCATATCTTCAATGCTGAAGCTTTTGTTATTGCCAATGGATTTTTTATCGCATTTGGTTATCATCAAGTTCTTCCCTAGGTTGCAGCACTTCTGTTGTCCTTGGATTGAATAGCAGGGATATGAGCTCTTCTCTTCACGATTCAAATGATGATTTTTACATGAATATTGAACCAGGATGTTATATTACACTTGAACTCCTGGGGATGATCATTAATACACTGAAAATTCTGATCAATCACGAAGAAGAAGATATCATTACCTGGTGAAATAGCTAAATCAGTTAGTTTATTGAATGTAATTATTTTTCATCCATGATTCATTAACACGTAATTGGACGAATATGTAGTTTGATACATGAGTATTATCATTGGGATATTAACATCGGCATCACCCAGAACTTAGGTAGACTTCCCGCCTTTACTACTCTCTCGTTCTGCTTGACTCTCCTGCAGTGCCTGCTGAATCCATGAAGCGTCTTTCCTCTCAGCTTGTCGTGAACTCGAGCTTACTGGCGGTTGTATTTGTGCTTCATGTCTGGCTGTGCGGATCGAACTGATGCAGTAGCCACAGAGAATGATAGCCATGGTGAAAGCCGCGATAGGTGCATTCAGTGACTTGATTCTATATTAGCTTTGAATATAACACAGTCTCGTAAGGATCCATTCAGAGGAGCCCATTATACATGGATGGGTAAAGACATTAAGGATAGAGTGGAACGTACCCCTGAAGGACGACCAAGGGTCTTGAGATTGCTCTTCTGTGCCATGAGCTATGTGTCGCTAGCTCAGACACAATTAGGTTTTTAGTTCCCGCAGGACGCGTTCTAGTACTTACACACCTGTTGATGTGGCCAGTTGCTCATATGCTCTGCCAGCGAAGAAGACAATATCGGATGCACTTAGTGGTTTGTATACTTCGAACGTCACAGGTCCAAGCCACCAGAGCGTTTCAGGTGCTGGATACCGTTGAGATGTGGTGATTGGAGAGCGGATAAGAATTATTGATTGGTGGCCCGGGGTTTGTCATCAGTTGGTCTAGGCTGAGGTCTTTTTCTTTGCCTAAACCACAACGCCAATTGAGCTGTGAATCACAACTCAGTCCACGGGTTAACATCCTTGTCAATAGCACATGGCTATCGGCAATATTATAAAACAAGGAAAACAAAATATCCCGAACAATGGATCCTTCAAGTTGTTAGGTGGTACTCCTCTTCTTGGACCTTATGTATTAACAATTACATGGGGAAGTTCCAAAGTTCCAGTAGTAGCACTACAGGTAGCAGTAGGATTAAAAGTTGATACATGATTATCGATTGCAAGTGATTAAAATCAAAGTATGGAGTAAAAACGATTTATTATATACAACCGCTTAGATATCTCATTCCCTATCATGAAAATACCCCTCAAAGTGCTTCACCGAGAACTCCGATCAGTGATCGGACGCGATTCCTCTTCTAGCGCCGGCACTCATGCATAGTTCGGGGTTCATCTTCTGTTTCTGAATTTGCCGAGTTCATATTGCTATCTTCCGAGTCTCCTCGGAACTCCCGCGGATATGGAAGATTCGCGATAGGCCAAATGAATCAGATATTAGGATCCATTCTTTAGGGTACCCATATAGTATCAGTCATGAATACATAGTACTCAATTGAAAGCAGAAAGAAGATGAAATCACTGGGCATAGAACTACCCCGGGAGTAGTGTCTATCACTGCCCTGACAGTAATACCCACCATTGGATATCATACCTATTCCATTGGCCGAGGGATGTTCCATCGGAAAACAAGTTAAGTGCAAGAGTCCACCGCGGACAACGTTAATGGCCCTTAGGTCAAGCTCGCCACCGCTCCCCCTCAGACTGATATCATTTCAGTGGATATAGACTGGAACATTCCTCTTCTTTTCAGTAATTTGGGAGTCGAATCTCTGCAATTTGGTTCAATAGAATAAAGAACGTATGGGGGAGCTGCTGAGTCAGCTCCGATGTCCGGCGATTCGGAGTATGGTGATTTCCCCATTAGTATTAGCGCGAACGCTGAATAAGAATCAGATTATTTAGCAATGAATTCATCACTTCCCTCTTCCATATCAGATCTTAGTTTCGCCATCTCTCAAACAACTCATCTACTTTCCCACCACTCATCCATCCAACCCCGCTTCTTTTAAAACACACAATCTCTACAACAATGTTCAAGCGTCTCGTCACCGTCGCTCCTCGCGTCGGCGCTGTCGCGCCCCGTACTCTTGCACCCCTCTCAGGTCTGCAGGCCGTTCAACCTATCCAACGCCGTACCCCAACTGCCGCCCCTGTTCAGCGCCGTGGATACCACGAGAAGGTCCTGGACCACTACAACAACCCCCGAAACGTCGGTTCCTTCAAGAAGGGCGACCAGGACGTCGGTACCGGTCTCGTTGGTGCCCCCGCCTGTGGCGATGTCATGAAGCTTCAGATCCGTGTGAACAAGGACTCCGGTCGCATCGATGACGTTGTCTTCAAGACTTTTGGTTGTGGTAGTGCCATCGCTTCATCAAGCTACCTTACCGAGCTTGTCCGCGGCATGACTCTTGATGAGGCTGGCAAGATTAAGAACACTGATGTGGCGAAGGAGCTCTGTCTCCCTCCCGTTAAGCGTATGTGACATCATGATTGCTTTGATCATTTGGGTTATTTGCTAACTTGGTTAATTGTAGTGCACTGCTCCATGCTTGCTGAGGATGCTATCAAGTCCGCCATCACCGATTACTACACAAAGAACCCCAAGGCCAAGGCTACCGATCTCTCCGGTACAGGTGCAGCTATCCCTGATGTTAAGGTTGAGCACACTCCCGCTGCTGCTCTATAAATTGCCAATTCCTGTGAAGGGTTCCGCATTTTCCGGCTCAGGCGGAGCTGTGGATAACGTTGTTTTTTTGATTTTTATGTTATTGAGATGTGATTCCCCGCGAGCGTTGTGAGGCACAATCGTTTCATTGACAAGTCTCGCTTGCTCCCAAATAAGATTGTGTGGGAGCTGTTTATCAATTTCACAGAGATGGTGATCTTGGTACCAGGGCGAGGATTCAAACAAATTCGTGATACGATTATGTTTGCTGTACAGATTTTTCTTTATTACTATTCTCTGCATGTTTGAATTCTTTTTTATTTTTTCTGTGGTGGCGCCTGGGTATCTCGGATTTTTATGCAAAAGCGTGCTGCCTCGATAGTTTCAATCAAACGACGAAACCAGAACTTGTTTAGCCTACTCGTAGTTTTTAATTGCCTTTTTGATAAGAAAGATATTTAAGATATTTAAGATATTTAAGATATTTAAGATATTTAAGATATTTAAGATATTTAAGATATTTAAGATATTTAAGATATTTAAGATATTTAAGATATTTAAGATATTTAAGATATTTAAGATATTTAAATAAAAAGATACAATAGTCTATTTTTGAAGTCTATCAACAAATCTAACTGTACAGACTACTTTAGTATAAAAAGCAGTCAACGAACAGGGGTACACTGCCTGCATTTGTGTAGTCAGGATAACCTTGAGACAAAACATGAGACATGAGACCAAAAAAGGAAAGAAAACGCCATCGCTAAATGCACAGACAGCCCAGCCGAGACATCCATGCTCTAATACAACCTCAATCAAAACAAGGGATATATATAAGTAGAAACAGAATAAGAAAGGTCAGTATAGGCCGTATTTTTACAAGGGTCGCAGACCGAAGCGACTCTTCAAGCTTAACACTGCCTCGTAAACAGACAGCTTTGCTTCCACGCGGAGGAATCCGAACCAGGCGGAAAGGTATCGGAAAAGATTCAAGAAGGCACCGCCAGATTCCTGGATCTGTTCCATTTGTTCCTCGAAAACAGTACGGGTGGCGTAACGAGCTAGGATGAGGAATGTGCGCATAGGACCCTGGCGGGTGTGCAGGTTCTCGTCAAGACTGCGAGCTATAGGTCTGTTAGCAATTCATGCCTTTAAACATTGATGTAGGGAGGGGATATTCATACTGAGATCATTGGTCTTGAGAATGAGGAGGATGATCCGTGGTACTTGACCTAGTAAAACTACCAGCTGCTGGAGCATACCCTCGCCCAATGCATCGGTGATATGTTTCTTTTCATCTGCATCGCGCGAAGAAGTAATATCCTTGGTCAAAACGCTGTAGTCGCGACCAGTGATAGCGCTAGCGAAAAGCGGGAATTGCTCATCGGTGACACCGGCAACCTTGTACGCATATTCACGCATTCGGGGAACATCTGCGTCGATAACTGCCAGCCAGAGCTTAGCATAGTTCCGGCGCAGCTCGCGTGGAATATTGCGGTAAAGTCCGTGGTCGTAGAGAATGATATCGAAGTTCGGGTGACGGCGGTTCGGGTTCGGACGAATGGCAATGTTTCCACCATGCGGATCGCAGTGCAGAGGGGCATCATCGCCAAAAATCATCTCATTGAAGATATGGGCAAAGGCAGCGGAGACTTCGTCGCGGTCGATGTTATTCGCATCTAAGAATTCAAGGTCGTCGGGGCGGCGGCCAGAGATACACTCCATTACGAGAATGCGCTTTTGAGACCACATAACTAAATAAACATGTTAGCGCCGATATCTTGTGAACACACCATCCAGATTACTACGTACCTTCAGGAATGACCAGAGGAGCATCGGAATGCTTTTTGAAATACTCGCTAGCCTCGGTGGCATTCTGAGCTTCCATACGGAAATCCAGCTCTATAGGCAAAGATAGATCCATTTCTCGAGACAGCCATTCCAAATCGTATTCGGGGAAGAATTTCTTGAGCATCGAGAAGGTAAATCGGGTCAAGGCCAGATCCAACGGAACCCATTCAGCGAGTGCAGGGTGCTGGACCTTGACTGCAACCTTTTGACCGGTTTCCCTAAGTGTGGCGAGATGGACCTGAGCAAGCGAAGCGGCACCAATGGGCAACGGTTCAAATGAAGTAAACAATTCTTCAATCGTTTGGCCTGTATCCTGAACGAACATTTCGGCGATTGACTCAATAGACGAAACGGGGCACTTGTCTTGGAGGGGGATGAAAGTTGTGGTCCATTCGATAGGGAGAAGGTAGCCCATGCTGCTGAGATGCTGGCCTAACTTGATGAAAATAGATCCGTTCTTCTCGAGTACTCGGAGGGTTCGCTCTGCGCAGCGTTTGTGGCATGCTCGGATGTTGGCGTTGCGTTCTTCGGGGGAAGTACTTTCCTCCTTGAGGGTTACGCGATAGCTGTGATCTGTGTTAGCAAGCGCTCTCTTCCTTTGATTACCTTCAAATTTCAAGGCTAGTAAGATTTCCTGCCTAGAAAGATCGGCATATACTTACTCATTGATGCATACAGCCAGTGTGCCGACCACACGACCACTTCTTTTTGCCGCACCATATACATGCTGGAGTTCATTGGAGTACACCACAGTCACCACACCAAGAGTGCCCAGGACGACCAAGTATTTGAATCCTTTCCCTTTCGACTTGGGCTTGGATCCGGCGCCGTTGTTTTGCTGGCTCTGGGTCTCCGTAGAAAAGAGGGGGGTTTTAGAGGCAAAACCGCGCCGGCATGGCGTAGCAATCGAACTCGGCGCAGACTGTCGAGAGCCCCATGGCTGTTCAATAGCTGTGCAAGAAACCAGCGGTGTGCGCAAGGATATACCACTGAAAGAGGGTCTGGTAATCGAGGCTTTCGAGGACTGTCGGATCACTGGGGCGGGATTGGTCAATGCCCGCAGCTGCAGGCGAAATGCGCTCATTCCGACCAGGGACGGTCCTGGAAAAGGGGGACAAAATCAGAAAGAAGAAGGTTGATTGATTTATTTCATGATCATTGCAATCAATTGAAATTGTATGATCAAGGAGATTTTTGAGACGGTTATCGCCGCCAATCGGCTTGTTCTCGCCCGGTCTCGGTGGAGACCGCTCACGTGATACTACGTCATAGTAGCATATTGATGCATCCCAGTTTGAACAACTTGAACCTTGGAATGTGAGGTTGATCTAATGAGATGAAGTTCTTTCAAGTTGGTACTTTTGGAGAGTTTCTCTCTCTGTAAAGTGCCATTGTTGAATGCAGATACTACTGTCTACTATATCTACCATTCTCTCCAGAACATATAACAATGATAAGTATTACATCTTATTGAAAGTATTAAAGCCTGTTTAGCATCCAGTGCTCATCACAGAGCAACAGAAGAAAGGAAACATGTGAACACAAGTGACCCAAGTGACCCAGTAGCCTATCCCCCAACCTCATTTTTTCATGACGCCATAGGTTTTTAAAAACAGAATACAAAAGAAAAGAATCTCCGCAATGTCATAGAAAGTATTCGAGATATCAAGCCTCGCCGGACAATTTAGGTCCATTCAGAATCAGTCGTTGTGGGACGTCGGCGTCGGGGAATTATCGAGGGACGACGACCAAGAGAGCTGGGGGCGGAACCTTCATCATTTTGCAGTATTCCAACTTGCGATAGTCGATTAGATATGCCTCGATTCACACGAGGTCGTGCTGGTGCAGGTGCACTGCCATTCATCCCAGAGCTAAGAGCTGATAAGCCACCGTCTCGGCTTCCAGGTCTCATTGCTAGAGAAGATCCACTGAGTGCGTTGCGGGGGTGTCGTGGGGTTTCGCGTCCTTCAAAAAGTCCCCGAGACTGGCTTGTGCGGTTGGTCTGAGGAGTTGATGGGGTAGAGCTGGAAAACGGGGTTGGCGGCGTGGTAGAAGTACTCTTTCTGCGACTGACTGGTCTACGCTTGCCGAGGCTGTACACATCGCTGCGTTCATTAGACTCAATTAACTTTCCTGCCATGTCTCTGACAAGAATAGCAGAATCGTTTTCAAGTTCTCGAATGGCATCCAATAGGCCATAGGTAGAAAGCAAACCACCTTGCTGTTCACTTGAATCGCAGATACTCGAGATGATACGCAGGATGTTCAAGCGAACTGCCGCCTTGGTATGATGAAGCTTCTGACCAAGTCTGTTGAAAAGGTCCGGTCGAGCAAATGTCGATGCCACCGGGGGACTCAATCGAAGAAGCTTCTGTAGGGGTTCAAGGAGATTCTCAAATGCGTTTGCCTTTGAGACTGCCAAGCAACCCACGATAGCATCGGTAAAGGATGGTCTATCCTGGCGATTGTCCAAAAGATGTTCCTCAACCTTGGCAGTTTCTTCTTGTAACCAGGTAAAAATGGCATCTAGGGCAGTGACCTGCCAGTAAGGATCTGCAAGCAAGGAGATGTAAAAGGCAAGACCCTTGTTACGCCATAACTCTCGGCGGCCGACCTTGCCGGACTGGGCCATGTCACACAGAATAGGCAAGGCAAATTCCTTCAAAGGTCTTTCGGTTTGGACGATTTTCTGGAGCAATGGTACGATACCATTGAGAGCAGCGTCTTCCTGTCGGGACTTGTTCAGGCGACACATATTGTAGATAGTGTTGAGAATTTGGTTCGAAACCTCCCTGAAATGCCCTCTTTTCATGGTTGACCGGAGCAACTCAGTCAGGACATCGATTGCATTCGAGTTTTGAAGAGAGTCAAGAGTGGTTGACAGCATAGAAAGATTCTTGATGAACTTCAACATTGTAATTTGGTGGATGGGTGACATTCGGCGGAGTTCTTTCAGGACACGATGCAACACGGTTCGCTCTGCTATCATCTCCTTGACATGATTCTCGGCCTGCGAGAAGATGAAGAAAATGTTGGCAATGCGGCCCTCGATTATCTCCGCAAGGTCACCTTCCTCATCCAAAACACGACTTAAGACAAGTGAAAGGGGATCAAGGACAGAGTTGCGGGATAAAATTCTGCAGAAATCATTCTTCGGAGTAGAGCCCTGCATGCAATTTGTTAGTCAAATGTCAAGTCATAGTGACGACGCTCAATGTAATCACCTGTAGCTCGAAAACACTCCAGATTCCATTCACTCCGATCAAGACAAGATCACGTTCGTCCTCGTAATCATCCTCTAAGAATTCAACCAAGACATTAAGACCACCAGCGCTGACAAACATCTGGAGGGTGAGAGTCGAAGTTTGATACATCTGTTGCACAAAAGCCGCAGCCTCGAGACGAATTTCACGAGGGTACTTCTTCGAAGCAAACTCGTTCACAATAGGGATTCCACCAACAAAGCACAGGTTTTCTTGAACCTCGTAGTCATTACAGATGATAAGATTGACAACTCGAAGTAAGCAAAGAACAATATCACGTCGACGAGAAGTGTCTAGGATCTCTAGAATGGGGAGCATGCCGTGAGCGCTGATGATGATAGTTTTGGTTTCAGGTAGATCGCAAAAGATTGTGAGGAGCTGCTCTGATATGTCCGCAAGAACATCCTCATCTTGGGAAGTCTTCAAAGAGTCGACCAATCCCTCGACTTGGTTCCGCAGACGGGCGTACTTGTCACGCGCGATGTTAGCTTCTAGGTCCATTTCATCGAATCCCTCTTCCAATTGGGCAAATGGATCATCATCGTCGTCTTGATCTCCTAGCCACGAGTTACTGGACAATTTCGAGTTCAGCATCAGAGTGCTACGATCTGAGCTATCGTCACTCTCAGTAGCATCAGATCCCACGGTTTCAGCCCCGAGTATATCGGAGAAGTCCTCGTCAGTCTCGTTTTCCGCGAACCTTTGGATTTCAATGGCAGACCGATCTCGCTTCACAGAGAGCTGCTTTCGTAGTTGGGGATGCTGACCACTGCGGTCATCACCAAATGCATTGTATCCATTTTCGCGAATTGGAGACTCTGGGTCGTCGTCTTCTTGAATCAAGCCAAGTTTACCATCAATCACATCCTCGTTGGCCATGATGAGGTCGGTGTAATCCTCGACCGAGTTTTCCTTGTAGAGAGCAGCTGGTCGTGGCCGTCTCATAGGTGGTGCGGGATTCCGCGTCAGAATTGGAACATTTTGCATCGCTGATACTTGGGGTCTATCGTCCTGATGACGAGCATAATCTTGAGACTTGGAGGGCTCGGCTGCCGAGGATCTGGCAGGAAAAGGTCGTATTGTTTGGAGAGGGTCATTTTCTGGGGCTGGCATAGAGGTTCTCGCAAAGTCATCAAACTCATCAAAACTGTCATCTGATCTCAGTATCGTCCCATCAAGTGACGCAAATGCCTTGAGTCGCTCCGAGGAGAGCATTCCTCCGAAGTTATCGTGAGGTCGAAGATGAGGTAATTTCAATGCGCTAGGAGATATGGCAGTCGCAAAGTCATCGTCCCAATTGTCGTCCTCAGCGGACTCGGCAGATCTAAATCGATCCGTGGCTTTGATAGAGGTTGGAGAAGGTAATGTGTCAACGAGAGAATTGCGCTGGGTGGGAAGAGGTCCAGCCCCGTGGTCAAACTTGTTTGGCTTCTTCGAGGTACCTGTCCCAGGAGATCGCAGGGCCTCGTTCCATTCTTGCACACTTTTCACGGCTTCTTCGTATTCGGTGGATTTCTTAGGAACTACAGAGTCGGATCTTCTAGCGTTGGCGATCCAAGGGTGTTTCAACAACTTCTTAGCTGAGACACGCAGGTTAGGGTCTTTCTGGAAGCACTGCATTAAGAAGTCTTTCACGGCCTGTTATGTGTTAGTTTTTTTGGAATTCAATTCAGTCCAACAAAGAAAGATATCATACCGGTGAAGCACCCTGAGGAAGTGGTGGATGGTCATCATTGACAATACGGAATAAGGCGGGCATAGGTTGTAGGTGATGATAGGGAGGTTTGCCTTCAAGAAGTTCGATGACTGTGCATCCTAAACTCCAAATATCAGACGCAGTGGATGCACCTGTTAGTTCAATAACTTCAGGTGCCATCCAGTAGGGAGTTCCGACCACACTCGACACGCTCAGTCCAGTTGTCCTGCTGGCTACACCGAAATCGGCAAGTTTGACAAGACCCTCTTTCGTTGTCAAGATATTTGCTCCTTTGATGTCGCGATGAATGACACCTTGCTCATGCAGATACAACAGACCATGTAAGACTTGGGACATGTACAAGCCGACCAAATTTTCCGGGAAACGACCAAAGTTTTTGGCAATGGAGTGTAGGGAGCCATTTTCACAATACCTATAGATATAGTTAGTAACCAGGACCACTGTGAAGTTAGATTGGCATAGTATAACATACTCGAGAATGATGTTCAAAGTTTCAACGGACTTTACAAATCCATGGTATTTCACAATATTCGGGTGCTGTGGTTGTGGTCAAAAACAAAAAAACCTCATATAAGCGCGGGGGATGTCTTACATCAAGATTTTTGAGGAGATCAATTTCCAGCTGCAAGACCTCGTATCAGCAAATTCTCCAATTTCACGGATCAAACATCAACACATACCATAATAACACGCAATTCGCTTGTAGGGAGGTCGACCAATTTAATTTGTTTCACCGCAACTGTCTCCCCAGTATTCCAATTCAAGGCACGATACACAGATCCGAAAGCTCCTTTCCCTAAACAGTCACCCAATTGCTATGAGGGCTCACTATCAGCACCGAATTTCATAACATGTGGGCGCATTTATGATATAGGGTATAGATGGGTTCATACGTAGTCCTTGAGTTCCGCCACATCCTGAGCAGATGATTTCAAGACTTTATCTTCCTTTGGTTTCTCATCCCGCTTTGTTGGGCTCGTGCCAGCCCGGGTCAAGCGAGGCTTAATCGGCGTGCCGGGAGTCCTGGAGGGGGTGAGTGGGCGCGGTCCCTCATTCCCGTCGCCTCGTGGGACCATCGCGAGGCTGATTGGGGGCTGTCTTGGGTTCAGCTCGAGAGATTCGATTTGACCGAGGGTCTCAGAATGTGGTTTCAGGTAAACGGGGTGGGGTGGAGGTGAAAGCTAGGGAAGAAGGCAGGAGCCGTGGGTGACAGACTCCGGGATCATGTCCGCCGTCTCTAAGAAGCTCAGACTGTTAGTTTTATCTTGATTGAGCAGATCGCAAATAACCGGATTGGAGAGTGTGGGTGGTATCTGGTCCAAGCAAACGTTGGGAATAATGAGGGTCTCACCAAGCGATTACCATGCAGCTAAAACCGTGACACGGTTAGGGGTCAAGTAGATGTGAGTTCAGGCACGTCAAATTTAACGTTTTCAACCTTCTGACAAAATAGCAGGTCGGACCAAACAGGTGTGAGGGAAAGTTGGGGTTGCAGGTGGTGATTGTTTTGGAATTTCCTTCTCCACAGGTCGCCGCATCATGCAGCGGCTGTGCTGAGTGCCCGCTGATCAGCCCTACGCCACTACAAACATTTGAACCCGCTTTCTTTGTTTATATTTTGGGAATAAGATCATCTCATTAATAAAGAAATAATATCTACTGGGAAAATAACAAGTACTCTATAGTGGATAATTCTTTTGATTTTTATGTTTGTTATTTATTCATACAAAAGGGGGGCAACTGGACCCATGGATAGAGCTAGATAGAGTCCCGCTCAAACCAAATATTCAATTTTGCCCAGGTGGAATAGGGGGGTATCATTTCAGAACATCGCGAAGTAAACGGTGCACATCGGAAATCAAGTATAGACTACCAGCAATAACAAGTGGTCCACCATGGGAAACCTTGCTGGCCCATTGAAGAGCAGGGACCAAATCTCCCTCAAAACTCTTCACATCTCCAATCTCGGGAATGGATTGAATAGCGTCAGCGAGTTCAACGGCATTGGTCGGCATTACCCAAGGCATTCCATCAACAGGTCCAAACTCCGCTGAAGCAACATTGTCTCCGGGGCGAATGATGGAGCGGAAGACTCCTGCCAGATCCTTTCCACTTGAAGCAGCAACCACCCATGTCACAGGTTGAGATTGAGATCGTAGTTTACGATCCACAAATTTTCCAAGTACATTGGCTGATTGAGGGTTATGAGCTCCATCGAGAAGAACCGGTTCTTCACGGCCAACAAGAGACTGAAGACTGATATTTTCCAAGCGACCAGGCCACTTCACGTCAGTCAGACGTGGAATCAAGGATAACACATCTGCTCCGGGGTGAACTTTGGGCAAAGCAACGCGCAGGGCTGATACAGCACAGCTCATATTTTCTTGCTGGTGGGGTTCAAGGTCGACGTTCTTGAAGAATTGCGCGAGAGCTGGGATTTGTTTCTCTACCCTCTCCGGGGAGACAAATGTTGCGTCGATACCAAGTTCTTGGATACGGTTCGACAAGGTCTTCAGCACGGCCGGTTCATTGGTATTGTCAACGATACAAGGTACCCCCGGCTTCAGGATTCCTGCTTTCTCTCGAGAAATTTCCTCGATGGTCGAACCTAGAAACGCCTGATGATCCATGCCAATCTTGGCAATGACGGAAACCAGTACATCACTCAGTACATTTGTAGCATCAAGACGACCACCCATGCCCACTTCAACAACTCCAACTTCGACTTTTTCATGATTGAAAATCTCAAATGCGGTCGCTGTCAAAAGCTCAAACTCGGAGGCCCCAATCCCCAATTTTTGGTCTCGTGATTTGACTTGATCTTCAATCTGTCGAAATAGTGATTCCTGGACGACTCGTTCGCCAATTGTAATACAGTCCCACCGATCAATCAAGTGTGGTGATGTGAAGCGACCACATCGCACACCATCTGTAGAAAGAAGGTGCGACAGATAAGCGCTGATTGAGCCTTTTCCATTTGTCCCCGCAATATGGATGGCCTTCCATGATAGCGGGGTTTGTTGGAGGAGACTCGAAATGCGACTCAAGCCTAATTCAATCATTCTGTGAGTGATGTGATAATTGACTTAAATAGCTTCAACTTTCATAATTTAAGTGGAGCGACGGTCAAGAGATATTCTTTGTACTCCGCAGTGGTTCTTGTAGCTAAGTAACTCTCCCGTCTCTATCACTTAAGCCGCGCATTGTAATCATCACGTGATGGTCCAGCCACCCCAAAAATCCTTTTTCCTTCCGATCGGACTCCATCCTCCCCACTAACTCCTGGAATCTCCGGAGTCACGCCGTTTTGTGTTTCTAAACTCGTTCTCCACTTTCGTTTATTCAGTTTATTCAGTTCTTTTACATTCAAAAATGGGTATCCCGTAAGTTTATATATTTGCGACTCATTCTTTTTTCTTTTGCGCCATCATCGCCATTCTAACTGACGTGATTACAAGGCTGTGGCGCGAGCCGTCGGAAGTAGATGCTCTCAAGTCGGTTGAGAAAGATGCAACAGCCGCCGCACGCTCCGCGATTCGACGTCATGCCGTACCCCGACGTCCCTCACGCCAGGCTCGGACGCGTGGTCCCGGCCTTCTATCCTCATTCCAATCTCAGATTCTTGATGAAATCCAGCGTGGCGTGCGCGGTGTGGGTGAACCCCAAATGGGGGTGCGCTCTCCTGTGCTGAACTTGGGCATTAGTGAAGACGGCTTAGATCTGGACTCAAGTAGACGTGATGCGCTCGGTCGTAATCCTCCACATCCTCCACCCCGTCAAGGAGATCATTCAATTCGCCGCCCTAGAACAGGTCGAGAGGAGGCTCTGGCTGATCTGCTTAGCCGCCGCGACCCCCACCTCGACTCTCGACCTGGCGCGCGTTTTGCAAGTCCTTCTCTTACACCGAACTTTGCTCCGGCGGTTGCGTATCATACCTCTGCTCCCTCCCATCCATCAGCCGAATCTACTCGTCCTATTACGATTCCTCGTCTCCCCCGTCTCCGCATCCATAACAGAGATCCGAACCCTTCATCTGATCCACCTTCTTTCACACATCGAGACTATCGCCCTGGCTGGATACCCAACAGACTCGCTCGCGAGTCTGGAATGGATGGTCTTGGTGATCGCCAACGCAGTATGAGTCCAGATGGAGATCGTGAGACTGATACATGGGAGCCGATGCGTTCTACCATAACCCCCGATGTCAACTTGCCATCTACCGATACCTCATTTGCCTCTTTGATTGCTGCTCCTCCAACCGATACACCCCGCAATGGCACTTCCCGACCATCCGCCACCTCATCTTTAACGTTGCCTCCTGTTCAATTGGCGTTAGACCCATACGATCATCTCCATCCCTGTGATCTGAGCTCAGACGATGAGGATGGTCCTGTTATTCACCGTCTGATCGGATCCTCCGGGTTTCCTCATCTTCCCCGTTCACGCGGACTCCACTCTACCATAAGCAACCATCCACCTATTCCCACCATTTCCTTGTCATTTTCCGATTCCTCAAGCGATACCCATCTCCAGCAAATGCAGGCCATTCTGGATCGACTTGCCCGTCGAGAAGAAATTCCCGAAGATTGGTGGGCAGGGCGGGTCTGTCTCACAACATGGGCCGTGGTCTCAGCACTGGCGCAAACCCTCAAAACAATGACAATGACCACACTTTCGATCAGTGAAATAGCGTGTCTCTTTCCAACACAATGCATGCCACAAATATTTTATGATTCCGGCGTTCTCCTGGTTGACATTTTTCTTTTCTTGGGGCAATTCATCTCTCGGCGATTTCATTTTGTTACACGGTTCAATTTTGTCTATGGCGTGATAGAGGGTTTCTGAGTGCCCCAGTGGTTTCTTCGGGCGTCTTTGTTCTTTTATTGTTTACTCTGATCATGTATTTTTCTTGGTTCTATTGTTTTTTTTCTGACTTTCGGATCAGTCTGCACAGGTTGCAGCAATAATTCCCCATTTGCCAGGGGTTCATCGAGTCATGTATGCGCATACCCCCTTCATATGCATTCGCATTCGCATATGCATCTGATAATGTCCCTGAATCGTGGCCATTTCTTTATCCAATCAAAACTCGCAGCCGCAGTTAATTGCATGATGTCATTCTCAGCACTTTAAAAAAAAACCACTAGTAAAGTATCTAAGTAAATCCTATTTACTATACATGATCATAAGTCCTTTTTTTACCTCAATACCGACTGATAAGTTATCATTAAGGGGAAAATGTCGCGTGCCTTGGGGTTCAACGGCGGACCAATAGTTTGTGACGTATGAAGTCAGACCTCGGAGCACAGCAGTCCCCACCGGAATCAGTCATAGCCCCGCCGTTATCGCGGAGTCTGGGAACATTTTCGACGACTTAACTCCAGCCCCATACGTACACATCTGCTCTTTGCCCTACTTCGAACTCCGATTTGCATTGAACATTGCCATTCTTCTGCCGAGAAATATTATCAACCACCGCTTTTTCGGGGCTTTACCACTAGCACGCGACACGAACTCATCTGGAGATTGCGCCGAGCAGTCCTCCGAACGCATACGAGCCTATTCAACCAGAAAGATTGAAATTTCTTTCAAGCACATACTCAGTACAAATCTTATCATACGATGAATCCCCAGGTGGAGCACCTGGTCAAGAAGACATGGGGTAAGTGAGCATTATCATACCAAACATCAACCCCTATTACTCGATTGCCGGTCAAACCCATAAATCAATGTCCCCCTCGCATTCCTCACCAATCTAATCTAATTTATGCTCCTGCTATGCTTATATACTAACTCCCTTTTCTAGACAAATTCTGCTCCACCCCAGATGACACCCGCTTAATGATTGCCGTCAGCGGTATCCCAGGCTCCGGCAAAACAGCCTTAGCCAATACAATGACCACTCAACTGAACAAAATCTATGCCTCCAAAAACCCCTCCTCCCCTCCAATCGCTGCCGCAATTCCAATGGACGGCTACCATTTAACCCGCGCCCAACTCTCCGCGATGCCAGACCCCGCACATGCATTCGCGCGCCGCGGCGCCGCATTCACTTTCGATGGAGAAAAGTTCCTAGCATTAGTGCAAGCACTGCGGGAACCCGTTTCGACGAAATCAACTGCTGTATACGCGCCTAGTTTCGATCATGCGGTTAAGGATCCGGTGGATGACGATATTGCTATTCCGGCGACGTGTCGGGTAATTTTTTTCGAGGGCAATTATTTGAGTCTTAATAAGGAGCCGTGGAATTTAGCCGCGGGGCTGATGGATGAATTGTGGTTTGTGGATGTGGATTTTGAGATTGCGAGGTCGAGGTTGATTAAGAGACATGTTTTGGCGGGGATTGCGAGTGATGAGGTTGAGGCGGATAAGAGGGTGAGAGAGAATGATTTGGTTAATGGTGAGGAAATTGTCAATTATAGATTACCGGTTCTGGAGATTGTTTCGAGTATCTATGATCCGACGTGGGAGAAGTCATAGTCGTTATTAAGGTGGTTTTATGGACAGGTTAGCATTGTGTTTGGCGTGAGACTAGAGCCTGTAGATTCGAAGTTCCATAGAAATGAGTTGATGAATAATTGCATAAGTTTCGCATGGCCTTTATTCCAAGGTTCCATTATGTAAAACTATCAATTGCCCAGGTGATAGTTGATGTTTAGTATCGCTGATAATATGATGGTACATTGTATAGGTAGCTTAATTCAAATATGATTGGTCGTAGCTCGATTCCATATGTCATGTCTTTTATTTCCCTGTATGATGTACATATGAGAACATCAGCAAAAATAGATGATCCAATTTCCGTGTATTCATATTGTTAGCTATTCCCCTTCTGGGATCGGAGGGTGAGACATTACGACACGACTCTGTGGTACCTCAATTGTTAATTTTTTCCAAAATTGCGATATACATAAAAGGGAACAAGAAAGCGCATATCATAAAGATTATCAGATCAAAGGAGTATAGTATAACAGTCAATCTCAAGAATCCCTTATGAATTGAACTCCATTATCAACAACCATTTAGAACAAGTCAAAAAGGGTCCCTGACGCTAGACTACTATAGGCATAGCGGGGCTTGAGTCGTGGGGAACAATAAGACACTAGTATCAGTCATACAGTAACTAAAATGTACTTTTAATATGAGATGATTGCCAAGATCTACATCTATGTTACTCTTATTCAGGGACCTTTACATAACAATACCATCAGGGACCGTCAATCAACTGCCGTGTTTGGTACGACGAAACTGCAGTTCTCCTTAGACCCTGATTCCCACCCTGTCCACTTCGAGATCCGATCTCTCCTTCGTCACTCTTCGTCTTCTATTTCCCGCTCATTTGCCCACTTCGTCACTCTTTCCACCCACGGTCCTTACTACACAGATTCGCTGCGCGATCTTCAGCTCAATCAACTCTCGCTTACTACCACCCACACATCCAACTATTTGAGATCCTTGACCCATTTCATTTCATAATGCTGTTCAAATCCGCTCTCGCCCTGGCCTTTGTGGCCCTCGCCAATATCGCCTCCGCCTCCACCCCCGCTTGTGTTTTGTCGGTTGTTGGGTGAGTGCGAACCATTAGTGTGAGCCATTGACACCGATGATACTGACCATAAATTTCTAGCGACACGAGCAACCCTGATGATCTTTCTTCCATCTGCGGCTCCAAGACAATCCAGTCCACCATTGAGAGCAAGTGTGGCGACAATGCGGATACTGCCCTGAAGTTCTTCAGCAACAACTGCAAGAGCTACGGATTCACTGTTGGTAAGGGTCTCAGAAACATCACCATAGCTAGATCTAGGTATAAGAAATTGAGCTAACATAAATCAGCTGAAGCGGAGTCCTCCAACACCACTAGCAGCGCTACTGAAACCGCATCTGGCTTCGTCACCGCCGCCTCTACCTCTGGCTCGCAGGCAACTGGCGGTACCGGCTCTAGCTGCCACACTAAATCTGGCTGTGCTTCTTCTGCCACTTCCACGTCTGGTTCCGCCTCTGGTGCTGCCTCTGGTTCTCCCTCTGGTACCACGTCTGGCGGCTCTGGCTCAGCATCCAGCTCTAGCTCTGGTACCGGTGAGGCCTCGCCTTCGCCCTCTTTCGCTGGTGCTATTACTGGTCAACAGCTCTCGGGTACTACTTTCGCTGCTGCGCTGTTCTTTGCTGCGGCTGCCCTTCTGTAATCTCATAATTGAGATACAGCTTGATTCCTCTCTGCGGATGGTTTTATCTTTTCGAATTCTCGATCCTTCTCTTCTTGTTTAATAACCTGGCTTGGATCTGTTGGGGTTGATCTGTTCTCATCTTTACCGCTTGCGTAAACGAGAATATGGAACGTTTGGAATGCTTTACTGGCTCTTGATTTCTATGCTGTTTCGCACTGCTTGACATTTTAGAAAGTGAAATTCAAATTGCTCCTTGGTCTTTTTTATTGAACTGATTGCTGGGTGCTGGCAACGGTTCCAATGTTTACGTATAAATGTTCCGGCTGCCCCGGTTTGAATCAGTAAGGAGTACTCCGAGCTTATCCTCCACACGCGCTTCAAGTTATCATCATTATTTGAATATCATATATCTTTGAAGATCATGATACATATGTATAATATGATATCCGAGTCTGAGGCACAAAGGATCCGTGGGCAGTTGTACATGTGCGCCCTAGTAGTAAATAAAACTTTCAAGGCTATAACATAGTAGGTCAACTGGTAGTGCTACTAGTAGTAGATGCCAGTGGCAGTGACCACCTGCCAGCACTTGAGTGCCCAGTGTGGACGTCTACTATGGACAGATGCAGATAATTTCAAGTTCAAAATGTCCCAAGGTTTCAAATGTCATAACATGGATGTACATTGATATGTAGGTCAAACATAGTGGCTCAGACTTGAAGTTCGCATCCATCAATATATAGCGTTTGATGTTTACTATGTACTTTTTTATTCATTTCATTTTTTTTCTCATTGTATTGAATCCCATGCGTTCAAGCTCGAGCCTTGCATGCGCGTGCTGCGCTGATGCCTTATTTCCTCTCCTTGTTTCTTTCTTCTCTCGAATGGTAGTATGAATTCTTGACTTAGCTTCAGTGAGTATGCCATGGAAAGCACTCCCGAGGTCGAGTACTATAAAATAATTCAAGCTGAGGATTCTAGCTTGAATTATTTTTTCATCATAAGTGCTCCCATGTAGAAACATGAAGGGATCCAAGGTTGGTGGCTTCGATATTAATAGCCAAAGCACTGGCGGTGTGTATCAATTGAACTTTAAGATCACCAATGCGGGGACTTGTCATAAATGTAGCTCGTAGTCCGAGTGACAGCGACGTTGTCTGACCCCGGAATGCTAGAATCCGGCTAAAGAAATACCGGTGCCATGCGAGTTTCAAGTTCCGAGCATCGGACTCAACGTGAACCTTGGAAGGACTCAACGTGAAGCTCAGACACGTAAGCACGTGACATGCACGAGCCATAATTTGGTTTCCCTAAATGGATTAGACTGGTAAGAGTCATACATGGAAAGTTACAGACTTGAGCACTCGAACTTCAATGATAGACATATACACCTTGCTGGAGTCGCTTAGATATGTGCAATCTGATTGTATCTAGGCTGTAGATCATGCACCCAGCTCGAACACTATAGACAAGGGGGGTGACAGGGGTCATGAGAACGAGGTCAAGCAGATTAGAGGCTCAATAAAGCGCCACTAAGTACTTGAACTTTTCTAGTCAACTCAATTGCGTCGGAAATAATTCATATTAATATTAAAAAGAAACAGATTTATAGGATAATAAAAAACGGAAGACCTCAAGTATTCTCTATACCACTAGCAACTGAATAATTGTTGAATAATAAGCCATTAAGTGCATCAAATTGCGGTCTAAAATTCGGTGTACGTTTGGAACGCTTACCAATCCGAACCTCTTCCAATACGCCCCACTAATCAGAAGCTGCTGCTGAGGAAACACGACTGCGCGAAAAAACGCGTCTGTCCGGTCGACATCAAATATCCTCGCCCCTCCGATCTAACTTCTCTTCCTTCCTATCCCCTCTACTCCATACCCTCCCTACCTTCACCCTCCCCCTCCCTAATACCTCCTTTTGCTTGCATTTACCTCCTCATACCCATTCTACTCTAATCTTCTTCTTTTCTTTCCCCCATCTTCACTACTCCCACAAAAATGTTTGTCTACAAGAGAGGTAAGTGTGGTGAAAATCCGCAATCCCTGATGTTGTGACTCGCGGGGCAGTTTGTACATTGATATGAATCAAACTTGCCCTTGCCACCAAACTTCAGGACTACCAGCTAACTCACATCTGTCAGATGGACGTAAGGAACGCGTGCAGTTTGACAAGATCACTGCTCGTGTTTCTCGACTGTGTTACGGCCTTGACCCCGATCACGTTGACGCTGCTGCCATCACCCAAAAAGTTATCTCTGGTGTCTACCAGGGTGTGAATACTATCGAGCTGGATAACTTGGTATTGCATCACCCCGCCATCCCTTGAATTGAAGAATTTTGCTAACCCCTCCTTTTTTTCCCCTCACCCACCAGGCCGCTGAGACTGCCGCATACATGACCGTGACACACCCCGATTACGCCATCCTGGCGGCTCGTATCGCCGTCTCCAACCTACACAAGCAGACCAAGAAACAATTCTCCATGGTCATCCAAGACCTGTACCACTATGTCAACCCTAAGAACAACAAGCCAGCCCCTATGATCTCTCAACACATTTTTGAGATTGTCAACAAGCACGCCGATGAGCTCAACTCAGCTATTGTCTATGACCGTGACTTTAACTACAACTACTTTGGCTTCAAGACCCTCGAACGTTCATACTTGCTCCGTATCAATGGCAAGGTTGCTGAGCGTCCCCAGCACCTGTTGATGCGTGTCGCTGTCGGTATCCACGGTGAGGATATTGAGAAGGCCATCGAGACCTACCACTTGATGTCTCAGAAGTACTTTACCCACGCCTCCCCAACTCTGTTCAACGCCGGTACTCCTTCTCCCCAGCTGGCTTCTTGCTTCTTGGTTGATATCAAGGAGGACAGCATTGAGGGTATCTACGATACATTGAAGACCTGTGCCATGATCTCCAAGACTGCTGGTGGTATCGGATTGAACGTCCACCGCATTCGTGCTACCAACTCCTACATTGGCGGTACCAACGGCTCCTCCAACGGTATCGTTCCTATGCTGCGTGTGTACAACAACACTGCTCGCTACGTCGACCAAGGTGGTAACAAGCGTCCTGGTGCCTTTGCTATCTACCTGGAGCCCTGGCACGCCGATGTCTTTGAGTTCCTGGATCTGCGTAAGAACCACGGTAAGGAGGAAGTCCGTGCTCGCGACCTGTTCTATGCCCTGTGGACCCCCGATCTGTTCATGAAGCGTGTTGAGGCCAACGGCGAATGGACCCTGTTCTGCCCTAACGAGGCCCCCGGTCTTGCTGATGTTTACGGTGATGAGTTTGATGCTCTCTACGAGAAGTACGAGAAGGAGGGCCGTGGTCGTACCACCATCAAGGCTCAGAAGCTGTGGTATGCCATTCTTGAGGCTCAGACCGAGACTGGTAACCCCTTCATGCTGTACAAGGATGCTTGCAACAAGAAGAGCAACCAGAAGAACCTGGGTACCATCCGCAGCTCCAACCTGTGCACTGAGATTGTCGAGTACAGCGCCCCCGATGAGGTTGCGGTGTGCAACTTGGCCTCTCTCGCGTTGCCCACTTATGTTGACGCTGCTCGTGGCGAGTATGACTTTGGCAAGCTGCACGAGGTCGTCCAGGTTCTGGTTCGCAACCTGAACAAGATTATCGACATCAACTACTACCCCGTTCCCGAGGCCAAGAAGAGCAACTTCCGTCACCGTCCCATTGCTCTGGGTGTCAACGGTCTGGCTGATGCTTTCCTTGCTCTGCGTCTGCCCTTCGACTCCCCTGAGGCCAAGCAGCTGAACATCCAGATCTTCGAGACCATCTACCACGGTGCTTTGACTGCCTCCTCCGAGCTGGCTGCCAAGCTTGGTCCTTACGAGACCTACGAGGGCTCTCCTGTCTCCCAGGGTATTCTGCAGTACGACATGTGGGACCGCACCCCTACTGACCTCTGGGACTGGGCCTCCTTGAAGGCCAAGATTGCCGAGACCGGTGTGCGCAACAGTCTGCTGGTTGCTCCCATGCCTACTGCTAGTACCAGCCAGATTCTGGGTTTCAATGAGTGCTTCGAGCCATACACCTCCAACATCTACTCCCGCCGTGTCCTGGCTGGTGAGTTCCAGGTTGTCAACCCATGGCTCCTGAAGGACCTTGTCGACCTTGGCCTGTGGTCCGACAACATGAAGAACCGTATCATTGCCGATGGTGGTTCCGTTCAGAACATCCCCAACATCCCCGCCGACATCAAGGCTCTCTACAAGACTGTTTGGGAGATCTCCCAGCGTAACATCTTGCAGATGGCTGCTGACCGTGGTGCCTTCATTGACCAGTCCCAGTCTCTGAACATCCACATGAAGGAGCCTACCATGGGTAAGATCACCAGCATGCACTTTGCTGGTTGGAAAATGGGTCTCAAGACCGGCATGTACTACCTGCGTACCATGGCTGCTTCTGCTCCTATTCAGTTCACTGTCGATCAGGAGGCTCTCAAGGTTGAGGACACTAATGTTGCCCGTGCCAACCCCTCCTACAAGAAGCGCCCTGTTGGTACTACCTCCTCTTCTTACTCTGCAGTGCCCCGTGCCAATGAGTCTGAGGCTGCTACCCCCGCTGTGTCTAAGGCTCCTATCCAAGAGAGTCCCCGCACTGTTGTTGAGCCCCTTATTGCTGCCCCAGCCTCCGAGGCCGCTGTTGACTCCAAGAGTGAGGAGGCTACTGCTGATGCTGAGGACAGAACTGGTGACATCTTCTCTGATGCCGTGTTGCAGTGTAGCATTGAGAACAAGGAGGCCTGCCTGATGTGCCAGGGCTAAACAGTTCCCTTTCAATGATTTCTATGGTTCCTTTCTTTTTTTGTAACCCCCCCTTTGGTTGTTTTTTGGCTTCCAGTTTACCCAATTTGTTTTTCAACGGCACACCTTTTAGGTGTGATTCATGTACCCATATTACGAGACTGATGGTTTGATATTTCTTTCTGCTTTGGGGGTTTTATGGCGCAATTCAAGATTGTGATTTACTTTTTATCTACGCCAGCTAGTTCAATGACGTATGTTTTTCCAATTTCCATCCTCTTTGTAGAGTGTAGTCTGTGACTTGGAGGTTCAAATAGTCTTTCGAGAGTGAAACATGCCCCGGCTGTTCCAGTGTTATTTTGACTGTCTTATTGCCAGCACTGAGACAAGTGCATAAGGTCTTGGTGCTTCAATGGTTCCAGATGTCTGTTTACTCTGATGGGAAGAGGATCCGTTTATTACTAGGTATGCTACTGCGATATTCTCTTCTACAACCTTGGAATGTGAATACTATGTACTATTCGATCAATCTTGACCTGTCTGTGTGAGTGTGAATATATCAGTCCTTTACCTTGCCCTCACTTGAATTTTTCTCAGATGGAACCTTGGAGCTAACCTCTCATTATATTCAATCAGTTGCAATCATTATAAGAGTGGAAAAACTTCCGCTTAATTGATATACCGACGCAGCTATCTCTAGTGGGATGTTGATGTTTGATGTTTATACAACAACGCGATGGAGCTGGCCAGTCCCCAACGCGAAGGCTTTTCCCTCCAGGGCTTGTTAATTTGTTTTCATTGAGATCACCTGCGTATCTCACTACGCAATTCAAAGAACCAATGTTGACATCTTCTCACAGGAAGACAGGAAGTTTGGAAGTGTGACTTTCATCATTGGATATTATTTGGGTGTGTTGCTGAAGCACTCATGTTGTTGACAAAGACACAGGTTCTCCGCGATCGCAAGCCACGAGGCACACATTTCTGGGTACCTAAGATTTCACATTCCGATCCATGCAGATATCCTCAGATCTTCAATTATATATACCAAAGCCTGCGGCTCACCTACTTCGTCATATTGAATTTCATCACTTCCCCTCTTTGGACTAGCGAACCACATCCCCTAATCCCTTGCAGTGTTATTCAATAGCCCGACTGAACAAGCAGTGCAGCCAACCTCTCCATCCAGACCAGTTTAATTTCCAGTGATAATCAACTCACATTAACGATCATGGTCTCCTTCTCTTATTCTGGGGTGATCATCGGTGAAGTGGAGCAACGGTGACTGGCCAAGCGACTAAACAAGCCAAGGCGACAAAAAAAACCCTCTCTCAAGAAGTGGATGTGACCCCTCCTACCGATTGGGCCCCCCCCCCCCAAAAATCAATCAACCATTGGTCAATGAGGTCAAAAACCTAGTTGGGTCTAGAATCCTAATGAAGATCGCCCTGGTTTCACATTCAAGCCACCGATCTGGGAAACCTGGCGTGGTGGGACGCCCTGGGCACGGGCATTTACGAGATGGAAAGAGGGAATGGAGCAGGGATTTTAATTCTCGGCTTTGTGCCTGACTTGTGGAGTAGAGCAGGGACAATATCGGAGGTCACAACAGACTGCACTGACATTTGGAATCAGAATAGGGCACAAGAATTGATTTTCATTACGGGTGTTCGTGTTCGGGAGTGCCTGGACCGTGAGAGTGGACCAAAATTGGGTGCCTGTCAGCATTACATTCCTAAAAGTTTCAGCACTCAAGCGGATTGCCACTTCAAGCCACTTTTTTCTCGAAGATCCACTGGATATTTTACCCGTGGAGAAAGAAAGAAAAATGGAAGACTTTTTTGTACGGAGTACGAGTCATGGCAGATGGACTGTGTTGGACGAGGAGAAATAAAAACCCCCGCGCTTGATGGTGCACCAGTCCCCCCTATGTTGTGTACATTCTTGAGTATGCGACACAGTAGGGCATCATGATGCATGTTCAGTTCACTCAGCGCTGACGTTGTCTCATCACAACCCAATTGAATGACAGTGCAGGGACCCGCCATACTGCAACTCCGACATGTCAGGGGTCCATGTCTCTTGGGTTACCACTGGACTGTTGGGCGACTGTTTGCAAGGCAGCGGTCTGTCTGAGTTCTGTGTTGTTTGTGTCTTTTTTTTAATTCCTTTTTCCCGTTCCATTCTGGCGAGCCATAGATCCAGATGGGCAAAAGGAAAAACCGTGAATCGCCGGATTTGGCATGATTTAAGAGTCTTTGGAAGTGGAGAATGACCCTATTGGTGTAATGAGAGCGGTTCCTTCAGCCGCGGGGACCCAGTTCATTCTCACTAAAAGGAGTTTAGGGTCAGGAGAAAGAAAAAAAACGGTGGCACACATCAGAACCCCCTGCGCCAGTGCATTGCGCAAACTGAATTACCCCAATCATGAGTTCAGGTTGATCCCCGAGTTTTCCGATGCTGGTACCTGGCATCCCGTGAATATGAAATCGATAGGAGAAAAAAAGCATATGGAGTAGTATGAGCAAACAAGAAATGAGCCTTGAAATGATCTAAAATGTTCTGAAAATAGGCCGGAAGAAATGGCTGTGTAAGATCCATGGGTTCATTTAGAGAGATGTGGGAACAAGGGTAAAGTGGGTCGAGGGATTTCACCACTTGGGAGAGACACAGAGAGACATCTCACACTGTTAAAACCACCTTCATCTCCCTCCTTTCTTCTTTTTTCTTTCTTTCTTTCCCCTCTCAAATCGCAAGAAGCCCATTCCTTTGCTTTCTCGCTTTTCAATTCTTCACGTTCCTTCTCTACTCTCCTGCTGTGCAGTGACCGATCCCTCTTTACCCTTTGATCTTCTCAGCTACACTCCTTCCTAACTGAGCAATTCAAAAATCGAAATGTCTCCTATCATCAAGACTCTCGCCCTCGCCGGCGCTCTCTTTTCTGCTGCTGGATTTGCCGCTCCTATCGACAAGCGTGAGGTTATCGTTTGGAAGACTGTTACTGATGTCGTCTGGACCACCGTCGATGTCACCACTACTCTGCAACCTGAGCAGTTTGTCGCTACTGCAACTCTCGTCCCAGTGACTCATACCACCGCTGAAGCTGTAGTTGCCGTTGAACCTACCCCTGCAGCACAGCCCCAGCCTGAAGAAACCGATAAGCCTCAGTCAACCAGCTCTACGCTTACTACCACCTCCACCCCGGCTCCTGTTGCTGCTCCTGAGCCTACTGAGCAGCCCACCACAAGTTCTGCCGCTCCTGTTGCTGAGACCACTGAATCCGCCCAGCCCGTTGAGCGCACCGAGCCTACTACCACCGCTGAGCCCACTACTTCATCCGCCGCCCCCACCACCGCTGTCAGCGTCTCCAGTTCCGATGGCTACACTGGCTCCTGCGATTCAGGCTCTCCTTGTGTTGGTCAGATGACTTACTACGACACTGCAACCTCCTGGAGCGCTCCTAGTGCCTGCGACACCACCAACGATGGTGCGACCGAGCTAGTCCTGGCCCTCCCCCACGGCATCATGACCAATGACGACTGTGGCAAGACTGTCACTATTGAGTACAATGGCGTCACCAAGCAGGGTACTGTGGTGGACAAGTGCATGGGCTGTGATGACAGCTCCATTGATCTCTCGCAGGCTCTGTTCGAAGCCTTCGAATCTATATCTGCTGGTCGGTTGTATGGTGCCAAGTGGTACATCAACTAGATACCCCCCTCTTCCGCACAGCTGCGTGGATCGCAAGCGTTCGGATCTTTTCACATCTGGTAGTTTTTGTTTCCCGAAGCACATCTTTATCAATGGTCTTGATGATCTTCTCATTTTTCTTTCATTCTCATCTGCAATCCTTGTAGAACAGATCAAGACATTCGTTTCCGATCTGTTCTATTCTTTATGATTTCAGTTTGAGCCTTTTTGATTATTTTCTTTCTATTCATTCTTTTATGAATCCAATTTACCCAGGCGCTCCGAGTGAGCTGCACGTTTTTTTTTCACCCCTTTATGTTGATAGACTTGATTTCTCTTCGGAGCTTTGTGACAATACTACCAGTGATCGCCCTTATCCAAAAGAACTTATGAATGCCCTCCTACTCCAGTTTGCATGCTGGCAATGCTGCCGGGATGATCTTGGTTCATTAGTTCCTGTTCTAGTGGATTGAAACATTCTTTGTATGTGGGAGTGTTATGATACTATGATGATCATATTTATGTAACGAGCTACGGATGAGAAAATGGGTCGGTGCATGCCAGTGGACATGGACATGGATTCAGGTATACTCGATTGAGTATGCTTGGTCTGATTCTGTTCTGCTCGACCTGAAAGCCTTCATATGTTGAATCAATTTGATACTTTGATACGGTAGTATGAACATTTGAATTCTCTTGCTGTCGTCTGGTATCTGACATCTTACATCGGTGTTTACTGGTACCTAGGTAGGTAGTGAAGTGCCATTGTATAGCTGCCCAGCTGCACTCGTATGCTCCAATGGCATATCCCAGTGCCTCTCCACATAGTCTAGATTTCATACTACTAGCATATGGCAAATCCCGTCCAACATTTGAAGTTGAGAATGAGACACTAGATCAGAGACCTGAAGCCCTCTAGGTGCACATCGAGATTAGTAACCTCGGAACTGCCCAGGTGCCTGTTTTACCAACCCCTATGGCGTTCCAATACTTAGTAGTTCCGTTTGAGGTTACTTCCACTAGTTAGTTATTAATTTAGGCAGTCTTTTTGTTATCTAATTTTTCCGTTGGGGCTAGTTTTGACCTAATCGCGACTGAATGTTGAGTCCTGACTTGCTATGGAACAATCGCCCCTGCAACCATCCAGATAAGGGTTCTTTTGATGCACTTGGAGTACGAGAAAGATGTAATCAATGCTGCTTACACGTCCACACAAAGGAATCTCATATCTACTATGTATTAGGTAGACCACAAAATACATACCTAACCACTGACTCGCAGTTCCGTCCCTGACATGCGCTATCCCCTATTAATCCCTGCAAGTTAGTGGCGCCATCAAAATAAGCAAAGTTCCGGGTGTCTTAGCTTCAATTTGAACTCTGGAGCCTGACAAGAGGGACAAATCCCGGGACTCACGCCTCAGGGGTTGCTTCAGATTGGTCGGAGCATACCGACTTTTGAGGCGACCCCTATATGGAAAAATCCTGTATACATAGTCTCATATCTACATAGCTTTCCCCATCTAGCTGTCTCCAATTAAAAAAAACCCTCCAATTCACAATCTCTTTCATCCCAGAACTCCTCTCGCAAGGCGTAATCCTCCACCTGGCCTGGTCCTAGTCTACCGAGTAGGACGAGGGTATCTTCTTTGAATTTCAAGCAACTTCACAACTACCTGGCGTGATACTCGCAAAAATGGCCGCTATAACCCTCGAGCCTCAAGATCTTAAGCGGGATGCAGAGTTCAAGCAAGCGCTACATGGCAAGACTGGCCAGGATAGAAACTCGTTCATGAACATCATGCGTAAGAACAAGGATGCCCAGCAAATCGCTGTGGACGAATACTTCAAGCACTGGGATAACAAAGCTGCGGATGATGAAACTGCCAAAACACGCGAGACCAGACGCAAGGAATATGCGACCCTCACCAGACACTACTACAACCTCGCGACCGATTTCTACGAGTATGGCTGGGCCCAGAGTTTCCACTTTTGTCGATTCAGCAAGAGCGAGGCATTCAAGCAGGCGTTGGCGAGACATGAGCATTACCTTGCGCTGAAAATGGGCATCCACGGGGGTCAGCGGGTGCTTGATGTTGGCTGTGGTGTCGGTGGCCCTGCGAGGGAAATCGCCAAGTTCACTGGGTGCAAGGTCCTCGGCCTTAACAACAACGACTACCAAGTCGAGCGTGGCACTCTGTACGCAGAGAAGGAAGGTCTCAGTGACCAGGTCAGCTTCACCAAGGGCGACTTTATGCAAATGACCTTCCCCGATAACAGTTTTGACGCTGTTTACGCGATCGAAGCTACCGTGCATGCTCCGAGCTTGGAAGGCATTTACTCCGAGATTTTCCGGGTACTCAAACCTGGCGGCGTCTTTGGTGTCTACGAGTGGCTGATGACCGAGAACTACAACAATGATAACCTCCGCCACCGTGCGATTCGTCTTGGTATCGAGCAAGGTAATGGGATTAGCAATATGGAGAAGATCTCCGTCGCCCTAGAGGCGATGAAAAAGGCTGGGTTCGAGCTCGAGGTCAATGAGGATCTTGCTGATCGCAACGATGAGCTTCCATGGTATTGGCCCCTCAGTGGTGATTTGAGATACACGCAGAGCCTTTGGGACTTACCGACGTTGATGCGCATGACCCATGTTGGCCGTGGAATTGCGCATGGCATTGTTGGTGCACTTGAGATGATTGACGTTGCACCAAAGGGCTCACGGAAGACTGCCGATTCGCTTGCTGAGGGGGCAGACTGTCTTGTTGCGGGTGGCAAAGAGAAGCTATTTACGCCCATGTATCTGATGGTTGGCCGCAAGCCAAAGGCTTGACCTCTTGTCTTTTCTAAAACAACAATAATAGCTTCTGGGTTCTAATTTTTTCTATTTAATAAAGTACAACCATTACTACAATAGGTTTATGAATACTATGTACGGAGTACCTAACCTTAATTGCAAGCCAGTTGATCTATGTTCCAAGGTTGTGAAGATGCGCGCCGATCCGCCGATCCGCCGTGGACTTAGTAAGCTGGCAGAATTAGGCGGTGGACGAACAACTTCGTAAGTCCGATACCTCTGTAACAAGCTTACTGAGATCCTGACTCTAGAGTATACTATGTGCGAGAACAACAGGTAATGAAGTCAGGAAAAGAACAAGAGATGGGAAAATATGAGAGATTTTTATGTACACAGGTAAGTGGTCCGAAACCTCCCCTTGATCCAATCCCCTCCTCTGTTAAGCCTTCAGGGTGTCTATCTAACTCTATTGATCTATCTGGACAAAATCGAACAGTGAAATTACAAAACATCTATCCCATATACAAACATACCAACGCTGCTCTACCATTATATCCCATTGAAAACATTCCTCAAACACCCGAGAGGCAGGTTGACGAAATCGGGGTTCTTGGTCATGCTTCAAACTTCCATGACCCTCCTTGGTTCCTTGCAGTAACGACCTTTAATCCATTTTCGCAAAGCGGCCGATGGAATTGAGAAGGCTTGATTTGATCCACAGCCTTGGATGTCAATCATATGCATATCATGAAGCTTCGAGACTGCCATCTGCATCCGCAAGTCAAAATGTGCTGATTCATTACTGTCCACTTCCGATTCACTGCCATGGGCACTTTGCCATCCGATGATGGACAAGATGATGGATAAGAATCGATTTCGCTTGTTGACCTTCTTGTGCAAGAGTCCAAATCCCCTCCGCAAGACATCAGAAGTGACGGGGTTCTTATTTTCCTCTCCCTGCAGCTCGGCTAACTTGGCGAGCAACTCAGGCGCATCCTGAGTGAATTTCCCGGGTCGTTCTTTGATTTCGTCGATGGAAACCTCGAAGGCGAATATGATATCACGCTGAAAGGCGTGTTCTGTCGCAGGCAGGAAGCGCTTGTACTCTGATGGTATATTGTCTTCAACTTGGTTAAACTTCTCCAGGTAACCCTCGGTAGTCCATTTCGTCTTATTGATCGTGGCACCTACCAAGGACAGGGTGAGTGGTAGGAGCTTTTTTGGGGGCTCTCCCTCCGAGGCTAGGTTGCCATCTGCATCGTTCCAGGGACTGCACAGATTCATCCCCAACATGAGAAGCTCCTTTGCGCAGCAAAGAGACTCCATTTTCTCGCAGTGAATATGTGGAGGAAGGCTACTGTTCAAGCCTTTGGTCGTAACAATAATGTGGCCTCTATCACTCCTTGGCAGAAGTTTTTCCAATAAGCCGAAATCACTGGCGTCTTCTACAATCAAAAGCCATGGCTTTTTGTGATTGCAGATTCCGGTGATAGACTTTCGGTGATCTTGTAGAAGATCTTGTAGTCCGTTATTAGATGTTGACTGTGCGAATGTGTCATTGTTCAAGTTTTCCGCATCGATCCAGAAAACTTTAAAATAACTAGGCCAGCGTTAGCGCATCAATCCATTGAGAATGGTGCCGGATATCACATGCAGAAATTGAACCATGGTGTTTCCGTACCTGTATCTATGATGCCATGCGAAACCACGACATAGCTGTGTCTTTCCAGATTGAGCATCTCCCTGAAGAACAATGATCGAAGATTCGATAAGTTTTTCGTGGAGGGGCTTGAATGGATTCAGCCGTCTTTTGTATGAGGCGACAGAAGGCTCGGAATGCTCATTTTGAACATATTCAAGAGGTTGGATTATCGAATCGTTGGATCGTCGAGCTTGAACTTGAGGCATTTCTGCCAGTGAATTGTTGTGTCTAAATTGTTAAACCAAATTAGCTCAGTGGATCTGGTTGAGGTTTTGCTTTTTTTTCTTCTTCTCAGACTTACATATCAAGGATAGTCCATCTCCGATTGACAGCGGATTGTGCGTTCTCAACACGCCGGTGTAACTCCCGAATCCGGCTCTTCGTACCAGGCCAATTCAGCCTGATAATCTTTTTGAGCCCACCAAGACTGTAAGGAATATTGGGTCCTGTGCTGCCACATTTGTTGAGAATGTAATCGATAAAGTCATTTGCACATTCCTTATACTGGAGAACCACTTGCTGGCTATCGTCCCAATCCTTCTTGAATTCTAAAGATTCACAAGGATACAAACTCACTGACGGTAACTTCTGTATGTATCGTTCTAAAGTCAGGGAATTGGTTTCAATATCAGCTAGAAATTGTTTGGCATCTTCGAAATGGCGTTGAGCGTTCTCAAAGTAAACCCCAGCCCACAGGATCAAATTTATAAAAATCACCAACCATTCCCACACCATATGAGAAAACAAGTCAATGAAGAACTCCTTTAACGCCGACATGAAGTCTGCCATACCTATGGGTTTAGAAGGAAGAAGAGAAAAGAGAAAAGTGAAAAGTGAAAAGTGAAAAGGGCTGATCCAAGTTGTGATATCTTGCAGTCGCAAACCGTGATGATGTGTATATTCAATCTGAAGATGGATTTGCTTACTTATGTACAGATCTAACTCCCTCCTCTTCAACTGTTCCTCAATCTGCTTTCATGCTCAGGCTGTCCTGCTTTCATGGATTCTGGAGATTGTCTCACAAGTATCTTGTCGGTATGATCCAAAAAACCTAAGTCAAATGTGTGCCTTTGTGAATGTTGAAAGAATGTTCAAGTTAATCATTAATCACGGGGCGATAATAGTAATATAAAGAGCCACTGTCCAGGTGTGTCTCGGCTGCGTGCAATGATGGCCCCTCCAGAGGTCAACATTGAACCTTGGAAGTGCTTGAGTCATCCTATTACCCTCTGGCTGTCTTGCACATTCATCTTGTCTTCAAAAGTGTCCTCTGATATACCCATATGCACTTTGTCGCAGTAACAATAGCTCAGTATCCATATCTGAGCTATATCCCAGGTGGGAGTAGAAATTGTCTGAATTCTGCCAGTGGGTTTTCATGCCCGTCTTTTCTCTCTGTGTTCTCTGATTTTGAGCCACAGATCTGAAACATTGTAATGATATCGTTTCTGAATCAACCTTGGAACACATTTCTTACGCATGAAAATTTTGAGAATATCAGGTGAAATAGCTGGAAAGAATGGATCAATATTGATTCATGGTTGAGTAGTAGTTATCAAAAAATGATACTACCAGAACATGCGATATAACTTGAACCTTGAAACCTTGGAAGCTCAACTACAGGTCCACGTCCCGGCGCCCGGGTGTCAACGGCCCCGGTCCTGGTAAGTCCCTTACTAATACCCCGTATCCGTGCTCACCTGCCCATGTGTGCAGCCACCTGGGCAGCCTTCCAGTGGTTCACCGTGACGGGCACCTGCAGGTGGACCCATAACTGCCCAGGTGGCGTACCTATTTGGGAACAGCCCTGCAGATATTACATGTAATATAATAAATTTAATACAGAACCTTTCCACTTGGGCAACCTTGGAGATAATGTAGATCTATATTCAAATTCTAATTACACTCTACTAATCTACGTTCAAATGTTCTTATGGCTCCTGATTGATCTCGATTACACATTGGTTTCCAAGGTTGGCTGGGTGTTCTTCCAAAATATACGGGGTTTAAAGTCATTATTCCAACCTTGGAAGTCAGACCTACCTAGGGAGCCTACTTTGATACGGTATTTTACAGCACACATGGCTTGGAGTGGGATTCTTCTTGACCAGGGTATGTCGCTGCATCCTAGAGCGCTCTGCACCCCATTCCTACCAAAGTGAGTTCCAAATAATAACAAATGATGAAAAATAAAAAGAGAAAATAGAGAATTAGGCTAATATTTCATCAAATGCTGAAGAAAAAGGAAAGAGAAACCTGAAAAACATCTATAGGAATCAGACCAATAATATATTCATCTCAAGTGTAGATCATCAAGGTGAATCGATCAAGCCACTGGCAGCGCCACCTAGGTAGTATTAGTAGCCTCCAGGGCTAAGTTCAAGTTACTAAATGCCAGTGAGCACTTAAGAGGTCTGATTCCAAAAATGGAGATTCAAGCATGGCTATTGCAAGCATGACTATTGATACTACAAAATACTAGTAGTTTAGAGGAAATTCTATTTCAGGAGAAGGATACTAGTGAAAAAGAAAAGGAAAAATTCATTCTGCATAGCAAGCAATACATCACTTCACCACTGGTTGATCAATTACCAAGTAAAAGATCAATCTAATCACGATACAGCAAGAAAATGGAAAAAACTTGAAAGATAGCAAGAAAACATTTGAAACCACATAAAAAATAGTATCCACCTCAAGCGTCCGTCAGGTAAAGTGACATCTGCCAGTGAATACCTTCGAAAAGAAAAGGAAAAAAACACACACTCTCTCTCCAGATGTTATAAACACATCAACACACATACCAAACTATAGCTTGACCTAGATAGTATTCTAGGGTTCAAAAATAGGTTTCCTATTCCTTATGTCCAGAGACAAGATGTGCTTTACTTTCTCCAGAGGTCTTTGAGCGTCATCTTCTTCGTTTCATTTGGAACTTGAAAACCCCAGCCATAGCTTTCTGGATCAGTGACCAGAGCTCCAAACTCCAAATCATGTGGATGTAAGAAAGGTGTAGAGACTGCTGCGCCATGCAGTTCCGGTACGTCCTCGGTGTCGAATTCCATATGCGATGGAAGCCTAAAGCCTACTACTGACTTCAAATCCACATATCTCTCTCTCTCAAAACGTAAGTCCCCCCTTTCATAGAGCTGCCTTAATAACCTAATATGTTTTTTTATGGCTATTATTGGTGTTTTGTTTAAGGTTTCTGAGTCGAAAGTCTTATGAATCTCATAAAGATTCCCAAAGCATCCATACATCTCCATCCAAAATACTCGACGAGGTCCACGCCCATAACAACCATCACGGGGATACCCACAATCATACCCATGTATAGGACAACGAGGACCGGTTATTGGTATATAATCAGATATCATAAAGTGATTAGACATCACTGCCTTCTCCAGTATCTGAAGAAATCCCTCTGCATCATTTATTGGTCCAAATGCATCCAGATTAAAACCGACCCAAAGTGAATGGAAATCGGACCATCGTTGTTTGATTGTCTCTAAGTCTTTATAGATTCTTTGATTTCGATATAGTCTTCCACATTCCTTGATAGCCCACCTAGGAAGTAAAACCTTATAATATGAGTTGATCTTGTAATCTGTGGACAAGACTCGGAGTTCAATGGATTCTAATCCAACATCTATTACATGTTTTCCGAATCCGGTGCCAGTATCTTTATAGTCCTTGTATTTGAATACAGTGTTAGGTTTAGGAACACTTGGATCAAGAAGGCCATCTTGCCAGACCTCTGTGTCACAAAAGAATTCCGGTGGAGCAAAACCAGGTTTTTGTAGCTTAGGCTGCCAAGCGCGATCCCGCGCATTCTTTAAAGGGATTTTCAGATCCTTAGGGTGCATCGGCATCTTCGAAGTTGTAGCACTTAAGGGTTTGGTGTTTGAATTGGCTTATAATGGGTGGAATGGTGGAATGGTGGAATGGTGGAATGGTGGAATGGTGGAATGGTGGAATGGTAGAATGGTGGAATGATGGAATAATTGTGTATTTAAATATCTATGTTCGCATAAAGAGACTATCTACGATAGATCTAGTAGGGTTGACTAACTTCGATATTACGCCTGATCAAGTGCTATTTTGGACATGATACTGAGCTAAAATGTGAGGCCTACTAGTAACCATGGATACCTATGTAAGGATCAAGTCCCCGTGGAAGTACATAAACATAGCCAAGCGATAGAAGAATAAAGAAATCTACTAGTATATTTATCACTTCCACGGTTGCCCTGAAGTTTTCTTGTTTTTTTGTTTGCTCTTTGGTGCCCATGTGCACATGTGTGTCAATATTTGAACTCTTTCAAAAAACACTGAAAACTTGGAACTTGAAAATCCAGATGACATCAAAGTACCTAGGTATTCCTTTGACCATTTGGCCAATCCTACCTACAACATGTGGCACCATTCAAAGCTTGCCAGTTGAACAGAGAAAAGAAAATGGAAATAATAGTAAAATATTAAAAATAGTAAAATGACAAAAATAACATAAAATAAAAATTCCAAAAATTCATCACCCATGGATTTAGCACTGGATTCTTGATTCTTTCATGAGAATCACCTGGGCACTTGCATTAAAATTCAAGTCTTAGGTAGCAAACAACAGAGATTACAAAAAAAATGTGGCTTACATGTGTGGTTCACATCGGCCAGCTGGCCGATTTAGGACTTCTACCTGGTCTGCCTGAATTCTGATTGGTGGACGATTTGTAAAAAAGAAATAAAATAACACTCTTTTTCAAAATTTGCTTAGAAGACATGTTACTACAGAGTACGGAGTACTCCGTACACCTCAGGTATTTGGTTTAATCCATTTCTTTTTTTGAAAGCACTGGTAGCCTCTATTTGCCTGATAAGGAAACTTATTGAAGGATGAGCTAAGTTAACCAGCCCTACTTAATATTTTACATAGACCTACACTTACTATGAAATAGAGCTGGTTAGATTATAAGATAATAAGAACCTTGGAACTACCTGCCTACCTGGGCAGTGAAGTTTTAATTACGATACAGATCAATCGGTGTACGGGGTGAAGTGGCGGTGTGGATATTGATGTAAACTCCTGGCACCTCTAGGGCTTATAGGCCAGCGCTTGTGAACTTTGACACAAGCCCTAGAACTTGAGGTAAATGTCTCAGGCTACCAGTAGTCTGAGAAACTAGGATCGCAGACCAAAAAACGCAACCCCCATCCCATTCACATACATCTTTCATCCATCCCAGATGAGATAGCGGGTGTCAATAGGAGTCTGGAGTTAATCTTTGTCCGCAAATATCATCATCATCCTTGGAAAGCTTTCATGATCACGACTGCAAATAATGAAAAGGGTGGATCATCCACGTATCATGCCGTCACTGCATGTCTCGGTTGGGATTATAATAGCTCGTGTATACCCTGTCATTTCAGTCTCCAAATGCGGCGCCTCCTGAGTTCTTTCATCATACCCAGGTGGGCTCCACAGGCCATTTTCAATTAATCATTGGGTATCTGATCCTTTGCTCACATGCAACATTACGGAGCCCCCATGCAGTGGCTTAGACTCTCAATGAGCTGGAGTGTTCAATGGAGGTGCAAATTATCATATTGAGGATCCATGTTGAATATCCCACTAAGGTCCGTAAATTGTTCTGGTAGCCAATCATTTGTATGGTTTATTTTCAGGCTTGTGCACATGTGTATGTGGCGCCGGGCACTTGAGATATTTCATTGTGACGCGTGTATTTTGATGGGAATGGACTGAAAGCCACTTGATTATAGAGGCTTTGACTATCTTGACTTGGGTGAGAGTAGACCAATGTGCCATACAGATAAAAAACATTTTCTTTTCCCATTAACAGGCACCATACACCATACACCACACACCAGTTGACCGCACCAAACCACACAATCCATGCCGCCCCAACACACCTGGGCACTATTACACCATCGTTTTATACTCAAAACCCCAAAACCTTGGATAGTTCAAAATGGTCATCTAACAAATAGAATCTAGAAATAGCTACCAAATCCAACAGCATCCTTTTTTTTTATAAAACATAATTATAGATTAAAACCATCATTCCAAGGTTCCAGGTGGATTTTCAAGTTTCAAGTTTTCAGAATGTTTTTTTTTGAAAGATTTCAAATATTGACACACATGGGCAACAAAGAGCCAAAAAGGACACATCAAGGCAACCATGGAAGTGAAGAATGTAGTAGTAAATTTCTTCATTCTTCTATCGCTTGGCTATGTTTACTATTGAATACTATGCACTTCCAAGGAGACTCGATCCTCATGTATCCATGGTTACTAGTAGCGCCTCGTGTTTCAGCTTCAAATGTTCAATACTATGTCCAAAATAGCACTTGAATAGGTTTAATACATACTACTCTTGAAATTAATCAACCTCATTGAATTTATCGCAGATCCAAGGTCTCTTTATATGAACATATATATTTAAACGCACAAGTATTCCAACATTCTACGATTCAAATATTTAAATCTTCAAGTTCAAGTTATAACCTTGGAAGCAACTTCAAGTTAAAACACCCAATCCTTCGAAGATGCCCAAGCACCCTCAGGCTGATGAACCCGATGAGTATCCTGTTAAAAATTGGCAGGATCGCTCGCGGCACCTACCGACCCCTGCTTTTGATCCACCGGAATTCTTTTGCGATACAGAGATCTGGCAAGATGGCCTTCTCGACCCCAATGCCCCCAAACCTGATGTTGTATTCAAATGGAGGGACTTTAGGGATAGAGGGCTAAGAGAGCAATGGTTTGAATTAAACTTCATTGAGCTCCGAGTCTTGACCCCACCTACTAAGTGTAACACAGAAAGTTATAAAGTTATGCTTCCTAGGTGGGTGATAAAAGAGTGTGGAAGACTATATCGAGATCAAAAAATCTATAAAGACTTAGAGACAATTAAACAACGGTGGTCTGATTTTTATTCACTTTGGGTTGGTTTTAATCTGGATCATGATATAGTTGGACCAATAGATGATGCAGAGGGATTTTTTCAGATGTTAGAGAAGGCAGTGATGTCTAATCACTTTATGATTTCTGATTTTGAGCCAATGGCCAATCCTCAGTGTCCTCAACATAGAAATCGCTATTGTGGTCATTCAAATTCGAAATTTTCTGATAAAGACTGTCATGGGTGGGGACCCCGTCGAGTATTTTGGATGGAGATGTATGGATCCTTTGGTAATCTTTATGAGATTCATAAGACCATAGAATCAGAAATGCTAAACAAAACACCAATCAAAGCCATCAAAAAACATCTTAAGTTATTGAGGCAGCTCTATGAAAGGGGGGACTTGCGTCTTACGACAGAGACACCTATGGAAGAATGCACAGACATAGGCCCCCATGCTCCAGAAGATATGTATTTCCGGGTCGTGAAAAGAGATGAAATACCAGAATTGCATGGTACAGAATTTTGTCTGCATAAACGCCATCCACATCTTTTGGAGTTTGGAGCTCTGGTCACTAATCCAGAACGCTATGGCTGGGTTTTTCCAAATGAAATTCCAGTGGAGAAGAAAATGACCCTCAAAGAAAAAGTGAAGCACCTCTTGCCTGGACATAAAGAATAGGAAACCTATCTTGGAGTCTTAGAATGATGTTGCCAGTGTCTGGGTCAATTATCATTAAGCTATACTTTGGTATGTGTCAACTGGTGTGTGTATGTGTTTCTTAAGTTTTCGATGCTTTTCCTCATGTTGCGGACTGGTTCCGTTGGGCGGAATTATATGACAGAATGTTACCTCTGAATTTGAAGTCCCCCCATTACTGTACGTAGTTTCTACTGCTATCCATCCTGAAATTGAAATTGTCTTTTACGAACGGTTTTCTCTTGGGTTGCGGCCCAGCTTGGTCTCCAGTGATTTTGTGGTCTGGAGTGTACCTAGGGGAAGCTGGGGGAAGTTAGGATGGAGAAATATTTGAATAGTAGACTATTCTTGATTCTATTTTGTTTAGGTTCTATGGTTCTCTGTTCACATGTAGACACCGTCACTCAAAACTTCATATTCCACATAACAATCGGACACAGACAGGCAGCTAAATCTAGTCTAGTCAAAAATAACATCATTTCTCAAAGTTCCAATCTCACTGATCGACACCTCCATCTGAGTTCCAGGGACAAGATACTTGGGAGGACTTAATCCCGCTCCAACACCTAATCAAGCATTCCAAGGTGTTAGCATTCCGATTTTACAAGAGAAATCCCCCCACTTTATGTGGTATAAAAGTAGATTCAGAGAAAGAAAAAAGAGAACTTACCACCTGGAGTGCCTGTCATTATAACACTACCCTTCTGCAGCGTAGTTCCTTGAGAAAGATACGAGACCAAATACGCACAATCAAACAGCAAATCAGAAACACTTTCCTCCTGACGTACCTCTCCATCCACAACAGTCTTCAACCGCAAGGTCTTTGGGTCTGCAATCTCTGACTGAGCAACAAGACAGGGGCCTAGGGGAGCATATGTGTCGAATCCCTTGGAGAAACCCCATTGCGGGACTCGGCCTGCGAGCACGGGATCACGCTGCAGTTTGCGGGAGGAGATATCATTCCCGACTGTGTAGGCAGCGACATATGAGAGAGCGTCCGATTGAGAGACGTTTTTGGCATCGCGACCGATGACAAGACACTTATTTTGTCAGTAAGGTAAGTCCATAGAACTTGAATCTTTAGTCGTTTGCCTTTCACGAAGCCGGAGACTGAGATTAAAAAGGATAGATGAATGCAAACGACTTACCAATTCGCCCTCGTAATCCGCTTGATCATCTTGAGCAATCTTTGGGATTGCAACTGACTTGCCGTGATCATGGACCGTGGTATTGGGCTTAAAGAAAATAAATGGACATGGTGGAGGTGTGCGTCCAGCTTCCTTGACTGTATAGATCAAACGGGAATTAGCAATTGGTCCAGCAACTTACACATGCTCAGATATACTAGTACGTCAAGCTATTTGGATTCAGGTTCCAGCTAGCTCAATCTAATCCATCCAAGTTTCGGGGCAAATAATACTTACTATGCTTTGCATAGTTAAGTCCAACACATCGCAGAATCGGGACTTCACTCGCCGCTAGCGGGCCCAGAATCGTACGAACAGTCACGATCTCATCCGTGACGCGTGTTGCACCCATTGTGTCATATATATCATCACCCTCAATCACGCGGGCTTGCAATTTGTCGGACTCGGTGATGAAACCGAGATCGGTAGTTGGGGTTGGCAGAATGGGTTCTCCACGCAGGACTCGGCCGTCGGTGGCGACGAAGCGGATGAGGCGTTTCCAGGGGAGAGACATTTTGAGTGTCTTTCTTTTTGTCTGAGAAATGAAAACCAGGTGTAATTAAATGAAGATTGTGAGATGCTATTATTGTTTTCCAAGATTCCAAGGTTGTTATATGAGGGGTATGGATGGGGTAAACTGGGATACCGGGGGTAGATCGGGTACACCCGCGGGTTGGTTCGTTGTGGATATTGGAATCGGTAGAGCACTTAAGTGGAATGGGATAGAAGACTCGGAATAAGATATGTGGTTATGGTAGGAGTGTACGCTTGGATTCTATTGCCTTTCTTTATCATAATCTCGCAAATTGGGTAGGTGTGCTGTTTCTTTGTGTGCACTCGTATGGATGGAGATCGCATTATTGGAACGTAACTCGGAGACTTGAATCAAACACCATGATAAAGCTACTTTAAACTCGTACTTTACAAAAGCTAGCTCCTATTCACATTCATTACAAATGGCTCTTGCTAGGAGCGTCGTTCGCCCAAGCCTGGTCAATTTCCACATCCGCATCGTATGCATAGGACCACATCTGCGTCGCAGGATCACTCCACTGGTTAGGGCTATGGCTGAATGGCTCACCCCGAGTCTCAGGCATCATAGCAGCATCACGAGCTTTCTGAACTGGTCCATCTGCAAAATGCCAAAGCTTCCCATTTAACAAACTAGCTTCCTGCATCTTACCAGCTCTGTCGATACGCACCTTTTCGAAAATGCCAAGAGCTTTGTTGATTTCACTAGAATTGGTGATTTTTGTCAGGGAGCGTGCAAGAGCTACTCCATCCTCGACTGCCATTGCAGCACCTGATATAGAGTCAATGAAAATGATTAATCTCTGTCTGATTGTATAGAACTAACCTTGCGACATGTACGGAAGCATGGCGTGGGCTGCATCACCCAGAATAATGACTTTGCCTGCTGTCCACTGCGACAGAGGATTTCCACTCACAAGAGGCCATTTAATGGTATTTTGGATCATTCCAATGATTTTGGTGAGTCTGATGTGGGATTAGTAGGTATTTAGCGTGGAATTATAATATTTCACATACCTTGGATCCCATCCCTCGAATTCTCGCTTCATCTCAGTCGTGGCTTCCGTTTGGTCCCATGTTGTCGGGTCTGAAGCATCTGGGTGCGAAAGCACCATGTTGAAAGACTTGCCCGCTCCGATGGTGTATGTCATCACATGTCTCTGGTCACCGATCCTGGTGGATTGTTAATCGTGCGACGATTTAAAAGGGTATATTCCAAAATCCTACCAAATATTCAATGCTGGTCGCTCTAATAACCATGCGGTTTGGGGATCTTGCTTTATGAGTGAAACGTCGACGGTGGCTCGGTAGGCTGCGAATCCGGTCCTCGTAAAAGGCTGAAGTCCAGATTTATCAATGAGTTGGCGAGCGACGGATTTGACTCCTATTTAACTGTCAGTACGTCATAGATAGATTGAACAAAGAAAAGTAATACCATCTGCAGCAACGACCAAGTCACTGGGAGGAGACACCTGCCCACTCTCAAGACTGATTGTTCCATTTTCGGTATCATATGCCGTCACTCGGGATCCAAGCTTGATAGTGACACCAAGATCCATAGCACGCTCATGAAGAGCAGAGTGGAAATTCGCCCGATGAATCACATAGTATCGGGCTCCAAAAAGAGCCCGGAAATTGGGAATCAGCTTCGTAAGTCCGATCACATCGCCAGTCTCCCAGCGGCGGAAGGAGATGGATTCAGGCTCTGTGATATATTTCGCCAGATAAGGCTCCAGGCCTAGTCGGTTTAGTAGACGGGTCGAGTTCGACGGGATTTGTATACCTGCACCAACCTGTGACGCGTTAGTCATGAAGGAAAATCAACTACTAGTAGAAGTTGTTGGAAATTCGTACTTCACCCAGTGCCGCTGCTTGCTCGTATACCGTCACGGTATGTCCCGAACTGGCGAGCGCAATAGCAGTCGCCAAACCACCCAGTCCGGCGCCCACAATGGTGATATTCAAACGCAAGCGAGCTGTCTGAAGCGTTGTTTCTCTGTAACCTGTATTCAAGAACTCCAGACAATTGCTTGGATATGTGGGGTGCTATCATCTGGTCAGCTCTTCATCCTCCCCGCGCTATGGAATTCTATTATACTGACCTGGAGAGAGTGCTCCTCCTGAGCATAATCTTTGGGAGACATGATACCGATTTTTACTGCTTCTCGTATCTGAATTTTGGACGTGATATTAGTAAGATTTGATTCGGTGACAGCTATCTGACAGACAGTTTAAATCCCCATACTTCCCCGCGCTTTCTTACCGCGCCGCGGATGGGCATCCGATGTACCCCCGAATCCTGCAACAACGCAGCCAGCGTAGAAATTATGGACAGGATATAATTGTCAGGCAAATCTACTGTGAAGAGATAAATTAAGTCTTCAAGTTACAGTGAGATTCTCGAAAAATATTCATATCCTATACCATCACCATGTCCGCAACAGAACAAGTCGCTACAGTTGTTGATACCGAGGAGCAATTTCTTGCTGATCTGGAGGCAAGCAAGACGCTGCCTCTGTGGAAGCAGATGGCACGTCTGAATCCTCCTGCTCCAAACCCCACCACCATCCCCAATATCTGGAAGTACAAGGCTATCCGTCCGAACCTTGAGCGTGCCGGCAAGCTTGCCCCAGAATCGCAAGCAGAACGCCGAGTGTTGATGCTCATCAATCCTGCCCGAGGTGAGTTTGAGTTTATTTTATTATGCCTCTTATCCTTTGCAGACGAGGGCTGTCCAAGCGTGAAATATGCTAATACTCTTTCAAGATGCACCTTACACTACTGACACGCTCTACGCCGGTCTGCAGCTGGTTATGCCCAACGAGATCGCGCGAGCCCACCGTCACACAGCATTTGCAATGCGCTTCATCATCGAGGGCCAGGGCGGATTTACAGCCGTGCATGGCCGCCGGATCAAGATGAAGCGTGGCGATGTGATCCTGACCCCGAGATGGAACTACCATGATCATGGTAAGGACGGATCCGGGCCAATGGTTTGGCTGGATGGATTGGATCTTCCCAATTTTCGACACTTCCCAGTACATTTTGTCGAGCATTATGATCAGCCGCGCTATCCTGCAGAGGATGTGGATAGTCTTACATCTCCGTTGGTGTTCCCCTGGACGGAGATGCAGGCGCGATTGGATGCCGTTCCCGGTGACTTTGCGACTCATCGATATTTGAAGGACGATGGCAGTGAAGGTATATCCCCTGTAAAAGTATAATATGAATTGCTGCTAACTATTTATACAGTTAGTCGTGTTCTTGGTGGTTGTGCTGAACGCATTTCGGGTGCCAAATCTTCACCCTCTCGTCGCGAGACTGCCTCTTCTGTTTACCACGTCGTCACTGGTACTGGATACTCTGTTATTGGAGACGAGAAGTATATCTGGGAGGCAGGCGATACTTTCTGTATCCCTGCATGGTACAAATATCAGCACTTTGCCGATCAAGGAGAAGCGGTGTACCTGTATCGATTTGATGATCGACCCATGTTGGAGGCGCTGGGATTTTATCGCACAGATGAAATGGATATTGAATCCCTAGTATCGGAGTAGATAGTCACAAAAAGAAGAATAAATTTCATATATGGTATTTTAGATTATATAAAAAAATTACCTCTTGGAAGTGTAGATTCTCCAATCAGTCTATTTGGTTATACTTCATCATCCATGTACATCAATTGATGTACTCTTCAAATGTTCAACCTCGCTTGGGCCGTGTGCCCCACTAATAGACGCCAGACCCAACCTGGTCAGTCCCTGTTTACCTTACACCTTCACGTCATTGGAGACATCTGGAGAATCAATACCTGAAATAAAGTCAATAAGAAAATCCTAACTCTCCCTATGTATGCGCTATGCATACTACATATCAGAATGTGATCGGGGGCACATAGGCGCTCAATGTCTGAGAACTTGAACCTTCAAATGTTAGGAACTTGAAGGATCAGCGCGGTTTAACCGGATCCTACTTACCCGAAGAGACTCGTCATCTCCGCACCAATGTGAATCATGACCTCTGGCTCCTCTAAATTTTTTTATCCTGTGCCCAAGTGGGTATACTGTATCCACACAGAGTACGGAATACACAGGGTTTCCATCCTTGGGTATTCCATAACCCACATGGGCTCGTCTCACATCGAAGGCTTAGCGATGTGGACTTACCAGTGACCCACAGGGAAAAAACCCCAGCGGGGTCTCGGAGGTTACCGGTCACAGAGTCACAGAATACGAAGTAGAGAGTAGAAGTTCAAGATTAATGTGTATATTTTGCTGCCTTCTGGAAATGAAGGAGTTTCCCCTTAATCTATTTAATCTATAGATCTCATTAGGGGAAATTAACTCCGAAAGAATTAAATCTCCGTGAAATGAAAAATGAAAGAGAAGAATAAGAAAAATGAGAAAATAAAAGGAACATTTGAAATGAATGAGGATTTTTAAAAATTAAAATAAAAATCAATCACACAATGTTCCAGAATTGAAATATTATTGGTGGTGTGAATAGCTGAAGGCTGAGAAGGGCTGAAAGTAGATCCAACCCTTCATCACCAATCAGAAAACATAACTAATGAGATCACCCCAATGTAAGGTCATTGTCTCCGCCTAAAAATGATCCCTCACCTGAAACTAGCGAGGCTTTTTTATCGTTACTTTCATCGTATTATGGGGCTTTTAGTCTGTTTCAGCTCTTGCGCCGCAGAGTGTCTTGGCTTTGTCATTGGCCTATGAGAGGACATTATGACGGATCTCTCCATCTCATGTTCCTGAAAATGGTACCGCTGTAAAGAGACATGGTGGGTTGTTCCAGCTTTGTCTCCACCATTGAAAGATACATATACTTAGGGGATTTCTCTTTTTTTTTACGATGTTCAAGCAAGTCTTCTTCCACCTTCCTTTTTTCTTGAACGTGCTGGGCACTCCTTTTCACAGCAAAAATGTTCATTCTTCCATTCGTATGTTCATCGCCACATCCTTTCTCATACAGTCATACTATGGAATCTATACTAATTACAAAATTCCATAGCTTTTGGCTGCCGGCAGCCTCCCCCTCATTTCTGGGGCGCCGATAGCATCCTTTCACTACAAGTCTGCACACGCAAAGTCCAGTCCTTCGATTACTAAACGCAGTACCGATGTGTACCAGTCCGTGTTTGGTGGTGTTGGTACTATTCCAAATGGGTGGCCCTCGATTGACGAGTGGTCCATCACCTTTGATGACCTGTGAGTGTGAAGACCGAGTATCAACGAAAGAATCCAAGCTAATCGGATCATAGTTTTGAGTCAAACAAGGCTGTTATGTCAGACAGCTGCTCCCAGTGGGATGTAGCCAACAACTCTGACGATGAGATCGCCGACATCAAGACTGCCATCGAGGCAGTTGCGGAGTCCAGTGGTGTGGATGCCCGATTCATTCTGGCTATTGTTATGCAGGAGTCCAACGGCTGTGTTCGAGTTCAGACCACCGATAACGGTGTGACCAACCCCGGTCTCATGCAAAGCCACGATGGAACTGGTTCCTGCAACACAGATGGTGACGTCCAGGACCCATGCCCATACAGCGAGATCCACCAAATGATCGTCGATGGTGTCGAGGGAACTTCCTCGGGCGATGGTCTCAAGACACTGATCACCCAGGAGGGTGGCAGCTCGACTGCTTTGTCGCACTACAAGGCTGCTCGTTGCTACAACTCCGGCTCTGTCGCCTCGGACGGAAACCTGGGCCAGGGTGATGCCACTCACTGCTACGTTTCTGACATCACCAACCGTATCCTGGGATGGAGCTCTGGTACTAGCGACTGTGACGAAGACACGATCGGTGACCTCACTAGTAGCGATTGGACCGCCAGCTCAAGCAGTGGCTCTGGAAGCTCTTCTTCTGCTGTCCCCTCCGCTACTACTACTACCTCCACCTCTACCTCGAGTGTTGTTCCTGAACCTACCGTTGTCACTAGTGCTGCTCCTGAGCCTACCACTACATATAGCCCTGTCCCTGCAGTCCCTACCACAACTGCTGAGCCCAGCCCTGCCCAGGCGACTACCACCGCTGCTACTACCACTACCACATCTACCCCCACTGTGCCCAGTGCTTCATCAAGCGCGTCCGCATCGGCATTCCCTATCTACCCATACGCCACATCATCTTGTACAGCCTATGCCTCGATTGTCGAAGGTGATTACTGTGACTTGATTGAAAGCGAATACGGAATTACTGCGTCTCAACTCCTAGGCTGGAACTCGGGCTTGGACGAAAAATGTACCAATCTTTGGAAGGGATACAGATACTGTGTTAGCGCATAGTCTGTTTTTCTCTGCTATCTTTCTCTCATTCTTGCTTCTTCAGTGTCTTTCTTTACCTTCACTTCTTTTTACATTTTTGATTCCTTCTTTTTTTGCTCCCTTTCGCTCTAGAGGCCGTGCCATCTAGAGCAAAATGGACATTTAAAATCTTGCTTGGAGAATACGGTTGGCTTCCATTGCATACTTTGGTTAGGCCGGCCTTGGCCCTTGTTTTGCTGGCCGACACGATTTCACGATAGCTTTTTTTTCCCCAACTGGACATTTGATACCACTGTGTGCTGCAGACAGGAAATACAAAAACATGGAAACATTCCAAAAATAATCCAAGTAGTTCAAGTTCCTTTGTAACTAAGTTGTCTACCTCATTATGCATATCCATACGAGGTCACCCGACTTCCAAGGTTCTCTCGAAGCGCCAACCTCGCGTATCCAAGAAACCTTCAGCAACACCATCCAATGCAACATAACTGCAACGTGTTCCATGAGATTTCTAATCCTCCGAGGTCCATGTACATGCATCATGCAAGTGTACTGCACGTCGCAGTAAGGCTACCAGTAAGGAGTCAGGAGAAACCGCGAGGGTGGGGACCGGGCCGGCGCGTAGAGCGACATCGTCATTCGCGATGATGAAAAATGGAACACGAAGAATGCGCAAGGTGACGTACTATTAAAGCTGAGACAAGCTTTTTGATTATCGAATCTTGCATCCCTTGTATCTGAGGAGGTTTCATGTCTAAATAATTCTAGGTTGGTGGTAGTAGCGTTGTGAATAAGTGGGGTTAGGTGTGTATTGGTGCGTAATACAAGTTACGGTATATGATCTATACCTACTGTTGAAACATGTTTCTGGTGGAAGTTCAATTTCAATGAGATTGTTTATAAGACAGGTTCATGGTCAATGGATTAAGAATCGGCGTTGAAACATGTCTCTGTTATCAAAGCTTGTTTTGACGCACGTTTTAGAAGAGGGATATATCGACTAGGAGGTGCCTGACGATTGATATAAGAGTTATAGCATTTCAAAGAAGTGTATTTCTGATTTGAAAGGCTTGAATTCATATCAGACTGATGATTGATATTTTTGTCTTAAGAGAGTAAATTGGGGAGTGCCATACAAATAGTAGCTTGGCTGCATCAGTTTACTAAGTTGCGTGGAGTGCATGCGGGAAAAGTCCAGAGGCCATATAGTTGAGTGACGTGGAAGGAAAGGAACAACTCAGCACAGCTGTTCTAGCGGTTAGTGGTCTCTGACTCTTGGAAGAAGACAGAAATATTGATCAGGATAATGTCGGGTCCTGGTCAGTCGTTGAGCTCACCCCGGCGGGCGGGCAGGGAAGTAGCTCCGACCGAAGCTACGGGCATTCTTTTTTTTTCAATTTTTGATAGTTTTATGTAAGATATTTTCAGACTCTCTCTTTCCATCTTTATTTTCAGAACTCAAAAATACCTAACAATGAATTAGATATCGAGGATGATGGTGTTATGATAGATGTATAAAGTGAGGCTATTCGCAGCATCTCACGATGCGCACCCACTTTCGAGGTCCCCGGTCCAATTCCAGTCTCGGAGAGTTGATCTATTTTGGAATATTATGAAACGCTTTTTTATTCTCCTGGTTCCAGTGTCCAATCTACAACATGCTCATTGCATCCTTGGCCATTCTCTTAAGATCAACTTTGTACAGGAACAGGGTATAATTGAATCAAGAAGCCCTGGGGTTGGGCCCCCTCTTCCTCATTATCTTATTATTCTTTTTAATTCTTAGTCCTTATAATATCTTTCAATACCAGGTCGAAAAAAAATCCTGCACTATATCATCTGCGGAGGATCGACGTCGTCATTTAGCCTGCATCTCATTACTAGGATATTATCAGCCTCAACCAATTCAGATCAAGAAATTTAAACTTGAAATCCACTCTTCTTAAATTACTTCAAACATAGACCTCTTCCTCCTACTACTATGATCTCTCCAAATTGTTCAAGTTGACAATCTGAAACTGACAGGTCACGTGAATATCTAGTTCCGATATACCCCCGCTCATCCGACCGTTCCCCGCCAAATGCCCAAACCACATAACCCACTTAGATCCGACTACCCCGGATCACCCCCGGGTCTTACAACACAACTCAATGACCCCATCAGAAGAACCCGATCATGCAACACAGGCGCCGGCATCAAAGCGACGGCGTGTAGCTGTCGCCTGCGATGCATGTCGCGCGCGGAAGTCCCGTTGTGACGGCACCCGACCACGTTGTTCGCTATGCTCGGATCTAGGATTCGAGTGCGTTTATACGCCGCCGACTACAGCTACTAATTTGATCGTGCAGAAGGATTACCTGCATGGTCTGGAAGATCGTGTCAAGAAACTTGAGGACTCTTTACTCTCTGTCCGAGATGATATCGTCGGATTGTCGGCTCGAGTCGATTCAGGGCCGGGTTTGGGTTCCTCGAGAAGTGATGATGAGAGACAGAGAATCGCCTCTGTGCCTGACTTAATTGGGACAGAGGACTCGGTTGATGCGATGGGTGCCATGACTTTTGCTGATGAGGAGGATTCGGGGTTTTTTGGTATGAACCTTACTCCGAGTATGGAGTTCTGAGTGCATTGAGTTGTTGTTAATCCATTGCGCAGGTCCTTCTTCGAACATTGCATTCTTGAGAAATCTTTCTCATGCTGTTATCCAGCAGGGATATCTTTTATCGCCCGGGGCTGCGGAAGGTGGCTTTGTAAGTGCATCCAGGGCGCCATCCCCATTGCACCGCCCAACAGCCCAGGATCAGCGGTCTCAGGTCAATATATTTGCATTACCTACCCAGTCAGAGACTCTTGCTTTGATTCGAAGTTATTTCTCAAATACTGGTTTGCTCTTTCCATATATCTATCCTCCTATGTTTCTGGATACATATCACCAGATGGCACGAGAGAACTTTACCAAGGTTCGAAAGACTTGGCTTGGCTTGTTGAACATGATTTTGGCGATGTCGACCATAACATCTGGGCCGAATGGAACTAAAGCAGATTCTCGTATAGCCGAGTCTGATGTCTTCTATCAACGCGGACTCGGACTTTGTGGCGGGGAGCTGCTGCGCGGAACGACATTAGAAGTCGGTATGTGCATTCTTCATGGGTTCAGCACATTGGTAACTACTAACCAATGTATAGTCCAGTTCCTGCTTTTGATGGGACAATACCTTCAGGGTACTCAGAAGTCAGTCCAGGCTTGGACAGTTCATGGGCTGGCTGTGAAAGCCGCTCTACAACTTGGGCTTCACTCCGTTCACGCATCTCGAACTTTTAATCCTTTGGAGCAAGAGACTCGCAAGCGGACATGGTATGGCTGTGTGGTACTGGATAGGTGAGTCAGAGCTCAGGGTTTCCCGGGTGCTGAAACTAATTGTGTAGAACACTGAGCATGACATTTGGACGCCCAGCTGCCATTCCAGATAGTTACGTGAAGCTGGAACTTCCTTCCAAACGGCAGTTTGAAAAGTCATCTGCCTTTGTAGATGATGAGACTTCTTATCTTAGCGTCTCATTTTTCAACGCGACCATGTAAGTCGGTATCAAAAATGCGCCTGGTCTCTCTAACAACTATCTAGCACCTTGTATAAAAACTTATGGAGTGTAATCGACTCTCTTTATGGGCAGAACATAGGCTGCGATCCTCCTTTGCCCGTCAGCGAAACCGTCTCTCATATTTTCAACATGGAGCAAAGCCTATTTTCATGGGAGCGCTCACTGCCTTCGACTTTGCTAATGATCAACAAAACCACTTTATACGATATCCCCCAAGAGAAGCTTTCTGATTTTCAATACTTCTCTTGGAAGTTTCGTGTTATTTTGACTTTGCGTTATCTCAACCTGCGAGTCCTCCTTCATCGACCCGTTCTGGTGAAATTCATCACTGCGAGCCGATCCCAACATCAAGATCCCCAGGATATAAACCTATTGCACCAGATTGGAATGAATAGTTTGGAAATTTGCACCGCATCTGCAATGGAGACCATCGACATCATACATCAGGTTGTATCCGACCCTGGATGGAAGCAAAGTCTGTTGGGTGCATGGTGGTTCTCGCTTTATTACAGTAGGCTTCTAATCATTGTGCTTTTCTTGGTAATCTTGAGATGACCGTGCTAATAGACCACCAGCTTTCAATGCCGCACTAGTCACTTTAGGTGCCGTCTGGGTATATCAAGATACAGCCTTGGGTAATGCTTCCATGGCCGAAAAGGCAAAGAAAGTCCGAGAGTATCCCAGTCGCGCGGTCGCAGCTCTCGCTAGGTTGGATGACGGTAACCGGCTGATTGATCGATGCCGCGCATTTTTGGAAAAATTTACAAACGCTTTGGTTGATTCTGGTAAGTCGGCTCTTTTATTTGACAAGATGAATATCATACTAATGACCTGAAATCATAGAGACTGACCATAATGGTGCAATTCCTCCTTTGCCATTCATGGGTATTAATCGTGGTTCTTTGCCAACAGCAGACTTTGGCTTCTCGCCCTTTGGTATGGAATTGGGAGAGTTTATGATGGATGATGATTTGATTGCGATAATAGATAAGCAAGGGCTATTACCGGCGGATACTGTGCCCTAGTTATGGATGGAAAAGATTATCCTAAAATAAAATTGACTTTTCATAAGCACCTCTGAGCGTAAATGTTCAATCCAGAGCGCAGCATAGCCTTCGAACACTCTGGTAGAACTTTCTCTACTCTCGCACAAGACTCGCCTGGTATGCAATCTTCGCCAACAACGGTGCCATCCCCGCATGATTACATTCAGGCTGTAATCTCCTCCAATCCTTTGCCCATTCAACTTTCATCTTATCACTCCTCTTCTCAAAGCTGAATCCAATTTTTTCCACAAAACAATTATACTGCGCATCCGCTCCCTTCAACGCACAAATCTCATTACTCGTACAATCCCCCTCACATTCCGGAAACTGAAACCCACGAGTTCGCCTCGCCCAGAAGTCCCTGAAGAGCGATGTATGCTTCTCCATAGCAACCGTCACATTATGCCAAAAAGCCGGTGTCAACTCAGAATATTTATCTGTAACTTGAAACTCGAGCCTAGTCCCATAATCCGCTTTAGCAGAGTAATACGGTACCCATTCCGGTTGTATCTGGTATGGCGGATCACTGATATTGGCAATATACTGCGTGAAGTCCAGCACACCGAATGTAACTGAATCAATATCGTAGACACGGAAAGAGGGTGGATCGGATGTAGGTGTCATGGATGGAGCAATGTAGCCCATTGCTGTGGCTGTATCCCAGTTCCGCGCACTATAATCCGAGTACGAGATCTGGAACTCGTCTGTATGCGTATACCCGAAGAATAGTGCAGCGATAGTTGCCTCTTATCGCTGGACTACTTGGTCGAAGTAGTGTGAGTGATCGTAGAAATGGTCGGGGTTTCCAGAAGGAATATGTGAGATTAGCGAGACGCGTTGGTTTGAGAGTTCGGCCTCGTGGAGCTCGTTGATTAGCTATTCGAGTTGACTATTTGGATCATATTCCATTGGCTCCGTATAGGCGAAGATTTGTAGTAGAAGATACTGTTTTAAGAGATTATGCGTAGATTGCTATTTGGGTGAATGGCTGAATATGAGCCGTAATGGTTTGCGGTCTCGACGGATGGGATCCCGGTTAGAGCGAGCCAATCTGAAGTTAGAGCGTCGTAGGCCCATTGGAGATGATATTCGCTGGGAAGCTGGCTGTATTGGAAGAGTGTCAATGGAGCGGTGTCGTGATTACCCAGTGCGGCGTATACTCGGCCAAGCGTATCCTCCATTGCGCTGTACGTAGCGTTGAAATCTTGCAGGGCCTCGGCTTTGTTCACCAACCACATGTTGTGGGCGACAACATCGCCGGTGTAGATGGAGAATGCAGGATTCAATTCTGCGATCGCGGCATTTTATGCTTTCTTGGAGCCTATGTAGTAGATCGCACTTCGTATGACCCCATGCTCCACATGGAGAGGACGTGTTTTCGGGTGCATCCCCTTCTGTGGAGGACCTGCAGCAGATAGGCTTAGAACAGTCATAGTTGGACCCTGTCTCATAGGATAGATCAACGTGTGTTTCGCTAAAATGGACAACCTTGATCGCAGGCTCTCCACTGGGTGGAGGCCGGGAAGTCGGTGGTTCGGGAGAGGGGAATGTCAGATTATATGGCCGAACTGCTGGATAGTCACATAGTCCAACAAGACTTGCCCAGAATGTTTTGGCAGTATGCGAGCCTATCTCGAGATTCGTTAAAGAACAATGAACTGCGGGTCCTTCATTTGCAATGACCCCAGCACACACATCGGAGTCTTCGGCCTATTAACCTGTTAGTTCCGACTTACACCAAAAATGAGATGAGATGAACTTACACCGCTGATATCGCAAACACCAATCAATACATCCTCCATGAAAGACTCTCCAAAGTCTGCTACTAGTTTGAGGCCACCCAGGAGAACCTGAATGTTCGACCTGATTAGCAAGTATTTTCAGATACAGCACTGCTTATCTTACCTGATAGCTAGTACAGTCTACTGCTTCCTTGAAGTCATCCCAGATCGAGGCAATCCAAGTTTCTAGAGATTCCGTATGAGCAGTGACTAGCACTGCCCATGGAGAAATTGCAGCCACAGTATTAGTAAGGGCCAATTTCATTTTGACTGTTCCACATGGACGAGATTTTGGTTCAAATTTTCAAGCCTTCCTTGTGCATTTTATTGGATTCCAGGCAAATTGTTCAGATTTATATCCGAGTGCCTCGAGAAAAAGCACTTGAGAGCACTTGCATGTGAAATTCCTGCGATACTATGCAATGATACCTTTCGCTTATAGCCGGATTGCTCTTTCATCTAGAGAATAACCTTGGAAGAGATGCCGATCTTGAGATCGAATTATACTACCTAGTGTAGTGGGGTACCCTGTCCCCTACTACACGTACCGTGCTAAGAATTACCGTTTGGTTACATCTCTGTTTTGTCATGTTTTCAGTCCCGTCTTTGTACGTACAAGAATGCCCGTCGTTATAGTCTAGAATACACACTCCTACACATCTCTCATCCCACCCCTACGGGGTAGTCCGGCCACAACGTACATGTTGGTTGGTGTTATCCATTCATGCTAGCTGGATCGACCCGTGTATCTAGAATACACTGCCTAACGGTTCCCCTCTTCACTAGGTAGTATGGAAGACCATTTGAATCTTTTGTGAACCTTGCCCAGGTGCCAGAAACCTTTGAAGCAGTATTTGTAGCATTGTGAATTCTCGTTTCAATATCATGATTTCATATATTTGAATTGTGAGAGTTGGACCGAGGTGAAGTTATTGTTGACGGAACTTATTTGAGTCCGATATCTGGACTGAGAGGGGTATGGCAGCTTCAAGTTATAGACACCGATTAAGGAACAAAATCCATACTATTTAGAATAAAAACAGGCAAAAACTTGAAGTCATTTAATTACCAAGTGAAATACTAAATAATTCAAGTTGTCATTCAACTGAAAGAGCACGAAAGTACGCGTATAGAGAAAAAGTGAAGTGTGCCTTGGTTACTTTTAGTAGCGGGAGTTCTCGGGACCGCATACTGTGATGGGATAGCCAAGCAAAATAATGTCTTGCTAATGCCATCGTAGCGTATGGTTGAGGGGATAAGTTGATTAGTATGGAGTCAATTGCCTAATGATAATCCGTACATAATTGTGGCATTAATTATTTTGGCTGCATAGGAAAAAAGAATTGGATATATGTCGTTGCATTCCACTTGAGCAGTGTTGAATACAGAGCAACCAGTTGACGACATGATGGTCATACTAGTAGAACGTAGTGGTTTTGGAGGCGGTGATGGCCGCCAAAGATCCATAATAAGCTGTTGTAGCCATAACCCTGTTGAATTAGTACCTGGTGATAAGATCAAGATGTATTGGCTCTTCCATGTCGCCAAGCTCAGGGAAGCTGCAAGCAACAAAAACTTGAATATGGAGTTGACGGGATTCAGGTGATTGGCTCGACAGCATGTATATAATCTCAGAACACACAATTTCAGTTTCTTAATATGTGAGATGAGGGTTCTTGATGCATGACGATAACTTGACAGTAAAGCATGACAGGGTATCAAATCTGTGTTTGTTTCGAGCACTGTCCTGCGTTCAGTATTTGGGAACACGACAAAGAGTCGACTAATAGGAGAGAGAAAGAATGTGACAATACTATTGTCAAAACTTTGCGGGAATCAGCGATCCGGGTTAGCGTGCACGGCCACGGGATAAAGGACCAGGGTGAGTCGGTCTGACGGAAGCGCGGTGAAGCGCGGAGAGATTCCCTCTTCAAATCATTCGTCCACTTTTACGGAGTAGACGGAGTTTGGGTCAACCAAGTTTCGCTTCCTTGTCAGTAACCTTCCAGGGTTGTCAGGGGAAAAGAATGACTCAGGCTGGAAAATTTTTGGGGAAAAAAGGTTCCCAGTGCGTCTGTGGCGTTGGAGTGAGGGGTTAATTGTATTTATTGGCTCGACCACACCCGAAATCATGGTGGAGAACTTGAAGGATAAATTATGGATGTCTCCTTGAGTGAACCCCTCCTGACAGTGTGAGGTTGACCGCCCAAGTCTCAAGACACCAATCATCTGGATGCGAATTGTAGTAATAAGGTAACACGGTCAACCTCCGAGCTAAGCGAGACCAGTCTTGGATAAAAAGTGATCATTTGTAGGGCTGTGACTCTCTGTTAGTGTAAAGATGAGCGGTAACAAGTGACAACGTGGAGATGCAAAAAGTACAAACCCGCGCCCAAAACGGCTTTTGCTCCAATGACCTAAATGACCCCATCATTTTACCCCGTTCAACTCCGCACACTGTGTCTCTGCCCGATTATATTATTATTATTATTTTTTGCCCTTTCTTTTCTTTTTTCTGAATTTTCATTGAGATTCGCCTAGCCTTAACCCCCTGATCGCACATCACAGCCGTGATTCTTAATCCTATTTATTATCCCTTGCTCTCGAGCTTCACCAAATTACCCCGGATTCGGCGGGAAATGCCGTCCTCAACGAACCCCATTCCTCGATCTCGTCTCAAAGTCATTGCGACTATAAGGAGGATGAATTGATGGCCGAATAATTCGATATCTCATACTGTTCTACGATTAAAGCTTCGCGATTGTGTTGAGTCCTTAGGAAGGGTACACACGCGGAGTCAAGATGACGAGCCGCAGACCCGCTACACTCGGGGTCTCAATCACTTTGTTCGTCATTGCTAGTGTTTTCGTGGCCTTGAGATTCATTTCGCGTATCTTTGTGGTCAGGAGAATTGGGTTACACGACTATTTGATGCTTTTGGCATGGGTAAGTCACCATGGCTCCCACATGCTTCGATCGGAAAGCCGCAGAATCCACGGACCCGGGTTGGATGCTCAAGAATCCCGGCATAATGTGTCATGTGGCTCTTGGACTGCGGACAACGTGAACTAACCTAGATTTTAGATCGTTGATTTCGGATTCTGTTTCGCGCTATTCTCTGCGACTCGGTACGGACTCGGTCTGCACTCACAAGACATTCCGCCTGAAAATGAAAGTGCCCTCAACAAGGCTAACTATGCGTTCACCGTTCTCTACGTGGGTCTCGTGCAAAACATCCTAGTCGAGTTTTAACATGTACCAATGCTAATGCCTACTTTGATGATTAGAATCCAGCGCTCATGGCTGTCAAAACCTCCATCCTGGTATTCTACTTGACCCTCACGCGCAACCAGAAAGTCTTTCGATGGGCGAATTATATCACCCTTGGCGTGGTCAACGCCGCCGGCTTTGCGCTGACCATGGTCAATGTTTTCCAATGTCGACCAGTGTCTGCCGCATTTCGCACCAGTCTTTCATCCGATGCGCACTGCACCGATATCGTCACGCTTTATCTATCATCGTCTCCCGTCAATATCAGTACCGACCTGGCGATTCTGTTTCTGCCAATGCCAATTCTCACACAAATGCGACTTCCAAAGAAACAGAAAATCATTCTCATCATTACCTTCAGCTTTGGGTTTTTCGTAGCTGTTGTTGATGTTATTCGAATCGCCTTCCTTCAACAAGCTGCTACCTCTCGTCAGCTAGCTCTAAAGTCAATTCACATTCAAAATGTTGGAACGGCAGATTTCAGCTGTATGTTACAACTTCCCTTTTGCAAACTATGTATCCACTTCTGTGCTAATATTCCCTAGGGTTTGCATCGCTTTCGTTCATGTGGTCCGTCGTCGAAGTAAACGTGTCCATAATTTGCGGATGTGTCCCAAGTCTCAAACCGCTTGTTGCTCGTCTTTGGCCCAAGCTAATCAAAGATACTAATGATACATCCTCTCCTACGCCAGTACGGTACGCGACTGGGGATGGTGTCACAGTGCCCCCGCCAGCTGTCACGCCATCATCCAGCCCAGCTGATAGTAGTGGAAGTAAGCAGTCTCAGGCAAGAAGTGGCGGCGCTTCTACACCTCGACGAAGCTCCAATATGCCAATCACAATGCTGGATTTTCTTGGTCATGCTGAACCAGCTCCTCCAGACGCAGAGTCCCACACCCACACCGGCTCATCCTATCCAAATATTACTTTCTTCGATTTCGTCAACATGAAAAACCCAGAGAGTATGCTCAAGTTCAATAACAGGGAGTCAATCGCACCAAACGCATTGACTACCCTTTTATTTTTCCTCTGGGGCTTCGCATATGGGCTACTTGATATCCTGAATACTCAGTTCCAAACCGTCGTGAATCTGGACTCTTGGCATTCTCTGGGGCTGCATGGCGCATATTTTGGAGGATATGTTCTTGGTCCGTTACTGGTTGGCCGCCCAGTCTTGAAAATATGGGGATTCAAATCCACTTTCATTACAGGACTCTGCATTTATGCTTGCGGAGCGCTGATATTCTGGCCATCCGCTGTCCTCACCTCGACCGCAGCATTTACAATCTCCAATTTCATCGTCGGATTCGGGTTAGCTGTGCTTGAAACAGCTGCGAATCCATTCATCGCGTTGTGCGGTCCACTAGAGAATTCGGAGATTCGACTCAACATCTCACAAGGCGTGCAAGCAGTGGGTAGTGTCTTGTCTCCCCTTCTAGCAAAGAGGGTCCTTTTCAAGGATGTTCAGGATGTAGCGTCCCTCGTAAATGTCCAATGGACATATCTTGGCATTGCCTTGTTTGATGTTCTTCTCGCAGTGGCGTTCTATTATCTCCCAATTCCGGAGGCGTCCGATGAGGATTTGGAAGAATTGGCAAATCGCCGCCGAGACGACAATATGACCAAAGTCATCGGCATTCCTGTGGTCTGGCTCACTCTCGCCTTAGGCGTTTGGTCACAGTTATTCTATGTGGCAGGTCAAGAAGTCCTCGCAACTAGCCTTGAGCGTTTTGTAAATGCTGTTTATCCAAACTCTTCTCTCGGTGCCTTCGACTTTTTGACCATTGGCCATAGCCTCTTTGCAATTGGTCGTTTCTTTGCTGCTTTCACCCAATGCTTCTTGAAACCTCGCTGGATTCTCATGGTCTCTTATATCGGAATGATAGTCTTCTCGGTCCTCTGCATGAATACGACCGGGGCTACTGCCATCGCAATGGTTATGATGGTTTACTTGTTCGAGAGTGGCGCTTTCAGCATTATATTTGCCATCTCTCTACGCGGCACCGCACGACACACGAAGACTGCGGCCGTATTTTTGACTATGGGAATTAGCGGTGGTGTTTACTTCCCATTTGCAGAGTATGCCGCCTACAATGCACGCGGTGCACCCTATTCCTTCTGTGTGATTGTTGCTCTCTTTGCAGCTGGTGCCATCTTCCCTTTGTATCTCAATCTGGTACCAGCTGTGAAGAAGCAAGTCGATCCTGTCCCTAATGAATACCTTCGTCGCCGCCGCCGTCGCAGTCGAGCTCCAGTGGAGATCATGCGTCGCGAGAAAGAAAATCGCTCTGTCGGGGGGTGTTCTTTCACGCCGACGGAGCGTAGTCTCCAATCCGGACTACCTCCCTGACCTCCTAATCGCCGGTGAAACACATCAAAGTCCTGTCATACACGAAATGAAACCTTCCAGGTCTAGCTCCAGCTCTCAAATCAACTCCCAAAATTCTCACGACTCTTCAAGACAACGACAGTCTCCTATTCCGGAGTGACAACTATTAAAAGTTTTTTATGCCCCTTGAAATGACTCACGATAGCAATACCCTTTTTCATTTCTTTTGTTTTCTTTTGAATTTTTCATCTCCTCGATCCTATAAGATACCCATATCACTCGGCAGGAATTGGGCTCTCATGTTGCTTTTTTCATCTTGCACATATATTTCTTATATCAGCATTTGAGCGACGGCGCCTTAGGAAAAAAGGGATCAAGAATGACGTTTGTTTGCTAATAATACTAATACCACTTTACGCCTTTATTGGAATACCTACTCATCAACATCTAAATCTACAGTGTAGTTACATAGTCATTGAGATCCATATCAGGTGTTAGGCTCACTATCTACATAAGATCTCCCTGTTTCTTACTAAACTTAAGTCAAGAAACGGAAATATTTTACAGGGTCTTGCCGGTGAGATTGTCATCATTCTCTTACTTATTATTTGTCCATTCTCATCGGCACAATTCACCCAGGTGCTACAGCTGATATCAACCCCGCAATATGAACACGTGAGTGCCAACACGACTCTTGCTCGTATATAGATATGAAAGTTGAACAGAGATCAAATTGCCCTCAAATCGCGTTCCCTTCCTTTTCCGGCTTGAGATACATAAATCATGGATTCGATAAATGCAATACTCGGCTCTTACGGTAAACCCACTGCACCCAGAGCTGTCATGATATCTCGTGGAGTTACTGGGGGAATCAATCCTTTTAATAGATCATCGCCCAGGATCAGTTCTGGTAAAAATCGGGCTACTATCAAGTCACTAGCTGTGTTTTTCATCAGTCTCATGGTATGTTGACTTTTCTGGAATATGTGGTCTCGAATCACTGGTATCGAGTGGGCTTCTCTTCGGAAGAGCTGCTAATAAACCGGACGGTTTGTTTTAGAGACTATGCAAATCTATTAAGCGCAAAGATTACCGTGCCATCCTAGAGAGACTTCGGTCCGGAATCGATCTGAATACCCGTATTGGTGAAGCCTGGAATCCACTAATCTTGGCCGTGCGTACTAAGGACTTGGCTTTGATTCAACTCCTCCTTCGTGCAGGGGCAGACGTCAATTTACCTCTTGAGCGTGGAGCTTATGGGAGCGCTTTGAATGCGGCATGCTTCGAGATTGAAGCCCCTAGCCACTATAAAGTTGTTGAACTTCTGTTGAGTTTTGGCGCCAATGTTAACATGGTGCCAGCTCACAGTCAATTCGGAAGTCCACTGGGTCTGGCTGTGGAAACCGACGACCGCACATTGATCCAACTTTTAATTAATGCAGGCGCAGATGTTAATCTGTCCACTGCAAGTCGCACGTTTGGAAGCGCTTTAGCTTTGGCGAGCTTCAAAGGATACTTCGTGGCCGTGGCAGTCTTGTTAAATGCTGGCGCCGATGTTAACCTGGTTTTGAATGATGGCAAATTTGGAAATGCGCTCATGGCAGCTCTGGCATCGCAGAATATCAAGATGGTTGAATATCTAGTGGAATCGGGGGCGAATGTGAACACGCAGGTCCATCATAACATAAGTGCTGGTGCCTTGATTTCAGCCTGTCGTCTGGGCAATGTCAACCTTGTGGAGGATCTTCTCCAGGCTGGAGCAAATGTTGATTTACAACTTGAAAGCAGCCCGCATGGACATAAATGTGGGAGTGCACTTGTTGCAGCTTGCCTTTCTCCGCAAATAACAATAGCAAAGCTTCTGCTTGATGCTGGCGCAAATCCAAATCTACAGGTCAAGGAAGGTGAATATGGGAGCCCGCTTGCAGCAGCTTGCTGTAACAAGAAAAGTTCAGCTTTTGTGTCCCTATTACTCAAAGCCGGGGCTGACCCAGATCTTTCTATCGCCCACGGAACGTATGGCAATGCCATATCCGCAGCAATTACTAAGAAAAACCGCGGCGCTGTTTCCAAACTGATCAATGCTGGCGCTTGGCTTGGTCCACTCTCGGAAATTCTCCTGTCACAGATCTCTCAGGGGATGACTCCTTCTGGGAACTCCATTCCCGATCTTATTCAATGGACATTCATCTCAGAGCTCCCGGAAGTTGAAGGAAATAATTCCAGACGCATTTCGGACTACCAGTGGCTGCGGAACGCGGTCGCAGTAATCAAGCAACACGGTGTCATGAAACTAACCACTCTTTATGATTGTTTGAGCCATATTGACTCTGGACTATTTTTATTGGATATACTTACAAGAGCTTATCGGGTTAGCTCTCAATTCTATGGCAAGCTCACCAATTCCTATTGTTTATTCTTGGCTCCCATTTGATGCAAACCGTTGACAGCTCGATTACAGTGGACGGAAATCTCAGCATTCAATTTTCCGGGGATCAAGTCACCATACATACTACGGAAATCAATAACGACGTCCGAGTCTTTGAGCCAATGCAATGGATATGTCGTATTGTGAGATTGCCAGAACCGGACTCAATATGTCTCTCGCAGATGACTCTTATCGATGGCGTTTACCATCTGGATAAACTTAAGCCCCTGTCTGAAAATTCGGTTGATCACAACTGCTGGCGGGGGCTCTTCAATTCAGTGATTGTTGTAGACGATGATCCACAAGGTCTGTGTCGGGGACTGGAGCTAGACTTCAACATTCTGATCCAACTCTCTGCAGTTGAATATCCCGTTGAGATCGAGACCGGTCTGATCCTCATGGGTTATTCAACCGCTTTGATTCCTGTTCAAGAGACTGACGATGGCATGATCCTATGGCACTTGGAAATAGCCAGTCACGATTACCAATTCAAGGTCTCTGATCTCAAAGCCATACAGGGCAAGTGGCTGCAAACCCAAGATCTGGATTATTTACAGTCAAAGAAGGCACTTCTGGGATGGTGCACTCAAGCAAGGATTTTGCTGGGTACATCTCACCTAAGACCCACTGTGACCTGGTCTGGTGCAGAAAAGAAGTCTACTACATGGCACTGGAAAAGTGCCAATCTACAGCTTATCGCCCAGACTGCGTCTCCTTTGCAAATCGGCGGTCAAGCAGGAATGACATTTGATCGAACATCCAACCTTCTTCGGTTCAGCCCCTCTCGGAACTACATCAAGTGTGTGACCGGTAGTATGATGGAGCAAATTATTCTTTATGACGTATCAACCAAGAGAGCCTGGCTGGTCTCACTGATCTCAGTTCTGCATCATATGCTTCTTGTATACTACCGCTATATTGAAAAGGCTTCCCGATCAAAAATTCCACCAGGAGTCGTACCTCTTCTGGGCGGGGCTTCTGCTTCGCTAGTGGCTCTCAGTGAAGCAGGCGGTGTTGTGATTCAAGGATCAAATGAAGACTCACTCACAATCCGAGAGCTTATCATGGGATTTTCTGTGAACCTATCCAGGGCATCGGTTCACAAACCGAAACGATCTCAAATCTATGGATACGAATTCATGGATATAGTCATGGACTCTCCACGATCCGAGCTCCGAAAACAAACACTTGAAAAGGAAGGCCTTGCATGGTCACCGCTCCTGAGTGAAATCAATTGTTTATTCTGCTCAAACCTTGGAGAAGTGATGATCGGTGGTCGGGGGCTTGAACTTCTCTCACTATGCAATAGGCTTCCTGATGGCTATGATTTCATGGCGGCTTCTATGCGAAGTATAGAAAAGCTGTCAAAGCGATACAGTCATGAGGAACAGTCAAATGCCCATCGATTGTCACAAGACCATTTCTGGAGAGTGAGCGGAGACCCGTTCGAGAGATGCAAGCACTCAGCTTTACACCAGTCGTGCTGGTATCAACCAAGCTTTTTACAAGAAATTAATGGCCCGGAGTCTCGCCCCCGGACAAGTGAGCAGGGTCTTGTGGATGGCCTCCAAAGTGATCATCTAGATGGAGCTTTGGTTTTCGGTGAACCGATCAAGTCCTCACGAAAGCAGATGGCTATCCGGGTTTCTGAGCTGTATCGGGCTCAGAAGGGCTCTTTTGTGCCTGTCAGTGCTGAAGAGATTCATGTGGAGCGAAATACCATGTTCGCCCATGCAGACTCGAAGATTGAGATGGACTCTTAATTATAATCTCAGAGTCATTAACTCATGTGTATTATGAAGCTTCAGGTGTATTATGAAGCTTCATGTGCATATATGATCATGATGGCGTATAGCCACCACCCAAGGACAGATCATCATCTAACTGAAGTCGGGTTAAAATCACCCGACGACCCTGTAAGGATTATTCTACTCAAAATTCCAATAACATGTGGAGATACACAATCTGCGATCGAGAAGTGGAGCCATGACCCCATCGGGAAGTCATCGCCGCAAATGTACCATTTTCAGTAATAATGACATTCATCAATGCAGCTCAGTGTCAAGTCTTGTCAACATCGGCGATAGTTGCACAAGAAATCTTCTCGGGCCCCCACCTCATCGGACTTGATGCGACCAGGATGTATAGAATTGAGCAAGATGGAGTTTTCGATGCGGGGAAGCTTATGCTATAGTCCCATCTATTAGACCAGAGCTCAATAAATAAAACCAATTCCCGATACCTAGCTTCTTTCATTACTTTCTTTTTTGCCATCCTATTCCACAACATTCGTCATTAAATCCAACCAACGAAAACCACCCACCGCACAATGACCATGTCGTACGGAGACCGCCGCATCAAGTTCGCCCTCTTTGGCCTTGGCCGCCTGGGTGTCCTCAGAGCCCGCATTCTAGCCTTCCAACAGCCTAGGATTCAACTCGTTGCTGTCTGTGATACAAAGCCGGGCACAGATAAATGGGCCGCGGAGAATCTACCCCCGACTGTGAAATACTTTTCAGACCCTCAAGCATGCTTGAGAGAGAGTGGCGCCGAGGCTGTGCTTATCTGCACCGCAACAGCTACTCATGCCCCTTTGATTTTGCAAGCCCTTGATCTGAACTTGCATGTCATGTGTGAGAAGCCGGTCTCTGTGGATATTGCTGCTACGAAGGAAGTGGTTGAGAAGTCTGCTTCTAGACCTGATCTCAAGTTTCTTGTTCCTTTCACTCGCCGATGTAAATATCACATTCCTAGTTCTCTGCAGAGCTTACATGCTGACTTTTGTGCCAGATGATAAGTCCTACCGCCAGGCTAAGGCCCTGATTGACAATGGAGACCTGGGTGTGATCCACGCTGTGGAGACTACTGGAATTGATCAAGCAGACCCCAATGGTATGACCCCAACTCCCGTCTTCGTATGAAATTCACAGGGTCCTATACTTACTCAATCTCCTAGCCTTTTTTGTTTCTTTCTCTGAGCAGTCAGGTGGTATCTTCCTTGATTTCGGCATCCATACCGTCAGTCCCGCTGTTCCCTTCTCTTTTCCCACCCAAGGGTTCACATACTAACCTATGCACTTGAATAGGTCGATGCTGGAAGATACCTTCTAGATGTCAAATCAGGTCTCTCCAACCCCAAAAAGCAAGTCAACAGAGTCATTGCCTTCGGCCAAATAGCCGTCTACCAAGACTTAAACAAATACGGCGACGCAGACAACGCATGGGGTCTGGTTGAATTTGCCAACGGCAAGATTTTCAAGACTTACCTCGGTCGCACGCTTACCAGCGGTTTTGAAGATACAACTCGACTGTGTGGTACAAAGGGTCATTCTGTTATCAGTGCAAACTCCAATGTTGAGATTCGGGATCATCTTGGCATTCGCACGCAATCTGTACCTGATGCTTTTACCTTCTTTGATACGACCTTCTTGACTGACTTGGCTGAATTTGCTGACGCTGTGCTGGATGATAAGCCTCTCACATGTCAGCCTGAGGACGCTTTTGAGGCGGGAAAGATCTGTGCGGCTCTGCAGTATTCATTCCGTAAGGGGGTTCCTGTATATTTCGATGATAATGGTCTGCCCATTATGGAGTAGCTTAGTGAATATTTAGGGCATTTGAGAGTTTTGAATAAAGAAAATATATAGAACTGATTCTGAGTATGATGGCATATATCGAAGAAATCCAGTGTTTTTAATTATAATCCTCTAGACAATCACATAAGTACTTACGCTTTCACCTGGGCATTCTTATTTTAGCGGACCTTGTGGAGTACTGAGAATCAGGCATGAATAGTAACTTGAATCACAGCATGCTACAAGACTGATTAAAATAGAATATGCGGACTAAAATTTCAAGTTTTGATCCAATTATTATTCCTCTTAATGAATGGTTTATGTCATTCTGCTAGCATATTCCAATATTCCAAGATAGATAGGTCTTATATGATAATGAACATCACGACTAAGACTTACTCAATAATTCTCACAGCTCTAGCTCATATATTTCACCTGAAACTACCCCTCGACCTGTCAAGTCGGAAGTACAGCCTAGAAAATAAAATCGGGTAAGGAAGACTATGGGACTTGCGCATCAGGTCACAGGTAGCATAGTATGATTTCCAGGCTCAGTGTGAAATTCTAAGCTTAGCTTGGAAACAATCTATAATCATATTTCGCCTATTCCATAAATCTGGCCACGGGCAATCACTACGGCGAAAATATCCAAAATTGTGACAAGAGGCAATAAGATCATTGTCAGTTGATGAAGATCGTGCGGGGTACAGAGATTCCCTAATTGTGTTACAGCGCGGCGATGGTTTCCTAATCAGGAAATTTCAGTTGAACTTCCAAGGTTCTCCACATTGATAGGTAGTATGCAGCTATGAATTCCAAGCGAGTATGTCACAGTGTGGGGATATCATAAGCATGTGATTATTGTATATAGTGGTAACTAGAGATAAGTAGATCATTGCATCCTCTCTTGTTCAACCCTATATATCAACAGCCTCAGAGCCTTTCATCGCTTCTTGGAACCAGATGCTGAACATCCAACCAAAGAGCCGTCTGGTTATAATAAGATAAAATGGCACCTTACGTTCAGGAAGTTGAGTCGATCGGCATTCATCCCATCTCCAAGACCAAATTGCCGTCTGAGAATGCGATCTTCGACCACGACCATGTCCCAAAGCCCGTTGCAGACGACTTTATGTACGACTTCAAGTTCAACCACCCTCTACCTACGACCGACATCTTAGGTGTTGAAATTCCAGCCGACTGCGATGCTCAGAAAGAGGCTGAGGGAATCGTTGCTCGTCTTTCTAAAGCCACCTCAGAGGGGGATGCTGAAGCTTTCGCTGAGCTCTTCCTGGATTATGGTAAGGACCTCCTCAAGAGAGAGCTAAATTGCTGGCTTTGCTAATCTCAATTACAGGTGTTTGGCGTGACAAGCTCGCTTTTACGTGGGATTTTCGCACTTTCAACTTCCGAGAGGCGATCTTGAAAGCTGCCACCGATCTTTTGCCTCAAACCAAGGCTCGGAATTTCAACTTTCTGAAGCCCGCCCCTTCCGTGTCTCGCCCTTATCCTGATTTCTCCCAACTACAATTCGTGGTCTCCTTCGAGACTGAGATTGTCCTGGCTTCGGCCGTGATCAATGCAGTCCTCACTCAGGATGGCTGGAAGATTTACACAATGCATACGGTTGCCGAGAACCTCAAGCAGTTCCCAGAGCAGGCTGCACCAGATGGCCATATGACTGGCATTACTAGCTGGGAGAGTCAGAGATCTGAGACTATCAACGCTGTTGATCCTGAGGTCCTGATTATTGGTGGAGGTCAAAAGTAAGGACCCAGTAATGCGAAGCTTCATGATATAATTCTAATTGATTTTACACTAGTGGCCTAGCTATGGCAGCACGCTTGAAAGTCCTTGGTATGGACAACCTGATAATCGAGCGCAGTGACGAGATTGGAGATATCTGGAAGAAGCGTTATGAATACCTTTCACTCCACTTTCCACACTGGCCCGATGCGTTGCCATACTTCAAATATCCTCAACATTGGCCTACTTACACCCCAGCCCAAAAGCAGGGTCTATACATGAAGTGGTACGCCTCCGCTCTGGAGCTCAATGTCTGGACCAAATCAGAGGTTGTAAAGGCCGAACAGGATGCTGAGGGCAAATGGACAGTCATCATTAACAAGGAGGGAAAAGAGACTCGCACGCTTCATCCTAAGCAAGTCATCATGGCTACATCACTTTGTGGAGTCCCTTCTACACCGACCGTGCCTGGAATGGCTGACTTCCGCGGCGTGATCCGTCACTCAAGCGCTCACAAGAGTGCCCGCGACTTTGTCGGAAAAAAAGTCTGTGTTGTCGGCACCTCATCCTCAGGCTTTGACACTGCTTACGAATGCGCTCGCCTGGGAATTGATGTGACTCTACTCCAGCGATCGCCAACTTATGTGATGTCTTTGACTCATTCCGTTCCACGCATGCTTGGAGGCTATGCGCCTGATAAGAACGGTAACCTCCCCGATCTCGAGGCTCAGGATCGTCTCAATTTCTCAACTCCTGTTGGACCCGGTGAGGAACTTGCCAAACGCACTGCCAAAGATCTAGAAGATCTTGATAGACCCTTGCTTGAGGCTCTGAATGCCCGAGGCCTGCGAACATGGCGCGGTCAGCGTGACACGGGTAACTCTACACTGGGTCAGACTCGAAATGGTGGGTTCTACTTCGATGCTGGCGCTTGCGACGAAATTATCAATGGAAATGTCAAGGTGGAACCCGCTTTTGTTGAGAGGTTTACAAAAGACAAGGTGATTCTGAACGGCGGTCGTGAGAGAGAGTTTGACTTGGTTGTTTTTGCGACCGGGTTTTCGAGTACTATCGACTCAATCCGAGCCACTTTGGGTGAGGAAATCGCCAGCAAATGCGGACCTATTTGGGGAATTGATGAGGAAGGCGAGTATAAGACGGCCTACCGGGAGACGGGTGTGCCAAATATGTGGATTATGGTTGGCTTCTTGCCGATGACTCGGTATGCCTCGAAGTTGTTGGCTTTGCGGCTCAAAGCTCTTAAGGAGGGTATTTCTCCACCTCCTTACAAATTTTAGATATAGAGATGAATTTGATATCATGTTTGCGATTTCAAACCAACGTCGTTCATTTATGTAGCTTCTCTGACGATTTGACAAATAAAAGATGTCAATCCATGCAAGAAATTGAAGACTAAAAACCAGTATGCCTTACAGGTTTGATGGCTTGAAACTGAGACCTCCGGTCCGAGTCACTGTAGCTGCCCAGGTGCTACCATTAGATATACCTAGAGCCTCAGAAAAAAGGGGGATCTCGTGCATTCACCTCGGATAAGTGCTGTATTTTGGTTCAATCATGATAGATTCAATCTCTCGGTCTTTAGCCCTACCTTAAGGCTCTGCTAACACTCAGTAGGTGCATGATCCACACTTTATGTATTCAGTAAAATCAAGACAAGTCTTATTTTCAAAATCTAAACATATTTTCTTCTATAAAGAGTAACATCTTCCACCAAAAAATCTACCTTTCAGAATCGGATTTAGAATCACTGCTTGTACCAGTCATCGAAGCCAAGATCCCATCCAAACAGAGGCGTATTGATCCGCTTAGCCTTTCCTTGAGCAGCGAGGCCATTCAACAAATTCATATCCTCGTCCGAGAGAGAAATGACTTGACTGTTGCTCACAATGCGACTTTCTTTAATGGACTTTGGTAGTACAACGGTACCCCTGTTGACATGGTAGCTGATGAGAACAGTGGTGGGTGAAACATCATTCTTCTTAGCGATCTCCTGGATTGCAGGGTCGGACATAAGCGGAGCACCTAAGAATCAATGGATACCCGAAATTAGTAACTCACTCAGAGCTGAAAGTGCGTGATAAAATGCTTGGAGTACTTACCTTCGGATCCGAGTGGTGAATACGCCTCAAGGAGAATTCCATGCTTGTCACACCACTCCTTCAATGCGTGCTGAGGAAGAAATGGGTGTAACTCGGCTTGGTTCACGGCAGGGACAATGGTCCACTTCTTCTTCAGCTCCTCAAGATATGGAATTGACCAGTTCGCCACGCCAATCGCCTTCACTTTTCCGGCCTTGTATAGCTCCTCCATCTGACGCCATGTCTCGCTCTGGTCCCAGGATCGGTCGACGGATCGTGTGCCATCGGGGTTCACTGGTAAAAGTGCGCTGGACTCATTCTGTAGTAGATTCTCCGAACATTAGCCATTGAAAAATCGTTGAAGGGAGGGAGGTCAGTGGAATAACTTACAGGAACAAGTCGGACTGGCCAGTGGATAAGCTGATTTTCATGTTAGCTTTGGACATCGGATCGCATTTTCTCGAAATCAGAAGATGCAAGGACATAGTTACATATAGATCCAGATAGTCTAAGCCCAAAGCATCTAGCGTTTTTTGAAGACCTTCCGCAGCCCTGGGATGATAGGTATTCCACAGCTTGCTGGTAATGAAAATGTTCTCTCGAGGAACACCGCTATCCTTGATGCCCTGACCGACTTCGTGCTCGTTTCCTTTATCTCCAATTAGATATGAAAACTCTGGGTCTCTCTTTCGTCATATCTCACCGTAGATTCTGTGGTTTGTTAAAAAGAAAAAAAAGTTCATAGGCTGCGAAGGAACATGGAAAACTTACAATGCTGCGTCAATGTGACTATATCCATTCTTGAGGGCGAAGGATACTGCTTTGCGCACCTCGCCAGGCTCAGATCTCCAAGTGCCTATTATATCTGTTAATGAAAATACGAAGTCCTGCAGAGCCCATCTCTTTCATCGTACCAAGTCCCACAGCGGGTATCTGGTTTCCTGTGTTGAGCTTGAATTGAGTGGGGAGGGACATGTTGGCTGTATTAGGAATATAGCTGCGTAAGAAATAAATCACATGAGATTTGAGAGATCATTTCAAGGAGGAGCCCTTCTTATATTTAAGACAATCTTTACCGACTGATGTAAATCAAAAATTATCACATAACCTTGTCCGGGTTCTTCCCCGCACGAGATCGGGACAACTCCGGTTCATCAAAATTAAGCCCAGACTATGAAAATGGACACGAGTCGTCATTTCTCAGTAATGATTTTCCTTTCACTTGATCTATGCATTAGCTTCACATGTCGATCTAAGCTTGGGGTTCCCACCTCTAGCACAGTGCGCCGCAACCTTCCAAATCCGGTAATTCTTCTCTCCACGGATTGTGGATCTTTGCTACAAACAAACCTCAAACACGCCTCCCATGCATTATTGTGAATTTATTTTCCTTTCCAGCGAGCATATACCACACCCAGCTGCTCGTCCTCCAAGTCACTGACCACTTGCCAACCTAACAACCTTGGAACATAGAAGCCCAACTATGGCTGCGCATCCCAATATTGACTGCCCACTTATGATGCGCTCCACGATGTGCTGCAAATCGCAGAGAATAATTGGGGAATATGCTTGCATTGTCGGTCTAAGTAAGCATTTGAAACTGGTGTGAGAAAAGAAAACATTTGAATCAGGTCCCGAGGTCATACTATTCAATCTATCTGTCTCCATATATTCCAAGGTTCTACAATAATATACCTACTGCCAGTGACCAGCAGACCCTCAGAGGCACCTGCTTGCCCGTCGGCCAGATAATCCAAACTACCTAGGTACATTCATGAAAGCAATGTCTGGGATGCACTGATCGCCTTTTGTGGGGACTTGTGGGCTGGTAACGCGTGACAGGGAAAGTCGAATCGAAGCAAGAGGAGCCACACCAGCAAACCAAGCCTCACCCCATGACATGCAATACTAATATCCACATGTGGGTGCTACATTTTTCTCTTTCTCTCTTCAGGTTTCCCAGCACTATCAAGTTGTTGAGCAATCCAGGGACCGCGTGGCAACAAGTTCTGCCGCCGCTCTGAGCCCTGAAGAACATCCCCTAAGAAGAATAAGGAAGCCCAAGCGTTAAATGAGTAATATATTGGAGCGACTTGAACTCAACCTCATATATCTCAACTTGAAGCTCAAGATCCTCTTCAAATCACGCATGCGATCACAATGAAATATTCAGCAAACATCTACAGTTCCTAGCATCGAGAGGTTCAACCCTCGTATCGTCTCCTTACGTCTGTCGGCCCTTGAGCCCTTTATTCATCTCAATCCTCTCTGATACCCATCTATAAAAACACACCCTAGTGCCACAACCAAACCCCGAAACAAGGAACCGCACAACGTGAAACTCCACTCTCAGGTACCAACGGACCTCACGAACGGTCACGAACCATAGTCTGGAAGTGAGCCCTACGGGCTGCGGCAAGAAGCCCGACGGATGAGAACCACACTAAGCTGAAGAGAACCCACCTAGGGCTCTGATAATTTTTCCGACCCAGATCTAGACAATCACGCGCTCGGGCGTTAATGGAGTCGATGGAGCCGACCCAATTCGGGGGAAGGGTGTCCGGTTCCACGATCCACTTAAGGGGAACCTGGTGAATTCATATGACAGTTTGTATTTATCCAGGGATATCAGAAGTTCATGTTAACTTGGAATTCAAGGATAACATTTGAAGGTATTACTTATTGTTTCAGGTGTCGTTGTACGATAGAAGATGATGATATAGCTATGAGTTTGTGGTTGATTTAGTCAATTTAATATATGTACTGGAGGATCCACTGAACATTCCATTGATCGATTTCTTGCATTGCATATGACCGTACCCATGGAGTAAGGAGTCCACTCTAGCTGATTCTTCTTGGCTCTATAAACATGTGAATCCATGGCTAACCGATTAGTTTCGGAGGAAGACCTCGTTTCAGAAAAATATTCCAAGTAAGAAATTGAGAAATTCGAGATCAGATCTTACATCACATTCATTACATATTAGGTACCTAGGTATGGATGATGGTCAGGGGTAACGGAAACGCATTCCGAAAAAGAAAAAAAAAAGGGGGGGCGAATTGAGCCTCGAATATTGAGAACTCCTAAATCCTAGTACATGTACGCAGCAGATCAGGATGATCTCGGAGAATTTTCGAGGCATTAAAGGACTCCGCAGGGGCGATTTAGCGTGAAGGTCTCTTCGTTTCAGCCACGCCACATTTATCCAGCACGGCACGGACTTCACTAACACAAACCTTGCGCCCGGTCGAATTCTCCAGAATAACTTAATTGGTTCGATGTTGGATGGTTCGTGCACTTGGTACATGGACTATGGATTGTTCAAGTTTTCGAGACTTGATTTTATCAGTCTATGATCAATTAATTGCTCTTTTGAGTAGGTTTCCTCGTGGACTGTGGACTAACACTTATTAGATATTGATTGAATCGATTCAGGTTTTTTTCTTGATTATTTATAGATCCCCCTGATTATTCATGATATACCAGGCATAAGAAGATGACTATATTCACATAGTTATGCTTAATCCCTATTCTCTTCTTCTATCATTATCAGGGGAAATCTCGGTTAGTGGGTAGTTTACCAAGATTCCCTTCAATCTGGTCCCGAACCAAAAACCGCTTGAATAACTACGGAGTAAACGGAAATAAAATCCATTCAAATGTTTATTCCCAAAGAAATAAAAAAGGGAAAAATCTCAAGACTCCACCATGTCCAAGGGACACCCATTTATGGCCGAGGCTAGGATTGGATCCGGGGAGTCCACAGCGGTAAAACGCAAACTAGTGGGGTTAAAAATGGGCAAAAAAAATAATAATTGTCCCCCTCATCCAGTTCAGGGCGCCTTTTTAACCAGTGAAAATTCCAAGCTAGCGTGGGTAAAGGCTTTCTGCGGCAGTGATTTGCATCCAATGTTCCTGTGCATCCACTCGGCGCCGTGACCCGGCCGAAATGACGTCCTGCGCTTTCAAATGTTCGCTTTCAATCGGCTTGTTTACTGAAGTTCGTATATTGGTCCCGAGTTCTTGGATCCGAACTACTTCCAAAAAATGGATACTGATTTGGATTTTACACCGTATTTTTGTATGCCCTTACGGATATGCTGACCTCGGAGTTACTCTGTACGGAGAATGGAGTACGGAGTACTGCAGTGATCGACCAGCTTAGCACGGGCTCCTAAAAGACCCAGACCCTTCTTGTAGAAACCTTGGATTGAATTTGTAGAATTGTGGATTTGATTTGGAAATAAAAATGTGTATACCCATCAAAGTCTAATTTTGAATGATAACCGGATTAGGTCCCTGTAAATGCGAATGGGAAATATGTCGATATGCTGGAAACTTCTCTAGCACATTTTCGTAGTAATGCCGTGTAATAAAGACGCTTCGAGAGAAGGTAAAAAAAAGAAACATGTTCAAATGTTCGCTAGACAAGACCAATGGGTTGAGCTTAATGGACTCAATAGACGCCCTGTCGCCGATCCAATATGATGCCCCGGAAAGAATAGAAAGAAATAGAAGGACCACATCGCAGAGAGTAAAAGAGACAAAGGTATGGCAAAGGTATTGTATCAGTCTCGGGCACTTCGAGGTCGGGAATTTTGAGAAGAAGAATCTTGGAGAATATCCGGAGCGCGTGGTCCAACCATCCAATCTTCCATTGCAAGCCATTCACTCCAACTGCGCTCAGCAGCCTCAATCTCCGCATCCGACGGTCCTTGTAGAGGGCGTAAGAAATGGAATTGTCTCCAACGGTGACATATCGTAATCTTTCTTCACAGAGGCCCAACCTCCACTCTTTGCTGCGAATAAATAGTTGCGGCGTTCTTGTTCATGTAAAGGTCCAACTCCACTACCCCAATCATCACCAAAGAATCCATGAAGCACACCGGGGAAATCCATGCCTGTTGCAACTAGTCGACGGATGTATGGAATTAACGAGACAGAAGGCGGGCCGGGGTGTTGACCGGCTGATGGGATAGACGGGTTCGAGTTCAAGACCGGGTTGGGTTGTCGTTGGAAGGGTAATTGGATATTCAAAAAGGCCGAAAGAGCCTGAACAGGCACACTATGCTGAGCATGATCCAGAAAGTATCGTTGGCAACTCTGATAACGAGGATACCATTCAAAGATGTCGAAGTTATCTTCTGTTCTTCCGGGAGAGGCGCCGGCCAGGCCGATCATCGTGGCCGGATCAAAGTGTTGCGAGTTCATGGATGATGTAGAATGGTTGGATGACTCTACTGGGTGTTTGCTATATGAGTAAAAGGTCTGTTTTTAGTTAAGAATTCCTTTATTTTCTCATGTCATTGGGAATTCCGGGCTGCGCCTCCTCGGGATTGGGTTTCAGTGGGGTCGATCTCGGCTCCCAAAAGCCGCGTTTCACCATTCCCCAAACTGAGGGGGGGGAAGAAATAAGTACCAGCCAGAGGAGTGTGGGGGATATATGTCAAAAAAAAGAAAAGCAAAAAAAAACACGAGGAATCAGAGGGAGGTGTTACTTTGAGAGAAGATTCCTACCTCGACGAACAAGTACTGACACTCGGCGCGGGGGGAAGAAGTAGGGGAGGGTGGGGGAGCAGAGCGGAACCAATCTCTGAAAGCTCCGAATCCTCTATTAGAGGACTGATTCATGGACATCGGTCAGGAGGAGCATCTAGGGAGATAGCTCATGACAAAGCCTATTAGGCAAGGAGGGGGATGATGTAGAGAAACGGCAGGGTAGTGCGAGACAGATATGACCCCATTGGGGGTTCCAAAGTGTTATGAGGTAAAGAAACAGCAGACATACATATTAAAAGAGAGAAAAAAAAGAATTCAAGATAAATAAATTTAATAAAAACTCGAAAAATAGAAGGAAAAAAAGGAAGAAGAAAAAAAAATAGGTCACCAAGAACAGCCCTGGAAGTTGAGTAGAACTAAGAAATCAGGGACACAGAGAAACTTTATTCTGGAACGTTTAAGAAAAGAAAAGAAAATGGAACAACAATTTAGGTCCATTAGGTACATCATTAGGTACATTGTATACGGAGTATTTTTGGTTTTGAATCGGATCCATCAGAACGGGTCTATCCGGCTAGACCAATTAGAGGTTCATCAGATCTTACCACGGGTCGTATGTGGATACTCGATCTAGGATTATATTCAAGTTTTTTCAAGTTATTTTCAAGGTTGAGTTGAATTATTCATATAAAGATACCATCCATGGATATCATCTATCACTCTGACAACACTGCCAGTGTTTCTGTTTCACTCTAGGGCTATCAGTACCTGAATCACTTATAACTGTAGCTGAGGCTGCATCCTTGCGCCGGGTAACTCTGCATATATTAGAGAGATCTCATAACCCAATTATTAACTCTGATTGGTTAGATAAATCAAGACGGCGTCGATTCTAATAACCATCTTACCCACAAGTCTCTCTTTCTCCTATTTCTTTTTTTTTCTCTTTTCAAAAAAAGAATTTACTTCTTTGCTGCCCAAAACTATTCAATCCCAGGCATCTCAATTAATTACTTCTAATCCACTAGATTAAAAAGAACTAGGATCAGGGTTATAATGCAAAAAAGGGGGCAAATCCCCTTGACTGGGTCCTACCTGTTTGGGGGGGCAATGATGCACCAATCTAAATTCGAGCTAGGTTGCCGCTGCAAGGTGCCTAGTTATGATTGGAATCAAGCATCCACGAGGACCACAGCAGTTGAGTGCATTTGAATGTTCCAAGGTTGCCATTATACTACTAGTAGTACATAACATACCATTGGCCATAACGGGTCAGATGTCTTCCCCATATAATGATCACCATGTGCCCTGGTCTGCACATCAATATGCAATCTCTTGAACCAACAATAATTCACCTTTCAAAGACTCAAATGCTTACTCTGCAAGGATTCCTACTTTTACTCTTCCCCCTGAAACAAATCTAAAATAATTAAACATCTTGAAAAGGAGCACGGAACACAGTCAAGCGGGGCGAGGGAAGACGCCGCGGAAGACTTCCTAAGAACCGATAGCTTAGTTTGCGATCGCGTGTGGCGCTACACCCAATGAATCCAAGATGTTCGGATAGAGAGGAGTAAAAGGATTGATCTCTCTCCACATCAATCCAGCACGAAGAGGCGCGTTCTAACCTTGAGGTGCATTGTACGATCTCCCGCGAACCATTCAGCAGCCTTGAGAAGGAAAAAAAATACAAAAATACTCAAACCAAGCAGCGCTCAGGACTCCTCAATGGCGTCACGAGATACAAACACGATCGAGAATCTCGCAAAAGGGTGCGCAAGTCAGACGCGAGCAGGGACCACCCATCGAGCTGTGAGTCTGTTCTTCCCCTTTAGCGGAGCCCAAGCTACGGCCCAATCAGTCGGGACCCAAGATGAGAAAGTGACAGAGCCGATCACTGGGGCGGCTGCGTTGCACACTAATTACGAATATGAAAAAGTAGCTAATGCGTTTGGAGAGAATGGATGGGTTCAAGTTCCCCTTTTCTGACGAGATGTGGCGGGGTTCTTGTCAGCTGCATGAAATCCCACTCCCAGGGGTTCTCCGTTATTCAGTTTTTTTTTTTTTTAGCACGGACATACATTTGAACAATGCTAATTAATCTCTACTTAGATGCCCAGCTCGTTTATCTCCTTCTCTTCTTTGTCGTCTTTATTCTCTATTCTCGGGGATCCCCTGTCCCCCTTAACTCCGGATTGACCGTCTCCAATTTGCCACATGCGGGTCCACTATACATGACAGGTTTATATGGGGTTACCTGGTTCTGATGCAATTGAAACTCGGAATTATTATTTTTCAGCTTTAGTTCAGGAGAGACATCCGGACTAGACCGTGCCAGCGCGGTAAGTGTATCCACCGATCGACTAGTCATTTTTAAAGGGGATTGGCAAAGAAAAAAAGGGCGAGGTCAGAGCGAAAATTAAAAATAAGAACCCTGCACATAAAGAATATATTGAATACTACAGTGATAAGGCCTGAATGAAAAATAACTTTGATCAACATAAATGTGCATGGCGATGCGCTCTCAACCTTGGAATTGCTGCAAGATCCTGCGGCCCGTGTTCCAGGATATGCAAGTGGTTCATTGTGGGTTGGGGTAGATCCTTCGGCGCCAGGGGCGCACATGTGCAAGCCTTGGAGGTTTAATCCGGTTTCTACGTGTGGCTCAGATGAGCTCAGAGAAATCGACTCTTTTCGTTGGAGAATGAGCATTTCTAGGAGATATTGGATATATGATTCGATAGTTCAAGTTTGATATAAGCACTGGCATCCGAAACCATATGATCTAAGCCTCGAGGCTGAGATACATGAGAAGAAAATAAGATTTGAGTATGGCGGTCTGCTCGTGGCTGTGATTACGAATTCAACGCCTGGATCATCCTGCGTCAGAGCGAAAAGAGATGTACTATACATTCCTGCGCTGCTACCTGATGAAGTTAGATTTCATCATGGCTGCTCTTCAGCTGAGGAATTGGAAAGTCGTATGAATATGAGATTAGATGAAAAGATTTGAATCATTGGTCCGCTTAGTAGTCCGAGTACGAGTCAAGGTTACCAGATTTGATATATCGCAAAATTACTATACAAGCCGTTAGATTAGACCAATCTAGCTCAAGTTCATTCTAGAATAAAATTATCTCACCGTAAGACCAACGCCTCGCAAAACAGTAATCAGAGACACCTGCAGCAGATTACATCATTTTCAAGTACATCCAGGGCCAGGTGCAACATGCTGATCCATTGAAAGGCATGCAACATTATCGCTCTGCATTAAAATGCCTTACTGAATACATACATACCAGGCCTCAATTTCTAGAACAAGCTTGAGAAAAATTCCAAATCAGCTGCACAGTCTGAACTTCAGGTCTGCCACTTCAACTTACCACGCTCACGGATCCCCAGAATATGATCTATCAACTCGGCCCACCACGCACCGCCACTTCATACGCGAACGTGCCCAACGAGCTGAAGATTTCAATTTATTCTCCGACGGAAGTGCCGGAAGTTGTCTGATATCACCTGTGACCTGTCAATAACGTTGTGCAAGAGTGTACTGTGAGATGCTTAAATTGGAATGACGCTAGTAGTGCTATATCCCTATTTCCAACAACTGGTTTGGACTCGGATTCAGATTGAAGTTCTCGGCCGGTAGTTCCTACAGTAAGAGTTATGTGTCATGCCTAAATCGGTGTCTTGAAATTTGAGTCTGATAGGAAAACTGATGATCTACATAATGAGGAGTAACTGCGCGATTCAGGACGGATCCGGGGTTGCGGAGACCGCCGATGCCCATGTCCAAGCGTTCTGCACAGCCACTGTGGCTGTACTGTATATTGTAAAGAGGCTATGGTTTCATTAAGAATTTCGCTTAAATTAATAATATCAAAGTTAGATTCGTTTGAAATTTTCGATAGGATTGAGCATATCATATATCAATTCCAAGGTTGTATGGGTGGATGGGTGGATTGCTGCGGGCGCTAGGTGAGGGCCACGGCTTGTGGGGTCGAACGTGCCAGGGTTTGGTGGGTTCTGGCCATGGTTTATGATATGCCTAGTGTATAGAATTGCCATTAAGTTAGTGAATATTGACTTGATAAATAGTAACTCTGCCTAGGTGTCACCATGACCCAGATAGTAGCTGGAGATGGTGGTGGATAGTCACTTAATATGGATATTCCAGCGCATCGGATCTCCGATTTGGATATGTGTCTGATTTCAGTTTACTATAATTGAGACCAAATGAGACATTTCTTGCCAATGGGCAAACATAGTATTTATGAATGTTTATGAATATGAAATTAGATCTTAGATCATTTGTATCATCTGGGTTCCCCATGGTCACAATTTTGTGCTACACTATATAGTGGTTGGATGCTTAAGCACGTGAGATGTTCCCACTATAAGAAGAACTTGAAGCATGAACTGTTCTATCCCATGGAATGTTCTGGGATGACACACATTCAATTTTCAGACTAAACATAGTGTAAAATAACTCTTATAGATCCATTGGTTCCCACAAAAATCTTTGTTTCACCTAATCTTAATCGTGAAAATTCCAAACACAGGGCCCACGGTACACAAACATTTGCCTCGGAGATTGATAAGATTAATTTCTATAGCATATGCAGTAGCACGTACCATGTACGCACTACTATTATGAGAACTAGTGTCCTCAGTTAGAAGCTAGAGCTTAGCTACATATGCTCGGGTCGACATCGGAGCTCGTTCATCGTATGAGGTGGACCCCTTATGTAGTACATGCTAGATGGTCAAATCTGGAGAAAACACATGTGCAGAATATTTCGGGGCTCCGTTTTCGGCTACATTCCTATTCGTGGAGTTAATGTGCACATGTGAGCTTGGTTCAGTAGCAGTGCGGCAATACTCGATATAGTACTCCGTGTCCTGTACACGGAGTACGGGGACACGGAGTACCAAGTACGTTGATCACTTCGTGATGATGTTTGCCACTTCTTGTTTACGAATCCTGTTGTCGTTGTCAGATACGAGATAATCCAGGATTCGGGATTCGGTAGTGATGAGGGATTATTCTGGGGAAGATGAGGTATAATCAGCCTCTTGGGCAAGGCAACGATGAGGGGAAAGAAAAGGAAAAAAGAGACGCATAATTCCAATTGGATCGTACGATAGAAAATTGAAAAAAAAGGCAACAGATAGCGGGCAACTTGAACACGAGAGCAGATTCAGCCCTGGAGTACTCCGTAAACTTGAAACAACTTGAAGTGGCAACAGAATTCAAATATGAACGGACGCCGTTGCCGCCGATATTGAGGTGGCGCGTGCCAGGACTAACCCGCTGGCACTCACCGGGGAAGGACCGACGATCGGGGACGACAAATAGGGTTAGCTGGAATTTTTGGTTGTGCCTGATCCAGTCCGGAGAAGCTTTGATTTCCAGGTGGCTCCAGGGCTTATTGTAAGGGTTCTTAGTGGTGCCCGATAATTGACTCGGATTCAGGGCGCGTGCCTATCGCAGAGAGGAATAATGTACGAAGTGATAATCTATGTACGGCTTCCATGCTACTAGTAGTACTAGATCATGGATTCAACGAATATTGAGAATTAAATTCATTGCATTGACTCGTTCTATAAATAATATCACGGAAGATTATAATGATTCGTGTACATAAACTCCATTGATTCTGTCGTACAATATCGGATCAAAGTTCCATTTACCCCTCCACGGGAGGCTGGGGCACAGATGTGCCGAGTATGGGGACCGGTGTGGGAGGGAGAATGTTTTATTCCGGGGCTGATAAAGGGATTGACCAGTGTGCATGATTCCTGTGAGTCAAAGATTTAAAAAGAATTGGTTAGTGATCAGATAAGGTCCGTGGGGTAGAAGGGAATAACCTTGGAAAATTGTACTTTGAGGATAAATAGACAACGATGATTGGGGGAGAGAATGGATATCACGTGATATATTCCCCGAAAGCGGAAGTTAGTGGCGGATTACATAATACATATGAGGGGTTAATAGCATTAATAGGCATTAATAGAGTAACTATTAATCCCAATTAGACATGGGGGTTAATATCATTTTATATTATTAAAAGCATTAAACATACAAATATACAAATATACAAACATCTAAGAATTATAGATCAAAGTTAATGCATTGAATATCACTGCATCATGCAGTCCCTCCACATTCAAACTCTCGGGTTACATCTTACTATGGCAATGTACGGAGTAATGAACGGGGAAATTCAGAACGGAACATTCCAAGTCAATTTTAATCCATAAAGAAAATAAATCGGAGAGGACCGATCCGAAATGAAAAGATTCACGAATTTAAAACGGAACAAGAAGGAAAGAAAAGAAAGAAGATCGTGGATCCAAAAGATAAAGTGGAACCAACATACATAAAATCCTTAACTATGATTAGTTGTAGGAATAAAGTGTGCCGCCACCTAGAGAAAGATAAGCCCAAATTTCTGTGACCTTAATCAATAAGATAAAATATTCTTTTTGGGCCCCGAATTTCGGCCTTTCCTTCCCACGGAAACTTGACGTTTCATACAACCAATAGTGCAACCTAACTATGGTGCACTCATAGTCAACTCATACATAGTGCTCCATTCATTGCTTTTTTTTTCCCTTACCACTCTCCACGTTGTCCGGATTCTGTCGTCCGACTCCGGCCTTTCCCCCCCAAGCTGCCCCCCCCCTCTTCCCTTTCCCGGTATATATAATTGTAGACTTCTTTCCCTTCCTTTCATAACTCTTCATTCCTCTCTTCTTCTTTTAAACCCATCTTTTAAGAAGTTTAAAATTCACCGCCATAATGACTGCCCAGAACCTTCCCTCTGAGCCTGAGTTCGAGCAGGCCTACAAGGGTATGTACTCACCTCACACTTCACTTCACTTCACTTCGCCTTGGATGCACATACATACATACACACACCTCACTTCAAGTTGGATGTATCAATTCTTCATATGATACCTCTCACTACCCCTCCATTTCTCAATTACCCCTCCAAAAAAAATCATAGCTCGGATTGCCCCTCCCGACTTATTCCTTTATCCATTCGGCATCCTCGGCAAGTGGTTCTTCGGCAAAACGTATCCGCTAATCATATTCCACAGAGCTTGCTTCCACCCTCGAGAACTCCACTCTCTTCCAGAAGAAGCCCGAGTACCGCAAGGCCCTCCAGGTCGTCTCCGTCCCCGAGCGTGTCCTCCAGTTCCGTGTCGTCTGGGAAGATGATGCCGGTAACGTCCAGATCAACCGCGGTTTCCGTGTCCAGTTCAACTCCGCTCTCGGTCCTTACAAGGGTGGTCTCCGTTTCCACCCCTCCGTCAACCTTTCCATCCTGAAGTTCCTCGGATTCGAGCAGATCTTCAAGAATGCCCTCACCGGTCTCAACATGGGTGGTGGTAAGGGTGGTTCCGACTTCGACCCCAAGGGCAAGTCCGACAACGAGATCCGCCGCTTCTGTGTCTCCTTCATGACCGAGCTCTGCAAGCACATCGGTCAGGACACTGACGTTCCCGCTGGTGACATCGGTGTCACTGGTCGCGAGGTCGGCTTCATGTTCGGCCAGTACAAGAAGATCCGCAACCAGTGGGAGGGTGTTCTCACCGGTAAGGGTGGCAGCTGGGGTGGTTCTCTGATCCGTCCTGAGGCTACCGGTTACGGTGTTGTCTACTACGTCGACCACATGATCAAGCACGCCTCCGGTGGTAAGGAGTCCTTCGTTGGCAAGCGCGTCGCCGTTTCCGGTTCCGGTAACGTTGCCCAGTACGCTGCTCTGAAGGTCATTGAGCTCGGCGGTTCCGTCGTCTCTCTCTCCGACTCCCAGGGTGCTCTCGTCCTCGCCACTGAGGAGGGCAGCTTCACCGCTGAGGAGATCGAGCAGATCGCCGCCATCAAGGTTGAGCGTAAGCAGATTGCCGAGCTCGCCTCCACCGCTGCTTTCAGCTCCAAGTTCAAATACATCCCCGGTGCTCGTCCCTGGACCAACATCGTCGGCCGAATCGACGTTGCCCTTCCCTCCGCTACCCAGAACGAGGTTTCCGGTGAGGAGGCTAAGGCTCTGATCGCCGCTGGCTGCAAGTTCATCGCTGAGGGCTCCAACATGGGTTCCACCCAGGAGGCCATCGATGTCTTCGAGGCTCACCGTGAGGCTAACCAGGGTGGTGCTGCCATCTGGTACGCCCCCGGTAAGGCCGCCAACGCTGGTGGTGTCGCTGTCTCCGGTCTTGAGATGGCTCAGAACTCTTCCCGTGTCTCCTGGACCCGTGAGGAGGTTGACAGCCGCCTCAAGGGTATCATGGAGGACTGCTTCAACAACGGTCTTGCCACTGCCAAGGAGTACGTTCCTTCCGCTGAGGGCTCCCTGCCTTCCCTGGTTGCTGGTTCCAACATTGCCGGTTTCACCAAGGTCGCTGAGGCCATGAAGGACCACGGTGACTGGTGGTAAATCAGTAATCATCAAACAAAAAGTTTTGAAACCAAAAATTCGATGATTTTCTATGACCGTGCTCTCCTGTGAGAGTATAGTGTCCACGCATTTGTTTTGTTCTGTCGAGCGGGTTTTTTTTTTTGGATAGAGGCGCCGGTTGTTTCTCTGCATTTGATGATATTCCCAATTGAGCATCACTGGCTTTGGTCTGCTTTTGGAATTTCATGATGATAATGAAATTGAATGATTTAAATTATACTTTCTCCAACGTAAATGTAAACTTTGAGCATTGTAAATTTTGTGCATCTTGAAATTCAATATTTTCTTAGTTGTGCCTGATACTGGGAACTTCAATTACTTCCCCAGCTGGTCGAGTTCGATCCTAGTAAATCAATTGGTAGATCCTCCTGCATTGAACTTGAATAACTTGAAATCTCTTGTAACATTTTCATTCAATTGATACTTCTGACAACGCCAAACTTTGTTATGCCAACTGGTGTATCTTTCACGTGACATAAGAATAAAGAAATATCACGTGACCAAACAGACATCCCTCGGCCCAATCAGTGCTTGATACATGATCTTGACCTGTCCGCCAGATGCAAGCATGGCCACCATCAATTCGAGTGTATAAATACACGTCTGTATAGCCTATATCGATTATATGTTATGTGCATGATCCCACCATGCTGCCAGACATGGCATCTCCCGAAAAGTGGAGGTCCTTCCTCCACCAATGTTTGGCGCATCGTGTAGACGTCGACGAATTCAAAGACCTATGCAAATTGATGCGCGCCCGGTCTCCGGTCAGTGAGGCTGAACTACTTGATCTACTTTTGGAAATCCGCGGAGCATCCAGTATCACTTGGGATCCACTCCTCCCCGTTTATGTGGATGGGCTTTGCAAGGCTGGTCAGGTTAAGTCTTCGTCGGCTTTGGTCGGCCTTTTGAAGCATTCTTCTGTTCGCAACAGAGATGGAAATAGGAAAGTTTCTACCCTTATGACCGATATTAAGGTCATTCAGGATATCTCGTTTTGTGTCTCTACGGGCTCTATCCCGCGCACTGTCAATGAAGCTGCGGAACTCTATTCCGCAACTGTGGAATGGGTCTTTGCTGTTTCCATCTGGCATAATAGTTTGGATCCCTCGCATCAGGATGGTGGGCTTATGAGCTCCCCTGATGCGGTTTCGTTGGTCGAGGCGCTGGGTGTGCTCCTAGTTGCCTTGTCCGGTGCTGCGAAAGGATTGGAAATGCTTTCTACTGACTCTCCAAGAAATGCTTTGAAAATTGTGAAACAAAAATTAGGTCAAGCCCTTTCGGCGTATATCCCCTTGTCAGTTGATGCATTTGTGCGACAGCGTCTGGATCAATTCCAGAAACAGTTCAACTTATATGGAGAGCAGAGTTCCAAGTCAATGGATCACTATATTGATGGGATGAATGTGAATGCTCTTCAATTCGAGGCATCGGTGATGAATGGCCCTGTTATCAACACTAGAGCTGGTCTCTATATTTATTTGAATTCCATGCTTGTCGGACGTCCCTTGGTCGATGACTCTATGCTCATCAACTACCTCACAAACCGATATGAGGGCCATCAGGAGATCCTCGTCGAAGAAATCATCACAGCCGCCTTCGATGTTCTTTCTAACGGTGTACATCGCAATGAATCAAACCGTACGATGTTCCTCTTCCGCTCGTTCCTCGTGAACAAACTTCCGGCCTTTTTCGCGGCTATGACCGTTGCCTCCATGGTCCCGATAAATGTGGAGATGTGTGTCTCACAAGCACTTAGTCGGTTGGACCCTAATGCCTTCCCGTCATTTTCCCAGATGTTCTCGATGCAAGGCAGTAGCATTCTTTCAGATGCTCGCCAGGAGTTCTTATTCGCTTGTGCATCTCACAGGTTGATCGCTGAGTCCAGTATTGAGCGGCTTTTGGGTGAGAATCCGATGCAGACTTTGCCAGTCGGAGGGCCATATCAAAAGGATGACCTTATTGCTCAGATCAACAACCACCCCGAGAGGGCGGATCAATTGATCGGGGAGATCGAGTCCATGGAAGGGAATGCGGGCGCCATCGTTGGCGCGATCACTGAGGTATTTTCCAAAGAATTCACTATTTCAGATTGGTCACTAACTTGAGCAGGTCATGTTTAACCTTTGCAACGCGCGAGAAACCATCGCATTGAAGAATATTTGCAATGCGCTTTCCCGGCGCCCCCAGGCCCTGGACGTTATGTTACTTTTCAGAACTACAAAGCAAGTCTTACAACCTCTCTGTGCTCTTCTTGATTCCTGGAGATGGGATGAAGAGCAAAGCGAGAACCAGCCAGTCTACGACGAATTCGGTGGCATCTTACTCCTCGTTCTTGCATTCAAATATCGTTATGATCTAAGTGCATCTGATTTGGGAATATCCAACAACGATTCTTTCTTATTGAAGCTACTGGACCGGGGCTCTTCCAGTCAGAAGCTTAATGAGTTAAATGAAAAGCAGAACATGGATCTTAGCGCGTGGATTGGAGCCTTGTTCATCGCAGAAGGTATCAGCGAAGAGACTATGTCATCATGCAGTCCACAGGAGTTCTACCTTCTCGTGGCGACACTATTCGATCAAAGTCTCGGAGCATGCGAATCAGAGCGAATGGACTTTGAAACCTTGAAGGGAGGCCTCGAATGTAAGAAACACACATCTCCAGTATTGCTACTTCACTAACGCAATCACAGACCTCCTTGAACCATTTCTCCTCCCATCCCTAGTCCTCGCCTTAACCTGGCTAGGAAATCACATCTGGGAATCTGAAAACGACCCCACAATCCCATTAAAAACTCTCCTATCACTCGTCAAACCGAGCTCCATCTCCGGCGAAGCACAAACAATCCACCAAACTGTGCTAAGCATAACAGCTCGCCCACTGGAAGAACGTCTCAAAGACGTCCGAACCCGCCACCAATCCCGCTCCGACATAAAACCCATCCTGGATGCCCTAGACCCCTACCTCTCCTTCCGCCGCGTCGGCGCCTGTCACCGCACCGAACTCGACACCTGGGCCGCAACCGCCGTCGGCGGTCTCACAGGAAGTATCCGAAGTACCTTCCAATCACTAGTTTTATGGAGCGCGAATTCCGAAATGAACATGGCACCACACTCCTACTCCCACCGCCAAGTTCTAGCAGGCATCCGTATCCTCGGCGCTTCACGTATCCTCGAGGCACTTCTGGACGAACTCAAGCAACAATCCGAGGCAGGAAGTGTCGATCTTGCACTCGACATCGCAGCAACTATGATCTGTGCACCGATGCCTGAATCTTTTGCTGTAGATCAAAACACGTGCCACCCGATTGATCCCAGTAAAGAATCACTTCCTCGATGCTCGATTCTTACATTACGTGATGCGTTAAGTCTACAGCATGAGAATGTTCCTAAGATTTCCGAAAAAGATCACCTTCGTGCGGAGATCATTGTTCGCCTTTCGAGGAGAGTTCGCTTGCTTAGTGCCGCTCCGTCTCAGGTTTCTAATATCGATGTTAGTAATATTATCCAGAATATGGATCTGGGTGTTGATGGCCAGGATCGAATGGATCTTGAGCCTTCCGCCGTTGATGGACAACCCAGTATCGGAGATGAGGATCCGGATAATATTAATCAAATGCTTGATAATGCCGCTGCTGCTGCGGTTGCGGGTATGGATGGAGGTGTCTCGGGTGTGGGACAGGATATGGGACTGGATCATACGGGCACAGCGGGGATGGATGCTATTGATGATGTGCTTAATGCGGCGGATATGGCGGTTGGGAATCCTGAATTTTTGGATTTGGATATGGAGGGAATGTTTTGATTTAGGTGTTATTTATGAGAATAGGAGTTCAATGTTATGGTTTATTTTATGTGAAATGTTGGTATCATTAACTAGACATTGGATATCTCAGGATTCATGTATCCATGTTGTAGATGCGAAGTTGACTGTGGTATATTCCTCTGATTTGTGCTTGTCCCGTTCTAGTACTAGTTAGTTCAAGTTCATGACTATCATCCCAATGCTGATACTCACAAACCCCAATGACCTTATCAACTTTCCCAGCAAGTTTTGGAATCCCAGAACCAGGGAACATCTTATCCATAAGGAATGCGGGTGTTGGAAGGATTTGTCCTCGAAGAAGTATGTTTGAAATAGGTGCTGCTACCACGAAGCTGGAGAGGGAGAGCGCGGTGAGGAGAGTTGTAAGATTCATTGTTTCGATGTGCTATTATCTAGGAGCTGTTAGTGTGAGACAACAGATTCAGTGATGTGAACTCTAGAGTCTTACTATAAGGGTGTAGAGTTATATGTGGGCTGTTGTTCAAGAACAATATGGTGGAATCACTCAGGTGGTAGTACAGAAGGAACATCCTTGAAATCAGAGATTTTGAAGGGGACTAGACAGGGAGAAGGCATATCTCATTCCAAGTATCAGACTGTTATTATGATCTCCCTTGAGGAATTCAAAGGGAGGCCCCAAGTACACTTTACTTCCTTTACAGATGTCTTTGATTTAGATACTTATGAACTACAATCCAAATTCAGTCTCCAAACAGTTCATTCTTTCCAGTTTTTCTTGAAATTGTATTTCATATTTGAAATATCTTAAATTCTGGTTCTATTCTGGTATTCCAAGTTTGTTGTGGCTGCATCTTCCTACATGCTTGGACGCGCCAGACGCGATCCATGCAAGGGATAATAGAGCTGTCAACTTTACCTATCTGATTTCCGGGAAACAATAAGCACAGTCAATTATTGGCATCTGATCTGTTTTAACTACTACTAGTGGTTGCCCAACTTGAGATAAGCACTTCCAGTATCGAGGACTTGGGAATTCTATACATGTGAGTTAGGTTCTTGAGGCTGTAGCACTATGTAGCATCTAGACTTCGGATGAAAGTAGTGATATCAGAGCTCAGTATCTATCATTTGAATCAGATCAAACAGTATTAGTCGCAAATATATATCATTAACTTAGAATAAATATCAATATTCTCAAGTGCTTGGAATTGTTCTCAACTTCAATATTTAAATGTTGATCTTCTTCATTGATGTCAAAATATCTTCACTGTGTATATCCACTGGCATGCAGCCTGAGTGTGACACCGCACATCCATGTGGATATATATGCACATAGTCTACTAGTATAAGGCTGCCAGTGGACACTCATTTTCAAGTTCAAGTTCAACATTTGACGTTGGAAATCCACACCGGCATTGACTGAGAACACTTCAAGTTGCATGTGAGCTTTTCAAGTTCAAGCTCAAGTTGCACATGTCAACATTGAATGCCCAGGTGGATGTGTAGTATGGAAGAAAGCCAAGTCTGCGGTCAACATATAGTACCTGTTTATACTTCATATTGCTTCTTTACCTATCAAGGACATGCGCGGTGCGCGCGAGTGAATATCATTGAACTTGAAATACCGAAACATGTCCCTATCAGTACCTGACATCTGGATGTCTGTATGGCTCCAGTAATCCACTCATACACAACATAGCAACACCCGGTGAGCAGCCGTGTTCCACGGGATGAAGATATCCGCTTGGAGCGGGCCGTACCAAAGGGACCAGAATTCTCCTTCCCAATCAGGTATGGACTTGATTAAAATCAAGAAAAAAGGAAACTAATTTATGGTATGATTGGGGAAGGAGATTATATCCAACTCCTTTTTTTCAAATGAATTCCAAGAATACTGAAGGGCGTTCACGCTATAATCCGACGGCGTCGACTTGCTCGTTTTCTAGACCTTCCATGAACGCCATCCTTGTCTATCATCATTTACTTGGAGCCGGTGACTTGGAACTCAATTCTCAGGGATCCGCTTGACGTAAATGAACCCAATCTTCCCGTGAGGGGCGCCAAAAATGGGGGCTGGTGCAGCATCGTGCCTTTATTTGACTTTCTTTTGCTTTTGTATCGCTCCACTAATGGATTCATCCTTCACGGGCTAGGATTAACCTCTTACTCGGAGAGATTGGATCATACGGAATATATGATTATGATTGACAATAACAAACTATGCTTTTTTTTGCTTTCTTTTTGCGACTCGGAACGTGCCTTTTCCGGTGAAGAGACATTCATCTTACGGTTAATGGTTTCCCGCATGAACACGGGGAAGCACGGCTTTTGGCCCCGGAACACTTTTTACTCGCGACTGGGTTCCTAGCATTGAGATTGGTTATCCAGACCATTTCCATCACGTTTCTTGCAGACACAAACATGTTCGGTCGGCTTGGTGATCGATCTCGGAGAACTCCCAATCAAGTAAGTGAGACCATTGTGGACATTTGAAGAGAGGGGCAGATAACTCATGATTGGAGCCCGCGACCAAGAACCCTGTCTGAGAATCTCTGTGAAATCGGACTTGAACCCATCAAGGTACTAAATGTCCGGGGAAATTGGGTATAATTGTTGTTCCTGCATCCCGTGCGACCGTAGAATGAGATCACACAAGATGAAGTTCATCTGCAGACTTGATAATTCTATCACGTTAAGCGATGAACGAGAGCGAGTTAAAAAAGACCCGAGGTCCCAAGATTAGAAACAATCAGCAGTGGAGGGGGGAAACACGTTCTGGGATCCTTCATCAGGGGCAAAAAAAAATGACCCCGCCGTCATCTCTTTTTTTTTGATTGGTGATTTTTGATTTGAGCGCTTGATCGTCGATGCAGGATAGAGACCCACACCACGAAAGTCTTCGCGATTTTGTGAATCCACTTTAGGCCGCTTAGTGAACAGGTTCGTCAGCCGGTAACAAGTTGGGAGTGAAGAGAAGTGGATTGGAAGTAATACACAAACGTGAACTTGAACTTGAACTTCTCTGTATCAACTGAAATATGTTCAGCTGATATGTGGACTGGAGGTATCAGACTATTCGACATATGCGATAGAACCGAGAGTTTGGTGATATCCACTCACTTACGCAGGCGAAGGTGATCGTTGCCACCAACACTAAGTATAGAATGTGGTCATAGGAATCGATATAGTGGAGGTCCTGGAGGAGATCGATTCAGGTTCGTGGAGTTGAATCGTGCAATCTGGTCCATATTATTGTAAACTTGAAACAAAGTATTGAATGGAGAACGTGGTGAACGTAATGTGTATTATCCACTATGTACTTACCCACGTGAGGGCATTGCCGAGCACTTGGACATATTGAGATGCTCCAGCTTCAGCTCTTAAGCGGGTCATAAAATACAAATATTTGATATTCTGCAAATTTTCACTCAAAATTCTCAGATTCGGATTCTATCACATCCATCACATCGGGCAATCTATATTCTGATGATCCAACAATCCCGCGGAGTTCCACGATTCTAATGATTATGGCATGATAAGACATTGCGAGACCTATCACAGATGATTTCTAAGGTTATCCTAGTACCTATTATCCTTCATCCCGTCCCAAGAAGAGTGGGGTAAGTCGGACCAAAGGTACAGTTGAAACTATTGATTCTCAAAGACTCTTAATATTGCATATTTCAAGTTTCTATGGTATTTGTTCAATTTCCTTGAAGAGTTTTCAGCTCACAGCCTTCTCCCGTTTAATCCTTCTCTTGCCACTCAAATACCTCTGTGGGAACTTGAATCCCAGGCGATATTATCGATTCCTCTTTAGCGTCAATTTCCTATAGGTTGGCGTCATTTAGTCTCCCCCACACGCAAGCCCCTTACGATTCAGGGGCAATGACGGGCAATGACAAGGAACAAGTTTAGTCCCGCATGGCGTACTGAGCACGTGAAGTCTAAGCACGGAAAAAAAAACTACCTTGTATACAATATAGACCAATCTGTATACGTACTCGAACAGGGATTTGACCCCTTTATGACCAGGATCCATTTCATGGATTGTTCTAGGTTCTCGAATCCGACCTTCCTAGAGTTGTTTGGCCCCTCCGAGTCGAATCGGTAAGCTCGGTAATTCAAAGACGTTGGAACTATTGATTGTCAAACAATAATATTTGAATTATGCAATTATTCGTTATTCAATGTTATAACAACGAACCGTAGAACTCTTTCAATAGTTCCTCAATATATGATCGACTGAATATCATATGATACCCCATAATGTGAATTTCTAAATTCTGTTCCATACTTCCCTAATATGCACCTAGAAACAGATTCTGCTATGACAGCACTCACAGGAGGGAAAGGATAACCCACCAAGATCCCGATTCTTTGTCCTTAGTTTGACCCCCCGGGAACTCTTTCCGTCTGTTCCACTCAAACTAAACAAAGCCCAGTTAACGGGACCCGCCGATCGATGTCGAAAAATTCACCAACGGACGTAATACAGACCCCGATAACGGATCCTTTTTTCCCCCTTGAGCGGAGTCAATCCTTTACAAAGATATATATATATATATATATATATATATTCAATTTACACGCGTGGCGGCATGGCCCCCAGAACCCCAGGGTTAACGGAGACTCACGGAAGAACCTAGGATAAAGTAGCCGTGTCTGGTTTCCGGTGGAGAAGGATAATGTACGTGATTCGATCGGCCAGGACTAGTGGCTCCGTGGACATGGATTAGGGACAGGGATGCGTTGCAATTCGAAAAGTAATTTTGTTTGGCTAGACCGTTGGAATGGGCGGGATTCGTGGGTTCATTTTATGAGGCTTTCGAGGCTTTCGAGGCTTTGGGAAGGATGGTACTAGTAGTCATGCCGTGAAGCTAAGCGTCTCGCGGATGCTGTCCCGATACTTAGAATAGTTGCAGGATTCAGAGGCAATCTTAAGTTCTGTGGAGTGTAGCGAAGTGGAGGGGTGGATGTTCTGGGATCCTTGGCATGTTGTATTCAAATGTTCTCAG